TTATTTGTATGCATTATATAATTCATTTCTTCATGGTCAAAATATTTGCTACATAATTAAAATTTATCACAAGACAAACACCACCAATATTGTTATTATTCTCCGACACATATATATATTGCAAATATGTATATATTTCTTAAGATAACAATTGCCTAAATAAATAATTATGAATATAGGGCTTAAATTAATATTTTATTACCAAAAGAAAAAATAATAATAAAATAAAAATCGAAGTGTTCTAGGAAGCATAATGGTGTGGGTCTTAGGTGACAAGAAAGGTGTATTAAAAGTGAAAATGATGGTTGTAGTCTATAGACATAGAAACAGAAGCCAACTTGTTATTGTATTCATATTCTTATTAAATACTCCCTTGAATAGTCTCTCCGTCCCAAATACCGTGTCTGTTACACTGTAGACATGATATTTTAGAAGGGATGTAATTAGTAAATAATTAAGAATATATTAGTAAAAATAATTATCTTATAATATAAATAATTATAAATTAAGATTAAGATAACTAATTAGTTTAATTAAAATTTTTAAAAAATAAAATTTAAAAATTTAAAATGAAATTAAAGTGTGTAATCATTTTCCAAAAAAGAATGTGACATAAAATGTGGGACCGACAGAAACGGCAATATGGACATGGTATTTGGGACGGAGGGAGTAGTATTAATATTACTATATATATTACACTTGATTTGTTAAATTTTTGCACTTGATTTAATAAAAAAATGTGTAAGTTGTTTTGGGACAGAGTGAATAATTGACGTAATAAATTTAATAATTGATTGAATATTTAAATCTGTGTTAAAATAATGTAGTACTTCTTTCTTTCGTTCCATATATCTATCTATCTGTTTATTTTTTGCACGAAATTTTAAAAATATTAGTATTATATTGGAATATAGTATTATATTATATGATATAAAAATAATAACATTTGTCTAATATATGATAAATTAGAAGGGTATTTATAATGTTAGGTAGACAGTACAGTTACTAAAAGAAAATGGATACTTTGTTACAAAACAAACCAAAATTAAAAAAATAGATATATTGTTAAATGATGGAGAAAATATATGTTTTGTCTTACTTATTTGAATTGAATATATATGTAGAATGTACTACTCTTTTATATACTTACGTAAACAAGAAGAGAAGGTATATAAAGAGAGTAACGATTTCTAATCAAATATCTTTTCTGTCTTTGTTTTTGGGCTGTGTTTTTCAACTTTTTCTCTTTTTTTTTTTTATTAATAATATGAAAATTCGCAGCCACTATTTTTTGGATAATTTTGAGGAAATCTCCAATCAAATTTAGTTGTTTGCAAATTAGGTTCGACAAAATAAATTAATAAACGTCTGTTATTCCAATGACTATTTACAATAGATAATTCAATGGTAACATTGAAGGGTAAAAGAGACCTTTCACGAGTAGAATGGTACAAATTCTGTGTTTATATGATATAAAATATATATATATAAAATTAGAAATATAATATAAATGAAAAAGTGGCAAAAATTATAAAATAAAATGCAAAATTGCAACTATGGTTTTCTGATCATACTTGCAGCTAAGTAGTGACAAAATAAAATTCAAAAATATACGGCAATACATGTCTGATTTTGAAATAAATTATGTATAATCTCTCCCTTTTTATATTTCTTTTTTTAAGGGGCAGGCAACGTACAGTAGATATATATTTTTATAATAAAATAATTGATAAATATGATACTTTTAAGTAAAGAGTAAATACTAAAAATTTTGAATGAGTATAATGAATAAATAATTAAGAATGTATTAGTAAAAATAATTACCGTATAATAAAAATAATTTTAGATTAAAATTAAGATAATTAATTAATATAATTAAAATTTAAAAAATTAAATTGAGATTAAAGTGTATAATTCTTCCACAAAAGTCAATAGTTTAATATTTTCTCCATTTCAATTAATTTGTCTACTTTAGCTAAGTACGTAGTTTTAGGTATTATGTAATTAGTAAGTAATTAAGAAGTGTATTACTAAAAATAATTCTAGATTAAGATTAAAATGACTAAATATTTTAGTTAAAATAAAAAAAATTATAAATTATAAATTTTAAAATATGATTAAAGTGTTTAAATTTATTTAAAAAAAAAGGATAAATTATATATGACATGTAAAAGAAATAGACAAATTATGTAGAACTGGGAGAGTATAAAAATTATATTCCCTCTGTCCCATAAATAAATATTCATTTGCTTTTTGCATGTAATTTTAGAAATATTAGTATTATATTGCGATATAGTAGGAATAAAATAGAAATGACTAAAATAATCTTATCAAGAGTGTGTTTGTTTGGGGGATTGGATTAGATTTCCACTATTCATCCCATTTTTTAACCCCAAAAATATCAAATCAAACACGTATTTTTCATTTTTTATATTATACTAAAAATCAATTTTACATTCAAAATATCACATCAACACCTATTTATATCACATCATACAACTATTCAAATTCAAAATTTTTACTATTCAAATCCCAACTCAAAATCCAAACCCCCAAACAAACACACGCTAGTATATGCGATATAAAGGTAATGACATTTGTGTAATATATTGTAAGTTGTAAGGGTATTTGTAATGTTAGGTAGATAGAACAGTTACTAAAAAAAATGAATACTTTGTTATGAGACATACTAAAATGAAAAAATGGATACTTTGTTATGAGACGGAGAGAATACTATTTCTTTATAAGTATATTTTATGCAAAGATATACTCCCTCCGTCCACACACAAAGTAAACGTTTACTTTTGGTGGGGTGCTTAAGAAATAATAGTATTTTAATTATAGTGGATAGTTAAAAGTAGTGTAATGACATTTTTGCCTTTGTTTTTTCGTGTAAAAGTAGTGATATGATATTAAGTAAGCGTATTTTTGAAAAAAAGTGAAGTATTTAATAAAATGTTTACTTTGTAATTGAACGTCCCAAAATAAAAATATGGAATATATTTTTCCTAATATTATAAAAAAACGTGTCAAAAAAAATATATTAAGTAGACACAGTTAGTAATATCTAGAGCCTAACAGATAACCAAACACATTCTAAATTTCAAATTTTAGGTTTTTATATGTAGGTTAATAAATTGAAGACACTTTTTTGTTCTATTTTACAATAGAAACAACATATGCTTGTCTCTGCTCTAACCTCCACACGTTAACGGTAGCCTGGGACAAGCCAGCTTTGTTTTCTCTATGTTTTACTAGTATTATTTTTATCTGGGGTTTTTTTAAAAAAAAAAATTAAAATTAATAATATTAGTTCGGGACAATATTTTTATAAAAATACATTTTTTAAAAAAATATATAGATATATATATACGATTTCAAAATATTATTAATTTCAAACTATAACTAAATAAACCTTTGATTCTTTTGATATTTTTAAAAAATAATATTTTCTATGTCAAGTAAAAATATACTTATTTTATTCTATTTATTCACATAAAATATTTATATTTTTTCGTCTATTTTACATAATTTATTTTTTTAAAAAAATATGATTATATATTTTAAGTAATTTTTATAATTTTTAATTTTAATTAAATTATTTAATTATTTTAATCATAATTTATTTTTATTTTTATTATATAATAATTATTTATACTGATATACTTATTAATTATATTTTATATAAATTCTCGTATCTACGGTAATATGGACAATTTATCTCAAACACAAAGATTTTTACCTGTTTACGAAAATTGTGCTCATGTCATACGTATTTAGGGTTTGTTTGTTCGGGGGTTTGAATTTTGAATTGAGATTTGAATAACTGTATTACGTGATAAACATGTGTTAATGTTATGCTTTGAATGTAAAATTGATTTTTAGTATAATATAAAAAATAAAAGATAAGTGTTTAATTTAATATTTTTGGGAAAAAAAAAAAAGGATGAATAGTGTATTTAAAATAAAATACTCTTTTAAATCTATATCTACTTATTTTTCTATCCTATTACACATATGAACTCCACTTATGTTTTATATTCATTCCACCTTAATAAAAATTATACTCCATTACTAATCTTATAAAATTTTAATTTATCATTAAATAATATATTAAAATATTATTGTTTTTAATAATTTGGAACATAATTTTATAAGATAGAGAAAGGAGTACAAATTTAAATTAAAAAATATATATTATTATATATTTCCTCCAAAAGTAATTTTTCAATTTATCATTTTAATTTGTTCAAATCAAAATTTTTATTTTTTATCTTTTAGAAAAATTAATTTTTATATAAATATTAATATACTTTTACTTTTACTTTTTTCCATCAGTTTTATTTTAATATCAAGAGTAAAATAGACGATATATCATTTTATTACATAATATATCTATAAAATACTAATTTAGTTTAATTTGTAAGCAAAAATTAAATAAAAAACCTTTTTTTAGACTGAGAAAGTAATATTTCACATAAAAAATAAATAAATATTTATAGTTGATAAATAATAATAATAAATAAAAATATATCTATGAAGAATTCTGTACTAGATATTCGATAGGAATGGAAATTTACGCCTCCACTTTTTCTTGCTTCCTATAGTTTTCTACTTTTATTTCACCAAAAAAGAAAGCATTCAGACTATTACCTTACCATTTTACGTCTAAACACAACAAATTATTACAAATAAATAAAAACAATTATTATTTTTAAGAAAAAAAAAGAAAAAAGAAAAAAGAGAAGACTTGGTTTTCACGTGGTGAAAGAGATGTTGTAGCAAACACATTATGTATACAAAATCTGCGACTAATCTTCCTACACTGATTTCGTTTAGTCCTTTCGTTAGAATAACTAATTTATTTATCCTTTTTTTTATTTTTTTTTTCATAGGATAATTTTAGGGTGTTCAATTCAATAATTTATTTATTTATTTAAAAATAAAAGTAGTGGACAGAAGCTTTACCCTATAAAAGCAGGTGCTGTGCTGTGTTCTTCTTCTCTTCATCAATCACTTATTACTACTTAGTTACCTTCGGTCGTCTTCCTTTCCAAATAACTTATACTACATTAATGTCGCAGAACAAAATCCCTGAATCTGTTCTGTAGCGGTTATCGATCAGATTCGTGTGGCGGTAGTTGTCGAGGAAATATCATGTCTGATTCCGGCATGGAGTTGGCCGTCACCCTCGGATTGACGGCGATGATCTCTGTACTGATTTTTGTAATCCGGCGCCGGAGAAAAAACCGCCGGCCGAATCTTCCGCCGGGCAGCATGGGATGGCCTTTCCTCGGCGAGACAATCGCCTACCTCAAGCCTTATCCAGCCACCACTGTCGGAGAATTCATGGAGCGCCACATTTCGAGGTGGTTAAGGTCGATTGAGTTTTAGGTCTGAGGATGACGATTAGGTCTGAAAATTTGGGCGTTTTTTTTTTTTTCTTTGTGGTTTTTTAGGTATGGGAAAATCTACAGGTCGCATTTGTTTGGGGAACCGACAATAGTGTCCGCCGACGCAGGGCTGAATCGATTCATTCTACAGAACGAAGGGAAGCTGTTCGAGTGCAGCTATCCTCGGAGCATCGGAGGGATCCTCGGAAAGTGGTCGATGCTCGTTCTGGTCGGAGAAATGCACAGAGATATGAGGATCATTTCTCTCAACTTCCTCAGCAATGCTCGCCTCAAAACTCATCTTCTCCGCGAGGTCGAGAAGCACACCTTGCTCGTGCTCTCCTCATGGCAGGACAATTCCCTAATCCGCGCGCAGGACGAGGCGAAAAAGGTAGGAAAAATCGAATTTAGAAATTAACCAACTCATTGTCTGAAAACGATGATGTCTGTATCTGTGTCTGTCTGTCTGTGAAGTTCACCTTCAACTTAATGGCGGAGCACATAATGAGCCTCGAGCCAGGAAAGCCGGAGACGGAGCAGCTGAAGAAAGAGTACATTACATTCATGAAAGGAGTGGTTTCTGCTCCATTGAATTTCCCCGGCACGGCCTACAGGAAGGCTCTGCAGGTAATAACAGTAACAGTAATTATTTTTACCAGGTTTGGCTATGTCCGAAACTGGATGATTGAGGTGTAACTGGTTGCAGTCCCGATCGACGATCCTGAAATTCATCGAGCGGAAAATGGAGGAAAGGATGAGACAAGGTCGGGAGGACGACAAGGATCTTTTGGGATGGGTGCTGAAGAATTCCAACTTATCGAAAGAACAGATTCTGGACCTGGTTTTGAGCCTTCTGTTCGCCGGACACGAAACCTCGTCGGTCGCCATAGCCCTCGCCATTTACTTTCTGCAGAGCTGTCCCACTGCAGTTCAGCAATTACGGGTATGCCAGCCTGACCTAATTTGATTTAATCGATGATTAATCTAATCTGCAATCATGACAACACTGTTCCATTTAATTATTAGTACATGCTTAAATTAATGTTGATTAATTTAGGAAGAACACTGGGAGATTGCCAGAGCAAAAAGGGGTTCAGGGGAAGACGATGATGCAACAGAATTGAGCTGGGAAGACTACAAGAAAATGGACTTCACACAGTGTGTAAGCTAAGCTAAGCTAAGCTAGGCTAGCTCCCGAATTCTCCACCTTTTTCAATTTATTTATTTATTAATATATTATCCGATCCATTAATCAGGTAATAAGCGAGACTTTAAGGCTTGGCAACGTTGTAAGATTTCTCCACAGAAAAGCCCTCAAAGATGTTAGGTACAAAGGTAGTAATAATCTGATCCATTCATTCATTAAATCAAATTAAATACTACTACTTATAATTAATTAATGGGTATATTGTATTATTATGTATGTACAATTAAGGATATGACATTCCACGTGGGTGGAAAGTGTTGCCAGTGATAGCAGCAGTGCATTTAGATGCATCACTTTTTGACCAGCCATGGCACTTCAATCCATGGCGATGGCAGCAGCAGCAGCAGCAGCAGCAGGTTAGTCATGCTTCTTCCTTCTTCATAAACTGCCAGATTTCAGCTTTTTCCACTATTCCATTTCTTTATTACTACTTTTTATTTAACCTTACTTTGCCTTTTCTTTCCTCCTCCACATTTACCAAACACACTAATAATAATAATAATCATAATAATAATACAACAAACAACATCTTTCACTTTGTCTTTATTAGGTCTTAAAGACACGACCATATACTTAACATAAAAATAAATATGTGTCAGTTTGTGCGTGTTTCCAACTAACAATCTTAATTTACGTATAATTAACTAACTGGGTACGTTTTTCTAATAAAAATAAAATTCGATTTTTAATTAATTTGGGACTTTGATCATATCCCTATATTTATTTATTTATTTAAGTAGATATGGGAGTGTGAGCTGAGCTGGATTTAGTATATTGACTTCTATTCTTGAACTGGGTCGGCCCTTCCCATGCATTATGTAATGTTGGGTTGGGTTTGGGTTGGGTGGGGGTGTGGGTGGTCTACCCCCCACCCCACCCCTAGCCTGACCAGCCTGGATTGCCTAATACCAAGACGACACATGTCCCTAAGGTGCATGCTCTAACCAATAATTAATGACTTCATATTATAAAGAGGGAAGGGAGGGGAGAATCCTATATATATATATATATATATATATTATAGGTGCAAGATTAATCATGCAAATTGGTTGACCCTCATCATTTAGTATGTAGTGTAGCCACATTTCATTGATTTCCTGCAAGATTCTTAGCCCATCATTACCCTTCATTTTATTTAGCTTAAAGGATATTTAACTTTAATGCTTCTCTCAAAAACAATTCTGGCTGGCCTACTACAAGAATTTAGGGTTTCTTTGGTTTTTATTTCAATTTTAGTTTAAATAGTTTTTTATATTATTTGTTAAAAAAATATTTTATTTTTTATTTTTATTGAAAACAATTCAAACTGAATAGTAGTGATATTAATTTCAAATGCAAACTAAAGACAATCATACGGTGTGTTTCTTTAACACATTTTTTTTTAAAAAATTATTATTTTAATTATATGTTTTTTTTAAAACAAAAATACAATTTTATTTATTTATTTTTTTTTATGAAACATCCCATCAAATGAAACCATTTATATATATATATATAATACTGTACCATTTTCAAATGTAGGTGTTCTTTAGTGCAACCAACCGTGAAAATTGAACCCTTTTGAATGAATGCATCATGTCGTCAATTGGTACAACCATTCTAATGGTTGTATCATTTATGTATCAATGGATGTTTCTATCAATGTACCTTTTAGTTTATAATAACCCCATACTAAAAATGAGTTATAATTTTTGGAAAGTTTTTCATTTAACTTGAGTTAATTGAATATCACATTATTTATATATACAATATGAATGTCAGTTATTCTTGAACTCCCTAACAAATTTTAGCCCGTAAAAAGAGTCGGGTATACATAAACTTTTACTCACTTGTCGTAGTTCGATAGTTTTTACATGACAACATTCAATACGGACATATCATGTAAAATCAGCTATCGCTACATTGTGTGTTTGACTATCAGCGTGTTTGTATCGTATTTATTTGATATAATTGTTTTGAATGTAGAATTATATTTTAAAGTAATATTTTGAATAAAATACTAATAAATTGGATGGTATACTTTCTACAAGAAATGTTAGATATATAAATACAAAAAACAAACTTGAAATGATTGTTAAACACAATCATATTTGTGAGTTTTTGAATGAATAATAATTTTTTCAAAAAATAATATTCTGTTTTATACACTTTGACGAGGTGATAGATAAATGGTTTGTGGAATAATTTTAAACATTTTCAACATTTTGAATGAAAGGAATATGAAACACATACTAATAAAAGATTTTTGTAATATGCATGTGGACAGGATAAAATAATCATTTTAATATCAACCAAAATAAAAACTGGGGACAATATATGGGTTATGTTTATTGGATTCTACAAAATTTCTTGCACTTTGAAGCACTCTTTATTTAAATTTCTCTTTCAATTCCAAAATGGTCTTTATATATAAAATTCTCTTTCAATATTTTTTATTAGTTCATATACAATCTTATATATCTACCTCTTTTAAATAAATAAATGTATGTGTGTTTCTTTTGATAGGTTTTGAAAAATTTTGGTTTGAGTTTGGTATTAAAATAATGTATGATGAGATGTTTTGTGGCACAAAATAAATGTATTTTTTTCGAGAAATGCAGAATTCAAATAGTAGAAATTTGGAGTTTTGGTGTTAAAGAAACATATAAGTACTATTTTTTTTTATGTTTAAAAAAATATTTTAGAATGTTCACGCAATTTTCGTGTAATTATAAAGTCATTTTATATGAAATTAGGCTTTACAAGAAATAAAGAGAAAATAGTTTAAGATTTTATCAAAATCATACTATCTAAAAATTATAATAAAAGTTAAACAAACAAAAAATATATTTAGTAATCAATTTAAATTAACGTTAAATCTCATATATAAATTAATCCAAATAATCCGTAGCGTCGAATTTGATGGAGAGGAGGATTAAATCTGAGGCGTTGGTTTAAGTTTATCCTGGGTTAATGTAGTCCGTCGGATGAAGGTAGTAATAAAGGGACAGGATGAGTGGAGTAGAGTCGGGGAAGAACTAGAAAAGGCATACTTACCCGTGCGTGTGGTGGGTTTGATGATTAAAGTCGCCCATGTGGGATTGTGGGGCTGCACGTGCACGTGCACGTGCACGGCTGCTTTCAGTGGTCATGATATCATCCATTCATGAAAAATACTAGTTACTGGTATCTGTTTTCGTGGTTTTTTGGAGCCACTAAAATTGGAAATCAAATTAAAAGAAAAATTCATAAAGGATTTGGAAATGGAATACCCTGCAGGAACGGAACAAGCTAGGAATTTAGACTAGTGACAGGTGGCTTTAATTAATTAATTAAATAATTGCAGGGTAATAGAAGCGGCGGCGGTGGCGCAAATATAATTAACGGCGGCGGGTGGTTCATGCCGTTCGGCGGTGGGCCGCGCCTGTGCGCCGGTTCGGAGCTGGCTAAGCTCGAGATGGCTCTGTTTATACACCACCTGGTGCTCCGGTTCGACTGGGCCGCGGCCGAGCCGGACCGGGCTTTCGCATTCCCGTTCGTGGATTTTCCCGGCGGGCTGCCGATCGCCGTCCGGCGGAGGGGGATCGGAAACATACATGGGCTATAGCTGATGATATATATATATATATATAATGAAGACAAGTGATGGGGCCGGCGATGGGGAGAGGGAATAAAATGGCAGATTTTGTATGTCTGAAAGTGATCGAGGTTTTTTATTGTTTTTATTTTTATTTTTATTTTTTTGGGATGGGGTTGGGGGGCCTTGGATTATTCAACGGTTGTTTTGGCCTCACCCTCACATGAGGAATTATTATTGGATGTAAAGATCATCGATTGATGTTTTTAGGCAAGTTATTAGGACCACTTTTATATATATATATGTGAAGAAAAAAGAAAAGAGGAAGGGGAGGTAGAAGATGATGATGATGATGAAGAAGAATTGTTGCATTGTATATGTATTTGTATGTGTACATTAATATTAATATTAATATTAATATTTGTATCCATTATTCCCTGCAAATGCAATTGATCATTTACGTCGTCTTCTTTCTCTTTCCAAATTTCATTCATAAATGCGCTGTCTAAGTAATCATTTCGTTGATTTGTGACGTTACACACAACATATCTATGTATATCTATCTATATATATATATACATACGAGTGCTTCATAATATCTATTTTTTTGTGTATGTTCCCAGGGTGAACATTCGAATTTTCAGTTCAGATTTTGTTAAATCCAAACTGATTTTAAAAATTCGAAATTTTTTAAAAAATTAATTCGAATCGAATCAAAATTTAAAAATTCGTAATTCGAATTAAATAATTCGGACTAAACTGAAAAATTCGAAATTATAAATATTATTATTATTTTTTTTTTAATTTTTAAATTTCTTTTATATTTTATTATTATTTTATAATATTAAATATATATAATCTATAAAAATTAAATATATTAAAATATAATTAATAAATTTGAGTTTTTTAAATTAAAATATAATATTTTCTAATAAAATATTAAATATGTATAATAAAAAAATATATTAAAATATTATATTTCATATTTTGGATTAATTCGGATTTTAAGTATACCGATTCGAAAATTCAAAATTTGTTAAAAATTCAATTCAATTCAATCTGAAAATTCGAACATAATTTTAAATTTCAATCTAATTCGAATTGAATTTTCGAATTTAAGATATTTTGCCCACCCTTATATATCTCTATCTATTTAAGCTAAGGCCCACTGGGAAAACTTCTTCATGCTGCCCAATTCCATTTATATATAATATATATATACTCCATTTAATATGTGAAAGTTGAGATAAGAGAGGAGAAGACTTTTTATACAGAGAAGAGAATAATAATAATAATAATAATAATAATAATAATGGATTAATGTGGGACTGGATGGATCGGTTACCCTATGCATCATCCTCATCCAAAGTCGAATCCAGAGATGTTTATATACAGACATAAAAAAAATATATATATATTTATAACATAATTTTATCCCTAAAATTTATGTAACTAATATAATTTTTTATTCCTAATTTTGTATCTAATATTATTAATAATAAAAAGAATAGATTTAGAAACTAAAAAAATCTTATTATAAAATTGATATTTTTTTTTACTATATATATATATATATGTGTGTGTGTGTGTGTGTGTGTGTGTGTGGGGTGTGTGTAGACTGTAGCAACAACACAGCAGTCAGTAGGTAGTGAGGTAGCAAGCCAATAATTTAATTTCCCACTAGGACTATGAAGCATGCAGTTGCAGAATTGAAGCCGTTTACTTCCATTGTAGCCTCATGGCGTAGTATAATCTATAATGGAGTACAATTGTAAACTTGATTGATTGCATATAATAATAATAATAATAATAATATTTACTAGTACTCACTATTATTATTCAATCCGTTGACTAGTTGCCAAAAAATCACAGGTCAGATTTGCCATTTCATTCAAATTATAATGTTGACTTCACTGCAACACTAACACTAACAGTAGCCTGCCCTGAAATAGTTACCTACGTACCTACCTTCGTATAATTAATCAAATCAAATTCTCCACTTTAACGTACGACCATTAATGACCAACAAGTTGTCGCATTACATAATACAATTATTTTTGGTGTGGTATTTAAAAATAATAATATTTTAATTATAGTAGGTAGTTAAAAGTAATGTAATGATATTTTTGTCTTTTTTTTTTTTTACGTAAAAATAATGATACGATGTAAAGTATAAGTATTTATAGAAAAAATAAAGTATTAGATAAAATGTTTACTTTGTTATTGGACGTCTCAACATAAAAATATATATATTTTCTAACTTGACGGAGGAAATATATTACTGTAAATACGAAAATTTAATTAAATTATAATTATTAAATAATTTTAAAATATATTAGTAAAAATAATTATTATATAATTAAAAAATATATTAATAAAATAATTATTGTATAATAAAAAAATCTTCAAACTTTTTTTTGATTGAATATTTGTTTCTATGTTTGGATGGTTGCATTGTGCATTCATTACATATAAGTTTGTGTTTCTATTTTTCAAGATTATGAAATAAAAATATATTTCAATTCAAATTATTATTATTATTATTATTATTATACTTAAGACTATGAAAGCAGGCGAAGCAGTCCCTCATAATATATTGGAACACTATCAGCAGTGAATTGAAGATCCAATCTGTTAAATCATCATGCATTTCATTGCATTGCAGCCTTTTAGTTTTAGTGGGCACAATTCTGTATGTATGTATAAATTATAATTGGAATTTATTAGAATTTTGAATTATATGTGGCCGGGTTGTACTTCCATTTAAACACTGTGCCTACGTAATGGTGATTTATTTTCATAATATTGTGCATGCATGTTTCACATATTTTTGTTTAATAGTCATCATCGAATAATAATAATAATAATAACCAATATAATTGTATGCTGTTTGGGTTGCCTTTAATTGTTAGTCCTTCTTTAATGTTCTTTGTCCTGGGCCTAGGTTAATCCTATCGGCCCAATAGCGTGAAGCCAAGTATTCAATATTGGGCTTTCGATTGCCTTGTTCATTTGGGCCAACCAATAGCACGGTCCAAATCAAAAACAGGGTGAGTATTTTTCCAAGGTCTTAATAATAATAATAATTATAAGAAGAATAATAATAAATGAATTAAAAAATGAAAATAAGAAATCAAGAATGATAAGCATGGCAATAGTAAATAGTTAATGCTGAGATATCATTGTCACAAATTAAATAGAGACAGCAGAATTTAGAAATTTAATTTGGTTGTAATAATCAATTGTTGTTTCTGGTAGTTTCTTGAAAGTCGTTGGCAATTCCAAGCCTACATGCAAATTGCAATGCACCTTTTGCTGTCACATTAAATTTATTTTTATACACACAAAAATGTAGGTATGCATCAATCTGTGAATAATTTTATTTTTATTTTTATTATTTTTTAACAGACACATATATATATATATACACTTTTTTCTTTTTCCCCTTATCAAGAATAGATCAATGCGGACAAAAATATTTTTACCTCATTTATTGCCTATCCATTATCCAATGGTCCTCTCCTATTCCACTTCTTATTTTTGTTTTAGTATATTATTATGCAATTTACAATTAAATATCAATTTCTTTTTTTTTAAAAAAAAAATAATAACTATAATATATTTAAAATTATTACATACACAATTCACTTTCTAGTTAAATAGTACATCTGAAATGTATTTTTCATTTTTTTTCAATAAATAATATTAAATTCAAACTACCTCAAAATTCAAGTTCCATATTTTCATTTACATTGATCTAGAAAAGTACAAACGAAGAGGTTTTATTATTTTTAGCAATTTTCTTCTATGGCCCCTGGATAGAATTTTTAGCAATTAAAAAAAAAATAAAAATTAACATAATATATCTTTTTTAAGTTTTTGTTGGAGTAATGAAATTTATATAAATTAGTAATCTAATTTTTGAATTACATCAATGTATAATCAAATATGTGAGATTCGTCAATTACAGTTATGTAAATAAATAAAAAATCATTTGTAGAAATTTAAACAAGAGTTAAATCATTTTAGTAAAGATGGTGTGAACAATAAAAAGTAACATAGTAAAATAAATACACTTTTTAAACAGAGATATTCTTTATTATGTTATCTCACATATTATAAAAAGTGATATTATTTTTTTTTAATAAAAATATCATATTAATAACTTTTAAAAATAAATAAATAAATAAAAGAGAGAGAGAGAGCCGAAAGATCTTTGGATCTCATTAAGGTTTAGAAAAAACTGTCAAAAACCTTGGGGCCCATCTTTACTCTTTTTACCTTTGAATCCGTCGAACTGGGCCCACGTGGGCCCCATCAGCCCAAATATTAAATGGGCCCAATCATTGCGTTAATAGACTAAACCATAATCTATTGCCCACTACAATATTTTATACAATATGTTTAGCCAATAATGTGTTTATTTCGTAATTTTGACTTATTTTTTCATCTTCAATTTCTTAATATTCAATGTTAATAAAGTATTTATTATTTTCATCCTATATATTGTCAAAATCATCTACAATATTTTTTATTGTATATATAATTAGTGGAACCCTAATCGAGTGCCCAACGTGGATTATTGCTTTACCACCATAGATGTACAACAAACTTTACATATTAAATTTCAGACCTGAATATATATATATATATATATATGTTGCGTGATTATTGTATTTAAAATAAAATAATATATTTTGACAATGATGGTTAAATAAAAATAAAATAAAAGTTACTGTTCTAATGTGGGCAGTAAATTTCAGTGAAAAGGACCAAACCCCCAAAATGGACATCCACACTGTGGGATTACTTTCATATATCATCGCAATTGAGTCTACCAGTTTCGGACAACAAAAAATTTTCTTACATCACTTGCAATCGATGTCACAAATTAATTTATTTGTCTAAAAAATAAAAATAGAAATCGTCTTTATCTTAATAGGAAAAGAAATTAACATGATGGGTTGAAAAGATTGGTCAGAAGGAGAAATAAGGTTAAGTGGTGGGTCCCATCTACAAATTTAGGGTTTAGGTGGGTCCCGCCGGCTTTTGTTGACGTGTCCACAGTGGGTCAAGATTTCCAACGGTAAAGAAACGCCCCACCGCGATCTGACCGTCGGTTTGTCATCCGACGGCTCAGATCAATTTATTGCGTTACGAGAAGGGTAAATAGGCGGCGATGTGGACGCGCCGTATATAATGGACGCGTGGGACCCAATCGCGCACAGCCCGGATGGAGCGCGCGGGCGGCTTACGTCTACACGTGGCGATGTAATGAGTGACGTCGTCTGTGTCATACAAGGACCACCAATGAGGTGGCGCCACGTGGATTACGGTAGGATAGGGTAGGCGGCGGAAGAAATGAAATTTCGAATCCAATATATATCACCGTCTACTTTCAGATATTTTTACTTTTTTTTTTTTTCAAATATATTATTCATTATGGCCTCTTTTATATAGTAGGCGTTACACTAAAATGTAAATAGAAAAAAAAAAAAAAAGGGACATTATATTATATAAGTTTACAAAGTAAATATTTTCAAATTCAGTCTTTACAAAATAATAATATTTTAATTATAATTAATAATTAAAAATAGTGTAGTAATATTTTTGTCTTTATTATTATTTTTATTTTTTTTATAAAAGCAATGATGTGATGTAAACTAATGATATTTGTGAAAAAAAAAAATATTTAATAAAATTTTTACTTTGTAAATGAACGTTTCAAAATAAAAATATAAATATTTTTTAACTTTGACGGATAAAATATTTGATTAACTAATAAGTGTCCATTTTTGAGGAATAGCATTGGTTTCATTACCAATATATTGGAAAGACTTTTATCGTTTTATAGACATATAAGTTGATTTTTGAACTATTTAAGATTTGCATCAAAATAAATTTATAAATTCAGATGATGTACTTTTGTTATTTAGACGTTATATTTTATACTTTTTTATAAAATACTATAATATTAGATATTATTCAAAAAAGAAATTGAATTAAATTCTAAATCAAATGCAAGCTGAAGAAATGCACCTTAAACGAACAAGTTTAATGTCAAACGTAAACAAGTCTATAATCCACATTATCCTTAGCTTTCTAATCTAAACACATTTCCTTCATTTAATATACAAGCAATACTTCTAGTGTGACTTTCCCGTCGGACCTGGTTTGCAAGGTATTAGGTTCGGCCGGAAATTTATCCAGTACGCACTTTCGAGTAGCGGCTGCGAGTTTCCACGTCATTCAAAAAATAAATACATATATATATATATATAAGCAATACTTTATGTGTAAATTATGTGTCAATTGTCACTGTAATTTTACGAATGATAAGAGTAAAGTAAGAAGAATAGTTTGAGAATTCATTGCATATGGTAATTCTTCAATGTGTTTGTGAATTCCTATTTATTATTTTCGTACTTTTTTTTTTTTTTGGCTATAGAGAATATTTTCTTATTTTGAATTTTTTATATTATAAAAACCTTCATTATCATATATTTTCAGTTAGCTTTGCTCGATTTATAGGCTTTTAATTTAGTGAATTCCATCGTATTTGGGCATAAATATAAATAACAAAATATTTAGTTTAAATTAAAATTGAAATATTGAATTTTAATGTTTAAATGCGACGATGATATTAATAATAATTCACACTACAATAATAGAAATCATCAGCACCACAATTTCTAGGCCTACATCTATATGTATTATTCATTACTATCATTTGCAAAGCCGCTATTTTTTTTTTTAAAAAAAAAAATATTAATTTCACATGCTTCTTCAATATAATTATATATTTCTTATATCATGATATAAGAGTTATATTTATTTTTTATACAAAAATTAAAAAAATATTGTATTATAATGATGGTGGGTAGATTCTTAGATTAAAAACAAGTTTGTCTTTTAATTTAATTTGTAATAAGATAGTACTTGTGTAAATAAGTGTTATTGAAAAATTATCTGTAACGAGCAGTGGATAGATATATATATTTTTTTGTAAAAATTCTATCAAATGACTATTTAATAAAAAATACAAAATATATATATACATAAATTATATCCGTTTGACAATATTTTTTAATTGCAATTATTATTGAATATAAAAAATAAATACTTTCTCTGTCTAAATAATTATGTCACAAGTCACTATTTGAAAATAGTAGAAAATCAAAATGAAATAAAAGGAAACACACCAATAAATTTATTTGGTTGTGTTCTTGTACCTTTTGGTGTTTTATATATTAATATAAATATATAAAAAAGTAAATAGAAATATTATTCGGTTATATTTATCTTTTGTGTAATTGTATTTAATATTAAATATATTTTTATATTTGTATAATTTTATACAAATATTATATTAGTATTATAAGATACTAATATAAATATTTTTATATATATATTTTTAATTTATATTATATTTTAATATAATAATTAATATTCAAATATTAACGTACAATCAATAATATACTGATTTGTTCACATCCTCAAGTCGGACGAGTCATGAAACAAATAATACTAAGTAAGAAATAATAATAATAATAATAATTATTATAATTATAATGGTATTATTATGATTTTTTAAAAATAAAGTAGTTAAGCTAGCAAGCAGTAGTATTACAATTACAACGTGAATCATTGAACGACCCGTACAATTATTTGGAGGTTCGTAGATGCATACATACATATGACATGATAATAAATATTCTTCATTCATCGCATATGTACTATTTCTTCTTTAAAAATTGTACGCCAACCAAGTCACATTTATTTTACTGATTACTTAATATTAAAAATATTTTTATATTTACATAATTTTTCTATAAATATCCTTTTATAGTACTATAAGATACTGATATAAATATTTTTATATATTTTTTTAATTTATATTACGTTTTGATATAATAATTAATACTATTAAAAAGTTAATACACAAAAAGTAAATAAGATATTTAGAATCGAACGAAATAGTAGTATTCTTTGTTATAATATAAAATTAAATATTTTGTATTATTTTCACCTGTTGTTCTATTACAAAGTAATAATTTCAAAAATACTTTATTTTTTTATAAATATTTCTATTTTATCATTACATTATTATTTTTATAAAAAAAAAATAAATAAATAAGTAAAATTTTGTTTACACTATTTTTAACATTAAGTATGTGTTTGTTTGGGGGTTTGGATTTTGAGTTGGAATTTGAATAGTAAAAATTTTAAATTTGAATAGTTGTATGATGTGATAGGTGTTGATGTGAGATTTTGAATATAAAATTGATTTTTAGTATAATGTAAAAAATAAAAAATAGGTATTTGATTTGATATTTTTGGGAAAAAAAATAGGATGAATAGTGAAAATGAAATCCAATCCCCCAAACAAACACACCCTTACTACAATTTTTTTTTTTTTTAAAATATATAGATAAGTAAAATATTGAACTTGTTTAAACAACAATTTTGAATACACTATTCAATTTTATTTTTTTTAAAGAACAATATATATATATACAAAACATTACATTAAGGACTAATTTTTTAAAGCGAGCCTAGTCTTTTTTTTTTTTTTTTAATAACATGAGAATTCGCTACCCAAAAGTGCGCACTGGATAAACTCACGGCCGAACCTAATATCCTGCAGACCAAACTCGACGGGAAAGTCACACTAGGCGAACCATGTTTGACAAGTGACCTGAGGCGTCAGGGGTTTAAACCCATAATCTCACGGTCACACGTCCAACCCCTACACCACCTGGTCATCCTTCACCGGAAAGCGAGGCTAGTCTTATTTCGACTTTATATAGATATCCATATATAAATACAATCATTTTAAGTTTAGGCTATCCAATTACGGGACACTTTTTTCACATTTTATTTATTCAAATACCTTAACTATATAAAAATTAATTTCCAAATTAGGAGATCCTAAAGAAGGTGGATGGGAGGAGAAGCTTTACACCGTTGATAAGAGCAGAGCCATATGATGAACGGCTCGATTTACTCGGGACCTGAAGTCCCGGAAAGTGCCGTATTATCAATCTAGGTTTATTCGAGTCCGTTGGCCCGTTGTATCCCTATTCCCTAACCCATTTTACCCAAAAACTCTCTCTCTCTCTCTCTCGTCGCCCTCTTCCTCAACCTTATTCATTTTCCCTCTGAAGAGATCTCTGCAAGTTTTTTTTTTTCAATCTCGGTGAAGTTCACTGACTATGTGAGAGAGAGGATTTGCAGAAGTAGGAATGGCATATATGTGCACAGACAGTGGAAATCTAATGGCGATTGCGCAGCAAGTCATCAAGCAGAAGCAGCAGCAGCAAGAGCAGCAGCAACAGCACCACCAGCAGCTCCTGCCAATCAACTCCTTCTGCGTCAATCCATGGCTTCCGACGACATCTTCCGCCGCGGCGGCGGCGGCTACTCCCCTCACTTATGGCCTCACCGCCGGATTCGCCGATCCATTTCAGGTACCGGCGGGAGCGGAAGCGGCTGAGGCTGGATTTCAGTTCCCAAACCTGGATCACCACTCCGGTGGATTCCGATATACAGACCTATGCGGCGGACCAGGCGGCGAGTTCGACTCCGACGAGTGGATGGAGAGCTTAATGGGCGGCGGCGGCGGCGGCGGAGATTCGACGGAGAGCTCCAACCCCCAACCGGATTGCGAGGCTTGGCAGACTAGTTCCGAGTTCACTCACCTCTACCCTACCGATCCGTTCCCGAGTCGACTCAGCATTAACTCGTCCGCCGCCGCCGCCCCTTCCGATCTCAACAGAGTTATCTTCTCCGAGCCTCCTCCGCCGTCCTCCGTCTGGCTCCCGCCGGCCTCCGCTCCCCTACCATCAAAGCAACCACCCTCCGTGGTAGAACCTACTCCAGCTACCGGCAAAAACGACGTCGCAGCGACCGCCGAAGCTTCCACTAGCTCGCCAGAAGCTTCCCCTAAAGTGAAGCCAATTTTGAAATCCCTAATCGACTCCGCGCGCCTCTCCGAATCCGACCCCGAAGCCGCCGTGAAATCGCTGATCCGCCTCCGCGAATCGACCTCGCAGACCGGAGATCCTCTGGAGCGAGTGTCGTATTACTTCTCAGAAGCTCTCCGCAGCAGAATATCCCAACAATTGGAGGGCACCGCCGCCGCCGTCTGCGACTCCATCTCCGAAGAGTACACTCTATCCTACAAGGCTTTCAACGACGCCTGCCCCTACTCCAAATTCGCTCATCTCACGGCCAATCAATCCATCCTCGAAGCCACCGACAAGGCCACAAAAATCCACATAGTCGATTTCGGAGTCGCGCAGGGAATCCAATGGGCGGCTTTTCTTCAAGCACTGGCGACCCGCCCCAACGGAAAACCCGAACGGATCCGCATTTCCGGCATCCCTGCGCCGGCGTTGGGCGTCTCTCCGGCATCGACGCTTCTAGCCACGGGAAACAGGCTCCGAGACTTCGCGAAGCTTCTAGATCTGAACTTCGAGTTCGAGGGGGTCTTGACGCCCGTCGAAGAACTGAATACATCCAGTTTCAAAGTCGAACCAGATGAGGCTGTGGCGGTGAACTTCATGCTCCAATTGTACAATCTTCTAGACGAGAGCAATCAAGGAGTGGAGGCAGCTCTCAAGCTAGCAAAATCATTGAATCCCTGCGTCGTCACTCTGGGTGAGTTCGAGGTGAAATTGAACGGCGTGGGGTTTCTACACAGGTTCAAGAACGCCCTAAAGTACTACACCGCAATCTTCGAGTCGCTGGAGCCGAACCTCGGCCGTGACTCGGCGGAGCGCCTCCAGACCGAGAGTCTACTGCTAGGGCGGCGAATCGGGCGGGTGGTTGGGGGAGAAGGAGAAGGAAGAAGGGCTCGAATGGAGGACAAGGAAGGGTGGAGGGTACTGATGGAAGGGGCGGGGTTTCAGCCGTTGGTGTTCAGCCATTACGCACTGAGCCAAGCGAGCATACTCCTGTGGAACTACAGTTACAGCGCGATGTACAAGCTTGTTGAGTCTACTCCACCTGGCTTCCTCTCTTTGTCTTGGAATGATGTACCTATTCTCACTGTCTCTTCATGGCGCTGAGCTCATCAATTTGGTTGGTTGGTTGGTTGATTTCTTCCTTTCTTTTTAATCAATCAGTCACACACTCTGGATCAATCTCTACTGGTTTGGAATAGAAAAGATGAATTATTTACTGCTCATTTTGCTCTGCAATTGCCTGCCTGCTGCTGATACTATAGTATACTCTCTTCCATTTCCATTTGGATTTTCAAGTCATGAATGAATTATCTAGAATTGAGCTGTCCATGTTCTTAGTGTAGAGATGGGATTTATTAGGTAGTAGTTTTGAAGGGTGAATCTTATGAAATTTTGGGTTAGTTGTTGATATGGTAATGCTTTGATATAAATCTTTTGACCTTTAGTTTTTGTTTCAACAGTTTGGTTGCTTCTTACATTAGAGAAGAGTAGCCGTGCCCGTAGTTGTCTGGAATGATTTATTAGCATTAAAAATCAGTTGTTGCTTTTAAATTTTAAGGAAGTGTGATTGTCATCAGCACAGGGAAAATATGCATGGCTTAATAATTAATAGTGCAATACAATAAAAGAGTGTGGTTTGTTTTGTCAGCTACAAAGAAAAGAGTGATGTGAACTCTTTCGGTTAGGGATGCTTGTAATATTAGATTAGAGAGAAGTGGGTATTAATAGTAGTATAATATTTCCATTCCATGTGCTGCAGTGCAAGAGAGGAGGGGTGGGGCGGGGTGGGGTTGGGGTCAAAATGTCATTTTCAGTCAGGTTTGTGCTGAACAACTGGGGTCTCTCTACAGACAATGACCTGTTAGAAGTATGGCCTCTGGTGCATCTCTATCTACCTATCTTTCTTTACCATTTTGCCATGTCTAGGAATAGCTCTTGGCTTTGCCCTCTGCTCTGGGGAATTACTGTGCTTGATAAATGCCTATTTATTTATGGGGTTGTCATTTTCATTCTGCACACAGGGTTTTTATTATTGCTTCTCTCACTTTCTTGTCACAAGTGAAAGAAGCAGAAAACTCTGCAGTCTTGAATTACCCTCCCACCCTCAAATGATATAAATAATCAAGATTGAGCCCTGCTGCAGGTGTGCCACTGTTGCATGTAGTTGCCATTTCATTTACTTGCATGATTTTATGTTGTAAAAAGGGGTCATTGATTCATGGCCATAGACTGGCTTCATGGGCCATTTGCAAATGATTAATGAGGCATTCAGAAAAAACCCTGATGATATTTTTGCTTTCTTGGTATTTTATTATACGTTCTTGATGTAACTATTAGTTCTGTGACCCCTCATCCCCACCCACCCCACCCACTGCTTAAATGCATCATATCCACTACAGGAAGTAACCTTAGGAAGGATTATGGCCGTTGTTAGTGATTTAGTACAACAGTGGTCAAATATGAATGTCCGGTTGAAGCCGTTTCTAAGTGGCTGTGCTGTGCTGTGCATGAAACTTAAAGATGAGATAGCAGCAGTTTTATTCTATTGAAAAGGGGACAGTTTTCTTCAAAATTCAAAGGCCAATATTTTTCCACGGTAGGTATTATATAATGTACGAGACTTTTAAGGAAGTTTTTAATGTATTTCATTTGGGAATGATGGATCTACTACAAATAGTTGCTCAGTTGGTCTAAAACAACCCTCATTACTAATTAACTATATCGACTGCATTGACGAACGAAGAAGTTGATTGAATTATAGCTTATTTAAGGGCTGATCTATCAGCCCACTTTATGGGCTTACCAATTTTACAAAATGGTAGCCCCACCTTGCGTCATTAAAGCCCAATTTGGACGTATATAAACCGAATTCATTCAAGTAGCAGTCCTGTAATATCAAATCTAACAGCACCACTTTGCCGTGGTCAAACACCATTTTTATTTTATTTTTTATGTGTAACTTGGCTGATCCTAATAGCCTCTGAAAACTAAATTTGACAAGATAAATCAGAAAACATGTCTAGCAAACAAGACGTGAAGACTGTGAATACATTTTAATATAGATAGTTTAAATAGCTATATCAATTGTTAGTATGTAGATTTTCTATATATATTAAATATAGATAGTTTAAATAGCTATATAAATTGTTAGTATGTAGATTTTCTATATTATAATATATCCTATGTTATAGATTTATACTTGATATGCTATTAATATTGTGTTGCTTAAATATAATGGAAGGTAGCCTAACAAACAAGAATTGTGGATCAAACACGTGGGCAATGGCTGGAAAACATTTGTCCAAACATCAAGCCCGATGATACACGCGTGAAGCTGTCCGAACTCCATGTCTGTCATCTCTGCTACTTAATAATAATAATTTTATCAATTAGATGTTAATCGTTGAACGATCATTCCACACTTCCATTCCATAGATCTTACTGGAAGAAAGGGAAACATGCTGAACTACGCACTGAGATCGGGTAGAGCACTGCCTCTACAGCAGCACGGATACAATAATCTTACCAACAAGATCAAGCCTTCTTGTGGCGTGAGATTTGCATCATCATCTCAATCTCAGGATAACAACAAGGATCCAAAGTCCAAAACCTCGTGAGATTGCTATGTTATTGCTTTTTGAGAAATCACGAGATTTTAGATCATTAAGTTGTGTGTTTTGTTTTGTTTTGATTTGGGTATTTGGTTATTTATTAGGGATACCATGTCTTCATTTGGGGAAGGATACACAACAAGGTCTGAGGAAGAGGGATTTGGTGGAATCCATGGCGGAAACCAATCCCCTAATAATAGTGAAAAGAATTCGTCTACAGCAGGTGGTACTACAAACATCCTAACTTATTTTTGCAGTTAGTTGTATTTTGTAATGATGTGTTTTAATTGGCAATCATGATTTGATTTCATGAAACAGAATTTGACGAGAGTCAAGGGAGTGATGTGAAAGAGAAAGAAACATCTAGACACCAGACCAAGACAACACAATCCTAAACGGCTACCTACATTATTATAATCTTTTTTTTTTAATTATTTTTTATGTAATAATGACGCGCCGCTACGACGCACGTATCATATTTCTTTCGAGTTATTTGTGGTTTATTTTAAGAGAGACTCATAATTGCCTTCAAATTAACTACTATAATAATGCAACTGGTTGAAATTGAAAAATAAACATACCTGTACGGTGTTTATGGATGCCACAATTCCATTGCTCCTTCATGGCAATGATCACCATGCTCTGGGCCATGTGACGAAGGCTCTTTAAAGAGGAGTGGGGCTACAATGGCTGCTCTGGGATATCTATCATTTCTGGTTACCACGTCAGTGATCTTATCTTTGATGCACTTCTCCACTGCGTCGCTTGCATTTTCATCCAACTTTAACCCAAGAAGAGACAGACAGTCTTCTTGGAATTTCTTGTCCTCTGAGGACAATATCAGCCCTGAAATTGTCTTGGCCAGATCAGGTGCATAGCTGCAAATCTGTACCAATTTCGCCATCAGAAGATCAATTACTATTAACAATTCTTGAAAGCCATAGTGCTGATACTGTTTTAGACATGGGATAAATATACCTTGGCTGCGTGCTGACTGAGCAAAACTTCACCACTCTTCTCCTTCAGATCGTTCAATGCAAGCTTGACAGCTCTGGTGGTAAGATATTTGTCCCTTGTGTTCTTTCTTGCCAGAGGCTGCATCAATGCTGTGTCTGCAAGTTGAGGAAGAGCAAATGGAGATATGATATGATGGGATGTGTAAAATATTTCCAGGAATTTTGAGGATATTGTTCACTATATCTGTGGAGCACAATATCAATGTGAACGCCTGGTGGCAAGTTCTCCCATTCGACTAAAGTGGCACCATCTTGATCTTCAAAACTCTTTAAAGCCAACCCATATTTTTTCCAGTCGAAGCTGGACAAAGCCTCTAGGCATGACTGGGATATTGAGCAGTGGGAGAAATCTCTGAAGTACAAGACCTGAATGCAAGTAATTATTACAAAAGATTTAAGATATTCAGTAAGGAAGAAACTTCCGATTGGGATTGAGTGTGGGCGTAGATAATGGAAGCAATGAACCTCTGTCTTTTGGCTGCATAGATCGAGGCAGGAGGGCTGAGCAGGTATTGATAGCTCACTAATGATAATCACAACTTCCATAACTTGTTCGCCACATCGTTTGCGATATGGACTGCAAGCTATTCCAGCACCAACTTTGGGATCCTTGCTGAAAGATTTCTCGAGATCAAAGCAAGTTATGATGTATTCCAAAAATATACAAAGAAACCAAATCAACATTAAATTGTGATCAATGGAGAGAACCCTATAGAAAGTAACTCACAGATTGTCAAGATGTGATCAACAAAGGAAAGGACCATGTTGTATCTCATTTTATGCAATGTTCAGGTATTGAGTAAAGGTATATAACACCTAGAAGTATTAGTGTATTGGTCTTGAAAGGAGAATGCAGGTAGAAAGCCAAGCTGCAACGGTAGTCATTTAAATACATTTTCAAGGAAAGAAGGAATGAAACAACTTCAACATTAATTACAAAATAATGCACCAATCTTCCTTCCTAGCGATCAATAAACAACCTAGTAATAATGTAGAATATGAGAAAACATGTAGCTGTAGCAAAGATGAGAGATTTTTAAGGACTGAAGCTCATAGAGAAATGCTACATGCATACTCACTTACAATATATTGCCAGAAGTAATAGGAAAGAATCATGCAATGAAAGATAAAACTGCAGTCATGAAAAAGCATTCAACTCCTACTAAAGTATCAAAATGCACACTGGGGATCTACAGATCTTGATTGACATGAGTGTGACGAAATAACATTTGTTAAACTTAGAAGAAAACTGAAAAATAGACCTACCCAGTTGAGAAGCAAGATTGGCAAGCTTCAATCAGTCTGTTGCCATGCTTGGAGACATAATCCAGAAATGCCAACTTCAGTTGCTCGATATTATTCGTTGTATCCATAGGCATGTCACTGCATGCACCTTGCAGAATAATGCTTTTACACCCTGATTCCTCATTGCCACCAGCTATAACAGAAAATTCAGCTGCAATCTTCTGAAGGAAAACAAGAACGGCTGAGAAGGCATTAGATATCGAATTCGACCAATACCCAAGTTATGTCAATAATTTCATTTCTCAAATGATATCATTTATGTCTTTAAGTACTGAAAAACTACCAGTATGATGATTTTCACCAAGTTGACCCTAATGATACTCAACAGCAAAAATCATTAATACTTTTAAGGCTTTGGTGGATGATTTTCTTTGGGCTAATCTTATGGGTTTTTTTAAAGCCAAAAGCCTCATGATATAATGAAAAGAGTGTTCGATAAATGATCCATCTAATAAGGTGTGGTAATATATATTCCAAAATAGCATTTTTGGGTCTTTTATCATGTGGACATTGCCAAGTTGAATCATGTACATCAGAAGAATCAGTTAGTTCAATCATTATATGAATGAACATCTTATGTATTAGTATGATGGGTGCATGACTTTAGTGGAGAATAGATTCTGGTCACCTAATTTCGAGGTCAATGCTACCTGTAATTGAACTTCAGAAACTGTTCAAAACAATATGAAGATTAAAAAGAGTAAAACTTACCGCCGTTTTCAGAATAAGCATCTGGGGAAACAAAAAAGTAAATGGATTGAGTATCCAACAAATTATTTCAATAAGCCACCTATCAATAATACAGACATATTGACAAAGAATGAAACCTTCCGAATAACTTCTGATAACATTATTACTAGGCTACCATTCTCTTCAAACAATGACAATGATACTTCAGTTCCACTGCACAAAAATAACAAGGTTAATACATAGTGTCAGAATGATTGTGGAAAGCAACTTCTATATTCATAAAAAAGAGCATGACGGATTGCCTGTAATTTGCACCAATCTTTGTCATTGATGGTAGTCTCACCAGTCTTTTTGATGCTTCAACCTCTTTCATGTCGTACTTAAGGAGATGTATTTCTTTATCAGATATGCCTTCAGCAGAAGCCATAATTCGATTCTATCAATGACTAAGGAGATGCATAACCAAAATGTTCCTAAGCTCAACTTTAATTTCCAAGCAAGTTCTTGAAACTTAGTTTTTATAAGACTCAGCTAAGAAATAAAGGAAAAATGACTTTGAAATGTAACTTACTTGTGGTAACAACACAAAGAATTCCATCTGCAACAAGTGATTAAGAACTCAGTACATGATTGACACATAATCTTGAAGATACTGCTTAACATCAGATTGGGAGCAATAAAAGCACTGTTTACATAGGAGTTTTGGAAATAGTAAAAATCTGAATGAAAATAGGTATTTGATGTGATGTAGATAGATGTTAGACGTAATAACTTGTATAGAAAATAAGTTTTTAGTTTAATTTATGTACACAAGAATCCAGATTGTACTAAGGCCATAGTAATAATACTACTACTATAAATCTTCTACACGGCCACAACTTATGAACATAATAATATCAAATCAGCTTGTCAGCAGTAAATGGTTTTTGCTCCAAATAAAAAGTATCTAACTGACAGACTAAAACTCCCCAAAGAATGGCAGTCATATCAACTCAGTTATACACAAATATTTGAATTATAGCACAAATATGTCCATCCATAAGCTCTAATTACCAAAAAAATTCAAGCTGCAAGTAAAACTTCCAAGTTGCAATGAAATAAGTGCAAGGGTACTTCAATTGAGAAAAAGTGCGCGAGTAATAAGTAAAATAGAATGATTAAAAAAGTTTGGCTAGCCATCAATGCATCACAATACAACCAAAAATGAGCAGCTGCATCTGTTACAAATCAGGCCACACAAAAAATGTGTTTGCAATTTACCACCGTAGCTTCTAATCAGTTCTTCTATCACGAGTGTGGATTTTTGTACAACACAACCAGGAGTAAAGAACGTTTTACCCCATTTGTTCATAAAAAAGGGATTATTGGAGCATTTGAACGTCTGAAATTCCTCCAAGGTGCTCCCAATGCCTGTATCAGAAACTGTTGCACAGAAAACACGAAAAGAAAATTCATAAAATGTCCGAAGTTACTGCTGTCATGCACATTCATAGTTATACATTGAAACCCAAAATCCAGCGGTTATGTGCAGTTCCTCATTTCTGGTGATCCTTAGGATCCTTTTTCCGCTCAAAATGATACCAGTTAAAAGAATGCATGCGCGCGCGCGCACACACACACACAGAGACAACAAGACAGCAGAGTTTGGCCATTGAAGGTTATAGTTGAAGATTTCAAAGATGGACTCTAGAAAGCATCGGAATCCAGATCTGTTGAGATAATGAGATATTTACAATATGTTAACGTAAACATTTCTATTCATTGCTTGACCATCAGTATGATCTAATTTTACGTTGCAGCATTTGCATTTGCATTTCCTATTAACAAATGCCGCAGTTATTATGCGTTCCATCAGTTCACATTGGTATATCTAAAGCAACACTGAAATTGTCTTACGTGCCTGAGAATCGAACTAGAGGAGGCGCAGGTGTGAGAGAAACCGATAATCTGCAGACATCGTCTAACAGCCTGCATCTCCGCAACGCACAATAAATCAACTGCAAGTAGAAAATTATTGCAAACCAAATAAGCTAAACAACCAATTTGTAGAAGTAGTAGTGACATTCAACACCGATCCTATGAAACCAGTAAATCTCCAAATAAGAAAAAAAAACAGAAAAAAGCGCTGATGATCTTAGGCAATGAAATCTTCAGAAACGTCGAAACGAAAGTGAACAACAAGTTAACTCACGAATTTGCAGAGCGATTCCACGGAATCCATATCTATCTGGAGAGAGTTCCCGCTCAAACCGACCTCAAAGCACGCAGAAAAGCAACCTCATACATATATAGATATCGGCACCAAACGGAACATACAATAAATGGCTATACAAAGTTTATTTATTAGTTTTCGTTTTTTTATTATTTAAGAAACTTTGACATCATCCCCGCAACGCCCACCCACCACCGACTTAACTCAAACTGACTGCGCTGTAGCGTTAGACCATTTTTTGCTATAATTATAATGCACACTACGTAATGGCTCCGCAAAATCACGCATATATTGACTGTAAGCCTGCAGAAGCTCAACAAACACGCCAATGCAACTTTCATTTTCCGCTTAAAAAAGGTGCCAGCCACCGATTAGCCGGAGTAGCTACTATTCCTGCAGATCTGCTATATACGTGCTTCTTGTTCCATATTTGGATTTGGACGTAACCTGGATCTTCTTTTCCTCTTGGTATCGGCGCCGAGGTGAACATTTATGCGTTACTCCTTTTCCTTCAGTTTCTTGTTCTCTTTCGATTGGCGAATTTTCATTTCTTCTGCGATTTGGTTGATCGTATCATGTTCAGCTTGCAGCACCAGCACTCATTCTACAATTTCGATTTTTTTATTTTTTACAATCCGCAGTGGATTGTATTGGAATCACTTTTGGCTAATTGATAATCAGTTGAAGTTGAAAACATTCACAACCATGTTTAAGAAGAGATCGCAGAATCATCATGACACGGATGCTGCAGAACGAGAAGCTAAGGTACCGCGCGCTAAAATCAATGTTCAGTTAGGGGATAAACCACAAGAACAACATGCGAACATCTTTTTTTTTTTTTTTCTCTCTCTTTTCAATTGAGTTTTCATAGAAAAACAAATCAATTCGTTAGACTGAACCCCAAAATCCAAATACCAGACCTGCAATTAATTGCATAAACTCTAGGAATTAAGGTTGCTGGTGATTTAAGATAACAAGAGACGAATTATCATCCAAAGGCGTATACCTATCACATCCATCCTCCAACCTGATGTAGGGCAGGTTCAACACTGAAAGGGACCTTTCTTGTTGCAGGTTAGGCTATTGAGGGAATCCATTGGACCACTTTCCGGTCGAAGCTTCAAGTTCTGCACTGATGCATGCCTAAGGAGATATTTAGAAGCAAGGAATTGGAATACTAGCAAAGCTCAAAAAATGCTGGAGGAGACCTTGAAGTGGAGGGCAGAATACAAACCAGAAGAAATACGTTGGGTGAGTGCATAATACACAGACACAGACACACACACATCTATATATATATGAATTACTCACCAGCAACTGCTCACAGCGCCATTGATTTTTCACAAATGTCTTTATTCAGCACCAAGTTGAACATGAAGGAGAGACAGGGAAGGCTTACAAGGCTAATTTCTGCGACCGACAGGGGAGAGTTGTTCTCATCCTGAGGCCGGGGAAGCAGGTCAGTCTTCAGATTTTTCTACCGCAAATCGTGTTTCATTTTGATCAAGCGCGCATGTTTCCGAATGATGCAGAACACAAACTCCCATGAGGGCAATATTCGCCATCTTGTGTACAGAATGGAGAATGCGATTCTCAATCTGCCCGAGGGACAAGGGCAAATGACATGGCTCATAGACTTCTCCGGATGGTCATTGAACAACAACATTCCCATTAAGACCGCCCGTGAAATCACCAATATTCTGCAGAATCACTATCCCGAAAGACTTGCAATAGCTATTCTCTACAATCCCCCAAAATTCTTCGAGGCGTTTTGGAAGGTACAAGCTCTCTACCATCTTCATTTCGCCTCTCTCTGCTCTCTTGCATTTCAAATAAAAGTGTAATGAAATTCTACAGGTTGTGAAGATATTCGTGGATCAGAAAACGCATCAGAAACTAAGGTTCATTTACCCGAATAGCAAAGATAGCCAGGAGATAATGATGAGCTTGTTCGACAAGGAGAACCTTCCCAAGGAGTTTGGTGGAAAAGCTACACTGGAATACGACCATGAAGAATCTTCCAGATTAATGGCTCAGGATGACGTCAAGACTGCAATGTTCTGGGGATTAGACAGCGATGAGGCCAATGGAAAGCACAAGAGCCCCGCGCCACCTGCAACCTAACTATCAAAAAAATATGAAATGTTCACTAGCTACAATTCAAATGTCAAACTCCGATAATGGCAAAGACCGAGTAATTTGGAATTACATTAAGTACTTTATACAGCCATTCTCTTCTTATTCATGATATAAACAAGAATGTCGCTGTAATAATAGCATTATCGAGCAAGTCTACTTTCTCGACTTAGAAATGAAGACACCGAAAATGGATTCTCTACTGAAACAAATGATGATAGGAGAGCATACAATAGTTTCGAGTTCATAAATACAAGAGAGACAGCACAGAAGAAGAACCAAAACATGTACTATACAGATTATTCGGTAGATGAAAGTTGCAACCCGTTCAAAGCTCGCTAGAATAAAGGCACTCGTCAACTAGTTGGCGAAGGTTTGGATTCTCTAATGCTGCGGCGACTCTCTCTTTGTCGTTTAACTGCTTGTTAACTGCAGAAGATAGATAACACACAAGTATCAAATATGTTTAGATAATTACTGCTTCATCCGCCAAATTTATATTTATTTTCCATTAACGTCAATTCACCGAAATTATGCTAATACCTTTAATAGCAACCACAATTTTCATTCACCAAAATATTATAACGAATTTTCCAAAATATCCCCGCATAAAATTTTACTTTTACATTGAAATACTATTATGCAAGTATATTTTTAGCACATGGCGGAAGTCTAACTTAAGGAAACTAAGCAGAAGCCATTTTGAAAACCACCCTTTTAGAGTATATTCCTATCTTGTCTTGAAAAATATAGTAGGGAACGAGAATTAATAATATATGGATAGATAAGTTTTCGACAAGTCACCTGATTCCTCGTTTGCATGCGATCCGGGAGCCACTTTTATGTCTACCTGTAAATTCATATCCATTAACCAAGAAACTATTAAATGCTTGCTGCTAAATCCGAATTCACTTCAACGAGCAATTAGAGAAATCTCTTATCATATTCAACTGGCACTTTCAGCGTAAAATAGAATAAGAGAACAGACATATAAACATCGTACGGCAGACAATATTGTTGAAAAGCACAACAGCAAGCTCATTGCAAAATTTCAAAGTTCGGAACTTTGCGTGCGCAATTGTAAACAAATTAGCTGGGGTGATCTTCTCTATTATTAGAAGGCTGTTGTTGAACTGTTTATTTTGTGACAAAAAAAAAAAAAATCCTATTTAAACAACAAACAAGCAGCAGCTATTTACATGTTACAACCACACAAGAACACAACTTCGAGAAACTTCACTACCTCTCCGAGGTACCCTGGAAGCCCTGGAATCTACTTCTAATTCAAGGCTTATAATGATATTTATTGAATCTAGAAATATAATTCATCCAGAAAAAATATCAGTATGCAATGATGATCCACCCAAAGAAAGAACTCACATACACAAACCTTGTAATGTGGGGGAAAGCAATCCTTCAACTTCTCTCTCAAGCACAAGCCGATCACCGTCGCCATGCTACAGTGCTGGATGGTTGGAGTAAAAGTTATCCTACAAATCAACACAACCTTATCAACCCTAAAACCATCGCTCACTATATATATATATATATATATATATAGAGAGAGAGAGAGAGAGAGAGAGAGAGAGAGAGAGAGAGAGAGAGAATCACTGACAGAATGCGGCCGAGCTTCTCGTCAACGGTAATGGACTCCTCAGAAAGCACGCTGAGCTGTTCCAGGGAATAGGGGTGCTCCGGATCTCTTATGTCCTTCACGTAGTGTACTCATCGCCGGTCAAGGATCGCAAGTTAATTCCAAAATCAAAATCAATCGAAGCCTTCAATTTCAAACACGAAACCAAAAAAACGTATAATCTTAACCTAGAAAAAACTACTCTCGGGAGGGGGAAAAGGATATCATAGATTTCGAGGGGATCGACGGCGTCGTCGGTGTGAGGGTCGTCGGTACGGACGACTCTTTCCTTCTTGGCGTGGACCACCGGATTGGCGTTGATCAGACCCAGCGTCATCTCCACCGCCGCTCTCTAGAAATCGCAGCCGAATGACGACGGACTGTGCGGTGCGGTGCTGTGCCCTTTGAGATGCGAGTAGAGAGAAAACGACAAAAAATTGTCCCCGCAGGAGGAGGTTGGAAATGGGAATCCGTGTGCTGGGTGCAGTGGTTTGAAATACGGAAAGTAGGAAGTCGATAGCAGTTCACTGTACACACAAATGGGCGGAGGGATGGCTAATTCAAGAGTGGAGAATTCTTCACTCTTTCCAACTCCAACTATTTGTATTTATTAGTAGTAGTTAAACAAGTGGGATGATTGATGTTTATTTTCAGGCAAGTTTCTATGGAACATGATGAAGAGGGAGCAGATATAGCTTCTTTCTATCTATCTATCTGCTTTGCTGTCTTTCTGTTAAGAATTCTTTGTCTTCTTCACCTTACCATATATTGTAGTATATATAATTATATTTCAATATGGCGGCAACGAAGAACCCTTCGTCTGGAAACAACCAGAGCTGTGGTTTTTAAATATATATATATATATCTCTATATGATTAGTATTGTAACATTCTTAGCCACTAGGGCACAATTCGTACACAATTCATTTGGGATAGGATAACTAAACCCAAATCATATATATATATACATATTTAAAAACAACCATATTAAATACTTCATTGGTTCACTAATATATCTCTTCCTTCACAAATTATAAAGCTTATATGAGCTTACATGTCACATAAAATAATAATATTTGAAGAGTATATAAGTGAACTAATAATAGATGACTTGAATGTAGAGAGTTGTAGCATATTTATAAATAAATATAATATTAGAAAATATAGAAAACCCATTTTTGGTAGTCACACAAGAAAAGCAAGATACATATATAAACACAAACAAATCATAAAGTGATTTCACATAGCAATTTCAACCCTTTTCCCTATGCAAAATTCTTAAAACCAAAACACAGATGGATATATAGTTGTACGGAAATGTCAAAATAGAAGAGCTCCATCTACATAACAAATGGAACTAAACTGAGTGATGTATAGTCACTCCCACACAAATTTCTGAACACAGATATGGAATGCAGAGTCATGAATGGTTTGCTCTCTATTATGGACTTGAAAACCATTTGCATCATGCCATTATCCTATGCTACACATACACTCCTCAAAGCATGAATCGGTAAAAAGTCGAAAAATATGCTGACAATAACCAACACCAGGAAAATAGTTCGACCGAAACAAGAATGCATCTTCTTGCCACATTGAGAAGTAGATGCTAATGTTACCTGAAGAGTTGGAAGCATCTTTCCCGGTTACTTCGACCTCTTCCCCTCCTTTTTCTTGATAACTTCATCGGTGTACATTATACCTTTTCCCTTGTAAACTTCGGGTGGTTTACAGCTGCGGACAGCTGCTGCAAATTGATGCACCCTTTCCTTATCAATTCCAGTGCAGCACACGACATTGTTCTTGAAGCAAAATACACGAACTGCGGGAGGTACCGTCAATTCAACCTCGTGGCTGTAACCAAGTTTGAGGTACAAGAGCCGGCCTTCTGCTTCAGCTCTAGCTTTGAAACCGACTCCGACAATCTTGAGGAAGCGGAAGAATTTGGCTTCCATTGTATGAAGAACTAATGTAGACTGATATCAGGATGCAGCTTAACCTAAGTCCAAAGTAAGCAAAATCTTAGAACACAAAATGCAGTTGATGCACATAATATAAACAAATTTGAAAGGCCTGCTGAGGTAAGAATCAAATGAGATTTTTGAAAAGGATTATTATATGTTTCTGATGCAGATCTTAAAAAGCATAGAAATTAAAATTGATACAATTTACATTTTGCAATCAGTAACCAAAACGTAACGGCTAATCTCTTCCTGAAATCACAACCAGATAAAAACACTAAATAGCCATATTTGTATCGATTTTGAAAGAAATCATCACAAATATAAAAATCAAAATCGCCATACATTCAGACATCTCCGGAAGCCTCAGACACATTTCTTGAGAGAACGCAGAGCTCATTAACAGAACGTAAGGAGGCAGTCACAATCCAAAAATCCATCAACACAAAATGAGCCATCTATTTATCATCAATTTCTTATTCAAGAAACTTGAAATGGTAAAATAGAATCACATATAGATAATTACCCAAAGCAGCTCGAAAGCGGCAGTCTTCCGAGCCAGACGGAATCGCAGCCGGAAGCAACGGAAGCACGCAGTTCCCAGTTCGCGCACCAGAGAGGCCTAGGCCAGATCACAAATACAGTACATCAGTTCCCAGTTCGCGCACCAGAGAGGCCTAGGCCAGATCACAAATACAGTACATCTGGGCTGGACCTTAAGTTTGGGCCTACAGGCCCACTGATAAAAATAAAATTAAAATTAAAAAAGGTCCCACCGAGATTTGAACTCGGGTTACTGGATTCAGAGTCCAATGTCCTGACCACTAGACCATGGGACCTTTGCGTTGGTAAGTTTATAAATTTAATAAATATCACTAAATTAACATCTTTAAGCATTTTTATAAACCCTGAAAAGCTAACGAAAAACGTTAACAAAGCTCGAGTTCGTCTTGTAATTAAGCCAGCTTGATAAATGCTCAAGATGAATTTGAACATAAGATGCCCCAGATCTAATAACAGCTCTACTTTGGGCAGCTTACATCTATTAATGATTATGCATAAGGTTCTTTTGAAATTAATTTCAGCTTTTTTACTATACAATCTAGTAATTTCTATATATATTTACCAAAATATTACATTAAAATCCAAAAAGAAAAGGAGAAGAAATTAATAATAATAATAAAGTCGCTATTAAAAATGAATTGGAATTTTCAAACTAAAATTAATTGGTAATAAATAGAGAAAACTATCACCTTTCTAAACCAGAGAATTCCCACATCATATTCAATGGGAGATAATATTTAACCATAGGTTTGGTTCTTTTGTTTTTCTTTTTTGTTCTTTTACTATTCATCTATCATATTCCTCAATTAAAAAATATATATATATAAATATCTTTACAAAACATTGTATGAAATTAATATTTAAATAATATAACCAAAACAAAAACACAAAAAAATAAAAATAAATAAATAATTACTCAAAGCTTTTTTATATATTTTTAAGATGTAAAGAAAGGATCTCCTCCAACGCCAATCCCACAAACTTGAGATATAAAAATAGTGAGGCAGAGAAGACAAATTACATTCACTGGGCAACATATAGTAAACAAGTTGATGTCCATGCAACTCATAATTACAAGTAACTAAGAGACATTTTTAGAAAGGAATTGTACCTGTGCACCAAGAGGTACAGGAAACAGACCATAAACACAATTATCCATCACTACAGTTATAACATTGGTGCTTTGATGGAGCTGTCGAACATTTCGAAGAACAATTGTTAGAATCAATGGATGAGGACCATATCTGGAAATCCAAAAAAGTTAGAAGAACTGCAAAATAGATTTTAAAGTTCTAATCTGCTGCAAAAGGATAAAAACAAGTAGCTTGTCAAATAAAAGGGGATAAGGTACCTCAAATGTGTCTCGGTAAGAGACCTACTGCATATGGCCTCTCAACCACAAGTGCGGCAAGAGGTTCCGACCATCAAACCCTGCCTTCTTGAAGAAGCTTCCCGTATTATATTATCCTGAGGACAATGTAAACATATTTTTAGCACTGCCGAGATTGGTAGAAAACACTAAACTGTTACAATTAGAGGCATCGCATTTAGCAGATATACCTGTTAAAACTAATACGATCAATAATTCAAACATATAGGCCATAAATGATATCATCTGGTCATTTGCCAAGGATTACTAGATTTTACATTTCTTATTTGTAGTATCCCATTCCAACTACTCCATGCTTAAACAGTTTTACAAGATCCAAATTCCAACTCAAACTAGATTATTCTATGAAAATACGTTTGTCTAGTAAATTAATGTTTATACTCATTTTCTTCATTCGATTACCTCAGAGCACAAAGCAGATATCTAATAAAGTTCATTTATTTTCAGCATGGTTTCCTATAGAGGAAGAATATCATAGCTTACCGCCACTAGAACATGTTACTTAAGTTAGAGACAGAGCACTGTGAAACACCATCTAGGCCATGCTTACACAAGGAAAGTGAAACTGAAGAACATAAAGTTTATTAATGAGTAGTTGTTTTTTTTGTTTATATCTACATAAAATGTTAATTATAACTCAAACAAGCACGACAGGAATACTCAACTTGACAGACTCAGTGTTAAAAATGCTTCAACAGTTCATCTCGACAGACTGATAGGAACTGTAAACAGAATGTGCAGCAAAGTATCTTTAACATAATCGTAAGTATGAGATGAAAAGGAAACTAATGACCTTTTCCAGAAGACGCTCTCCAGATGGCAGAGACACAACCAAAGGTGCAGCAATCTTCCCCATCGGAAACAATTCTGTTAATATACACCATTTGTTGCATTCAATATTACATACTCCCTACAGATCCCCAAACATATATTCTCACTGCACCACCAACATCTTTTACTATTGTGGTTTCCTCCCTAGCCACATTCCTTGCGAAGTCCATAATACCCTGACTTGAAAACAGCAATGTAGGCTGGAGACACTGTCAAATATCAAACAAATTTGGAGGGTTTGGGTAGTAGTCATTGTTCCTTTTGGCATGACCATTGGTGTAACGCCCAACCACTTGCATTTTCTATTGAGGGTAGGCACTCACATATCTTATTGAACCAGGTTTTATGCAATAAAGAATATTATCTATCTCTCTTGGAATCATTCGTTCCCAATCATTTTGTGGATTTGAGCCTATTGAGTTTTGCATTTGGATTCTAGATTTGGAAACTCTATCTCCAGTCACTTTTCTGTGAAGTCAGCGTAGGTATTCCTTCCATGTGCTCATACTCTTAGTCACTTTTTCGAGACACTTGGTCACTCTTCTTTCTCACGTAGTTTGAATTTACGCAAGATCAATATAAAGATGGAAAAGTATTAATAAATATATATAAAGTATTGGGGTAAATTATAGATTACTCTTTTCAGAAATGTCAGTATGTCCTTAACTATCAATAACCTTAAGAGTAAATGTAATGTAAATGCTGCTGGCTGAACCAGCCAAATGGGGAAGTGCATTGTACCTTAATGCAGCTACCAAATAATGGCATGTTAAATAACGCAGAGTGCTCCAGGATGCAATTATGCCATCAGACTGCACACTAATACTTTATCAATATTGGCAAACAAGAGTATAGTTCAGCCAAGCACTGGAAGATCCAGTTGAGCAACTGTTCTCTCGGAAGTTCCAAAAGTAGTTCAGCCTGACCACAAGAAACGGAAGGTTTTAAATAGGGAAAACATTAAGCAGATACATGGCAGAACTTTTGTCAATTTTAACAAACCAAAAAGTAAGTGCTGCTATACCTTGATATATCCACCCTCAAACACAAGAGAAGTTTGGTGTACTTCAGAGACCAATGACTCAATCATCAGCTCGAAAACCTTACGAGTCATGTTTGATTTCATGCAGACAGTCTTCCCAGAAGCATATATTTGTGTTATTCCCAAGTCTGCAGCCATTCTCCTGACGTATAGTTTCTTTAGCAGAATTTCCATGGAGTAAGGCTCTTTTCCATGTTGACGCCGAAGATTTTCCGTAAACTGCATTAGATTCCATATGTCTTTCTCAGCAGCTTTCTCAGCTTCTCTGATTGTTTCCAAAGGATTTTCCAGATACTTAATGTATTCAGAAGGGAGATGAGGGCTCAGATTCATTTCGAACTGCAGAAAAAGCAAGATAAGAGAAGCTAAGATATCATTTACTTTCTTGCATGCATCACTGAAGGAAAGGTTTATAGGGAACAGTATGCAAACAAAATGCAAGTATAAAATCATCATAAATGACATTTTGGTACCTAACTTCAGTTTTAGCACTACAGTGGAATAGAACAAGAAGGTGAAATGTGGTTGCATCAGTTTCAATTAGTGTAGCTTTAACACAAGAACCCCAACATCTTGATTAAAGTTTCAAAGCTAAAATTGCATGCAAAATTTTTTATTTGCACAATAGTAGTTTTTGACTTGAACCCCAACAATCAGTTATAGACAGAACTCCAAGTAAAAACCAAAGTTTCTTATTTAGAAATTTTCTGTATTCAACTTTTTCTTTGAGATAATTGTCAAACATTGTGCAAAAATTTAAACATAGCTTGGGCTTGCATTGCCTTAAAAATTCTCTGCGCTAATTTTTCATGCTATCAGGTGGCAAGGCTGAACAATATCTCACCCTATAAACTCCAGTTATTCAAACGTGACTTTATATCAATATATACATATATATATGTAAGTATGAACATTTTCTAGTCCCATGTTAATCTTCAAAACACTGGAAAAGAGCACATACGTCAGAATCGAAATGCATGAGCACCACCAATCCTATATCACAAACGTAGCAGTGAGTTGATGCCATTAAAGAACAAGTATATTTAGCATCATTCAATAATTATAGCTTTTTTGTCCCAAGATAGTGATGCCAAGTTTATTGCCTAAACAATGCAAGATTCATGCAATATCTCTGGGTAATTCAAGTTCATAAACAATAGCAGACAATCATAAACTGAATTCCAAGAATTTCAATTGTGGAAACATAAAAACTTTACAGTTAAGTCAACCTCTACAATAAGATCATGTTACCCAAAAAAACAAAAAAAAAAAATAACACACCTGCACTGATTGGTAAGGAACAGATACCACACGGTGTTCATCCACCTGCAAATTCCAAAGCACTAATCCGTTGATTGAAAGGAAAATTACTCGTAATGTTTACTTAACTAGTATAAATTGCAGCGATTTGTGAAGGTAATCACCAAATTCAGTCCATAAAATATATCTGTACTAAGATTAATATAACCATGGAACAGTATGCGATTCAACAAATGTGATAAGATGGATCTTGGATGCTTTGTCTTCTTGGAAGATGAATTTCAATAAAAAAAAAAAAAAGGTCTCTCAATTGAAAAATTCCCTCATCATTTTCCAACATATTCCTCATAGTGCAAATGATGTGGATTATTTTGGTAAACGTTTAGAAAAGGAAACATAAAACTATCTTCCTGGTTGTAGTGCAAATGAGTTTATTAAACTATCTCCTGCTCTCCTTTTAATAAAAATTTCTTCTACTCTACAAAAACAAAAGGTTATATCAGATCTAATTTGATTTTTATCGTGATAAAAACATTTATATAAATTCTAATTTGGTTTCCAATAAAACAATCTAATGGAGCCCACATACCTTGGAAAGGCTTTCAAAGAGCATTTCAAAGAAAAGATCAATTCCCACATTGCCAACATCCCCTGTTTGTTGCTCACCAAATATGTTACCAAAGCCTCTGATGGCCATGTCTCTTTCGGCAAGTTGAAATCCTTGGCCAAGTTCTCGGCATTCTTCTAGAGCAGCAAGCCTCTCCTAATGATCCAGATAAGTGATTATATGTAAACAGAATAGGAATACAACAGAACTATGAATTTAATAGTAACAATGTGGATACCACCTAGACATTATAAGCCCGCATACATTATTTTAATAAATGGTTTGAAATGGTACTTGGACAAGTTAAATTGAACATACTAGTGCCTGATCAGAAAGCAATGATTTATCCGGATAAAACAGGTACGCATGAGCCTCTTTATCTGCCCGTCCCACTCTTCCACGTAACTACACAAAGAAGTATATAAACATTAAAGAGTTATCCAGCAAAAGAGAATTAAATCACTAATCAGAACAATTGAGAGGTAACAAGCATAAGAAATTTTGTTCACCCTTGCTTAGCTTGACTCGACTGGGCCAAGCTCTATAGTGCACTGTATGCTTATATTAGAATGGAATTCAGTTTCATAAATAGAATTGTGCCATAGAGTAGTTTATTTGTTCTTGTCAACATGTGAATGCTTAGTTTATGGAGGAATCTTCAACTTTGTGGTGCATCAGGCCCAAGGAAAAATGTGAGACAAAAACTTTCATAAATAAAATCGTGCATCAAAGGGGAAGGAATCCACAAGAATTTGCAGCTTTTGATGGAAAAAAACATGGGTAGAAACAGACTTCTTATTCCAAGATTGTGCACAAAAATAATATCCACAACTGCAAACTTCAACAAAAGATGATGCCAAACTCAAAACACTAAAATAGTGAACAGAGACCTGATACAGCTGTGCAAGGCCAAATTGCTGGACATCTTGAATTATAATGGTGTTTGCATTTTGAATGTCCAGCCCACTTTCAACTATATTTGTGCATATTAATATCTTAATATGGCCTTGCGCAAATTTTTCCATGGTTTCCTCAAGCTCCCGCGAGTATTGCTGCAGAAATGAAACACCAGGTAAATGCTAAAGCTGCTGAGCCAACAATTAAGCAATTGAGATGTACCGTGCAATGATGAGGAGAAACAATACTACTCATGAAAAGTACAGGATCACATTTAGGAGTAAAAACATCCAGTTTATATCACATACCTGGAGATACTTTAAAGTTGAAAACCATAGAAGCTGGAAATGGAGACTATTCTACAAATAGTTGACTATGTTTACAGGGAGGAGCAAAAAATAACTTATAAGTCACACAACAGGGATATGATAGTATGATAAGCCTTGCTGATTTTTAAAGATAAACTATCCTAATTAACTATTATACACTGTCACAATCCAAACATTTTTTCACATGCAAGATTCAATATTCTAAAATGTAACAATACTCTATTATAACATCCACTTAAACTCAAGGTGGCTCAAGTAACTTGTCTGAAAATAAGATCGCTTTGGTCCTGAACAGTATAAAATTGAATCACTTGTGACACCAGATCTTTTTGAAGAAAATAGAATAAATTATTTCATTGTGGAAACATAGTTTACAAGGTAGGAATGCATAGTCTCATCTAATGCGAACAAGGCACTGTATAGAATGAAAACCTTATAACCAAAAAGAGGCTTCCTCACCTCCTCTGGTGGCCCATTTAGCAAAAAAATCAGCAAAGTTGTTTGCATGTCTAAGGGTGAATAGGAAGGAGACATGAGGGCATCGGAAAATGAAGTGCCAAAGCCATTTCATATCAAAGTTGAATTTCAATGTGGCACCAGATCTACTTCAATTTTTAAAAAAATAATAAAAAACATGAAAACGTAAGATTTTTATTGAATGATTGATTATGAGTAGAGACCCCACAACAAATATACTATATTTCTAAAACTACATAGTGAATCTACATAGATAGATATCATTATATCAATATACAAGAGTATTCAAAATAATTGAGTTAATATCTTCAGTAATTGCTCTCTGTTACTTGGAAGCAGAATCAGTGTCTCATCTCTTTCTACGTTGTCCTTGTTGGAATCACTTTTTTACACTTTGGGGCATCCAATGGGATTGCCCTCCAAATGCTGTATCTCTCGCTTATAAGGGACGCAATTATTGTCTTCATTGTTTCTCTTTTAATTGGCAAATGGTATCAGGCAAAATTTCTGGGTGTCGTTGTTCCAATGCCTTTTCTTGCGAACAACCTCCATCAGATCAACCATCCAAAGCTCTCAGCCAATAATCACTTTGGCTTCAAACAATAGGAGACTCCTAATAAAAGGCGCTGGAAGATTAACAGAGACCAATCTGCTTTTGGTAAACCGAGCCCTATTGGCATTGGTGAAGTTATCAGAGATCATTTCGATCATGTTATCTTTATTTGTCAAAATCAAATGGCATTTCAGACTCAAATGAAGCAAAAATCCTTCCAACTATTAACATCCTTGGCCACCTCGTTCAAGGACAGATTAACAACCCTCTCCCTAAAATCATCCTTGAGAACAATTAGCTCCTATCATTGTTCCCGTTGTATCCCCTCGGTATTTTTTTAATCTAATAATATTTTGTTCTTAAAAATATATATCTTCAAAAATGCTGTTTCTTTTGACTTTGTTTTGTTGTTTGGGGTTTTGAAATTTTGAGGTGATATTAAACGTTGGATGTGAGAAAAAGTAATGCACTGCAGATTGAATAGTGTGAACAAGAAACAAAACACAAGCAAATACAGAGCTAATAGTTATAGACAAATTGACCAAATTTAAACCCAAAAAGAAAATTCTCTTTTGAAACATAAATAGTTTTAGATAAAAGACAAAAGTTAAAAAGCCAAAGAGGTTACAATGGCGGTAAGTGTTGAGTACAACCTACATGAAAAATTAGCATAGAATGTACATGCCAGAACAGTGTTATTCAATATTTTCACTAAGCAGACCTTCCTCCAATCAGGAAATAAATCATGACAACCATGAAAATTACAATGAAACTTAACAGCACAAGGATGCTTATAGCATTGTTCAAATTTTAGCATTTTAAAGCAAAGTACATTTACCCAAGAAGCATGAATACACCTTGCATAAAGTACATTTCATCTATGCACATGAACAAGCTACATATCTACGAATAAATTTGAGTATAATAACATTAATCAGACTCCTAAAGAACAAACCTGTCCGTGGGCTATTGCAATTTCAATGTCTGGAAATGATAGTTCCAGAAATTCCATAACCTCTTCAAGCCCTGTAAAGAGTGCATATCTTATGATATATATATACATATATAAGTGTGAGCAGACAAGAGGTTTATCTACTATTGAGATTACCCTTGATACGTGGCAAAACATAAAAAACTTGGCCACCGCGGTTCAACTCATGCCTGATTGCAGATATCACACTCTCTTTTGTATATGCTGAAAGATGAGTTCTTATCGGAACCCTCTCTGGAGGTGGCGTTGATATTAAACTGGGAGAAATAAGAAAAAGAAAATTGTGACATAAGAAGTAATGGCAAACTAATACATCACAAAATAAAATCATGCAAGAGAACATTAATGATTGAAGTGAATTAAAGACATAAACAAGCCTCTAATTGGACGGACTTACTTCATCAGGATTATTACAGCAAGTTTACCAAGCTATGCATTACATGACCACATCAACAATGCACCACAATCAGTGAAACTTATGATCAATAATTTTACTAATGATTCCTTCATATGACTAATGATTTTACTATATTTTAATCATATGCTAGGGTATTTCATGTTAATTTGTGGAGTCCATGTCATTCAACACACAGATTTATATATATATATATTCAGGTGCAGTTGTAAATTAGTCTATTGCTAAAGCACAACTAAATGAAGTCATGATCCATAATGCATGAGTACTTTAGCATTCATATATTAATTGTTAATAAGTAATATATTTGTTAATCAAAATATTATCTCATGGTGACATCAGAACATTAAATTTCTTATATCAGTGGATCGTCGGCCCCAACACCACAACAAAGGATCGCCGCCACCAAAAATTCTAATTTGGCCAAAACCCTAGTACAAAGGAGCCGGGGCCATCATGACGGGGGATCAATTTGAAGGTTCTAAAATCAATACTTAATTATAAAGTCCATCAAGATTGAGACTCTGCCTTCAGTCTCACTTGCCAAACCCAAGCTAGCTTCTCCGATACCATATTAAGTTTGAAGGGATGTTAGATATATATTAGATAGATATTTTCATTACGAATGAATAACTCAGAAATTTTCCCAAAATATAACATATATGTTTAGAATAAATCCTCCCAAAATGTAAAAAATATGTTTTTGAATGAAATAGATAAATTGAATGGTACAAAAGCGGAATAAAAACACAAGCAAGAAAACCCCATGATTCTATGAAATTGGTTCTAGCAAAAGGCTTTTACTCCTAATAGAATCCGGTTCTTTTTTTCTTTTTCGTTTTCTTTTTTTTTTTTTTCTAACTAGACTTTGTCTATCAATCAATGGATACATAATCAAAATATATACATTAGTATCTTGATGTGGCAAATCCACTTCAAAGAAAGCTGTCTGTAATCATATGCAATTACGACGAGTGGAATTCAGAGATACCATGAACTTATTTATGCCACTTCAAAAAGAGATAGAAAATAGCAGATCCTTCTTTAAGCTAAAAATCCTTCTATTATTCTTCTGCCAGTCCACTTGTGTAGTTGATAGGATCAAGTATGAAAAAAAGGTCAGATTTGTCATTTTATGATTACCTGGCATCACGGAACCCAGTCAATGCTAAATACAGCGTTCGCGGAATAGGTGTAGCTGAAAGTGTGAGCACATCGACTGAAGTTTTAAATGAAGCAATCTTTTCTTTTTGTTTTACGCCAAATCTCTGGAAATCGAAGGGTGATCAATTATTTAAACATCTTCCATGATATTAGTATTACATAATTAAAAGGTACAACTATGTCTATAGTAAAACACAGAAATGTAAAGAAAGCCACTCCCAATGTTCAGATATTCCAAAGTAGTGAACAAACTGCTAGGCAGTCAGATCAAGCAGTAACTCCGGTTGTTCAAGCTTCCATGGATGACATTCTTTAAGTCTAGTTACTGCTAAAAGCTTGTACAGTGCTATTGAAAGTCTACCAAGCGATAGGAGATCACAAGACAGTGGGATCTTATTAAATTTGGCATTCATGACCATAGTTGTAAAAGGTTATGGCATGGCACACCTCATCAAGAAGAATGCATCATAGGCTTAAAATTGTCTTCCTGCTTCTGTCTTGCTTGCTTCTTGCATGCACTACTTGTCCTAATTTTGCCTCAAACACCTACTTTTCCACTCTCACCCACTTGGCTCCTTTATTCCTGTACTCTCACCCACTGAGCTTATTTTTGTTCTCTTTTCTAAAACTATTTTAATCTATAAATCTTTTAGTTTTAGTAAATAAAATTATGGATTCTAATGTGTTAAGTTTGATTCATCGTATAAAAGGATTTTTCATGGAACTAAAGTATACTGCCAAAATTTAAGCCAATCACTAATTCTAACACATCATTCTAAAACTAATTAATATCTAACAGTCAATATTTATACAGTTATTGCTTCGATTCATAACTTCAGGGTTATATATGCAGATTTAAAAGCTGAGTCAAGTCAGAGAAAATAGACCCCTAACAGAGAAAACAGAGAAAGCCAACTCACTATACGAAATGTACGAATGCTATAGACTTCATCCATAAACTTTACAAATAATCCAACCATTTTAATCATTTGCATATAAAATAATATAAGAACTTAAATCAAATTTACAAATCCAACATTGTACGTTGTCCATAATCTTTTAACCCTGGAAAGATACATACCATTTTGTACCACCAAATGAGGGGAACAATCATAAGAATGTCACATACCATTCTATTATTGACAAAATTTTATGATAGTCCATGTTCTTTGAACCCATTTTCATATCCATAAACTTGAAAATGGAGTTGTAATTTATATTAAGAAAAATGAACTATCAAGTCAGCCGAATAATAGAATGCCAATAATGTCCATTTAAAAGACCAACAATGAGGAAGAACTTACATACAGTGTCTTCCCAGAGAGTGTAGGTTAAGCTAACCCTGAAACACTTACTTGGCATGGCACATATCTTAGACATTATAAGTAAGGCTCTAAATGGTTCTATATTAACCAACACAGCAATGTATAGGGTACCAAACATGGAAGTCATATCAAGTACTTCAAACCACAGTGCTAGAAGATATCCTGGACAATAGTGATTTATATTAATAAGTATAAGAGATGATTAAACTGAGTGATTCTTTAACTTCCCGGACATTTGTGTTTTATACTAACCACGAGGAAGAAAATACATATACAGTTTTTTTCTCAGAGGGTCTAGGCATCGCTAACCCCTAAATACTTTCAAACATGGCACATATTCTAAGACATAATGCGAAAACCCATATTCACCAGCACATCCATTTTTAGGTACCAGAACTAGAAGTTCAATCAAGCAATTCAATAGTTGCCCAGTCAGTTGAAGAAACTAATCTGGCACATTAAAGTTCATTGAACTGACTCAACTGAGTCATTCTTTAATATCAGAAGCTTTGCAATGCGCAAGTAGACACCATACTAGATCCTTTTTTTGGCATATAGAGGGGTGGTTCTTCATTTCAAAATTGTAAAAGTGATAATTAGATCTAGTTTGGAACTTATGAAATTATTAATATAATAAAAACACATAGATGGAAGTGGTCAGATAGTTGAAACAGAGAGAAAAGAGAAGTTACCTGCTCTTCATCAACAACAAGCAGACCAAGGTTATTATATACAACACGGTCACCAAGTAGGGAATGAGTCCCTACTATAATATCCAGACTTCCATCTTTAATCATTCGTAGATATACCTCTTTCTCAGACTTCATCTTCATGATTCAACAGAATGGATCCCGTGAAAAATAAGTAAAATATTCAGTATCATTTATATCAAATAATGATACAATAACAAGATCCAATAACTTTGCATTCAAGGTAATAAACCACTATTTAAATAATTGGTGCTACAGATTTGCATAAATCTCAAGCCCTGAGAACAAAATGAAATCCAACCTAAAACCAAAGATCCCATTATAGTGAATCCATATCTGAAACCCTAAAATTAGAAGCCAGTCACACTTCGTACAACTGATCCTAGATACCATAAAAAACCAAAAACAAAACAAACAAACGCCATGCAAGAATCTCGAGCTAATGTTCAACAAAGTCAACCTAAAACCTGAATGCTAAATAATTATAACCATATAAAACATGGTTTATGGACCATAATCAATTAATCAACCAGAAGGCTCAAAGACCAAAACCTGCAACTTCAGATTACATAACACCTATCACAAACAGTAAAAATGATTTGGCTTCTATTAAAAGATTGAGGTGAATAGAAGAATCCAGGAAATGCAATTTAAAAGTTTTATAAAATAACAGTAGCAGTTCACTTACACGTTTGATGCCCTAACTGTACAGAGTGTAAAAGTTTAAAGACATTATAGTTAGCAATAAAGTAATTATCAAGTTAATTTTAGTGAAAAATCTCAATAACCAAACTAGTGTGATTCTCTAAAATTCTAATATCTATTATAAAAACCACAACATGCTTGTAAATAACTCAAACAAATAATCAGGGAAACAAATATGATATGTACAGAAGGAATTTCCTTTTTTGACCAAAACAAGATGTCATGTGCTAAAGTTATTTCTCCACATAAGTCACAATAGGCTAAGAAGCCCCATCTTCATACACTAATGTATTAAAGGAGGCAACAAACTTGGGTAATATGGATAGAGTAAACATAAATGGATTAAGAATTAGAAGAAATCACAGAAGCTGGGAGAGGCAAATTACAGAGCTTAACATTTTTATTACACACCAGCAAAACAATATAAATCTCTCGTACCTGAAACCGACTTAAAAGCCCAACCTTGATATTACAATATCTAGAGAATCTCTCAGAGATAACATCATAATGTTGTTTAGCCAAAACAATTGTAGGAGCTAAAACCATAGCCTGCTTTCCAGCTGAGACCACACAAAATATGGCCCGAAGAGCAACCTCAGTTTTTCCGAAACCAACATCCCCACAAATCAATCGATCCATTGGGTTATGTCCCTCTAGTAAATCCCTTTCAACATCCATAAATGCCTGAGGTAAATGAAAGTAGTGTTAGAAAAAGTGAGCATGACTGTGCCTAGATACGGAATTATGGATATGTGAACACTAAAGTAAGTTACAATCAGAATAAATGCAACTTGAGTGATACATTAAACACACAAAAATCTCCTCAAGGAAACTGAGATAGAATAAAACTTCAATAAAGTAAAAAGCTTTCAAGCATTCCAACAACTTCATCATTTCTAAAACCTATAATACATATATATATATATATATATATTTTTTCATTACCTGTATTTGATCTGGAGTTGGTTGATATGGAAAGTGAGAGGCAAATTCAGCCATAGCAGGATTCTTTGGGTATGGAGGGCGTCTCTGCTTGAGTCTATGCAGGTACAACTCCATCAGGTCAACAACCATTTTCTGGACGGCGATCTTACCCTTTATCCTTCGCCTCTCCCACGCACTAGTATCACTCAATTTGCTTAAACTCTGTGGTTTTTTAGTTTCATTTGGACTGGAAATGACAAAAGGTTAATCATATAGCAATATCTGGCATAGCAAAACATCATAACTCAATTTTACATACAAACAAAAGTATAATATTCAGGAGGAAAAACTTTCATGTGTTCATTTGAAAGATTTTATTTGATTTTTACTATTCACTCAAATCAAATAAATATTTTTCATTTTTTATATTACATAGAAAATGATAATTTTAAACTCAAAACGTATTTATATTAAATCAAACAACTATTTAAATTTAAATTTTTATTATTCAAAATCCAAACCTGTAATACTTTTGCAGAAGAGAACGAAACAAGAAGTGGAAGAAGAACCTACAGATTGTAGCGGTAAAGCATGCGACATGCCTGCTTGACTGGTAGCTTGGCCATTCCATCGGCGTACTCTATAAAGACGTACTCAATTGGCTCGGCGGAAGCTTTGCTTGTATCAAATTTGACACCAACAAATCGTCCAATGCCAACTTTCTTGTGCACGACATAGTCGCCGGAACGGAGTGTATAAGGATCCACCTTCTCGCGCGATGCTCTGTATTTCCTGTCACTGTCGCCCCTAAGTTTCTGCAAACCCCTCTGCTGCTGCTCCTTCACCATCTGAATATACATATCGGCCTCTTCCGACTTCATGGCAGGTCTCTGCGTCGGAGCTTCTCTCTTGCTGTGCTCCCGCCTAATCCTCTCATTGAGCAGAGATATGGCGTCGCGCTGCTCCGACTCAGTTGGAGACGGAGATTTGGAGGGAACGGAAATACCATTTTTATTGAATTCGAACTCACTGAGTGTAACGGCACGGGACCGCGGTGCGGATGATAGAACTCCTCTCACTCTTAACCCCGATTTTATTGAGGATAAGGGAAACCAATGCGTAGCATTGACGCCAAAGCTATTATCCATCCTTGGTATGAAACACGGAGGAGTAGCGGCGACAGCATCAAGGAGGAGGAAGAATCCAGAGTTTCTTGTCAGTTCCATTCCAGTGCTGTTCACCTTATGAATGAATTCCTGCAAGTTTGGAGTTGTTCTTCTTCTTCCGTAGACAGGCGGGATAGTAGAACAGTCGGTTGCGCCCGGCAATCTCTGTTCAGTGTTCCTTAATCCTAAGCTGAACAGGCTTCAGTTTTTCCTCAACTACTTAAAATAGATAGATAAAATATAGAGTATGTAATGCGTGGTGTTGGTGCCTTGGTGGCGCCAGGCTCGGGAGCAGCTAGGAGGACGAGTTCTGCCTGGGGCCGTACCCTGTAGGATTGCAAATAAATAAAAATCGGTAAAAACTGTAAAGTAGTCCAATATAATTCATTATAATCTTCCTATTGTTAGTACTTCGTACTAATATTAAAAATTACCTTTAAAATTTTTATATATTACACAAATATTATTAATCATAGAAAATTATTCATACCATACCCCAAAAACTTCAAAAAATTGATGAAAATAACAAAAATGGATGATGTATATGTAAGAGAATTGACAAATAGCTTATAAGTAGGGAAGTATATTTTTATAACATAAAAACCCACGGCCTCTACCGTTTAAACCTCCGGTCAAACCTATTAGTCTACAAATTAAATCCTATATATCAGGATTTGAATCTATAATCTCTAGATTTTAGTTATATTGAAACAAAGAATTCTCTCGAAATCAAAACAAAACACAAATAAATAAATAAAAATTATAAATTTACAGCAATCAAAATGAAAACAAGTAGGGTATGTAGCGCTCAAAAAGACTGGGACGGTAAGAGATGAATATGGGCAACATACTGAACAATGGATGAGAAGTTTGTTCCAATGGTGTAAAATTATTTTACAACAGATGTAATGCAAGTGAATCCGCAACCAAAGCAAAAAAAAAAAAAAAAACCCCACACTATGGCAAATGGAGGAGAGGGAATCATTGTCGCTGCTGTGTATGTATAAAATGGCCACAGCTTCTTCCCGTGGGAACATAAAATTCTTACAATTTCTATACGCACACCGGAATTGTCGCAATTGATTCTGTTTGTCATCATCTCTTGCGTAGCAACGAGCCCTTGGAGACAGCCTTCATATTCTGCGAATCCCGGAAGCAAACAAAGTGCACGATGGTCTTGCCGTTGGGGTACACGGCAAAGACACTGGTGCCTATTTTTTTGTTGCAGAGTGAGCACATGCTGTCGCCTGTGATCTTCACGGTGTTCTTCCTCTGGCTGAATAGTTCGTCTTTGACCTGCTTTGCAGAAAAAGAAACCATCGAGATTAGCTGGTAATGGAGGGCGAGCAAAATGGATAAATTTCTGAAGTAACAGTTGGTTTTTCGAAGTTCATCTTTTGCGAGAAAGCAGGTATTATAATTGTTAATTACTCTACACGCAAAATTAAATATCGACTGAATATTTTGAAGACAAGAACAATGGGCTATTTATGGAGTGTGCAGATCGTATAGAATAAACATACCTGCAGGTTTTCGCTCTCTCTTAAATTTTTTATAATTGAAAAGTTTCGGTATGCCTCACTGGATTTTCTGAGGAGCGGTCCGAGAAATGGAAGCAAGTTCTGCAATGAAGGATCTTACCATTTTAAATAAATTGGAACATAACGGAAAATATAATAGAGATTATTTTAAATGACATGGTAGTTAAATTACCTTCAATTTAGTTTCCCTCGGAAGCAGTCTGAGGGCCTGTGCCCCATTTATACGGTCCCATCTTCGGCCCAATAAATCAATGACCTTATCAAGCATAATGGTAGAGGTTCCTTCCTCGGCAACATCAATATCAGTTTCGCCGTCACTCTTCCCACTGTCAGTACCACTTTGGCTGATGCGAGTCATTTCTGCACCCTCGATTTCTGCAATTTTCCTAGATAGTCGAGCTCTGCTTTTGGTAGCTCCTGAGCCAAGCTTTGGAACCACAGGGCTCTGATTGGATGTCAAATTATTTATTCTCTTTTCGAAGTTTTTTGTTGTCTTCCGAGGATTCAAATATATTTGCAGTAGAGTCAGGTAAATGTTGCCGTAAGACTTTGCTGAATATTGAAGTCCGGATTCATACACCCGATCACAGTAAGAGAGAGCCAGTTCAGGAACATTAAGCTGTAATGAAAACGAGAAATAGCTGGTTAGTGAAAATAACAAATTACTATAAGAAGAGTGACACCTCCGAGAGGTTAACAACAACCCCAAAAAAGAAAAAAGAAAAAGAAAAAGAAAGAAAGGAAAAGGCACCAGAAGTTGGAATGTAATTTTTCACTCACAGGAGCCAAAAGGAAATTAGGAACATATATTTATATGGATATATATATATATATATAGATCTAATCCACTTGGAAAATTACTTCATACTAATCCCCCTAAAATGGTCCCAAGTAACTTTCAACTAACAAATTAGAGTAATAAATCATGACAAAAATTCTAGTTCCAGTAAGCATCAAGTGCATCATTTTATCATAAAATGGCAAAGTAAATTGAAAATTTTGTGAGAAAGTACCTTGTGGACATAGATGGAGAGTGCAAGCTCATGCTGGTTCATCTTTCCCAAAAGAATGGCTCGTTCTTCGTATAAAGCATTTGGTGGGAGACGCTTTAACAAAACCTCAGGGTTGTAACCAGATATACTCTCCAAAGTAGACAACAGTTTCTTCCTTGTGGGAGAAAAAGTTTTCTCATCCCATTTTTGCTGAGAATTAAGATCCGTGTACCAATCGAGCACTTCTGACAGATATATTTGCACCTAGAGCAAGTGAATAAATAAATAAACCATTTTTAATAATGAACTTATACCTATCCCAAAAGAGTGGGGCAATAGTAGCATTACTGCATAACTTTACTAAACTCCTTTAGTTACGGCGTGACACATGGAAAAATCAGAAACAAATAACATAACTGAAGTTTCTTGCAAGAAAGCGCGAGTACATATATCACTAATTGCATGCATTTTACAGAAATTTTCAATAACCAGATTATGGCCTTCAATCCCAGACTACTATTAAACCAATTTCCTAAAAAATTGAACATTGGAACATCCTTACCATTTCATTCTGAAGGTTTCCTGAGATACTGTTCTCATTCATAGCAAGCATAAGCTCCAAGTATGTAGTCTGCATATTTGGAGCATGCTGTTTCAGGTATGAATTGACAAGGTCAGCCGGAATATTCCCTGACAAGAAGAGCTCAATAGTTTGAGTGGGGCACTTTTCAAGAACAAGCATTGAGAACTCCAAGACAAGCATTGGATCTGTACTGCAGATAGGCTGGAGAGAAATATATATATATATATCAGCAGATATACACAATTGGCTTCCAAAATGAACACCAACAAAGACAAGCAAAGCAGCACTCAGCTGCATGAGAATGCACATTGCAACATTTACTTCCAGATAAAATTCTTACCCAGGGTTCTAGCACAATGAGTACTAGAATCAACTTAGACTGTGACAACTAACAGATAGTAATCATTTTAAGTAAAATAAAACAAACTAATTAGTTTCACATTTACAGGAAATGGCCAGAGCTTAACTCTCACATACCAATGCATCTACATTGATAAATCAAGAAATTATCAAAGATAAACTATACTAGTTTCAAAGAGAAATGACAAACAAAAGGAATGCTGCTCAGTAAACATTCCAACTTATGCCTGTATAGGAAACAATTATCAGGATCAATCAAGTTTTGAGGCAGACGCAGTTATGGACATTCAAATAATCTCTTTTTTGAGAAATGCCTTATGGAATAATCATCTCTATGTATGGCAACACTGGCATTGTATCATTAAATAAAGGAAAACTTTTAGAAGAACAGAACATGCCAAAATTCAGAGATCCAATTTTTATGAGCCTTCAGAAACCCCCAAATACATCTAAATAGAAATATCACCATTTTAAGTTTTAGGCACTTCCTCATTCTATCAGCAATTTTGCAATATATAATGTGTTCCACAACAAATTGCAGTTAATTAATTTAGAATTTCTCCGAAGTGAATTCCCCTTGCTTGTTTACATGGCCAAAAATAACTGTATAAAGCTTAAACACCACCTTCATTATTAAAGAACACTTACTTTGAGATAATCAATAATCATCTCAGGCTTGAACTTTTGCGTGAGCTCAGCTGGTGGATTATCTGAATTTGACTCTTCAACTAATCTATGAAGAAGCTTAAGTGCTTCACGATGCATGGAATTGCATTTGTAAAGTTCTAGGAGACAGACATACTGGTTTCTTTCCAGCAAAAACTCCTCGCATATTTTAGCATCACAATAATTAAGACCCTTCAGTAGTTCCAAAGCAGCAGAAGGTTGTCCTGTCAATAGAAGAGCCTGGAGTAATGCTGTGTCAAGGATAGCTGCAGTATCCCTTGCAACTGAACCAATAGGTGCATTGGTTCGACCCTACAAACCACAGAACATCACAACAACAAATAAGAACAATCACCAGCCAGAAAATGAACTTAATGATGTAATTGGTTGTTTGCAAGCTAAATAACTGATACTGTGACATACATAATTTTCAATGTGAAAGTTAAATCATACTGTCTTCCAAGTATTCTACAAATAGAAAAATCAAGGCAGGGAGAGGGAGGGGTGGGGGTGTACGTTAGCAAGCTTACAGGCTATATGCAATATCCTAGTTAAACACAGACACACCAAGTAATATCCTTCAGCATCATCCCTTAAGAATATGGTTTATTTTCCATGAAAGGACAATATGAATATATGTCTTAGTATGGGCATATGTATGTATGCACCTCTACGAAAAGCCAGTAAATTGTTTCTTGAAGTAATGATACCATGAATTGAAGCTGTTGAATTTCCCCAGCTCAATTCAACTCACATCAATTCACATTTCCGAAGCCAAAATTTTAATAACACTAGCACCAAATTATATAAAAGAACAGAAGATCAAAATTACCTTGGTTGTTTTCTTTGGCCGACCAGGACCATAAGAAACAAAATTATTTCCTACAACATCTGAAACAACTTCCTCAGTACCTTCAGCAGCAGCCCTTTCAACGACACCAAATCTCTTTTTCTGCAGGAACTTAATGAGAGCCATCAGAGTGTTGTGACTCATTTTCCTGGACTCAAGATCTGAAGATTCCTCAGAATCCAATACAAGAGAAGGTGAAGGTTCCATATCATCTGAAAGTCCAGAGGAATCTCTTGAGAGAGCTGGACCATCTCCACCAATATCCATATATGTGTCTGGATCCGCTATCAAAGTTGATTTGGGAAGAATGATAGAAGGATACAAGGAGAGCACATAGTTGATTTCCACTTGAGATGCAAAAAAATGTTCCATGGCCTCCTCATAACTTCCATTTTCAAACAAATAGTGGGCATACCTGTGCGCACAACCACTTGATATTAAAGTTGTGGAGTGTGGACATGTAATAATGCATAACTTTGTATTCACCAAATGTGTATATATCTTTCAAAAACCTAGAGTTCTTTTTATGTAGTTTCGGCTCAAAGTTTCTTTTAGAAAAGCAAAACCAAATCCTCTTTTAGAGCCAATATAGGACTATAATAAACTCTTGAGACATTGATATCTACCAGAATTGGAAATTTTGGTTTCATGATGACATATATGGTAAAAATGCAAGCATGCAACTACAAATTACCTCCTAACTTTTTTGGGCCAATTTGAAAGGACCCCCGCATCTAGAAAGTGATCACCATATCCCAAAAAGATAATGATAAATGTGCATTTACCAATATAAAAAATGACAGCTTTGTTCATATACACCCCCTTAGTTATATTTTCATGTTAACAAGCCTGATTGAAAATTTTCAACTTTTAAGTCACATGCAGCCTCCAAATGTTTGTACATTCATCACTTATTCAGATGGTCTTCCAAAGGCTCTTAGTGTTTGTTTAGATTGTTTTGGAAGTGACTTGATGCTTTGAGTTGTTTTGGAAATAGTAAAAATTTGAATGAAACATAGGTGCTGAATGTGATATTTTGAATAAAAAATAAGTTTTTGATGTACTAATTTTAAACAAAAAATAAAAAAAAAAAAAAAAAAAGAAAAAAGTGTTGGATGTGATGTTTCTTAGAATGAATTTTTTTATGAATAATGGGAAAATAAAGTCGAAAACCAAAGTAAATAGATCCTAGTTTATTTCCTACTCATTCTTTTGTTTAATAAATGTGACACAATGGAGGTACGAAAAACACATCCCACAGGTATATATTTACCGGATATGAATTGATTGTTCCTTTGCAGCTCGAAGGTTTGAATCTTCTGGAGGAAGTAACTTGCACAGAGCCAATGCTTCCTCAAAATTTCCTGAAGCTGTTAGTTGTACAATCTGTAATGTCAAATATAATGCCGTCATGCTATATTCCAAGGATAGATTGATCTCCACTTTTGGGCAAAACAATTCACTCATAAACATTACAAAAATTTTCCATCCTGAATACTAATTTCTCAATGTATCACTATTTGTTGTTATACGAGTCAAGCTACTCAAACGTTTAACTTGTTAAAGCTCGAACTCAGCTCATCCTCAAAAAAAAAAAAAACACACTTATATAGAGCATACTAATCAGCTTAAAAGTAGCTTCAGATAAGACAAAGGAACTACATTTAACATGAAAATAATACAAAAACAATACACCAATTCCACAAAACATTATGCCTGTTAAACGTGTGATAAAACAATAGTGAGGCAGTGAGGCAGAGAAGACAAATTGCATTACATTCACAGGGCATCAAACAGTAAAACAAGTTAATGTCCATGCAACTCATAATTTCAAGTAACTGCAAATGACATTTTGAGAAAGGAAATGTACCTGTGCGCCAAGAGGTACAGGAAACAGACCATAAACAGAATTATCCAGTACTACAGTTATAACATGGGCACTTTGATGGAGCCGTCGAACATTTCGAAGAACAACTGTTTGAATCAATGGATAAGGATTACGGAGAGACCGTATCTGGAAATTCAAAAAAATTAGAACTGCAAAATAGATCTTAAGCCTTAATCTACTGCAAAAGGATAAAACAAGTAACTAGTCATATAAGGCCAGGTTACCTCAATGTGTCTTGGTAAGAGACCTACTGCATAAGGTTTCTCAACCACAAGTGCGGCAGGAGGCTCTGACCAACAAACCCTGCCTTCTTGCAGAAGCTTCCCATTTTGGTCAACAAACACTCCAATATTATCCTGATGGCAATATTGTAAACAAAGTTTTAACATTGCCCAGATGTGTAAAAGGCTTTATTTGCGAAAATACTAACCAACTACAGTTTAGAGGCATTGCATTTAGCATACCCATGTTACAAGTGAAATGATCAATAATTGAAACATACATGCAGAAAATGCTATCATCTCATTTTTACAACTATACAAACAAGCACTGCTAGATTTTACATTCCTTTTCTGCCTCATTGCATTACAACTACTCTATGCTTAAACAATTTTACAAGATCCAAATTTCAACAACTCAAACTGGATTATTCTATGAAAATACCTTTATCTAGTAAATTAATATTTATATTCTTTTTCTTCATTCGATTACCTCAGAGCACAAAGCAGATATCTAGAGAAGTTCATTTTATTTTCAGCATGGTTTCCTATAAAGGAAGAATATCATAGCTTGAATCTTATTCTAAGAAAGCTACTAGAACATGTAACTTAACTTAGAGACAGGGCACTGTGAAAGACTATCTAGCCATTCTTAGACAAGGAAAGAGAAACTGAAAAACAGAAAGTTTATTAATGAGGCCTTTTGATCTACATACAAAACTAAACGCTGACATAACTCAAATGAGCACAACAAGAATTTTCAACTTGCAATTTCGAAAGAGATCCATTCAAAGCTAGCCTTAGTGTTATAAAAGTTTCAACAGTTCATCTCGACGGACTGATAAAAAGTGTAAACATATCGCACAGCAAATAATCTTTAACATAATCATAAGTATCTTTCCAAAGAGACCCATTCAAAGCTAGCCTCAGTGTTATTAAAGTTTCAACATTCATCTCGGACCGATAAAAAGTGTAAACATAACGTGTAAACATAACGCACAGCAAAGAATCTTCAACAAAAATCATAAGTATCAGACAAAGAAGAAACTTATGACCTTCCCCAGAAGAAGCTCTCCAGACGGCAGAGACACAACTAAAGGTGCCGCAATCCTCCCCGACGGAAACACCTCAGTTAATGCACCATTAGTTGCATTCAATATTACGTACTCCCTACGGATCCCCAAACATATATTCTCACCACACCACGACATCGATTTCACTGTGTCTGGAACACCCATGTCTTTTACTTCCACAAAACCCCGTCCACCTGAAGAGCCAATCAAACTAAAGAGAATCAGATTACTACACAAAATTCTAAAAGTCGCTCAACTATACAACACAAATCATTGACCTTAAGCAGAAGAGCAAAAATCAAATTTGATAAAGAAAAGACGGAAAGATCCAATAACGAAAACGCGCAATCCACAAATTTCATTTCGATGAAACCCAAAGAGTTTACCATCGTGTCTGAAAATGCAAACCCTCTTCTGCCGCGCAAAGCACAGAAAGCCTCTCCGATCATCCCAGGAGTACGCGTTGGCACCCTTGGCTTTGGTAATGACTGCCAGAGTCTCCAAATTGGGGAGCCTATGAAACGCGATCGACTCGGAGAGCGACAGGAGGAGCTCACGCGAGTGGAGAACCTCCATTGCGACCATCGGCTTCTTAGAGAAGCCATTAATTGTCCGCTGGAGAACGTACGGCTCCTTCTTCAGCTCCGGCGCTTGGGAATAGAACTCAGGCAGGGGCGACCTCTGGTCACCGGAAGATGATTCGGGGGCGTAGATTCTGAGAGAGCCATCCGAGCAAGAGAGAAGCAACGTCGAGCCATAGGACTCGATCGCGTCAATTCTTGTGGAGGAATTGGGGATCAATTGGAAGGAATCGTAGGCGCTGTGCACCATTTCGATGGAAAAGCACAAATCCTCGGAGATTCGTCAATGTTAAATTTCACGTACACATCATGGATGCGATGCGACGGAATCCGCAAATTCTACCTGATCGAGCCGCACACAAACCTTTCCCTAAATACAAATTATCTCTGTTTCTTCGTTCTGGCGTCAGTCTCTTGGGAAGAAACCTCTCATCAAAAAAAAAAAAAAGGGTTTCTGCAGAAATTGCGTGGATGTGTGTACATGTGCACGGGAAGACTGTTTTAATTGGTAAGCAGGCGGATTGATTTCGGCTTTGTTTCTCATAAATGAAAGAATATTTATAAAAAACTTAAAAAAAATAATAATAAATATAATTTTTAAAACGAATGAATAAAATATTATGTAAAAATATTACATTAAATATATTTTATTTTTCACGCAACATAAAATTAAATGTTAACTTTTTATTTTTTTCGTTTTTTCAAATTTTCAAAAGTCTCCCAAGACATCACATCTGTCTAAACAAAAACTTTTAGTTAGTTTTTAAAGTTTGAATGATTGATTTCTACTATTTTTTATTTGTCTCTCTAAGTATACATTTGATTATTTGAGTTTTTTTTTATAAATTAAAAAATAATAATTAATTGATAAAAACATATAAGATTATAATAATAATAATTTTGTAAATGCAAGAAAATAAATATTTTTAAAAATTAAAAATAAATAAATAAATTTAATTGAAACAAAGAGAATAATTTGAATATATTTATTTTGTATTTTTAAATGATAGTTTTTGGTGTAGAATTTTGTTATATATATTATAATTTTTTTTAATAATATTTATAAAAAATTATAGTATCTAAAAAAAAGACAATTAATAATTTTACACAATAATCAATTAAAAAAAACAGTGAATTATTTTATTGTACGACTATATAATCATCCAATATTATGTATTATAATGATATCTCATGAAATAAATATAACATATAACTTAGTCTACAACAATAGCACACACAACTAGTGTTGATTTCAGCCGATTTGCCCCTGTAATGGCAAACCCTAAACCCTATGTAAATAGGGTGCAAAATCAACCACAAGCAGTAATTTTCGGGACTAGAAGAAGCTGGCAATGGCGGATTCCAATGTCAATACAGGCTAAAACGATGATCAAACAAGACAACAGAGATTTACAGTAACCCTCATCCTCTTAGGTGTATGTATCAATCAAGACGATGATAAATACAGGAAATGTAATGGAAAAATACCTGTCTTGCTTGGACAGAACAGGCAGCCTAATCGAGCATGTAAATTCTGGAGGCGATGTCTTGAACGATCCAATCGAATCCCTGGAGTAGGCCTTCCCCGGTGTACGCACTGCATCCCACGATTCTCCAGTGTCTGCTTTTGTCCATGGCTTCCAAGTTGAGCACCTAAAGGAAGGAAGACGATGTTCTTGGCTGAATAGGCGCAGAAATGGAAACATGTATGATGCTTCGAAAGTAGAATCGAAAACAGATTCAATCTTGAAAATGAAGCATTCATGGATAGAAAAAAATTATTGGGAAGAGTAAATACAGTAGAAAATACTTTATTCGAATTCGTCTGAAAACCATACCTTAGCAATCTCATTAGGTGAGAGACAACCTTGTATGTCCTGTTTATTTGCAAAAATCAATAGAGACGCCCCCGATAGCCTCTGCCAGGAAAGAAAAAGGTAAATCATTGCTAAAGATGACCAACTGGAAAAACAAGTAACCGGGAAGATTAAAAAAACTCGTTTTTTAGCAGAATCTAAGCCATTAAAGAACAAGAAACTATTGTATCAGACCATAAACCAAATTTCCGATTAGTTAGTTCATATTTTAGTTTTCACTTCTTATCCTGGAAAACAACCACAATTTCCTTTTTGTACCTGTAACAGCCCCAGGGCAGAAGAGGTAAACATGTTCGGAAAAAGGAACAATTCTGAGCTAAATATTCAAGGTATGTCTATGAAGTTCAATCGATTCGTGTTCAGGTTGCAGATAATAAACAGCCCAGCATCTCAAACCAAAGCATTAAAAAAAATAAAAATAAAAAGTCCACGAGCAATAATAGAGAGCATTGCATCTATCTAGATTGTGGTACTAACTTTATTGAATAAACATCATTCAAAAACTTCGACAAACTCAAAAACCAGTACATTCAAAACTGAATTAACTAATCCAATCAAAAAAAAAAAAAAAAAAACTGAATTAATTAACCATAACCATGAAAAAACTAATCATCTAATACACAATTTGATCTTCACCATTCAGTTCGCTATAGGGCAAAAACATGACAAATAGCATATCATCAAATTAAAAGAAACCCGGAGATATCAGATGAACAATGATCAAAACACTTATTCCCTGTTTATATATGATTTCAATTTTACTTCCGCACTATTCATCGAAAATTTTCTCCTACACAACATAACATTCAACACCATTTTACTTACAACCTTACATCAAAAACCTATTTACTATTCAACAACTATTTCCCATTCGAATTTATACTATTCTCAAAACAATTCGAACCATCAAAACACTTCCGATTTCTCAGCTAGATCAAATTAGGATACAATGGGCATCGTTATCGACAGAAAATTAAATTTAAACTGGAATGTAGCTGCTACCTCTTCTTTGAGCAGATTGTCCAACTCATATTTGCAATCTTTCAGCCGTCTGAGATCAGAGCTATCCACAACCCAAACCAACCCATCAGTCTGCTCGAAATAGTTTCTCCAGTATGACCTTATTGTTTTCTGCCCTCCAACATCCCAAATATTCAGAGTATACCTACCAAGCCAATTCGAACCACAATCACTACTAATAAATACCTCAGAATTTTCACTTCATCAAATTTACAAGGAAACAATTCAACAAAACAATACGGCATACTTCTGGTAAGAGATAGTCTTAATGTTGAATCCAAGTGTGGGACTGATTACACTGGTGTCCTCTCCGTTGATCTTCATCACTATCGTCGTCTTCCCGGAATTATCGAGGCCCCTTTACCAAAATTGCAGATCAATAAACAAAATGCGCGGATTGCTGCAACGAAGGTCTGCGTATTTTGTTTTCGCAGACCTAAAAAAATTCGAAAAAAGAGCAAGGTTGAAGAGGCATTACACCATGAGAATACGCATCTCCTTCTCTTTGCGCTTGATTTTCCTTATAATGCTGAGAAGACCCATCCCTTTTCGCCGGGAGAGTGTTGCACGAAAGATGCGTCGATTGCCAACTAATTATACTTCAAATCAATCGAGTTAGTAAAATCCTCGGAACAATTCCGTCGGGGAATCGGTAGAAATGCTGCCACTGCAACAGTCAATCCTCTCGCTTGTTAGCGTAGCAGCGACTGTGAGCGATGAGGGCTCGGAATCAGCGAATTGGATCAACAGATCACTCATCCTCGTTTGTTTTAAGTAAAATTTTAAAATATACCAAACCATATTTATTTAGCACTTTTTTAATAAAACAAAAAACTCAATAATTTTTTAACTAATTTTACTAATATAGGACGGACAAAATAAAAAAAATTAGATTATTAAACGAATGAAGGAATAATATTTTTTTTATATAAAATATTAAAATTAAAAGAAAAAATTATTGTGTTAATATAAAATTTTCGTCGAACACTAAAATTTGGTCGAAACATATATCACATCAACTCTGATATTCTTAGTCGTTAGTTTTTATTGTTGAGCAAAAATAATTAAAATTATTTATTTTACAGATCTTTTATAAAGTTTTACATTTTATATTCAATTTATTATTATTATTATTATTATTATTATGATCAAACTAATTCTAAACAATTGAAAAACTTATCTCTTTCTTTACCATTTTCAAATAAATTCAAAACACTTCCAACCTGTATGTGTTCCCAAAGACCAACAAAATACACCAAAAATAATTTTGCATAATCAGAAAAACTATTTGATCCTCACCCTTTCATCTTTCACTCTCCATAATTTACTTGGGCCTGGTTACATTTGCAATTAGATTTCTTGTATGAACCTTCCCCTCCTGGTTGCAGATTTATTGCCCGGCGGGGACTCACGGTGGCGGTTCGCCAAGTTTTGCTCGATGCAAGGATTGAAACCTGTCAGCTTAGTTTTGGAGCCTTGAGTAAATGTACGCTTCTGACGAATCCTTTGCCAAGTAGGCCAACAGCTTTCAGGGCATCAAGTAAATCGATGTCCTCGCCAGTATCTTCTCTACCTCGTTTCTGAAACAGTGAAGCAAAAAGTTTAATCGAATAAACATTGTATAGTTCAGATTTCAGCTGTGGGAAATTCTTGGTACCTTGGAGTTTTGATTAGCACATGTGAGACCAATGGCATCGCCCCCGGCAGAATCAAACCAGACCTTGAACATGTCGGGGAACTCTCTCTGTTCATATGATGGCAAATAAATTGTTCAGCATTTGTGACAGCGAGATTAGTGAAATAAATTTATGGAATCTATACTTGCCTCGATATCATCTACAAGATATTTTAGTGGATCGAAGTTCACCATCAATTTATTCCTCAACTCCCCCAAGCTCCCTTGTAACCCTTTGGGTAACAAAAAGGGGTTGAAGCTTTTGCTAGCTCTCCCATGTATCACTCGTTTACCTGAAATGAAGTCGGATGTTTGATAAATAAAAAGAAAGTGAAATTGTAAGAAGGTGATGCATAGATAGTAAGGGTGGAGACAAGAAACCTCGATTAATTTCAGATGGGAACAAAAGATGGTGAGGATAAGGGAGTTTATCCCTGTGAACAAGAACGACGGCGTTGTAGTTGTTCAGAGGCGTGCGGAAAAGGCACTGAAGAATAAACACAAACTGTGAGTGCAAAGTTGGAGAATAAACAAGATGGTAATCGGGGTAAAAGGGCTTTACTTACTTCCCATCCATATGAATCAGTCTGATTCTTCATAATGAGGTTATTCAAAAAATTTGCACTGCTGGTTGCATATGCTGCCAATCTCTTAAGATCCTGGTTCAATAAACTCATAGTTAACACCAAAATCTATCCATTGCGTCTCCCTAAAAGATGTTTTCTATTTGATTGCAGCGTTCATCACTCTTCACTAAGTTCAGAAAATTGCCTTGAGTATTCCGTATTTCCATGAGTCTGAGTAGCCCAAAAAAAAAAGTGCAATTTGTTTTTAAAAGGGAAACAAAAATGCTAGATCAACTCACAGTTGCCGTTGGGGATTCTCTAGTCCAACCTTCAGATTCCTTGTCGTAAGTAGTTGCCAAGAACATAGCAGGTTTAACGTTCTGCAAATTCCCTTCATACTCTTTTCTATTTTCCATGAAGTTCTCCTGTCCATTACACATGCACAGGCTTTGGTTATCCAAAATTCAGGGAATGCTCAGATGGACACAACATAAATAAAACCAAAATGTTGAGATGTCATCCTTACGGTGATATCTTTTTCATCCTCAGGGGTCATTTCGCCGTTGATATCAACAATTAAAGGACATAAACTCCAGTCGTAGTCTGACAACAATCTTAAGAATCTGCAACCAAAAGTACAGTAGAAGCCGGTGAACAAATTTCAAAGGAGTGCCGAGCACAAACATGTAAGGAAAAAGTACATCAAAGTTTCCATGTTCTAACTTCCATTTGAATAACATACAATTGGTACTAAGATTATCAGAAACTAAATATACAGGCAGAAATTCATGGATATATACCCAAATTGTGATTATCTCATTGATGTATTTAAAATACATAAAAATGTTATGTGCAACAGAGAAATTAACCTTAGCAATCCAGCTGTCCGGGAGCATGGGGGCCTGAATGGCAAAGGCTTCAAGAATAAGTGAGCAACCAATAACTCAACGGCCTCCTCTGATAATGTGTTTGAAAATAGATGGGCAGATACCCAACGTTTTGCGAGCCTTCAACATTTATAAACAAAAACAACAACAATAACGTTGAGTTAATAATGGATCAAAGAAATTCTCATCTTTTGAACCTTTGATGGGAGGGGAGCTTCGCTAAAACTCTCACCGAACAACAGGTCCATATATTGGATAACGGCCCCGTAGACCATTAATCATGCCAGCGTGTTGGCCATGAATAAAAAGCTTCTTGTCAGATGATAATATGCGCTTCACTCGTGCACCACCTAAATAGAATGTTTAATTAAAAAACAAAATTAACTCATATAATCAGTATATGAGAAGCAATGAAAGAGTTAAAAACATTAACATACCTGGACTTTTCACCAAACTTAATGCTCTCTCATGCAAAATCTTAAGACGAAATGCATAGCCAGACATGAAAATATCCACATCATCTTCTGCGGCGGTGCTTGAAATACCATGATTGTCATTAAGGCTGCCAAAAGTACAGTCAGGTAACTAGTGTCTGCATTGCCATTATAATGAATATAAAGAAATTCCAACCTCTCTGCAATCTTAAGAAGAAATGCAGACTTGGTCTTCTCCAATGCAACCTCATTCATTGGCCAGTTTCCAGAACCTTCCAGCTATGGGAAGTAGAAAGTGGTTCTTAAAAACTAATGATGAATAAGTAATAAAAGCAGATAAATATACAAGTGATCTTGCCTGAATCATAATTTCTAGGGGTTGTATACAGGTTGCAGTAGGTTTCTCCAGCTTTATACGACAACCTTCTTCATGTGCTAAGGGATGTGGTGCAGGAGGATAGACAGAAGTTAACCTAAAAGCTGCAGTAACATAAGTATAAAACAGCAACTCAGGATGAAGTAGCAAGTAGTACTATTATATTGATCTAAAAGAAAATTATAGATAATGTACAGACTTCTACTCAAATAATTTCTGATTCTTTTACTAATTTCTTTCATGCAAATTTTTAGCCAAAAAAGAAATGCAAATTGATTTCTGCGATTGAGTTACTACAGTCAAGTGAGCATAAATTACCACCATGGAATTTTAAAAAGGGATGCATGCATGATTCTCCATCCTTTGCACAAAGCATGGTTGAGAAGCAAAAAAGAGAAAGAGATGAGGAGGGATATTAGTTAGATATTAACTTATATAAAACTAAAACCAGATGTAACAAGGTAGACACATGGGCTATGGAAAGTTAAAGTAACAAATGAAATCATGTGCATAATATTAGGGTGTCAAGCAACAAGACTAGTTTTTATTGCCTTAGAATTTCTCTTACCTAGAGGTATCTAGCAACCATTGCCATAACGAACACAGTTAGTTCAGAATGGTCAGGATAACAGAGGCTTGTTGAACATTGGCCCCATTCAAAATCAGCTAAAGATATAAACCTCTCTGGAACCTAGAAACCAGTACATTGTACAGACCTAGAACCATTTTTTATGTCTCCTATATTCATATTTCAATGGGATGGTAAAGAGTTTTACTTTTAAAAAAAATAAAAAAAATCAAAATTACTAATTTCAGTTTTACAGTTTGTTTATGTACATTGGAACTCATACAATAAATATAAGTTCAATGAAAATTTTGTATATTCATTTTGGTCTAAAGCAAACATTTAATTGTGGGTTAGCATGAGATTTGAAAACAAACCTGAACCCAGAGGCTGAACACTGGATATCTTTAGAGGGATGTCATCAAGAAGCCGTAAATGCTTTGACAAGTCATCATATGCCTTTAACAACTTCTTAGAAAATGATATGGGATCTGAAACACAAAAATCATATTAGTGATTTTGATATGGTATCGCTTACGAAAAAAGGATACCAAAATCACCAAGAAAAGCAAAGGTATACCTTTATAGCCATGGCAAATTGCAAAATCCAGTTGATCTACAATGGTTATAATATTTTCTTTTGAAAGGGATAGGTGACGCATTAAAACATGCTCAATTATTTCCTTTAGAATAAGGTGTTTTTCCCATTCGTCATGCTCCCACACTATAAAGGTGCAATAGAAGATATATCATTGCTATCATCATTGTGCCAACAAACAGAAACAGAATATGTGATGATGTGAATGCTGCATAAACCCTCACCAGCAACTTCAGCAATTTTACCATCTCTGAACCATCGTAGGGAAGCTTTATCCCCCCAAAACTTTCTAAACTCTGCCGCCTTTGAAAATGATAAGAAATCACAAATGAGAATTTACATATGATATTGCATAATATAAGGCAAACATAATTAAACCACCTTCTCTTTGTCTTCTGGACTAGGACCAACTATCGCCTGTTTGAAAGCTTCCTCCACAGATCCAATTGTGATTCCAACAAACAAGGATTCCACATCGAGGACAGATAAACCCTATTAATTTGAAAATTTTATAACAGGAATTATCATTTTGCTTCAAGATATTAGATGTATACAAGTGCTATTGATTAGCTTACATTCTCAACATTATATTCAGTGGACGAGTTGCCCCAGATTACTCGAATGAGCTGAGTTCTCCCACTCAATGCTTGAGTGATGATAGATTCAACCTTCCGTTCAAAAGTCCTCCAGCATTCATCATCCAAGAAAAACCCAGATGCATGAAAATCACGGTTGTCCTTCAGGTTCAATCTAAAAACCAAACATGTCAGACGAGAAACAAATAACTTTGTGCTAAATGCAATGGGTAAACTAGTAAATTATACATAATCACAATCAATGTGAAAGGATGCATTTAGGTATCATTGGATCATTAAACACGTACCAAACTGACACAAAACAAAGACTTTACCAGACATTGTGCATGGAACATCACACTTTATAGAGTATAGAGTGTGTAGTTATTTGGTTATTTATTGGGGGGCTTTGGTTTTGGTTTTTGGTTTAAATAGTGACTTAGAGTGGTGTTTTGTAATAAAAAATAGTGTATTTTTATAGAAAATCATGAGGATTGAATAATAAAGAAGCGAGCAAAAAAAAATAAAAATCAGAGCCTAAATTTACATTAATAAATTCTGAATATTGACAAAGTTAACAATTCTCACAAGAACAAAGACAAAGATTTGTATACTTTAAATAACCTGTTTATGTATATAACTTCCAAACCCACGCATAATTATTGTAAGCAGTAACTATGACAACAATTTTTTAAAGGACAACACACATTCAACTGAAAATCTACTTCCAATCCCGCCAACTCACTTTCCTTAATTCAATTGTCAATACTTAAACAGATGGGGTGGTTTAAAAAAAAAAAAACAAAGGCAAGCATGCAACGTGGCATTCAAGAAAAGGTACACTGTGCATGCCATTAGATAGCAACTGTGAACCTATGAAGCTAGACTTGTGCCACAGCAATTTAGCAATTAAAAAAAATAAAAAAATAATAACCCTTTACAAATCTAGGTATGTACATTCACATATATAAGCTTTGTTCACTTTAACACCATTTCACATTTTTTCACTATTCATTTTACATTGAAATATTTCTCCAGAAAAAACATCATCCATATAAAACATTACATCCAAGCCTATGACTTAATCAGAACATCACATCCAAGTTCCAACAAATTTAATTTAAATTTTTACTATTGCCAAACAAACCTCAATCACCAAAATACTCCAAAAATACAATTAAACAAACCCACAGTATGTATAAGCAAATAAAAATAAAAGGTTACTGTTACATAATAGGAATTAGGGATGTGATCATATTCGTGTATTAGTTACCTTGTATTTAGGAGTTGACTAGAATGGATTAGCATATTTCTAAAAAGCATAAATCATGCATTTAATCCCTTTCTAATGAATAAAATATTAAAAAAGAAACAAATAAATAAATCCCAAAATTGGCTATATCAGTAAAACTAGGAGAAAGATCATTAGAAGGCTACAAACTATACATATATGCAAAGTCATACAAGCACATCAAACATACAAGTATGCATGTATATCATTAGTTTACCTTACACAATAGTCATATTTGGCAGGATAATCAACTTTGGTCATAAAGATCTCATCAAAACCCCCATCTTTACATTTATCCATGCAAGCAAGCGCCAAGCTAGCATCGCTCCGGAGCTAAATATGTGTCCAGAAAATAAAACATTAACCATAAGGACCTAAATAGATATGCATACTAGCTCGCAATAGAGGGGGGGTTGTTAAAGATAGTACCTCTTGAAAACCACTATTGGACATACGAAAAGACATGTTGTAGTGTGCAGATGAATCACCAATAATTATTGGAAATGATTGCAGTTTTGTCTTTCTATCCTGCAACTCAAAATGTAGCATGTGTTAAAATCAGCAAAAAACATTAAGCATTTAAGCAGTACAGCACTACGGCTTGCTTCTACCTAGCGATCACTTGTTATGGATGATTCAATAAATACAAATAAATTATGACAATTGAAAGAATTAATATGAATTATGCAATAGTTAGAACTAACAAAGAGATTGGAAAAGTGAGAGCACAATACGAACATTCAGCAAAATACCTTATGATCGGTGTTTCCTTCACCCTCACGTTGAAAGAAGAGTCCGCTATCCCATACTTTGGAATGGGCTAAAAATATAACATTGAGTTGTTAAAAGAGAAGCCCATTTCAAAATTATGCTTGCTCAAGAAGAATATAGCACAGAACAAGAAAGACAATTTAGATGTTTATCCAAAAATCAAAATCACTCATCCAAGCATGACACAAATCAAACAGGTGACCCTATGAATCAAAAAAAAAAAAGAAAGCAAGTGTAACATTGTAAATGCTAAAGCATTTTATTAACGAATTGACCAAAATGAAATTATACGCAGCCCAATAAACAGAGGAATAGGAAATAACCCAATATAGTCAAACATGAAATATTTGTTAACCCAGCTACCATCTTAAAAGTAGTTAGAATCTATGGGAGCCACAACTACTGGTTGGATATTAAGTGATGGCCAATCAGAAAGCTTAATATCACCATAGGAAGTATGTGAATGAAGAAAATTGACATCCAGCAGTCATCAGTCAGCGACAAATCATATACTGAGGGTTGGGGGGTATTAGAGAAGAGGATCCCACGTACCAATGAAGTCTAGTGTGATGCGCAGAATCTGGATTGTATTCATTGAAGTATTGATTCTATTTTTACCAGACTTCGAAACCAGGTACGCGACAATGACAGTGATCAAGAATCCACTTAAGCAGTCATGAACAAATAGAAAGTTCTTTCTAGCCCAAACCTACATCACCAGACCAAGTATGATAAATCATTATAGAAGCAAGCAATGGAGGAAATATTTAGGAAAAATAATCAAGAGCACAGTCTGTCATACTTTTAAAAGTAACAGAGCATCTCCCAGGCATCTACACCCAGTAAGAGTTCTCTTAATAAAATCTGCATTGTCCTCAATAAACATATCCTCCAAAATACTACTGTTGTACTTTGGCGATGCCGATAAAAGACCCAATTCTGAAAATTTAAAAAATGAATCATTAATTTAACAGAAAAATAGAACCTGATTACAGAAAATCATCCAAAATAGGTTATAGTAGTACCTTCATTAAGTGACCGAATATTGTTCCTTTCGAAGTTCAATTTTGAAATGTTGAAGAGATTGTTAGGTGCTGTTGGAATTATTTTTAGGGAAAATGCAGTATTATCAGATAACCGTACAGCTGAAAAACATACAGATTAATAGTGTTAGTGAACTCATGGACAAAAAGAAGTTTAGAAGGCAAAAAATGTGCAATTCAGGAATCAAGACCTGGATGGACAACCAGTACAGGCTTCCGTGCCTCATTATGAAAAAGTGACCATTTTACATCTTGAACTAAAGAACATTGTTTCAAATGGTTTTTGATTGTGCATAGATAAAGAAATCTCTTTGCATGGTAGCGGTAATTTAGATAGTCTTTTTCGTGAAAGCACTCCTGCCAGAAAAATTAAAAATTAATCCGTTAAAAGAATGGTAATAATAAAATAACAATAACGAAAAACTTTGACGATTCAATGACAAGATATTGGATAAGTATATGTGTCAATGATATTGAACCAACAACTACAGCCAGGGGGCCATCAATCACATGTGAATGCAGCATAAACACCAGATAACATAACTTAGTTAATAATAAGAACAGTTTTTCCAGTTGAGATCTTTTGGAGCATTCCTCACAAGGCCATCTCATTTATTCACTTTGTAAGTAAAGAACAATGTTTCACAAATTCCACCCAAAAAATATCATCAGTAATTCATATTGCATGTCAATCATAAGACTACTAACACATGATGTATTAATCTCGACAGCATCAAATTGCATACTCTATCAATTCATTCTAAAAGGAACAACAGCTAAATTTCTAATTAAGGATTGAACAAACACCTTAGGCAGCCTTAGAAAGAGGTCCACGTTAACATCCGGCCTCGCAACGCATTGAAATGAATAACTTCCCCCAATTTCAACAGACTTCGGCTTCCTGAACTTGAAATCAACTTTATCAGCGCCAAGGTCTCGAACAAACCCACGCGCAACATCAGCGGTAACCTAAACATATAGAAGACAATAAAATCGCAGAAATTTAGCCTACAAATCGCTAAAAAAATATATTCAAAACTCCAACTACATGGAGGCGTAAAAATACAACTCAGAAAAATAGGAGAAAACAAAATACCTGGAGACCGTCTGGAACATTGTTTATGGCTTCTCTGATCGATGTGACGACGTCATTGATAATTGCAGTATTTTCTGCGGAATAGTCTATCTGCACCTCCTTTAACAGCTCTGTTAACTTCAAATTCGTAGAATCCGGATACGCCGCTGCTCCTGAAGCCATAAAGCCTCCTTCCTCGTCTCGCTCTCCCGCCCTCCGCTTCGAATAGCTAAACCCTGAACTAGTTCAGAAGTTTCCTTAAACCCCAGAACCAATAGAGATGTGAATTTGTGGGCTGGGCCTACCCCGTTTTAGAAATAAAAATTGGGCTTTTAGTTTGATTTGTTTTTTAGTTAGATTGGTGGTCGTGTAATTTTAGGGTGTGAATTCAAAATATCACGTTCAAACACGTTTATATCACATCATACCACTATTTCGATTCAAAAATTTATAATTCAAATCTCAACTCAAAATCCGAACCTCAACAACTTGTGATTTCCAACTCAAACATAAATGGAGGAAAAAAGAATAACAAGGGTGTTGTTTGTTTTGAATTTTGATTTAAATAGTAAAATTTTAAAAATTGAATAGTTATTTTATAGTTCCTTCAAATTTAATATTTTCATTAATGAAGTATTTAAATAATAATGTTTAATTAGTGATACAATTCTCTATTTATCTATAATAACTCTTTGTTTATAAATTTAATTTGTAAATTTAGATTTCTCAATCTTCACGGACAAATACGAATGCCAAAGATTTGAACTTTACTTTAACTGATACTAATCCAGACCACCATGATCATGGTCTCACAAACATCGCACATTAAAATCGAGCTCATATCCAATGACTTCCAATGTTGATTTAAATTCGGCATCAAAGTTAAAAAAAATAAAAAATAATAATAACAATAATAATAATAATAATAATAATAAAATATTGTCTTTTGATAGTATTTTTTGTGTAAGGTAAACAATTTTGTCTATTTTTAAAGATTCATTATATAGTTTTTAAAAAAAATTAGATAAGACCATCTCTTACTTATATTGTTTTGATGTAACAATATTATATTATGTAGAAAATATATTAAAACCCTTATTTATATACATTTTCTTTTATTATTATTTTTTTGTGATTTGCATGTTCAATTTTCATTAATAAAAATAAAAATTTTCTGTGTACAATTATTTTCTTTTGTTAACAAAAAAAAAAGTTGTCCAAAAATAAAATAGAAATAAGAAATATTTTGACCATTACGTGAAAAGACATTTTTTAATCTAATTTAAACATTATTTAGACATGCCAAAAGACATTATTATGTGAAATCACATTAAAGTGTCATAGTTACTTAATGGGTTTCTTAGTATATGTCTATCTTTTAGTATTCATTATAAAAAAACATGTAAAAATAGTTTTTCCTCGTATATACAAGCACATACGTTATTGCAAGGAGTTTTATACAATTGTCATTTTTTGCAAGTAGAACTGTTAAACGAATCGAGTAGCTCGCGAGCCAAGTTCGACTCAGCTTATTTACAGAGATAAATGAGCCGAGCTCGAGCTCAAAAATTATCTTTTCTACAAACGAGCCGAGCTCGGCTCGGCTCGCGAGTAGCTCACTTGAACTCGTCAGTGATAATATATTTATATTATTTATATATTAATATAATATATATAATTTTTTATATCAAAATTTATATTTATTATTAAATTTTAAATATTTTATTATAAATAAAATTAAATATATTTAATTTATATATTAAAAAATATACATAATATGTATAAAATTCAAATCGAGCTCGAGTTCAAGCCTTATGAGCCGAGCTCGAGGCACTAATTTAGCTCGAATTCTTAACGAGCCGAGCCGAGTCTGTACCATTAACAAATTCGAATAGAGCTCGAACAACCAATACTCGAGCTTGCTCAGTTCGTTTAACAGCTCTATTTGCAAGTACAAATTCTCATTTGTAAACTAACTGAGGACAACTCACTATCACAAACAACCTTAAAGTTGTATGTAGTTGATTTGATAATACAAAGTTTGTGCTCATCAGAAATATTTGGACCAACATCTTCTTCTCTTTTGAATATAGAGATTTTTTCTTTATTTTTAATATTTTTCTTTCTTGAATCATGCTTATGATCTTTTAAGAAATATTGACAATAATTCCAATTATATATATGATTAATCAGGTTGGATTTATTCAGGGGCAAGGGCGGGCTGCCCGCCCCACCCCTTATTTTATTATTATTATTTTTTTTTTTTAAAAAAAACATATATATATGTATATATTATTCTATATAAGTGATATTTAAAATAAATAAATAATAATAGTAATAATAATATTTAATGTTAAATTATTTTTTTAATAAAAATTGCATTATTTTTTATTTAAAAATATAAAAAAATTAAATATTTACAATATATAGTCATAATATATAGTTATTGATATATATTTTTTTTAAATTTGTTGTTTTTGTAATAAAATAAAATATTTTTAAAATAAAATTTTATTTTTAAAATTTAAAAAAAAAATTGCCTCCCCTTCAAAATATATTCTAGTTCCGTCAGTATGGTAACTCATGTTTTATAACCCAATTATTCCAATACTCAGAAAATATAGTTAATCAACTTATGACCTATAAGTACAACAACATCCAATATATATGCTTTTTTTAAAAATAATAATAATAATAATAATAATAATAATAATAAATTGTTTCCTAATATCCTTTCATTTTAATAACTATTACAATAATAGAACCAACTTATCTAATTCATTAAGGGTGTGTTTGTTTGGGGATTTTGATTTTGAATTGGGATTTAAATAGTAAAAATTTTGAATTTGAATAATTGTATGGCGTGATATAAACATGTTGTAATATTTTGAATGTAAAAATAATTTTTAATTTAATATAAAAAAATAAATATTTAATTTGATATTTTTAGGAAAAAAAAATAGAATAAATAGTAAATTTAAAAACTAATCCCCAAATAGACAAACCCTTAAACTTGTTCATCAACTCATCTATTATAGTATGCATATAAGTTATTAATAATTTAAATTTTATTTGCAATATATATATATATATATTGATTTCATATTATTCCGTACGGAAATGATTTATCATTTCTTAAAAACCCTTTTAAAGTCTATATAAAAAATAAATGATTATATTATTATCATCTGAGGAGGGATGTAATACTCCTTCTATTCCATATATTATGAGTCTATCACTGTAAAGTGTAATTAGTAAGTAATTAAAAAGTGTATTAGTAAAAATAGTTATCGTATAATAAAAATAATTGTGAATTAAGATTAAAAAAATTATAAAATTTAAAATTTAAAATGAGATTTAAGTGTATAATTATATTTTTTAAAAAGGAATAGATAAATTATGTGGGATGGACGAAAATAGAAAATAAGGACAAATTATGTGAGTCGGATGTCTGCTATACTGTATTAGTACATAATTAAGAATGTACTGGTGAAAATAATTATCTTATAGTATAAATAATTATAAAGTAAGATTAAGATAACTAATTATTTTAATTAAAATTTAAAAAAATAAAATTTAAAAATTTAAAATAAGATTAAATTGTGTAATATTTTTTTTAAAAAAAATGACATAATATGTGGGACGAATAAAAACGGCAACGTAGATATAGTATGAAGAGAGTAACAAGAATACAATAAAAATCTCGTGGGCTACGTAGTTTACAAGATTGAGAGAGCATCTTTTGGAAAGTGGTCTTAACCTATTATTGCCCCAAACTCCAATCTCAAGGCTGTGTAGTAAATAAGTAATGTGTTATTCAAATATTCTCTCTCTCTCTCTCCAATTTTTTCAAATAATTTTTGAACAATGATTCTTTTATATCATCGAATCCATCAACTTGTCCTGTTTCTGTCACACTCATCTCTGTATATATAAATTTTTAAATAATTTCATATAATGTCTTAAAATATAGCGAAATAATATTATAAGTAGGCAGCTTTAATTTTCTTTTCCCAAGTTCCCATCTCTCCTGCGGGTCAAAGATTTCATTGCGGAAATCTCACCGTCCGTTTATCATGGAAGGATTCAACGGCCTAGATTCGTAGAGAGAGCAGTGCTTGTTCTGTACTTGATCAAAATACTGTCAACCGATTGCCTATGCTTTCTTTGATATTGTTTCAATTTTATTTTGAGATTGAGAAAATATTATTATTTTTTATTTCTTTTATTCATATTTTTATACTTGTTTTTTCATTATAAAAGAAAATAATATAGATAATATTAAAATTCATATGCAAATCAAACAATTTTTTTTTAGATGACAGAAAGAAAAATACTATTTTTATATTATAATAAACAAATACTAGCTTTTTCCGTCATTTAATAATCTATCTATTTTTCCATTTTAGTTCGTCACATAACAAAGTAGTACAAATACCATTTCAATTGACAATATATTACACAAATTTCATTACTTTTATATCATACAATACTAATAGGATTAATTTAGTCTTTTTACTTTTTATTTCAACTTTATCTCAATATAATACTAATATTTCTAAAATTTCATGCAAAAAAAAACAAATTGATATATAAATATAAGACAGGAAGTATAATAATATTCTATTGAATTTTGTGTACAGTTCAAATAAATATACATTAAGTATAACATAATAAACCGTGAACAAACATTTAATGATGAGGGCTTCAGAACTTAAAAACACATCCTATACTATTAGACAACACATAATATTACTACAGATATCACACAATATTACTACAAATAGGATATTGTATATATTAATATAATACAAATACAACACTATTTTATAATCTCATACAACACATACAATAACTGATTTTAATACATGCTAAGTCTCATATAATACACAATAGATTTTAGTACATGACATACTTGATTACAACACATTTGTTACTATTAAAAGATAATATATATCTTTATTATACATAACATGTGTTAGATGTAATACTAATGTGTGATATATAAGATGTATTGATGTGAAAATTCAACTTACGCACGAGTCAGCATCGTAATCATCTCCAATATTTAATATATATAAATTGAATCTATTAGCATCCCAGTGCCCAAATACACACGTACGTACGTAATTAATTAATAAATTAATTAAGCTTATGCCCACGCAGGTTATTAATTGGTGTGGGAAACTAAAAATTAAGTATATAAGACGAAGAACGTTGCAGCTGCAGCAGACTCGGTGGAGAAGATGATCAGATGATCTGCATGCTAAATTACAAGCTTAATTAAATTAAATTAAATTAATTAAATCTGAAGATCGGATTGGAAATCGAGGAGGCGTTAAGCCCCGTGATAGGGACAGATACGGACATATTGGGGTTTGAGGACACGATCAGTACTGTCGCCTCGTGATCGGAGAACCGACGACCACTTCCATCAACATCGTCATCATCGTCATCGTCTTCTTCATCCGCCATTGAACACTGCTCAACCTCGTCACGTGCATTCCGCCCCCCCCCCTCCCCCCCCCCCACCCCCCTTTTTGACTGCCCCCTTCGCCAATCCTACCTACTTACTTGACCTGATCATCATCATCATCAGATCAATCAATCAATCAACTCTCTCTCTCCTCTCTCCCTCTCTAGATATATATATGTGTGTGAGTTGAGATTTGAAATTGAAATGCTACTGTTGTCTGGTTTCGACAGCTTACGCAATCGGCTCACTTCCCCAAATCATCGTTGTTCAAACATTTGATTATTACCAGTCGCTTTCGAATCCTGTTGTTCGATCGTACTTCCACCATCTGGTCTGGATTTTTTGTGCCCTAATTTTGATTTTTTTTTTTTTTTTTTTCCTCTCTCTCTCTCTCTCTCTCTATTTTGGGGGGATTGATTATCGATCGAGATGCGTAGGTGCAGCAGTGGTCGCGGAAACATGGCGGGGGTGTGTTCTTGCGGGGCGTACCATGCGCAGCACGGCGCCGGCGGCGGCGGGCCTCCGTTTTGTATGGTGTTCTCCGTCTCCAATGGCGGACGTGATTACGAAGAAGACGACGTCGTTTGCGCCTTCAATACGACGTCATCCGCCTCTTCTTCTGTCGACTGCACGCTTTCGTTAGGCACGCCGTCGACGCGACGCGCCGATCGCCGCGCGTCGTGCGTGTCGGATTATTTCAGCTGGAACATCCTCCGCCACGCGCCGCCGTCGAAGAGCCACCGCGCTAGCGGCGACGGCGACGGCGACCGCCTCCTTGCCCGCCGGTGCGCCAATTGCGACACCACTTCGACTCCCCTCTGGAGGAACGGTCCTAAAGGCCCCAAGGTCGAAATTAAAAAATTATAAATAAATTTATATATATATATAAATTAAGAACCCTAATCAATTATATATATATTTATAAATTCGCAGTCTCTGTGCAATGCCTGCGGGATTCGCTTCAAGAAGGAAGAGAAGCGAGCGGCCGCCGGCGCCGGAGAAGCGCAGCAAATGATAAATTGGCCTAATCCTCCGCCGCCGGCGCGCCACGAATTCCGATTCATAAACGACGTCGTCGAGGACTCCGGCGACGGCGGAATGCCTTTCCGGTCGTGGCGTTTCAACAGGCCCGGACTGGTCCATGAGTTCACCAGATGATTAAATCCCAGCCGTTGATTACAGAAAGGTAATGTGGTGATTGATCGGAGACGACGATAACTGCAACATCCGGCGAGGAATTGTTGACGATATTTGGTGAGACTATAAATTGCTATTTTAGGAAATTATTAATGTTGCCGTAGATTTTCAATATCCTTTTTGGATTTGCATCTCCTATATCACACCTTTCACTTTCTTACCATTTCCTGCATATATACGATGTATTACTATATTAATTAATTAATTACATGTAGGAATTTATAAATTCGAAAAAGGGAACAAATTTTGAAGATCAGTTGCCCTCCGATTCATCCATTTTGATTATTAGTATTTATTTTTATTTTTTTGTTCAACTTCGATATATTGAAAATATTTTATAATTTTTTACTAATTTAGTAATAAAAAAGTAGAGTTGGAAAAAAAATAATTGAAAATGCACTATATTATAATAACAGTATAAAATTTTGTATATATATATATCACAACTTCACAATACATATTACTCGTGTCAGTATTGTGTTCACATTGTTGTTTTTGTCTATACTAATTTATTATTACATTTTTTAAAAAATTGATTAAATACTTTAATTATTTTTTTTAAAAAAGAATTATCATTTATAATTCTTTTAGTCTACATAGCTATTCTAATTTACAATTATTTGTATTACAATACAATTACTTTCACTAATACATCGATATTTTTATTAAATTTTTATGTCAATAGTAACTCTAACACCGAATGTAGAACGTATAATTTTCAATAAGTGTTAATTTTTAAATGTGTCTTAATTTTTCAGGTGTATACAACTTTGTATTTCAAATAAAAATTTAATATAATATAAATAAATTGATATAATTTTATTTAAATTTTTTAATATATGATACTTATGGTGGCGTATTTATTCTTTTTATATTATTACGTATATTTCATATCTTTTTGTTATCTCTTTTTCTTATTTAATCTTCTTATCTTTTATGTAAAAGATATTTGATATAAATATAAAGTGTATATTTTTTTTGTAAAACAAAAATTCATAAAAATAGATTTGATGGAGGAAATCAGTATATTTTACTAATTTGCTCAAGTTGTCCAATAGGATTAGCCAACTAGGCCCATTTAATAAGTATGGGCTTGAACTTGGGCTTGGGCCTTACCATACCCATATAGGCTTATTCACTAAAAAATGGACTAGAACAGTTACTATTTCTATATTATATTTGTTAATTTTATTTTTTATATATTTATTTATACATAATTATATAGTCAGGCAAAGTATTATACCATCATAATACGGTCCATCGGCTGAGCCGGAATGTCGGATTCATATTAATCCGTATTAATAATTAGATCAAAATTATTAATCCAAATTCAAAATTTTATTTTTGTATTGATTTCGTATCGAATTGTTGTGGTGAATTAATCTTTGGGTGCTCTACTATTTTAGTACAATCTTGGCCTACTTTTATTTTATCTAGTTTCTTTTTCTTTTTTTTTTTTTTTTCCTGTTAAACAAATATTAAATTTTTGTTTAAAGTATATATACAAAATTTTAGATCAATAGTATTAGTACCACTTTTATTTAATATATATTTTTGTTATCTTTTAAGATAGAACTTTTTTTTTTCTTAAATATATCTAAATAATGCATGGTGTTTATTTCAGAAATTTTTCTGACACGAATGAAAACAACTAAATGTCAAAACGATTGACCAAACTTTAGGTTAACAACCTCTTCTAACACTTTCTCTCTATATATATATATTATATCATATTATATTGTCAACCAAAATTAATTTAGTATTTAAAATTAAATAAAGTATATATATAATGTATTACAAATTAATTTATATGCTAATCTGTTTGTTTTGTGAGAACATTTGAAAAAAAAAAATTATTTAAGGTATAGGGTTCTATATTATATATATAAAATGTATTACAAATTAATTTATATGCTAATTTGTTTGTTTTGTGAGAATATTTGGAAAAAAAAATTATTTAAGGTATAGGAAATTGTGTAAGAAATATAAAAATAACAAATATTTTACTATATTAATATTTTTGGGAAAACAGGAGATAAATTTTTTTGAAAGAACAAAGCATCTTTTTAATTTGGCTCAAATTCACGTGTGGTTTCATGAAATTGCGTCAAATCCCTTATACTTGTAAAATTGCGTCAAATCCCCTATACTTGTAAAATTGCGTCAAACTCCCTCTTGGTTTCATAAACTCTATGTGTAACCCCATCTGCGGTCCTTATGTGATGATATTTGATTTAAATGCACTCAAACTGCAAATAAATTTTACAATCTCAATTTCTAAACCCTTAAAATTACAAATATATTAATTTTTTTAATATTTAACATAAAAAATAGTAAATATACTAAAAAATAGTTATTTTTCTCCTGTTTTAAAAAAAATTTGTTTATTGTTTTTTTAGCTAAATATAAGAAAAATAAATTCCTTTGTAATTTTAGGAGTTTCGAAATTGATATTCGAAAATTTATTCGCAGTTTGAGCGTATTTAAGTCAAATACAGTTAAATAAGGACTGCCGAGGGGTTAGACGCAGAGTTTACGAAACCACGAGAGAGTTTGACACAATTTTAGAAGTATAGGATATTTGGCGCACTTTCATCAAATCACGGGTGAATTCGACGCAATTTAACTTTTTAATTTTGATCTTATTAATTACTATCAATTGTAGAGTAGGAAAATTAAAGAAATAAAATATAGATGTATTAGAAATACGAGTCAATCAACAACTAATCAAGATTAGTGGAAATTATTCTTCGTCCAAATAATTAATTCCAAAATAATTATTTTATTTTATAAATTGATGGTAGGAAAAGTTGGTTCATCAAATTTTAAACAACCTTGTCTGCATATTTATTTTGCCTCTCACAATCACTGTCCCAAATAGATAGAAAAAAATATACTAAAAAATCATAATAAAATTTGTTATCGAATATACTCAATTGACAATTTGGTGACAAATAGTTTTAAAAATGTTTGTATTTCGTGCAAGAAATTATAAATTGACTGCAATTTGGAAATTAGGGATAGTTGGGTTTTGTTTACTTACACATTTTAAAAGTTTTAATATTATTTTAATATTATATTGGATAATGTTTTTTTTTTTTCAAAAATATCATACTCCCTCCGTCCCTTAACAATTTATTTATTTTTTTATTTTAGTCTATCTCGTGACAAAGTATTTATTTCTTTTAGTAATTGTAACATCTACGTAACATTACAAATACCTTTCTAATTTACAATATATTACATAAATGTCATTACATTTATATCATACAATACTAATAGGGTTAATTTAGTTTTTTTACATTTATTTCTACTTTATTCCAATATAATACTAATATTTGTAAAACTCCGTGTAAAAAGCAAATGGATATATAAATATGGGACGAATGGAGTATTAGATATTATATTTGATTCGTGAAATGTATTTCTTTTTTATCTTTCCCAAAATTAAATACATATTTTTATTTTTATTAATTATACCATTTACTTAATATTAATAATGTTTTTATAATTTTAAATATATTACACAGATATAATTATTTTTATGTCACACATTATTAATATGAACATTTTTTTATTATTATTTGTACTACACATAAATATAATATTTAATATTAAAAGTTACATAAAAAAAATAATAATAAAATTGAATACTTACTTTTGAGGGAGTATTATTATATAGTAGTAAATGCTTCTTTGATTTGTTTTTTTATTATTTTAAATTCAAATAAATATTATTCAATTTATACTACTTTTAATAAAAATATATTATTTTTTCTTATAAAATATCACATTAAAATATTATTTAAACACAAATATAATTTAATTTAATTTTAAACTACAATAAAGCTTAATTATTAGGGCACGTGTTGGCACGTGTAATGCTGCCTTTGCCAATCATTGGTAATATTGTAAGTTACAACAACTCAGATTTAAGTAAGACGTTTTCAAGTGTAGTATAATTACCCTAATTTATGCCATTTTTTTTATATATGAAAATCATTTTAAAAAATATATATTTCATAAAAAAAAAAATTCATTTAATGTCTACTATTCGTCGCAAATAATTTAAATTGAAAACAAAAGAAAAAACATAAGAAAGCTGGACAATGATATCCATTTATTTGTGTGCTTATTTGACCGAAATAGTATTTTTTTTATTTAATTCTTTATATAACACATCAAAAATAATTTTTTTAAAAAAACTAAACACTCGTTACAAATGTTAAAAAAAAAATCAAATATTTAAATTAAAATAATATATTTTATATTTCTTTAACACAATTTTTTATATTATGCACTAAAAATTAATGAACTCATAAACGCTGGTGAACATAGCCTGCTGGTGAACATAGCCTATATATTTAATTTATTTCAAAATATGTTCCATATTGAATCATAATACTACTATTAATATATTCCACATTGAACCATAATACTATTATATATTTAATTTATTTCAAAATATGTTACATATTAAATCACAATACCATTATTAATATGTTCCATATTGAATCATAATACTATTATATATTTAATTTATTTCAAAATATGTTACATATTAAATCATAATACCATTATTAATATGTTCCATATTGAATCATAATACTATTATATATTTAATTTATTTCTAAATATGCTCCATATTGAATCATAATACTACTATTTTATACTCTCTCCGTCCACAAACTAATGTCTACTCTCCTGTTTGGGACGTCCAACAACTATTGTCATATTTTCTTTTTTTTTTTTTTAACATAAATTTTACAGTTTTACCATTCATTCATTTATTACTTTTAATCTTTACTGTACAATTAATGGCAAATTTGAATTTGTCAATTCATAACAAAAAAACAATCACCTAAATACCGTGCAAATATACTTTAGGATAATAGAAATTAGACGAATGAAGTACTTAATTTGTTTTAAAATAAAGTAAAAGTAAATGGCCTTCAGGCTACATTATCCTGCACACTAATCAAAATTGCACGGTGTATTTATTTTTATTTATTTATTTTTTTTAAAAAAACTGAAAATAATAATTTAAATATAATCTTTTATGAAAACAAAAATATAGTTAAAACACTGAATAATAAAAATATTATCAAAATAATACACGGGTAGATTATTAAAATAAATTCAATTTTTCTTAAATGGCTGGTATAATTTGCAAATTATTATACTATTTTTTTTTATTGAAATTTATGTTTATTTGATTAGACAGTTTTTTTTAAAATCAGGTAAAAAAAAATACTCCTTTCCTCAATGGTAATTTATTTCATTTACTTTGGCATGTGAATTAAGAAAAATTAGTATTTTATAGAGATATAGTGTTAAAAATAATGTAATATTTATTTTATCCTTAAAAATAATATGAAAACTTAAAAAGTAAAAATATTTTTGTATTTAATTGAAAATTATTTTTTTTTAAAAAAAAATGAAAAGTTTTGATATAATAAAATTAAAATAGAAAATAAAAAATTTAGTAATAAAAGGAAGAAGAACGTTAAATTTTTTATGACAATAAATAAATAATAAACATTTCGGGGGTATTTTGGTTATTTAACATGCGTTTGCATTTACACAACCCAATCCCAACTACTCATATCAAAAACAGTTTTGGTTCTCAGGAAGTCTCAGGATCACAGCACCCACACAAATCTACAATAACTCGACGGCATTCACAATCCGGGACCTCAAGTCCTGGCTCCGCGAAACATCAGAAGAGCTCCCTCTCAATACATATATAGACAGAGCTGCTTCCAGTTCCAGACACGAATCCATAATCTTAATTAATTTCATCTCAAGGATTCGAGTCGAACAACAATGGTGAATCTTGTAGCAGCCCAGAAACCTCTGGTCCACGCCCTCATGAAAATGGCTGGAATTACTCAGCACGCCCTGGAAATCGAACCAGGCACTGTAATGACCATTTGGGTCCCGTCGGAGACGATCAAGAAGCCCAAGAAGTCCAACAAAACCACCTCCCCCTCCGACGCCGCCGCCGCCGCCGCCGGAACCACCAAGCCTACCAAGCCCGTCGTCGTCCTCATCCACGGCTTCGCCGCCGAGGGCATCGTCACCTGGCAATTCCAGGTCCATCAAATTTAGAAATTAACTAATTTAAAATCATTATTATTATTTTTAATTACCCTGCATATTTGATTCAACACAAGTTTTAAAAAAATTATTTACTTTTGGGAAAATAGTACTCTTTCATTTTCAAACAATAGTAAAAATTTTACATTCAAAACATCGTATAACACATATTTATATCTTATAGTAGAAATATTAAAATTCAAAAATTTTCTTATTCAAATTAAATCAAAATCCAAACCCTCGAACAAACACACCTTAAATTAATTTTTTCAGGTGGGTTCGCTGACGAAGAAGTACGCGGTGTACGTGCCGGACCTGGTGTTTTTCGGCGGGTCGACGACGGAGCGCGGCGAGAGGTCGCCGGAGTTCCAGGCGGAGTGCGTGGTGAAGGGGCTGCGGAAGCTGGGGGTGGAGAGGTGCACGGTGGTGGGGTTCAGCTACGGCGGGATGGTGGCGTTCAAGATGGCGGAGAAGCAGCCGGAGCTGGTGGCGGCGGTGGTGGTTTCGGGGTCGATATTGGCGATGACGGACTCGATAAGCAAGACGACGCTGTCGGAGCTGGGGTTCTCGTCGTCGTCGGAGCTTCTGCTGCCGACGTCGGTGGAGGGCTGTAAGGCGCTTCTCAAAGTCGCCTGCTACAAGAAGCTTTGGTTCCCCGATCGGCTCCACAAGGACTTTCTCGAGGTATATTATTTTTTATTTATTTATTTTTTATCCTCCTCTATTTTTATTAATTTATTTATTAATTAATAAATTAAATAAAAAAATATGTTTTTACAGGTGATGTTCAATAATAGAAAGGAAAGGGGCGAGCTGCTGGATGGCCTCCTTGTTAGCAACAAAGAACACACTCCCATTCCCAACTTCTCTCAGGTATTCTTCTATCAATTAATCTACAGTTTAATTTTAAATTATCTGATATTTTAAATAAAAAGTACATTATTTGTCCTAAACATTATACAATATTTTAATTCGACACGAAAATTTAGATGAATAGTATTATGCAGAGAAAAAAAATACATATTTATTTATTTTTATTTGATAAAACAAAGTGAAATGTATATAATATACATAAATATAATTAATTATTTCTAAATTCAAAAATATTACAGTAAATTTGAGACAACCATAAAATATTACACGATATTTGAAACATATAAAATACTACTATATGTTAACATTATTTCACATTTTGAATTTTTTTTATAAATAAAATAGTAATTATATATATATATTTTTAAAAAAAATATCGAATTCAGAATATAAGATGCATTAATCATCTCTCTATATGTATTTATTTATTTTGTATCACAGAGAATACATCTTTTGTGGGGGGAGAATGATCAAATATTCAACCTTGAACTTGCTAAAAATATGAAAGAGTAAGCCTCCACTTCTCTTCAATTTATAGTTACAAAAAACTTATCGATTCGAAAAAAAATTACTTTACCTTATAATCGCCAATACAGGGAGCTTGGAGACAATGCAACGTTCGAGGGAATTAAGAAAGCAGGTCACCTCGTCCATCTCGAAAGGCCATGTGTCTATAACAGATGCCTCAAACGATTTCTTGCCACATTACATGGCTAAAAAACGATTGTTACGATTGAATCAATTGGAGAAATTATTTGTGATTCTTTTCCACTAGAAGATATTTATGTATTGTAACACATCGAATCAATATCGATGGTATGGTATTTTTCACATATATATATATCTATGAAATTGTTCGTAATAAACTTTCAACTAATAGAATGACATCTTCAAATTTATAAAAAAATGTGTGGGTTAAAAGGCGTTTACAAAAAGATTGACTTCATCGGCTTATCCCGAGCATCTATCTAATGTTGAATTAACAACTCATCACATGAATAGATTTAAGCTTCGGCTCTTATAATAATTTTTTCTTTGAAACTTATGACTTTGTGGATATAATTTCACTATTTATATTACTATATTATTATTTGCTGATGTTGACTTATTGTTATTTGTTGAACTAATTTCAAGTTGAAGTTTGGAATAACTTAAATTTAAATTAGAAATATATTTGATGTAAGATAAATTATTATTTTACTTTTTAAAGAATATATATATTTTTTTAAAAAAGTAATAAGTTAAAAAGTTATACTTAATTTGATTTTAGAGAAAAACTTTTGATTAACAATGAGTGTTTAGGTTTCAAAGAAACAATTTGATTTCATGCAATTTAAAATATTAGTTTGAGTGGTTATGTTTTTATAAAAAAAAAAAAATAATATATTTTATTGTAATGGATGTGGAATTAAAAATACTGATTTTAGTCGAAAATTACTAAACAACAAATTCATATATTTTACTTACTCACTAAAGTTAACAATTAACATTTAACAATTTAATAAAAAATCTTATTTAGTATTATCAACTTAATTTTTTTTACATAACATGAAAAATATATCAAACAAACAATATAAAGTGAATAGACCGTAGTGTTTATTTGGTTTTAATTTGAAATTGCATATATATTTTTTTAAATTTAAATAATATTTTAATATTATATTTTATTTTAAAAATAATATGAATATTTTTATTGGAATCATCCTAACTAAACAATATTGGAAATATAAAAACTAACAAACTTTCAATTTTTTAGTTGAATTTATTTGAGTAGTAATTTAATCACGATATTTTGCAATTTAAAAAATTTAAAAATGATATTAAATATTATCAAATACTATTATTTAGATAAAATTTTTAATTTAAACTAAAATCAAATAAATCCTTGAATTAACTTATAAAAAAATGAAAAAAAAAAACCAAAAAATCGCGAGTATTATCGCATTGACCCATTATTTAAATATTAACCCAAGTGCAGTTTACAATAATATCCCTTCTTCTTCCTTCTCCATTCGCATCACCAATCCCTAATCGCACCGCCTTCCTTCCGCCGCCGCTGCCCCTCGCCGGCGATTCTAACATGGGCGAGCAAACCCACATTCATCTCGAACCTCTCCCCAAACCAGATTCCCAACCGCACCCCCGAATTGAAACCCTCAATCCGCATCATACTTTTGACCCCCAATCTTCATCCCTACCCAACCTCGATTCCAATCCCCAGATTTCGCACTCTCAGCCCATCGCTCTCCTCGAGCCTTCCCATGCCGTGGTCCCTGAAATCTCGCACAATCCCCAGAACCCTTCCAAGATTCCAATTCGTCCCCAAAAGATTCGCAAGCTTTCTTCCCCTGTTCAATCCCTAACGATCGAGAAACCCTCTGGGATTCACGACTCTACAATCGATGCATCCGTCTCCGCCTCGCCCTCCGTGGCTCTCAACAGCTCTGCCATTGTTCCCGCGACGCATACCGGCAAAAGCCGGCGGAGGAGCGCCGCTCAAGCTTCTAGGGTTCTGCCCCAACTTATCAAATCCTTATCCGCCGATGGCGAAACGGAATTAGCCATCCGCCATCTTCGTGCTGCCGATCCCTTGTTGGCTCCGCTAATTGACCTCCACCCACCGCCTCAATTCGAGACCCACCATCCCCCATTTCATGCTCTCACCAAGAGTATTCTCTACCAACAGCTTGCTTACAAAGCTGGCACTTCCATTTATACCCGGTTTGTTTCTCTCTGTGGTGGAGAGGACGCTATTTGCCCTGATGCTGTCCTCGCTCTCTCCCCTCAGCAGCTCAAGCAGATTGGGGTTTCTGGGCGCAAGGCCAGCTATTTGTATGATCTGGCGAACAAGTATAAAACTGGGATTTTATCGGATGAAACTGTCGTCAAAATGGACGATAGGTCGCTGTTCACTATGCTTTCAATGGTGAAGGGTATAGGTTCTTGGTCAGTCCATATGTTTATGATATTCTCGCTGCACCGACCGGATGTTTTGCCTGTGAGCGACTTAGGAGTTAGGAAAGGGGTTCAATTGCTATACGGTCTAGATGAATTGCCTAGGCCTTCACAGATGGAGCAGTTGTGTGAGAAGTGGAGGCCTTATAGGTCGGTTGGTTCGTGGTATATGTGGCGATTTGTTGATGGGAAGGGAGCTTCAGGAGTGGGTTCTGCAGTGAATCTTGAGGTTGGTGCTGTGCAGCCATTGCAGCAGATGGTGCCGCAGGATGGGCATCAACATCAGCATCAGCATCAGAATCAACTTCAGTTTGTGGAGCCGGTTAATGGAATTGGCAACATCGGGTAGTCATTTATCTGTCTTCATTTGCACAATGGTGTATCACATATATTCCTTTATTATAAATTTATTGTGCTTGGATGATCGATTTTGTTGACATGAAGTAGTGTAGTTGATAATTAATTGTCTAGTTGGTTTGCAGCATTTCAAGAGTAGAAGGTCATAGTCATGCTTGATTTAGAAACTCTAGTAATCTTGTTAGGTACTTAGGTTCATGCATTGACTTGCATGCCGTCTTGAGTGCCAAATATGCAGCTGATTTATTACCTAGAAATATGGGATGCAAGCTATCGAATTTAATGATTGTTTTTATGTCTAGTAAACCGTTGTTATTTGTTTGCAACACCCATAGGAATAAATTTTCCATAAACTATATAAAACTTCCAATCCTACTGTAGACTCAGTTGGTTTGCTCATTGGATCAAACTATGGATTTGCAACCTTTCTTGAGTGCCACGTGTTTAGCAGATCAATGACGTAGATATTTGTGATACAAACAATGTGATGATCGTGTATTTAACGATGGATTGTTAATTTATGTATTTAAGTGCAATTTATTTAAACCAACAGATGCTTGCTTACCTCAAGTTTTTCACTATTTGATTGGTAGTTCAGGAAGAAAAGTTAGATCTAATGGGGTGGGGAGATGCAATGCAAACTATTCACTTTATGTGCATTTAATGGTTTTTTGATATTCTTGTCGTTATGTGCTGTGCATGCTGTCTTGTATAAAACAACAGACCTCACCAGAATTTTCTTCCATTATACATGTTTGGTAGTCTGGGAAGAAAAACTATATTTTGTTAAGATTTCAACTGACTCTGAGTCTACTCCATTTATTTATCCTGCTCCTACTCCATTTTCTAACTTAAAATATATGATGGGGAAATAATAAATATAGCAAAAGTATTTTGGGTTTGAGTTTGAGCTTGCTAACAGTTCGTCTGAAACTCAAAGATGATGTGTAAAAGTATTTTATTTTGCAGAGTTATCTGGTTTGTGAGGTTTACTCTGATATCTGAAACGCAATGCAGAGTTAAGAACTTTGAATTGTGTTCTTGCTGAGAAACATTTTAGTGCTATTTGCTTAATAAATTTTTGTTGTTTAGTTTTTAATCCATGGATGACGCTGAGGCATCTGACCGAAACTGCTTGTGCCATTTTATAACACTTCCTTTAAAAATGTTTGTTGAGCCCATACTGATTTATGTTATATACCATCAATACAATGAGACTTGCCTGATTAAGAATTGAAGTAATTTAGTTCTGTACATTTCCTTATATATTAGAATTTGGGATGCTGTTCTAGTTTCCCTGGCTGGTTGTAGCATGCGCACTACCTGTTACTTGAAAGAACCTTACATATATGTTTGGAGGTTGCATGCTGTTTCTTACAGCATGGTCTACACTACACAGTACAGTAAATTGCCCAAAAGCTATGAAGCATTGCACCATATTGAAAGGCACTTCACATAATATAAATGTTAAATATATTTGTATACAAAGATAAAAGACTAGGGTTTGTTTGGTGGTGTTTTGTTCTTTTAGCTTTTTACGAATAGTAAAATTTATGAATTGAAATAGTTGTTTGATATGATATAAATAGCATTTGATGTGTTTTGCGTATAAAATAAATTTTATATTGACTATATTAAATGAAAAATGTGTATGATATGATGTGATTTGGGGGGAAAATGTGTCCCTGTAGATTTGTAATGAACATGGAAAAATGGAATCCCAACCAACCAAACTCGTAAATTTAATATACTAATAATTTCAAACCAGTATCTTGGTGTTTAGCAGAATAGCTGTCGTGGCAGTTATATAGAAAATCTAGAGTGCAATGGTTTCTCGAGGGATAATTTTCTTCTTTTAGAAGACATTGGAATCAAAGAATAGGGAAAACTTGGGGATGGTTTGTAAGGTATACTGTTAATTTGCTTTAATTTTTCTTGTTAAAATGCATTTAAAAAAGAAGTTCAAAAACGATAAAAAGGAAATGGGCCTTTAAAAGGTTCGCAGGGCATATGAACCTCGTGTTGTGGTTGAAGCTTCCATAGATCTGTTTTTGGTCTTTTGATAGGATTCTGTGCTCAACTCTTCAGTAAAAGGCTCATTCCTGGAATGTGGTTTTTCATATTTGTTGAGATGCGCCTTCTGCCATGAATTTTATATACAACTATGATTGTGCAACTAATCTAGGCAGCATTTTAGTGTATAACACTGAGAACTTGGTTGGAGATTAATTAATTGATGGATATCTTTCGTAAGTGCTCAATAAAAGAAGTAGAAGATATTAGTACACAAATGGTATGAAATGAAAATTCTGTTCGTTAAGCTTGAGAAGGTTTCTTATCGTCTCTACTTTCCTAATTTAACTAACCTGTTGCACAAATAATATTTTGGTGATTTTAATTATTATCCCGTTTTCTGTATTTCTGGCCCTAGAGGTCTTTTTTATCCATGTTCCCTTTTCATTTGTTGATGCATTAGGAAATAAGCTAGTCCTCTTGTCGAGATTGATGCAAATTGAAGATTTCCTAATATATTTGACTCTAGATGGAAAGTATTTTGCACGTGTCCTGTAACTTTGTTGACATTTATAAGCTTTAGTTGGCTTTGTTTATTCCTATTTGATGGCTTTCAGAATGTAGTTGATTTCTGTTATACTTTATCTGTTATCTAGTTTGTTTGTTGATCTCTTATTTTTGTTAATGCTTTTCGTATATATTGATTTCACAATGGATTGCTTATTTTGTGCATGTAGTTCATTTGAGGTAGGAATTAAGAACTAACGTCTGATAAATCAATTTGTCTCAGTAGAACACTGCTACACTGCTTTGTTTTTGCCATCTCATTTGTGTATATTTTCAACTGCACAAAATAACATTGTAATGAATGTGGCTTATGAAATAATGTCCACTAATATATGGGCCGTGTATTTCTAGGAGAAGCTATAAAATGTATTTATTGGGGCTTGTTCAAGATTCTATCTTCTGTTCTTTGTAATTTTATTGAAATATACTGTTTGCTTTTTTCTAGGCTAAGCCATACTCATCTGCAGTATTTTTAGTGAAGAAAGGAAAAGGTGAGTAGCTGCACGCTAGCTAAAAGTAATATTTCCATAAGAGACTGAGAATGCGCAAAGGAAACAATTTTTATTCATGTTCATTCGCCTGACTACCTTATTGCTGCTACAATGTGATTTGTTGATGAAGTGTGAAATTGTTATCATTGCCTTTTCTATCTGTCCTTATTATTAGGCTTTCATTCGAAAAAATGTTTTCACATGCTCACAAAATTTGGAGGCAAATGCCGATATTAAAAAACAAAAGCATGGAACTAATATTACGGTTACTTTTCTTGCTTTTACTTTGTGTGTCCGTAATCGCATTTCCTATGCTGTCAGCTCTTGTTTTCCCGCTGTAGTTTGTAACTATTTATTACATTTGATTAAGTTGTGCTTTTCAATTCCTTTTTGACATAATTTCTCATACCCTTTTCACTGTAGGGCGTGCATTTGGAACCAGTGAGTGCGAAGAATTCGTTTTCCCAGAACTTTCAGCATGTCTAGAAAGGAACATGAGAAGATTCAGTCGCGGAGACCTGGCAACACTTGTGTTAGTGTAAGCATGCTTTCACAACTCTTTATGCTCAAGTATGAAATGTTAATAGATCTTCAAAGCCACAACCTCTGGCGAACTCCATATGTTACTAAATAACAGCATGATGTATCTAGAATGACAGTCTCTTGTCAAGGCTAAAAAAAAGTATAGGCTGCTGAAAAATGTTCGAAGTACTTAGAGAATATTTCTAGAGTTTGTCTTACCTGTTCTCTGCTGGCTGATTAAAGATCTTCCCTCTTTAAAAGTTGCATGATAAACTAGTGTGGCATTATTCATTATTCACCTACTTAGGAAAAGCATATAGCAAGAACAATAATAATAATGGATATAGGGGGAATTGGGATTGCAGTATTATTATTATTATTAATTTGTGCAAGTAGGAAGAGGATGTGATTGAAATAGATGAAGGCGTGCAAAACAGTGATGTGACTTCTCCTTGGAGTGCTCTTCTCCTCTCCATTCAGTCTTCTTCTTGTTCTTGTTCTTCCATCATTGTTATTCCTTCCTTTAGTCACATCATGCTTTGCCACTTCTGCTTCCTTATTTGCTTCTTGTGCTTTATGTTTTGATTGGGTTTGGGTTTTGATTTTGAATTTGCATGCATTGTGTATATGCATTTGGAATCATGCTTGGTCAAAATTGGATTTTACTTTATTGCATCCATCCCCCACTATGTTCTTGTGCAATTCCATGCAATGTTGGTGTAATGATCACACATACACCACACTTCTTTCTGTTTGGGCTTTTAGGGTTTGTTGCCAACTATGGTAACCCGGACGTACTGGGAGTTTAAACCCATAACTTCACGGTCAATAGATCACACACCACCCCTAAGGACTTATTTGAATTTGAATTTTTAGAATAGAAAATAGTGGTTAACTGCCTTTTTTTTTTTTTTTTTTTTTTTCTTCTATTTTATAGATGAAAGAATGGAGTATTTTTATTTTGAGTCATTTTTTATTTTTGTTGTTTAAATCAACTTATATGACGTTGAACTTTGGAAATGAAAGTCAAAAGCCATAAAAAGATGTCAATGTCAACATTATTGTTTCGCCCCAAATGTTTTTTGTATTGTAGATTGTTTTCCCCAAATGTTTTATGTATTGTAGATTTATCATTATTATTATTATTATTATTATTTGTGAAGTAGGAATTTCGATTTTTCAAGTGCAATTAACCTAGAACTTTCGATTAAATTTAATAGCATGCAAATTAAACTCTGCAGTTCACCTTCGCACATCGTATAATCCTTCAAGGGATTAGATTGTTTTGTGTTTTTAATAGATGGTTGAAGTACTGTCAATTAATAAGTGTGTTTCGTTTTGACTTCAAATAATTTTTATTTTTATTTTTTTTTAAATTTTTTGATTGTTATGCTAGTGATTTTTAAATATAATATTATATTAAAATAGTTACCAAAGTAAAATTTATATAAAAATTCAATACATATCCTTGTTATTTGTTAAACAAGCTCATGAGATACAACTAATTTAAACATTTAATTACTTATTTAATGTTTTTATTTTATTATTGGTAAAGAAAGAATAGTGGGAATGTTATGGTGGGACGTTGGCCACGTGTGCTAATCATGAGATAGTGTTACTAATTATGGTAATTAATTAACAACAATTAAGATTAGATTTGAATGGTAGAATTAAATAAATAAAATTTATGGAAAGTATAATGCCTGGGAACTTGTTCCTTCTCTCTCCCCCGACTTGGGAATAGATATGCCCCTAATTAATTTATTCATTAATTGAATTATTAACACTCATTTTGTAACGTGAACCATAAATATATAAATATTCAAACAGACAAATAGAAATTATATATAATATCTTAATTATTGAGAACTTTTAAGTTGTTACATTGTTATTGATATTATTATTGTTATTTAAAAAAAAAAAGTGCAGCTGGACATAACATAGTGACAATGTTGACGTGTTAGATGCCTTAAAGCTTATTATTATTATTATCATCTTTGACTTGATCGAGAATGTTCCATTACTTTTATTGTTTTTCCATTTTTTTTTTTAAAAAAGAACTTTAGTAATATTAAGAAATAACAAGAAGCAAATTACTTGTTATCATAATATAATTCATGTAGAGAAAAAAAAAAAAAAAAAAAAAAATCAGAAAGCTTGTTTTGAGATGGGGTGAGAAAATTAGTAGGATTGGAAGACGAATCTCACCTCTAATACACCTCTTCTGATTTAATACCAATACATAATTTATGTTTTTTTTTTTTTATATATCTAAATATATTTTTGTTTTTATATTTTAATTTGATTTAATAATGTTATTGTAAATGCATATAAATTTAAAGATACTTATATACTCCCTCGTCACATTGAAAGGTTTTTATTTTTTATTTTTATATGTCTGAAAATAAGGTTGCAATATTTTAATATAGTTATTGTACTACCTATCTAACATAATAAATATTCTTCCAATTTATACTATATTACACAAATATCATTACTTTTATATTACACAATAGTAATAGGAGTATTTTCGTATTTCACTACAACCCATTATAATACTAATATTAAAAATCTACGTGCAAAAAGTAAACAACAACCTTGCACCAGGACGGAGAGAGTAATAGAATTCATATCTGTTAAATAAAAAAAGAATACTACTTCCGTCCGACTTTAAGGGTTTCATTTACTTTTTGCGTGTTGATATTTGAATATTAATTATTATTCCAAAATGTAGTACACATCAAGAAAAATTGAAAAAAATACTTCAATTAATATCTTATAATGCTAATAGAAGGATATTTGTAAAAGAAAAATAAAATTATACAAATATAAAGATATTTTTAATGTTAAATATAATATCGCAGAAGATAAATGAGACCCTTAGAGGCGGACGAAATATATAATATTATTCTTTAGATTATTATGTACTAAATAGTGCAGTTCAAAGGCCCGGGCAGAGTCCTTAAATATATAATATTATTCTTTAGATTATTATGTACTAAATAGTGCAGTTCAAAGGCCTGGGCGGAGTCCTTAAATATATAATATTATTTTATCTATAATAAAATATAAATACTTTTAATTATACTTTTAGATATAAAAATAGTATTAAAGAATTTAAACTTATAACCACACTACAAATTCAATTTTACACCGTCAAATTATATTTTTTTACTTTAAATATATCAAATAAGTTCGGTAGATGAAAATTATACATATATAACATAAATACATATGAGTTCTCTACTTAAATTGGGCTTAGGGTTGACTTAGCTCTCGTCCGAGTTCAGGGCTGAATCAAATTTCAATCATAAGTTTTCAAGTAAAAAATATCTTACAATTTTGTTCAATAAAAAATGAATTAGTGATGTGGAGATAGACTCATGACTGTGAGGTCATAGGTTTAAACTGCCGACGTCTTTGAAAGAATAATGTAGAACATGTTGGCGACGCTACTCAACTGCTCCAACGTTGTTTCTTGCACCTTGTGCTCGCCGAGCGTCACCAAAGTTTCCAATAGCCGATCAACGGGATAGGTTACGGTGCTGAATTTGAAAAAATCAGCAGCTGCTGATTTCTAAATCAATGTAAAATACAGAAACAACACATGTTTTTATTACAAACAGTACAATGTGTGTTGTATGGTTAATATTATATGCTAAAATCAAGTATTGTATATGATGTGTGAAACTATATAATGTACTATTAAGTCACATACTGTATTTGTATTATATTACATATATTGTGTGATATTTACTATTATATATTGTCTGATAGCACACGGCGTATTATTCAGCACATTAGTCGCTATCGGATCCACATATCCCATTTCACGCAAACCTAGTATCACTTGTCTGGTAAGAAAAATTGTTACAAGTTTGATCTACAAAATTTTGGCCTATTTCTCTCTGTTTCTCTGTTGTGTGTTTTCCCATCAACATCAATTCATTCATTTCTCTCCCTCCCTTATTTAGTGCACACTCCAACACAACACACTATTTATTGCCATTTGCTGCTCAATATTTTTTTTTTTTATTATTATTATTTTACAATGGATGGTCTGTATTGTTACACAGCCTCCTCTTCCTCCTCCTACTTTTTAAGGGTGTGTCTGTTCGAAGGATTTGTGTAAATTTTTATTATTTATATAATTTTTTTTTAAAAAATATCAAATCAAATATTTATTTTTTATTTTTTTATATTATATTAAAAATTAATTTTATCTTCAAAATATCACACATCAATACATATTTATATCACATTATACAACTATTTAAATTCAAATTTTTTCTATTAAAATCTCACTCCAAAATCCAAACCCCCAAACAAACACACCCTAACACTACACTTTCTTCATCATTTATCCTTCATCAACGTAATGTCTCTAACTTCTTCTTTCACAATCCTTCTTGTTTTTAATTTCTGAAGCTGTCTGCTTCAATATTCTTTAATCAAATTATTTATATATATATATATTTCCCACTTCAATTCCTAAATTTTATTGATATCAACCTGACTAGCTGGTTAGGTTAGGTATGGTTTTTAATGAAAAATAATATTAATAGGGTTAAGAGGAATTGGTGAGATGATCAGGTGAGATGAGGGGTCCCAAAAAAGTCCAATTTTTTTTTTTTGCAAACCCAACAATCTCTAGTAATCATACACCAATCTTTTGATTTTCAAAATCTGTCCCAAACCTCATTAAATCCAATCGGACCCAAAAGATCCATTCTATTACTACAAACAAGTTAAAAAAACAACGACAAGATGAACCCAACCAAAAATCTTGATTGATCTTGATGAATAAGATCTGTTGCAATCAAGAAAACAAAATTATACAAAAACCCCTCTTTCTCAAGCAAGATTTCCATGGAGAGAAAAGGCCAAGAAAGGGATTTAGAAATCCCTAATTTCCAAGAATCACCATTGAAGCTGCCACTCGCCCCCATCCTCTCCGCCCCATCTGACCGGAAACCTAATCCGGCGGCCGGAGCGGCCTCCGGCCGCCGCGGCAGCTCAATTTTTAGCCCCGTTCAAACCCTAGATCCACCGGAAAATCCAAACCCCCGCCAGCTCCACCTCAGCCCTAGCCCTCCCCAACATCTACTTGCACAGAGAGAACCCACCCCAGATTCACCGCCGCCGCTGGCGGCGGCGGATGCCGACGCCGGCGCGGACTCCAATTCCTCAGTCAGATACCGGGAGTGCCTGAAAAACCACGCCGCCAGAATGGGCGGTCACGTCGTCGACGGATGCGGCGAATTCATGCCAGGTGGAGATGTCGGCACGCCGGAGTCCCTGCGCTGCGCCGCCTGTGATTGCCACCGGAGCTTCCACCGGAAGGAAATCGACGGCGAGCAGCCTCATCACTTCTCCCATCAACGGGGCGCATTTCTCCACGGCGGCCAAGCCACATACTCACTGCCGCCCCCGCCGCACCACCGCCGCCGTCACAAGGGCGGCACCCCCACCGCCGCCGTCGCCGCGCCTTCCGTAATGTTCAATTTCGGCGTCGGCGGGCCGGCGGCGGAGTCCTCCAGCGACGACCTCAACATGTTCCGCCACCAAACAGTATCGCCGCCGTCCCATTCCCGGAAACGATTCCGCACGAAATTCAGCCAAGATCAGAAAGATCGAATGCTCGAATTCGCGTCGAGAATCGGTTGGAGAATTCAGAAACACGACGAGGAAGACGTCCAACGCTTCTGCAACGATGTGGGCGTGAAAAGACAAGTCTTCAAAGTCTGGATGCACAACAACAAACAAGCTTCCAGAAGAAGACAACAACAAGATCAAAGATCATTGACCTAATTAAGGCAAGACAATTGAATTAGGTTTTCACAATTACCCTAATTTGACTTCATATTAATCCCCAAATTTCATTCAATTTCACCCAATTTCTGTAAATTAGGTCAATATTTAAGATGAAAACTATCAAAAAGCTTGAATGTATTGTTCATGGAGTCAGCCATCACTTATTTCGCAAAATATAAACCTAAACAGCAGATTCTCAAGAAAATGAAACAAAAGGATGTGTATTTAAATATATATATATATGTACGTATGTATATTTATAGCTCGGCCTCCGGCGCTCTGGACCGAGCTCCGAAATTTCCGGCGGCGTCGGAAAACTTCTCTTTAGCTGCTTCATAAACTCGCTTGGCCTTTTCCGCCATGGAATCCTTAGCGTTTGCGTATTTGTCGTTAGCTTCTTTGGCTGCTTCCTTGTACTGATCATAAGCTGCATCTTTGGCTTCGTTCGTCTTCTCCGCCGCCATTCTGATCGTCTCGCCGGTCCTGGGGTCGGGGGTCTTCTCTTTCATTGCATCCTTGGCGTCGCCGGCGAGTCCGGCGGCCTTGTTGTAAGCATCCGCAGCTTGCTTTTCCATGGCGTCCTTGGCCTGACCGGCCATTCCCATCGCCTTGTTCGTCTCGTCGGCGGAGTAATGGTAGATATTGCTTGCCGTGTCCTTGCCGGCTTGCGTGGCGTCGGAAGCCATTTTCATGGCGTCGCCGGTCATCTTGTCGGCCGTCTCGGCGGCCTTATTGTAGGCGTTCTTAGCTTTGTCCTCACCGGATTGAGCTGTGTCGGCCAGAATTCTCTTGGCCTCGCCGGCCTTCTCCGATGCGTACTGAGATGTGTCTGCGGATACAACGTGAGTAAATTCAAATCTTACAATACCGGCGACCGGAAATAGAAGCCATGGAAATGGAATCAACGAAAATTGAAACCTTTAGCTGCTGAATTCAGTGTCTCTGTAGACTTCGCCGCCGCTTCCTTCGTCTTCTCGGCGACGCTGTCGGCAGCTGCTTTTGCGTCTGCCTCTCCACTGCGAGGGTTATTACAGATGGTAATTAGGTTTTTCTAATTCGGGAAAATCAAGGTTTAATTAATGGCGTTCCTCTCTTAACTTTATCTTTATCGAGACATTGTTGTCGTCGTGATTCAGAATAATCGATCGATGGCCGTCAAATTGATAACTCAAACTGATCGCGATTACGCAAACGTAGGAAGAACGAGGAGTTTCCGATTACCTGTTAAACATGTCTTTAGCACCGCTGGTCGCGTCGTCGAACACCTTGGCGGCGTCCTCGCCCCAGGACAGCGCCACCGGCGCCGCCGTGGCCGCCAGAAGCACCACCACGAAAACCACCCTCGTCACCGCCATTTCTGTTGAGGAAAAAAAAATTCCACCGGCACGCAGGCTGTCTGTTAATTTCGATTTAGTATATGTATCTGTCTTTTATCTTCCTTCTCGCGACAGTAGAGCAGAAACTGATTAATTCAGAGGTTGTAATGGAGACGATGAAATGGATGGGAATATATAAGAAGGGGGCGGAGAGGGAGGCGGTTGGGATGAAACGTGGCGCGCTGCATGGGGATGAAGATGACTGTAATGGTGCCACGTGGCACGGCGGATGCTGGGTGGTTAATTTTGGTAGAGACAACTGCGGGTTTGTCGGATGCTAATGAATGGTGGGCAGAAGGGTTAGAAAACTGTTGGAATTTTATGAACGAGAAGAAGATTATCCAAATGTGGAAAGTGGGAGGAGCACTTCCACATTGGGAAACTCGCCATCCATTTCATTCCTATCAACAATATAATTTCAAAAAAAAATATATTTGATAAATACGCATGGCACGCTCTATGGCTGGGTGGTTTTCATTTTTTATCTATATATATTTGAGATGAGTACTAATTCCTCAATTATGATATTTATTTTACAGTTTTTTATCATAATAGTAGGATAATTAAAATCTATATAATTTTTATCATTTTTTAGTGTTAGTGAATATATATACACCTTTTAAATTTTATAAAATTTAATTATAATTATTATTATTATTATTTTTGGTTGAAACTCATATTCTAATTTCTTTTGCATATTTTTCAACAAATTTTAATTTTATATTTATTTTTATTTAAGAAAAAGATGAAGATAGAAAAGGATCGAAGGTTTACCGTTTTATTTATTTTTTTTGAATTAACAAAATCATTAATTCTATAAATTATATTTTATAATTATAATTTTTATTTAATAATTTATCTTGCACATCATTGTGTCTATATATATGATATGAAGTATCAAGGTTGTTAGCATCTTTATATCTTTTTTTAATAGTTTTATGAAAGAAAATTTATATATTTATATATATTTTTAGATAATTTTAGTATTTTTTAGGAAGATAATGCATATGTATTAATTAAAAATTTTGAATTACTTATTATTATTTTTTTAATAAGTAAATATATATTTCTTATCTATTTATATTTATATAAATGGAAAAATAGAAAAATAATGCCAAAAAATTATTTGACTTGTATTTATTGACCGAGCGTTCACATTAATCGTTTTTGTGCCTTCAACGTTTGCAAGAGCAGATGCTTCATCTCCGATATTTCAAGTTATGACTGTATATTGGTGTGAAGAATATTCACATATTTTGAAAAGGCCTTCACAAGCTATTTTTTTTTCTACTATTTTTTTTTGAAATTATATATATATTTTTCCGTAGTTTATAAAATAACTTTTACTTAAATGTTATGATTTATATTATATACGATTTCATCTACAATATTTTATTTACTTTTATTTATATAGTATAAAAATAATTTTATTATATATATTTATTTTATAAATTATAAATAAATCATATATGTAAAATTTATAAAATATATAATTACATTACAATATTATTTTAAACATATTTTAATTATATATTTGTCAAATGTATTTAAGATTGATAAATTTATTAAAAATAGAAAATGTCACAAAAAAGGAAAATGAATCATATATGGGGGATGAATGATTGATTTGTATTTAATACTCCCTCCGTCCTGGAACTAAATATCAATTTGTTTTTTGCACGTAGTTTTAGAAATATTAGTATTATATTGGAATATAGTATGAATAAAGTATAATTGACTAAAATAATCTTATTAGTACGTATGAGATAAAGGTAATGACACTTGTGTAATATATTGTAAGTTGTAAAGGTATTTGTAATCGTTAGGTAAATAATACATTTACTAAAAAATGAAATAAATACTTTGTTATATGACGGACTAAAATGGAAAAATGGAGATATTTTGTTATGGAAGTATTGTAAATTTATTGTTAACTTTTATCTATCACGTATATCATATTAATATGTATTTGAATAATTTTTAAAGAAAATTAGTCAATTTTCAAAATTTTAAATGATTTGATTTTTTTTTAATATAATATTTTTATTTATAACTTAATATCTAATTTTATTTTAAAAAATAAGTTTGAATAATTAAAATTGATATTTCTGACTATAAATACTAATTATTAAATTATATTATTTTTTGCTTATTTATTAAATTGGTAATAAAAAATTAAAATAAATGATTATATATTAATTTTTTTAAAAAAACAATTAAAAATTAGTTTTTAAAATAAATTATCTATTTTACTTTAGTAGTTGTTCTAATTTTAATAAATAATTTAATTATGTCATATATTTTTTGTGAAATAATTATACTAAAAATTGTTACATAATTATTGTACGATATATACTAACTTTATAATTAATTTTTTCAACTTATAATTTTAATTTTTTTTTTTTATATGAATGTTAAGTTTTTCGGTATTATTGGATGAATGTCAATATTGATGTTCAAAATATTTGAAGTGAAACTAATTTACAAAGATGGTATATTTATATAACTATAAATACATCGTAATTTTTAGTTATATTTTATATACAATCTTTAGTGTAGATATAAGGTTAATTAGACAATAAAAGACGATACCGTAAGTATAAATTTAAAATTTTCACACAAACAATTTTAATTTATCTTTCGATGTCAACTATTCTATTAAAAAATTTACAAAATAAAACATATTTTACACGTATAAATATACATATATATTATTTCATTATTAATTATTTTAGCATACTAATATATTTTTTAAATATATAACAAGAAATGATATATAATTAGTACGAGAGTTTATTATCATATTTATATATTGTGTTTATATATGTATACTATTAATTATATCTTCATTGATACAATAAGAAAAATTCGTCACATGATAAATTTAGTATGAATTGGTGAAGGCTTAAAAATATTTGTATCATTTTATAAAATATTTGTCAATATCATTAATTATTTGTTTAATATTATTTTAACAATTTATATGAACGGATTTACGACGCTTGTCAGGTGAGAATTCACAATCGCTAATCACTAAGTAAATCATGTATGACAGGTGAACTGGAGGGTCGAGTTTGAACCATAATATCAGGATTAGAAATTTACTCTCAGAACCAAATCATTTTTTTACAGGATATGTCTGGGTGGTATTTGCATCAGTAAACAATGGTCTAGATATTTGCGGCCAATGTTAGCTATGATTTTCAAATTCGATCGAAGTAAGCAGCTGTAAATAATACATTCCAACAACATTTCCGATTTTGGGAAACCGATGAGGTGTTTGTACCTCCTATCCTTTGGACAGTAATAAAAAAATTGTTAATCAGTTGCTGGCAGATTCTTTCGGATAGTATAGCCGTACTACCCTATCTGGCCAGCTTTGATGCTGCATGGCCATTTGAGGGAAGGTGGTGAAAAACCTGAAGATATTGTATGAACGATATTCGTCTCTTTTGTAAATTTCTATCATTTTAATTTTTCATAATTTTTTTTTTTTATTTTTCATGTTACTTGTTTTTTTCATAAAAATAGTAACATTGGTCGTTCTTTGACTTCATATATATATTATTTCAAAACTATTATTTGTATTAACTTATACACTCGAGTAGAAAGTTGGTCGCTATTAAAATGCCTTTACGCCTCAATTATTCGATGCGTTTGGATGATTAATTTTTTTATGGTAACAGGACCTATTCCATAGGATAAAATATCTCGATGAAGTAATACAGGACATAATTAGGCTAGTAAATTCCTTTTGGTAATACCATTTTACAAAGGCATTGACAGAGAAAGGACCAAGAAATGCTATCATATGCTTGTGCCAACTCAATCTTAGCCACAAGCCCGTGAGGAGGTCCAGAATGACATAAAAAAGCATTTACCATTTCCTCAACGACAATTTGATGGTCAGTCGTACTCTTTCTTAGGAGAAAGTTTGCTTATAAAGAATTGATATATTTTTATATGTTACGGTGGAAATCCAAGTCTCATATTGAAAATTGTAAAAAAAAATTTAATTTTGTAAGTGATAAATCAACTCTACTAGTACGAAGTATTTTGGAGAAAATTCAAAAACAGACTCAGCCAAAGCGGACAATATTATTGAGTTGGCTCAGTCCCAACATTTTAGATCGGATAGGTAGCAGGCGTATGTTAATTTTAATTTTTATTTTTCATGAAGTAGCTTCGAATTGAGTTTGTCATACACTACTCTCCATTAATTGTGAGATCATTATCAATCCTATTCTTTTTTCCAGCGGGTTACGGTTTGCATATGAAAATATTTACTCCCTCCGCTTATTTATAATTGTTCTAAAGTATATTTGCACGATTTTTTAAATAATTGTCTTTTTGGTATTAGTTGACAAATTTATCCTTTATGATAGGGTAGAGATTACAAGTGATAAATAAATAAAGGGTAAAAAAATGAAATTTGTATTTAAAAAAAAAATATGTCCAAATAAAAAAATATGAGATTAGTTTGTAGACGGATGGATGGAGTAGTATTCATTGTCACTCATTTATCCATTTGTTCCAAGATCGTTGATAGAGTAGATTTCCGTTTTTTCGAAATCTTTTCATATTCACATTGAGCTCAATCTCTAAATTTCAAAGTCTTAAGAAAAAAATAATTGATTGTGGGTTCGATTCTCACTAATACAATTCCAATAGAATTTTTATTAAATTGATATAAAATTTAAATTGGATCATGGTCAGTCTAGCCTTCGAGGCCCAATTTTAAATCAGATGACCGGAATTGCTGGACCTAAATGTTTTATTATAAAAATAATTTATTTGTATTGAGTATCATAAATAATAGAAACTCAAAAAAAAGGAAAAAACATATAGAGTCACAGTTGATGTGTTTTATTACAAAAGGAACCACAATTGCAGGTTGCTAACCCTTAGGAATGACTGAATTTGGACCGACATAAATATTTGTTGGCGGGCTACAGAAGTAATAGGTATTGGTGGTTGGATCAAAGGTCCACTGGCCCACGTTTGATCTGTAGATCACCTCCAAATTCGAAATTAGGATGAAATCTTACGGATAGCTTTTTCTTGTTATCCTTGGAAATTAGATGGCCCACTGTTGTTTTTCACTTCGTTTGGATTTGACTTAAGAGGACCGGAGAACGATGATTTGGAATGGAATCTCGGTCGCCGGTGGATCAACGGCTATTCCGAGCAATGTGCTTGTTCAAATGCGCAAAAGGAAAACCTAATTCCAATGCCAATTTATTTGGCTGACGAAGAATTCAGCAGCAGAATGGAGGTTATTTGGTTTGTACCGAACGGTGAAATTCCCAGCCCCATTTCAGGTCTGCTCGAATTCGAAACTGAGTTATTTTTGTAATATACTCTTCATTATGCACTGTAATTTCCATGGATTCCGTGATTTTCATGAGGAAATTTATTGGTTTTTCTGGCGGGAATTATCATTTCGCCCACTGTCGGCAGTGAGAAAGGATTTTGTTTTCCGATTAAGGACAATTTGAAATATTAATGTAGATGAGGAATTCAACTTTCCACATAAATAGATAATCATATTAGCCGAATGCTAATACATAGAAATTTTCACTACTAAGAGAAAATACAGGTGCAGCTTTAATATGAAGCTGCTTCAGCAATATGAGATTACAACATTTAGAAATGTAATTATAGGCCTTCTTGGGTCTTCTTCGTAATCTCTTTTACTTGATTAGCCTGCAAGGTATAAATGAGATGGAGGGTGAGAATGTATGGAGTAGTAGGTGAATTTTACAAATGTAAGGGTTTGGAATTAGTGTTGCTTTAAGAGTTGGGGTTTGATAAGCGAAAAATTGAAGAGAGCTGCTGTGCTAATGATGCCAAAAGTCTAGAAAAGGACAGAAAGTTTATGTCAGGACAAAGATTTTAATGATAAAAAGGTAGCACAAAAGGTTGATAAAAGGGGAATAAAATAATGAGTTTAACTCGAACTGAGTATCTTCAATATCTACCTGAGACCAAGTTGCCGGTGTATCTCACATGGAATTATTTGAAGAAAGATTGAGTGAGCCTATGGCCAATGGACTGTTATCCAAACAAAGGGAGTGGGGATCAGATCTGATGTGGGCATTATTAAGGACCTTGGGACAGGATAAGAAATTAGGTGATGTGTGGCTTGGCATGTGTTCAATTTTTTATTTTCAAGGATCAAAACATTAATTATCTATTTGTAGGCTTCAATGATTTAAAAAAAGTTTAATTTATAGGGGTGGACTGCAGTTTCTTTTACCATGTGATCGCAGCACAAAATAAGCTTCTTATAACTTTCCTATAGGCTGTATAAATTGGAGCTTTGCTAACAAGTTGTTTGCATTAATTAAGATATTTTGAAGCACTGCAACATGGTAAAGAAAATATCTGCTCGATGGAAAAATGTAGGTGGTTTAAGAATTAAGTGCATTACCTCTGCTTCATGCTGGTGATTTGATCAGAAACTGTGCCCATTTGATTTGTACTTTGGGAATGGGACCTTTCCGGACTCAATGTGCTTGAGATCCTCTACAAGAATCTCATAGTGCCGCTTTACTTCCTCAGCAGTTTTCCCCCCAACAGCCCTGGCAATATTTTGCCAACGGTCTGGGGTATCTTTGTCGTAGACAGCTAGGGCCCTCTCGAATTGTTTGTTTTGCATTGGAGTCCAGGAAGAACTATAATTGCGTGAGGAAGAAGAAGATGCCATTGCAATGTTAATGTTACAAAACTTTGTAGATGAAAGTGGTTTGTCAACTAGTTGTTTGATGTTCTTGAGGGATCTCTGAGGCTACGATGTAAATGGCATTAACGTTTGCAATGAGTGAAAGAAAGAGGCAAATTTTGATGAGCTAGAACTCAAGGGATTGATGGTAGAACACATATTGTTCATCTAGCTCCTAATAAATAGGAAGAGAAGTGGTGGGGTTCTGCCAGTTGGGGAATAATCTTTTGCAAAGGGCAGAATATAGAGTGACTCTTCCATGTTGAATACCACACATGGATTGTGTGCACAGGAATAAGGAGCATCAGTATTTTTGGGACACTGCTTTTGTTGTCATTTTCATAATAAATTCCCCCTTGATCTGTCATATATTTACCTGATTATATGATATTGATTTAGCGGATTTAGCATGTCTTGTTTATCGTACATCACTTTTGTCTTTTCCGGAGACGGTCTTACCTGTTAGAATTTTCCTGTAGCCCTCTTGCTTAAGTAACTGCATTCAAGGGAAGCTAGTTTTATAATCATTTGCAATCAGATATTTGTCTGTCCTCATGGAAATAGTAATTAACAATGTTTTACACTCAAATGATTGTACTAGATTTTGAGTGTAAGCCCAAAACAGAGTATGATTTGTGTATTGAATGGGCCTAGCAGAAAAGCACCACTAGATTGGAGGATTATCATGCACCAGTCATAGAATTAATAAGTTTGACACCCTTGAGAGCCCAAAATAATAAGTACTTTATTTTCATGCCTCATTACTTGATATATGGTCTTCCTTAGATATCTTTCATGATAAATTCCTATTTATAATTAAGTGAGCTTCATTTAAATTTGGGTCAATTTTTTATAATTGCTTACTTGTAGGCATATCAAAAGGGTCTACTAACTCATTAAATCCATGGGCTTGCCCCAACATAACTAAACTGTAAGGCTCAACCAAATCTTTTCCTTTTCTTTTTTCCCAGAAGATCAAAATCCATAGAGCTTTCTTAACTGAGATTTGTCTCTGTACTTAGTTGTTGCCAATCAATTAACTATTGATCTGTTAGAATTTATAGTGTTGATACTCTTCTCTTGTCTAAAAAACCTTCAGGTGTATTTTCAAGGATAAAAATCAAGTGTTTATCTTTCCCTTTTATTAGTGTGGTGTCCAGTATTATTAAGAAAATATATCTCATATCCAAAGTTTAAATTGTGTTGAGAACTAGGTTCTAGATCTATTGTTACTGAAAGAAACAAAGAAACACTGAGCATCTCATACAGATTTTTGATAGATTATTTTTATTCTTTGATCACTATCTAGCATTCAAAGGTTTCTTGAAAATCTTTGATCATGACGTTGACAGAATAAGTGCTATTTTCTTTGGAGGAACGTCTTTAAGCATATTTTTTGCAGATAGGAAAGTGAAGGAACTTTTATTTAATCATATCTACTTCACCTACGTAAATAATCAAAAATAAAGGAAGAAAAGAATTTGGAAGTCTGTTTTACACCAATAATTTTTAAGACAATACTTTAAAAAAGCAAAACTAGCATGATCAATCAGAATCATTAGTGTCAACCATGATTTGTTATTTTTATTAATGATGAGGTGAAAAAATCTCCAGGCCAAAGATTGCTTAGTGTTTACTGAGTTTTTATTTATGAATATGGGTGTTGCTCATGCAGTCTTTTGTTGCTTGTATTTCAAAGTTTGCAAAAGAAAAAAGGGAATAACGATGATTAATCCTAGCCAGAGAGATGCATAATGCTATTTTGAAGCATTTGGTTGTTGAATGAAAGCATAAATGCAATATCTGCAAAATCTGCTTTATGCTGGTATCTGTTTTGACATCGAATAGTACGGTATGTACGATACACTCAAAAAGATCTTCCATCTGGTGGTCCATGTTGGTTGATAGGTCTATTTGCTATAATTCCTAAAGTCCGGTGGATGTCATTTCTTGTAAAGTTTTTTGGATGCTTGGAATCTTGGCTTCATACTTCCTTATCTTGAACGATGTATGTGACATCATCTTTTCTTCAAGTAAATTCACTTTAAACGCAAACTTGTTCACTGGTTGGATTTTGCTTGGTTCTTGATTTATGAGATTCCATTGACAACAAATGCTTAGCTTGCAATTTGTCAGCATTAATGTTTTATTGGAAAACTACTTCTAAAACTGTTGGAATTGATTAATGAAATGTTTGTTATAAGAATTTCCTACCTCTGTATGTTTTGCTAAATGATGCAAAAGTATTTTGACGTCTTAATATTATTTAGCAACATATTGGCAGTCATCGGAAAAATGATTGAGATTAACTTAATTTAGTTAGAACTAGAGACTTACAATGAGTTAATTTATGAACTGAATCCATGAACACTGTCTGCCAATCACTCCGTTTGTATGCACATCACTTCCTAATTAGGCTTTGCCTAATATTTTGCATATTTTTTGTATGAATTGAATTACTAACTTTCAGTTGAATAGACCTATCTGTGATGCATCCTTTTCAGACTCTGCTAAGATTCGTTCTGTTCTCTAATCATGCTGCTCTTTCTCTGAAATTACTTTCAACTTTGAAATCATTAGTTCGGATAACTGTTGCTGTCGAGGTTTCTGGTGCTGCCACTTTGAGTCGAAACTGTTGGGGCCTTACTTTGCAGAATCAGGCACCTGAACTTGTTTAGTATTGGAGTTTTTTAGTTGAGCCCAAACGTTAGGTAGTGAGTCATAAGCATAACCAATGTTGCTAATGTGTTCTTCAAGCCATAACCGGAATACGGTAGCATGTATAGTGCAGTGAGGGAACAATTAAACGGAATCTTCAGTCCTGCAACACTCATTTCATTGACAAAGAGTTGCAGAACTGATATCTGAAGCCACATGCATGTTTGATTCTTCTACCATGTCATGAAGGCCCCTCAATACATTTTATGCACTAACTTCTCGACACTTTATCATGTCATATCATTTACTTTCCGAGGCCCCGAGATGCTCCCCTTCATCGTACTACCTTAACTTTGTTTTAGTGTTACCAACAAAACTATCTATCAACCATCTCTGTCATCCCATTGCCGATCATCATTGTACCTAGAAAAACAAGCATTCATAGATGAAACTTGGTTAATGAAATTAATCTTCGATGAAAATCTCATAAGTGTCCGATTAGGGAATTTCTAGCCTTGCTTGCTTTCTAGGCTTTGTTTGATGCACAAAATGAGATTCAACTTGAAGAGAACAATCGATTATAGATATATAATACATACATACATATACTTTGAGAATTGGATGAAGTTTGTTTGGATTTCTCTCACTACCTGATACACAGAATAATTTGTAGACCTTGTTTTTCCTTTTTCTTCTGTTGCTGGGAAAATGATATTTCATTCTATTCTATCATTACTCAGATGCTGATATTACAATGATATATTACATTGCAGGCATTCGAAACAATAATTTGTTATAGTGTCCATCATATTCATAATGTCAAGATCAAGGGTGGAAACATGTGGTGTTCTTGCTGAGACAGAAAACTACAAGGTTAGTACCACACATGGGATTACTTAATTTCTGTCCTTTATTATCTAATCAATAGACTAGCGTTGGAAAAAGTTTACCATGTTATTTGGGTGAATGTCACATCAATAATTTTAGGAGAATTAGATCTCTTTGGTGATCCATTGGTTGGGATTTTTGTTTAACCATTTGAAAGAGCTGTGACATACTGTATATTTAATTGAAAAAATATAAATGAATTATCAAGTACTTTAAAATTATACCTCAATATATACACTACTATTATTTTGTAGAACATAAAATTATATATTATAAAAAAATCTACTTTAACATAATTAATATAAATTAGTTTTATAATAATACTAAGTTTTGAATATATATAAATGTTTGTGCTTATTTAGGAGATAGATAAAATAACATGTTACGAGTGGTTTCACCTTGAAAAAAATCGAAAAATATTTAAAATGAAATGTGTTAAGAATATAGCATGTTATAGCGGTAGCGTCCGTTGGAACGACAAACAAACACACCTTTAGTATTGCAATTTTGAATTAGTTATCGATTTTATTTTTAATCAATTGTTATTATTTTTTCGACTTCCCTTAGAAATTTTTATATTAATTATTTAATAAATTTTCAATATATTCCTATTTTATTTTTATGTAGCCAAATTTTATGGAGTATTAAAGTATTATAATTAGTTTTTAATCTCTTTATTCAACAATCTTTCAACTGATACAAACACTCGCAGGATGTCTGAACGAAGAATTCCAATTACAACAATTTGAATATAAGATCTCACTAAGGTCATCTCCAACCCATCTAACTTCATTTATCCAGTTATAGGGTACAATAATTTTAAATAAAATTTTATTTCAACTATAATTCTATTTTTCACTATTATTCTTCGAATATTCAATTTTTTTCATATTATTTTAAATAATTTTTTATTTTTATAATTTAAAATAAAATTTTTAAAAATTTAAAAAAATAAAAATTAAATTTAAAAGTCAAATTTATAATTTTAAAAATTAAAAAAAAAATTAAAAAAGTAATAATAAAGCAACGCCATTTTGGATTTGACAACCCACGCCATATAAGCCAGCTGCCCTGGGTTGAAGATGCTCTAATGAATGGGCAAGTTGATACAATATGGTGGCTGATTACTACAAGGTAGAGTACCTTAATTCTAAGTGATATTTTTAAATCAAAAGTGAAAATTGGTCTTCATATATTGGGTCATTTTGTGATTCAATGCCCATTTAAAAATATGGACCAAACCCATTAACTTTATAAGCCCATTTAAATTTCAATTGTTTGTGAGATGCAGAAGAATTAGAAGGGCTGGCTTTGTTTCTTTTATCCCATCGAATTATTTAGTAAGTTGTTCCAAATGCTGGCCAGGATTATTTTATAATAATTTTCATTAGAAATTAAAGAAAATAGCCTTAAAATTGGCTTAATAACAAAATGCAATTAAATAATCCCACATAATGTGAGGTGATGCTATGGAATAAAAAGTAGACGACCTATTCAAAATCGTCTTATTTTGTTATTGACGTGAGTCTTTTCGTTGACTTTGGGTCGTTCCTACCCATCAAATGTGTCTATTTCTAAACAACATCAACTAAAAATAATGATAAGGAATAACGATGGTTCGTCCAGTGTGACTTGTCTGTTTGACTTAGTTTGTAGGGTATTACAGAATGATAAGGAATAACGGTCCTATAAAGAATGACACAATAGTGTGGAAATAATTTGTATAGCCCTGTTCGATGACGGAGTAAACTCCCGGTCGAACCTAACACCCTACAAATCAGGTCCGACAGGAAAGTCACACTAGACGAACTATGTGTGGCAGGTAACCTAAGACGGCGGAAGTTCGAATCTATGACCTCACGGTCACAAATCCAATCCCTACACCACCTTACCATTCCTTACGGACTATATTATTATTATTATTATTATTATTATTATTATTATTATTATTGTTGTTGCATTTGGAAAACACTGGTTGACCGAAGGAAATTCAAAGTCGTTGATGCAGTGTCAGCTTTCATTTCATTTATGCTTGTCTATTTATTCAACCTCTTTCTTAAATTTTAAATTAATTTAATAAAAGGAGCAGTGAATGATGTCTTCATCATAAGTTTGACCACCAACTGAATGGATCAATCATCAATTACTACTGGTTGAGTTGAGTAACACGATTTATTTATTTATTTATTTATTGCATTTGACATTTCCACCAATCACACAAATACATATTAAAATTGTTTTTAGCACCTATTTTTTTAATACATATACAAAAAAAAATAAAACAGACAATATATATTATATTAAATCATATCATATACTAAAATTGGTTTTAGTAGAGAGTAAGGGTATGCGTGATATCTCTGAATTTGGGATAAATTTAATTGAATCAATTAAACTATTAAAGTCAATAATATACATTTTTTTAAAAAAAGTTGAATCTTTATCGAAAGTCTTATAAAGTCCAAACATTTGTATTGATATATGGTACTAATCTAGAATGACAAATCTAAGCAGCATGTCCTTGCTTGTACATAGAAGTAGTACTATTATGTAATAACAAAATATGGTATTAATATTTTTGGACATAATACTCTCAAAATAAAAAAGTAACCAAATTTGAAAGTAGAAAAGAAGTTATGTGAAGTGTAAAAAAAGGAAAAAAAAAAAAAAACACTAAATTATTAATAATAATATAATAAAAATAAGGGTAAATTGTTATTTTAGTCGCTTTATCATTTTAGTCCTCCGGCGCCGGAGACGCCCGCGTGGTTCGCCGGAGGTGACGTGTCCGCCAGGTGTCCCGCCAGGTCAGCGACACCTGGCGGACATGTGGATTTACTTTTTTTTTTTCATTTTTTTTTTAATTTTTAAATTTTTTTTAAATTTTTTATTTTTTTTAATTGTACCAAATAAAAAAATACAAATAAAATTAAAAATAAATTAAAAATAAGTTTTTAAAAAAAATTAAAAAAATGAAAAAAAAAATCCACGTGTCCGCCAAGTCAGCGACACCTGGCGGACACGTCACCTCCGGCGAGTCACGCGGGCATCTCCGGCGCCAGAGGACTAAAACAACAAAAATTTTTCACTTATGGGACTAGTTTGCGACAGACTCCACTTACGGGACTAAAATAATAAATGGGTCAGTTACAGGACTAAAAAAAACAGCTTACCCTAAAAATAAAGGACATTTGAGGGTCAACAAATGATTTGTGTTGTAGTATTTTGTGGTTTGTTTATTTTATTTTCTTATTATTTGTTTGATCTAATATGTGTGATAAAAAATAGTACATATACTCCCCAGTCATTCAATTGTGTGCTATCTGATCGTACACGAATTTGAAAAAAATTAGATAAAAATAAAAAATTTTACTTTTCAGAGTATATAAAAAATAGTATTTTTCTTACTTTAAAAAATATTCGAAAATAATTTAAATAATAATAAAAAAATGAAATGTAAAAATAAATTTGAATGACAAAATAAATGTATTTTATTGAAAATAATATATATAGTGAGAATTGTTAAAATACGAAAACTATGCTTATAAATTTTTATCCATGTTGCAACTGGCCTACTATTCGTTAGAAAAAAGGTAAATTGTCTTTTTCTTTTTGGTTTTTTTAATCTTGTTTTGTAGTTGTCAAATTTTAAATGGACTATGTATAGAAATCTACTTTTAAGTAAATTTTTTTTTGGCTGAAATTATCTTCAGGTATTGGATTTGCTACCTTATCTGTTCGGTACTACAGGAACTTTGATTTATATATTTTTTTCATTTAAAATTAAAATTGAACCAAATTATCCGTCAAATTATTTTTTTTAGCAATTTTTTTTTTTTTTCATTCAATATCATAATTATCAATTTTGGTCATATTCAAAAAAATTTATCAATTTTGGTCTTATTCAAATGAAAATTTATCAATTTTAGTCCAAGATGGTTGACTGAAACTGAACACGACCGTGCTGACACTTCTGAACACGGCCGTGTTCCTATTCCTGTTCTAAACGCAACCATATTCCCGCCAATATTTTTGCCCATGTTCTCTATGTTCTAGGTCATGTTCCTACCCATGTTCTAAACACAATTATGTTCGAGGCCATGTTCACGACTATGTTTTCAATATTAATATATTATTATTTTTATATCTTTTTTAAAATATTTTTATATTACGAAATAATTGTAAAAAATATTTTTGTTGAATTATAAATATATATATCAAATTATTTTAATCAAGAAGTGAAAATAATAATAAATATGACATACAAGATGATTATATTGAAAATATGGTCGTGAACATGACCTAAAACATGGCTGTGTTGAAAATAAGATCGTGAACATGACTTAGAATATGACTTGAAAACATGGGCAAAAACATGGTTGTGTTGAAAATATGGGCAGAAATATGGCTGTGTTCAAAACACGGACAAACACAGCAGTCTTCAAAAGTGCAGAGTAATCAATAGGACCGTGTTGGCTGCCTGAGAAGCCCAGTCACCTTTTGAATCATCCAACACGGCCGTGTTCAAGCCAACCAAGTTATCATGACCGTGTTCAATCCCGTCCCAGTCAACCTTCTTGGAACTATAAATTTTTATTTAAATTTAACCAAAATTGATATATATATATATATATATATATTTTTTTTTAACTCCAAACACTCGCACACATGCGTCGTAGCCGTCCAGTGGTTCTTTTGGCATTATTTGTTTGGGCGCAAAGGCCATACGATCGATATGGGCGACATTGACACCCATACTTTACACGCCCTTCCATTAATGGCTGCAGTCTCCTCGACCCTACTACATTAACTCCTCCTCCTCTCCCATTGGACGCCCTTTTGATTTAGCTACATCGCCCTCAATCTTCATCGTTATTGTTCTCTTTTCTTCTCACATTCGATCGATTCGAATCAATTTAGGGTTTTATTTAATGAGCGTATTCTCTGGAATTTCTGTTCTTCGTGCTCTCTGCTTGATTTTGAAATTCAAGTTGGATGGATTTGGTGCCTTTTACTTATGAATTTCGTGTTCAACGGGCGAGATTATAAGATTCTGCTCAATTTCTTCTCACTCTAGGTAATTGGGAAATTAAATTTTCATGCCTCGAAGCTTTTCATTGCACATTTTTAATTTCTTCCCTAATTGTTGTTCGATTTTCTTGCAATGCAATGCTCTTTCTGGAAAATGGATTAGAAATTTCTATCGTATTGTGATGGTTTGTAAGGTTGTTTGATCTGTATTGACATATGAAAAAACATGATGTACTAATAGAAAGCATCTCATGTTTTAGCAGCAGCCTCTTCCCGCCGGTAATTTGATGAGAAACGACGGCGTCGCCGGCCGGGTGGTTGTCGAAGGACTTCCCCCGCAGCGTAGCATTAAGGTAATCGAATGTGCCCGATTTCCGATTAATTGATTTTACCTAACAATTTACAATATATTACACAAATATTATTATCTTTATATCACTGTTAGTTTAGTGGATTCTACTTTATTAACTGCATATCAATATAATACTAATATACATAGAACTCTATGCAAAAAACAAGCGAATATGTAGTTAAGGGACAAAGGGAGTATAGCATAAGGACTAATTAGTCGAGGGTAGTATGGTTTTCACGTTGTAATGTATAACGTAAGGACTAATTAGTCGAGGGTAGTAATCGTGCGCCTAAAATGATCGATTGAATGCGTGCATTAGGTTCATCGGAAGCTCTCCCTGTGGTTGCAGGTGCACATTAGGATGTGTTCGGATTTGCGGAATTTAGTCGAATTGGTTTCGGAGATCATCCCGGAGATAGAGGCAGCGCGGCCTCGCGCCTCCGGGATGGACGCGCTCTGTCTCTTGAACACCGGCATTGCGAAGGCTATGTCTCTGCTTCAACATTGCGGCGAGTCGAGCGTGCTCTATTTGGTATTGATGTTGCGCTGACGTGGTTTTTCGTCGATTGAGAATTGATCAAGAAAATCGTTGCGCTTACATTAATTTTCCGATGTGTTTTAGGTTCTTACAGGCGATACTGTCCGCGACCGGTTCAAGAAGTCGAGCAATCTTATGGAGCATTGCCTCTCCCAAATTCAGTACGCCGTTCCGATGTCGTTGGCGGCGAAGGTACGTAAGATTGCTTGTCCTATCTGTTAAATGATCGTCTAACGGTCACATTTACTTTTTACTTGTTAATTTTTTAATATTAATTATTATATCAAAACGTAGTACAAATCAAGAAAAATGACAAAAATACTTCTATTAATATATTATAATACTAATATAATGATATTTATGCAAAAAAAAAATTGTACATTAATGTTAACTACAAATTAAATGTAACATTTAGTAATAGACGGAGGGAGTATTATTTATTTCGATTTGGTATTATGTTATATGCTTTGTAGAAGTACGCCGTGTGCTCTTAGTTTTTGTGGTATTTTTATATTATATTAATATAAATGATTTGTTTTTGCGTTTCATGTTGCGCTGACATTGATTCATGCTGTTAGATTTCTCGAATAATTCTTGCTGTAAAGAGTTCGGCTTTCCGGTTGGATCCACCGGAGCAGGAGGCGGCTAAGATCTTGCGCAAATTACTCCAAACAAACATCGGATCGACAGAGGATTCACCACTGTCCGAAATCCATACCGTCTGTTCCTGGCTTCGACTTTCGTCAAAGGAATCTCTCGCGATCGAGAAGGGCTCAATCGCGAGGCTTATAAAGGAATTCGACAAAAACAATAGGCAAACAAGGAAGAAGATCATGGTGTTCTTCTGGAAGCTTCTGGATAAATACATGAGCGTTACGGACAAGACGACGTTCGAACGCTCGCCTAGTTTACCTGGCGAAGGAAAACTCCGCGAAAAATATACCCGCGACGAGCCTCCGACCAACGTGTCGTGTCGCCCGGTGCCTCCGAAGGAATTCCTGTGCCCTCTGTCCGCGGCGTTGATGTGCGATCCCGTGATTATCGCATCGGGGCAAACATATGAGAGGGCATGGATTCAGAAGTGGTTCGACGAGGGGCACGACACTTGCCCCGCGACGAACGTGAAATTGGATCGTGTTTCGTTCGTCTCGAACGTCGTCATGAAAGAAGTAGTATCGAAGTGGTGCACCGAGAACCACTTAGATTCCGCGGATGCCGGAGCTCGCGACATGCTCGTTGCGTCGTGGGAAATGTCTGTCAGCTCGATCGGAAGCTTAAAAGCCTGCGTCGATAATCTGAATCTACAGTAGAGCGATCTCAGCCGTTCATCGTCGAACGGAGCTGCGTCGAGATCTTCTTTGCCTCGGTTTTTCGAGGTAGATGCAACAATGTACATATGTATATGTATGTATGTATGTATACACACATGTAGCCCCTAGTTTGCTGGCGACTGCGGCGGATATGCAACGCCGGCTCCGGCGCAACGGTCGATTCGTCGTTTAATTTTGCGTGCTGATAGTTTGGAAGGTGAATGTATATGTTTGTTCGGCCATTGTCTTGTCGGCTTAATGCAGGCATTGTTTGAATTTATGTTAAGCATGGGAGCTGGTTATGGTGCTCCAACAACTAGGGTTTGGACCAAGAGCTGATTCAATCAAATCAGCATGCGGTGCTTATTTGATTTGGTCCGAATATCAAATAAAGCTCTACTATATATATATATATATCGATATAAATATTTGATGGAACCTAATACCTTGCAAATTAGACTCGATGAGACAATTCATATTAGACGAATTATATGTGGCAGGTGACCTCGAGATTTGAACTCATAATTTTCGGTCACAAGTTCACTCTCTACACCATCTACTTTTATGTAATATTTGATCAGATCACATCATCATGACTAAATACCAAATTTACAGCCCAACAAACATATATAAAATAAATAAATATTATATATTTTAATTTATTAAAATATATGTTGTGGTAAATAAAAAATTCATACTTTAGTATGTTGCATGAATATATATATTTTTTGCATTAAAATTAATAGTAATATATATACTGTATCAAATATGTTGTACGAATATATTTTTTTATTAAAATTATTAATAATAATATATACTGTATGAATTATGTTCATGAATTATAATTATATTTATATTTATATTTATGTTAATATTAATTATAATTTATGCGCAGTTATGTACTGGTAGCATAATACCTAATTTCATGCTTCTGAATCCGATCTAAAGTTATATTGGATTCAGGTGATGGGGCTAAAGCAGGTCCAGATTCATCTCCTCTTGCCTTAACTTAATCCATAATTTATTTATTTATTTTTTGAAATAGATCAATTATTTTAATATTACAAAATTACAAAATGTAATGTAGAAAAAAAAATTAATTATAGTAATTTGGCTTCATAAATCTAGATTAATCTAAATTAACTATGGCCGATGCTATTAGAGAAATGCTAAAAAAAAATCCTAAAGAATGGTCTAGTGGTATGAAAATTGGAGTAGTAACTATACAAGTCATTAGCTCCCGCGGTAATTTTTCCACATTATTTAAATAAATAAATAAAAAATTGCCCAATTCATATATAATATTATATCAAATATAATTTGAATAACTATAATTAGGAAACAAAATCAATTAGAAGGCAACAAGTGGCAAGTTGAAATTAGTCATAAATATGAAATGGAAGAAGAAGATATATAGATGATGAATGAACTTAGCCTAAGACATTGTCTAGTGGGTTTGGACCAAATTAAACCACTTACTCATGTTAGGTCCTTTATTCATTTGTATTAATAAAGTTTTTGTAGTTTTTTTATTTTATTTTATTTTTTTAGTCAAAAATATTAAATATTATATATTTTTATTAATTTTTTTCTCTAAACTTTTAATTTTTATCCATTTTTTCCCTCATTTTTCTTATATATCCGATTGCGCTAGGAGAAATCGACTAAGCACAACCTATAACATTGCGATCATAATTTCACCTATATGTATGAACACTTCTTAAAGATTAATTAGTTATACAGGTAAATACTACATCCGTCTTATATCAAAACATAATATAAATTAAGAAAAAAATGCAAAAATATTTCTATTAGTGTCTTATAATACTAATAGAAATAAATTTATACAAAAAACTATACAAATATAAGAATTATTTTAATATTAAGTACAACAATGCAAAATGTAAATATGACCCTGCGGAGAGAGGGAGCATTATTTTCCAATTAAAATAAATAATAATGATTTGATGCATAAATTATACTGTATAATTTATTATATAACTATGTGTGTATTTTATTTTATTTTATTTTGTAGATATATATATTGATGATAAAATGAAATATTGTGTTGGGCAAATATGATGGGCCCTAAGATCTTCTTGGAGGCAGCATCTCTCACTATCAACCTAAAGTGATAATTGTCTCTCATTTCATCATTATACTTTTTGATGGATATAAGGATGGATGGGCATCAATTATTCCACTATTATTTGTTCATGTTTCTTTACTATTATATTTAATGTAATTTTCAACCCATATTTTTATTTTTACAAATTTTACAAATTACGATCGACAAATTACACTAGACAAATCTTATGTGATTATATTTGATCGAAAAAGCACGAGAAAATTTGAAGAATAAAATATTATAACTCATGTTTCTTTTTTACTTCACCAAATGGGTGACAATATAGTAACTAGTTCAAATTTAAGTATATTTGGAAATTATTTGGTCTCTTAGTTTACTTTAAAAATTATAAAATTTTAAATAAAAATAAATATTGGAACCTATTATTACTAGATTAATATAAAAATAAAAATTTAAAACATAAATGGACAAATCTTACCATTTTAGTAGTTACTAATGTCATAATCATAATTAATTTGATTTTGATTTGCCTAAGTTGATATAGTATTTTACCCGAATTGATACATAAAATTTGTATATTAGCGATCGGAAAAATAAAATATTTGCAATTAGCAATGTCAATTTCGATGATGCCATACTAGCTTTAAATCATTATCAATGTTAGCAAAATTCTGAAACTTGATAATGAAATCAACGTTAGATTAGTTACAAAATTAATCGACAAAAAAAAATTGATAGGAGCATTCATTTGTTAGTATTTGGTTTTGTAACTATATTTTTTTTACTCCAATCTTCATTTTGGTCGTTATAAGTAAGTAATTATTACGTATCTCCTTTAATGTCCATATTTTGATTTTCTTTTTGTTACAACGATAGTATGAATATATAAAATTTTCAAACTTAAATTCATTCTGCATAAAAATATACAATTTTTTTTTTTATTTATAAAATTCACATTAAAATGCTATTTAAACAAAAATTTAAATCATCAATCTCATTTCAAATTACTTTCAAACTATAACTAAACAAAAGCTTTTTAGTTCTAACACATTTTGAATGAAGACATTTTGACACACATAATTTTTCTCGGTTCTAAGCTTGCACGAGATCTATAAATATTTTAAATTATAATTCAAAAAAAAATAAAATTAAAGTGGTGTTCTATTAATTATATTTTACTATTATTTTGCAATGTAATAATTTTATTAAAATATATTTTTGATTTTCATAAATATCACATCTATATCAAAATAGAAATGAAGTGATGAATAAAGGTTGGTTGTGTAAAGATGTCAATTAAATTAATGAGAATATTATTTAATCATTTGACCAACTAATATTCACCTAATGATGAGATTTGAATCGTATTATTATTATTATTATTATTATTATTATTATTTATGAAAACTCCAAAATGATTCAATATATATATATATATATATAAAGTTAGTCATCTGTGTTGGATGGGATTAATATATCCAAAAGTTTGTTTATTATACTAAAAGAAGATTTTTCAGTAAAATTTGAATAATAAAAATTCGAAAAGAAACTATATGTTTACTCATCAGGTTTTACATCTGATTTTACTATTCTAATTTTTTTTTTTTTTTAAAAATATCAAATCAAGCACCCAACTTTTATTTATTTTATTATACTAAAAATCTAATTTTACATTCAAAACATCACATCACACATATTTATATCACATCAAACAACTATTTTAATTCAAAATTTTATTCAAAATCCAAAACTAAAACCTCACAGGTAAACACACACACTAGAATTCGGTGGCTTGACTACGCCACGCCGGACAAGTAATTTGTAATGTAAAAAAAATTGTCATGTATTGTTATAAATACAATATAATTCATTTAAAATGTATAGATATTTTCATTGAAGACATACATATCTAATCTTCTTGCGGACAAAAAGTATCATTTGTTTCGCAAAATATCAATTCTTCAACAAATAGTGAAGATTACTAGTTTGATGGGTATTAGGTTCGGCCGAAGTTTATTCAGTGCACACTTTCAGATAGCAGTTGCAGATTTTTACGTCAAAAAAATAAAAAAAAAATAGTGAAGAGCCAATTTAAAATAAACAATAAAGCGTAAAATAAAAATATATAAGTATGAAAAAAATTGGAAAAATATACTGATACAATGGAAGAAACAAAAGAGTGAAGTGAAAGGAAAAAAATGAAGAAAAACTTAGATGCAACAATTTTAGTTTAAAGTAAATATAAATAATATTTAATAATGTTAAAATAATTAAAATAAGTAATAATATATATATATATAGCCATAAAATTTTATTGTATATAATAATACTCATCCGTCCCAATACAATACCATTTTTGTCCGTTTCAAAACAATAGTCTCATTTTCATAAATAATTATATCACTATAAAACTACTCTTATTTTTTCATTATTATTACACAATTGCCACTACTTTTTACACTAATACACTCACAAGGATAAAAAAATCTTTTACTCGTACTTTTTACCCACTAATAATATAATATCAATATTTTTTAAATCTCGTGCTAAACACTAGAATATAGTTCTGGGAAGCCTGAAGTATATGAAATGTGCATATAGATCTGTTCAAATATGTGTATTTAAATAGAGTAATGAGATTTTGACTTTTATTAAATGTTGATTGAATATGATATTTTCTTTAATAAAAAATAAATATCTTTATTAAAAATAATGAAACCACATAACAAAAAAAAAGGCAAAAATAACAAAACCTACTTCTCTGTAAATTTTATTGATCTAAATCCCTAGTTATTTTATGTTTATTTAATAATTGGCACAAAAATCTGTTAATCAACATATGAATAATTATGAATTTTGTCCAATAAAATAATTCAAGAATGCAAATTGGTTTATAATTTATAAATAATTTTAAAAAGCGTAACACATTAGTTTCAAGCAAAAACTAATGATTAATTGTGTTCTTGTTAGGGTTTTAATTTTGTGGGATTTTTGTTGTTGATAATTAATAGAAATTGTGAAACTATTTTGGAGAATTGTAAAATAACAAGTGAAATAGCTTTTTTAATTTTTAAATATTTTGTGAAATTAAAAATTATATTTTTATTTAAAAATATATGTTTTTTAAATTGAAAATAGTGAAGGATAAAAGAACAAATTCTATGTGTGTCACTTAGCAATATTTTTTAATTCAATTTATATGATTTTCTATAGAGATATATACTATTATTTTTTTGATCTTAATTTTGTTTACTTGTGAGATTTTTCTTTATTTTATTATTTTAACTTTCATTTTTCTCAAAAAATATCAAATCAAACGTCCATTTTTTTTTTTTATCTATTTTATTATACTAAAATCTAATCTCATATTCAAAACATTATATCAATATATATTTATATCACATCAAACAACTATTTCAATTAAAAATTTTATTATTCAAAATCAAAACAAAAAACAATAATCTTAGAAGCAAACATATATTCTTAAAAAAAAAAAAAAAGCAACTATACATGACTCGATCTATTCTTCTAAGTTTATTTTCAATTACTCAATTATTGTGCATCTATAGTTAATTCCTATAATAATATACACTCCCCGTCCCAAAACTATAGTTTGAGTTATGTTTGGCATGAGATTTAAGAAATATTGATATTATAGTGAGTAAAAAGTACGAGTAAAAAACTTTTTTGCCCTTGTAAGTGTATTAATGTAAAAAGTAGTGACAATTATGTAATAATAATGAAAAAGTAAATGTAGTTTTACAGTGATATAGTTATTTATGGAAATGAGAGTATTGTTTTGAGACGGACAAAAATGGTAAACATAACTATTGTATTAGGACGAAAGGAGTATGATTTTATCTTACAAAGTATAATATTAAAACTATTGTTCAAATAAAAAAGAGCTAAAACTTAAAATAGAATAAAACAAAACTCTAAAAGAACATACTTTTGAAAGTTTCGACTACATTCATAAACGATAATTCTTTTAAAAAATATCATAAGAAGTATATTTAACTTTTAATTATATTTGAAAATTTTAAAAATTCAAAATACTCTAAACTCTTGTCTAAACAAAATAAATTTTAATGAGTAATTTTTGAGGACATGACCAAGACAAGTTTAGTATTATTCCATAAGGGACATATACTCCCACGCCCACTCCTAATCTAAACTTCACTCAATTAAATAATAATAATAATGATAATAACAATAATAACAACAATAATAATAATAATAATAAAAATAAAAAAATTAAATAAATAAATAAATAAATACACAATTTTGTATTAATGAAAATCCATTGCTTCATAGTGAAACACAACACACAACATGCCATGTGAGATTGTGCAAACCCCTTTTGTTTTCTTGTCAACCAACAAGTGTGCTCTAACTTGATGTGTATATATATATATATATATATATTATTTAATTTTTATTTATATTTTATAAAAAGAATAAATCAATACAATAGTTTGCATTGAATTAAAAATATACGTCCACAAACTAATGTTCTATTTTTCTATTTGAAACATCCAATAACTATTGTCTTATTTTCTTTTTTAAATACAAATTTTACATTTTTACATTCGTTCATTATTACTTTTAATCTCTACCATACAATTAAGGGCAAATTTGTCGATTCATAACAAAAAGACAATCACCTAAAAAATCGTGCAAATATACTTTAGGACAATAGAAATTGAACGGAGGGGAGGGAGTATTAAAATTTGTGCTTGTAGTAGAGTGTATAAATGAAAACACTCCATCCATGCATTCCATTCTTTCTACAACCCTCCATTCATCTCCAAAAATAAATAAATAAATAAATAAAAAGTTTTACAATGAGATCACAGAATTCTAATAATTGCTTAAGATATAATTAAAAATAACATCAATCAGTGGTTGGAATATATAGGCTCAATAATTGTTGCAATTTCAGGTTGATCATGATTCTGTCTCCTACCTCAAATCCCTTAAATTAATTATTTAGTGTCTTTAATTTATATTATAAATGATAGTATTGTTTATCACCTAATTCAATTTAATTATTTCATTTTATCAGGTCAATTTGATATGGACTATATATATATATATATATATATAAATCCATTCATTTAGTAAAGTATATTATATGTGAAGTAGAAACTAATTTTCCTTTAAATTATCAGCATATGATTTAATACTAGGTGTTAATGTATGATAAGGTTGAAAATAATTATTTGATTTTTTAAGAAAATATTAATAAATAAATCCTATTTTGATGAACAAATTTCCAAAATAATTTATATTTTGGAGCCTATTCTATCATTACTTCTAGAAATAATTTTATTATAAAATAGGGCTTCAGTACTAAATAAAAGAATTAGACAATTGTTTTGAAATGAACCAATATAAGAAAATAAATTTTGAACCGGAGTATTATTTTTAAATTTCATGTCAAAGTAAATATATACTTAGTATGTAAATAAAAATAAAAGTTTTATTTCAAACCAAATTTAAATTAAAATAAAACATATTGAGTGGACATCGAAATGACGAAATTAGGCTTAAGGAGGCGAGGTCGATCGGACAGTCTCACATGGCGGCACAATGGCCGTTGGGCTCCACCCTCCATAGCCACCCTCCCTCCCTCGCTCCAACTTCCTTTCCTTACATAAACATTACATTGTTTTTTTCAATTCAATTCAATCCAATCCAATCCTATCCACATTTCCATCTCCATTATAAATCCCACAATCACCTCTCCCGCTTCTCCACACCCAATTCCGCCATGGACCACCACCTCGCCCTACTGCGCCGCCACAGCGCCGCCATCTGGCACATCTCCTCCGACCAAATGCCGCCGCCGCTCTCCAACAACAGCACCAATTCCTCCTTAACCATGGCAGTATGCAACAGTAGTAGCAGTAGCAGTCCCATCAAGAAGAGAAAAGCCTCACAGGTCATTTATTTGCTTTCTCTCCTCTTTGCTTTCATTTTATTCATTTCTGTACTAACAATAATTATTTCCACAATGTTGTAATAATAATACTAATAATATTAATATTAATTAATCACCACCAGTTCGATGATTTGGGCTCCGCCGAATCCGAAATCACCGCCAAGCCCGAGCCCGAGCCCGAGCCCGAACCCAATTCCTCCTCCAAAGTCTCCTCCTCCGACTACATCCACGTCAGGGCCCGCCGCGGCCAGGCCACCGATAGCCACAGCTTAGCCGAAAGAGTATTTCATCCATCCATATCCATATCCAATCAAATCATTAATTAATTAATTAAATAATTAAATGTAATTAATTTAATTAATTACATTAATGTATGTATGATGATCCACAGGCGAGGAGGGAGAAGATCAGCAAGAAGATGAAGTGCCTGCAAGACCTAGTCCCAGGATGCAATAAAGTCATCGGAAAAGCTGGAATGCTCGACGAAATCATTAACTATGTCCAATCCCTACAAAAACAAGTCGAGGTATACATACATACATACACACATATCTATATCTATACAGTCGCCCATTATCAATCATCTCCTTAATCAATTCGACAGTTCCTCTCCATGAAACTCGCCGCCATTAATCCCCGCCTCGACTTCACCATCGACAATTTCTTCGCCAAAGAGGTAACCATAATATCCATATAAAAAACACAATCTTTAATCTGTCTGTTTCTTACAATCCCTAATCAATTACGCCATTTCCATCCATTCAAGAATATTCCGGCGTATCTGGCAGCCCAATTCGACGGCGCCGACCCGATCTGCAGCTTCGATTATCAAATACAACACGGAGCCGACGATGTCCCAATGATTCCTCAAAAATTAGGAATCTCCGGCGCCGGCGACCCTAATTTTCTCATTAATCCGGCCACCAGCAGCTCTACAAATATCTCTGTATATATATATATCCGATTTCTTACATCCTCCATTAATCTTACAATAAACAACTAATAAACCCTGTTTGTTCAATATGTGCAGATTCCAGGGTGGGAATCGGATTGGCCGAGCTTCTTCAATGGTGGATTTCATTAGAAAAGTCGAAAATACTTTATCCAGCAGCTGTCTCTTTAGTTTACAGATAAGGTACAGTCTTTTTAATTTGCTTCCACAGAACTTTATTATTGCATCCATGTTAGCATATTCTCTGACAAATTTTATCCCCAAATTTTTTATTACAGCCTAGCTAGCTAGGAGCAGTAAAGAACTAATTTTTTCCATTACCAAAAAGGCAATTCTTTTCCATGGAGAGGGCTTCTTGCAATCAGTGTATATCTCTATCTCTATATATATAATTTGTATTCCTTTCATAAATTATATATATAATATTGGTTTGAAATGTATCATTATCACCTCATAATTAATAATGATCTCTCTATATATATGTACAGCCCACAATTTGGAGATGAATGTATTCTTCTAAATTACAGTTTTTTTTTTTTTTTAGAGTTATTTGGGATATCATGTTTTTGTAAAGATGGTTATTGATTGCAGTTGGGAACTTTTAAGCATGAAAAAGACAGCATGAAGGGTTGTCTGAAAGTGGTCCATTTTAGTTTAATTTGGTGTTTCTGGCACACACACAAATAGCCACTTTGTAGGACCAGACATTTCTTGATGTATTCCAACCAAATTGCAATTAAATTTGGAGATTATTTGTCATAATAATAATAATAATAATTAGTAATACCCAATTAAGTAAAGAGCATCTTTTGAACAATTGTATTTGTTATATAATGTTTTGCATTAAATTATTAATTATTTGTAAGTGAATCAAATATATATTATATATATAATATTTTTATAAAAATATTTATAAAGAATAACAAACCTTAAGAGTAGCTTTCACCTAATTATGAATATTATTTTTTTCTGTCATGATATTTAATTTTTCTTTATAATTTTTTATCGAGTTTATTATTCAAGACTTTGTTCAATATAATTTTTACAATTAAAGTGGTTTACATGCTATTACATTTCGACCCGAAAATTAACATTTCCCAATTAAATCAAATTAAAATTATTCATATAACACAGTTTCTAATAAAATATACTATTTTATTTCAAAAAATATCATACTCTCTCCGTCCCATTGAAAAATTGTCATTTTTCATTTTCGTCAGTTCCACCAAAACAAGGTTACCATTTCCTAATTTAGTAATTGTACTATTTACCTAACATAATAAATATCCATCTAATTTACACTATATTACACAAATGCCATTTCTTTTATATTACACAATACTAATAGGGTATTTTTGTATTTTTCACTACAATTTAATGTAATACTAATATTAAAAAATCTATATGAAAAAAAAAGTAAATGACAACCTTACACCTGGACGGACGTTGATTGAATTTCATATTACACAAAATTAATTGCTTGCTAATAGACTTTTATTATATATAACAAGTTTTGGAAAAATGGCTTTAAAAAAAAAAAAAAGAAGAAGAAAAGAAAAGAAAGAACATAATGTATAATTGCACCTATCCTGCAAAACATGCTAATACTCTTCATTATTGATTATTAAGAATGATGAAAATTTTAAAATTGTAAAAACAACGTTAAAATATTTTATTTTCATAATATTTAAGATAATGTACGAAAGAATACTTACATTTTTATTTTAATAAAATACTAAACCTACAAAACTCAATCCAAACCTAGAAAAAAAAAAAAATATAACATAAAATCAAAACATGGTTTACCAAATCTTGAAATGAAATAGTAAAAAAAGAAAAAGAAAAAGGGTCCTCACCTGAATTTACAGTGCTGGAACAAAAATAAACATTCATCAACACAGCCAATTTGTCAAATTTCATCATCCAACAAAGAAACGAATGTCATAAACGATGATATTAGCAGATTCACCAGAATGTATTTCATTCTATAAACAGTTCCGAGGTCGGTCGATCGATCGAATGCAAGTTTCAGAGACATTAAGAAGAGATATAGAACCTCGGCATCGTTTCTACGACTGAACAACCAGCTAAGATTCATAACTACGGTTTGATCTTTCGGAAAGATAATCAACATAACTTAAAAGATCAGGAGTTATTTACCGAATTCACTCGCAGACGGGCTTGGTGTCGAAGCTGCTCAAGCAAATCGCAAAGGCTTGAAATGCCGAGAGCGGGTAGCGATAATCCATGGTGAATATGTCTTTTCCAATCTTTCCAAACTGCAGAATCACTTTATCTTTCTCTTCAGCCGGTAAGTCGACTGAAGGGTCAACATCCGCAACGAGCTGGAAATTTTTAACCGATGCGACTGTCACGCGGCCTTTGAAGTTCAGACACCAGCATTGCAACTGCTCGTGCCATCTCGGGGCTTTGTTTTTGAGAAAGAGGGCGTCATGGGCTCCCGGTGTTGGTTCAGCTGAAAGATTCGGGGAGCTGAAAGATATAATCGGATCCTTCCCTTTCGAGCTCGAAGATTTCTTGTCCAGATGCTGCGGAAATTCTGTTGGGGTGGGAGCAGTGCCGCCTTCTTGAATGGCAGAGACGGGAATCGATTGCATCACGCAATGCATTCTTCGAGGGCCTCTTGTGCGCAGAACGAGTTCATAGGAAATGGTGGCGACATTGTAGTTGCATGCCGGTATTTTTGGGGATATCTGCTTTGCGCTGAATCTCCGACTATGCTTGTTAGCGTGCTGAACAGCAGCGGCATTTGGTGGTTGGCTATCACAGATTGTGAATTTCGTCCCCAGGAGATTAGACCTGAATTAAAAGCATTTGAATTAGTGTGAGTTTTTCAAAAATGTCATAACAGAGGAGCATAATATGCAAGCCACTTGCCTAAGTTTTCCGACATATGTGTTGCTGGAACGAGAAAAATCGTTCGCAACTAAGGAGATCACAAAGTCCTTGCTTGTGGTTCTCCTGATCTTTTTAGCCGCAAGCAATAATTTATCATTCTCGTCCTCCGCTGCCATTATATTCAAAGTATTGAATGACGAACATCGAGTACACATCAAACTACCTCAGCATATTCTCAATTCAATGATTGAATGACGATATCAAGCAGATTATGCGAATTCTATTACTGTGTGTAAAAGTAGCAGCCAATGATTCGTTTCATATGAAACACGTGTATTATTTTAAGGATAGTATTCCGCGGAAGGTGGATAGGATGACAACTGGCAACGTAAGTATCAAGATTACGGCAGCAAACAGTTCCAGATAAGAAACCAAGTAAAACAAATCATCATATATGCGAAATTTCCTAAATGACTTGCAAATATAATAGGAATGAAGTAGGTATATAAAATGCGAAAGAGGTAATAGCTGAGAAAAAATAAAATGACTTACATGGGATTAAACCGAAATAGAGGTGATAGGTAGAGTTAGTTCGATCCCTCTTGATAAAGCACTGGATCGGAGCATCTCGGGGCCCCGGCTAATCGCAATAAAAGATAATTATGAATTAAGGCATGAGATTACAATCATCACAAAAAAAACAAGATACGCCAAAAGCTGAATTGGACAGCCAATCAAAACTACCTGTTTTAACGAAATCGGAAACGTCAGCCTCCCACATTCTTCAGGAGTTTTGACAATTTCCTTAGCAATAGTCCTCCAAGATTTGCAAACTGATGCGCAGAAGATAACGGCTTTCCTTGCAGGCCAGGCAGCCTCACTGTCTTCCACTCTCCGGATGATGTCCAGTAGCAACTCAGGAGGTAGATTCGCCCATTGCCCTTGCTCGATTGGCTCGGAAGGAGCTACATCAGGAGCTATAAATGTCTTTGTCCTGCTTCGCCAATGCATACCATCAAACTCCCTCCTGGACATGCTCCCAAACCCATTTTTCATATCCTTTAGATCGCGAATAATGCTCTTGAATGACATCTCCTCAATGGATCACTCCAACTCCTATCTTCAAACAATTATCACAGTTTTGAGTTACAATTCAACATAAGTTTGTACCGACAAATGACTGACAATCCAAAAACAATTTCCTTCCTCCTATCGGCAACAGATCCAACAACTTGCTGCAAACTTAACCCTTCCAACACAACACAGATCCAATCATCTAAACAGAACAAAATGCAAACCAAAAACCACGAAATCACCAACAGTTCAAGATGCAGAAAATAATTGAGACAGATAGCCATAAGAGATGTGAGTAACTAATAATCGCAGTCATCCACCAAAAAAAAAAAACAATTCTCAAAATTGTTAACCTAAAATCACCCCCATCCAGCCCTAAACCCCGCAGATCGATCTCCGTCACAGAGAAAACAGTACCGCAGCTTAGCAAAGAAACAAATCTCAACTACTCAAAATACAGGAAACTAAAAACAAAATCAAAACCACCAACGCCGCATACTACCACTACCAAACATCCGTTAATACCTATGAGCAAAAAAATTAAAGGCTTAAGAGAATAAAAAAACCTAGCAATTGCCGAGATCGGAAGGTAGCAAATCAGATCACGAAGCAACAGCAAACAAATCTCCGTAAATCATCAGCATTTTCAATCAACACTCCACGGCGGCCGCTCCCCACCGCCGCCGACGCTTATCGCGACGGAAATCACATAAACCAAACCACGACCAGGCAATTCAGAGGCTCCACAGCTACTTCTTCTCACGGGAAATCAAAAAGTGCTCCTCTCTCTCTCTCTCTCTCTACCTCCACGGCAAAATTTGCACGCGTATATATCCCCGTCTCTCACTGCTGCTGCATCTGTATACGGCTGTAAATTTCTTTTTCCTTTTTTTTTTCTAAAAATTTTAATAAATAATATTCATAATATTTTTATAATAAAAAAACAAACCGCTTCGCCAGATATATTTTAGTATTATTTTTATTAGTGAAACAAAATTACAATATGTGTGGTTGTCGTTATTATTCAATAATAATAAATATTATTTTAATTTAGTAAAACACTTTCTTAAAAAAATAAAATAAATATATTGGCCCATAAAATTAATGGATTATTTATTTATTCTTTTTTAAGTAATTAATTAAAATCAGTGAGAGGTGTATTGGATTTGCCTCCCACATTTAGATGATTTTATCTGTTGTAAAGTGGATATTATTTTATAATCTTGATTTGTATGTATTATTATTTTTAAATAGGTTTCTATATTATATATCAACACATTGAAAATGATTTTTTTTTTAAATAAAAATAACAATTTGGCAATGAAAATCAGGTACTGATAATGACTCTTACTAATCATGATTACCAACAACAAATCAGGTATCCAATAAATGTCATGATTTTTTATTTATTTATTTTTCACCTTATTTTTGGTATATATAATACACATGTTATTAATATATTATCCATACAATTTTTGATTGTGTGTATATTTTATTAGGTGTATGAAAAATTCCAAAACTAAATTCAAGCTATATATATTTTTATGATGTTGAAATTGGCTGTAGCTATTCCTTGTATGTAATATAAATAATTGAATTTGGACATAGTCTCCAAATAGAAATGTTATACTATTTAATTTACAAATATTGATAAACAGACATTTATAGAATTATAATTAAATAAATTATTTAGTAAATTGATTTATATTTTCAATATAAATTGTTTATTCACACATTTTTAATACTTATTTCTAGTATTATACACTTATGTTAAAATATTTTTATTTTATAAAAAAATGATATAAAACTTAGGCTACTTTAAAGTTTTATTTAATATAATTTGACAAAGAATTGTACTTAAGAAGGCCAACTCCTTTTTTTTTTTTTTTAAGAAGAAAAGACCAACTCCTCTTGAAATAATAAACTTTATTTTCATTAGAATTTTATTTAAATTTCTTATCAAAATTATAATTGGTAAAATTTACAGTCCCGTAATTGGTAAATATATTTTAAATATTATAATTTTCCCCCTTCTAATCTTGTTGTTTTACAAAAAAAAAAATAATTCTTAAATTATTTTTCATCTCAATATTTTTCCTAATAATTTGATTCCAATTCCACTTTGACAAGAGATTTTTAAGAATGTTAAAGTTTTAGAAAATTTAAAAACAGTAAAAAATTAATATTTGATGTAATTTATTTTTTTACTGATAACGTGGGAACCCGCAACCGCTACTCGAAAGGTCCGACAAGGTAAGTCACACTGAACGCATAGTCACAAATTCACTCCGTACACCACCAGATCATCATTTATGGGACAATGCTATATATAATATATATCAAAATTATATTTTATAAAATTGAAATGGTGCCAAAGAACTAACTCATTGCTAGAAATACAATCGATAGCTATACCAATATATATTTCGAAATCAACATTTATAATGGCTAACTCCAAGATAACGTATGTATATGTAAATATATATCAATGTATTGTAAACTCCTCATCAACGTATGCCTATCAAGCTTTAGCTCTCGTTTATCTTGAATGAAACGAATTTCTAACTTTATTTTTAGTCCTCAAGCAATTCTTTACTATAGATATAATACTAAATGAGACACTTTGTTCGACAATTGAACGATGTGATTAGATCATCATCTGGACATGCTTTCGGATCAAATGAACAGTTTTGGTGATAAAATCATTAACTCAAAATCTTTCAAGATGAATTCAGTCACTGAACTCACTGCTCTTCTCTCTCAAGCCCCCAAAATCGAATAATTTGATCGAAACATAAAAATATGTATTTAAATTGCACCACCCTATAACAAACTTTTAGGTGGCACAATGCAAATTTCCTTTCAATTTTGATCAAATCGTTTTATGATCACTCCGACTAAAGATAATACAAACATCTACACAAATTTTCTTATGTCTATCAGAATGTTTGGATTCGTTCAACTCCGAGGAATGCTCCAATGCCGCAATATCAATATTTTTTTTTAGCATCGTAGCATTTGATCTTCAATAGAAAGTTCTAAATCATATCTCCAGTAAATATCAATTTTAATTATAATTCTTCGTCAAATAACAAACTAGAAACACATTCTAAAATGATTTATTTTAAGAACTATTTGTCTCACAAAAGGATGTTGTAATATTTTTGTAACTTTCTTGAAAATTGTTTATGTGGTGTAATAGTAAGACTTTAGTTTCAATTGATTTTGATTCTTAACTTCTAAATGATCAGACTTTGACTCGGCTTTTATAACATCAAATCATGACCACGTGCGCATATATATATATATATTTGATAGCGTAGGAATCAACCGTCACTATCTGAAAGTACGTGCATATTTACATGTACAAAATTGGATACACTAAATAAATATATTTACTAATAGAAAAGTATTTCGAATAACTCCGTCAAATTTATTAGTTTCATTTGGTAATATTATGAATTTCAAGGGTTTGTTTGGTTTTGGTCTCAAACGAAAATCAATATCATTCACATCCTATTATTCCAAATAATAAAATAGATTATTTTCTATCACAAAATATTATATTAAAATATTAATTAAATTAAAAACCTTAACTTAGACCAAAACCAAACAAACCCCATCTTCAAAGTTATTTGTCCAATTAAAATTCATCCATTTTATATTTCAAATACCATTTCAATTATGCAACAAAATGATAAATTTTAAATATGAATTATATCAAATCTATTCATTTTAAATTAACCATCAAACCTAAATTCATCCAAACAAAGGGACCTTAGGTTTTTTGTTCTATGTTTCATACTTAGTTTCAAATTCTAGATATATTTTTTTATTCCATTCGGCCTATTTTAATTTTACTCCAAATTATGGTAATTTGCATTAAAAAAATTTGTGGTTAGTTTTGTTGTTTTGCTATTTATATTTCAATGTGTGTAAGTTGTCTAACCCATTATTAATGGAACATTAGTATTATGAAGATTATTTAAATAATGCCAATGTGTAAGTTGACCTATCAACATTAATTCAATTTTTGCTTGCTGTAACAAAACTTAATTTTAAATTGGTGTGTTTTTTTAGTTAAATTATTATTACTATTTTATAATAATTTGTGTGTATCTATATACACATATGTTTTGTAAAAAAGTAAAAAATAATCCGGTAAGGGATGACTACTGGTGTTGGAATTGGACTTGTGACCGTGAAGTCACGCCTCAGGTCACCTGTTATACAATAATTATATAGCGAAAGAAAGTATTATAATAAAAACTTATTTCTTTAACCCAAACTCTTTCAAATCAAATGGACTTTATTAGGGTTTATTTTTTTGTAATTTATTTTAATTTTTTTTTACTATACTATTTTTTAGTATTATTTTTTGATTTTTCTTATCAATATTACATTCAAATATTATTTAAATTAAAATTAAAATAAAAAAGTTCAAAACAAAATACACATAAGAACAGTAAAATAAAAAATATCAATTATCATTTAAATCATTCCTAGTAAACAGTATTTTCATATATGTTTTGAATTCAATAAAATGATTATATATATATATTTACAATTATATATTCAACAATGTTTTGCAAAATAATAATAATAAATAAAACATACTATTTTAAATATAAATACATATTGAAAACAATGTTTTAAAAATTAACTTATTTGCATGCTATTAAATTTCATCAGAAATTTATCCAGAGTGCATCCGAACAGTAGCAGCAGTGTATATATTCTCACAATAATAATAATAAAAAAAAAAAAAAAACTTATTTTATCATAAAATATATAAAGACAATAAAATACCCCCGGAAAATTTAACATACAAAGACAAGTAAAGAAAGGGACAAAATAACTGCACGTTGATACCAACGGCATATTATTATTATTATTATTATTATTATTAATTGGAACCTCGAACTATGTCCAGAAACAATACCACCTTTTATCCATTTCCCTAAAGCCCCGTTATACATATTTATTTATTTATTTATTATAAAAATATAAATAAAATATGAAAGATAGGAATTAAATAATAGTGAAAAGTATGGGCAGCATATGGTTATGCACATGCGACACCACACCACCCAATTTGTCTTTTATTACAAAGCACCCCACAAATATTTATTTCAGTGCAAATGCCTCCCACATGACTCCATCATTCATTGTTTTTTTTTTTTTTTTAAAAAAAAAAAAAATCAAATAAATTCTCTTGTTCATTATTTTTTTCTATTTAAATTTTGAATTTGAAATTAAAATTTGTATATATTAATTAACTAGTATAGGTATGTTAAAAAAGAAAAAGAAAAAAAAATGGATGAAGTTAAATAAATAAATAAAAGATAAGAATATAGTAATATATACGGTTTGTTTGATTGTAATTCAATATTTATTTGAAATTAACTATTGATTTAAATTCTTATTAAAATAACATTTTGATATAATTATTATAATATAAAATAATATATATTTATTAAAAAATATTCATTGTGAATAGTTACAATTTTAAATCACAAAAAAGAACCCTAGTTTGTTCACCCAACCAACATAAAAATGAATATCTATAAACTCTTCACCCAAATAAAACATTAATAATAGAAATATATTATTATTATTATTATTATTATTATTTTATATAAATTGTCTAGAAATAATAAAACAACTAATTTAATAATACATTTATGTTTTCAAATAATTAACAACAAAAATTTCTAAATACTAAAAATAAATAAAAACCCAACCTTGTAATTTATGAAAACAATCCAAACATTTGAAAAAAAAATAAAAAAATAAAAAAAATATGGACCCACATTGTTCTGTTATATTTATAGACAAGTTCATTAGTCAATTTGTCAATTCTTGACATAAATGATTGTTAACATATAAAGTTTATTAATATTTTAAAATATATTTTATTTTATTTTTACAAAGACAATTAATTTGAATATTTATATATTAATTTGAAAATTAACCTAATTCATGTACGGACACACATGTTTGCTTAACTTATAAGCTTCTAATTAATAAAAAGACCAAATGACAACATAATTAGTATGCCAAAAATGTTGCCTGCAACTCCTAATTATTGTCCAAATTTTCTTGCTTGATTTGATTTGTGGGTGTGTTCCCTTGTATTTTTAGATAAATGTATATTTTTATGTATATTTATAATATAAAAAATAATATTTTGTATTAAATTATTGAAATATATATAGTATATATCCCTTCTATCTCAAAAAAATGTGTTCATAATTTTTAATAAAAAAAATATATACTCCCTTCCGTCTCAATACAATAGTCATATTTACTATTTTTGTCCGTCTCAAAATAATAGTCTTATTCTTCATAAATAACCATATCACTGTAAAATTACACTTACCTTTTCATTATTATCACACAATTGTCTTTACTTTTTACACTAATAAACCTATAAGGACAAAAAAGTCTTTTACATGTACTTTTTACCCACTACCAATATGATATTAATATTCCTTAAATCCCATGTCAAATACAATCCAAACTATAATTTTGGGACATAGTGAATATTATGTATTTATATAATTTCAAACTTAAATTACCACTATTTAATTTATGCAGTTTTTTCAATAAAAAAATATTACTCCCTCCTATCCTGTTGGAAGGGTGGCGTTTGCTTTTTGCACGTAGATTTTTGAATATTAGTATTATATTTGATTGTAGTAAAAAAGACAAAAATACTCATATTAGTATGATGTAGTATAAAAGTAATGACATTTGTGTAATATATTGTAAGTTGAAAGTGTATTTATTATGTTAAGTATGTAGTACAATTACTAAATTAGGAAATGGTAACCTTATTTTGGGACGGACGAAAATGAAAAATGGTAACCTTTCAATGGGACGGAGGGAGTATTATTTTTCCACATAAAATCATATAAAAATATTATTTAAATCAAAATTCCAATTTCAAACTAAATCCAAACAAACCATAGAGTTAATATATTCATCGAGCCGTTTAGATAGAAGTTTTATTTTTTTTGAAAATAATAAAAAATTAGTATTTGATTTACTTCCTCCCATATTTATATATTCATTTACTTTTTGTACTAAATTTTATAAATATTAATATTATATTAAAATATAGTAGAAATAAAAATAAAAAAAACTAAACTAACATTATCATTATTTATTCAAAATAATTACTATTATCAATGAATAGTACTCCTCCGTCCCACATAATTTGTCTATATTTTTTATTTTCATCTATCCCACGTAACTTGTCATTTTTATTTTTGGAAATATAATTATGCACTTTAATCGCATTTTAAATTTTATAATTTTTTTAATTTTAATTAAATTATTTACTTATTTTAATCTTAATCTATAATTAGTTTTACTTTATAATAATTATTTTTATTAATACATTTCTTAATTACTTACTGATTATACTTTACCTAAATTTTCGTATCTACCGTAATAGTCCCATATTTTCTGGGACGGAGGGAGCAACTTTCAAACGCATATATAAATAGATATCTTGAATTCGGCTCCAACTTTTATTAAGTAGAGTTCAAGCTTGTTTAATTAAGTAAATTAGTTAGAATTTCATTATATTTATTTATATATATATATATATGTATATATGCGTATAATTGTAAATAAAGTCAATTGATCTTATTTTACTTTAATTAATTTATTGTTATTGAGTTATGAGGAAATGATACCTCATCTAATATTGACAGCTCTAAACATCCCCGGACAAAACCCTAGTTTCTTTCTTTTAACTAGGCGTGTGAATTCGTGTTTTTGGGTCGTCTTCGTGTCGGGTTGAGTCATAGGAATAACAAAAAAACTGTCAATCCAAACCCGACCCGAACCTAAAATTTGACTTGAAACCCTAGACCCAAACACAATACAAATTTTTTCAGGTCGGGTTCAGGTTGACCTGAATTAGTTTCAGGTCACCCGAAACCCGAATAAACCCGATATGAACTTGACACGAAACAGACCTGAAGATTTTTAAAAAAATTAAATTGACCTAAAAAATATCATTTTTATTTTTATATTATTTTATATTTAAAATAATATAAATATTATAAATTAAAATAATAATAATAAAAATTTCAGGTCAATCCAAAACACGAAACCCAAAACCTAACTTGATTTTGATATTTCAGGTTATCAGGTCAACCCGAAATACGACCCGAACACGACACGAATTTTTTTCGTTTCAGGTTCGGGTCGACCCAATTTTTTTCAAACCTGAAATACCCGAACCTGAAAAATTTCAGGTCGAAAGGGTTCGATTTTTCGCGTCGAGTTTACTTTTGACACCCCTACTTTTGACACATAATCCAAAACTATAGTTTGCAAATATCGCAGAACAGAATGAGACACGATGAGATAGAAACAAAGAAAGGGAATGGTTCCCTACTCTTAACGGTCAAAGTGAGCCCTGAATTCGTTAATTCAGAATAAATCAAATCTCCCCAAATAGGATTCGAACCTACGACCAATCGGTTAACAGCCGACCGCTATACCACTGAGCTATTGAGGAACAACGGGAGATTCGATCTCATAGAGTTCAATTCCCGTTCTCAATCTATGACCAATATGAGCTCGAACCCTCCTCCGTAACTCCCGGAACTTCAAACATTCAGTCATATACTCCCTCCGTCCTAAAACTATAGTTTGGATTGTGTTTGGCACCGGATTTAAGACATATTGATATTATATTGGTAGCGGGGGTAAAAAGTACAGGTAAAAGACATTTTTGCCATTGTAAAAGATAGTGACAATTGTGTAATAATAATAAAAGAATAATGGAAGTTATATAGTGATATGATTATTTATGAAAATAAGACTATTATTTTGAGACGAATTGGGGCTGAGAGAGTATATATTAATATCAAATTCAAATCAAAATTTTTCCAAACCCATAAAAAAAACAATACTCATCACACGAACCAAACGAGTGCTTGCAAGTCAAGTAGTTTTAACTAATTTTAATTTTAAATAATATTGTTGGCTAAATTGGCCATTTAAATAAATATTATATATATTACATATATACATACCCGAAACCATCTCCCTCGTATTACACTCAAAATATTTCTGTGCTCTCTAAAATACCTAACAGACCCTTCACGCCATTGCTTTAACTGTTACACACTCCTACCATATATATATATTTAAAAATAAAAAAATAAAAAATTAATAGGTGCTTCCAGTAATTTATTTTTATCAGCTAGCAATTATAAAATCAATTCACAACTCTATATACCCTCATTGGGTATATATTTATGCTAATATGGTTGTTATGTTTCACTAAAAAAAAGTTTGACAATTTTCTTATAAAAGACAAAACATTCACTACAAAATATATATATATATATATATAACAAGAATTTTGTCTGCAAAGTTCACGTAGTAACGCCGTCAAATTACAAGAAAATGGTATTTTTATAACGAAATTTTTATGTCCTTCAATCCATTTTTTTCCGTTACTAATGACATTAGAGATAAAATTAAATGAATCTCGTTAGCTACGTGAACTTCAAGGACGTAATTTCTATTACAAATATATTATTTTCTCACATAAAATTAACAATTTAATAAAAAATATTAATTTTTATATGATCGATTCGTACTTCAAATGAAATACACACCTCAAATTAATTAATACACACACTTTTTCTTCTAATAAAATACTCCACCCATCTCACATATAATGTCATATTTTTCATTTTCATTCGTCCCACATCTTATATCACTTTCATTTTTTGAAAAAGTATTACACACTTTAATCATATTTAAAAAATTTCAAATTTTTTAATTTTTAATTATACTATTTAATTATTTTAACCTTAATCTATAACTATGTTTATTATATTATAATTATTTTAATAATATATTTTTAATTATTTGATAATTATATCTTTCTTAAATTTCTGTATCTACAATAACACTGACATCAGAGAGTATCGTTAATTTAATTAAAAAATCCAATCTTCCAAACACGACTTCATGAAATGAAACCCTAGCTGTTGGTGTCTTAAAAATGGAGGGTTTCTAAGCCTTGAAGTTAGTCAATGGCCCATGAAGCATCGCCATCAGTATCTTGCTTTTAAGGTTTGATTTCGGATTTTATATTACAGCCCACTCTTACACATCCCCTTCACCTACTTCTTCTTCTCCATCCATCGATCTTAATCAAATTATTTGGCAATGTCATCAAGAACCATGTTTGTATGTATAAATACAGACAACATATGATTCGATCCTTTCATCGATCCTCACCTCTCACAATTAACTAATTACTCGAAAGAATAGTTTCTCTTTGCTAGACATGGCTCGTCCCTTCTCGTTGCGAATGCTCGGCTTTTGCATCGGCTACTACGTTCTCCTTTGTGTCGCGAGTTGGGTTGAAGCCGACGTGAAGAGATACCAATTCAATGTAAGTAGCCGGCCGGTCCTAAAAAGGACCGGCCAGATAAAATTCAATTGTAGTATGAGTCGATTATTACTGCAAGAAAATATCATTTTTGTAACGAAATTTTTTCGTCTCTGAATTTATTTTTTTTCGTTACTAATGACATTAGAGAGGGAATTAGGGATGAAATTATGTTAGCTACGTGAACTTTAGAGATAAAATTTCGTTGCAAATATATGATTTTTTTTTATAATGTATGGTAACGTGTAGTAATGTACATGTCGATGTGGTGTGTAGGTTCAAGTGACGAATGTGAGCCGGTTGTGCCATGCCAAGCCGATCGTGACGGTCAACGGGATGTATCCCGGGCCGACGATCCGTGCTCGCGAGGGAGACCGGGTTGTAATCAATGTCACCAACAATGCTCAATACAACATGTCGATTCATTGGTATGATCGATCGAAATCCCTAAACACGACTACCTTTTGAGAGCTTTTGTAGCCATTTCGATTGGATATTTTTGTGCTAAGATATCTCGAACTATATGTTTGATATTTGTAGGCATGGATTGAAGCAATATCGGAACGGGTGGGCGGACGGGCCGGCGTACATTACGCAGTGTCCGATCAAGACGGGGAGTAGCTATGTTTATGACTTCAACGTAACTGGACAACGGGGGACTTTGTGGTGGCACGCGCATATTCTTTGGCTTAGGGCTACCGTCTACGGCGCCATCGTGATTTTGCCTCCGAAAGGGACTCCTTTCCCCTTCCCCCAACCCGACCGGGAGGAACTCGTCGTGTTTGGAGAATGGTGGAATGAGGATGTGGAGGAGGTCGTGAAACAAGGGAACGACCTCGGATTGCCTCCGAACATGTCCGATGCTCATACCATCAACGGCAAACCCGGGCCGTTGTTTCCATGCTATGAGAAACGTAAGATATAAGATTATTTGTATATAAATTAGTCATTAGTCGAGTACTTTGCATGCTGCTATGCTCTATTTATACTTACTTCATTTACAAGGAAGTAAACATAAATGTAGAGGACAGAAGGAGTCAGATCAAACTGGACCTGTATTACATGAGTCAACTAACAAACAATTTATCGCGATTTTATCGATCAGATACGTTCGCGATGGAAGTCGAGCAAGGGAAGACGTACCTTTTGCGCCTAATCAACGCGGCCCTCAACGACGAGCTATTCTTCGCCATCGCCGGGCATAACATGACCGTGGTAGAGATCGATGCGGTCTATACGAAGCCATTCTCGACGCACGCTCTACTCATCGCGCCCGGCCAAACGACAAACGTATTGGTCCGCGCCAACCAAATCCCGGGGAGATACTTCATGGCGGCGCGGCCTTTCGTCGACGTCCCCATCCCGATCGACAACAAAACCGCGACGGCTATATTGCAATACAAAGGAGTCCCCGACGCCATCGTCCCGACACTTCCTTCCTTACCTTCCCCGAACGACTCGGCATTCGCCCTCGACTACGCGCACCGCCTGAGGAGCCTGAATTCCGGCAAGTATCCGGCGACTGTCCCGTTGAAGGTCGACCGGAAGCTGTTCTACACGATCGGGCTCGGCCGGAACGCCTGCCCGACATGCGTGAACGGGACGCGCCTAACGGCGTCGCTCAACAACATATCGTTCGTCATGCCGGAGGTCGGACTGCTCCAGGCGCATTACTTCAATAGGAAGGGAGTTTACGCCGCTGATTTCCCCGACAAGCCGCCGACGGCGTTTAACTACACTGGAGCTCCGGTGACGGCGAATCTCAGGACGGCGAGGGGGACGAGGCTGAGCAGAATACCGTACAACACGACGGTGGAGCTGGTGCTGCAGGACACCAATTTGCTGACTGTGGAGTCGCATCCTTTCCATCTCCATGGCTACAATTTCTTTGTGATGGCCACCGGAATCGGGAATTTTGACCCGGCGAAGGATCCGGCGAAGTATAACCTTGTTGATCCACCGGAGAGGAATACCGTCGGAGTTCCCACCGGAGGATGGACTGCAATTCGATTCAGAGCAGATAATCCAGGCAAGCCAATTGTATACATACATACATACATATATATGTATAAAAGTTTTATCTTTTATCGGATTAATTTAATTTTGGGAATTGGATGGATGCAGGGGTGTGGTTCTTGCACTGTCATTTGGAACTGCACACAGGATGGGGACTGAAAACGGCGTTTGTGGTGGAAGATGGAGCAAAGCCTGATCAGAAAGTGATTCCTCCACCCAAGGATCTGCCGCCATGTTAGGGAAGGACGAACACGAACTTGAACAAGAACACGTTGTTGTTGAATCGATCAATGCTGCTTTTCTGGGGCTTCTAAATGTAGATAAGATTATTACAGTGCCTCAAAGCAAGAACACTAAGAGGCAGTCTTATGTATGTATATGTATATGTATATATATAGTCTGTGTGTTTGGATTTGAGGAAATTTCAGAGAGAAGACTTGAAAGAAGAAGAAGAAGGAGGAACTGTGTGTGTTTGTTCTTTGAGTTAAGGCAGGATTGGTCTGTCTGTGATTGAATTTGTTTCGTTGTAATAAAAAATTCACTGTGTGAAGAAATCGATGATTCTTTCTCATCGTCAAGATCGAATTTTTTATTGCATTGACTTTACAATTTCGCTGTAATTTTTTAAAAAATGGAGTAGAGAATATTCAAGAACCTGAATATTCGCATAATTAAAAAAAGGGAATAATTAAAGAAAAAGGGTAAAGGCAGCTCGAGACTCGAAGGCATTTAAAGCGAAGATAATGGCGGTGTCGACGACGTGGTCATTCTCTCCCACAATCTCCTTCGCCGGATCTCGCGGAGTTACGCGGTGAGTTCGAATCGAATCCATCAACGGCGGTTTCCGTCTGTCTACCTCTGCAATTCTATTGTAAAAATAAAGAAGAGGACAGTGAATAGCGTTTGAATTCCGCTGCAGGTTTTCTGGTGTGACAATGGCGTCCGCCGCAGCAAATGTCGAAAACGTGAAATTGACTAAAGGCCTGGGCGATTTGCCCAAGGTAAATTTGATTTCCGTCCATGGGAGGTGCGTTTAATTTTTCCCCCTTTTTCTTCGATTGTTTCGTAGTGGAATCAAAATATGTGTATATATGTTGAATTGCAAAGCTATTGATGCCTGAAATTATTCTAAATGGATACTGTGTTCTTCAATACTGCCTGGCGGATTGTGATCTGATTGATTCAATTTGATCGCCTGTTAAAAACCTAGAATGCTGTGTAATCGAACCATTACAACCTTGTCTGCATTAGCTATTGATTTGGATATGGAAGCTTCAATTTGTAAGTGATGTTCATGCTGCAGTGAAGCAGAGGTGTATCTGTTTGGAGGCTGTGTTACATCCTGGAAAGTATCCGGAAAAGACCTTCTGTTCGTCCGTCCAGATGCTGTATTCAATGGCCAGAAGCCAATCAGGTATCGAAAGTTATCTAAACCATACATTTGCAGTTAATTCGGGACACAAATGGCTGTGTTGTTTGTAATTTGATTTAGGCATTTAGGCATTTGTTGGTATTGAAATTGTTTCGATTTGAGGCTATCCAATGTTTTAATGGTGTTTTTGTGTTTGGGAAACAATAGCGGCGGCATTCCACATTGCTTTCCACAGTTTGGACCCGGCGCAATGCAGCAGGTAAATGATCTTCGTTTTGTAAGAGAAAATAGATATGTCAAAACCTCGGCTGATTTTTTTGTGTCCTGAAGCTAACTTTACCTGGCTTGATGTTGTCTGCTCGATTTACACAGCATGGATTTGCGAGGAATATGAACTGGTCCGTTGTTAATTCAGAAAATGTAGAAGGAAATCCCACAGTAACTTTGGAGCTGAAAGATGAGTCGTATAGTCGCTCTATGTGGGATTACAGTTTTCAGGCTCTGTATAAGGTAACTTGTTTCCATTTTTATGTTATAATCCTCGCCGTGTTAATCATAATCGGCTACATGATTTTGCCAAATTGGGTATGCTTTAAGTTATGTTGTTTGCACACTTTTTGCAGGTCACACTGGAAAATAAAACCCTCTCGACAGAATTGAAAGTAACGAATACTGATGCAAAGCCATTTTCGTTCACGACTGCCCTTCACACATACTTCAGTGTAAGCCAAAGATTCGATTTTTCTATGCAATTTAAGAAGAAGCATAGAACTTGTGACTAAATAATGTATTAATATTTCTAGACTTTTTGTCGATATATATACTCAGTTTCTTTTGGATTCTGAAATTTTTTGTTATTTGTTTCATTTAAATCAGGCTTCGGCAGCTGCTGCTTCTGTACGTGGCTTAAAAGGTTGCAAAACACTGAATAAAGATCCCGATCCCAAATATCCAGTCGAGGGTAAGGAGGAAAGGTGCGTATCGATATTGTGGCAGCAAACTGTTATGTTTACAGAAATTTTTAGATTGCATTTCAGTTGTTCATTGTCGGATGAGAGCTGCTCGATTTGAATGTGCGGTTTTTTTTGTTGATGTTTGTTATTGGAAACAGGGATGTGGTCGTATTTCCGGGATTCGTAGATTGCATTTATCTCGACGCTCCTTCGGAGTTGCATATGAACAATGGTTTGGGTGATGTGATTAGCATCAAGAATACGAAGTAATCGTGATTTTATTTGATTATTTCTCTTATTATTTCTCGATGATCGCATCTTCCCTGGCTTTCTTTCCTTATTCGTGTTTTTATGTCCGCAGCTGGACGGATACTGTTGTGTGGAATCCACACCTGACAATGGAGTCTTGTTATAAAGATTTCGTTTGCGTCGAAAATGCCAAGGTACAATGAGCCTCCGAGGTTTATGTTCATATCAAACCATCTGTCTCTATCTTAATTATGAGACAAAATGGTGCAAGATTTTCGTGGATTATAAGCAATTTTACCTAACATAAGTATTACCGGAAATCAAACTTTGTCTCAGATTCGACAAGTCGAGCTGGAGCCAAACCAATCTTGGACAGCATTGCAATATTTAACCCTGGCGTGATGTTCGAATCGATGATTTTTTTTGGGTAAGAAATGCTACTATGTTCGAATCGAATTGCAGTTTAAACTATCGGCAGTGAAGAAATCCCGAGTTTACATAAATAAGGACATCGTGTATAACTTATACTCTTATTTCTTCATCAATAATACGGTTTACTTCACACGCTAGTTGTCGCTGTTCTTGCTGCTACTAGACTAAGAATTCGAAACATATGAGTCTGCTAAGCGCTGTGGAATCCGTAAGATGAGTAACAAGATTTTTCGATGAATCTAGGACAAGGGCGATCGTGTATACATACAGTTGATGAAACAATACGCGCATGTCGTATGCTACTCTTGGCATTGATCCATACGTCTTAACTCTCCGGGTGAAATTATGCGCGCACACCTCCGTATCTCCGAAAAAAAAAAAACAAGATAATTGTCAAAGCAAATAAGTTCGGTGTTAAACTTGACCGGGTGTCAGGTGAAGGTTGCTCAGTTTCTCCGCTTCAAGTTTCCTCAACGCCGTGGAACTCAATTTGTCTCCGCCGGATTCTTCTTGGACTAAATCGACGACTTCAATCTGCAGATGTTTTAGATATTCAATTTAGAAACAACAATAGTTACAAGGGCGGTGCAATTAGATTCGACTATTTTCAACACCTTTAGCTTCGAAAGCCCTCTCTCTGCTCGTTTCCTATTCACGGATAATCCTCCCGGGAACGTTTCCTTGCTGCCGAACAAATAAATTGAGTGAGCTATATAACATCCTAAGAACTATAGATACAAGAAAGATCTGCGAGAATAGGCGAGATATGGAAAATTCTTCGATAGAAAGATGGATACATATGTGTTGCAATAATTTTACAATAACTACTGCTTGTTTTGATGAAAATCCACACCCATTCATCGATTAAGTTTAAACTTTTCAACGAGGTTTGGCATGCCACATTCTATGCCGAAAAAAAGGAGTTCTAAGGATATCGCGGCGAAACAAATATCAACACAGAGATATGTATGTAATCTATTTCAAATAGTCAGAATAAGTATGGACCTGACAATGATGGCCTCCAAATTATGGTCAACAATTGAAGGGCCATAAGGATCGACGATTGGCTCTACTTGCACAGCCAGCTCTGGCTTAATGGACTGGAGAGAAAATTTTAACAAGTTGCGCCCCGTAAAAGTATACAAATTCAATTTAAAGTGTGGTAACAGCAATCCAGTAGTTCAACAATAATAGAAAACATAAGGATATACAAATAGGATGCCGACTTCGAATGGTAGAACTTAAAAGTTACCTTAATGTAATCTTCTACATTTTTCATCCTTTTCTCAATTGGCTCTATCAGATGAGAATACTGCAAAATAGTTAAAACAAATCGTAAAATTTACCAATTTCTGCACGGATAGGAGTTAACACATTATCTTATCTAATCTTGGATCCGAGTTATAAATATTCAACAAGAACACTCGAACGACCATGGGAAAATCCAAGAAGTTGTGCCAACTCCAAAAAACAAACTCATCTATACTCCCAAAAAAGTGAGTAAAGATTGCGCAGTATTGCAAATGTTCCCTAACTCACATGTACCGCAAAGCAATGCAGCCCTTTTAACAATTCCAACATGTTCACAAGGATGCGCAAATACGGATCGAAATGCAAACCAAACTAAACAGCACATTACAATTTACTACAAATTCCAGTTCGTCTTAAAACCAATAAGTTGCTATATATATAACAATCTCAACAAAGTAAAACTATAGTTTTGCTTTATTAATCTTACTTACAAGTGAGGACTTTTGTATTAACAAGCAACTTATGATTCAAGATAAGTTCAGAACTTTCATAAATGAGAACACAATTTGATGCATTTCCATAGTTAATCACCACAACATATTATTAAGCTATAATCATCACTACTTACGATGAATTATTTCGCCACGATCTCTATTGGAAACATATTAAAACTCCATTCCAATAATAGGTACGAAGCATTATAGATATTGCAATCTAAATTTGCTGGAGGTGTGCAAAACTACTATTAGATTTTGTCCGAAAATTCATCAAACCTTATATATATATCACTACTAAACCCCAACAAATCCTATGGGTTGTCGTTCCCATCTGACAACGAAGTTAATTTTGATCTAACTTGGGTTCAGAAACACAATATGCAATTTATCAATCCAAAAACAGATTATGAATTTATCCAAACATAAAGTAGACTTCAACACCATGAAAATCCTTCTAAGTTCCATCATAAGAACAAATTAAGCTCAATCCGTACCTGTTTATTCGCAAGCATCGGGCCATCGCAAACGCCAACCACAATCCGATCCCTCGCCACCACCGCTGCAGCCTGCACAGCTCAATCAATCGATCAATCGATTATTCAAAGGGGATAAACACACATACACACGCAAAAACGGCGGGTAGACCTTGAGAAATTGGCGATGGCCGTCGTGCAGGCGGTCGAAGGTGCCTCCTAGAACCACCGCCCCGTACGAATCTGGAGGGGATGTGGTCGGATTGGGACTGTGATTGTGATCCGGAGTCGCCATTTCCGCCGAGGCACAGAAGCTGACTTGCAAGTGAGACAAAAACGAAGGAGACACAACAATTAATGGAAGATTAGGTAGACCAGCAATCGCTATCTGTATACATATATATATTTGCCCGCAAAATTACGCTACACAAATGAGGAGTTGGGTGAGCTAATGAGCGAGGCGCTTTCTTCCCCAATTGGGGAGTCCGCCATAGCTTGGAATTTCTTCCTCCAAGTACATTGAATCTGGACAGTGGCTGGATTTCACTCTTGAGACGGCACTCTTGGTTGGATCTAATCGAAATTAGGTATTTTTTTTCTTTTTTACTGATTTCAGGTGGAAATCAAAAGAGGGGAAGGAAATGCTTGCTATGCAATGGGTGGTTCAGATTTCACAAGTTGTCGTCGGAATGGGAGGAGTTCGATGTATTCTCTCTAAAAATTTTGTGTATTGGTGGAAGACGGACATGAAGATTCAGTAATTTTGTATTCCTTGAATTCAATCTCTTCGCCATTTGCATATAATTTGTTTGTCGTATAAATTATATACATTATCCTCACAAATTTCTCACTATTTATCAAATACATATTTTTTTATTTTTATAAATATTGGAGTATATTTTTCTTTTTATTATTTTCAAAATTTTATTCTTCAATAAATTTTTATTTTTTATTTTTATATTTCTTCTTTTCCGACGTCTCGTGTACACATTTCATGTTGCTTGAAAAACGATTATAGCATATTTAAATTATTTTCACTTTATATTCATTTTAAATTAGAATTGAAACACAGCCCAACTCAAATTACTATTTTAATAATTTTTGTCCGTGCAAGTCACATTGTTAAAATGAATCACACACAAAAATTTGTCTAGCAACGGCCTAACTTCAGATATGGACAATTATTTTAATACAATACATATAACAAAAAATATACTTTAATATAATATATGAACAGATGATAAGATCACTCAAACTATTCCCATATATGAATAACTTCAACAATTTTTCCAATCAAATACTACAAATTTCATAAATATCATCATCATCAAATCGAAGGAATGTGTTTTTCATTTAAAACGGAAGAACTGAGCAGTAAGATCTCAAAAGCACATGTCCGTACTTAACCAAAAATTCAAAATCAAACAATGCAGAAATGGATCAACTTAACTGGGCATAGGCGAAGCTACACTGCTCAAACATTTCTTCAAGAAGCTGTCCAGTTTCGAGGTATACACGTCCGGGAAAGTCCGGTAATGGTCGACGTGAGGAGATGGCCCGAAGTTGAAACACCACACTTCTTTCCCAGCCCTCCTCTGCTGCTCCATGAACGATTCTATTGCTTGAAACGGAATGACCTTGTCCCCTGAGCTGTACAGATAGAGCTGAGGGCAATGCGGCTGATCCGTCGACAGACAAGAAACGATCCTCAACAACTTCCTGTTAGAAAAAAAAAAAAAAATTAGTCGGGATAAAGAATGTTCGTGCTTTCAGACATTATTACAAGCCTTATGAATATTTACTCTTTGGCGAAAGGTAGGTTCAGAAGATACGAGAAAAGTTTCTCGAATGTAGATAACATCCAGGGTTCAATTGAAAACGTTTCCTTTGGCTCCGTCTTCAAGCCATTTTCCATGTTTCCTGATTGAGGTCCTGTGCTTTTATCCGGAGAAGGATAGATTGCCGAGCTGTTTTTCTTTAGTAGGGCTGTCGTGAATCCAGCTGCCCATACCTGAGGCGATATCAGGGCTTCATTGTAGGATCAATCTTCGACAAGTTCTTTAAAAAATTGTATGCATTTGTAAAGAATCGTTAAACATGATTGAACAACAGCAAGCAAGATCTTATGCTACATTGCATTTTTCCTTCCAACAGATCCCTTTTTGCCGAACAGAGTACAGATAAAAATTTGCCTAATTTTCATACTTTAAAAAGAAAATTGAGCGGCAGTTACTGTATAATTCAGCACAATGCTCATAACACACCGCATTGAATAACACACAATACACAATATACTGATAAACATCAGACGATTTATGTTAACATAATACAAATTACGTACGTAGTGATAGTACATGTCCACATGGTTTCAACTAATATGTATATGTGCTGTCCCATTGCCAATACATTGTCTCAAATAACAAGGTCGGAAAATCATTTAGGGTGTGTTTGTACAGATTTCACCAGATTTCTAAAACATCAAATCAAATACCTTTTATTTTTTATATTATATTAAAAAAACAATTTTACATTCAAAATATCTCAACACCTAATTATATCACATCGTACCGCTATACAAATTCAAAATTTTTACTATTCAAATCCTAACTCAAAATCCAAACACCCAAACAAACACACCCTAATTAGTCGAAAAGTTGCATAAACATTTAAAACGAAGAAACTCAAGCACCGGAAACAATCCATTTTCGACCAAAATTAGAGATACAGAAGGTAAGAACCATTCACAATCTCTAACCTACAGTACATTGCACATCCATTACTCCAATATAACCAAAAGTTCTTAACTAATCATATTTCAGCCACGACGAAATCCAAAGAACCACAATCCAGCAACTAATTACCACCTTTGAACAACCCACGTCGTTTCTAATAAACCAATTTTCCATTAACCAAATAAGGCACAGAAATCAGTTACAGAAAACAGATTCATCACAGACCTTAGGATCCAAATTGGGATCTCCTCCAGAATCCACAACACATCCTTTAATCTTCTCCATCAAATCCTTCCTATCTCTCAAATTAACAAGAATCGAACCGTACCTGCAGAAGAAACAACAATCATATCAAACAAGTAAAACAGTGCTCAAACACCTTAATCAGTAAGATCAAAATAAAGAGACGAAATTCGAATCAACCTACGCTAGCCAACCAGTATTGCTGAAGGTGTGGAACATCAAGAACCGGTCTCGGCCATTGCTGCTGTTCGACAGCCATTCGGCGAGCTCTTGAGCCAAATTTTCGATCCTCTCCTCCAATTTCTTCCCCAAATCAAACCACAGCACATCAGTCACCGATGCCACAAACGTCACAGCATGAATACCTTTACTGTTGTACATCTCCACGTACCTCCTTAAATGCTTCGGCTTCGACCCCAGCCATCCCAGCACGACGACGGTAACCTCAGGCCCTTTCTCGTCGTCAAAAAGTCCGCCGTGCGGACCATCGGAGATTCGCGTAGGAGCAAAGTTCCAATTGCAGGAATTCTCCTTTGTTCCGAAGAAAATCCGATCTAAGCAACCGCCGGAGACGGAAAATTGCGCCGGAGAGAAGTTTGCAAATGAGGTGAGTGAGAGAAACCTCTGGTTCGGGGAACCGAGTGAGAGTTTAGACACTCGCTGTCGCGATCGAAGGTGAAGGCGCTGGCGATTGCGACAAGGAAGCTGGAATCGGACGTTTTTTACATGGGAATTGAAATTGGCGGAACTGAAAATGCGGGCAGAAGCCGCCATTGATGAGAGCTCTGCAATGGCTGCAAACGGCGGAGAGATTACAGGAGACGAAACTTTCGAGCATCAGGGGGAAATTAAGAACAACCTCTGGCGGAGAATCCGATAATCCCGGAGCTGAACAGCTGTCGATCTCCTTCTCTCCTTGCAGGGACCGTTCAAGATCAACCCTAAGAACCCTAAATCCATCCCATCTTCCAATCCAATTGGTTCCCCAATTCGTTACGCCTCGTGCACTAATAATACTTGTCGGCTAATTTACGCCTTATTAATTGCATTTACGTACGGACAAGAAAATAAGTGTTCATAAATATAAACTTAATTTAAAAAAATACATCCAAATTGGAAAAAATATTCCATTGTATATCAAAATTATCGTCTCATTCAAATTTTTGATTCAATTAAAATTAAAATTTATCAAATTTAGTCTCAGCTAACAAAAATCGATAAATTTTAATTTAAAAGAAACCAAAATTCATAAAAATTGTCATTTTTTAATGACTACAAATTAGATTTGAACTTATTTCTATATTGATTTTACATATATATATATATAACTAAAATAATAATGAGTGTCATCCACCTGATTAAAAATATATTTATTAAAAAAAAAAAATTGAAGGCAAATTTTGGAGAATCATATATTAATTGCAGAAAACAAAAAAAAAAAAAAAAAAAAAAAAAAAAAACAAATACAGTTGACAACCTAAACATTACAAAGAACCAACAATGTAAATTGGGATGAACTGAGTAGAGTTTATTATAAGGAAAAATATTCAAAATGATGTAGTCGCATAAAAGCATATGCTGTTCATCAAACTTGACTTCACACGGATGCTATAGGAAAAAGATTGTTCACAAACTCTTTCTGCTTTCGAGCTGCAACGACGATGGCGTAGGCATGTTCTTTAATACGAAAAATAGAAGCTTCTAGGAACCACGGCCGTGCGAAACTTTACACTGACTGGATCGGCATTGCTGCTTGTTGGCTTCACACATTTGGGGATTGTTTGCTCGGATACAATGAAGAATCAGCTCACACGTTTTGAGTCGCGTGCTGCAGCCAGATGATCCTGCAGTAGCAACAAAGGGTTACCGTGTTGTATATAATTAGCGGCTCCAAATATTTCCCAGAACATATATAATTGACCTTCTATTCAGAGATTACGTAATAAGGTAAAACAAGAGATAAACTTGAGAATCCGAGCATAACTAACCAAAATCACAATTTTACCAAACCATCGAAAGCTACTCATATAGCGTTAAAGTAGACAAATTTGAGCAGCACCTGTGCTACTATCAACTAGAACAATAATCTACGCTCAAATAACATATTGAAAACTAAAATATTTTTCGTTCTTTTCCTATAATCTTTATTTAACAATTTCAATTTTGACTCCAGTTGTAGAATGTAATTACAATGATTCTACAGAAATAAAATTGTATGCATCAGCACAACTAGCTTGAGTACATCACATCACTTGTGGTTTTGATTTATACAAAGAGATGTGTACTCTAAGACTCAGTAGTAGAGAAAGAGATGTGCACTGTAAACTTAGTATCGAATATAAACCTCAGATAATACAAATAGTAATCACATCTGGAGGTCAGCTCAGTTTGAAGTGAGAGAGGTGTGTAGGAATATGTCAACCGTTGGAAATCAAGCAAAATCATTTTGTATGTAACTTTCCAATCATATAATCACTACACTCCCAATCTCAGAACTCAAAAAACACTGCTCTCCAAATCCTGGCACTTCACTATACCAGAGGGAAGGGATTTGGAACAATAAACACCGCATTGAAGTTAGCACCACCTAATTACATACAAACATCCAAAAAAATGCTTCAATGAAGGCAAGCCAACATATTGTTGGTTTCCCGCAGGTTATCCCCGAAGTCAACAACGCCAAATATAGAAGGATAAACTGCGTAATATACCCTTGTGTTTTACTAAAAATGCACAAACCATCCCGTGTTCTATTTATTGCATAAAATCTTATCGTGTTAGCATAAAGCCTACTTCGAATATCTTTCTCATCCAAAAATAACGACAACTAAGATTGCACAACTATTATGTGTATGACCTTATATTGAATGAAAAAAACATTGTAAAATTTCTAATATAGAATTCTATTAATAAAAACATATATATAATGTCGAGAGCTTATTTCTCCAATCTTGTTGAAGAATTTAGGCGAATTTATTATATTAACTTTCTAAAAACCATCTGTCTAGTATGCGAATGACCTTGTATCACATAGAAATGAGCATTGTACAATTTATTATAAATGTCTATCAATAAGAAAAAATTAAATAGATGATATCAACGGCTTGTTACTCCAATCTTGTCTCAAAATTTGCGTATATATCCATCTTTGAAAGCAATCATCATAATAAGTGTGTGATTTTACTAGTCATTAATTTTGGACAAATGAGGTACTCAATGCGACTTATGTTAACACAAGTAGATTTTATGCATTAAATAAATGTAAAGTATTCTGTTCATTTTTATTATAACACTAGGGTGAGTGACATAGTTTACCCAATATAGAATTATGCTGAAAAAGCAAACTGATTTGTGTAGTTTACTGAGATAAAATGTGCCACTGATTCATAAGTTAAATGGAGAAAATAACACAAACATACCGAGATAAAATCAAATGCTCTGTTGTCCTCTCTCTTGGAGTCATTCATCAGTGAAGTCGGAGGTTGACTTGCCATACCAGGGTTAAAAATATCAGGAAATGGTGAAGTACTTCCACTGTAAGAGCCAGCAGCATTTATGTTCGGATTCGATTGCAGATTGCCTAGTTGCTGAAAGTTAGACATGGTAGCAAGGAACTGCTGCTGAGCAAGAAGATTTCCCATAGCATTATAATTCATTGGGTTAGAAGCAAGCGCTGGATTGAACATCAAACCAGGTGGCAGGTTGTAGCCCATGGAAGCCATTGGAAACCCGGGATTTGTGCTAAGCCCGGCAGCTTGAGAAGCAAATCCACCATTCAAGATGCTGTTAGGAGATGTATTATCTTGGAAGGCACTGGATACCGAGCCCACCCTTTCTGGCTCCTTCACAGTGCTTCCATTTTGCTTTTCAAATGGATCACTTCCGCTTATAGACAGACTACCCATCAAGTCATTAACATCATTTTTTGTATTTCCATGCACCTGGGAGACCTCTGTAGTCGAGCCGAAAAAGTCGAATGGTTCTGGTTGAGTTTTCTGACCAGTCCCTTGTGCTTCGGTAACCCCCAATTGATCACCAGACATACCAGTAAAGAGATCAGCATCATGGTTCTTATTCTGACTGTTGTGAAAGGATACATCTGCAAAAGGATCATCATCAAGTTTTTGTTCAGCAAGGTTCTCACCACCGCTATGACTATCTCCAAATAAGTCATCAATCAGCGGGGCAGACGTTCTGGCACCAGTAATTTTTGCTTCACTTTCTGCTGCTTTTGAATCTTCCACTCCAAAAAGGTCGTCTGAATCACCAGTGTCTATCAAGTCTGGTAAATTTGAAGGCTGAGGAGTCTTCACCAATTTTTCTTCACGAACGATACCTCCGCCACCATTTCCATCACCAAGAAGGTTCAACACCTATAATGGTAAAAGGTTATTTTTTTATTTATTTATTTATTTATTATTATTATTATGTTTTTCCTGTGTGCATCCCCCCTCAAATACACACCACTCCTTTTCCCTAAATCCTAAGCATAACAAGGAAATCAAACATAAACTAAAATCTTACCTTATTTGCTTTCTCCCGCAGAGATGCTTGGGGAGATTCAGAACATTGGACAACCACATCCCTGTTGTCACTAAAGTATGATGATATAACTGAAAATTGCTCAGTGTCTTTCTTTCTCAATACTGCCTCAAGGACACACAATGCTTTCATGCGTACCTAAACAAGTAGAGCATATTATCAAGGCACATGCAATACCTTCTAATACTATTAATATAAAATGCTAGAACTAAGTATCAGGTTGGTAAATATAACTAACTTTAATCAACATTCACTTCCTCTAAATATCACCATCTCACTTTTACTGCTCGTCTGCTGGAGAAAGCACTAGTCAAATACAACTGTAAAGACAAACCTGCCACATAGGGGATCTCAGTTTTGTTTCAATTGCATGCCCAAGTGATATTGCATTTAATTTTGAGGCCTCCACCATAAAAACATGAAGTGCATCCCGAGTAGGCTGTAAACGAACACCACCAGATGTTACAATTGTCTCTATTAATCTCTCCTCACGTGTCTTCTGACCCGATGTTGATCTCAAATCTCCATTACTGGTTTCTGCTTGTGTTGCATTGAGGTCCTGTCCCCAATTTCCAGAACCAGCATTTTTTGAGAATCTAGAAGAGCTTTGGGTTTCAGTATAAGAACCAACCCCTTCGTATTGGTCTGAGTAATCATCTTCCCTGGTCAAGGATCGCCGAAGATTAGGACTTCTGTAAGTCCCAGTGTCATTATTTTTCCTGAGTGACGGTGACTGTGTTAGACTGCTCAATCCCTGTTTAATTGTGGCACTTCCAATGTCAACAACCTCACTTATGAAGGACTTTCTGTCATCTGAGGGCATTTCAAAGTTGGTATTTCCAAATCCTTGAATTCGACTGCCAAGACTACTTTCCTTAGGTGTAGCTTTGCTTTCATCTGATGAAAATAAAGCAGAGAGTGTTTCCTGTGCTGTTTCACGCACAGCTTTGTTCAGTGCATCACCCTTCAAAGGATCAGGCTTGCCCTTGTAGTGAATTAACTGCCGTACAGCAATGGAATGCCGTTGCATCTCCCTTCTGAATTCTGCACCTGATTTCCCTACTGCATATTTGATGACTCTTAATGCCTGAATACACACAAATAAATAATATTATATTGCAATTAACAGATTAAAGTTCCATGGACATACTAGTTCCACTAAGAGAAGATAACCTAGAGGTAAATGCATAAAACCTCTTCTTAAGAAAAGCCAAAATTTCCCAAAATGGGAGTTCCAACCAACAAAACTAGATCCCTCTTATACAACAAACTAAGATCCAGAACATGCAGGATTAAATATCACTTAAGAAATTTATATAACCAGCATACCCTACAAAGCTCTTACTAGACTTAAACATCAATATATTTGATTGTGTCAAGTTGTCAACTCAAGACCCCTATATTTGGCCTGACCAGAAATATATTTGATTGTGTCGTCATAAATTTTAACATAACTGAGCAGGCAGAAATACAGGTAAATATGATTGTGTCAAATCAAGACACCTAGATTTGGTGGGTAGCATATATGAATAAGCATAACACATTACAGCAATTAAACTGAGATGCTCCTACATCGTAATTCCCAACAGTAGTTACATTTATCTAATCCAATTTGCTAGAAGTTAACTAAGCCCATGAGATCCCAGTTATGGGGAAAAGTTAAACAAGTGTTAATAACGTCCAATTCTTTCAAATATGCCACAGAGCTCAGCACTCAACCTTAAAACTATAGTTAAACACTACACCAGCTGCAGCTCAGATAACAATCCCATATACAGATCAATTACCATCTTGACATGGTCTAAGCATCCTTTGAAGATTGTTCGTGCTAATTCGAGAAACAAACATGCGTCACTAATGCGCAACCCTAACTCACAAGGAAAACTGTGATACAACAAAAATTCCTCCGCCAGCAGTCTTGATAAAAACAAAAACAAAATCATCAAATACCCCGAAAATGCTTCATGTCGGCAACAAGAACAGACCACACGCATAAAAAACTAAAACTACCAGAAGCAACCTAGGAAGTAGAAAACCTTTTGCTTGACGATAGGAGACTTGTGATCGAGGCGCTTAAGGATAAATTCGGAGACTTCCTTAACGATAGAGACCGGCGACGACCTCAGCAAATCGCAAATCTCTTCCAATTTGTAAACCGGAGCAACTTTATCCTCATCCGCCGTCGCAGCATCGATCAATTTCGACCTCCAATAGGCCTCCACCGCCCTCCTGCTCTGCTCCATCCCTCCAGAATCCCCTCTCTACTCAGCCCCTCCCAATCGATCTAAACGGAGTAACCAAAATCGTTCCAAACAGTCGATCCAACGATTTGACTACTTAAATCAATAAAAACTTAACGGATCCACCGACGGGGGGGAGAGCAAACGCAACCCAATTTGGAGTGAAATTCGTCTCTTCTCTGCTCGGAATTGGGAAGGATCGGCGATCGCTAGCTATTTCTTTTCAGTATTATTATTATTATTATTATTATTATTTTGTGTGATTAAAAAAATAGTCTTAAAAAACATTTTAATCTGTTCCTTGTTTTTAATATTGATGCAATAAAAACAGAAAACATCCAATAACTTCTTGACAGCTCATCAGCGGGCTCCAGTCGGCGCGTGTTAGCTGGCTCAAGGTAGAATTGGGCTGCGGGTTCGATTTTATTTTATTTTTATGCCTATACAGTTACCTATACCAACATCTCCATTGTGAAACGAACGGCGGTGTCCGGTAGAGCTATTAAGCAAAAATCGAGTCGAAGTTCCTTCGTGGATATTAACGAGTCGAGTCGAGTTGAGCAACATAAATAGACTTGTTTAATTAATGAATGTATCTGAATTTTTTTCGAGATTATAATTATTATATAAAATTATAATTTATAAATAAATAAAATATTAATTTAAAATATATAAATAAAATAATTTTAAATTTTTTTTATAATTTATAAATAAATTTTAAAAAATAAGACAAACGAGTTTGAATGAATTCAAACGAGTTTAATCGAAATAAAACGAACATAAACACGAACTCAAACAACAAAAATTCTTAATAAACCGAACTCGAACACTACGAATAAGTTCGAAAGCTTGATGAACAAACACGAATCTTGTTCGCGAACATTGACGAACACTTAAAATTTGAACTCGACTTGAATCGTTAACTGCGGATTACCACTTTAAAAAAGAAAAATAAATAAATAAAATAAAATAAAATAAAATAAAATGAAATGGCCCGTGGAACAGAGTTCAAACCCTTATTTGATTGCGATTGAAAAGTTTTGACATGGACAAAGAAACTATTTAAAAATCAATTCTACTCTTGGGCCTTGGATGGATTTGTTGGGCTCGATCCAATCTCCTTTTTTATGGGCTCGACCCATATATATATATATATGTACCCTTGGTTGTTTTTGCACATATATATATCACTACAAAAAATAATATATTTGTAACGGAATTCCGTCCCTAAAGTTCATGTAGCTAATGTAATTCCATTCCTAATTCCGTCTCTAATGTCATTAGTAACGGAAAAAGTAGATTTAGAGACAAAAAAGTTTTGTTACAAAAATGATTTTTTTTTTTAATTTATATTTAATAAAATACATCTAGCTTTAATATTTTTTTTTACATTATCATCCAAAAATATGTATCTTTTAAATTATATATATATATATTAAATTAATCTTTATAATTAATAAATAGAACAATTTTGAATAAATTAATATGTAACTCGGATCATCACTCAAAATGTTTGAATTGTATTTGTTTGGTTTAACATTTCCAATATAGTATTAGAGTTGAAACTCTTGATCATTTTTATATTATATTAGAACAACTTTAGGATCTCATAACTCTCTTATGGTTTAATATCTATTTATTATTTTTTCTCTTTTCATATATATGGTTTGTTTATTCTCTAAAAATGAAATCTTTGAACTCCTCCACTCAAACCAAACAAACATGCATTGCATTATCAAACCTTTGAATGAATTGTTAAATTTATTAAGAGGGATGAAATATTGCAATAGTGTGACATTGAAAAGGCCAAATGATAAATAAATGGTTCATAACAACATATATATATATATATATATAGATTATTCATGGAAGAGCCAAATCTTGAAGATTATTCAGCATATTTGAAATTTGAGCAGCAGAACCATCTGTTGATGTAAGCCTTCTTACAAAAATGCACATTTGTTTTGGTCATGGGCGTGCCCTCGGATCTGGATCTGGACCTGGACTTAGAACGGGAGTTAGAGCTAGAGCTAGAGCCAGAGCCGTGCGCCGAATCTTGCCGGGCTGGGCTAGCCTCCCCTCGTTTCTCATTGCGGGCCCGGTCAAAAATCATCGAGTATTGCACGGCTGAATTTTTGACATCCCATGCGCCAAATTTTGGCAATGCCATATTGTTCTCTATTTCTCTCATATTTTTAATAATAATAATAATAAAAAGAGAATACGACGACAAGAACAACAAGGATGATAATAATAATAATTTGCTCGATAAATTTGAAGGCAAAAAGGGTAAAGAGTTTCCTCCTCCCTCTTTTTGCCTACAAGAAATCCTCGAAACCCGAATTTTCTCCACTTTGTTGTGCCTTTTTTATGGGGAAGGGCCTTAAAATTTTAGTGCAAATATTGTCTAAATATGGTTTCAATCCATGTGTATTCTTTCCTTCACCATGTTTTTAGGATATAGCCATATTATTTTCCAATGGCTTTATAGACAAGAATCATCGGAGAAATTAAGGATATAGGCTCCAAGATTGTTTTTTTTTGTTATTTCAATACATATATACAAAGCAATATATATTATTACCTCTTTTAATTTGTTATATGGTTTCATAAGATCACATCATATTTATATAAATTATTATTATATATATATATTTATTGTTCTCTAAACCTTGATAAAAGTGAAATATATATTAATAATGAATTAATATTTTTTTTAAATTTTTATACAATTTTTTTTAGTATTTGGACTTTAGGTTATAATATATATATATTTTTTAACAAAATATCATATCAAGTATTATTTAAATAAAAAATTCACACCTTCGAACTTATAATATAAACTAAAAAAAACACACTTTCTATTTTATACTTTGATTTAAATAACAAGTTGAAGATATTTTACGATAAAAATGAATACTTTGAGAATGTTAATTGAACTGAAAAATTATGTCGAGAATATAAAAATGATGAATGTGTGACATATTAATATTTTGGGAAAAACGTAAAAAAAAAAAAGTTAAAAGAAAACACCCATTAGACAATACATAATTTTAATTAATATACGATATGTTATGTTAGTTGAAACTATATGACTGACAATTTTATTTATAAAGTATGTGATACATTTATATGTCGCAATTTATGATGTTGTTAGTTCGTATACTATATTCATATTATATTAATATAAATAATATATTATTTTTGTTTGTCTTTCAGAGTCACGTTTATTTTTTGCATTATCATATTTACATTAAAAATATTTTTATATTTGTATAATTTTTTTACAAATGTCTTTCTATTAGTATTATAAAACACTAATTGAAGTATTTTTATAATTTTTTCTTAATTTGTATATATTTTGATATAATAATTAATATTTGAGACACTACAAAATTAGTATTACATGAATGATGAATTGCATTATAAAAAAATATTAAAATGATCTGAGTTGGGTACTTACACACGACCACAATTTCTTACATGATGCATTGTATACAACCCTAAAATACGTGCGTGTATATATATATATAGATAGATAGATAGATCGCATTTTAAAATACTCCTCTGTACACAAACTAATGTCTTACTTTTCTATTTGGGACGTTCAACAACTATTGTCCTATTTTTTTTTTAAACACAAATTTAATATTTTTACCCTTCATTCATTTATTACTTTTAATCTCTATCATGTACTTAAGGGCAAATTTGTCCATTCATAACAAAAAGACAATCACCTAAAAAAACCGTGTAAATATACTTTAGTACAATAGAAAATGCACGAAGAAAGTACTAATTATTCCATTAGCCTATCAATTAATTGCCCCCTTTTTTTTCTTTTTTTTTTTTTTAATATCTGTAGACAAAAAACATGCAATTTTCATTTATAGCAAATAGTAATTACATCCTCTTTAATTTATGCTTTTCAATATTCCAATCTATTTATATTACTGATATAATTAATTACATACTCAATTTATTGAAATTTTTTTCTCGTTTCATTAATTTACTCATATATTTTTCAAAATATTTTTATTTTATATCATAATTAACCAATATAAATATTATATTCATTAAAATTTGTATCCAATTCAAACCAACATATAATTGGTAGATTGGAGGGAGTGCTATTTTATCAATGATCTTATATCTATATTATTTTATATAGATGCATAATAAAATTAATTAAATACTAATTGCACTGTCCTTTTCTATAGTTTCTGTATCGAAGTTTTGTAGGTAATTCCATTTTAAGATTGTATACAAAATCTAACTGTGGTTTCATAAAATTGCACAAAATTCCCTATATTTTTAAAACTGCGTCAAACTCCCTAGTGGTTTCATAAACTTCGTGTCTAGCCCGGCGGTCCTTATTTAACTGTATTTGACCTAAATGCGCCCAAACTGCGAATAAATTTTAGAATCTCAATTTTTAAACCCCTAAAATTACAAATATAATTTATTTTTCTTATATTTAGCCTAAAAAAAAGTAAAAATGAATTTACTCGCAGTTTGGACGTATTTAGGTGAAATACCATTAAATAAGGACCGCCAAGAGAGTTAGACTCAAAATTTATGAAACTACGAGAGAATTTGACACAGTTTAAAAAATATGAGGGATTTTGCACAATTTCGTAAAACCATATATGGATTTTGTGCAATTTAGCCATATATATATATATAATGCATGTAATAAAAGTTGCCAGCAGTCATAATTTTGTATTTTACCCAAGGGAAGACACGCCATTAATGTCCCGCAAGCAACTAAAACCTCTCATCATCAGAAGGATGAAATTTTAATACGGCATTATATATTTCTCAATGACTGATTCTTTATTATTATTATTATTATTATTATTATTTTGATCGAAATGATTCTTTTTTTCTTTTAATTTAATTATAGTTGGGTATGGAATTGGAAATACGTAATTAGAATTGATCGTTCGACGAAGATTTATTAGACTCTTCGATACAAAAATTTCCAATTGAAGTAAATTTTAATTCAACGATTACTTCAAAAAAAAAAAAAAAAAAGGTTTTCTGCAATATTTTAATTTTTTATTTTTTACATTTAGTTTCGCCATTGCAACTATAAAAAGTCCTTTCATTAGCTGCAATAATTAGCCTCAGCTATATTGTCTTGAAAAGTTGTCTGATAATGTCTGAGTTTCAGTTGTTTATGGCCATTGTGGCTGTCGTTTCATTCACTGTGTGTGCTAATGATCCATCTTCACTCCAGGATTTCTGCGTAGCCATCAAGGATTCCAATGCTTCTGGTATGTATATATATATATGTATATATATCTATATCTGTGTGCATGATAATCAACTAAACCCTAGCTAAATCAAGCCTAAGGATTTGTGCTTATTTTTGTTATGAACAACACGAGTTTCATTTATTTCAGTTAGGGTTTCATGGCTCCATTTCAATCATTTTCTTTATTTCTTTCTGTGTTGTCTTAAATTGCATAGAAGTTATTATTATTATTATTATTGTTATGATTATTTTTATACATGGGTATGAAATGATGCTGAGAATAGAGTAGAGAGGAGTGAGGCTGAGGATCCCTCCCCACCTAGGGCGTATTTATTTATTTATTTATTTTAAAAATTTCTTAATTTTAGGTATTTTTGGTAATATTTTTTGTGTCATAAAAAAAAAGCGCTAAATTTTTGTGCTAACAGCACACCGTGTGTTGACAGATAACAGACAGTATTACTACAGATAATACACAATAAACGTTAATATAATACAAATATAACATATGAAATAACAACATATACTATAGTCTTATAGCATATACACCACATAGTGGTATAAAATACACTTGTAATTATGAAAAATAATATATTATCTTTATTATACACAACATGTACGGTGTATAATAAAACGGCGTAATGTTTGTATATATTAATTTGAGATTTTTCTATATCAGCACCGTAATTGTTCCCATAAAAAAGTTATCGGGCGAACAAACCCACAATTTTTAAGCGATCCTTAATAGAAAAAAAAAACAAGTTAATTTTTACCAAAAATCGTGACGGAACATATCCATCAATCGAGCTATTGTAACTAAACATGGATGAACAATGAACACAGTTTTCGTGAACGGAAAGATATGCAAGGACCCGGAGACTGTAACAGCCGAGGACTTCTTCTACTCCGGCCTACACCGGCGCGGCAATATCACGAGCTCATTCGGCACAAAGCTCACCCAAGTGTTCATAACTCAAATGCCAGGCCTCAACACCCTCGGCATAGCCATGGTCCGGATCGACTACTTGCCGGGGGGCCTCAATCCGCCGCACGTCCACCCCCGGGCCTCGGAGATGATCGTCGTCCTCGAAGGGACAATCCACGTCGGATTTATTACAGCAAACCCTACAGACCCTAATTCGAAGCCCAAGCTGTTTGCCAAAACCCTTTTCCCTGGCGACGTGTTCCTCTTCCCCCAAGGCCTTGTCCATTTTCAGCACAATGTCGGGAATTCCAGCGCCGTCGCCATAGCCGCCCTTAATAGCCAGAACCCTGGCTTCGTCACCCTCCCGAGGGCGCTGTTCTGGTCCGAGCCGCCGCTTGATCATGAAGTCGTGGAGAAGACGTTCCGGGTGGAGGAGAAGCTTGTTGAGTATTGGCAGTCGATGGCATGGAGAGGGAACAATTAGGGTTTAATTAGGGTTTGTAATTACAGAGTTACATGAATGTATGGTGTTATATATATATATATATAGATTGTTGTTGTTCTGTGCAGTGCAGCCCTGATGATTGTGTGTTTTTACTATGTATTACTTTGAATAAATTAGGGTTTGTTGCAGATAATTGCGATTGATTCAATCCATTTATTAAGTAAAACTATTTAGGTCTAGCATTTATGTATTTACTTTTTGCAATAACTAGATCTATGAATAAATTTTATTTAATGGTAAAGTTTAATTTTAATTTTGGATGGAAATAATTCTTTGATACATGATATAAATATGTACTGACGTCATTTTGAATATAAAATTAAACTTTAGTAGTCTCATTTATTTTTTGCTTATTGATTTTTTAATATTAATTATTTATGAAAATATAGTACAAATGAAGAGAAAGAGACAAAAATATTTTTATTAGTGTCTTATAATACTATTATAATGACATATATGAAAAAAATTATACAAATATAAGGATATTTTTAATGTTAAGTAATGAGACCTTTGAAGCCGGATGGAGGAAGTATGTGTTTTGATGTCGTAATTTTTTTTTGGAAAATTTTTATAAATAGTAAAAATCTAAAAAAAAAAAAAAAAAGAAAAGGTTAATGATCGTATCATCTTTCATTCACACTCTAAATATATTTATTATTAATTAGGGCTTCGAAAAGTTTAAAGAGACAACTCGGACAATATTAATTTTTTGAGGGAAAACAACATTCGAAAGAGATAAAGATTTGTTCCACAACTAACACGTAAAATATTGCCTTTGGCTGAATTTGTCACAGCTAGTGTATTAATTATTTAATTAATTACGATTACTTCCTCATAATCATCTTGATTGCATATGATTTACTTTCTGGCTGATTATTTCTTCCCAACATATATTATTTTATTTATGAAATGAGAACCTGAAACCATTATTTTCAAATGTGCATTGGATAAATTTTTGAATCAAGTGTAATAGTCTGTAAGCTACGTTACTCGGGTAACACACATTAGACAAACTCTGCGACTGCGTGATAGATTAACTCATTTTAACCTATTGAAAAAAAGGAATTTTTTTGGGAAAAATAAGTGCTGCACCAATATACTTTCGAATACTTATTCAAAGGCCAACTCTTGAAGTATAGTTATATCACAGTTATAACGATATCTTGTCAACGAAATAAATGCAGAGACCAAAACAATAAATAACAAGATATTTGGTAACCCGGTTCGGTTATAACCAACCTACATCGGGGGATTCCAATCCAGGATAGGTTCATTAATCAGTGCTGACTAAAAACAAAACACCCAAACTCCTTCAACCTAAACTACAATGCTGATTACCTAGGAAAACTCCTGCACAGGCGTACATTGTCACAAACGCATACGGACAACTAACAAATAACTGGGCTGCTCAGATTCTGAATATTCTCCTGTTCGGAACTCCGATTTCTCTTCAACCGACGAACTCTCCGGCGAGATAGTAGTATATATCACTCACTCAATACATGGAGATAGAAAGGGTTGAGATTGAGATTTTTCTCTCACTACACACTCTCAAAACCACCATACTCCTTCACCCTTCGCACAGACCGAGCTGTAAGGTCACCAGCACGTATGAAGTTGACATACAATTAATTCTCTTGAACCAAAAAATGAATTGTGTGTTTCTATACACTTCTGATCACAAGAGGACAAACCCAAAATATCTATTTTGTCTTCAGAAACTACCATCATAGGAAAGACAAATAAATACAACTAGATGGGACTGCACATGTCAGTTGTTGTTTATGGATTCTGACGACAACAGCAAGACATAGAAGATTTGTCAATATGCCAAAAATATGTGATGGGAGATTTTTCATAACAGAATTTGTCATTTCTTGACCTAATTTAGAATTTAGAATTTTATTTCTAGAATTTTATTTCTAAAATGAAACCAGTTTTGGAAATGTGAGTAATTAATATTATTATGCAAAGATGATCATCTCAATAATAATAATAATAATTAATTAATTAATTAATGATGATGGACAAGCATAACACATTTGAGTGGGTCAAATTAAACTGGTAAGTTTTGACAATGTAAACATGAGATGGATTAACTAATTTATTATTACAAATGAGGGGTTTACCAGGCAATATTATTATGGTTAATCTACGTGTTTGATCTTTTAATTTTTTATATTCTTTTCAATAAAAAAAAAAAAAAAAAATTTCAATAAAAATAAATTATTTTTATCACAAGATATTTAAAGTACATAGTAAAAGAACTCTATCCAAACAAAATTATAATTTCCAAAATTCTTTCACAATTTTCAACAAATCCTAAACACACAAAAAAATCTAACCAGTAGTGTTTTTTTTATTATTTCAATATTTATGATTATATATAATAGTATGTTTGTAATTTATGTAAAAATTAAGAATATATTAGTATGAATGCAAAATTATTTTTACTATAATAAGAATAAATATTATTTTAGTGAGACAAACCACAATTATAAAAGTTAATACTTTCATCAGGGACGGATGAATTATATTATTTTTTAATTGAGAATGGTTTAAAAATAAAAGATCTCATTTATATTTTATTATATTCAAAATAATTCAAAATTTTTAAAATATTTCTAAATATATCTAAACATGTGAAGTAACTATGGGTTGGAGAAGGGGACATTTTATATTAAGTTATAATTTGTTGATAGTATTATTTTCTTCTATCTTTCTCTCTTTGATGTTGTCAATTTTTGTTGTGTACACTCTTTCTTTGGTTACCCTTTTGGGTATATAAATTCTCAATATTCAAAATAGAATGTGCAGTAATGGCAAAAGAAATGAAAAACAGGAAAAATTTAAAAAATAAAAAAATGGAAGACTAATTTATTTTTTTTATTATTATATACTAGAAAATGAAAATTGAAAATAATATATTTTTATTGAAAAACGTATTAAATAAATAGCGTTGATTTTGATTTGAAATAATAAAAAAACAAACCTAATTTTTTTTTTTCTCTTAAATATTTTTTTTATTATATATTCAATTTTATATAAACTAATTTTTTTTTAGCCCATATAAATGCCTTTTTTTTTTATGTCATGTAAAATTTTATCCATTATAAATAATATTAATATTAAATATATATTGAAGTAATAAAAAATAAAAGGATTGACTATTTCTATGAGATAAAAGCCTCACAAATTTTTGATCAGATCAATCACTAATGAAAGACTTTTGTGATGACTTGTTCTTTATTTATTTATCTCGTATTTGTGTTTTTTTTTTTTTTTTTTTTTTTTTTTTGTGTTTTTAATATAAATAGTAGTTTTGATCCAAATGATGTTTTTCGACATAGATTTTGTTATTAAATGACTGGAAAGATTCCAGTAAATTTTGTTATGTAACTTTTTTGCATATCTTCTCTTTCATTATTTTGTCATTACTTTTTAAATTTTTGAGGTCATATTTTAATATTTTTAAAATAAAAAGAATTGTTCAATATACGCGTTTAAGGAAAAAATAAATAAATTAATTTTTTTTAAAAAAATGTTTAAATTACATCATAGCAAACATATATATGAATCAATATTTTAATAATCGATAATATCTCACTTGAAACATGTATGATTGTTGTAGGCTGCATAAAATATTTTTGACAAGAGAATATTAAAATAGCAACTAAAAAAATTGACTATCTTACAAATCTAATGTAGATTAGATTAAATGACAAAATTATTAAATATGGCAATTTGCTTATTGACTTGCTTCAATGGAATTTTAATTAATTATTTATATGTCCAACAAATCCAAATTGAAATCTAAGTGACATCTTAGTCTATTTGGGAAACACTAAAATCAGCACCGTGCTGATTTTTAAAATCAATATCCATAATATATACAAACATCATATGTTGTATATAATAAAAACATGTGTTATTTGTTCATAACTACAAGTTTGTTGTATAATAATATATGGTGTGCTAAAATCAACTATAATATATGTTGTTAGTTCATGTATTATATTTATATTATATTAATGTATACGGTGTACTGCTATAGTAATACCGTATTTTGTCTGTCAGTACACGGTCTACTATCAGCACGGTGCTGAATTTTTCTTTAACAGCCGCTTAATCTTTTGAGCTTCTTATAATATCCTCAATGATTAAAAGAAATGAGATATGTTTCAATGGTGCAGTTACTTTGCTGAGATACAAAATTTAATAATAATAATAATATTATTATTATTATTATTATTATACATGTACATTCTATATAAAAATATATTATCATATTTTTTCACAAAATAAGTTATATATGTTCTTTTGAATTTTTTAGTTTTATTATTATTTACTATACAATCATTGCAATTCGGTGTATTATTTTCTTCAATAATACATAGTAACCAAACAAAAAAACAGTCCAAACAATAATACATTACTACAATTTAAGGAAGTTTTATTTTATATCATCGAAGAAGTATACAAATTAAAGACAACAGTACAGTTATTCGAAGCCAGCTGAAAGGTGAATAACACAAATCACCTGTCGATGCAAAAACGAAGCAGTAAATTAAGTTCCATCCATATATATATATATATATATATAGTCGAAGTATCATCGATGATCATCTGCGCCATTAATTAATTTATTCGAAAGGTGCTTGGAGCTGGTCGACGACATTCTTCCCAACCTGGAAGGCCTTCGCCAATACATCATCGTTAATTGGCGGTTCCGATCCGAAGACAGCGTTGGCAATGGTAATAACTCCCGGATTCTGGCTGCTCAGGCCGGCGAAGGCGACGGCGTTAGTTTTTCCGACGTTAAACTGGAAGTGAATCAAACCCTCAGGGAAGACGAAGACATCTCCAGGGTACAAATATTTAGTAAATAGCTTATTTTTCTGGTTAGGGTCTGCCGGATTCGACGTCACGAATCCGACGTACAGAGTGCCTTCCACCACTATAAGGATCTCGGTGGCGCGTGGGTGCGTGTGCGGCGGGTTTTGGCCGTAAGGGGCGTAGTCAATTCGGACGGCGGAGATTCCGAGGGTATTCAGGCCCGGAATCTGGTTGACGTTCACCGGAGTGACCCTCGACCCGACGGCATTGTTGGTGTCGCCGGGCTTGTTCAGGCCGTGGAAGACGAAGTCGTCGGCGACCACCATGTTTGGGTTCTTGCAGATCTTCCCATTCACGAACACTGAAGAGAAAAAAAAAATTAAATTGAATTGACTGAAGAACAGATTAATTATTTTTAGGGTTTGGGGATGGAAATTGATTTGATTTACCAGCTGCAGCAGAATCGTCGACAGCAACGCAGAAGTCTTGAAGAGGGCTTGGATCAGATGCATATGCGAATTGGAGAAGATAGGAAATTAGAAGAATGTTGATGATGGCCGCCATGGATGTTGGAGTTCTTGGGTTTTTTATGTAAAAATTTGATCTTGAATTAATGTTTGGGGTTTGAAGGAGAAGTGAGATTTGGGGTCGAATTTATAGTGACTGTATTGGGAGACATTTTTATTATTTAATTTGATTTAGGGCTCTGAAAATTCAAAACACGATTACTTATGATTAATATGGATTATTATTATTTTAGTGACAACAATGTTTTGGAGATGAAGATTTAAATATTGTTCAATATCTAACACGCATGGCAATGGCAAACACAAGTCTTTGTATGAATTTGTCGTAGCAGCCGTACGAGTAATTAATTTTTAATGATTGCTTCCTAATAATCATAATTTCTATTTGTTTTTATAATATGAAAACCCGCCGCTACAGAATAAATTTTTGATCGAATTTAATAATCTGTAAATTAGTCCTGACAAAACAAATCACACTACACGAATCATGTGTGACAGACAATACCTGAAGACGTGAAGACGTCGGGGTCACGAGTCCATCCCCACGTCACCTGGCCAAGCAGCGCTTGATCTTAATTAATCTAAGGTGTGTGCCTTGGTGTTTATTAATTAATAAAAACACATTAGAACATAGCCCTAGTATGATCCATATTTGTTTATATATATAGTTTTGGTACTATCTATCAATAGTACATTTTATTAAAAAAGCAAAATTATATCAAGTTTTATTTATTTATTTATTTTTTTATAGAACATCACATAAACCTTTTTTTTTTAAAAAAAAAAAAAATTAAACTAAAAAACGTCCAAAACTTTATCTAAATTGAACGTTATGATAGCTAAAATGAATATTATTCCAATATTATCTAATTGAATTCAATATATTGGGATTTTTGGTAATAAAAGCAGTTTCATTTCATGCCATTCAATCATAAATTTTATTCATATACATAACTATATGTATTTATAAAGATTTGATCTTCTAAATTTTAATAAATTTTTGGATAAACAGTTAGTCCCATAATTGGACTTCCTTATCATTTTACTCTCATAACTAGAGCCTATCGTAAACTAGTATCATAAGTAAAAAATTTTCATTGTTTTAGTCCTCCAGTGCCGGAGACACCCACGTGGCTTGCTGGAAGCCACGTGTCCGCCAGGTTAGCGACACCTGACGGACACGTGGATTTTATTTTATTTTATATATATTTTTTTAATTTTTTTTTCAATTGGACCAAATAAAAAAATTAAAAAAGACAAATAAATTTAAAATCAAATCTTAAAAAATGAAAAAAAAATTAATAAAATCCACATGTCCGCCCGGTGTCGCTGACCCGGTGGACACGTAGCCGGCGAGCCACGCGGGCGTCTCCGGCGCCGGAGGACTAAAACAGGAAAAAATTTCTCTTATGGGACTACCAGTTTGTGACAGACTCCACTTACGGGACTAAAATGATAAGAATGTCCAGAACTAAAAAAACAGTTTACCTTAAACTTTTTTTGTCTAAATCAAATGGCAGAGAATTGTGACAAACCTACACAATTAAAATTGAAATTATATACCAGAAGTTATAGTTGTTTGTGGCTTGGATTTTGAGTTGAGATTTGAATAGTAAAAATTTTGAATTTGAATAATTATATGATGTGATATAAATAAGTATAGATGTGATGATTTGAATGTAAAATTGATTTTTAGTATAATATAAAAAATAAAAAATAAATGTTTGATTTGATATTTTTTTAAGAAAAAAAAAGGAGATGAATAGTATATTTAAAACTCAATCCCCAAACAAACATAACTTATATAATAATCAGTCAAATTAATAAAATTGGCCAAATGATTGACAATGTCTGCATTATATATATATATATATATATATATTACTAATCACCTACTGTAATATTATTATATATGGAGTAGTTTGGGTATTGAGTCAAAAAAGGGTTAGAGAAAATCTACGCGTTCTCTGTTTGTATAGTGATTTATTATGATATTATATATATATATATATAAAAATAAAAATTAAAAAAAAAATAGATAGCATTATGATTGTATAGTAATAAAAAAAAATGTTAAAAAAAAAATAAAAAATCTAAGGCACATGAAAACCGATGAAAGGTCAATTCTTGCAACTTTTGATGAAGTCTTTGTTGGAGACACCCACAAAGATTATTTGTAGAATTTGTATTACTAATGATAAGAAATGTAATCCAAGAGCTTCATATCAATTAGAATAAGCTAAAAATTGTTTTACATCGTAGAATAAATATTAACATTAACTTATTTTTGTTTGATTTTATTATTATTATTACTACTACTAGACTCTCTTATCATTTTAGTCCTCTAAGTGGAGCATGTCGCAAACTAGTTTCATAAGTGAAAAATTTTCGTTATTTTAGTTCTCCGGTACCGGAGACGCCCGCGTGGCTCGCCGGAGGTGACGTATCCGTCAGGTGTCCCGCCAGGTTAGCGACACCTGGCGGACACATTGATTTTTTTTTTTTTCATTTTTTAAATTTTTTTTAAAACTTACTTTTAATTTTTTTTATTTGATCCAATTAAAAAAAAATGAAAAAAAATAATAAATCCACGTGTCTGCCAGGAGTCGCTGACTTGGCGGGACACCTGGCGGACACGTCACCTCCGGCGAGCCACACAGACGTCTCCGGCGTCGGAGGACTAAAACAGCGAAAATTTTTCACTTATGGGACTAGTTTGCGATAGGCTCCACTTACGGGACTAAAATGATAAGAGGCAATTACGGGACTGAAAAAACAGTTTACCCTTCTTTTTAACAAGAATTATATTTAAACCATTATTCAAACCAAAATCCAAAACTAAAAAATAAAACAAACGTAACCCCCAAGGAACCATGTCAGACAAGTTAAAGAGATGTTACAATTTTGATGTTAAATTATTAATTTTTTTTTAGTGGATAAACTATATATGTTTTATGTATATGTTTTATATTTTTTATAATATTAATCGAAAAATATGTCAAAAATATTTTGTTAGAAGAACCCATCCTGAAGAAAAGCAAATTATTTTGTTATTTTTGGTTTTAATACTGAGTTGGATGTAATATTTGGCTATATATATATATATATATGATAATTTTACAAAAATCATATTAAAAATAATAAATAAAAGTAAACAAAGCCAGGCGCAATGTATGAACATTTTGATGATTACGTTACGATAAATAATTAATCTGCCACAATTTCAATGTTCAGTATGTTTTGGTAAACCTGCTAAAGAGTTTGTTAGAATATTTTGATTGATATGATACTTACATTACATGTTGTAATATTAATATATATATATATATATATATATTGGCAATCGTACGTACTCTGCATCCACTGTTCTTGTCTTCAATTATTTTACATATATTAATAAAATGACCAAAAAACATGTTATATGAGGACAGGCAGTTATCGATGTAAGAGACACTTTAATGGTAATTACTTTTATTAATATTTATAGATATATAGTTCCTCCGTCCCAATATACTATGTCCACGTTGCCTTCTGTCTGTCCCACGTACCATGTCACTTTTTTTTTCGAAAAATAATTATACAATTTAATCTCATTTTAAACTTTTTAATTTTATTTTTTTAAAATTTTAATTAAACTAATTAATTATCTTAATCTTAATTTATAATTATTTATATTATAGAATAATTATTTTCACTAATACATTCTTAATTATCTACTAATTACATCCCTACTAAAATACCGTGTCTACAATGTAGCAGACACGGTACGTGGAACAGAGGTAGTACAATTTTGGTAATATAAGTGATTATATATATATATAGTAGTCCTTTTGGCTGTATTATATTTATATCTAGAAATAACGGGTAGGTTATATATGGCCCTAATTGGATTATAACACATTGTGATAATATGCCAAAACAATCGTAGGACGTGCATATTATTAACACATATTGTTAGTTATATACTTCATTCGTCTCAATTATGGTGTAACATTTATTTTCGGCACAAAAATTTAGGCTAGTAGTATTAATAGGATAATTGAAAAATTAAACGATACTCCCTCCGTCCCACATACCGTGTCTGCTACACTGTAGACACGGTATTTTAGGAGAAGTGTAATTAGTAGATAATTAATAATATATTAGTGAAAATAATTATCATATAATATAAATAATTATAAATTAAGATTAAGATAACTAATTAGTTTAATTAAAATTAAAAAAATAAATAAATTAAAAAGTTTAAAATGAGATTAAAGTGTGTAATCATTTTTCAAAAAATGAAAGTGATATGGAATGTGGGACGGATAGAAACGACAACGTGGACATGGTATGAGACGGAGGGAGTATGATGAGGGAAAATAATGTATATTTATTGGAGCGTTGTGATGAAATAAAATTTGGGATAAGAATTAAATATATTTAAGTATTTCATATTTTAAAAATATTGGAGGATATTTGAGAAAAATAAAAAATGAAACGTTGTCTGATGTTCGGGACGAAGGGAGTATTATCTTCTTTACGTTTTGAAGGAAAGTATACATTTGAGTTTTTGTAGTAAATTAAAAAATAATAGTATTTTATTGGTCAGTAGAAGTGGATAAATGATTTTGATATTTTTGCTCTTTTGTAGTTTATGTATAAATTAATTGTATATTTGTAATTTATGTAAAGTTAAATATTATTTTAATATTAGTGTGATTATTTTTAGTATAATAGGAAATTGATATTTTTTAGTTGGACAAACAAAAATGATAAAAAAAAAAATACTTTAAGTTGAAATAGAGAATAAATATAATTCATTATGTTAACATTTGATATAGCATATATTGACACTTATATATTATATATATTATATTATGTTTGTCGGGAATAAATGTTGCATCAAAACTCCTTCAAACATCTAAATTAAACAATGGTCAATTTCCAAAGCGTAGTTACGTTATTGTCAACCGTATGCATGCAAAAATACAAAGTAATAAATGAGACAAGAATTGACCATTAATCCAAGAATTGACAAAGTAATAAACAAACCTACATCCGAGGATATCAATCCAAGAATAGTTTCACTAATCAATGTTTATTAAAGAACAAAGATAAACCACAACTTCTTTAACACATACCTTTACAATGTTACCTAGGAAAACTCCTCCACAGACTTACCTTGTCACAAGTTCGTACTGACAACTACCATAAAGTATGATTGCTTACAATCTGAACATATCTTCTGATCGGAACTCTAATAACTCCTTCCTCCGTCAAACTCTCTGGCGAATAAAAGTGATAAACACTCAATTAAAATATGGAGAAGAAAAATGGCAACGTTGAGAGCATGAACTCTAGTTTTTATCTCTAAACAAAACTCTCCAAACCCTACTGAGAACCAAACATATTTTCTCTAACGACTAAACAGCCACCATGTTGTGCATCCAAGACAAACCCATTAAATTCCCTTTGCACATAAGTGATATGAGGTGTTCCTGCATAATTCTGATGTCAAGTTGACTATCTCAATTCATTCTTTTTGTCTTGTGCATCCACCAAATCGAGAAGGGACAAAACAATCAGAGTTACTAACAGATTGTTGCAGCAACTTGATGGTTCAACATTGCTGCAATTGGTATCTGACGAGTGACAACGACAGCAACAAAAAGGGCGGTTTGACCATATGTCATAACAAGTGATACGATATTTTTCTATTTAACAATGTTAACACGTAATATGTATTGATGTTGAATATATTCCACATTGGAAATAATATTGGGACTCCGCTATTTTATAAGGGTGAAGGATTAAGTACTTAGCACCAATTGATTTTAAATTGGAGCCTCGGATACTATTATTATGTATTGCTATCACCCTGATAATTATATACTTGCCCGTCTACCTGGTGTATGGATCCCTCCCCGTCAAATATAGGATTATTAGACTAATGAGAACTAACATATGTGATTATTCTCTAGCAAATCAATTCAAATAAACGATCAAATTAATAAAAACTATTGTTTATAAAATAAAAATTACAAATATGTTTTCATCTTGATATATTATATTTATACCAACAAGAATTTTTTTGTCGTGAAACATGTGGATTTATGTAAAAACGAATTGAGTACATGACTCTGATGGCTAAAGACTTTAGATAGGCGATTGATGAGTGTATTATCTCACAATTGCTTAAGCTAATAATGCTATTCGATCGTTGTAATTAATATACAAGATCGGTATATAACCGAGCCATCATCATCGAATCAAGAAGTCACTTATGCCTAAAAACACAGCATTATATTGCGGAGATATTAGTGAGTGAATATGACAATTTTTGCGGCTTGTAAAATATACTTATCAGAAAAGGTTAAATATTAACAATAACTCAATAGAATAATAAACAATTGAATATAGACTTAGATATAAATCATGATAAATAAATAAAAAAAATGCTGGATTTTGGTGATAATAATTACTTAGAATTTGTAATAATTCTTGATCAATGATGGTGCTTGTTTGGACAAATTCCATATCTCGTGAGTTTTCTGCAACGACTTTATGTGTTCATTGTTATATTCATAATTCTATCAAACTTATTACCTCATATCAAATTATGATTATCAAGGGAAAAGTTTATTTACTACTATACAAATTTAATACGAACATTCATTCCTTATTTTAAATTATACCTTGTATATATTCTATCTTGTAAACTACACAGCAAATATTGATTAATCAAATTTAAAGTAAGATATATAATGTACTAAATTTTGGTGGCTCTATGTTATTACAAACGGCATGGATCAGCTGCTGATCCGATCCAGTCAACATAATGTTGATTTGATCGGATCAACATATATTACAGGGATGACTAGCATATATTTATACCTATCTCAAAATATTTATTATATATCATATATTATATTATAGGGTAAACAGATTTTAAAGTCTCGTAACTAGACTTTTTTATCGTTTTAGTCTCGTAATTGGAGTATGTTGCAAACTAACCTCGTAAGTGAAAATTTTTTGCACTTGTAGTCCTTCGGCGGCAGAGATGCCTACGTGGTACCCACGTCGTCGCTGGAGGACATGTGTCCGCCAGGTCAGCGACATCCGGTGGACACATGAAATTTTTTTAATTTTTTTAAAAATTATTTATTTATTTTATCTTAATTTCAATTTTTATTTTTTTGAAAAATTTTTTAAAAAAAAAAATTAAAAATCCAATGTTTGCCGGTGTCGCTGACCTGGCGGATACGTGTCACCCGGCTAGGTACGCGGGTGCTACGTAGATATGTCCAGCACCGAAGAACTAAAATTGCAAAAAATTTCTACTTACGTAACTAAAATGATAAAAATCAATTTATCTTATATTATAACTTAGCATATATTATCTTATAACACAACATAAATTGAAATATATATAAAAGATATATTGGTCATCTATGTACTTAGTTGTCTATTAGTTGTTTTTTTTTTTCATTCATTAATAAAATTACCTTCAATCTTTACTGCAAATTCTCTTGTTTAACTATCTTAATTCATGTAATTCGCATCATATGAAAAGATGTTAGTCAGAGTTATTCAACATATATTCAAAACAACATATTATTAATTTCCCTTTCGAGCAACAATACCATAAAAATATCAGAGTTTCAAAAACATGCTAAAGGAGATATATTCGAAATACATGAGTAATTTCAAACTATCAATTAGATTACGTTAAGCAATATCTCTAAGTGAAGGCACAGCTATGAGCGGAAGACGCTTGTGCAGTGCGACACCAAACCTGTCGCTAAAGTCGAGTTGTTGTCCTTCTTCAAGTTTCCACTCAAAGTTATGAATAAAAAATGCGATGACAAGATGCAGCATTCGCTCGGCCAATGGCATCCCCGGGCATATTCGCCTGCCGGATCCGAAGGGCAGATACTCAAAATGGTGACCTTCGAAGTCGATTTTGCTGTCTAGAAATCTCTCGGGCTCAAAGGAGTCAGGATTGGACCAGATGTTTGAATCTCTTCCTATACACCATACATTGATTAAAATTATTGTGTCCTTTGGGATCGTATATCCCATGACTTGTATGTCGGCTTCGACCTTGTGGGGTAGTAAGAGTGGTCCGGGAGGGTGATATCTGATCACTTCTTTAACCACAGCTTGCAAGTATGGAAGCCTCGATATATCCGATTCTTCAACTTGTTTGTCTTCTCCGATTACGGTCCTCAACTCTTCTTTTAGTTTGGCTGCTTTTTCTGGATTGCCTAGCAACTCTGTCATGCCCCAAACTATTGTGCTCGACATTGGATCTGCTCCCGCCATTAGTAAATCCTATAATAATTAAATGTTTATGTTAAATGATGGAAATGACCGTCCCATTTAAAAGATATTTGATACCTAAACTTCAGATATTATATTAGATGATGTAAATGATCGTCTCACTAAAAACTACTTGAGACCTAAGATTTTGATACCAGATGGTGTAAATGACCGTCTCACCTAAAAATTATTTAAGACTTAAGGTTCTAATACCATGTTAGATAATGTAAATGACCGTCTGATACCATGTTAAATTATATAAATGATGTTTCAACTAAAAATTTAAGCTATTAGGATACGTATAATTTATTTATTTCTTTATTTACAAACAGGAATCAACCGACAGTTTAATTAAACAAGACTTAAATGGGCTTCCAAAAAAAAAATTTATACGAATTTACGAAACCATGATGAGATGCTTGATCTCCTCGATGCTAATGTCGTGTTCCTTTCTGTTATTGGCGTCAAGAAGCGCGGCAAGAAAGTCGTGTTTTTGAGAAGACATCGACTCTAATAATCTCTTCTGAATCACATCTTCAAGAATCCCCAAGATTTTACCTAGAGATCGCTCTCCCCGGCGCTTGAGGCCCTGCAGATCAGTCCCTTTCAAAATGGCGAAGTAATCGGCGATATTCGGCGCAGAAACTGTGTCGATTACATCGTCCAAGGCCTTCTTGAGCTCGCCGGCGGCGACTGAATTGAACTCCCCGAGATCGAAAGAGAACATCGTGGCAGACATGAGGTTCAGCGTCGTTGTAAACACGACTTCTCCGATATTCACAGCTCGCCGGCGGGCGGCGCAGTCCTTCACGTGGTCGTAGAGCTGGTTCAGCTTGTCTCGCCGGAGGCCCTGGCTGGCCTGAAGTTTGGCCGGAGAGAACAGCAGTTCCCGGCAGATTTTACGGCACTTGCGCCAGAAAGGCCCGACAGGGAGAATGCCGAAGCAATACATGTGGTGGTCGCATGCCTCGGAAGCCGCCGGAGCGAACCTGCCGGAAATGGCGAGATCGTGCTTGGTGAGCATTTCTTTGGCGACCTCCGGCGAGGAAACGGCCACTATATTTCGGAACCCTATCTTGAGAGACATTAATGGGCCGTAAGTTTTGGAGAGGTTGGCGAGGGATCGGTGTGGGTTCCGGCCAATTTGGAAGAGGTTGCCGATGATCGGAAATGGATAAGGCCCCGGCGGCAGCCGGACGCTTTTCCGGTGCGCCGGCACCCCTAATCTATTGGTACGATGAAATAGATTAGGGAAAATGACATTTTTGTAAAATGGTTTTGATTGTACGGATTGAGAAATGAGCTGATAGGCTCACTAATATAGAGTGTCCATGAGGGGTGTATTTGGAATTTTAGGATGTGCGGTTGGCGCCCCAATGCACTATTATAATTTCTTTATTTAAAGAAAGAATAGATTGAATTTTTATTTTTTTTATATTATATTATATTATAATTTTTTTATTTACAATATTGTAATCTATATTTATATTATACTACCTCCGTCCCGCGTATCGTCTCTGCTACACACTGTACACACGGTAGTTTTTAGGAGGGGTGTAATTAATAGATAATTAAAAATGTATTGGTGAAAATAATTATCCGATAATATAAATAATTATAAATTAATATTAAGATAATTAATTAGTTTAATTAAAATTAAAAAGTTTAAAATGATATTAAAGTGTGTAATCATTTTCCAAAAAATGAAAGTGACATGGTATATGAGACGGACAGAAACGACAACGTGAACGTGGGACTGAAGGAGTATTAAATATGTGTTTAATTTCTTATTTTTTTTATTTTTTTCAAATTTATATCCGATTTATAATATTATATTATTATGATTTTATAAAATAGTAAAAATAATGAGGTGAATGTAATTATACTAATACAAGTGTTAAAAAATAATTTAAATATTGATGTAAATGAAAGAGAAAGAAAAAATAAATAAATAAATAAATTAAATCAAAAATTAAATCATCATTTATGTTATTAAAAATGTAGAATAGTTTGCAGATTATTATATTTGACGAAATCTTATCCAATATGTACTCTAAAAGTAGTGATTGCGAGTTCAGCAGTTTAAAATATTTTTAAAATTAATTTTGATTTAATAAAATAAAATAAAATAATCGTAATGAGTCATGCTGATAAGCATGCAGTAATAAACAATTACACCAAATGTATCTTTTCGAAACAAAGCATTGCATTGAAGCATTTTTTAAAAATAATACTCCCTCCTCCGTCCACAAATTAATATTTTATTGTCCTATTTAAAACATTCAATAACTACTGTCATATTTTTTTTAAAACATAAATTTTATTTTTTTACTTTTATTTATTTATTATTTTTAATATCTACATTATAATAAAAGACAAATTTGTCAATTCATACCAAAATACGATAACCTAAAAACAGTGTAAATATATAAAATCATGACAAAATCCGATAAAGGATAATTTAATAGTATGAAAGTGAATTTGTGACTATGAAATTATAAGTATAAACTATTGACACCTTCAGATTATTAAATTCAATCGAAAGATTTTCAGAAATTTGACGAACATTACTTTTGTTAAAATTAATATTTGGTCCAATTTTTATTTGGGAATTTGCTGACTGGTCAGGTTTGAGAGTTTAGTATCACGTGTTTATTATGCTACGGGTAGGTGAGATCTGGCCTCGGTAATGTGTTTTACAATTTGTTTTATTACACAACTAAAAATAAATAACAAAAAGACTAACTTCATTTTTCTATTTATCAAAAGATTAATATGGAGTAAATGTTTTCAGCACTCAAATTGCATTTTATTAATAAAAGAAAACATATATTTTTTTTCTGATTATATATTACTCCCTCCGTCTGTCTCAAATACCATGTTCACGTTGTCATTTCTGTCCGTCCCATATACCACGTCACTTTCCTTTTTTGGAAAATAATTACACACTTTAATTTCATTTTAAATTTTTAAATTTTTTTAAAATTTTAATTAAACTAATTAGTTATATTAATATTAATTTATAATTATTTATATTATCGGATAATTATTTTCACTAATACATTCTTAATTATCTATTAATTACACCCCTTCTAAAATACCGTGTCTACAGTGTAGCGGGACGGAGGGAGTACATTAATTAATTTTGGTCAAATATAATTGAAAATTTTAATCAATTTTAGTTCTATTAAAAATAAAATTTATTAATTCTGATTCACCATTAATTTTCAATTGAACTGTTTAAATGACATTATAAATGGATCAAATAGGACCGTACTGAATAACTTAAAACAATTGAGTGAGGTTTACAAACAATTACCAAGGTTGTATTGTCTGTTCATTTAATACATTCATTACATATTCATTGTCTAGTAAAAACTGATCTATTGCATCGAGTGAATATATATAATATTATTTCAAATAAGTAATACATATACTCACAACTAAAATATTTTTTTAGTTACTTAAAAATAATTAGAAAAATCAATAAATGATATTTTTAGCATTGATCCAAGAAAATACAATCCTAATAATTATAATTATATATATATTTTACATTTATGTAAACTTTTAAAAACTAGTTTTAATTATTTTAATTTATAATTTTAAAAGTGGATTAAAGAATAAAACTGCACTCGTTATCTTTCTGTCAATTTTCTTGTATTCAGTTTTGCTCTTGTCTTCGAGTGTCTCATCAAGCGCGGTATCTGAATATTTATCATACAAAGTTGATCTTCCACAATTCAAAGTTGACCCCACCAAATATCTTGACAACATGAAGATCACTCATCTTACTTCCACTCAAATGAAACTTAGGACTTTGATTCTAGTTGTTGTTAGGAAATGAAGAAAAGAAAAGAAAATATGTTGACTAAATACGATCAAAATGATTTATGACTAGAGACGGCTTAGTCAGGTATTTACACTAGTATTTTCATGTGTTTATTACAGAAAGAATACACCAAGTATCTATAGATGTGTCGACGAAAACCCTAGCTCAATCGGAGATAGAAGAATTGGATGTACAATATTCCCCGACTTGAACTTAGGTTTCACAACACATTAATAAATAAATTGTGTTTATTCTTCAAATTTAAAAATTTATAGATAAGATGATAATTTAACATGATATGAGAGCCGGAACCTCATGTATTCAAGTACTCCTTATTTTTCTATAAATAACAATTATATGAATATGAAAACAATAAAACATATTCTCGTAGATCTATTATAGTAACTTATCTTCAACATACACTCTATTTTGAGGGATAAAAAAATATTCTTTATATATTCTTTTTCTATATAATTTTTTAAATTTACAAATTATAACACTCAATATTTTACTATTTTTAAATATTTAATTTATAATAATAATTTTTATTAACATTTTTAAATATTATATGGGTAAACTATATTTATTATTCTTATTGTTTGATTATAAAAGATAATAAATCTTTAAAATAAACAAATTAAATTTTAATATTATTAAAAGTATCTAAAAAAAAAAAAAAAACACACACACACAGTGATCCACCTATCCGAGAAGGTGAAAAATGCATTTTCCATACTCCATTGAAGGAGCTTTTGGTGGCCAATCCTGCATATTTGGAGGAAATCATCTCCCGGTTGGGAGATGGTTTTAAACTAGGAAGATCGGTCGTTATTTCCTTTGACAATATGTGATTAAAGTTATATATGTATATACTTTTTGTTTTTTTATAACGGATTGAATACTCTACAAACTAGATTTGATAAGGCAAGTCACATTAGGCGAACTATTGTGGCAGATGGATTTGAAGGCGTGATAGATCTTATGGTGTTTATTAGTCAGATTATAAGAATTTTCCATGTAAAAATTCTCTACATTTCATTTTATTATTTCAGTAATTTATTGTCCATATGAAGAAAATGTGAGTGACCGGCTTCATGTGGGCTAGATCGGATACGGATCCAAGTTGTTTCTTATACAACATGAAAGATACCTTACATATGCATATTAATTGTTCAAATGCTTCTTACAAAAAATTATTAGATGATGAAGCTCTGCATCGAAGGAACAACAATAACGTGTTGGCTGCATCCACGGGCAGAAACGAACAACAGATTTATTCACAACGACAATGTAACTGATTACGGATTTCCTATCTCTAAGTCTCTTTAAATAAATCATGACAATATATGAAACGGGCTCAGCCCAATACTGGATACCGTCAGCCTGAGGAAAAATGACAAACTAGATTCGAGACATATTAAGGAAAAAAAAAAAAAAGGGAATGAATTTACTGACCACGATGAGATGCTTGATGTCGTCGATGCTAATGTCGTATTCCTTTCTGTTATTAGCGTCAAGAAGCGCTGCAAGAACGTAGTGTTTTTGCGAAGATTCATTGGAAGAAATCGACTCTAATCTCTTCTGAATCACATCTTCAAGAATCCCCAAGATTTTCCCTAAAGATTTCTCTCCACGGCTCTTGATGCACTGCAGATCTGTCCCTTTTAAAATGGGGAAGTAATCGGCCATATTTGGTGCAAAAATTGTGTTGACACTCCATCCAGGGTCTCCTTGAGCTCCCTGGCAGCGTTCGAGTCGAACCCCCAAAATCGAAAGAGAACATGGTTGCAGACATGAGGTTAGTCCAGGTTGTATAGACGACTTCTTGGATATTCACAGGCCGGCCGCGACTGGCGCAGTCCTTCACGTGCTCGTACAGCTGCATCAACTTGTCTCCCGGGAGGCCCTGGCTGGCCTGAAGTTTTTGTGGCGAGAACAGAAGTTCTCGGCAGATTATACGGCACTTGCGCCAGAAGGGTCTGGCCGGGCGAGGCCGAAGCTATACTTGTTGTGGTCACATGCCTCTGTCGCCACCGGCACGAACCGCCCGGATATGTTGCGGTCGTGTTTGGTGAGCATTTCTTTGGCGACATCCGGCGAAGAAACAACAACAATATTGCAGCACCTGGCCTTTAACGACATTAATGGCCCGTAAGTTTTTGAGAGTCGGGCGAGGGATCAGTGAGGGGATCGGCCAATTTGGAAGAGGTTGCTGATGATCGGGAAGGGATAAGGCCCCGGCGGAAGCCGGAGACTTCTCCGGTGGCTGGACTTTGATCTCCGGAGAAGAAACAAGGTTGTCCATATTGTGATCGAAATAATCAGGCAGATCTAGAAAGTTGACATTTGTGATATTATAATTAACGTATGATTTGTTTGATGCCTGTAAGTGATGAACTGTGAACTCGTGGGCTACAATCTCCAACTTTTAATTTTTGTCCATCTCTTTATTAAGCAAACTTTACGTTGGGACTCCCGTTTGCGGATATATAATTAATTTTTGTGTTTCGTTTTTCTAACCGTTCGAACTTTTAGGTAAGACAGTCATTCTGCATCCGAAGTGATATTAGAGCGGGACATCATAATTGTTTACAACATGTTTTTAGCAATGGAAATTATATACTCCATTAATGATCTTTGAAGTCAATTATTGATATAAAAAAATTTAATTATTAAATAACCAATCTCTACTATCTAAATAAATAATGTATACTAACTAAATTCTCGTACCCAAACAAAAGAGTTGGGACTTATAAATTTAGAAAATCCCCTAAAAGAGCACAATTGAATAGCTCGAGAACTCGTAGCCGCTATTCGAAAGTACGCATTAGGTAAACCTCCAGTCGAACCTAATACCCTGCAAACTAGGCCCGACAAGCCAAGTCACACCAAATACTCCATTCGCTTGCCATACACCATACACTTGTGTGGCAGGTAAACTTGGAAGCGTCGGAAATGCACACAAGAAATTAAAGCTATGTTACATATGCATATTAATTGTTACAATGCTTCTAATAATGCAAAATAATTATAAGATAAATCTGATGGAAGGAACAGCCATGAGCGGAACACTCTTGCGTAGAGCGATACCAGACTTCTCGCTAACATCGAGCTCTTGTCCTTGTTCGAGTTTCCACTCAAAGTTGTGAACAAGAAATGCGATCACAAGATGCAGCATTTGGCTACCCAATGATATCCCCGGGCATATTCGCCTTCCGGATCCGAAGGGAAGATACTCGAAATGGTGACCTTCGAATTCGATTTTCTTGTCTAGAAATCTTTCGGGCTGAAAGGAGTCAGGATCTGACCAGATATTCGAATCTCTTGCCATACACCATACATTGATTAAAATTTGTGTGTCCTTTGGGATCGTATATCCCATGACTTGTATGCCGGCTTCGGCCTTGTGGGGTATTAAAAATGGTCCGGGTGGGTAACATCTGAGCACTTCTTTAACCACAGCTTGCAAGTATGGAAGCCTCGGTATGTCTGATTCTTCGACTTGTTTGTCTTCTCCGATTACAGTCCTCAACTCATCTTTTAATATGGCTGCTTTTTCGGGATTGCGTAGCAACTCCGTCATCGCCCAAACTATTACGCCTGCTGTTGTGTCTGCTCCTCCGAGCAGTAAATCCTAATTTCAGAAATGAATATATATGTTAATAATAATGATATAGATGACCGTCGCGCCTAAAAATTTAAGCTATTAGGATACGAATCATTTATTTATTTATCTACAAACGGGAGTCAACCAGCATATCCTTCAATGGAAAGGGGATAATGCCACCAAACTAAATTTACCCGTGGACAACGACAAACAAGGGACGGTAGGACTCGAACTCGAGACCTAAGGCTCTGATACCATGTTAGATAAGCTTTTAGGTGAGTCGGTCATTTATTTCATTTAACTGACTTGTTTCCAGGAAAATTTACTGACCACAATGAGATGCTTGATCTCCTCGATGCTAATGCCGTATTCCTTTCTATTATTGGCGTCAAGAAGCGTTGCAAGAAAGTCGTATTTTTGAGAAGTCGTCGACTCTAACCTCTTCCGAATCACATCTTCAAGAATTCCCAAGATTCTCCTTAAAGATTGCTCGCCTCGGCGCTTGATGCCCTGCGGATCTGTCCCTTTTAAAACTGGGAAGTAATCCGCCAAATTCGGCGCAATAAACATGGCGAAAACTTCTTCCAGGGCCTCCTTGAGCTCCCTCGCGGCAGTTGAATCGACCTCCCCAAAATCGAAAGAAAACATGGTCGCAAACATGAGGTTAATCGAGGTTGCATACACAACTTCTTCGATATTCACAGCTCGTCCGCGAATCGCGCACTCCTTCACGTGCTCGTACAGCTGCATCAATTTGTCTCGCCGGAGGCCCTGACAGGCCTGAAGTTTTTGCGACGAGAACAGAAGTTCCCGGCAAATAGTACGGCACTTGCGCCAAAAGGGTCCGACCGGGGCAGCGACGAAGCTATACTTGTGGTGGTCGCATGCCTCTGTCGCCGCCGCGACAAACCTGCCGGATGTGTTGCGGTCGTGTTTGGTGAACATTTCTTTGGCGACCTCCGGCGAAGAAACAACCACCATGTTGGCGAATCCGGCCTTTATCGACATTAATGGCCCATAAGTTTTGGAGAGTCGGGCGAGGGAACGGTGGGGGGTTCGGCCGAGTTGGAAGAGGTTTCCGATTATCGGAAAGGGATAAGGCCCCGGCGGCAGCCGGACACTTCTCCGGTGGATCGACTTTAATCTCTGGACAAGAAAGAAGGCTGTACATGTTGTGATTGAGATGATCAGGGAGATCATTAAAATTGACATTTTTGTAATGTAATTAACGTATGGTAAGGATTGATGAACTATATAGTGGCTATCATTTTCGTTTACATCATGTTTTTAGCATCAAAAATTAATTATTTGTCTAGTGAAAGATGAGCTGTTGGGCCAATTATAAAAATACGTATATAGACAAGATCTAGTCCTAAATTATACAGCGGCTGCCATAGTACAGTGATAAATAAATAAATAAATAAGTAAATAAAATAAATAAAAACCTGGCCAACACGCACCCATGCAGGATGGAATTTGGAATCCAACCCTCAAGTAACGATGTCTCACCGCTTGATCTACAAAGATTTGATAGGATCGGCCAGGTTGAGAGGGACATTTGTTGAGAGTCCAATACAAATAGAGATTTATTTTGTATTTATGTTATATACACTTCTTCCTACCAATATTATCTATTCGTTCTTTTATTTTGATCCGTTTGAAAATAAAATATTCATTTTCGTTTAGTAACTCTAGCGTCTATCTATTATTATAATTACTCTTAAATTTATATTTATATTACAAATATACTACTACAATGAATTTTTATTTTAAAGATATTTTAATTTTTTAACTTTTATTCTTACTATATCTCATTATAATACTAATATTTCTAAAACTTAAATGAAGAGAGTATTATTTTATATATATAAATTATTTGATGTTTGTCATGTAATCCTTCATCCCATACAAAGTATCTATATAGGTTAATATGGTGAATTTAGATAAAGTATAATTATTGATTAGAATTTTGACAACTAAATAATTTAGTTAAAATTTAAAAAATATATATGAAATTTAAAATGTGATTAAAATGTATAATTATATTTTTATTAAAAAAAATATTATATAAAAAAATATATATAAAATATATATATATATACATTTTATGTGGGAACCATGAAGTATTAATTAAAAGGATATAGATTAGTGGTTTTGAGGTGGATTTATAGTAATAAAATTATGGGTTCAAATCTCGATGTTTTTAAATTTTAGTATTCTTTTGTGCATTAAAAAAAAATATTAGATTATATTAGTATTATTAATTTTCTTTTTTGTATATAATTTTTTTAAAAAATATTTTATTTAATTATTTATATTTTTTTATAAGAAAAAAAAAATTATTTAGACCCCTTATTTTTGTTTAGCTCCTACCCTTCCGAAGTCAAACTGCCCATGCTTTGACACAATTTCATATTTTCATTTAAATTATTTAAGATTAATGGTTGAGAGACCTAATATGTAATATTAAACGTAGCAGCAGCATATATAGAAAATAAAATAATAGTCCCATCCAAATGTAGTGATCCAAACAAATAATAATAATAATAATAATAATAATAATAATAATAATAATAGTGACAATAATTGAAAGGCAATCACAGGTTTTGTTAAGTAAATATATTAATTGTGCAAGTTGATGAGAGCAGTTGAGGTTCTTTTGATTTGATTTAATTTAATTTGGCAATGTCCTGACAGATTATTATGTTTTTTTTTTTTTTTCTGGTTATTATTCACGTGTTTTTACGTAAATTATATTAAAATTTAAATTATGGTAATATATTATTAAAAGACAATAATAGAATTTCCAAGCTATTAACAAATCAGGTTGAGCATAGCTCTCGAGTTATCCAATTCATTTACCCCTTCCTCGTTCAATTTTGTGTTCATTTGACTATATTTTTACTTGGCTAAAAAAAAAATTATCAAAACAACAAGAATAATGACAATTAAAAGAAAAAAAGTGAGAATAAATTTATTGTGAAGTCATAATTAGACGCTGAAGCTCAGCATTGAAGGAACAGCTATAAGCGGAACCCTCTTGCGCAGCGCAGTGCCATACTTCTCGCTAACATCGAGCTCATGTCCTCGTTCAAGTTTCCACTCAAAGTCGCGAACAAGAAATGCGATCACAAGATGCAGCATTCGGTCACCCAATGGTATCCCCGGGCATATTCGCCTTCCGGATCCAAAGGGTGTATACTCAAAATGGTGACCTTGGAATTCGATTTTGCTGTCTACAAATCTCTCGGGCTGAAAGGAGTCAGGGTCCGACCAGATGTTTGAATCTCTTCCCATACACCATACGTTGATAAAAATTTGTGTGTCCTTTGGGATCGTATATCCCATGACTTGTATGTCAGCTTCGGCCTTGCGGGGTAGTAAAAGTGGTCCGGGAGGGTGATATCTGAGCACTTCTTTAACCACAGCTTGCAAGTATGGAAGCCTCGATATGTCTGATTCTTCGACTTGTTTGTCTTCCCCGATTACAATCCTCAACTCATTTCTTAATATAGTTGCTTTCTCAGGATTGCGTAGCAACTCTGTCATGGCCCAAACTGTTACACTTGCTATTGTGTCTGCTCCTCCCAGGAGTAATTCCTAATGTGACAAATGGAATAAAATGAAAATATAGTAAAAATAATAGTTTTACACAAAAACATATATATGCAATAATCTCAAGACTGGAAGCATGATTGAAAAGATCTGATTAATATCAATTGATTTTAAATTCGAACTTCGAATCCCTTTTTAACAAAAATATCATTACTATGGCTCACAGAAAGAGTCGAAAGATCACGATCCGGCCATTCAAGCTACACTTACTATTATTTTTAAATAAAAAGTTTAAAGAGGCTAATCAAGCCTTTTAGATATAAATGATTGTTTCGTCTAAAAGCTTAGTTGTTATGGATACACGTCATTTATTTATTTATCGGGAGTCACCAACACTTCCGAACAATTTTACTCACCACGATGAGATGCTTGATGTCGTTGATGCTGATGTCGTATTCCCTTCTGTTATTGCCGTCCAGAAGCGCTGCCAGAAAGTCGTTTTTTTTAGAAGATTCTGTAGAATTCATCGACTCTAATCTCTTCTGAATCACATCTTCAAGAATTCCCAAGATTTTCCCAAAAGATTTCTCTCCCCGACGCTTAATGCCCTGTAGATCTGTCCCTTTTAAAACGGGGAAGTAATCCGCCAAATTCGGCGCAAAAACTGTGTTGAACACTTCTTCCAGGGCCTCCTTGAGCTCCCTTGCGGCATTCGAATCGACCTCCCCAAAATCAAAAGAGAACATGGTTGCAAACATGAGGTTAATCGTGTTTGTATAGACGACTTCTTGGATATTCACAGCTCGGCCGCGACTGGCGCAGTCCTTCACGTGCTCGTACAGCTGCATCAATTTGTCTCGCCGGAGGCCCTGGCTGGCCTGAAGTTTTTGCGCCGAGAACAGAAGTTCCCGGCAGATTGTACGGCACTTGCGCCAGAAGGGTCCGACAGGGGACAGGACAAAACTGTACTTGTGGTGGTCGTATGCCTCGGTCGCCACCGGCGCGAACCGACCGGAGATGTTGCGGTCGTGTTTGGTGAACATTTCTTTGGCGACCTCCGGCGAAGAAACAACCACAATGTTGTGGCACCCAACCTTTAAGGACATCAATGGCCCGTAAGTTTTGGAGAGTCGGGCGAGGGATCGGTGTGGATTCCGGCCAATTTGGAAGAGATTTCCGATGACCGGAAAGGGATAAGGCCCCGGCGGCAGCCGGAGACCTCTCCGGCGCGTTGACTTTGATCTCTGGACAAGAAACAAGGTTGTATATATTGTGATCGAAATAATTAGGCAGATCGCGAAAATGGACATTTTGTGTTATGATTAACGAATGGTTTTTTTTTTTGGTAAGGATTGATGAACTGCTGGGATAATTAATAGATAGTGGGTATCATAACATGGTTTTAGCATCGAAAATTACAGTATAATTATTTGTCTAGCTATTGATGAACTGAAAGCGATTGATGAACTGAAATAAGTTTAAATGTATTTTAATTGGGTGTTAATTTGGGTTTTTAGTGGATTCATTGGTGAGGGTGGATATTAAAATGACAATTAAAAAGACTTATTATATTTTATTTTAAAGATATTTAGTTGTGTTTTGGGTATGAATTTTTTAGAATTTTTATTATTAATCGTTGAGAGTTATGAAAATTTTATTAAAATATCTATTTCTGTTATCTTTTAAATATTTTATACAAAATATAATACTCCTTCTGTTTCATATACCGTAAGATACACTGTAGATACGAAATTTCATATAGTTTTAGAGCATATGCTAGATTTCAATATCCTCCTAACAAATAACATTTGAAATCCGTGAAAAGAATCATTAGATATGTAAACCTACATCCGAATTAGACATATGAATGTATCCAACTTGGATTAGAAATGATGATACAAGAGTACTTCCCGAGGTTGTTTCTTTATAAGTAACAACCTTGTTAGTTGACATTCGAAGAAATAAATTTCGATAGTATTATCTAATGTCAAAGCTAAATACATAGTTATTGAAAATTGTTCATAACTTCTATGCTTGAAACAGATTTTAGAAGATTTTGCCATTCCAAATGAACAATTTACAGTTTATTATAATAATACAAGTATCATCGATATCTTGAAAATTTCAATTATGAACGAACATATCATATTAACATAAGATATCACTTTATTCCGTTTTCTTATGTTAGATTTATCTTTATTCTTAAAAGAGAAAACGCATGGCATGTACGTGAGTACTCACAATATGGTCGTGATAGCTATCTTACATATATTTATTGTTACAATGAAAAATTATTAGAAAATCGATGAAGGAACAGCCATGAGAGGAACTCTCTTGAATAGCACAATACCAAACTTGTCGCTAACGTAGGAGCTCTTGTCCTTGTTCGAGTTTCCACTCAAAGTTGTGAACAAGAAATGCGATCACAAGATGCAGCATTCGGCCACCCAATGGTATCCCCGGGCAGATTCGCCTTCCCCACCCGAAGGGTAGGTACTCAAAATGGTGACCTTCGAAGTCGATTTTGCTGTCTACAAATCGTTCGGGCTGAAAGGAGTCAGGATTGGACCAGATGTTTGAATCTCTTCCCATACACCATACATTGATTAAAATTTGTGTGTCCTTTGGGATCATATTTCCCATGATTTCTACGTCGGCTTCGGCCTTGTGGGGTATTAAAAATGGTCCGGGAGGGTGATATCTGAGCACTTCTTTAACCACAGCTTGCAAGTATGGAAGCCTCGATATGTCCGATTCTTCGACCTGTTTGTCTTCTCCGATTACAGACTACAGTCCTCAACTCATCTTTTAATATGGCTGCTTTCTCAGGATTGCGTAGCAACTCCGTCATCGCCCAAACTATTACCGTCGCTATTGTGTCTGATCCTGCAAGTAGCAAATCCTGCACACAATTTGTAAAAAATGATATGAAGCGTACATAATACTTCTTTATATTCTAGTAAGACTATGCAAAAACATCCTACTTTATTTATTTTGCGAAACCACTCATCCTAACTGCTTTGACGCAAGGGAACGATTAAGGTGCTGAATTGGAAAAATCATCGCCCAACATCCGTAATATATACAAACAACATACAATCTTATTATAATAAATAAAGGCATGTGTTGTTTGTTCATATTTATAAGTGTGTTTTGTAATCGTATGTTGAAATCAACTATTTGTGTTTGTGTTGGTGTTGGTGTTGGTTGTTCATAATTACAAGTGTCAAGTGTATTGTATAATATGTGGTGCGCTGAAATATTGCTTGTATTGTATAGTGTAAGACTATAAAATGTGTTGTTAGTTATGTATTGGCAAACATGTGTGCTCCAGCCTGTCATGCGGATGCCACGTGCACATCTGATCAACTGTGTCAAAAAATAATTTCCTTAATACATTTATGAAGAATGTATTTTATGAAAAATGTATTATCCATGAATATATATATAAAAAAAAAAAAAAATTATTGGGAAACATGGTGAAACATAACCTTAAATTTTCTTTTTTTTTTTTTTATTAAGATAAATTTGTTCGCAGGCCTATTAATTTAATCTAAGAGACAATCATGTGTTTGGTGTGGCAATTTCTGCACTAAAATTATAATTAAAAAGCATTAACATCTATTTCATTTGGATTGAACAAAGCTTTTTCTGCACCAAGCATAATCTCATGACTACTATTTCTCCACATCTATTATTGACTCATTGCTTGGACATGAAAAAAAAAGAAGCTTGGACAGTAATAGAAGACTTCAATATTTAAGTAAATTGTATATGTTCTAAATTAACTAAATCCTATCAAAGCCCAAATATATTGGCCCAGCTAGTTAATGGCCCAAAATAAGTTAAATTATACTCTCTCCGTAATCTAATTGTGTTTTCATTTAATCAGGCACGAGTTTTAAAAAAAAAATATGTAAGAATAGAAATTTTTTTCTTTTTTTTTTCCTAAAAAAGATGGTATTTTTTTTTAAAAAAAAAAAGAAACGAAAATAAATTTGAATAAAAAAAAAAGAAAAAGAAAAGTGAAATATTTCTTTGTATTTTTAATAAAAAAATGTTCAAACCACGTGTTTTATTTACTTATATTATATGAAATCTCCTTATATTAAATAAAAATATACATAAATCATTATTTTTGCTCGGCATATATAAAACATATTTTCGTAGAAGCTCATGTTTGAAAACAATGGAATATATCACGCAATAAAATTGCTTGATATGTATTTTCTTAAGGGGTGCTTGATATGTATTTTCGTAAGGGCTGTTTGGTTCATGGACTTTTGTTTTTTTTTTTTAAATTGAAATTTTACATCAGGATTTATATGTTTATATGTGATGAGATTTATTATATTACCATATGTTTAATTGGTAAAAATATGTGGGATTTATATTTCACACATCTTATTTGTTTTTTATATGAGTTGAAGGATTTAGATTTTTTATATTCTAAATGACATAATTGTCCCCCTTGGATTTTATTTATTTTGATAAATTAAACATCTAATTTATAATTAATATAAATTAAAGAATGACAATAGGTTAGCGTAAACTCAATACCCAACCCGGACCCGACCTATTTATTTGAAGTTGAGTCTAATTATTTGAGTACTAGGTTTGGGTTCGGGTCATGTTCGGAGTAACATAATAATAATATATCAACTATACATATAAAAAAATTTCTAAAACTATAATTATATTAAAAATAGGGTAAATCATATAATATCCATTGTGTTTCAGTAAAAATACACAAAACATCTTATGTTTAATTTATTGCGTGAAACCCAATGTAAAGTTTGCATAAAACACCATCTTTGTCCAAAACTGATATTTAGTTCTAAATAAAAACCTAAATTACGAAAATTTTATACAAATAAAAAACGTAAAATATTATAAATATTTTTTTAATAACATAAATAAATAAATAATTGATCAATCATTTATTTTTATAATTTTTATAAAAATCACATAACAATTTGTTTTCAAAAACTATAAAATGAAAGATTAAAATCAAATATTTATTTATTTCAAAAAAAATTATTTAAAATATTGTGCGTTTTTTATTTGTATTAAACTTGATTAATTTAGGTTTTTATTTAGAATCAAATATCAGTTTTGGACAAGAGGGTGTTTCATGCATATTTTACGTTAACACAAGGAGGTTTTACCAATAAATTAAACACATAGTGTTTTGTGCATTTTTACTAAAACACAAGAGGGAATTATATAGTTTACCTTCAAAAATATTTTTTGAGTTTAACTTATTCATTATTTTATTATAATATTTTTTAATAAAATACATAAATTTTAATAAATGTTGGATCCAGTACATGTGCAATTTTAAATTAAAATTTAAGAATAGTAAGAAAAAAAAAATAGATTTTTTTGGATTCATCCAGTCTTACAGGGTATAGTTATAGTCAGATTTGGTGTAATCGAATCCAATTTGAATCTCGAATCTAATAATATATATCCAAACTCGACTCATGGTCATCCTTATAATTTTATAAGTCAAATAAAATTTATTAATAATAATTTTAAACAATGAATGTGTTAATTTATTTTAAAAAAATATTGTATCATAAAAATTAATATAAATTTAATTAAATATATAATTCAAATAATAATTAATTTTAAAATTATTTAATTTTTATTTTACATAAATATAATATTATATATTTTTAAAATTTCAAGAATCGGATTAAAAAGTATCAGGGATACTCCATTAAAAAAAAAAAAAAAAAAAAAAAAAAAAATTCTTTATTTGAAGGATTTTAGAACATTTCTTAAATCTCATCATTTTAAATTCTATCCTTTATTTTTAACCGAACATAAATTTTATGAGATTTTAAAATCCAAATTCATGAAATCTCTTTAAAATTAAATCCTTAAACCAAAACAGTTTCTAAAGGAATGTTGGATGGCTTACTCTGCAAATTATTGTGCCAAGTGCTTCACACTAAACCCTAAATAGTAATTCTTGGGGAGAAATTTTGCATCTAATTTCTCGTCCACATTAGTAGCAACTAATTATTTATTCATCTGAGAAAATTATTAGCTGCTCATTGCCAAATAGTTATTCCAACATTTACATAAAGATTCATCACACATTTACAGCACTCTTTCAAAGAGTACCTTATCAATGTGGCTGTTGATGGTTTCAGGGCCAAAGTAGCTCCTGTAATAAAAGCTTCTTGCAACTGTAAGAAAGTTTTTCTTGAGAGCAGAATCCATGGATGATTTTTTCAGCACCAGTTTCGCCAATTGTTGCATGCTTGATTCGATTTCGGCTGTCGAGATCCCACCATTGGCATCCTGCAATTCACCGTTCATTCATAGTAAGTACCATTAAAATGCCGATGAATAAAGATAAAAATCGTGGTTGATTAACCTTTAGGCTTTGGTGAAGATGGAGCTGGTCGCATACTGCGACAGTGGCCTTCATCAGCTGTTGATACTCCGAATGCAGCAATGGAGAAAGCTCCTGTGATGTTGCACAACTGCTTAGATTTAGGATTTCTATTTGTAGCTCTGCTTCGCCCTGCCTCGGATCATCTTCTGCTTCTATCCATTTATTCAGCCAATTACGCCACTGGATAATGCAGGTAACTATGTTAGCATTTTTTTGTCGTTAACTGGTGGAGAAATATCGAGCGTTGAAATTTACCGCATCATTGAAGCGATTATGGTCGTCAGGGCAGTGTGCCAACTGAATGTCCAGTGAGATCTGATTAAATGCTCTAATCATCATCGCGCCAAAAATGGATTTTGTGTTGTACCTGGAGTTTTGTCGCAAGACTTGTGAGATCAATGTGGAGAAAATACTATGCGGCTAAAATTGATTCCTTTGTTACCTTGCTCCATTGTTATATTTGGGAGAGCTCCAGGCGAGTTCGAATTCATTCACAAAGTCGAGCTTTTGTTCTTTGGATCCGTGATCAAAATGGGACACGAGGGTCTCGACTAGAATGACCGTTTTGGCCCAAGTGAGGCGCTCCAGCGCTTGTTCAGGCGCGAAAATACTTGCAGCTGCAATGTAGTAAGCTTGGAGAAGGCTTTCACCAGTTAAACCAAACTCGGCAAGGGAAAACTTTCTGCACCATCTGCACTCGACAAAAAATTGAAATTAAGCTCATCCAAATCACTCGAAAAAACAATTTGAAGTTTAAAATTTTACTTTTGGATGCTCCTCAGCTCGTCCTGATGCAATGCCTGGCAGTTGCTGTAGTCAAGCTTCGCGAGCTCCAAATACGTATCATTGTTAACATAAGGCATCCTGATAAACGAAACAGCAAATACAACATTCCTTTTGCGAGTTCAAAATACAATTTATGCTGATTCGCAGATAAAACAAAAGGGCTAATATATAATAAGGCATGACAAAGTGTAAAGGAACTTCCAGCGATGCAACGTTTTTTTTATCCTTGATCAAGAAGACAAACTTAATTAGGCCATCCTCTGTGCAGTTTATATTGAATTGTTAGTGATGTCACAAGGCGGTTGTCGTCATCTTTCGCGACAAACCATAGGTTGGTATTCTAAATTTTATATTCCAATTTGCGGCTAACAAAGTTTGTCTTCAATACAGATCATCAGAGCCCTTTATTATAACTCACCTGTATAATGTTTTGCCTATCCAGACATCGTCGTGACCGCCATATTGGTCGAGGAAAAACCTCGTCTCCAGTCTGGGTAAACTGGCATACCACGGCACATCCAGTGCATATCCTACCTGTTCATATTTTCGACGAATTATTAAGCTATTATAGCTTACAGATTACAAATTTATAAATGGAATATGAACCATGTAACCATCTAACCTCCCCTGGAAGATCTTTGGTGATGATCCACTTATCCAAAAGCTGATTATCAGCGCGTTTTTCTTGCAAATACTTGGCTGAAAACTTCCGGGCATCGGAAAGTATGTCTTCTCCGGGGAACATGAGCTGAGAAGCTCTGTACAGGTTGTACATTCCGGTGACAGCCTGGCTCGATTGTCCCACAAAGCAGAAGAATTCTCCACCTCTCATAAAATTTTTGAACACATCTGCCATTAACATTTTAACAGAAGCTCGGTTAGGCATTTCGTCCAACATCTCATATGCATCTTCCGAATATCAATTATTGCCATTAATATTTTAACAGAAGTTTGGTTGAATTTTACCTGAGGAAACTTCGTATCCCTGCATCCTCATCAACCTGAACGCCATCGCCGTGTCATCAATGTCCTGAACCTCGGAATCCCTCGCCCAGCAGATTCCTCTATTTGTCCAGTACCTTGATTTGTTTTTTTCGAAAAATGCACCAATGGCGAATATTTAATTACAGTTATACAGTCCCATATATATATATATATATATATACCTACCTGTGAACATAGTGGACACATTCATCTATCTCTGACTGAAAGTATCGAGATATTCCCAGCCTCTGTAGCCTGTCCACTGCCCAGATATGTTCGAACAAGTCCACCGGATACACATTGGGAACTAACAAACGACAGAAACGCCACCAAATTATTTTTAAAATCAAGGACGACATTTATTGAAGGATTCGTAGACGAGAAGATTAATTAAGGATTGTAAACAAATTAATCACCTCCTCCATTGAATTTCTGGACCATGTTCCCGAGATACCCGAGGCATTTCTCGTCCTTGGTCTGTTGGAGAGCGAAGGCGGTGGACGACGGAGAGAAGAGGAAAGAACCGTTCGAAGATTGCAGTTTCAAAAGCTTCTCCCACACAAGGTCTGGCATTCCTTCCAGGCTATGGAGCAGCGTTGTCGGCACTGTGTGCATCACTTGTCTAGGAATCCTAATTACATATATATATATATATAAATGATGGATACATTCAGACAATAATATGTATATATATGCCTATATATAAATTAGGGTTTACTTTTTGAGCTTTATCTCCCTTCTCTGGTAAATCTCCTGCAAAGCTGGAGCTTCGTAAGGGATATCAATGTCTAATTTCTTGGCTATGTCCATCAGCGATGGCATTGCCACTTCGAATCCAATCGGCATGTGCTCTTCGTTTTCGTCTTGGAGCTTGTGGATATTCTCTTTGATAAATGAAATCCCTGAAAACATATATATACGATTACATGTATATATATATTTATATGTATTGATACGTCCAGTTAAATGTAATTAAGATGAACCCTTTTGAGCTTGATGAGGATGAAGGTTCCATGTCTTCAATGCAGCGACGCAGCCCAATGTGTTGATGATTCGGTCGTAAATTGAGAAGATTTCTGCGTCGCCCCACGACCCGTCGGAGAGTTGGTTGCCGGAAATCCAGTCGAGGCTGGAGGGGAACTGCGGCTTACCGCCGCCGGCAATGTCCTCCACCATGGCAACCCACGCGGTGTCGTATGGAGAAACAGTTATTTCGCCGTCGCCCATGGATTGAAGCATCGACCGAATCAATTCGACATGATTCCTTACCTTGTCAGATTCTTTGGACTCCTATTTGTAGACAACAAATATAAAAATTAGATAGAGAGAGAGAGAGAGAGAGAGAGAGGGGAGTGGACAAAAATGGAATTAAAAGCATATTTTTGAAACTACTTGGAGAGCATCTTCTTCTTCATGTCTATCGTTTTCTTCCACAGCAGTCTTCTGTTGCCAGTAGTACTTCACCGGCAAATCCAAGCTTTCTGCATTTGGGAAACGCCATTAAACTTTACTGTATATATACACCTTTTATGGCAATTACATAAGTTTCATAAATATGAATTTTGCAGCGATGATGATTACAGTCTCTCTCTCTCTATATATATTTCTGTGTCTCTCTCTCATACACAAACACAAACCTGCTTTAGATTTTTGCACTGCACGGCATTGGAAAGTCGACAAACCAGAAGCTTTCGAAGGTTGAAAAACGCCTACAGTACGTACAATCAACGCCATTAAAAGAAATCAATAAATCCATCCACAGAAAAAATAAATAAAAAAAAAAAAAAAACAAATTTACCTGCGGCGGCGCGCCTGCTCGCCGGAGAAGCGCCGAGCAGCGTCGACGGAAGAAGGGACTGTAGAGGAGCAAATGCAGACGCCATGGAAGCAGGCCCGCTGTGAGCTTGAGTCAGTTTTTTAATTAATTAACGAGAGTAAAGCAACGTTATTGGAAATGAATTGGAATCAGTGGAGTAGTTACACATATATTTATAGAGAGAGAGAGAGTGGAAATATTTTAGTGAATGAATCAGTGAAGACGGTCACTGTGCAGCAGCTTGACCAGACGAGACGAGACGAGACCATTTGCAGAGTTTCATAGAATCAAGAAGAGGTAATTGCGTGGAGAAGATGCAGGCCTACCACAAACATGCACGAGTCATAAAATTGAAAATTGAAAGGGCGGTTCGACTACGGGTTAGGTATGGTGTGGACGACAAAGTTGATTACCATACCAAGAACTTACAAGGGTGTGTTTGATCGGGGATTTTCTTCAAATTCACTGTTCATTTAATTTTATTTTTTCTTTTTGAAAATATTAAATTAAAAATATATTTTTTTTTTTATATTATACTAAAAAATTAATTTAAATTCAAAATATCACGTCAACAATTATTTCAATTCAAAATTTTTACTTTACTGGTAAATCCCTTAATTATCATATTTAAAATTAATATTGCCTCGGTCCTTTTGAAAATAGCACTTTGCCTCGGTCCTTTTGAAAATAGCACTTTAGAGTTTTGTAGTAGATTAACAAACCATAATATTTGCGTGCAAGACAATTTGACAGTTTTACCATTTGAATTTTTATATAAAGTAATTATATATTTGTAATTTAAGTAAAAATTAATATATATTTTGGTATCAATTTATAATTATTTTTTAAAAAAATAGAAAATGAATACTTTTAAATAGAAAAGACAAAAATAATAAAAAAAATATTTTGAATTTCATCAGAGGAAATATTATACTACTCCGTTCGTCCCAAAAGATTTGTCTTGTTTTTCCATTTTCGTCCGTCCCAAAACAATGGTCTTGTTTCCTTATTTAGTAGCCGTGGTCCCCACTTTATAACAAAATTATTCATATTTTTCCATACTACCCCTAATTATTACTTTAATATACTCTTTAAAATCTTTTAAAAAATAAAGGCATTTTAGTCGTTTATATTCTATTTTATACCCACTTTCAATTAAATACTATTATTCCTTAATTCCTGTGCCAACTCTCAATAAAACACTTCTTTGACAGAGGGAGTAATATATTGTGAAACTCAGTGGATTTATAGGAATTGGCTTGAGTTTACACAAAATATTATGAAAGTGGGAAATGAGATGAAAAGAATTTGGTGAAGATAGCAACAAATTTTATCATCAAAAAGAATTTGGAATAATTGAGAACACGTAGGAAAGGAATCTTAATATGAAATTGTAAGAAGGCATAATGGGCAGGAAGTTAATTAGTACTCCTTTTGTTTTGTAAATTAAATACTCCCTCCATTCCAAAAATAATTATCCATTTGTTTTTAGTATGTAGTTTTAGAAATATTAATATTATATTGAAATATAGTAAAAATAAAGTAGAAATGACCAAAATAACCTTATTAGTATGTGTGATATAAAGGTAATGGCATTTGTGTAATACTATATTGTAAGTTGTAAGGGTATTTGTAATGTTAGGTAGATAGTACAGTTACTAAAAGAGGAAATAGATACTTTGTTATGGGACGGACTAAAATGAAAAAATAGATACTTTGTTATGAAACGGAGGGAGTAATATATTTCATTTATCATTTTATCCTCTCAATTTAAATTGTACTCACATTATATTTAGTAAAAATATATACTATAATTTATTTTAAATTTCTATCTATTATTTTTCTTTGTATTTATATTATTGTCATTGATAGAGTTAATATATATTTTATACTCCATCTGTCCATTTGAACTGGACATAAGTATAATGAATATAATATTATATTGATTGATTATCATGTACAATAAGAATATTTTTAAAAAATATATGAGTAAGTTTACGAAGCGGAACAAAAATATTTGATAAATTGAATGTGTTATATTTATAAATAAGTGTAATATAAAGAGTATAGATAAAGAAATATGTAAAAATTGCTTTACTATAAATGAAAATTGTAAATATTTTAATTTTTGAAAAAAAAAAAGTATAAATTTGATCAACATATTATTTTTCTTAATGCTCGTACCAAATTTTTTTTAACATATTTGCACATATTCAAATATATATATATATATATATATATTACAACATTAAGGTTAACCATTCCACCATTTTGTTACATACTACTCCCTCACCATCTTAATATAATAGTTTTATTTACTATTTTTGTCCGTCCCAAAATAATAGTTTTATTTTCATAAATAATCATATCATTATATAATTATCCTTACTTTTTCATTATTATTACACAATTGTTACTACCTTTTACATTAATACACTCACATGGACAAAAATGTTTTTTACATATATTTTTTACCCATTATCAATATAATATCAATATTTTTTAAATCTTTATGCGCAACACAATCAAAACTATAGTTCCTGAACACAGTGAGTATTATAATGTCACTATTTTTTATTTTAGCATCACCTTAGACTTTATTTTGTGTATTAATTAAATATGAAAATATTACTAGTTGCCCTATGGCAAATTGTTGTGACACAACAGCCAATGAGTGTGAGGTTGAAGCCACAAAGTAGTTATGTACTTATTAAATTTAATTTAAAAATCCTTTATAGTTACCATACATGTACACACACAGACATTCTTATAATTTATTTTTGTCATACTGTTTTAAATATAGTTTAAAGAAAAAAAACACTTCTTCCATCCAACATGTATTTATTTATTTATTTATATAATTTTAACAATATTAATATCTTATATGTATATAGTATATAAAGGAACAAAAAGTCAAATTTACCCTTAGAGAAAAGATAAATTAATAAAAAAAATAAGAATGATATTTTTAATCGTTATTTTTTAATAGCAGGTGACCTGAGGCGTCGGAGTCACAAATAGTTCTTCAGATATATTTGCTTATATCTTTTATATTCCTACAAATTTGTGTAATAATATATATTATTTGTTGATGTCTTAATAAAAAAAATATATATATATTAAATGGTAATACAAAATTAGTTCACCATGTTATATTTTTTTTTTCATTATTTTGTAACATATTATTGGCTATGATTATATAATTATGTTAATACTGTTGTTTAATGACGAGTGTAACAAATATGAGTGGCTGATTTTGATGACAATAAGCATGCTTTTCGAACTTTTTTTTTTTATTTTTTGGATTTGAATGTTGATTTAAATATTATTTGAATCCGTCTAAAAACAAGAGTGACATTTTTAAATTTAATAATTGTAGTACTTACATAATATACTAAATACGGTTACAACTTACAATATATTTATATACATAAATATGATAACTCTTATATTACACATTACTAATATGAATATTTTTTTATCTTTTTTTTTTTACTATATATCAATATAATATTAATATTTAAAAATATATGAGACACTCTTCTTCCGAGAGGGAAGAAATATTTAATATTAAAAATTATGAAAATTGAATACTAGAAAAAATATTGTATGTTAGTAGTATTATTTTACATTTCTTGCTTTATATTATAATAAAATGATTTATAATATGAATTGTTTAATATTGGTACCTAATTTGTTGTTTATATTTATCTTTTTTTTTTTCTAATTTTATTATTTTGAAGAAATTTTATTAGATACTAATATATATTATTCATTTCTTAATTATTATAGTATGTGTTGGGTTTATTTGTCCAACAATTTTTATTTTTTTTTTAAAAAAACATTTTCAATATATACAATATATATTTTATTTTTTTAAAAAAATTAATATTTAATACTACAAAATATTATTTTTTTATATATTATCGATACAATTTTCATGTCACATTAAAAAAAAAATTAATAACTAAACCCAACAGATTTGGTGGTGGGTTGGAGCCTCTCCTCTCATTTTTTTTTTTTGTATAAATTTATTTGTTGTAATAGTGCACTTGTTATTATTTCTTATTTATTTATTTAAGGAAAAGAGGAATTATAAATTGAATCAAGTACATGGATCCATTTACATAGGGTCATGTTTGGTTTGTTTTTATATATTCTGTTTAAATAGTAATTTAATATGATATCTTATTAAAAAATATATAGGTGTAAATAATGTAATGTAAAGATATTGAATGAATTAAAATAAAATCATACTCCCTCAATCTTATTATTTTTTCTTGTTTTCATTTTGAACAGCTTTTTAAAGTAGTCTAATTTCATTTATTTTTCTTTATTTTTTATTTTTTATTTTTTTTTACTATTTTATTTTATGTTTTAGTTAAAAATACATTTAAAATGGTATCCAAAAAAATGTGTACAAATCAAGAAAAAAAAATATAAAAATTTTGAGACATCTCAATTGAGAAATAATAGAAAATAAAAATAAAAATATATAAATTGAAAAATGTCTACACTCCACACACATATATAACTAATATTGTCCACATTATTTTAAAAGTGTTTTGAAATTTTGGTGAAAAATTGGAGAATATTGAACATGGAGTTTGTTCTTTATTCTATTATTTTTTTTTTATAAAAAAAATTAATACACTACTATATTCATTATTTTTATATTTTTTGCACAATTTTTCGTATAAAAAAAAATTCATTCCAACAATCTCACAAAACAAACACACCCATAGTGTTTTTATTAAAAAAAATATTATTAATATCATATTTAAATAAAATAATTAAATATTACTAGAGTGAGAATTTTATAATGAATAGTCCAAAGGTTGAAAACATGTCCAAATACACAATTTAAACAGAATTCCGTGACAATTTAATAATAAAATATTAATATTAACTTTAAACATATTCTGAAGAAATCCATGACAATTATACAAACAAATAATTTTGTGAATTTTGCAAAAATTGTGCAAATATTGTAAATGAACGATTAATTTTATTTTTTTTAATTATTTATCGAAATAATTCGTTACCAAGAAATAGACGAATTTCTTTATATTTTGTAGTGCACTTTTGTGACAATTAAAAATAATAAATATTGTAAGGTATTGTCCCCATAACTAAAAAAGTTTATGAAATTAAATATTATTAATAACAATGTTATGATGGCAAATTACGATAATGTAAAATTTAAATTTATTTCTAAAAATTTGTCAAAATACATGAAATTTTTTTCAAAATAATTATAAATAAATTACTCTTCCACTGAAAAAATTATAACATAAGAATAGGCCTCAATTGAAAAAAAAAAAAAAAAAATTAGTTATTTTAGTATCGTAAGGGGAGCATGTTGCAAACTAGTCCCATAAGTGAAAACTTTTCGCTTTTTTAATCCTCCGGCGCCGGAGACGCCCGCGTGGCTCGCCGGAGGTGACGTGTCCGGACACGTGAATTTTTTTTTATTATTTTCTAAAATTTTTTTAAAAACTTATTTTTAATTTATTTTTAATTTTATTTGTATTTTTTTAATTTTTTATTTAGTCCAATTTTAAAAAATTAAAAAAAATAAATAAATCCACGTGTCCGCCAGGTGTCGCTAACCTGGCGGGACACTTTGCGGACACGTCATCTCCGGCGAGCCACGCGGACATCTCTGGCACCAGAGGACTAAAACAACGAAAATTTTTCAATTATGGGACTAATTTGCGATTGTCTCCTATTACGAGATTAAAATGATAAGGGGGTTGGGACTAAAAAAATTAATAGTATAATAACTTCTTAAAAATCACCAGAAGCATATATAATCGAGTGTGCCTTTATTTTTCCACATCTTTAGTTGAGTCGTTGTATGTGATTTTTGTTGAATATAAAAAATTAAAAATTAAAAATAAAATAAAAAATAACAGTTATAAAAAAAAGTCAATGACAATATGAATTAAGGCAGATGTGGTGCGAGTATGATACAACAAAAAATAAAATAAAAAATAAGTGCGATGCTGATTGAAGTGTTCCAGCCAAATTAAATATACTCTATTTGATGTGACAGTCTAACAGTTAAGAAGCTTTGTGAGAATTTTTAATTTAGAAAATTATATACTATTTTTTTACCATCTTTTTCTATCTTATTTAAAAATTATATCAACTTTTATTAGAGTAAGAATAATTATAAATTAATACTACTAAAGTATTTTAATTTTTACGTAAATTATAAATATACAATTACCTTGAGATCATCGATTCAAACTCCGATATCCAAACCTAGTTTGCATACTATTAAACTCGACCAAAAATTTACTCAGCGGACTTTAATTAATCTCAATAAAATAAAATAAAATAATATTATACATCATAATCCCTCGTAGTGAAAGTTATTACACTTGACCAAAGAGTATATTAGGTTCATATATCCGATGACTTTATTCCGGTTCAAAATATCGCAAAGATCCAATGAACGAACCCATAAATTTATATATTGATCAATCATAAAAACTTTTATTGTTATCAATCATCCTCTCGGATCATTATTTATATAATTTCTACGATTCTTAAAAGAAATTATCCCAAAATATCAAATTAAACACAAAATTTTTACTATTCAAATCTAATCAAAATTCAAACCTCCAAACAAACACACCCTAAAAAAAAACATTTATTTTTATTACTTTTGAAATGAATTGAACGATGGAATTATCTTAAAAGAAACGCTCTTGCGTAGCGAGAGATATAGCTTTTCGGCAACGTCGACTTCTTCCCCGACTTCGAGTTTCCAATCAAAATTATGTACTAAAAATGCCAATAGGAGGGGAATCATTGGACTCGCCAATGTAATCCCCGGACAAATTCTTCTTCCCGCGCCAAATGGAATAAGCTTGAAATGTGTTCCGATGAAATCAATGTCCGTGCCCAAAAATCGCTCCGGCTCAAAGGAATCCGGATTGGACCAAATTGTCGAATCTCTCGCCGTGCACCACACATTGAACGCAATTCGTGTATTCTTAGGGATCACAAATCCCTCAAAATGTATGTCCTCCGTTGCCTTGCGTGGTACTAGAAGTGGTCCCGTCGGGTGATACCTAAACACTTCCTTGATCACCGCTTGCAAATATGGAAGTCGCAACATGTCCGACTCAAGAACTTGTTTCTTTTCCCCGATCACGGTGGCTAACTCATCTTTCAAGATTGCTCTTTTTTCGGGGTTGAGCATCAATTCCGTCGTAGCCCAATTCACTGTAGACGCGGTCGAATCCACTCCTGCAATGATCAAATCCTGTACATAAAAGCATACCACTTTCATTTGAGATAGAATAGTTATTTGATATGACATCAGATCTGAAAAACGAGAATACTTAATATTTTTTTAAATTTAAATTTTTAGATGAAAACCAGAAGAAGATGCTTGATCTCGGCCATGGTGAGGCCATTTTCCGAGTCATTCATGAGATCAAGCAATCCTTGGAGTATATCCGTCTTTTTAATATAACCTAAAGCAGACCTTGACGATAATCTCATTTCGATCACATCCTCAAGAATCGCGAAAGCTCTCCCGGCCGAGAGCTTGGCGCGGCGGCTGATACCCTGCAGATCAATCCCTTTCAAAAAAGGGAATAAGTCCGCAAAATTAGGCCTAATATAAGATTGGATCACATCCTCAATGATGTCTTTCAGCCGTCGAATGGAGTCCGAGCCGAAGTCGCCAAAATCCCGAGAAAACAGAGTCTCCGACATCTGGTTAAGCACGGTAGTGTGCACCACTTCTCCAATGTCGACTGCCCGACCTGCGGCGCAGCAGTCGCGCAAATGCTTGTGCAGCTGCCGCAACTTCTCCTGTCGGAGGCCTTGGCTGCCTTCGAGCTTGATAGCAAGGAACAATTGATTTTTGGTTATTTTACGAAGTTTGCGCCATAGACTTCCCACAGGGAGAAGACCCATGGCGTACTTGTCGTGGTCCCATGCTTTTGCGGATGTGGGCACGGAACGCGCCGAGATGGCTTGGTCGTGCTGAGTCACCAATTTCCGGGCCAATTCCGGCGACGACACCACGACCAAGTAGTCGCGGCCGACCTTGACGGACAACATCGGGCCGTAAGTTTTGGAGAGGTCGGCAAGATATCGGTGTGGGTACCGGCCGAGTTGGAGCATGTTGCCGATGATCGGAAACGGATACGGCCACGGCGGCAGCCGCCGCCTTCCGCCGCTTTGGACAAGAAACAGTATTGTCCCGGCGGCGATGGAAAGGATCACACAAATTGTGGCAGTGTCCATTCTGTAATGAAGCTACGATGGGTAATTTTGGGTTTTGAATATGGACCATATGTATTGTGCATCCACATTGCTATGTAATAGGAAGAAGGAAAGAAGAAACTATTTTGAAATTTTATTTTTTAATCAATTATATAAAAAGAAATGGTTAATGATACAATCAACCAAATGAAAATTATAATGTATATATGAATTATTAAAACCTTACGCCATCGCTAGTGTGGCTTTTGGCAAGATGGGTGACAAGAGGAGCGTAATAAAAATAACTTATCCAATCTTCTCGGGTGGGCTCCATTTTGATTGATTTAGTAGCAGTGTATTCTTTTATAAAACTTTTTCTAATATATTTTTGAAAAAAATTACTAATATATTATAGTACATATTTATTATTTTTTATTATTTATATAATTTTTTTTTATCTCAATAATAGTTGTAGGAAAAAAATTGTTTTATTTTTTAATAAATACAAAAATTTGTATAAATTATATTTTCTAAATGGATCATTTGATTCTCCTCCGGGTCGATTTGTTTTTCAAATTGGTTTTTTATGGCTTCTTTGATCCGAAGAGATTTGGTCTTCGGTTTGATTTTACCGAACTTTGGAAGGCTTTGGTCTCCGTGCAGGCGATTTGATCGTCGGCTTTTGATTTGATGTCCTATTTGGACAATCCGAGTCTTTGATCTGTGATTTGGCTTTGCCGCCTTTTGGAGAGCTTTTGATCATCGGCTATGGATTTGATGTCTTCTTTAGACGATCCGAAGCTTTGACCTTTGCTTTGGCTTTGCCGCCTTTTGGAGAGTTTTGGTCTCCGTGTGAGCAATCCGATCGTCGGCTTTGGACTTGATGTCTTCTTTGGACGATCCGAGACTCTGATCTTTGTTTTAGTTTTGCCATCTTTTGGAGAACTTTGGTCTCTGTAGCGTCGGCTTTGGATTTGATTTCTTTTTTTAGACAATCCGAGTTTTTAATTTTTGCCACTTTTGGAGGACTTTGGTCTCCGTGTGGGCAATTTGATCATCGGCTTTAGATTTGATATTTTCTTTGGACAATCCGCGACTTTAATCTTTGCTTTGTCTTTGCCGCTTTTGGAGGCTTTTGGTCTCCGTGCGGGCGATTTGGTCCTCAGCTTTGGCTTTGACATGTTCTTTGGACGATCTACGGCTTTAATCTTTAAGGAGGTGGATTTGGTGCTCCATAACACTTTTGGCGGCATGTCCCTTTGACTTTTGGATCGAAGAGGACCTGATTGATGCTTTTGACGAAGAACGTGACGAACACCTTGAAGCTTTGGGATGAACTTAGGAGACTCTTCCTTGGCTTTGACAAATTCCTCAACGGCTTTGAAAGCTTTGATCCTTCCTCTTGCTCGGACATACGATGAAAAACGTTAACTTTATCGATTCGTCAACCAATATTGGATCATTTGTCTAAATCAGTGTCTTTTGACGAGGAACGCTACGAAAGACACAAAAAACCTGAAGAACAATATTGAGAGAGTCTAAAGACTTAACCCTTTGCTTGAATCATCGATGTAACTTCCGTGTGTCAAATATGAAGATTTTATAATCTTTCATTTTCCATCAGATATTGTTTTCCATTCTTTGACGGATTTTATTGTGCACATTCATTTCTCGCCAAGATCTTTATTCATTTTCGAAAGATATTAATTTATATACTTCCTTTATTAACCAGATTAATTTATTTTAAACAGATTCATGCACATAATATTTGTATGATATCTTCTATTTTAAACAGATTCATGCATTAATGATTGATATTTATTATACAAAAATTAACATATGTGCATAATTAAATAACATATATTTATTTTATTGAAATTTTATTTTTTTTCAAAATACATGATATTTAATTTAATTTAGACATTTAATTTTTAATGTCTATAATAATAATAATATTTTTGTGTGTGTTTTTTATATGGAGTAGTTTATAGTATTTTAATTTTTGTATTATTTATATAATTTTATTAGTATATTAATTCAACATTTTTCAATAAAATAATTCTTCATAAATATTATTAAAAAAACACATATCTACACATAAATTAATATAATATATCATCAACTTATATTACCAATGTAGTTTTCCATATGATACATAAAAAATTAATTTATCTAAAAACTGAGTAAACATACTATTATTTATTTATTTATTTTAAAAAAAAACAGTATTAAATTAAGCACATGTTTTCATTTTAACAATTTTTTTATTCGTCCTTGATACTATTCTCTCCTTATCATGCATATTAATATATACTCCTATATTTTTACATTATTTATTAATTATTTTAATGTATTTTTATTTTTACTAAAATTATAAATTAATATTTATAAATTTATAGCAATGAATAATTTTATATTTAGATTATTTTATTTATAAAATATATAATTTTATTAAAATTAGGCAAAATAGAAAATTTTATTATTATTATCATTATTTTATTTGTTTTATAATATCTTACCTCATAAATTCTATATTAAAATAATAAAATAGAATAATTTTTTTTAAAATATGGTTTGTTCAATTTTGTGTTTTTAATAAATATATTTTTTATGTTAGATATTAAGAATTATATTGATAATAAAAATAATAATATTTTTGTGTGTAGATAAAATATAGTATTCCCCGAGACATTAACCACTGGACCATATTACAATTTTTGATATATAATACACTAGTTATTGTTTAATATTTTTGTACATTCCAAAAGAGTAGTCTCAATTTTCATAAATACTTATATTACCATAAATTATTTTATTTTTTTATTATTATTACACAAATACTATTATTTTTTACACTAATATACTCACAAGAAAAAAAAAACTTTTACTCATATTTTTTTATCAATTATTAATATAATATTAATATTTCTTTAATATCGTGTCAAATCCAAATAAAATCATACTCCCTCCGTCCATTTACAAAGGGTTACATTTACTTTTGACGCGGTGTTTAAGAAATAATAGTATTTTAATTACAGTGAGTAGTTAAAAGTAGTGTAATGACATTTTTGCTCTTACTTTTTGTGTAAAAGTATGATGTGATGTAAAAAGTAAGGGTGTGTATGGAAAAAAGTAGGATATTTAATGAAATGTAAACTTTGTAATTGAACGTCCCAAAATAGAAACATGTAAACTTTGTAAGCGGACCGATGAAGTATTTTTTTGACCAATGAGGTATTTATTTGTTAATATATTTAAATTATAAAAATAGGTTGGGCCAGGTATGGCCGAATCTTGGAAGCCCGGGGACAGCCCGGTTTGTTTTCAAGCCTATTTTTTTTCGGCCAAAATAGGATTGCTTTTTAATTGTCAAGAAGATTTTATTCTCATCATACCTATACTTTTATTAATTAGTCATACATTTTATAATTTTATAATTTTGATTTGCATTAGACTCAGAGAAATTAATCACTTATTTGTTTGTATCCAACATTTGTATTCAATTTACCAATTTCTTGTATCCAACATTTATCATAATATTTTTTATAATTCAATATGATTTTTTATTTTTTCTTTCAACAACTATTCCATCTAAAAAAATATATGTATAATAATGTCCGGAACGGTTTGGTGGCGTAGGGTTAGACGTGTGACCGTGAAGTCATGACTACCTGGCCTTAGGTAACCTGCCACGCATGATTCGCCAAAACAAATCCCTATATATATATATATATATTATATCTCAATTATTCTAGTAATACAATAGGTTAATTAGTACTCCAAGAAACAAGATTAGATTAAACTAATTAAACGACATAGGATATTTAGGGTTTTTATTTGGTAAAAAAAGCCCCCAATGCTTTTCATATTCAGGGTTTTTTAGATCCTCATCAATTAGATCAAACACGTAGGTTTCGATAGCCTTTTGTGGCTTTCTTGGAGTTCCCTTCTTCACGAACTCCGACAGCTTCGTATTGTACGTCCGGGCATTCTCAACGCTCGTCGCCGTCCCGCCGGCCGTCGGCCATCCTGTCTCCGCCACGACAACCTCAAGTCCGGCGCCGCCGGATTTCTCCAACGCCGCATTGAACGCATCGACGATGGCGCTGAACAGATTCTGGTACTGATACTCGCCGTCCTTCACCACCGGCGCCGGCGACGTGAAGAGGGCGTAGTCGAGCCGGATGTCCTCCGGCTGTCCGATGTAGGCAAAGTAGGGATAAACGTTGGCTAAGAAAGGGCCGCGATTCGCGGCGAGGAACTGGATAATGGGGTCGATGTACGATGATTGGATTTCTTGCCGGAAAACACCCGCCGAAGGCGGGTACGAGTTCCCCAGAACCGCCGCGCTCAGGACCGTCGAGACTTTGATTTTTCCGGCGAGGCCGGCGGCGGAAAGGGCTGCTTGGATGTTCTTCATTGCCGGCACGACGCTTCCGGCAATGGCGGCGCTCCCGCCGCCGCTGTCGAGGGGGCTGATCTCGTTCCCGACGGCGATGCAGCTGAAATTGGCGTTCTTGTAGCGGAGGATGTTGTTTTGGATCCACGATTTCGCCATTTCGGGATTGCTTGCAATTCCGCGAATGTCTCCATTATCGACACCGACGATGACTGAAATCTCTGGAATTAGGGCTTGCAGAATCGCCGGATTAGGGTTGTAGATTCGAATCCGGCTGATTTGGGATTTCCGGCAGAGACCGATCACATCTTCCGGCGACGGAAAATTGTCGCCGAGAGTGCCGTAGCAAGCTCCGATCTGAGCATCTGCAGAAAGATCGATCACAAAAAAAAAAAAAAAAGAAGCAATGTTTAGAAAACCCTAGTTTTCTTAGGACCTTAATTTCAATGGTGAAATGAAATAAAATTGCAGTTGCAGACCTGATGCGGTGGAGAAGATGAGCAGTGTTAGGGTTGTAAGAACCACAGGATTGCAATGGCTGTTCTTGAGGAAGGGTTTCTCCATTGTTGTAATGATTTTGAACTTTTTTTTTTTTGTCATGTTCTTGTGTTTTTTTTTTTCATGACTTTTATAGCAGCCAGTTTACTATATGAGCTAATTTGCAGTATTAATTGTCTTTAACAATATCATTTAATGTATATATCTAAATGGATTTCGATGAAAATATTAGTAATTAATATTACTTACATTCCCAATTAACCTAATTAATTATAAATGGATATAATATTTAATTGGTTGCCAAATTCATTAATGTATATGTATAACCATCTACTAACCATTCTAATTTAAATATTTTTAATTTCACAAGAAACCTATTTTATTTATTTAGGTTTTTTTTGCCAAAGTCTTTATTCCCAACCCGAACCCGAATCCGAACCCGAATCCGAAATCCGAATGCTAATTGGATCTATGATGTTTTCTACGCGCTCTCTAATTTGGCTTTCCATTGAAGTTTCGTTTTTCAATTGTTTCATTCAGTCCACGACGGGAAGTCGGGAACTCCATCCCACTATATATATTTTAATCATTTTGACTCCAACGATCAAGAAATCGAGAATACGGTACAACACCACCACTCAGGAGACATAGACAATGGAGAAGGGAGAGAGCTCGGGCAGCAGCCCCGCCGGCGATGATATTTGGGCAAAACTAGGTATTTCGATTCAACCCAGTAAAAATCCCTTCTTGGAAATGTGGCATGATTTTCTTCCGTTTTGTTCGGATGAATTACCGAACTGAACCATTCAAATACTGGATTTAGTGATACGATGAACTTTGGGGGTTTTTTCTGTTATTTGTAACCTAAGTTGTCTGCCTTGATTTACATATCGTTTGTTTGGGTGATGATATAGTTCTTAAAATGCTATTTGATTGCACAAAAAAAAAAAAAAAAGCTGCTAACAAAATAACTTATGTGCAGTGCCACTAGACTCGAGATATTCAGATATAGAGTTGAAGTCAAATGAGACAACAATCTGCTCGGAGATCACGAGTTCGTCCAAGGAAAAGCAAGAATGGTGCAAGATAACTAAGGAGAAGGATCAAGTCTCTGCTGTTGTACAAAATATAAGGTATAATATATCTTCCTTTTCTCTCCCATAAATTATATATTATGTCATTCTTTAAGTTTATACATACATGTTAGGGGAGGGGTTAGCTATGAGTCTAGGTCATCTATTGAAAATATGTGTAACTTTATTGTGAGAAGTACAAGCTCTGTTTCTAACATTGATTTTGCATGTCGTGAATTATGGTCTATACTACATATTAAATCCGGAAATTTAAATTTAAAGATCATGGAATCCAAGTAGCATTTCTCTTGAATTAAGTGCATTTTCTTTAATCAATGGAATAAGCACATTATTCTTTTGTGAACCCAATTCCCACAAATGTATTGATGAATAAGCGCATTTGCGGAGTCTTTGTCTCACACTGCTTTGTGATCGATTGAGGTGTTCTGTAAATTTTCCTTTTTTAAGTCAAATTATATTGTTATATTAAGGTTTTAATCTACCGATATTTGATCAATGTGAACATTATATAAATTCACCTTCTTAGAGTAAGTAGAATGAGTTTTTTGTTTTTTTTAAAAATACTCAGTCACATATTCAGTCAAATAATTGATATGAACAGTATTGCTATATAATATATGGATTGTTTATATTCTTTGCTTTTTCAATCCTTCCACTAGGAATTTTTTGGTAGAATATTTTGATTACTTCGTGATTTCTTTCCCACCAACATGCATATCCAAGTAATTGACACCTGTTTTGTTTGGCATCCTAGTTCTGATTCTATCCTCGTCGATGGCACGATTGTTCAACACGGTGATACAACAATTGTTAGATGTGGCAGTGAAATAATTCCAGGTCCTGAGGTTGAAGGTAACAATTGGGAAAAAAAAACTATTTTCTCACAAGTCTTATATCAGACCACAAATTATTTTTTTAAAAAGCATCTCAGACATATTTTAAAGGCATATTTTTTAGTGGAACTGGATAGCAACATCAGCTGTACTTTACGACTAACTTCACCATGCACATCTATAAAGTTATCCTAGAAAGTTGGGTAATGAAATTTTGATTTGCAATGTACATGTTGACTTGTATCAAGCTCAAATACAAAAGGCAACACAGAAATATGTTGTAACTTCTGGCTGAGAAAAACTACCATAAAACTGTGGATGGCTTACTCACCTTTGGATTTTGTTATATATTCTGATAATGGGGAATCTCATGATAGTATACATGGGCATTGGGCATTCGTTGCACTCAATAGGAACAATTAGCTGAAATAACTGGAAGAAACATTTGTTTTAGCTAATCTGCTAATTTTCAATTATTCATGCTTATGAGTATCTTAGGTGTTTGTATGAAGTGTTTAATCACTTGTGGTTGATAGCTCGAATGTTGATAGATTTTTATGGAATTATCTGCACATATATTTAAGACAGCTATCAGTAGTTAGAGTTTAGTTTCAATGCCAAACACCAACAAGCAAGTTCCACAATTGATTAATTCTCCCAGTTTCGATAACCCTGTAGAACTTAAACATCTCATCTGTTTTTCTTGTGCTTTCAGGGTTTATGAAGTATAGGTTTAAATCAATGCCTGCCAAGGAAATCTGCAAGAAATCACTGAAGGTATATATAGAATCTTGCCTGGTGACACGGCAGACATTTTTTGTATGGAGTATGAGCAAATTTCTCTCTGTTTTTCTGATGTTAAATGTAATAAAATATTTTCTTTTAATAGATCAATCTAGATCCCGAACATGCGAAATGCTCCATATGTTTGAACGTCTGGCATAATGTTGTGACGGTTGCACCCTGCTTTCACAATTTCTGGTGAGTGCTTCAACTTTCATGCATGCCTTAGCAATTTTCAATTTTTTATTGGGGGTTTTTAACCATTTGTCTTTCGTTTACAGCAATGGATGTTTCTCAGAATGGTTAAAAAGGTGTCAAGAGAGACATGCTGTCGTCTTATGTCCTCAATGTAGAGCAGTCATTCAATCTGTTTCAAGGAACCACTTTTTGCATACAATTGAAGAGGTGTGTTTTTCTTTTTTTCCCTGTCTGATGAGCATAGAGTGTATGGAAAGTGCAGCTTCATATTCTCAAATTTCAAATTCTGTCTGTTATTCCAGGATTCTCCCGACTGATTTCTTATTTAATCAAGAGTTGCCATGAGCAATATCTTCTCTTTGATGGTGCTTTTCTGAAAATGGAGTGACTACTATTCACTTTTTTTCTTTCCCAATGTATCTTTGTCCTTTATATAGTAATACACAACAAGGATATGAAAACATAAATTTCTCTTTAACTCGCTTCAGTTCCCTTTGACTCGTATGCAACAGCTCCATTACTCTTGAAACCATCTTCTTTACATTTTGCAGGATATACTAGAATCTGATTCTTCTCTAAGGCGTTCAAATGAGGAACTTGCTGTTTTGGATTCTTATTCATTGATCAAGTCACCTCTTGTGAGTATATCTTTTGCTTCGTGATAGGAAAATAATTATTCAGCCCATTTTAGATGATTCGTGCTTTTATTATTTTGAGAAATTTGTTGATTTACTCTTTGCTAAGTTAAAATATTACACCGGTTAATTTGTATCCCACATTTGCTAATTGCTATCAAGGGTTTACATGACCGCTTTCAAAAGCTTCGCACCTTCTTGGAAACATGAAGTAAAGTAGATGAGGATCTCACCTATGTCTGATTCAGTAACTACTAAAGTAACTTTTTAGATATCAGTATTCGATTATTAAATACAAAGACTTTTCTAGGTGCATTGTTAATACAATGATATATTACTCATTTTCCATTTTACAAATAGAATACTTGGAAATGAAATTATTTAACTACTGACAAATCTTTGAAATAGAGAGGGCTTTTTTATACCACAGTTCCCGCATATTATGCTCTTCATTTTATCGTTGTGCTTGCGACATTTATCTCACTTAACCACCATCTGGTGTACCTCAATGCGTGAGTTATTCTCCTATCTATTCTTGCTATCTATCTAGCTTTGTTTGCTACTCTTTTAAGCTGTAACTGCTTGATTGTAACACTCCTCTCCTTGGATGTCTTGTACTGTACTAGTGTATCTCGTAAATTGCAATGACTCCATGAGTCCATGGCATACGAGAGAGTAGATGAACTTGGTGACTAATGAACTTATTTTAGGTTATTTGCAATGGAAGGAAACTACGCCGGAAGAGAGCACGTGCTCTTCCTGAAGAGGAAGATGCAACGGATTTCCATTGCCCTCAATGCCGTAATCACCTTTATCTTGGTTTTGCCATCAAAATGCCGTACTATATAGATGGGGCTAAACACATACCAATGACCGATGAGTTTTATATGCCAAATAATTTATACCTGTATTTTAGGAGCGGAGTATACTGGCTTCCAGTGCAATCAAAGTACAACTCATCTGCAATGCCATGCCTGTGGCGGGATGATGCCTTCCAGATCAAATGCTCCTATACCTCAGCACTGTAATTCTCCATAATTCTCTTATTTTTCTGCCTTCCTCATACAATGAGGCTATGGATGAACGGAGTGTTTTGTATGGTCGGGATGATGCACTTGAATGCTAGATTATGTAGATTTTCCTTTAAGCATAAATCCTAATGATTTTAAATAAATTGATAAGTTACATATGATTCAAAGAAAATCTGTGGTTAAGACAACAATTTCTATAATTTTATTCATAAATGACTTCTGTGTGCACGCTGCATATGGATACTTCCCTTTTTCAGGTGTAGGATGTGATCGAGCATTCTGTGGGGCTTATTGGAATGCCATGGGAGTTAGCAGTTCTGATACTCATCAAATATGCCTTCCCGAGACTCTTAAACCGGTCAGCATTGTTTTTGGGATTTAGATGTTTCTTTATTCTCCACCTTAAATACAGTTCACAAATTAATCCTGCGTCTCCATATGGATAGTCACCATTAAATGTATTCTCAAATATCTATTTTGGTCTTGTGATTGACATTCTGCATATTTGTTGGGCAGATTACTGATTATTCCATCACTAGAATTCCTTTTTGGGCACATGAAAGGAATAGGCATGAACAAGATGTATGGAACTTTCGGCATTCCCTGTCTTCCATTTTATCTTAATCAGATTGATGCTAATTCCATGTGTTTCTTCTTGTCTCTGTAGATTACGGAAAAATGTATTAGACAGATGGGGAGGTCATTGCAAGATGTAATTGTAGAATGGATTGGAAAGATGGGCGATCGAGAAATAGGTAAACAATTTTTACACCACCTATAGACAAATCATTAGCTTGATCTTATAAACAATAATTATGATTTAAAAAATTCAAACATGGAATTTAATTTTCTTTTCAGATCGGACAAGGCTTCGGTTGAACCATTCTGAGAGGATTACTCCTGAGACACATGTCTGCAGGTCTATTCTCTTAATTCTTAATATTCTGCAGTCAATTCTTTTACGAGTGAATAAGTAATTTTTGTAATTTTTCATTAGACATGTGAGATATGGAATAGAAATAAAAATTTTACAACAATTTCTCACAAATGTGCATAACATAGGAGAATCTGCACGGAAACTTTCTAAATGCCATTTCCATAACAAAAACGGGTGTCCAATCCTATATACCTCACTACCTTTGCCACTATATTGATTTGGTTAAACTAACAGAAGATTACGGGGATTTTAATTTGGGCAAATGAAGCTATAGATATAATAACAAAGAGTTACGCAAGAAGCTTTTGAACTTGAATTATGGCTTAAATTCCATGAATTTTATTCGACTATAAAAACATCTTTTATAGTCAAAATGTTAAAATGTTATCAATGATATATGACAGCCGGCAACTCCCTCATGATCATCGCGATTCCTTTGCTTTCTTGCAGTGAATGCTACGACAAATTAGTCTCTTTTCTCTTGTACTGGTTTCGGATCACATTGCCTAAACATGTAAGCTTTTGCTAACTCACCATTGCTGTCCTCCATTGCTTCAGCCTCCGGCTGCTTTTTATTTTGACAAGTATATACTGCTCATTACTGTACTCAGAATTAATCAACAGCCTGTCGAGTGGGCAAACTTATTTGGTTGAATTTACTTATAGTAGAATGATTTTCGCAATTCTTTTCAGTTTTGTGGAGCATTAATATTGTGTTTCTGCATTTTATTCGCCGTAGCTTCTACCTCCTGAAGCGCTGCAGCGTGAGGACTGCTGGTATGGATATGCTTGTCGGACGCAGCACCATAACGAAGATCATGCTCGGAAGAGGAACCATGTGTGTCGCCCGACTAGAGGTACTCGCATCCCGCCTTAGGAAGATGATCTCGTGAATGTTGATGTTGTTGGCACGCCTAGTTTTGCTGTCATAGTACTTGAAACGGATATATGGCGTGCTCTGATGTAATAATATATATATATGTATGTATGTATGTATTCCTTGATTGACTTTTTTATTCGACGCACGCTATGTGATTATTTTGTGAGATCCGTTATGGTGGTGTCCCATTTGACTTTCCAATGCCCCTTGGGGGTGTTTGTTGGTAATTCTATTTTATATATATATATATATAGTCAACGTATATTTATACAGTATACATTTTAGTGTATGTTTTTTTATAATACAACATTGTGATATGCATTCTATTATATATACAGATTGGACTAATTAACATGCTCTAACTACTTTTTATTTTTATATTTTGCTATAGAATCGTGTGTATATATATATATATATATATAACAATTAAAATGTCATGTGAAATATTAGCAGAATTTAATTCATCAAATCGTAATACAAATATATTGAGCTATATTGTATACCAAAATGCTATAAGCATCCAAAAATAATATAGCTCAAGTAGTTAAACATTCTCGGTAAAATAGATAAATAAATAAATAAAATTCGATTCAATTATGTTTTGAAGTATATTTTCGATATACTATTAATAGTAGACATAGAAACAAGTGCAACAATCCCCTTATTATGTCTCACATTGGATTCCCTACAGTACTTCTGGTCAAGTTTTTGGAAGTGAGATTTCCAAAGGCTTTTGGTTCTGCCTAGAAACCCTCCCCAAAGGGCAACTCTGCACTAAACTGCACAGTACTCTACCGGGTACCGTTATTATTTTTTAATTCTCATCTCTTTATTATTTTAAAAGTTTAGCTGAGCCTCGTCTCGTAATAATCTTAAAGTAAATTTTTTTTTTTGCTAAAGTAAATTTTTTTTTTTTTTGCTAAAAATAGTATTTTGATGTCCGTAGTGCTGATGCGATTGGCATATTATCGCCGACGTCGATGTTTATTTTGACGGAAAAATTTTACTTTATGAATTATTTTCAGATAAAATTCATTTAAAATTTTAAAAATAATAAAAGATGACATATACCGAACTAAAAAAATAGTTTACCAATATATTTTTGTAAAATAAAAAAATATACGTAGTGAAATCTACGGGACGATGACATATTAACCGCGTTAGCATCAGCTACTATTTTGGCGAAAAAAATTTTAATTAGTGAACTATTTTGGCGGCCTACAATAATACAAGGGTCAGACGTTACTTAAAAAAAAAAAGCAGTGTATCCAAATATATATATAAATACATGAGATGCGAAGAAACCCATCAATGGCAGCTTCTGCAACAACACAACACAACAAATTCACCATAATGCATAAATTTATACATACACCCAATCCAAAAGAGGCCATTGTTGGCAACACAAATTTGGCTATAAAACCAGAAAGCAAAAAGGGACAAACCCAAATGATTTGATGTATCTGTTTCATATTCATATTGAGATTCAGTCAACAACATCAGCAGAATTAGGGTTTGTCTTGAACCTGTAGAGCAGCTTCTTCTTCCTTGAGGTGGGATTGTTAATGGCCAAAACCACTTTTCCAGGCTCCCCAACTCTGTAGCTGCAAGACACCATTTCAACTCGATCTTCATCACCACTACTGCTGGAATTAGGGATTTTCTTCATCTTCTGTATGATCACTGTGTATCCAGTTTCTGCATTGGGAACAAATTCAGCTCCATAGCTCACCTCCCATCCCACCACTCTTACCTCCCACCTCACTATGCATTCCTGCATCACCCAATCAAATAATTTTACAATTTCCCGAAAATTAAAAAAAGTGTTCTTGTGTTGTGTGGAGTGGGAAAAAGACAGTCAAGAATCAGGAGGTTGTCTTGTCTTTTTGGTTTCAGACAACTGATATAATCCAACATTGTCAGATATTATTATCCAGAGAATCCAAAGAACAGTAAACATATTTGGATCAAAATCTGCCTTCAAGAAAATTGAATAGAACTAACTCACTTCATCAACAGAGAATTCAACAACGTGCTTGGCTGAAGGTTTCACAATGACCTCAGAAACAGTGTCATCTGTTCCAAAGTTTCCTCCATTGCTTAGTCCACCATACTGCGTTGGAATTTGCTCACCACATACGTACCTGTTTAAAATTTCAAATTACACAAAAATATACAAAAATATGAACTTTACTTCAACCAAGAAAATTTTTTTTGAAAAAAGAAAACTAACTTCAAAAGGGTTTCTGTAGATTTGGAAGGACCAGCAACCACAAACTTGCTTTTAGTCCTTTGAGTAAGAAAAGGGCTGATCATTTTGCTCAGTGCCAGGTACCACCATGGCACATTGATGAAGATCTGCAGAAACATTCAAGAAAAGAAATTTAATTAAAATTAAAAAGGTTAAGAACAAGAATGGTTAGAATCATTACTTGCTTGGCAACAAATTCAGGGTAATTGTCCTGCAGCAAGTGAAGGGCCTGATTTGTTGCCTGTCTCAGCTCCCATCTGTTAGGCCCTGGAGAGTTCTTGAGATCATTAACCTGAACAATGGTGGAAATCCCACCAGGCCTGAAATCCAGCTTCCTGATGCTCCTTTCAAGAAACTGGATTCTCCATCTCAGAAACCTCTGCCTCTTCAATTCATCAGAAAACGTGTTCTGGTAAAGCTCCTTGTCCTGGAACTCGCCGTAGACATTGTAGCACACTGGATGACCTTCCCTGCTGTGTCCGTACGTGTAAACAACTCTTTCCAAATCCCTGCAGCCAAGATCTTCCTCTACAAGCTCGTCGATTCCAAATTCTCTTCGCCAGGTTATGGTGTTCTTGATCATGGTGAAAGCTTCCTTAGCCTTGAATTCTCGGGCCTGGAGGAACTTCAAGAGGATGACGTCACTTCTATCGTCTTCCAGAAGCTTTATTCCCCAAATGGACACTTTCTGAGAGACGATTGTCTCTTCGGGCTTCTCTTTGGACCTGACTGCTGCAACTATGGTCTCTTCAATGGCTTCCAGAGTCTTTGCCCCATCGTCTTCCAATAAAGCTTCTGCAATCGTCTGCACTGGCGGGTCAAGGGCGGAATCTTTTTCAGTTTCAGAAACTGATTTTGCTTCTGGTGTTGTTTTCTTCTCCGCCCCTGCTGAAGCTTCGAATTCATGGCGGTCGAGGGCGTCCTGGAGGAGATGCTTTAGCTCCTGGAGGGCTTTCTTCTCATTTTCAGGAAGATCAATGGCTTTGGTCTGTTCTTCATTGGACTCAAAGTTGCAGGCTTCGTCTCCAGTCTTCTCAGGCTCGTCGGGCATTGCCAGGTCATCAGGCTCCGGCACCAAGATCGGCACTTTCTGATCGGATTCTTTGCCGGAATCTTTCTCTTCAGCCTCCGGCACATCGCTGACGACCAAGAGGACGCCACCACCGCCGCCCATTTGCTCCCTGGGAAGCTTCTGGTCTTGCTCAGCCATGGCGTTCCTGCGGGTGTGCAGAAAAACTTAACTTACTACAGAATTTGGGGTAAAGCAATGGCGCTGCCGTGCACAGATATAATGAAATGTAGCAATGGAAAAGGAACGGTTTTTGAGGTGGGTTTGCTGTTGAAATGCACTGTCTAAAGTGAATAACAGTGAGATTATAGGGAGTCCCGGAGCGCAGCGCCGCACGCCTCTAGAAATCCTCGTGGTCCCGGAGCTTCCAAGAATGAGCAGCAATGGCGGATCATGGGCAGCTGGGGCTGATGATGTTACTTATTTACAGACTGGAACAGGTCAAAAAGGCTAAAAGCCTCAACTCACTCCATCACTCATTACATTACACACTCTTTTCCCTGTTTTCAATTACTTTTTTCAGGAAGGAAAGAGGGTCCCATAGCCATAGCCATAGCCATAGCCATAGCCATCCTTTCTGGCTTTCTGCTCTGTTTCCTGCAATCCCTCCACTTTACAGGGGAGGGTTCTTGATATTTTTAGAGTTTGAGTCATATGCTTATGTGTTAATTAATTCGGAATTAATCCTAATCATTTAATTATATTAATTAACTAGAATAATTTATTTAATTTAGATTATTGAGAATTGTGGTTAAATTTCAACAATTCCATTAGTAAAACCAATTTTGATTTTTCCCATATTTATTATTCATCTTGTCACTCAACAAGTGGATCAAAAAAAATATATATATATATATCGAATAGAACATGTTGAAAATGGCAAACATAAATCTAAACCTTAAAAAGCATTACCAGAGTATACATATAATATATATATATATATAATCTCCCAATAATAAGATAATCTTTTCCATATTATATAAGATATTTAAAATCCTTATGATCTCCCACTTCTTACCCTTCCCCAAAAACCTTTCTTCCCAACAGAACCATGTCGTAATTCACAGCACTTCAGAACCATCAGCATTTCTGCCACGTGTCAAGTAATCATTGTGCCACGTAGACCTCGTCTGATTTGTCTCATCGTCTTCCTCCCCCTCTGTATGTATCTGTTCATCTTTCAGTAAAGTATTTTTACCATAGCCAGAGATTGATCGGTATTAATAAATTTGTATGTACAGACGCCGGCGAGAGCGCCGCCGTGTCATCGGAACAACGGCAATATACCCCACTGATGTAGAAACCCTTCCCCCGTCGTCACTTCAAGCACCAGCAGAACCACCACCGCCAGCATCGCCGCCCTCCCGTTCCACGTTTCCGCGCTCCGAGTCCACCCCCACTCCCAAACAACCACAGGCGGCGGCAGCTCCCGGCGCTGGGAATCGTACGCCGCGAGAAGCTCTTCAACGCTGCCGAGCGGAACCAACGACTGCAAGAAATGCACAAATTGTCGATCAGCTGTAAGGAACAATGGAGGAGATTGCTTGTGAATTGTTCGATTCGACGATGCTAGTTAGGATGCAATACCTGTCGTGCTTCGAGGTTCGACACAGCCATTGCTCCGACGTACGGAAGGCTTTCGATTACTGCATCAGCTAAATCGGATATAAATGTCGGTTCGCAACCAAGCGCGGGAACACGCCCCCATTGCTCTATCCCGGATTCGAGGGCCAGTTCCTTGTACTCGACGTCAATTTCCTCTAATGTTTCAATGTGTTCGCTGACAAAACTACAACGAAAAGAAAAGAGTCGACAATTGATGGAATAATTAAAATAGGGTTCGGATCAGCTGTCGATCCGTTAGTCGGCATAGTGCTGATTTGACCAGATCAGCCTATGGTACTTTATAATACATCGTCTATTATATTATTATTCAGCATACGTTATTTTATAACAGAACATATGCTAAACATATGTTGATCACCCTTATTGATCCGGTCAAATCAGCACCATGCTGATTTAGTCGGATCAGCACATGATCTGCAGTCATTCAAATATCCTAACCAAGTGTCGATTGTAAAATGTTACCTGATTGGTACAGCCAGAAGTTTTTTCACTCCTTTCTGTCCGAGTTCGATTATCGTCTCGTCTGTGTAGGGTTTCAACCATTCTACAGGTCCAACTCTACTCTGCAACCAAATCAGGCCAACCAAATCGACTTACCAAATGTTTAGACCGAATCATAAGGTTCAATATAATTACGAGCTATGGTGGAAGAACTTGAGCTAAAGAATGAGTATCGATGAAGCCATGTGGTAATACAATTCCAGCCTGCAAAAGTATAGTACCTGATAAGCGAGGGTATATGGATTATTGATCCCTCTTTTTTCGAGTTCTTCCATGATCAAGTCCACGCACTCCTCCATTTCAGCTTTGTACGGATCGCCCGCTTCCTCGACATATGCAAGCGGCACTCCATGAGCACTAAAGAAAATCATCACCTGTATATATACAAGAAACCAGCAAAATAAACATATTGATGATAAATACAACATCTCCCATATGGCATCGTACCTCCTCAGGATGGTCAAATTTTTCCAACTCCTTTCCGATTAAATCTGCCATGGACTTTATATACCCTTCCCGTTGATACCAGGAAGGAATTACGGTGTGCTGCATGTTGACAAGATACTCATCCTCCCTATTAACAGACATCAAATCAATCAGGAAATTGACGCGCAGATTACATAATATGAACTGATATCGATAAGATGTGCTCACCTGAAAATGCTCTCCAGTAGGCGAAGGCTTGAACCACTTGTCGAAATTGAAAACTGGGGATAGAGGGGAAGCACGACAAGCTTTGTAATTCCGTCTCGTTTTATCTGGACAAATGTTATAAAAAGAAAATGGAAGTTTTAAGTAATATGTCAGTGCTATCAAAACATTAATTCCACCAAACAGTTAATTCTCTTCCAAAATCTATTAAAACTTGGCGAGCTGCAAGAACTTGATATGGGACAACCATAAATTCTCTTGTAACAAAATAAACGATACAGCAAAGTACACAAAATCAGGGTAAAATAAGCATTGATAAAATAATAACTAGTGACGACACTTTATATTCAAGGTGATAAATGCACATCAGCGTAAGAAAGACGACAAATATAATTGTTACAAAAACTAAAACTGATGAAATGCATTACCGTGACAAGAATGGGATTAAAGTGGAACCCTAACATAATTAATTAGAATAATAGTTCTACTAAAATACTAAGAATCTACTGTATATAAAGTAGGTAAAACAGTGTAAGAATTTTACATGTACATACTATAAATATATCATGCTTATCCGATGACAACACAGCTTGATGACGAATGTATCAATTTTTCAAAGCAGAAATAAAATAAGTTACAACTGAAGATAGTGCATTTATGCAGAGAAATCTGATTTCAAGTAATTATCAGATACAGCAAACTCAAACATGCACAAGGCCCACAATACAATCAACCGTAACAACTTACCTGTTCAATAGCTTCTTCCGTAAATGGATGCCAGTAGCGCATACCAACATACACCTTTGCCGGAACATTCTTCTCATACAGTGCCTTTCTTAACATCTCGGCCTATATATATAGATATATACATATATATATATATAGTCAATCCAGCTAAAGAATATTAACATATAATGTAATAATGAACAAAGCAATCTCATTTAATTCTTCCTATCTCAAGCCATTTCACTACAGGTCAGAAATTTATAATCAACTGCCGGAACACAGAAAAGCCACAAACATATGAATCTCCAAAAACTCCATCAATATACAAGTCCAACAGAATAAACCGGTCCTTTCTAATGCCAAACTGAAACTTCTTGACCATTTTGCCCACCTATCGATTCCATTTACATTACAAAAATTGAATAGATTACCAGCTCCAAAGGAAATCCCTTAAATTATATGCTCAACAGAATATAACATTTTAAAGCACTATATCATTCATATCCAGCGCCATCGAACACAAGTTTTTATGTCATCTGATAACAAATTGTCCGTTAGAAGTACCTGTTTTACTAACTGTAATTTTATGTATTCATGAAACCAAATCACAACCTTGTAGCCAAACATATAATCCATAATTTTAGCCTATGAAAATTAAAAAAAAAAAAAAAAAAAAAAAACATAAGGTTTAGTCGAAGAGAAGAAAATCATACCTGAGCATCAGTAATGCGCCGGAGAGGAGAGCCACCACCTATTGAAGCATATCCTTCTTTACTCTTCGGTGATCGAACAACAGATATGAATTTCGCTAGAGGCTTTTGAAGAAAGCGAAACAATCTCGGTAGGCGAATAATATCCTACTTTCCAGTATTAAAACATTATAAACAAAACAAACGAGGTAAACATAAGAAGAAGTAGAATCACAAGAAAACTAGCATTATTTACACAAAACAAGCAAAGTAAAATAAAATAAAATAAAATCCAAGTGACAGATGCTAACTGGATCGGCAAACAGATTAAACAAGAACGGCTGCACGTCATCTAAAGTCTCGGGACCTCCAAGGTTCAGCAACAACACTCCCACTTTCTCATTACCAACATTTGCAGTGGTTGAAACTTCTTGAGCTTCAGAGGCAACAAGTGCACCCAACTGTGAGGAATGCTGGCGTGATTTCTTTGTCGATTGAATCTTGGACAACCCTAAGGTGCATCTTGCAGCTGGGGATGTTTTGAACAGAGTAGCAAATGAAATAGACTCTGACTGTACCCTTATGCAAGGACAAATCCCCGAAGAGGAAAGTTTCGCCCTCGGTCGTAATCTATCAGAAAAATTAGCACAAAGCCATATGGAATTAGATTACTCTTATTAAAAATGACGATCTAACCCTTGAACCCGTTGATGAACCAAATCGAATTTTAGAAAATTACAGGTATCACAATCAAAAGAAACCCATCCCAATTCCCAATTCCCAATTCCCAACCCTAGGTGCACCAACACAAAGTTTAAAAGGCAAAAGAGGTTAAAAGCATGAAGAAGGAGCTTACAACGAGGGGTAAGGAGCTTGAATCCGCACATTCATCGACTGATTCATATTCTTCGAGTAGGGATATACGACGGCAACGAGCACACACTGCTTCAGTGCTTGTGAGAGTAAAAAACAAGAAAGAGGGCTTTTGGGGTCAGCAGTGGCTGTTTCATCCGTGCCCTTACGGCTCGCCACGTGTTTTATGGGTTTATCCTCTGCTCAATGAAAATCCCACAAATTTCTTGTGGACTATTCCCTAAATCATAGAAAGAAAAATCTTACTCGGTCTTCTTCAGTGTAGAATGTAGATTTTATAACATTGAAACTGACTCCTCCCCTCCTTTGACTTATCTGGACTTCATTCATAATCCATGGATCAGACACAATCCACATTGGGTAGAAATGGACCATCTAAAACAAGATGTAGCTCAGAATGATGTCTGGTTAAATACATAAAAGGAAATAACCACAAGCTCAATGAGGAAGAAGATGTATATAGCTACTTAAAAAAAAGATATAGAAGGTCAGTAATGTAACAATCTACAGGCAATTCAAGCTAAACATTTAACTATATGAGCCTCAAAGTCTGGTTTTAAACTTTCATACTCAGCCACAAAATACAAGTGCATACATACATATATATATGTATATAGATATATATGTTGAAGAACTTGGTCACTCATGAGCAGTAGTAGTTAAGCAAGGCACACACTGGCGGGCAATCTATGTCGTCGAACACAAAAAACATGCAGCCAATCGATGCCTCGACTCAGTCGCTGAAGTCTGTGCTTCCACTCCGTGAACTGCTAGCATTCCGGCTGTGCAACGAGAGGTTTCTCAAGTGGCTGTTGAGAGTAGAACCATCAGCCTTATTCTCCTGGAAGAACTTCTCCCGCTCGACATGTTTGGCAGGTGGGGGTGGGATTGCAACAGTTGGTTTGCCTGTATTAGGTTCCGGATTCAGCCCCAAAGCCAATGATCCAATGGTTTCGTGTCTGGCCTCCATATTCGGTGCTCGTGTTGGTTCTGGCTCCACAGGTAATGGACGTATGAGTGGGCGATGGATCATTTCCCCGGGAATAGGCCGCCCCATCAATCCAATGTGATTGTCTTCATCTTCAGGCCGGATACAAGCTTTTCCTTTTCTTATCCTGGTCGACATGGAAACTGATGTTCAAGGCATGTCTAAAACCGGGCACATAAAATGAAGATGAGCATTTTCTAAATAAAGAGCCGTCAATAAATCTGCGTACCGTCTGAAGAGTTGTTCAGCCTCTTCCTCTTCCTCCTCCTCATGGATAATGTTATTTGATGTAGACATTGTCCTACCAGCCACAAGATCGTCATGTCTCCGTAACACTACTTCAAGCTTCTCGTTAAGCTCAACTGCTCGTGAAACAGTTCTTTCATCCCTTTTAAGATAAGAAGATTGGCACAATTAATCACCCATATAACTAGTATATGCAGTTCCAAATAACTATAGCAGTGTCGCAGCAAGAAGCACTTACCGAGATGTAATTGCAAGATGCATTACGCGTTGTTTCTGAAATGAGCATTGCTCAACAAGATCAAGTGTAAACTCATCCTTTGCTCCCTAGAAATACAAAAAGTTAAAATTAAAATTAACCAATGGTAGACAATACACGCGTTGAAAAAAAATGGTGTTACATTGACGAAGTGAATATATAATGTACAATTATTCAACATTTTCTCTTCTTGGTGTTCTCAACTTCAAGCCTCAAAACTAATAAACATTGACTTCTTTATGTTGATTTTTTGTTCGAAAGGCTTTGTGCGCCGTTCAAAGTTCAGACTTTAACATTAATAATTGCTTCGAGTCTCTATACCGGTTGATCCTTTCATCGTATAATTGCTTTGCTCAACTATATAGATCATATAAGACCATTGTGCTTGATTAAAATGCATCCTAGCTGTCAACACAATTCCTCCCTCACACCCTCCTTTATACATATTAGGAGTTACGACCGGCAATGCCACTATGATGTGGGCGGGGTTTGCCAAATGTTATCCAAATAATATATTATCAACTTAGATTAAGATTACTAATCACATTTTCTAGCAAAGGGGTGTTATGACAGGAGTCATAATACCTGAGCATCGACGGTGTTTAGGACATCCCTCAATACCTCCAATGCAGTTTCTGCTTTATGAAGAATACTGCTGGATTACGGAATAAAAGGATGAATATAAGTGATTATTTTTCTTCTGCTTTATAAGGGACTAGTGGGCAAACATTATACCTCGAGTCGGACACACTCTTGGCTGCTGCTTGTGGTGATTTCTTTTCAGTTTCGGGAGGAGCAGTTTCCTTGTCAGATGGATTATTCCTGTTCACATTTGTCGTAGAATGAGGTCTTGGGATTTCATTCGGCCTCTGAGGAAACTGCACACCTGCTTTCTGCACAATAGTATTTGCCATTGCTTATTGTTAGGAATTTCAAGAAAAGGAGAAAAAAAAAATGAAAAAAAGGCATCAGCCATTGACAAATATCAATGTTGGAACGAAATCGGCCAATGTAAGACATGTATTATGCATTCAAGACATACCACCAATTCATAGTATGATGCATAATATTGAGGAAACCTTCCATTAGCTCCGCCAACAGATGTCTGAGCTGCATCTAATAGCAGGAAAATCTTCTCCCTGACAGGATGATCTGACTGTATACAATTAGAGAATTTACTTAAAAAGTCTTCGATTATCTGAGAATGAAAATCGAATCCAGAATATGGCAACCTTTTTCTTAACTATTTTCACAAGGATGGGCAGAATCCCGGCTTCAATCACCTGCCTATGTACAGGATCCCCAATATTATTCATCAGCATCTCCAGCAACTGTTTATGCAGTGGTTATAGATCAATCCAAAAAAAGACATCATGGTGTCAAAGCTTAGGCAAGGTAGAAAATATGATTTTCCAGAAAATAGCAACTCACTGTTACAGCATATAGTTGAGTGTTGACGTTTTTGCTCCCAAGACGTTTTTTAATAGCTTTTATGACATCTTTAGCTTGTCTGCAACATAAGCACATAGAATTCTACTGGATTAAGGCACAGTTGTGATTTAATCACCATCAAAGACTGAGTGCAATTCTTCATCAGAAAATTGTACTGCATAACGATTTGAATAATGTAATGTTACCCGTGATCGCGTGCAACTAGTTCACAAATCTCAATGTCTTTAGTCCAGTCCACTTCAGTAAGTTTGTCGCTTGTCGCAGAACTAACAAGCTCGGAAGCCATAGCTATATTGGTCCTGCAAGGATAAACAGCAAAGTGTTATATTGCAGGAAAATAGCTCAAAGATGTATCAGTGCATCACAGATTAAAATTTCAAATTCATCACTCAAACCAGCTGCTAAACTTGCATCATCAATGGTGAACAACTAACTATTCAAAGAAATGAATACAATGAAGCACAGAAAACTGCAAATATTTCCACCAAAATGTGTCTAACACCTCAACACTGAAAAACCATTGCTATTTTGGAGTTAAGAAGTGAATATTGACAACAAACTGAAATTTTCGCATTGTAAAAACTACATATCATCGACTGAGTGTACCAAAGAAGCAGAAATTTGAAATCAAGATACTATTTTGAGGACCAAAAATGCACTTTAAACAAATTTATTCGAAAGACAGGACTGACTCTGTGGCATTTCATCCAGTTAAATCTGGGCTCCCAATTACTCTTTCCTGCTATCCTTTTCTTGCTAAATTTCACCAATCTCACGTATAAACTTGAAGAGGGCTTAGAAAAACAATCTTCAAATTACCCATTACTGCAAGATCACAACCAAGAAGAATCTAGAGAGAGAGGGAGGGAGGGAAGGAGAGAGAGAAACGCATCCATCATGCATCAATCACAAACTAGATTCTAATTCTCCATCTCTTTCATTCCTAAGAAACTTCAAACTTGAAGAACACACACCAAGCATCTACCTGTCGCATTCCTTCCCAAATAATTTCCAGAAACTCAATTAAAAAACGATGTGGGTTTTATCCACCCCGTTCAGTCCTTCGCTTTGCATCCACTCTTCAAACATCGAAAAAGAAATCATCATCTCTTTGCCTACCAGCCCATTCCAATTCAGATCTCAAAGAACTTCTAAAACACGCGATCTCTCCGAAAATTCAAAATTACATATACTAGTGATAATAAATTCTCCACCTCTCCATAAATGAAAAGCAAAATGCAACGCTCCTCAAACCACACAAAGAATATCCTCACAATCTAGTACAGTCAAATTAAAAAAAAAAAACCTGGAACAATTAGACATCATGAATCAGCAAGAAAGATAACCACCGACCTGCGGGCACCAGCAGCAGAGCAAACCAGAAGGCTAAACTCAACAATTTGTATGTATGTATGTATGTATGTATAGCTGTAATTATTGATGACACGTATGTACAACTGGATACATATGTGCGTCAATCATAAAGGCAAGAAAATTAAATTGGGGATTCTCTGCTAATTAGGTATTTTTAAAACTTTAATAATGCCCCTTTATTTCTTTCCGCGGTTCTTTCAGCTTTCTTTTTTTATTTTTCCGCCATTAACAAACGGCTCCGACAACAATAAACAATTCGAAAGAGGAGCGATACAGAATCTCCCTCCGATCGGGGTTTTCTTTCCTTAATCTAATCACCTGCAAACGAATGACCGCCACGACCGTGAAAGGGACGGTGCGTGTGAAATGGATCAATGGCGGCGCCTGTTTGATGTTAACGCTGGCCCGCCAGGAATGGCTAGCGACACTCGACGTAGCGTATCGGTGGACGAAAATGCCCTCCCTCTGTTAACCCTGAAACTCCGCCCGCCGCCACAATCATGGAGGGCTTTACCGTCATTTCACAAAGGTAAATACACTGAAATGGAACCGCGACGTGTCACCGCCGTCTCACCACAACAAGCCTGCTAAACCCACCGGGCGGTGACACAAATACGCAGACGTGGCGGCAGACAACTGGTCGTTGATAAAATAAGCCTGGGAAGAGGCACAGATTAATATGGTGAATGTCGAATCATTGTGCGCCACGTGTCCTTCAAACGTCCGTCGGGTCGCAACGGGTAAGTTCGGACAGCGATGAGACAGCCCAACAAAGGTCGTTTCTTGTTATGTGCTACTTGCCACCCCAACCCACCCTTTTCGATTTCTTTTTATTTATTTATCATATGTTTTTTTTAAGAAAAATAATAATAATAATAATAATATAAAAAAAGTTATGTGCTACTTGCCACCCCAACCCACCCTTTATTAGTTTAGAGTAAATATCATGTTAGTTTTTGGTTTTGATTTGAAAAAAATTAAGTTTTAATATCTTAAACAAAATAGTGAAGTCCCATAAATCGCCAATTGGTGTGGGGAGTGATCTTGTGACCGTAAGATCATAGATTCAAATCCCGACGCTTATAGGTTCATCTGGCACACATGATTCGTCTAATATAACTTATCTTTTCGGGTCTTCGATTTTTATCTCATATATTTTCCGACTTAAAAATTAAAAAAAATAAAAATAAAATAATATACCCTGAATTTTGTTTGATGTTATCTTTCAATATAGATGATAAAAATTTTAAGTTGGAAGCAATGAATAATGTAAATTCATATCAACGGAAGATGATTTTATATCTCTAAGAAGAGTAAGAAATATTATTTCACCTCGAATGAACCCAATTAATTTCTTTATGAGAAGTTAGAATTTTTTTCCCTTTTAAAAATAAATTACACTAAAAATTCTAATAACTAAATAAAAAACATATTGAAAACAAAACTCATTGAGACGATTATTAAATCAGTCTCGAAGGAGTGTCTAATAAACTAGATGAGTATTTCAATCTACCATCAACAATGTATCAATTTGATTTTAGACAAGTATTTGAACATTTAAAAATATGGATAGCTTACTATAGTTTCTAAAAGAATTTATTATACTCCCTCCGTCCCATAACAAGGTATCTATTTTTCCATTTTAGTCCGTCTCATAACAAAGTATTCATTTCTTTTTTTTAAGTAAATGTACTATCTACGTAACATTACAAATATTCTTACAACTTACAATATATTATACAAATGTCATTACTTTTATATCACGCATACTAATAAGGTTATTTTAGTCATTTCTACTTTATTCCTACTACATCTCAATATAATACTAATATTTTTCTAAAATTACGTGCAAAAAACAAATAGATATTTAGTTATTGGACTGAGGAAGTATATTCTTTTGAAAGTGGATTGTATATATTTTTGGGTTGACGTTGATGTTGTCTATGCAAGGTGTATACAAATATGGCTCAATTTGTCTTAAGCCCAACCAAACAAACAGATGGCTCAAAAATAGATCAAACTCATGAAGACTGGGCTGAATTGATCGAGAAAGTTTGTTGGTCCCCAATCTATACGTGAAAATAACAAAAAACAATCGTAACAAACGTTCTGAAGGTGAAGACAAATAGTGGAGAAAAAGATTTTTTCTTGATTGATTTTGTTAAATGATTATATATGTGAGTGAAAAAATATAATAGAGGTATTTGGTACATTATAGTGTATCGATGAAAAAAAAAAATAAGAAAAAAGAGAGAACATCGAGAGAGTAAGGATGATGGATAGCTCTTGGTTGGGAAACAAAAATGTATGTGTTAATGTGTGTACTCGATTGTATCCAAATATCATTGTGTTTTAATGGTTTCGATAGTGAATCTCGTCTGGGTTGAAACCCTAAAAAATCGTCTTAGTAGAGACGAACTGAATTATCAATTATCTTGTATTTTCTATTGGATCACCGGTGTGTTGGAATGTGTTGAGTGAATTTGCAAATTTGATTTTCAAAGTAAGTTGTTTTCGCAGCTGTGTGAGTTAATGGAAATTTGAGGTCAACTTATCTAAAATATATTTTTTTAAAAAATTGTAACTATATATTAATTTTTATTTTCAAATTACAAAAAAAATACTCTCTCAGTCCTGGATATTTTGTATGTTTTACCGTAGATACGAGAATTTATGAATGATATAATTAATAAATAATTAAAAATGTATTAGTGAAAATAATTATCATATAATAAAAATAATTATAGATTATGAGTAAGATAATATAATTAAAATTAATAAAATTATAAATTAAATTTTTTTACATAAAATTAAAGTGTATAATTCTGAAAAGAATATGTGGAACGAAAATGAAAAGATTGACATGAGAAGTGGGACGGATGGAGTATCAATGCACAAGAAAAATACTTCCACAGTCGTTCAAATCTATGTTCACTTTCTTTTTTCGATTATCATGAAAAAATATTTTCATTTTTGTTAAGTAAAAAATCATTCCATTTTGTACTGTTTTTTACTAAAAATTAATAATTATTAGTCACTTTTATTAAAACTTATACCCAATCATTTAAATGAGCACACGTTTGCACTACAGTTTGCACGACGGATGGAGTATAAAATATTACCCATTTGTTCACATAGTTCACAATTTTACATCGCGTGGATAAACATTGACCGGCGGCTGACTCGAAAGTCGCAATAATTTCAAGTATTATATTAAACCACGACTTATTATCTATAGATTATATATTTATTATTATTATTATTATTATTATATGTTTCGACTCCGGCGGACCGGAATTAATAAAATCGTTGAATCCGTACTACTGAACGCACTGTACTATTCGATGGCATTTCGCCGGAGCTCTCTTCTGCTGAGGAAGGCGATTGGTGGCAGCCGTGCAGCGGCAATCAATTCCTCCTACACCAATCTGTTCCGTGATTCGTCTGATTTGCGGAGGTGGTATTCCAGCTCAGAGTCCGATGGTAACTGTGCCGCCGGGTCAGCGGCGGGTTACCACGTCACTCACGGGCCGTCCTATATGCGGGGAGCGGTGTTTTGGGAGAAGGATAAGCCGCTAACTTTCGAAGATTTCCACATGCCTCGTCCCAAGGCCAATGAAGTTCTAATTAAAACGAAGGGTAATTTGAATGGAGTTTTGATTTTTTGAATCCATATTGAAGATAAAGTTGTGTATCGTGCTGTGAAGGATACCGATTTTCTGTTCATGCTAGATGTAATTTGGTTGCGTAAGGATGGTGATTCTGATGCTCGATAATCGATATGATTATCTCCTTTATTTTAGTGTCTGGCTTGATTTTGATAGAGGAGTTTGCTTCTACTTGATTATTCTTCCGTTGAATTTCAATGGCTATGTCATTATTAGATGTGTGTATATATAGCATTGTGGATGGCGAGTCTATAATTTGATGTTGATTGAGTGAAATCGAGAGGAATGATTTGCTTTTCCCAATTATGTTTAAATAATGCAGCTTGTGGGGTGTGCCATTCTGATCTACATGTGATCAAAGGTGAGCTTCCTTTTGCCAGCCCCTGTGTTGTAGGGCATGAGATTACCGGTGAGGTGGTAGAGCATGGGCCGCTTACCGACACCAAAATTGTGGAAAGGTTTGATAAGCTGTGAAGAAAACATGTGTATTCCTTTTAGCCTTTTCCTCCTTTACATAATGTCCAGCAGGGCAACTATACTACTGTTTTTTTGGATTTTTTATTCTCTTGCATTTCAGATATCCTGTGGGCTCTCAAGTAGTTGGAGCATTCATAATGCCGTGTGGAAGTTGTTTCTTCTGTTCTCGGGCAAGGCCTTTTTGAATGTTCAGCTGCCAATGAATATTACTTTCCATCGAAATTTGATTTGGGTAATTTTGAGAACATTATTGGTTTTTGGTGTTAAAACAGGGTCAAGATGACTTGTGTGAGTCATTCTTTGCTTACAATCGAGCAAAAGGAACACTTTATGATGGTGAAACAAGGTTGTATCTCCGTAGCAACGGTACATCCCTAACAACATAGTACTAGTTTTTGTGATATGATATAACTTGCTTGTGAATAAGTTTCAAATTAACTACTTCTGATAACTTGTGAATCACTTGAATATATATCCCTATGATTTGATTTTTACTGGTAACAATTGCAGTAGAAGTGTAGTTCTTCCAGTAAGTGTGCATGATTTACATTATAAGCACTGGAAAATCTTCTCTCGGTACCTTGATTGCTTGTTCTATCATTTTTAGTTTTATTCGAAACGGTATTCTATTATGCTGGAAAGCCATGTGCATTCAGTCATTCATTCATTCCTTTATTTATTTTTATCTTTTTTGTTGTGGCATCCGTATCTGGTTTGTGTTATAATTTAACTGAAATCAAGGTATGCGTTGAAACCAATTGTGTTGCTTATTGTTCTGCTTTAATGAATTCCATTCTCGTTTTCAAATTGATTCTACTATTCTGTGTGTCAACTTCTTGCCTACTTCAACTTGATCTGATATATGCACTGAAATTCGCTGCCCCTCAGACAAACCAGTATACATGTATAGCATGGGAGGTCTCGCTGAGTTCTGTGTGGTGCCAGCACATGGATTGGCAGTTCTACCCAATTCATTGCCTTACGTAGAATCTGCTATACTAGGATGTGCAGTTTTTACTGCATATGGAGCAATGGCTCATGCGGCTCAGGTAAGACCTGGAGATGCCGTTGCTGTGATTGGCATTGGAGGAGTTGGCTCGAGGTAATAATTGAATACCCGTAGTACATTGTTATTGCTTTGTGTTGTCAAATAGTTACTATGGATGACTACCTTTAGGATGTTATTTCTTGTTGGTTTTCATGCTAAACCCTTTTGGAATTGGTGAAAAGTAAAATCAGGGAGTTCTCTAAACTTATTTGTTCCATGCTATTAATTTGTGTTTTTGAGAATGACAGCATATTTACATAAGTCATTTAAAAAGCATTGTGAATAGACTCTTTTATCATCTGAGACAGCTATGTGAAATATATCCATACATTTGGATGGCACTCAATGCATGCACATAATATACATTCGGCTCTGAAAATATCTTACGGACTTAATAGTTAATGGATAATAAGGAATCTCATATTGCTTGGTACAGTTGTCTGCAAATAGCAAGGGCATTTGGGGCTTCTGAGATTATTGCAGTCGACGTTCAAGATGAGAAACTGGAGAAAGCTAAGGTATTTGGAGCCACTCATGCTGTCAATGCCAAAAAGGAGGATGCTGTTGCAAAAATCAAAGTACGGTAATAGATATATTACCTATCTTTTAAATTTCTAGCTATTAATTGAAAATTCTTAGACGAGATGATTATGATATATGATTATAACACAATGAATTCTGCTCTATTTCTTTGGTGGCAATTAAATATCACACGGCATTGTGCAACATTTTCATTGGTGCATTTTCTTCCTAGAAGGATACGTAAATATTGTTCATTGAAGTTTTGAGTTTTCTTCAAGTGATATCTTACTAGAAGCATGGGCACATCTTTTATTCTCAACAAAACTGTTTGGTTCAAACCTCGGATCGACTTCCCAAATCCTTTATATATATATATATATATATATATGTTTAAACAGGAGATTACTGGAGGAAGGGGTGTAGATGTAGCTGTGGAAGCCTTAGGAAGGTCACAAACATTTGCACAATGTGTACAAAGTGTCCGGGATGGAGGGAAGGCCGTGATGATTGGCCTTACGCTCTCTGGTGCTAAAGGGGAGGTTGACATTAACCATTTGGTTCGTAGACAGGTGCGCTCTTGTTCGATTTCATCTAGCCAATGCTACATTCAATATCTTTTTATTAAGCTATGTTAAAACGAGGCAGCAACGGATCCATGGTGCAGATAAAAGTAATTGGATCGTATGGAGGCAGGGCAAGACAGGACCTTCCGAAACTGATTAAGCTGGCAGAGAAAGGCACATTCAACCTGGAGGCAGCTGTGTCAAGAAAGTGTAGATTCGAGGAGGCGGGGCAGGCATATCAAGACCTCGACAAGGGAAGTATTGTCGGGCGTGCCGTGGTTGAGATCATGTAATAAAATACCTACCCAATGCCCCTTCCCCTTCCCCTTCCCCCTCATCTTCATCATCATCATCTTCTTCTTGGCATGAAAATGTGTAGCTCAGCCCCTACCCTACACTGCCTAAATAAAACTCACTTTGTTTCTAACTAATTCTTCATTTTATGAAATGGGATGGGATGGGATTGCTCAAAGTTTCAGTTCTTTCCTAGAGGACAACTTGGCATTGCTATAACAAAAAACAGAGTATTGAGTTAAATAATTTGCTATAGGTTTGTTTATTCATCATCCATCGTTTTTCTTTAATATATATATATATATATTGTATAAAATTTTAGTGTAATCACATTTTAAGGCTTTTGAGTTGTTTATTAAAGTCTTACTGTGCAACATCAATTCGTTTTTCATAAAAATATAGTACTAATTTTTTTCATTTTTCAGCGGTTCATTTTTTTGTATTTAAGAAAGTTTTCTATTCTTTTGTTTTTAGATTTAATTAAAAATAAATATCTTGAAAATATAATTAAAAAATAAACTCCATCCGAACGGCTTAAGCAATTATCTCCGGGTGTGTTTCTTTTGATGGGTTTGGAAATTTTTTGTTTGAATTTGATATTAAAATAATATATGATGTGATATTTTGTGAGATATTCTTTTTTTTTTTTTTAGAAACACAAAAGTCCAAATAGTAAAAGTTTGGAATTTTTGACAAAAGAAACCGTATTTTTATTACTATTATTTACTCAAATACTTCTCCGCCAAATGTAGGTTCAGATATTTGAGTGTAAAGTTTAATAAAAATAAATTATTATTATTATTTTATCTTTTAATAATACAAAAATAATTAATGTAAATACAACAATAAAAAAAATTAATATAAATTTAAATGATAGAAAAAAGTGATCATTTTTTAACTTTAAAAACATGAATGAATATAATTATATTATTACCTATTCAAGAATATATATATATATATACACATCAAAATGCACTTGAACGAAATCCTTGGCACTCACACACGTGGAACAAAATAAATGGGGGTTGGATTTGTCTGACGAGCCTAGTTGTAAAGTACGTTATTAGAAAAATAAAATAACAATAATAAATGATTAATTCATCAAATTCAAAAAGCTTTAAATTTCAAATCATGCAAATATTCTTTTTCTGTTCTGTTTTTTGGTTATATATATGTGGCTTAGTGAAACTTCCTATAAAGATTGATAATCTCAGCTCATGTCCAAAAATGGTTCCCAGAAAAAGCTTCACCAAACCACACTAAACCTGACCTGAGCGAGGATAACATAATATCTAAATGTACACACACATAATAGAATCATGCCATCCTAAAACCGAACTCAATAAGAAATCATCTATCACAAATCAGAAGAAAAATTACATACCGGGCATCCCGTGGAGCGAGCTTATAGCCGATATTTCCATCAGGGGCGCCCGCTCTGCGCTTCTAAAGTTACATGAAATTCCCAAAAATCGGTCCCAACGAAAGAATGTGTATGGTTTTAAGCCGTTCCCAATCATTTTGCTTTCTAACGATTCTATGCCTACAGTTCCCGCTCCATCGCATGGTTAGTTTACATCTCTTTCCATTTGTTGACATAGTTAATGAATGAATGTGCAGGGTTGCCACCCGGTGGGCCACGGATGCGGCTTGATTTTCTGACCATGGCTTCATCCGTTGCAATCTTTTCCGAATGCACCTTTGATCTTTTCTCAATTTCAGAGCTGAAACAATGACAGAATACCATCATTTCCACGATTTCGGGTATCAGAATTTAAAAATGCAAAGATGGAACAAGTGAATATTTACAATTCTTCGAATTCCTACACATTGGAGGATAGTACAAAGACAAATCTATAGAAACAATAAGATGTTCGGATGAATGAGAGTCACAAGTGGACTAACCATCTAGATGCCGTGTTCTCGTAATTCTACAATAAAAATAGTAGATTACACAAAGGTTGTACATGTAATCATGGTTTATAACAGTCGTTAAGACGTTAACAACACAATCCTTGCTCAGATATTCAATGTACTAGATCATTGGACAATAAATTTTATTAAAGCATTACATTTTAATATCAAAACTTTACATGCTTTTCATTTAAACGCATTGGCATCATAATTCAGTACTAACCAGACAACACTGAAACAAGAAAGGAATGAATTAACATACCATATCTTGCTGTAAAATTTTTGAAGCTGTTTTTTGAGAGCCCTCTCTCGCATGCCTTTGGTATTCAACGAGCCAATTAATGCATCAAGCTGTCAAAAGAACAAGTATATATAAAGCTTCAAGCACCTGGATTCAAGGGAATCACACTCTCGGAAATTAAAACCTTAGCATTGTACCTGGTCCTTGTTTTCATAATATCCCCATTCTGTAGAGTTGGAGTTCTCAACAAAAATTCTCCCATCGCGTCGATAAAACCAGTATGTGCGATGGTCTCTGTCTTTCCCTAATGGGCTAGTGCGTATAACTCGCTTCTCAATCTCCCGTTCAAGAAATTCTTTCTGCATAAGATGTAGTAGGTGGTGAGTTTACATCTCAATGAAGAAATTCATAATACACATAATTCAATGCCTATCTGATATTCCCCTCCATATTTAATGAAAGAATTTTATAAATATAAACATAATTGTGAATCAGTTCAACCATAACACAGAGACAGAGAGAGGCCCACCCTTTCTTCAACACTCTTCTTCTCTATTGATTCCTTGATTTCATTTTTCATCAATTTATGAATCTCCCTCTTGGATGGATGATTTCCATTTACATCTTCAGATGAGCTGTTGATATCAATCTTCCGCTTCCTAGCTTTCTTCTTAGATGTTCCGTTCTCTTGTCCATTTTCCCTATTGATGCCAGATAAAGAATGGATAAAGAGATCAGAACAAGGGCAACATATAGGTCACTTTGTGCTCAAGAAATAAAAATAAGTCAAAACTGTTTCCAGATGAATTATTCTGTTGAGAAAGAGCTTGCCTGTTATTTTTCTCCGAAATATATCCATTCGAAATAGCACCAGATGACTCTTTGAGATCTTTGGCAGAAGCTGCTGCCTTCTTACGCTCCTTTTCTTCTCGCCTCTTTCTACCTTCAATCAGTGCTTCATCTCTTCGTGCAGCAGCAAGTGCCTGCCTTTCTTCAACATGCTCATCCAACTTGTCCTTGAGTGCTTCAGTGTCCAGTACTTGACCAACCAGCTCAGAAAAAATTACTAGCTTGACAGGAACTTCTAGCAGGCAATAATGACCTCGCTTAATGGTGCTAATTTGCAAAGATAATTCATTGGGACATGTTTCCAAGAAATCACACAGATAATCAGTCCAGGCACTTGGTCTTATCTGAATCAAAGAGTTGGAGCAAGGGGGTGAGAATAGTTACTAGAATAACAAGCTAGGATATTTTCGATAAAAGATTAAGTAATCAAATTGTTCACCTTAGGCTTCCTTTTTTTCTTTTCTATGACAAGTGAGAACTTCCCATTGTCCTTTATAAGAAAACGCAGAAGAGCCGAACACATTTCCACAAGGAGCACAGGAGTCGCGTCCGAATAACAGAGAGAAGTCTCAAAGTCTTGAAGGGAGAAAGGAAACAGATTCAACAACTTCCCAAAAGAAGTACAGAAGTCCCAAACCATCAAAAGATCTCCCACACAATCCATTGGCACCATAAAATCCCTGCCAGGGGAAGGCCTCTCTGTAAGTAGTTGATCTTCCTCAGTTGGTTTCACAAGCAGATCTTCGATTGGATACTTAATGGACTGATCTTCTATATTCTCTGTTGCTGCAAATACCAATTAAGGCAATTAAAGAGAGACAGAGAGGAAGTGATTCCAGGAACATAGGAGGTGATATTGTACTAAATACATGAAAATTTGCAGTTTTCAGTTCACCCCAAAAAAAAAAAAAAAACGAAAAAGGGAAATAGAAGGCAAATGACAGCATTGCAAGGTAGGAAAGTAATATACATATTTTATAACAAGAATAAGCTCAAGGCAAAGGAAAAAATAAAGGGGACGCAGTTCACCCACACACCGATACCCAAATCTTTCTCTAAAGTCATTTAATGCCAATATATACACCACACTCTGAAGGACAGAAGAACATGACCCAGCAAAAGTTTCTCTGCTTAACCAAAAAAACAGGCCAAATGAAACTTACCATCATCTGTACTCACTCCAGGCGGTGAAGAATTAGATTTCATTTTTTTCCTCCGAATGTATACCTTGATCTCCTTCTCACCTTCCATCTGAGTATATCATCAAAATAGCATATTATCACCAATTATAAATTTCCCTAAAGAACTCAAAAAGATGAAAACTGATTCTAATTTACCACAGCTTTTTGTGTCTCTTCGCCTCTTTTTCTCTTTCTGTTACAGACTATCAATCCATTCTGTAAAATGTATTTTGTTTTGAGTTCCTTTGGAGGAGTAGTGGAGATTCCATGCTTCTTTGCTATATTATCATGTAAAACCCAAGGGAGACTCCTATATGTTGAATCTTTGATAAAAGACTTCAAAACCCTTTTACTAAAAGGGGGATTCTTGTCTTTCAAATCTTCACCGTTTACCAATGCCTTTTCATTCATCTTGTGATTACCGCCAAGCCATTCGATCTCATACTGAGTTTTGTCAGAACCCTCAACAACTTTTGTAACTTTACACAGATACAACCGCCCATCCTTCTTTCCATATACTTCAGCACCCTCAGTAAAAGGTCCTTGTACCTTCGCAGAAATAGAATTCACTAGATCTTTTAAGTTCAGCATACCTGCGATGAATAAATTCGAGTTAATTAGGATGATTAATTTCCTAATTGGAGAAATTGCATGGACCTGCATTTGATTAAAGCATCAGGTCCATTGGCAATACATGGAGTGCACAAAAAATCTAACCCGTAAAACATGGAAACACACAGATTCAACCCATCGAAAACAGTATGTGTCATGTTAATAAAAAAAGGACAAATCTTCAATTTCATGGGGCAGTTACAGAATGTGGCATTCAAGACATAACTCCAACCAACAAACAGAATCGTAACTCTATAACGAGTTGAAGCCATAAATTATAAGGATGTGTTATCACTTATCACCGTACAAAATGCTCTAACCTCTTCTTTACTTTGGAAAAAAATAAATAAAACAGCTGCCTGGTTTGCAGATTTAACAAATTACTACATTATTGCAAGTGGAAATCAATAATGGAAATATGAAGCAGAAAGAGAGAAAAAGAGAGTGGATTCAGCATATTATATGTTGAGGAGAATTCGTTTTGTAACAGGCTAAAACTAGTAACGACAAAGTTTTGAGCAACTAGCATTTCCAGAAACATTCTTCTTTCTCATCTACTTAAGTTTCACCATATTAGTTTTGCAGCGAAATCAATACAACAAACTTTATATGAGAACTTGAACTTGAATTTGGAGCAGCCAATACTCTCAAGCAACATGGGTGATTGATTATTCAGGTTAATTGTGGTGGCAATGGATGAAGCTACTTAAATTAAACTCAATCTACTCAACTTCTCTAATTGCCTGTTTGAAAATTGATAAGCTTGATTAAGCAGTAAGAGTAATGTTATTTTGCTTTCTTGTCAAATAAGGTTGCATACCTAGAATTACTGCATGCCTATATTATAGAGTTGAGTTAAGCCTCACCAAATTCGATAGTCAACTAGATTAAAGCTGTATCATAGAATAGTTATAAGGGAAAAGATTCTAATTATTATGCAAGTACACTCTTCGAAATGTTGGGAACTTCCGTAAACAATAAGATTCAAAGTTAGGGGGAAAGGAAAAAAGACCATGAGCGAAAAAAAGACAATTTATAGGCGAAGCATTTAATGCATTTTGTCGTCTTCAATGAGGTTTCGAAAAGCCAGCTTCATAAAGGCAATAAATTTGTTTTATGCTTGCTAACGTACCACGTGGCATTTTATTAATGGGGTTCCGAATGTAAGATGAAACTACCATAACAAGGTTTCCAGATACTTGCACGTTGGATTTCAAAAAGCCGTTGATAAAAGGAAACTATCAAACGAAATCCCCAACGACTTTTTAAAGTTTCACATGTTACCACTTAAAGTACATGAAGCAATGCATCAAGGAATTTGATAAACTGGCCACATCTTTGTTCTGCACTCAACAGTCGTGATGCATTAGTCAAAATCAAGGAACAATACTGCTACCAACAACAAGCTGAACCACACTAAAGTTAGACACATCAAACATATACTGATATATTTTCAAGATGAACAAAATTTCTCCACTTACTGAATTGGACATCGCGGAGCACAAGAGCTACATATTGTGCTGGGATATTTTGTATTCTTTTGGAAGCTTTTTCTTCTGAGATCAGGGCTTCTTCATAGGTCAAATTGCCCTTTCCCGTAGCTTTGCAAGTCCAAACTCTTTGGCGGTAGAAATTGAGCCGCTTAACATAATCACTGGGAAATTCAAGATCCACACATTACAAAAAGGACAAAGAACAAAGCAACATTTTTCTGAGAAGTGCTGGAATAGAAACAGAATTTACTTGTAGCTTCTCAAGATTTCTTTCGTGAAAGGAATTTGGAAAACAAGCTCTTGAGGGTCCAAATCCTCAGGCTTTACAACTAAAGGGAAGGGCTTTCGTTTGTAAAGGGGCATTGATTCAGGCGTCGATTCCCTCAAAATTCAACTTCATAACCTGTAGATAAAGATTAAACATCGATCAGCAATGCCAAAAGGGAAACCACCGATGAACTAAGCAACAACGAACAGAAAACCTAGAAACGCGATAAAAACAAGAAGAACAATAACCCTCTCCCAAATTCGCCACCAAAAAAACGCGAAACATCAAATCTCAAGAAAACAATTCGCAGCGAAAATCAACAGCAAAGGCACAGTCTATTGCAGAGAAATCAAAACGAAGCGAAAAGGGGGAAATCTAGAAATTCCCAATTTTGACCAAACGAGACGCCGCAGAAATCCGAAGCGACCGAATAAGAGAAACCAAAAATCAAGTACAGACACAAAACCAAAAATCCTGCATGCATTGAAGCTTCATCGAGTCACAGGCTAATCCAGAGAGGAATGCAACCCCAAAACCCCAGTCCAGATTAAAAAAATCCAATCCCTCAGCAGTTGCAGTGGGGATTACCCTCGGGAAAAAGGCCGTCATCAACACATGCAACAAAAAGAAACCAATTTCCCGCCAGGAATCGATTAAAAAAACAGTAATGGACGCAGAAACATACCGAGGGGAGGAAATCGAGTGGATTGCAGGAGCGGACCGATTGAGAGGGTTTTGATGACAATGTGTTTGCATATATAGGCGCGAGGGAGGAAGAGAGGGAAGAGACAAAGGGAGGCGGTGAAGATACGCTTTTTGGCCAAGGAGGACTACTGACTGACGTGTGGGCGTAGCTGTGCTGTGCCTGCCTTTGCCCCTCCTTAATGCTCTTACTCCCCAACTCTCCCCATTTATATTATTTATATTTATATATAATATTAATTTTAATTTAATTAATTATAATAATTTTTTCAAAATATTAATATTATATTAAAATGTAATACAAACAGTAGAATAATAATGCTAAATAAAGAAAAAATAAATATTTTTGTTATGACACTAGTCAAAATAAAATAAATAAATAATTTGTTAAAAGGCACAAGTATAATATATTGCTTTTGTTTTAGTAAATGTTTGTGTTCATGACATAATTTTTAATAACTATATTATTATATTGGTAAAATAAATATATAGATAATAGTAATATATTTGTAAATAAATATAATATAAAAGAAAATAAAATAAGAAGCACTAAATAATTACTTTTTTAGTTTCATTGTAAGTTTTAGTTTTGCAGTATATTAAAATATTAATATTATATTTGAATGTAGTAGAGATAAAAGTAAAATGATTAAATTAATTTTATTATATTGTATAATGTAAAGATAGTGAGGTTTGTCTAATATATTATAAATTGCAAGGGTATTTATAATATTAGATAGATATTAAAAGAAAATAAATACTTGTTACGGGACAAATCAAAATTGAAAAAATTGATAGATTGTCGAGAGACGGACATAGTAGTCTTTTATTAGTTGTGATATTCTGTAAGAGATTTTGAAATTTTTTATTTATATATAAATTAATCGAATAATAATATTTTATAATTTATGAAAAAATTAAAGTATTTTAATATTCGTGTATGATACACCATGACATTTGAAAAAATAAAAAATATTTTAAGTTGAAATGGAAAAAATATTTATTAATAGAAAATACATATTTTTGTGGACAACTAGAAAAGAAATTATAAAAAAGATATTTTTTGGAGTTCAGATGTTTTTGAATTTTAAGAATAGTAAAAAATTAATGTAGTGTGATATTTGATGAGAGAAAAAAAATATTTGATATGATGCTTTTAAAAAGTACAATAATGCCAACATATCTAAAGATATTGTGTCAGCAGATATTTTAATTATGTATTTGTTTGGAGTTTGAATATTTATTTAATGAAATATAAATAAATATTGATATACTGTTTGAAATATAAATTTAATTATTAGTAGAATATATAAAATAAAAAAAAAATTGTTTGATTTGATATTTTTATAAATTTTTTTTAAAAAATGAGTAGTAAAATATCCTCTAAATTTTACAAACAAATCCATTGTATATGTATCTACTACTCTCCTCTTAAAAAATAAATATTTGTTCTTTTATTTATGAAACTCAATAAATATTATTATTTCAATGATACTTTTGGTATGTTTTACATGTTTCAAATTATTTTGATGTATAATGGTATTGGCATGAATAATGTAAATTTAAATAATGTCTCCATATTAATGAAAATAAACAAATACTTTGTATTTAGACTACCAAAAATATAAATAAGATACATATATAGACAGATAAAGTATTATTTATATTTCAAAAGTAAATTCATTATTTATACTTTCTTTCATCTTTTTGAATGTATTGTTTTTTTAGAATTTTGTAATAAATTAAAAAATAATATTATTTTATTGGTTAGTGAAAGGGTAATATTATTTATATTTTGGTATTAGAGATGATTATTTTTTATTAAAATAAAAAATAAATAATTTTGAGTGAGACAGACGAAAATTATAATAAGAATACTTTAAATTGAGACAAAAAAATATAATTTTATAAAAAATAAAATTGTATATAATGAAAATAAAGTATAAATTATATGATTAATTTAAATTATTTTATAAAAATATAAAATTTTAAATATATATATATATATCAGTGTATTATTAATATATATAGAGAAATCTAAAATTATCAGTCCATTGAAAATTTAAGTTTTATTATTCTAAATTCAAAGTGCAAACAAATACAACTTTTGTATCATAAAATATTGTGCCAAATAATTTTCATAATGGAGTTTCACTATTTTATTTATTTAAGAGAATGTGAAAGGTGAATATTAAATTTGGGCTTTTATTAATGTACACTGAAAATTTAGGTAGAGTATAATTACTAAATAATTAAAAAGTGTATTAGTAAAAATAATTATAGATTAAGATAAGTAAATATTTTAATTAAAATTAAGAAAATTATAAAATTTAAAATTTAAAATGCGATTAAAATGCATAATTATATTTTTAAAAATAGAAATGACAAGTTATGTGGGACGGACGAAAATAGAAAATAGGGACGAATGGAGTAATTAATAAGATTTCCATATAACTTTTTTACAATGATTTTTTTAGGAAGTCATTTTTCCACTAAGGGTGTGTTTGTTTGAGAGTTTGGATTTTGAGTTGGGATTTGAATAGTAAAAATTTTGAATTTGAATAGTTGTATGATGTGATATAAATAGGTATTAAGACGTGATGTTTTGAATGTAAAATTGATTTTTAGTATAATATAAAAAATGAAAAATAGGTGTTTGATTTGATGTTTTTGGGGGGAAAAAGTAGGATGAACAGTGGAAATCCAAACAAATCCCTCAAACAAACACACCCTAATTTTATGCTTTAGAATCAAAATTAAGAAAAGCATTTATTGAAATATATATATATATATATAGATATATGTCATTAATGATAGTCCACGGTTGAGAAGTCGAGTTTGGTCACGTTGCAACGACCTAAGGTAATTGCAATGTTGCAATAGATTGTCCTTACTATATATTTTTGTGAGCCAATATTAGTCTATAATAAGGTATGTATTTTGTTTTTGTTTTTGCTTTTGATATTTAATTTAAATACTTATTTAATGTTACAATATATTTTATAAAATTTTAAACTATAAATAACAAAAAAGATAGAATCAAAAAAAAAGAAAAAAAAAAAAAAAGAAGATAGAGATGGTTTTATCCATGGGTTTCCGGTGAGTGTCCGATAGGTTCGGATGAGAGCTTTCGGTGAGAAATTGAACATTTTTTAATGATCGATTCTGATGGGTGTCGAAGCTTAGAATGAATAGTCGACCTCCAAATTTGTGACGTGATTACATTGGACCATTCACATTATGAACTAAGTCTTAATTCAAATCTCTTCATCAATAAAGAAAATTCACAGCAATATCAAAGGATTTCGTTGTTACCATTTTTTCTCCTCTTCAAGTCATTTTTTTCCACCGCCGCCACTTCCTCCTCTTTCGCCATTGGCACCCCCACCACAGTGCCTTTGCCGCTGCTGTCACCACCGCCACCGCAACCACCACCACCAGATCGGACACAACTTCTTTTGTGCCACAACCAAGCACCACTTGTGCCGTTGTTACCGCCAATATATCTCATCATCATCCACATCTTCCACAAATCAACACGGTCTTATTCCGTAATGGATGGCCGGACGGTGGATTCAAACTCCGATGTCTCCAAGTCTGATGGGTTCATCAAGTATGACTGGTTTGACGATTAGATTTGACGCCCCCAAAGGATAAAGATTTTGTTATGTAATAACAAGATCAATAAACAGAATAATGTTAAATTATTTTAAAAATCATTACATAATGAACATATAAAGAAAAAAGAAAAGGATTAATAAACAGAATAATGTTAGATTATTTTAAAAATCATTATATAATGATCATATATAAAGAAAAAAGAAAAGAAAAGAAAGTACAAACAATCATTCTCTTAAATAGAATTAAATGACTTCCATTTTAGACTTTCATTACAGAGTCTATTTGTTTGATAGATTTTTAAAATTTTTACTATTCATTTAATTTTATTTTTTTTTTAAAAAACGATCAAATCAGATATCTACTTTTTATTTTAGATTAATTTTATACTTAAAATATGTTCCAACTATTCAAAACTTACAAACAAACACATATTAATATCTCAACTCAAAATCCAAACCTCGAAAACCACACCCTAGTTGATATTTCGTAGCATAATATAGTAATTATTTTGTTGAATAGGCTATAAAAATTATGTCTATTCCATTTTTTAAAAAAAATAAAAAAAGAAAAAAAAAATTATGCATTCAAAATTTTATTACTCATATTTAGTAATAGTTAAATTATCATTAATTTTTTCTATTTATCCTATTATTTTAATAGAAGAAATATTTATTTTTATTTTACTTTTTATAATCATTCCTCAAAAGCTAAACTCATTCAACACAAACAGCTATATCATCTTCAAGTGTGGCATTACATACTCATCAATGAGTTCTAAAGCTCCAACAATGGCATCCATCGAATTCCTCAAAGCCACATTCGAGATGAAGATATGCATCATCGACTTCACAGTTGTTGCCTTCTTCCCGGATCGATTTCTCCGTCTCCAGAGTCGCCACCATTGCTTAATTTTTTGATCACGCCTGGACTTGCGTGGCTCGAATTGGATGAACTCGTCGTCCCTTCTGCAACGGGCAGCTGATTGAATTTCTTCGAAGGAGCAGCCGGGGATCTGAGCGACGACCTCAAAATGCTGCGCCGATGCACGCTCGATTTGGATCGAATGATCAAATAGTTAAGCCATAGGAGAAGATCGAGAATGTAGTAATCCGTCTTTCGCTTGTCCGCGTGGTGGAGTGTCTCGATTCGCATGACGTCGTTAGAGCTCGATGTCCTCCGATTCAATTCAGACCTGCATTTACGACGAAAATAAATGCCTATAGTTCAAATCACATGTGTAAGATCTTTCGACGATGAACATTAAGTACTCACCCGGTGGCGTTCGCCCACTCACCGACCCAACCAAAGCCATGATGAGCTCTGTAGACGCAACAGAAAGGCGAATATGATTAAAAATGATCGAAATTAGCGTCGATCACTTTAGCTCGAGGCTTCAAATCTTACTTGGCTGTGTTTGTCGCGATTTGCACAAGCCAATGCAACGTCTTTTCCATCTCGTCTTTGATTTCTGCAACGGCGAGCTGCAAAAAAAAAAAAAGAAAAACAACTGCATCACAGCGCAAAGATTTGCACGTAATCGAACCGGAAATATATTCGAAGAAACACCTCTTTCTCGACGTGGAAAGACTGCATTTTTGTTCGTAAAGAGTTTTTAAGATTCGGCGGTAAGCTCTGATAGAGCACATCTCGGGAATTCATAGGTATTGAACTCGAACGGGCTACCTGAATCGATGAAAAGAGTTTTCGGAGAAATGTTAGAAATGTATTGAATGGAAATGCGAAGACGTAGTTTTAGATATAACTCACAATTGAGTCGATCAGAAGAACGATGTTAGCGTAGTGTAGCGCAAGCCCGGCCGGGCCTAATGTTTGTTGATCATTTGCGATTCTTTTCTTCGTCGTCTCAGCTTCACCTGTAAACGCCGTAATGTGCCAAAGGAAGTAATATTTTGAATGGAAAATGATATGTCCGCGTAGTATATTATTCTTGAAAGCGAGGATTCGGACATACCTGTGTTGCCAAATGTGTAGCCTATTTCTTGATTCAAAAACAGAACAATGTCGACAAGCTTCTCCATAACCTGTGATTCAGCATCAGACAGGTTTTTATGTCGATTGGTTTCGCAAATTACTGAAAAAACACACGATTCATTCGACAACTTCTTGAACGCTAACGCAAGAAATTTGAATTTAGGCTAACATAAGATCTTCTTTCGGAGATAAACATGAAAGATCGATCATTTTAGGACAACGGTCATAAAATTCTTGAAATACATACATTTTCATGAGAGGGGGTTACCTCTTCCAAGCTTCTCGACCACATCGACTTTTTCTTTAAGTTCTTCACTACCTTCCTTTGGCTTTTCAGTTCCGCAGACAAAATGCTTAGGCTGTTGTCCCTGTCCCCTGCAACCATTGAAGGCGATACGATTGAATTCATTAGAAATAAAAAGAGAATACAAACAAGACAATGATCTTACCATCATACGAGGAATTGAATTTAAGCGACTCTAGCCGCTTAAGCTTAAAATTGTCTTCGAGTTTGTCCAATACATGGAGTTCCTGGTATAGCTCCTGCAGAAAAGAACTAACGTTCGAAAACTTGATTTGCAACACATAATGTCAATCATAATATCGACGAAATGGTAGCTATACTGACGGCTGTATGTTGAACAGAGGTCATTAGCTGCAGCATCACAGATTCAGCTGTTTCCCTCAGCTGCGCCTGAGGTGTTCGATCTCTACTTCGTCTGTATAAACAAACCAAATAAGAATCAAACAAACATAAAACTATCGACATAAAGTTTTGAAGTTTCAGAAAGTTACTTCTCGAAGAATCTGTCCAAGTTGTGCCATTGAGGATCTTTACATCTGTTTCCAAACCGAATCACTTCTCCCGCGAAAACTTTCAGTTCCTCTCTGAGATCACATATCTAAAACATTTCAATTCCTCGATTTTAAACCATTTAGTAACAAATTGGAATAAATAATTCGACCTCCAAGCGAGCGAACCTTTTGTCTGCAGCAACAATACTTAGAAGTTCATCGATATCATCGGATATTAGCTTTTGCACGCCTACTGCAGGCAGCACTACTTCTTTTAAGTGGCGAATGTTTCGCTTCGAAAGTGATTGCATAAGATTTGAACCCTTAACGATTGTATTTGCAACTTCGAATGCTAAGATGGAAAGTTCGCTGTTTTTGGTTGTTGCCCCCGACACAAAACCACTCTTAATGTTCAAATTTGAGACACTACTCCCGAGTATGTCTAAAACATCCACGGCCCTTCCAAGCCCGACGCTGCCTAGCCGTATACTCACTTCTGCAACCTGAAGAAAACAAACAATTAAGCTATAGTTCATTCCATAGCTAATACTTTGCTCAAGAAATCGGACAATACAAAACTTAGTATCGAAAGACAAGTATTAATAGTTCTTGCTTCCTCGGACTTCGATCATTTTGTTATAATCTTGATTCTTGATACAAACAGAATGTAGCAATCCCAACAGGGTCACAGAGGTTGTACTGATGCCAAATCAAATAATGAAATGTTATCGACATAAGGCTATAGATCATGTCGAATTTCGAAAATGGCATATTGATTATTGAATCATGATCAAAGACAGAATATCGATTAACATTTATATACCTTTGAGCGTGACAAGGATCTAGATTTCCTGTATGAACTCCTCTGGTACCTGGGAATCCCATCGTAGAATTCATCGTCACTAACATTAGCATAGCCAGTCGACGATTCCTTATTAAGCATTGGGTTATCCTCGGATTCCTTAGCCGCCATTGTCTTCTCTTCAGATTCCTCCATTGTTGCTGGAGCTGCCACAACCTTACTGGTGTCCCTCTGCACCTGCATCTGCCCTTGATGGTTCAATTTCTCCTGATCAGTGCTTCTGCCTGCATATGGATTTGGGGATGGAGTCGCCTTCGAGCATCGCGCTCCCATATTTTCCTCTGTTCATGGAAATAAAAATTCTACAAATAAGAATTACGAAGATGATCTCACTAAGTAAATTAGGGTTTCAATCGTGGAGAAGACTTGCAGCAAAGCTCAAGAACAGCGACGGTTATCCATACAAAAACCTAATCATTGCAGAGTGAAATTTCAGAAATAACTTACCAGCACAAGAATCGAATGCCCGATTTCAATATTGAAGAAGAAGATTGAAGAAACTGATCATCTACCGGCTCCAGCAGCTGGAGGGATTTCCGGGATTTGGGGTTTTCCCTATTTTTAATTTTTAATTTTCTTTTTCGTGTTTTTTTAAATGGGGTTTGGTGGGCAGTGGTTTTTACGTGCGTTTGTTCATCGTCGTGGATGCAGAGGAAATACATGGTGTAATAAAGAGAGAGTGTTGAAAATGGAGTAAGGTAGAAGTAGAAGATGGGGATGGAAGGAAAAATGGCAGGTAGAAAAAGACAGACAGGAGGCCATTGGAGAGTAGAAATGGAACTCTGCCAACAGCCATCATCAACCAACACTGCAGCGGGCATTGACTTGGAATTAGTCAATGTTTCAGACAGGAAGGCACATTGATTTATTTCATAAATAAATCCGCACAATTATTTTAGCAAAAGGGTTTCTCTTTTATTTATTAGGTTAAGAGGATAAGATAGGGTTCTGTAGCATTTCTTGAAATTTAATTAATAGGAATTGATATTTGTTTTTTTGTTTCGAAGATAGGATTTTTTATTCAAAGATTGGATTTTTAATTCGACGATCTTGGAGATGCCTATGGTAAAAAAGAAAAAAGTTAAAATGAAATTGAGCTCCTATGGTTATGTTGGTCATCCTCATTGAAAATGTGTTGGAAACATTTTAATTGACCATGGAAAGTGGTCAAATAATGGATTATTTTTTCTAATTCGTGCGTACAAAACCAATTCCTTACTATAAAAATTTCCTAACTATTTAATTTTTTTTGGTTTTGTATAAAAAATAATGCTGCCACATGATTTTGAGGGGTTGTAAATCATATATTGAGTGAGAAAATCATAAGGGCTGTGGTTGTTTGATGGTTTAAAATTATTAATTAATTTAATTCAAATTTTAAAAATTAAAATCTTGAAAATCGACTATTCCTTTTTCTTTAAAATAATTAAAATTTAAAAACTTCAAATTTTGAAAAATCTTGAAAAACCCACTATTCCATTTTGCTTTGATTGTTTGTTTTGTGAAATTCGGTGGAAAGAAAACTTTTTCATATTAGGTACAAAGAGCATGTAGTATATTTCTCCTTCCATTTCGTAAGCATTTTTTTTTTTTTTTTTTTTTTATAAGATAGTTTTAAAAATATTAGTATTATATTATGATATAATAAAAATAAAGTAGAAATGACGTGATATAAATGTAATATATGGTAAGTTGTAAAGCTATTCGTAATGTTAGATATATAATACAATTACTAAAAAAAAAAAATAAATACTTTGTTATGGTCGGACTAAAATGAAAAAATAGATATTTGAGTAATATCTTTTGAAAAATATACATGAAAAAAAGTAGAAAAAGAACAAAGCCTTGTCTTTTTTGACACTATTTATTTTTTTAAAAAAATATATAATACCAAATATATATTTTTTCTTATAAACTATCAAATCAAATAGTAATTTTTTTATTTTTTAAAAATTTTCAAAAATTCAAATCTCTCCAAAAACCTGTCTAGAGTAATTGTTGAAATTCACAGTTGAAATAGTTGCTATTGAAGACAAATCCTTTTTATTTATCCCCGCCATTGATTTTCTTCACCCAAATTTATTCATATTTCCCCAAACAACAAGAGCATGTATTCATACAATTATCAAAAACGAGAATCAAAGCAGCAAGGGATACGTTCGATGGCACAATATAACAAGCAGAGCATGTTGTAGGCTCAAGAACATCATATCCTTTAAACTCAATGAGCATCACCATATTCGAAAATTAAGATTCCAACTTACAATTCATTATGCAGCGTGGAAGAATCGTCGTCAGCAACAACGATCTTCAAGTTCGGTGAACTACCACGGCTTCGCCCAGAGAGTCGTGATAGGATCAGACGAGCAATGTTCTCAGCTGCAACAGCACTTGTTTCCATGGTGCTGGCTGCATTCTCGAAAGCATTAACATAATATAGATGTTTATCATCTAAAATGAAGGGAGCGAATTCCTCAGGCGCCTGGTAATGAGGATACGCTGCCCAATCGATTCTGATTGTCTCCGATCTCTCGCTGTAAGAGAAAAAGGCAGTGTGATTATGGAATTTACGAGCTCAAAGAAATATAGTGTTAGTTTATATTGTCGAACAGAAATCCTATTAAAAGAATGAGCAAAAGTCTCACGAGCTGCGGCTCTCTTTGGTCATTTAATCGGTGGCTGATCTAATACTTCCATGTAAGAAGATAAATTCATCGAAGACAATTAATAATATACCTGAAGATGTTATCCAGTAAGGCGTCCAGCATAGGTTCCCGGGAGAAGATCTTGTAGGTCTTATCTTTTTCGTGTTCCTTGAGAACACTGATGCTTGTGAATGGTAGATCATCAGACTCTATGGTGCCCACCAACTCAGGGATTTCCGACAAGGTATTTAGACCAAAATAAGCCTGATCACATGAAATTCTTGAAATGTTAAGATCTCAACCAAAAATTGAAACATGTAAAAGTCATGAATAGTCGGTATACTCACTGGATCTAACAGCCCCCTAACAAAAGTTGCATGAGTGTGCTGCAGTTTTCTCGGAGGTATTGATATTGCTGGATTGAAATGAATTTTTACTTCATCCAAGGGCGTTGCCACGGCAGTGACCTGACAGTTGTAACTTTTTCCTTCCGTGGAGTTCAGTTGATATTCATTGCTCAAGTATGATATAGATTCTATTTCTTCATTTAGGTGCAAGGCAACATCCGACCTGTTGATCAATCCGGCAGCCATCTGCCAGTTCCCTCCTTCAACGGCCCATAAATCACCTCCGGAACCAGCCATAGAGACTGCGCCGGCAAGCCCACTAATATTCATGCTTTGTCCGTAATTTATTCTGGTAATGACCTGAAAAAGGCATAATAAGATCTCCACTTTTGTTCAAAACAAAAATAATTATGCGCCCTAAAGCCATAGAGAGTATTAATGCAAAGCTCGCACACAACAACATAATGCCAAACATCGGCTATGAAAGAAAAGGAATCTGAGTCATGAATAGTTTCTAAAACTAACAAAGCACTTTAAGTGGTCGGAAACCAATAAGATTGGAACTTTCAAGTTTTACTTATTAGTCGTAAAAATGCACTTCTAGAACTTCAATAAATAGGAGTTTTTTCCAAGCTTCCTTTTTCGCCTATGCAATTTGATACTAAGGAAATGCAATTAACATATTGTATCAAAAAAATGTTCAGAAATAAACAAAATCATAGTCTCACAGAACTTGGGATGATTAATTACAGAAGAATATATGCCTCAAATGCATGACCTAATCAATAAATGATACTTGCACACCACCATATAGACAACCAAAACGACGATAGTAAGTACAGCAGAACAAAAATCTCACAGTGACAAGTTCTTCAATGAGTAACCGAGACAATCCGACTTCAACCAGCTTCTCTCCCAATGTCATTGTAGTCAGATTGTAGAGTTCAGCCCATTTAAGCATCCTGTCAACGGTTTCAAACACCGGCCGCGATCCAAAATCTTGGTAATACCTCAAAAACTTATTCACTGTCTCCTATAAAAACGATCTCTTCGATTTTATCATCAGGAAAAAATATAACACACTCACATTTATTCTCATCCTGTAGACTCACAGCACTTGTATCACATTACTAAGCATGAACTTGTTGCAATGGAGCTAACAGCTTGAAGAGATAAATAGCCATTAATAGAAGAAATAAACTCCAAATAAACATGCTTCAACTCGTAATTACACTGCTGTTTCACCATTAAAATAGATAATAATAATAATAAGAGTATGATATCGCAGTAATTCACAAACCCTAGAAATCGTCTAAGTACCTCAACGAAGCTGTTCATCCGAAGGAGAGAAAAGGCGCCGTATCTAAACAACATCACAATCGAATTCACGAACGACAACAAGCGCTGAAATAATGGCGGCAGCCTGGTGTTGGAACTCAGTGTCTTGTACACAAACTTATCCCCATTCCAAATCCCCAAGGACAGCGAATCGTCGTCGAGGTCGGAGGTTTTCACTTTGAGGCCGAGATATTTGGTGTAATTCGCGGCGTGGTAGTTTTTGGGATGGAGAATCGAAGCGCCAGACTCGAAAGTCTCGCCGCCGATCGTGACAGTCGCCATTCGCCCTCCGACGACGCCATTCCGCTCGAATATTCTAATCCTGCCGATCGTTTGGCGGTCGGAGTATCTGCGGAGGAAGTGCGCGAGGGAGGAGCCGCCGATTCCGCTCCCGATTATACATATACTGTGTGGTTGAGCGTTCGCGGAATTCGACGAGAGGAGCAAATAGAGCAGCAGGAGAGGCGTGAATCGATGGCGACGCTCGAGCATTGTGATATGGCGTTTGTATTATTGTATCGAAGCTATGAAATGATTTGAGTTTTGGATTGGAAGCTTGAAGGAGGAATTGCAGTTTGACTTTTTAGAGCTGACTTTATATTACATATATATATATATATATTATGTGTTGTTTATAGTATCGCAGTGTTTAGCATTAAGTTCTGATATATCAAGGTGGTTTATATATCAGACACATTAATTAGATCATCCGGAGAATGGCGAGAACATCTTTCTGTACCACAGCCACCGTACATCAGAGACGCTTTGCATCCTTTCCTTCAGCATCACTTCCTTCAAGCTACATTCCCTGCCGTTCTGCTGACCGCCGCCGGCCGCCGCCGTCGCTGGATAACCGCCCCGCCAAATACCACGGTCGGGGCACTTTTCGACGACCTCGACGTTCCACAGGACCTTCTCACGCATCTTCGCGGTGCACGGGACGTCGTGCGTGATGGAGTTTCTCCACGGCGGGAGGCCGGAGTGGGGGCGGAGGAAGCAGCCCCACAGAGACCTCAGCCGCACCTGCATCCCGTCCCGCACCGGCTCCCATTCCGACGCAGAGTTGCTCTGAGACGGCCACCGCTGGATCACCTTCTTCCCCGACAAACCCCCCGGCATGAACGCCATGCTTGTCGCCGTCAGGTACGTGCCGAAGCAGCTCTTGAGTCGGATGCAATCTTTTCCATCGATGATCTCGACGCTCCATATCGCGTTTTTCGCGGATCCATCGCTGCCTTGGCTGATCGTCGCGTGGTTGTCCTCCGCCACCAGGTTCTTGTCGCGGTAGCTGATGAGCCGGACCGTGCTCGCTCTCAGGAAAAGATCCATGTTGGTCTCGCGCCCTGAATCAAATTCCGTCAGTATTTTCGCCGGAAGAATGCATATAAAGGTATTCCGTCGTCATATACGATACCTGGAATCAGAAATCGGAGCAGACGGGATGCAGCATGGCAACAGATCTGCAATCAAGACAAACAGGATGCAGATTTCTTGCAGGGAGATACGATGAATTTAGGATGAGAGAAAAGGAGCGGTGGCTTTTGAGGACGAAGGCCACCATTTCCATTTGTGGTAAACTGTAAAACCAATCTTAGAATCTCATTCTATATTTATCAAGCTTAGGATAATCGAAATCTGCAATCGACATTGTAATGATCAGAGGGAAGGCAGTCTACTTGTAATTGCAACCACACGTTGCCTAAATAAAAGGGTAGCTACAAGTTAGTTGGAAGATGTCTAAATTGTTGCAATGCAAGAACACTTCAATATCTACCAATTAACCGAAAACAGATACGAGAGTCAACCAAAATGATCATATCATCAACTCTCAATGATCCCGGCATTCATCGACATTACAATACACAGATTAAGTTCAGGTAGGTATGGGAGCTCCATGTTCGATGCAAGCAAAAGCATGTAAATTGGGCGAAAATAAGGAGTCGAAGAGTTACCAGATTAAAACAAATTCATGGGCTGGATGCCGGGGAACTATCTTCATCAGATGAAACATCGTTGTCGTCAAGCTGCAATAAATTACAAATAGTGAAAGATCATCATATATTCTTCATAATTTCGGAATATGTATTAAGAAGCTGTAAATTGTCCATACCTGAATATCCACCCTGAGGTTTTCGTCTCCCATATCCAATTGTTCTTGCTGAATTTGCATCACAGACTCTTCAACTGACTTACGACACTTCCCACGCACCTCAATCAGCTCCAACGTCGCAATCCCGCCAATCTCAGAAGGGATCATTTCTAGATCGCAGCAATCATGCAAGACAAGCCGTTGAAGCCTAGGGAAATGATCGCTCGAGGAGACGTCCCATTGGTTGAGATCCAGCCATTCCAACTTCAAGTATCTAAGCTGCTTGAACTCATCGTCGTTCGTGCTCCAAATCTCTCCCTGAAAGGCTTGATATCTTAATTTGAGAACCACAAGATTCGGCAACAACCCAATGATCGATATACTCTCCCAGGGCAGCTGCAGGTTGCATAGATTCAGCTTTTTTATGCTAAAGGGGATACTAATCGAAGATAACCCAGAGTCCCAACGGGAGACCGTCACTGTCAGTGACTCCAGGAGGTCGAGGAAGTGGAGATCAAGAAATGCATATTCCCCATTGCGTCGCTCAAACATTTTATACATACACTTCAGTTTGCGGAGAAGGGGGAAACATTTCATCATCTCTTCATCTTCTTCCTTACTTATCAGAATCTCGGAAAGAAATTCCAGTTTACTTGACTCTTCGGTACTACGACCTTCAGCAGGAAAAAAGGCACTTTCAGAGGAGAGGTACCGCAGCTTCGCCATCTGCAGTAACGGTGTGTACAAGATAATTCTGTTGTTCACTGTAAGAAATTCGAGATTCATGAGAAGATGTAAACCAGAAGGAATACTGTTTATAGCCATGTATCTCAAGTGAACCAAATTTTGAATTCCTGAATAATCATGATTAGAGTATTGCTGCTGAAAATGTAAAACTCTTAACGATCTCATGTTGAGGAGCGAGAACGATCTCTCCGAACCACAGCATGAAAAACTACGAACGCGTGCGCTATACGGCGCCAAATGACAAGGCAAAGCAAAATATGACTGATTCATTTGAACGGACAGATGATGGAATTTCTGGTTCCATATTGAGCAGTCACTGCAAGGAAGAAGTTAGAAGTAACACATGCCCGTCAGCACATTGTATTAAATCGACATCAAACATTAGTTGAAAGACATAAATAATATACAGAGTTAGCACCAAACTTACTGATCTACTAGTTTCGCAAAATTTTCCTTCTCGGATATTCTGAGGCATAAATCCCGCAATAAGTCATGAATAGCGCAAGCTTTGGCGCCACCATTTGATCGTCGTTTGACAATTAGTACAAGACTTTTAGCAATCAGTTCCTTCAAATATTCTTCCGCAACACTATCTGATCTCGTGTTGTCTTCTTCCTGTACGAATCCTTCGGCAATCCAGAGCTGTTTCAACTTCTTAACAGGGATCTCTGCATCTTCTTGAAATACTCCAAAATAAAGAAAACACGGTTTCAGATACGTTGGTAGCTGTTTGTAACTAAGTTCCAATATTCGCATCACTGAGTTGCTTTGTTCCGAAAATAAATAAGGGTCCAAACTTTCTCCAATATTTTTCCATGTGCCTTCTTCATTCTCTACAGTCGAAAGAATACCGGATATAACAACTACGGCTAGTGGCAATCCATAGCATTTTGCTGTAATTTTCTTCCCAATGTCTTCCAACTGTGGAGGGCAAGGGTTGTCTCCGAAAACCTTCATTTTCAATAGTTTCCAACACTTATCATCAGACAAGAGGGGTATCTCATGAATGATGCTACCTGGAAGCGCCACATCCTTGTTCCGACTAGTGAATATTATCCGGCTCCCATTTTTATCATCCGGGAAATATCTATGAAGGTCGTCCCACACATTTGAGCTCCATATATCGTCCATTACTATTAAGTATCGCCTATCCTTCAAAATTTTGTACATTTGCAGGGCAAGACTTTCCTCATCCATCTTCGCGAGTTCATCATCATCCCTCTCACTTCTTAAGCTCATCAAAATGGTGATCAATAGGTTTTTCAAATTATACACTTGTGAGATTACGCACCACAAGCTTTTGTCGAAGTGGTGACTAACCAACTGATGTGTATACAACTTCTTCGCCAAAGTAGTCTTACCAATTCCAGGCATACCAATGATGGAAATAAACTGACATTGTTCCCCTCCTGCTACCAACTGGTCCAAAATATCCCTTTCCAGATCCTCAAAACCAACCATTACATCGTCTGCAGAATCTCTTCTAGTTGGATGCGGCTGTGCAATGAAATCCTCTGCAGCTCTCGAATCGCCAACATCTGAATTTTTATTCATCAGCCGTAGCATAACTCGATCGAGCTTGTTTTTCTTGGCATTGATATGAGCCAACCTGATGGCAAGGTACCAAAGAGGAGCATCTCCAACAACAAAAGAGCTGATCAAATATTCAGATTCGTAAGCCACATCGATAATCTGCATAAAGTCATCAGATAATTGAGACACCTTAGCTCCCTTGACCAAATGCTGCAGACGCATCAGCCATCGACGGAGCAGTTTAAGCTGACCATTAATCTCAGCAATTCGATCAGCAACACCACCCATTATATAGTCGACATCATAGAGGAGTGAATCAACAATGGACAGATAATCTACAGTGCTATTTGTCTTTGGGAAAACTATAGCACGCGGTGTAATTTTCAAGAACTTGAGAATCTTGGTTTTCAAATGGCGAAAATGTTTAACACGAGAACCTAATACCAAACCATTCTTTGGCCAGATCACGACGTTCGTCGCAAGATACAAGAAATCGATTATTTTGACCTTCAAGAGATTTATATGCTCAGTAAGAACACTAATGGCGTGATCATTCATAGAATGCGTCGGTGAATGATTACTGAAAATAAGAGAGTGAACTAACATACCAGCTTCATTACCCACTTTTTCGAATTCCGCAAGGATTTTCTGCACCTGCTTATACTCCATGGCTTGAAATGGTCTGTCCCCGAGAATCACGATCAGAAACCTCAGCTCCTCCAAAACGGAAGCATTCAAAATCGGGGAGTTTTGATGAGGAGTATCAGCTAGTTGAAGGAGAAAACTGATGAAACCTGCAATAAGTTCATTCCTGTGGGGGATTTTCTCCATTCGAGAAAGCTGCTGAACCTTTGGCACTTTGAACCAATCCCCAAGGTCCTGCAAGACGCCCATAACCGTTTCTTCGAAGTTGTCGTAATTCCGAGGCTCAAATCCGTCGCAGCAGCCATGGGGCAGACCTAGTTTCGTGTAAAGCCTGGAGACGAAGGCAGAGTCAACCCCGACTTGCAGGAAGTAATTCAATAGGGTTTCGATTTGGGAATGGGAGAAACGGCCTGTGTAAGTCCATCGACTGATTTCTTTGATAAGTTTAGGCAGAGAAGACGAATCCATTCGATCTCAAAGCTCAGATGCAATGGCGTTGCAATCGAAGATCTACGTAATATACATGGAATGAAGATGCCACCGAATTCGGTGCGCTCCATTGACCTAATAAAATAATTGTGCTACTGTTCGTAAAATTCAATGAGCCTTCACTCGTAAACGCCATATGCTTCGTTTTCATACCTTCTCCGAAGTTTCCACATGTCCTTCTGGCAGCCATTAGAATTGCGGCTGCTTTAGGTTTCATTCCCATTCTGAAATAGCTTTCCCCACTCTGCCATACAATTTTTAAACGGCATAGGAGAACGACGAAACTCGCTAATGCTACTGTAGATTCGAGTTTCGGACCAAAATGCTCCATGAATGGCTGAGCCGGAAGAACTCCAATGATGCAAATCCGAGCGGTAACATATGAGTCTGAACATGAAAATGGATTTTCCTAATCCTGTCTGGTATTTGATCATCATACTTAAAATCATATCATCCACAACATTGCAAGGGGGGTTGGAGAGAGCCATTGAAGGATTTTTTGAATTGTTCTTCCTCTTCCTCTTATCTTTCTCCTTTAAATGCGAAGTACTGTAAGGGAGTGTTTGTTTAGAGGTTTGGATTTTGAGGTGGGATTTGAATAGTAAAAATTTTGAATTTGAATAGTTGTACGATGTGATATAAATAGGGGTTGATGTGATGTTTTGAATGTAAAATTAATTTTTAATATAATATAAAAAATAAAAAAATAAATATTTGATTTGATATTTTGGGGAAAAAAAATTAGATGAATAGTAAAATTTTGCACAAATCTTACAAACGAACACACCCTAAAAGGCAAAGTAAGCATTCCCTCGGCTTCCATGGAGGAACATAAATAAACGAACCCTAAAAAAAAAAAAAAAAGTGTAAATTACATAACACATGTCACATCCTCGTCTATTACTAAAAATGTAAAATTTATTGCGCGAAACTTTGTGTTAATAAACACCTTCATTATTCATTGATATTTAGTTTTAAATAAATTATTTACGCAAGTTTATACAAATAAGAAAAACAAAATATTTTAAATAATTTTTTTGCATTAAATAAATAAATAATTTATTAATTATTTATTTTATAATTTTTGGAGACAAATTATTATCTATTTTTATAAAAATTATAAAAATAAATAATTGATCAATTATTTATTTATTTATTAGGTCTAAATAAATATCTAAATTTATGCGAATTTTATACAAATAAAAACGCAAAATATTTTAAATAATTTTTTTGCATTAAATATATTAATAATTTATTAATTCTTCATTTTATAATTTTTGAAGACAAATTGTTGTTTATTTTTATAAAAATAAATGATTGATCAATTATTTATTTATTTATTAGGTCTTTATTTCAAACCAGTCATCAGTTTTGGACAAGAAAGGTGTTTCTTGCAAATTTTACATTAACATAAAGTTCACGCAATGAATAAAACCGGCGTGTTATATAATATACCCAAATAAAAATAAATATAAAAATAAACTATGAACAATAATGGGCTGTTTGGTTCAAAGATTTATCAGGATTCCATGGGATTTGGACATGAAATCCATGTTTGGTTAAAAAAAAAGAAGGTGAAATTTAAAATAATGAGATTTGAAATAGAGGTCTAAAATCCTACAAATAAGAGATTTTTTTGTAATAGGGATACCCCTATTACTTTTAAATCTCATTCTTAAAATTTTAATTTTTACATTTATATCCTCATGTAAAAATATAATAGTATTATATTTATATAAAAAACTAAATAATTTTAAAATTAATTATTATTTGAATTATATATTTAATTAAATTTATATTATTTTTTATTGTACAATATTTTTTAAATAAATTAATAAATTCATTATTTAAATTATTATTTATTATAAATTTTATTTGAATTATAAAATTATAGGGACGATCATAAGTCAGGTTCAATCGGAACTGATATTCATTCAAAATATATATTGTTAAATCCGAGATTCAAATTGGATCCGATTATACTAGATCCGACCGAGACTATACCCGGTAAGACTTGATGGTTCCGAAAATTTCATTTTTTTAACAATTCTTAAATTTTAATTTAAAATTACGCATGTACCAGATCCAATGTATATTAAAATTTATTTATTATATTAGAAAATATTATAATAAAATAATGAATACGTTAAACTCAAAAAATATTTTTAATATAATTATATTATTCGAAATTATTTTTTCATATGTATGGTTGATATATTATTATTATATTACCCTGATCATGACCCGGATCCAGACCTAATACTCAAATAATTGGACTTAACTTCAAATAAATAGGTCAGGCTTGGTCGGGTCTTGAGTTTACGCGAATTTATTGTTATCCTATAAAATTATTGATATATTTTCAATTTATATTAATAATGAATTAGAGGTTTAATTTGTCAAAATAAATAAAATTCATAAGAGGACAATTATGTCATTTAGAATATAAAAAATCCAAATCCAAGAAATATAAATCCCACCTCATTTTACCAACCAAACATAATATGAGATTCCAAATCCTAAATATAATAAATCCCATCACATATAAATCCTACTGTAAAATCCCGATCACACTAAAAAAAAAAGTCCATGAACCAAACAACACTAAGTCTATAAAGGCTGAATTCTGAGCGGGCTGGGCTTTCTATATGGACCAGCTGGGCTTATTATTATTATTATTATTATTATTATTATTGTATTTATTTATTTAGTGACAAAATGAAAATAGAGAAATAAAAATGTCTCCGCTTTTCTTTGATTGGGAAATAAAGAGAAATAAAATTCATTTCATTTGTTTAGTTGAGACCGAGAATTCAGAATTAAAAAATAATATAAAAATAAAATTAAGAGAATACAATGTGTTTATACATTTGTTTATTTTATCATTTTATATTTAATTTTTACAATTTAATTTCTGTTTATTTTTTATTTTTTTATTTTTACTATTATTTAATTTTTATATTATTAAAATCTCATAAAATATCATATCTCAATTATTATTAAAATATATTATCAAACTAAAAATATATCTAAAAAATACAATAATATTTTTCTTATCTAATTTATTATTTTTTTTAATGATTTTTTTTTTCAACTAGCAATACAGGACATTCTATTTATACGTTGTATTTTTTTACATTTTTCAATTAAATTATCTTTTATCAAATAAAAAAATCAATTATTATTTTGTATTGAATTTATTTTATTTGCAATTTCATCCTCAATTATCGTTTATGCTGCAACGCATCCTTACATCAATTGGACAAATCCATAATTTGAACCTAAAAAGGAACGAAAAACGTGCATGAGGCATAGATGGACGGTTGTTACGGTAAATTAAATTAAATTAAATTAAAATTAAATCAGCACATTAATTAATTAATTAATTAATTATTACGTACATTATTTATTTCACACACACGCCTCAAGTCTTGGTCAAGTGATTAAACTATGTGTCTGTAACAATAACTGTCACGTCTTTTCTCATCTGTATTTTGTGTTAACTTTATTTGAATATAATGAATACATTAATTAATTTCCATAAATATGTATTACTCTCTCCATCTCAGATATCGTGTTGCTACAATGTAGACACGGTATTTTAGGAGGAGTGTAATTAGTAGATAATTAATAATGTATTAGTGAAAATAATTATCCTATAATATAAATAATTATAAATTAAGATTAAAATAACTAATTAGTTTAAATAAAATTAAAAAATTTAAAATGAGATTAAAGTGTGTAATCATTTTCCAAAGAAGGAAAGTGACATGGTACGTGGGACCGGACAGAAATTGGAATGTCGTTGTGAGAAATGATTATGCGATAAAATATTATTTTATATATTTATTTAAAATAATACTCTATCTGTCCGCTAAATTTATTATCACTTTTTTTTAGTCCGTCCATTAAATTTATCTCATTACTAATTTTGACAAAGTTAACGATCAACGTTTAATTATTACCCTCTATTCAATACTGATTTACAATAAATACTACTAACTTTATTACCTTCTCTCTTTATTTATTTTATTTTTTAATTAAATTTTAAAAAATATCTTTAATTACCCATCACATTTTCAATAAAATATTTATTTTTCTGTGACCCAAATAAACTAATTTTAATGAACGGAAGGAATAATATACAATTATTATTCATAATAATTGGGGGCCATCTCAATATATATCCATAAAGCATATGTATAATTATATTAATTTTTCTGTCACAACTAATAATGTCACTAATTTTTTTTTTATTTACCATACTACTTTATTATTAATTGTTTATATAATTATTTTTAGTCCTCATGTCCGAGGATTGTGCTAAAAACTTATAAATAAAATTTGTGTGTAAAAAATTACTTCCTACACACAAGTTTTATTTATATTTTTCATACTTCCTCTGTAACATTTTTTTTTGGGTTTGTTCCAAACTCACTGCAATATTTTCTTAAATTAATTTGAGTTTGATATTAAAATAATATTTGATGGGATATTTTGCGAAAGGAAAAAAATGTATTTTTTTCGGGAAAACACAAAGTTAAAATATAGGAAATTTTGATTAAAGAAATAGACCTATAATATTTTGTATAATAATAATAATAATAATAATAATAATAATAATAATAGTAATAATAATAATGACATATCTAAAAGTTAACATGTAGATTACAACACAAACTTGTTTGGATAATATTGTAACAACATGCAACATGTGTAAATTGATTTAATTTAATTTCCCACCGAAGGGGAAATATTATTTCATCTATTAGCGGTAGCTTTGTCAATTCGTATTTGTTCTATTTATTTTATAATATTATTATTATTATTTATTCAAATAATCTGAGAATGAGTAATTGTTACTTTTCAAAGCGCTCTAGGTAAATTGTTAAGTTATTTGAATTCATAATCTTACGGTCATGGGTCCATCTCATACAATCGAACTATTTTTTACTGGATTTTCATACGATATTTTGTAAAAGAAAATAATGTATATATATTTTTAAAATTATACAAATTAAATAATATTCGTTTTAATTTGAAATTACAAAAGAACAAGCATATTATTGCACACAAAGTTTTTGCACAGTTACCACACATAAGTCAGTCAGATAATATATGTTTTTATTTAACACAATATATAAAATAACATAATCTCTCACAACACATGCTACAAATAATAAAATCTATGGTAAAAGTCTATATCATATTGTTGTCAATTTATGCATTATTTTTACATTATATTAGCATAATTTATGTATTGTACATATTTATATAGTGTATATATTATGTGTTGTTTGTCTTAAAAAAACTTGTGTTGTACTCCCTCCGTCCCAGACATTCTGCAGTATTTCTTTTTTAGTATGTCCCAAACACCCTGCAACATTTTCAAAATAGAAAATAATTAATTATACTTAATTTCTACCAACACTTTATCCCTCACATCAACTAAATAAAAAAATAAAATATATATTTCTCTTTCCATTACATCACTTAATTTTTAAATTATCCTACTTAATACTACCCACCTAAAAACCCATGCTAAAAATAAATATGGCACCTTATTTGGGACAAAGGGAGCATTATTTTTATATATTATGTACTGTATAGAACTATATCATAGGAGTATAATATTAATCAACCTATGTACTATTTAAAGTTTTCTTTCCATTAATATACCACTACTTAAAGTAAAAATAAAAAATAAAAAAAAACAATCGTACTATTATCTACTAACAAAGTATTAAGGTTATCTATTTTATTTTTTTTTTTAATTGTATTATCTACCTAACATTACAAATATCCTTACAATTTACAATATATTATACAAATGTTATTACATTTATATCACACAATACTAACAAGGCTATTTTAGTCATTTCTATTTTATTTCTACTACATCCCAATATAATTTTAAAATTTCTAAAATTACGTGCAAAAAGCAAACAGCTACTTACGAGACAGATGGAGTAAAAAAAAAATCCCAAATCGAGGTGAAAATTGATGATGACGTCACTATTTCTTACGTCAAGAATGACGAAACCCTAGCGTGTCACGAATTTCGTCTACATCAATAAACAAAGCAGCTGTCCGAAGTTGAATACCAAAAATCCATCCCAAGAAACTCTATAAATTGGGCTAAAATCTTCCACTTCATAACCCCAGAAATCAAAACAAACAAACACACACTCAACAACTGTAATTAATCAACAATGGAAGTAGTTCAGGTTCTTCACATGAATGGAGGTTCGGGAGACTCCAGCTACGCAAACAATTCCCTCGTTCAGGTACCTAATTAATCAAATCCAATATAATCTTGTCCAAATCATGCATATCTATATCTATATCTATATCTATATCTATATCTATATATATATATATATATAATTTGATTAATTAGTGTTTCGACGACAACGATGAGCAGAGAAAAGTGATATCGATGACGAAGCCGATAACAGAAGCTGCCATAACCGAGGCGTACACGACGACGGTGTTCCCCGGCGGTGACGTCATGTCGATAGCCGACCTGGGCTGTTCCTGCGGCCCCAACACATTCTTCGTGGCGGCTGAGCTTGTCCGAACTGTCGACAACCTCTGCCAGAAGCTCGGCCGCCGCCCGCCGGAATTCCAGATCAGCTTGAACGACCTCCCCGGAAACGACTTCAATACGGTTTTCCAGGCGATGCTGCCGGCGTTCCAGGAGGTATTCAGGCCGGCGGTTTCCGGCGGGACGAAATGCTTCGTGTCGGGAGTCCCCGGCTCGTTCTACGGTAGGCTGTTCGCCGCCGGCAGCCTGCATTTTGTTCATTCTTCTTACAGCCTCATGTGGCTTTCCAAGGTTAAAAACTATATATATATATATAGATTTTTTGGAACTTGACTATTATATATTAATACAAATATATTTTTTTTAAAATTATTAAATTAAATATATTTTTTACTAATATCAATTTTTTTTTATCTAAAGTCGGGTTTTTTTTTTTTTTTTTCTTTTTTTGTCTCCAAACCTTAGATTTGGAGTTTGTTTGGTTTTCTTATTAAATTCTTATTTATACATTATTTAAATATCAAACATAAATTGAATTTTTCTCAAACTCATTAAAAGAGACAGACAAAGTCTTCATTGCTTCGATCCAGCATAAAATAATTACAATTAATTAATTAGGGTTGTTTGGTTTTCGGGTTTTTTTTTGTTGTTGTTTAAATAACACTCAAATGTAATATATTTATATATAAAAAAATAGTAAATTTTGATTGAAAATTTTGCATATTGATTTTGATTTGAAATAATTTAAATTTTAGGTTCCCGAAGGTGTGGAATTGAACAAAGTGAACATATACATAGCGAGGGCAACTCCTAGAAGTGTGATCGATGCATACTACAAGCAATTTCAGGTCGATTTTTTGACATTTCTGAAGTGCCGGTCGGAGGAGGTGGTGAGCCGCGGAAAAATGGTGTTAACTTTGTTGGGTAGAAAAGGTGAAGATCCTTCTAGCAAGGATGGCTGCTATATTTGGGAGCTTCTAGCCCTTGCCTTACAAAAATTGGTCTCTAAGGTATTTTTTAAACACGTTTTATTATTGAATATTGTCTTAGTTAAATCGATCTTTTAATTGAATTATCGAATGGATCATATAATAAACACCTTTTAAATTTTATAATTTATTCTTATTCAAGGTTAACATGAATTTGACTTTCGAAATAATCGAATGGATGCAGTACTAATCAGTAATTCCGGTCCAATATTAAGGGAACGGTTCTGGTACTGATTTGAAAAAATCAACACCTTGCTGATTTTACAAACAATATATTATTTTATTACATATGACATATATGTCACTGTTTATTTATAATTACAAGCGTGTTGTATAATAGTATATAATATGTTAAAATCAACTGTTTTGTGTGATATATAAAATTATAACATATGTTGTTAGTTCATGTGTGTTATATTTGTATTATATTAACGTATATGAATATAATGTGCTGGTAGGGATATAATGTGTCTAAAGACTAATATTATTTGTTTCTTTGCATTTTTTTTTTTTGGTCATAAATTAATGTTTTTGTTTCTATTTTAGCAATAAAATCCTATATAATTTTTATTTTTATGTTTTTTGAATTTTTTTTTACTATATACTTTTTAAATTAATGTGGTGAATGAATTAATTGTAGGGTCGCATAGAAGAGCAAAAGCTACATTCATTCCACATCCCTCAATACACACCTTCTCCGGCAGAAATGGCGGCGGCAGTGGCGGCAGAGGGGTCGTTCGCGGTGGACTGTCTCGAGACAACCGAGATCACGTGGGCTTCCGGGTGCGGAGATGGCGCATACGACGTGGCCAAGTGCATGAGATCGGTGGCCGAGTCCCTATTGTCCGAACACTTTGGAAAAGCTGTAATGGATGAGGTGTTCGACACCTACCGACAAATCTTGTCCGATCGTATGGCCAAAGAAGATCCCAAGTTCATAAATGTCACCATTTCCTTGACAAGGAAGTAGTGATCGATCAATTGATCGTTTGGTAATAAATTAGTGTAATGTGCAAGCATTAAGACTTGGCTTGTCTAATTATGTTTAGCACTATTTATCGAGAAATCTGTTTCTCGATATATTATATAGAAAAATATATTATCTATTTATATCGCATTAAATAGATTTGTGTGTGCGTCACAAAATCCATTGGATATTATGTTTAATAGGTGGCCCAATAATTGTAACAACGATGTGTTTGGTTTATTAGGAAAAATGAAAAATGAAGGAGAAGAAAATTAGAGAACTTGGTAATGTAGCTAGCGAAATATAGTTAAAAATTAGTGTATGATTAGGGTTTTCGCTAATTGATGTAGACATTATGGATAAACAAGCAAAGAACTTGTATGATTAATTAGCACATTGATTTAATTTTGGTGTTTTTATTGTTTTATCATAGTAAAAAATTAAACTGAAATATTTTGTTATTATTGTTTTTTGTATAATATAAAGATCGAATTATAATAATTTTACGTTATAAATTATATTCCCTCCATCCATTAAAATTAGTTCATCTGGGTCAGGCACGAAAATTTAAAAAAAAAAAATATTTTATTGAAAAAGTTATAGGTAATTGAGGATATTTTTGGAAATTTAGTTAAAAAGTAAGTAAATTAAGAGAGAGAACGTAATAATAAAGTTAAATTTAGTAGACTCAAAATTAATAATGAGATAAATTTAATGGACATACTAAGGAGTAATATTGTGCTTTGTAATTCAAAAGATATGAGAACACCTTTTTTAGGGTGTAAATTAATATAAGAAAATGTGACGTGGTATGTGTTTCTCGTGTGGTACACAATTCCACCTCTCTCTCACTTTGAAGATAGGTCGCCAAACCACGACCAGAGTTGCGCCTTTTATTTTGAAATTGCATTAGGCAATTGGACCAAGCCGAGTCAGAAAGGATGTTATGACTCAAGGTGAATATTCGAGTCGAGTATTTAAGTAATATTGTCAACAAACTTTTGGTGTGAGAAAAAAAGCTAACGTAAAGAACTATTTACATCTTTTGGATGTCGGGAGTTGACAATACCACTTTGGCGAAGAAATTGTATGATTATCCATCTGTTGTAACTAGTTACACGATAAATATTAACCTCAATTTCCTTACAAGATGTATGGTCTAAGATGTCGACGATTGGTACTACATTAATTGAAGCTTGAGTTAGGACCATTAGCATTTGTGATCTAAGATATGTTACTGTGCAAATTTCGATTCAAGAATGATGAATCCAAATTGACCTCAATCCATTCAAAAAATTAGTAATTTGTTTAAATTATGTAAGAAATGATTTAGTCTCGTAATATAAACTTATGATCATAAAATTATAGAGTTTTACCCAATGTCCATTCGAATAGTAACGGCTGCATATTCCTATGGTACTAAAAAAAATGATTTATTTGAAAATTTATATTATTACATGTTCAATTCATTTCATATATAGACTCAAACAAAATCATACTCCAAAGTTATGGATTGAATTATGTGCTATGAAATGTGGTTTTTTGTTTTTTTTTTTGTATTTTTACTATTTTATCTATATTTTAAATAAAAGTATTACATTAAATATATATTTAAACTATTATATCTAATTACTTTTTTATTTTTTTATTCAAGAGAAAACAAACATACACATGTGTAAGTAAACAACATAATAATTAACAGGGTAAACTGTTTTTTTAGTCTCGTAATTGGACCCCTTATCATTTTAGTCTCGTAAGTGGAGCCTGTCGCAAACTAGTTCCATAAGTAGAAAATTTTCGTTGTTTTAGTCTTCCGGCACTGGAGACGCCCGCGTAGCTCGCCGGAAGCCACGTGTCCGCCAGGTGTCCCGCCAGGTCAACGACATCGGGCAGACACGTGGCCTCCAACGAGCCACGCGAGCGTCTCCGGCGCTGGAGGAATAAAACAGCGAAAATTCTTCACTAGGACTAGTTTGCGATATATTCCACTTACAGGACTAAAATGATAAAATGATCAGTTACGATTCTAACAAAAAAATAGTTTACCGTAATTAATAATCTGATAAGTTTACATATGTTTTTAATTTTCTTATGAATAAAATTATGTTCTTTTTACATACACCTATATATATATATATTAGATTTTTTTATTAAAAAATTAAAATATTTTTTATTTAAAATATTATATAAACAATTTATTATATATGCAAAATATCACAATTAAAACTTATTTACTATTAGGCTAATGTTGTCATAGCTTTTTTTTTTTTTTTTTTTTCAAATTTTTATTATTTGGATTTTGGAATCTGAATTTTCCAAAAAATATAGGATGAGTTTGTTTTGTACGTTGAATTTGAGGATTTTTTATACTAGGTATAAGTAAGCGCTTGACTAAGTTGATAGAAACATGTCCCAAAAAGTATTGCATGGATACACTTATATATATATATATATATAGTTATGAAGTATTTTATAAATTATCATATTAAATTATTAGAAAAAAATCATTTTTGGTCTCAGTATAATCAAAATTCATAAATTTTAGTTTCAATATAAAATTTTTATTAATTTTGGTCTCAATATAACCAAAACTTATCATTTTTTGTCGCAATATAAATTTTTTTTATCAATTTTAGTCCCAATATAACCGAAATTCATATTTTTTTTTTGTCTCAATATAATCAAACTATATCTTTTTTTGTCATAATATAATCAAACCTTATATTTTTTGGTCATAATATAATCAAATCTTATATTTTTTGGTCTCACAAAGTCAACAAATCGACGAAAAATGCTGATGTGAAAAGAAATCAAACCTTATATTTATATTTGAAGAAATTGCACAATCTTGCAGCATTTTCCGTCGGTTTGTTGACGATGGGACCAAAAAAGATAAGGTTTGATTATATTGGGACAAAAAATGATGAGTTTTGGTTATATTGGGACTAAAATTGATAAAAAAAAAAAATAAAATAAAATTATATTGTGACAAAAATAATGAATTTTGGTTATATATGGATAAAAAATGACGAGTTTTGGTTATATTTTGACCAAAATTGATAAGATTTTTATATTATGACCAAAATTGATGAATTTTGGTTATATTGGGATATAAAATAATTTTTTCCCTAAATTATTTAAATACAAATTTCAATTTTTTAAACCCAAATTAATAATTTTAAAGCGAAATGGCGTTTTGGTGTACTTTATGGTTGGCGTATTATTTACAACCCTCATTTAATAAATACTTGCCAACATTTAAATTTCAAATTTAGATTGGGATAAAAAAAAAATAATAAAAAAAAATAATAAAAAAAAATAAAATCCATTAATTAATATATATCTATACACATTTCATTTAATCAATAGCGCTGCAAATAAATTTGAGATATAAATGCTACAACTTTGAAAAACAAGAGGGTAATTTTTATTCAATTAATGTGTATTTAATTATTTTATAACATATAAATTCGCAATAACTACTTTTACTGCGCACCTAAAATTATTTTTGGACCAAATAGAATTGCCTCTAAGGATTTGTTTGTTTGTTTTTTATATTTGAATTTGAATTTTGTTTGTTTTTTATATTTGAATTTTAATTTAAATAGTATTATGATATAATATTTTATATTACCTCCGTCCACAAACTAACTTTCTACTTTCTTATTTGGAATGTCCAATAATTATTGTCCTATTTCTATTTTTATACACAAAATTTACTCTTTTATCCTTACTTTATTTACTCTTTCATTTTATATATACAATATTAAAGTTATTTTATAACAAAAATTTTAATTACCTAAAAATACGTGTAAATATCAAATAGAACATTAAAAAATGAACTGTGAAGAAATTGACAGTGGATCATTTTAGAAGCATCATATTTTGAATATAAAATTAATGGACATCTTTTGAGGATCTAAACTAATATCTGATCTCTAATTTTAATTTTTTAATTCATATTTTCTAAAAAAATAAAAGTTATTGAATTGATATTTTAATTTTAATTTTAATTGTCTTTTAACGTAATATTTTATTTAAAATATAATATATATATGTCTATTAATGATTATATGACTATATTGTAATAGATATAATTTAAAATACAAATCAAACCAATTCAATGTGTTTCACGTCGACATAGGTATGAACTATTTTTTTTTTTTAAGTCCCAATCCTCGGAATACGTGTATTTTATTTTAATTTGATATTTTATTAGATTTAATACTATATTTATTATTGTTGCCAAAGTTGTAATAAATTAAATTGTAAGCAAGTGTTTAAAGTTGTATCCCATATACTCGGATAGATTATAATACTATATTCATCTTGACTTGTTTTCATTTTGGCACTATAATAATTTTAGACTTAGATTCTGTTTTAAGTTTTAATTTGATTTTTATTTGAATTTTCAGGTGAATTTGAATTTTGATTTTTTTTTTTTTTAATTTGAATTTGATTGGAGTTTTTATGTGTATTGATTTGATGGGTATAAATATAATAATATAAATATGTTAATTTATATAATTTAATTATAAATTTATATTGTATCTACATATATATTTTAAAATTTTTATTTATATGTTTTATAAAGTTTTTTTTTATTATGACTGAAGAATTAATAATAAAATAATGAATACAAATTGAATATTCCCTCCGTCTCAAACAAGGTGCAATATTTACTTTTGACACTAGTTTTTAAGTGGATAGCATTAAGTAGGATAATTTAGAAATTAGGTGATGTGATGGAGAGAGAAATATATATTTTATTTTTTTATTTGGATGATGTGAGGGGATTAAGTGTGTGGTAGATATTAAGTATAATGAATTATTTTCTATTTTGGAAATGTTGCAAAGTGTTTGAGACATACCAAAAAGAAAATATTCCACGGTGTTTGGGACGGAGAGAGTACTATTTATTTGTTAAAATATAATAAATAAAATTGTATGTAAATAAAATGATTTACTTGTGTCACTCTTAAAATGAAAATCTAGTAAAAAAATAGGTTTAAAAGAGTAATTTCTTATTTTAAAATATCACATAAAAAAATATTATTCCATCTGTCCCGTTTGGAAGGGTAACGTTTGTTTTTTGCACGCAGATTTTTGAATATTAGTATTATATTGAATTGTAATAAAAAAGACAAAAATACCTCTATTACCGTGTAATATATATGTAGGTTGTACAATTAATAAATTAGGAAATGATAACCTTGTTTTGAGACGGATGAAAATGAAAAATTGTAACCTTTCAATAAATAAATATTGATTTGATTTTTTAAATATAAAATTAATTTTTAATATAATATAAAAAATAAAATAATTATTTTAAATTAATTTAATATTTAAAAAATTGATTAATAGTATTTAAATTTGGCAAAATCTTACAAGAAGAACACATCTAATTTTTTTTTTTTGAAATAGTAATTTTAATATTTCATTAGTCCAAATTCAAAGTAATACTATACCATTTCATAAATCATAGTACTTAATTTGTATTATTTTCTTATTTTTAAAAAATAATAATTATTATAGAGTTAATATTAAAAAAATATTTTCAATTTTTATGTAAATTATAAATGTATTAGTACATATATAATTAAAAATATAATATTTTGTAAAAGAATAATACGTAAAAATAAAATAATAATGTTTTGAATTTGAAATATAAAACAAACACCCAGAAAATGTGAAGTCTTTTTGCATCATCGTCAGTCAACAGCCACAAAAAGGAGAAAAAAGCGAGAACATACAAAAAGGGAGCTGCCCCATAATCCGCAGTTTGTCTTCTTCCACGACGCCTCATCTCTGCCGTAATTCCTTTTCCGTTGCAAATCAATCTTCTTTCAATTTACACAATCCACACAAGATTGATTTCGTACTCTATTTACTACCTCAAAATTTTCGTGGTAGGATTTTTGCTGTGCACACACAGGCAGCCGCTAGCGGGAATAATTAAGGAAATCGAACTGCCCACGCGGCCGCTGCTCTTGCAAGGATTTCCAGATTTGTCTCTTTCCTTAAACCTCTTCAAATAGGCGATACATAGCCCCTCCCACGCCGCCGCCGATTCTGGTTCATCGGCGGGAGTTCGAGAGAGGATGGGTGATTCGTCTTCTTCATCGGCAGGTCCCAGTTTTCGGGAACTTGATGATGTTTTCTTGCAGGTTGCCTTTTACGTACACTCGTGCTTTTAGTTGTTTATTTATTGGATTATGTGGAGTTTATTGTGCGTGTTGGATTGCATTTAATATTGGGGTTAGGGTTTTGTGGGTTCAGACTCAAACTAGAATATGGCTTGGAGAAGTTTTGGACGCGAGATTGGATGAGGATTTGCCGATTTCTGATTTGCTTCAAGATGGAGAGATACTGTGAGTTTTCTACTGGACTTGTTGTCGTTTTGACCTTTTTCTTCTTTTATTAGTTTTCTTTATGTAATCGAAAAGGAGACATTGAATGTTGCTTTGGTTTGGTATGGCTCGATGGTGTGCTTATTATCTGGTTTTATCAGTTATATTTCATTGGAATTCTTGAGGGAAGTAAGTTAGTAGCCAATAGCCATCAAAATTTTATAATCTGAAACTGTTTTTAGATTGAAATAGTTTATTTGCTTGCTGAGGATGCTGCCATTTAGTTGGATTGTTTCAAGTTCTTCGAGAAAGAATTGTAATTTTGCATGGTTAGGCATTAATGGAACCATTGAAAGTTTATAATGTATCTACTTTTACCTTATAAACTACACGGCTAGCGATCTAATTTGGGGCCATCAATATCTGGTATGTAATGTCCTTGTGTAAAGTATCGGATCTTTCAACTGGGAATGTTTCCTCATTAGCTTGTTAATGTCTGTGCCGTTAATGTGTTAAGCAAAAGATAGACAAGGCAAAGTGGATGTAGGTGTTTCGGTGCAATTTAGATTCAGTTTACTTCATACAGTAAGAGTTGGTTTCAATGCGCTCGTTGAATGGTGAAACAATTTTATGTGGTGCAAGAGACTTTCTTTGTCCTTTTTTTATCACTGTTTCTGTGTAATGTCCTTGTTTTTTTTTAGTTGATTGAATCATCACTTTGTGCTTGTAAGCAAGTCGGTAATTTTGGGTAGCCTTTCTAATGCATTAAGATATTTGTTGACATGACGTCTCTGTCCATTTAGGTTCGAGGTTTCTAAAGTATTGTGGAATTTGTTGTTGACAAAAAAGGAGCTTAGACATTTGAAACAAAAGTTTAGGCCGTTTGGTTCTAAAAAGATCATTGGAAGATATCGTGCGTATTCAAACATTGATTCATTTTTAAAGGTAACATATCATTCCATTCATCTTTCACATTTTATAGCATTAAAGAATTATGTATTCCTTTATAAATTTTCATTGAGTAGATATAATGCTGTAACAAAGTTTTCCTAATCTAATATCATGTGTTCCAATAGATATGTAAACTCCTTGGATTGAGTGGCATTGATCTCTTTTCACCATCCGATGTTGTCGAGAAGAAAAACACTAGAAAAGTCTGCATTTGCATAAGAGCCCTCTCGAAGAAGGCCAGGTCTAAACAACTCAATGTAAGATGTTTCTTAATCGCAAACACCTTTTTATTCATGATATATACATGACCTTGTATTGTCAAATTGAGGCTTAATATGTCAATAAGGAGGTGATGAATTCTGATTATTATTCACTGTCGCAATGCAATGTGTTTCCAATTTGCTTCAAATCCGGAACCAACATTCTGTTACTTTAAATCAGGTTCCCGACTTTAACATGGTTAGATACTCGGTAACCATGCCAACTGATATGGTTGGCATAATTCGTAGAAGCTTGGAGTCTCCGCAATGCACTGTATCAAGTTCATCGAGTTACACTTCAAGGAAAAGTTCTGTAATAAAGTCAAAACAGGTATGCCTTGATGTGGTTCCTTTTTGAGAAGTTGCTGCTTCAATAATTTGCGATTTCTGCCAAGTCACTGATGAATTGTTTATCGTATCTGTTGTGGTGAAGAAAAAATTGTACGGACACACCAATGGAGATGACGGCTCTGGTTCAGATGAGTCAGACGAGGCAGAAAGCAGATATATGGGTGAAAACTCCATCTCTCCTGCTGGAAAGTTAAATTCTGGTGATCGATTTATCTCTGAACAAGAAAATTCTCCCGAGACACATTCTATGTCTCGATACAATCTGAGAAACAATACAGGCAACTCCAATTTCAACCATGCTCTTGAGAAAGATGCATCTGTCGTTGGAGACTCTACGAGCTCCAGTATCGGAGAAAATAACTACATTTCAGAGTACTTGGCGTTTTCTGATTTAATGGTCCATGCGAATAATGGAGATAGTCCTGTTATACACGATGGAGAAAAGAATATGTTCGATTTCTTTCTGAACCTCGATCCTCAAGGATCAGGTAATAGGGGTTCCCGGAATGGACCCCAAGGTAAGCTCTATGATGACGAAGATATTGAGGTGTCTTCAACCGCTAGCATGAGCTCTGTGTTGGGGCGGTTGCTTAACCTGGAGTTTGACGATCAGTTTGATGAGAATGAGACGCCAAGTGCAAATATTTACTCGTATGAGTCGAAGGAGCATGAGGTTGAAAGGCGATCTGGAGATTCAATCTTATTGACTGAACAGCTGAAGATCGATGATTCTGAAACTCAAGGGGACACTATACTTGATAACAAATCTCAATCAGATGTAAGCTCATCCTGTGAGATTGTATCAGAAACAAGCAAGAGATCAGACGAAGAACATCACCATGTAAGCATCGAAGCAAGATTTCACGACCAATCTGCGCCCCTGGTTGTTTCAAACAGCACTAGCATCGTTGAAGAAGGTACATCTTGCTTCCATGTTAGCGACACTGATGTATCCATGGCAGAAAATGGAAATGAGGTAACCATTTACCTGATTTTACTTAATTTTACCTCCTAATTGATGATTGTAACATGTAATTTCCCAATCTTCTCTACTCAGGCTGACAAAGAACACCGGCATGAAATCGAGGATGAAAATATTTCCGACCAGAAAAAGGACTCGACCACTGATACGCCGCCTGAGAAGCATCGCCGAAGACCAGTTCTGGAAACAGTTGTCAAAGGCACAGCCATTGCTGGTGTCTTGTTTCTCCTTCTTCATATAAGGTCCAAAGCTTCTTCTTTCCATTTCCGAGCATTATATCCTTACTTGCACAATACGCCGAATCCCTTAACCCTAATAAGCCACCGCTCTTCTTGTTTATTCACACTTAAATTGAAACCAGAAAAATGAAAGGGAATAACGATTCGCAAGAAACACACCGGCGACCTCAAAGTTCGAAGAAAAATGGAATTATGTTCTCGTTTGCAAAGCCCCAAGCCGGAGGCGTGGGGAACGGGTCCTATCCGTCGGATAGGATAAGGCTATGAAAGTATACGTGCAACTTATTTTGACATATAGGAATTGCAGCAAGAGGTGAGGTTAGTGTTTATGTTATGTTATGCATGTCTTCTGCAATAAATCGATTTTGGCCATTGTCGATATATACAATAAATCGATAGCTCAGTAAGTAAAACGATGATTTATACATACAATAGCATTTTCCATGTTCATTGTTTTTGTTAGCATATTTTTTATATTTTTTATATATTGTTATTTGGGGGCTACATATATATATGTATATATATATATATATGCAGCTTAATATATAATTTTTTTTTTTTTTGCAAATATTAAAACATGGTATCAAGAGCCTAGGCTAACTCTCGAGTTCGAGTCTCGTCCGTCTCCATTTGCGATATATGCATGTGCAAATTTCGCATACCACTTGCATCCGACAGTGGTTGATCCCAATTCTCTCCCTCCCAATTTTTTTATTTTTTTTAATTTTTTTTCTGCATCAATGCATATTTGAATCATTCTCAACGGTCGAATTCGGGAGGAGGAAGAAGAATGAATATAAAAAAGTGGTCTTGACTGACCAGGGAGCAAGAAGGAAGGTAGAGAAGATAATGGTTTTAGATAATATTATAAATAGTGCACTTAAAAGAACACTGGAAATTGTTAACGGTCCTTATAAATATAATTTATTCTATATTTCCTCAGTTCGTTTTGTTATTTTTTTTTTAAATGACCCGTTTGGTTCTCTAATCGTTGTTTTTTTTTTTTTAAGTTCGTTATGCGAAAATTTTCAATCGAATTTCATAGTTTGCAAATTAGGTTCGTAGTTTGTAAATATTAGTATTTAATAATCTAATGAGTATACTCGTAAGATTTTGATTTTTTGTTTCGATTTTGAATATTAAAATAATTATTTGATTTAATATAAATATATATTTTGAATATAAATTTAAATTTTAATATAATATAATAAATATTTGATTTTATATTTTTAGAGAAAAAAATTAAAAACTATAAAATCAGGTCTAAAGTTATACAAGTGATATTCTATATTCTCTTTTTTTGTTTTTTGTTTTTAAAATTTAAATAAACCCATGCCTGCCTTGCAATACAAAATTTAATTACTTTTTAAGTGTAATATTCCATGGCGTTTATGATCCATATGAGTTTCTTAAATTTAATTTCTCAGAACTTACATTTATATTTTTCTAAAAAAATATCAAATTAAATATTATTTCATTATAAAATTTAAATAAAATCTTCACAAGCTTTGTTAACATATAAAATCAAATAGAATTGTATATATCAAAACATTTGTTTAGTGTAATGTCATTACCACTTATTATTTCTTACAATAACAACCGATTAATTAGGGCATAAATGAAATGATACTCCCCAAACTCCAAGAAAGAGTCAAAGATGCTGACGTGTATATATATAAATATAAATATGACATTAATTTGCTGGCCCGTTGACTAAATAAATGGTCCCCATTTTCATCATCCAATTTAATTAAATTAACCATTTATTTTCTTTCTCCATTGACTTAATGTTACTTATATTAATTGCGGCTTTATTATTATTATTATTATTATTATTATTATATAAAATATTTATGTGAAATCATCCGCCCGCCAACTCATTCTTCATCTCCAATGTGCACTACCACACCCAATTCTGAAGATTTTTAATATAATTTTTTTTAATTCTAATAATTTTTTTTTCTAGAGGTTTTTGGTTATTAAATTTCCTTTATGTAATCTGGGTAATTTTTTATAAAAATATACTCCTTCAGTCCGGCTATAGGGTTTTATTTATTTTTTTCATATTGATTTTTGAATATTAATAATTACATCAAAACGTAGAATAAATTAAAAAAAAATTGTAAAAATATTTCTATTAATGTTTTATAATACTAATAAAATGACAAAAATTATACAAATATAAAAATATTTTTAATTTTAAATATAATATCACAAAAAGTAAATGTGATTATTAGAGGCAGACTGAGAAAATGATATTTTTATCTCCTTAAAATATAGTATATATATTGTCTATTTTATCCATTCAAATACAAGCATATATATATATATATATATTATATTTAAATAAATCTGAGCATACAATAGTGCTCTCTCCAATCTCCAAACACCTGCAATATTTTTTTTTAATATATTTCAAACAGGCTGCAATATTTTCAAAATAGAAAATAATTAATTATACTTAATTTCTACCCCACACACTTTATTTCCTCACATCGTCCACATAAAAAAAATAAAATATATATTTCTCTCTCCGTCACATCACCTAATTTCTAAATTATCTTACTTAATACTATTCACCTAAAAACCCATACCAAAAGCAAATGTTGCATCTTGTTTGGGACGGATGGAGTAGTATTTTACACCATGACAAAAAAGTATTTACACAAAATATTACTCTCTTCATCCATTTTTTAATTTCCTATTTGATATCTACACGTATTTTTAAGCAATTAGGGTTTTTTTTATAAAATAACAAATTTGTCCTTAATTTTTTCTATAAAAAAAATAGTAAATAAAGTAAGAGTAAAAAAAGTAAATTTTGTGTATAAAAATAAAAATACAATAATTATTGGACATCTCAAATAAAATAGTACGACGTTAGTTCGTGGACAGAAAGAATAGTAAATAGTAACTATTATTTAAATTTAATACTTTTTTTAATCTCCGCAAAAAATATATATATATAAATACATATATATTATTTGGACGGATGGAGTACCTATTTTTTCTCTTTGATATTAAATTTTTATTCCAACTAAAACCTAAAATCAATATATATAAATTCTAAAAGTAAACAAATTATTATTATTATTATTATTACTATTATTATTATTATTATTATTATTATTATTATTTTGTTTGAAGATAATAAATTTGAGATAATGAAAACGACTTTTGATCACGCTTCTTTCTATATTAATTATTACCTCATAATATTCTTGTCTTTCACGCTTATCCTATTTTATTAGTATTACTTAATCCGTACCACATAATTTCTTCTTATTTTTTATTTTCGTCCGTCCCATATAATTTTTTTTTTAAAAAAAATTAATTATACATTTTAATCATATTTTAAAATTTAAAATTTAATTTTTAATTAAACTATTTAGTTATCTTAATCTTAATCTATAATTATTTTTACTAAATAATAATCATTTTTACTAATATATTTCTTAATTATTTAATAATTATACTTTACCTAAATTCCCGTGTATACAGTAATACACCTATATTACATGGAACGGAGGTGGTATTATTTTGGTAACATTAGAAAGTTAATTTATTTATTTAAATATTTTTTGTTAAAGTAAAAAAAAGTTTACAAAATAATAAAAAGATCTGTGACCAACAGCAAAATTCAACACGTAATAATTTTCTCCCTTCTTGTTATTCGTATATCATTTTATTTATTTATTTATTTTTAGAGATATTATTGTATGATGTTATGGTCAATAAAATATTGTATATTATGTTTAACAATAAGATGTGTACTAAGAGCTGGCGGCGATTGTTTAATTGTTTTTTTTTTAATAATAAAATAATGATTGAAAATTAAATTAAAACCATTATTAATATAATATCATTAATTAAATAGATTTTTAAATATAATTTTATAAATAAAAATATATATTTAATCAATTTATATGAATAATAAATTTGATACTATCTTAGTTAATTTGAAAATAATTAGGTGATATTAAACTTACTTGTTCAAAACCTCTTTATTTCTGTCTCTCTCCTCAATTAACATAATTTTGCTATCTATATTTAAAACTTTTCGTTTTTTTATAAAACTAATTTATGGTAATGATAAATAAGTAAAAATATTCTTTTATTTATTTGTATTATATAAATTTTTATTATCTACAAAATGATATCTATATTGCATATATTTTTTCGACATATAATCTTAAATTTTTTTTAAAATACCAATAATATTATTTATATAAAAAATAATAAATTAATATCATAATTTATTATTAATAACTTACTCACCGTAATAGCAAATATAATAAAAAAATATCAACATGCAATTATTTTGTATATCATTTTGAATAATAATAGTTGAGCTTGGAAGAATTTTCAATCTTATTGTAAAATTGTAGAATATAAATTGAACTTTGAATAATATTTTCAGGATATTTCTATAAAATATTATATTATAGTAAATAATTACATTGATAATGAATTGTAATTCCTCTTTAGGTCACACATGCCAGCCTATTAACCTGAGACTTTAATAAGTGACATCCAACTTTGAACTTTCTACTGTATTTAAATATAAATAATTATTTCATCAAAATAAATCTCATTTCTCCCAACAATTTTATTTTATTTTATTTTTCCTCTCTACAAATAAATTACAATTTAGTACTTCTTCCATCCGCTAAAATTAACGGCACGGAGATTAAAAAAAAATATATTTTATTAAAAAAGAGATAGATAATTAAGAATGTTTTTGGAATTTAGTGAAAAGTTAAAATAAACGAAGAGAGAGAATGTAATAAATTTGGTAGTATTTGTTGTAAATAAATGTTAAATATAAAATAATAATTAAATGTTAATTTGTTGACTTTACCAAAATTAATAATAAGATAAATTTAACGGACAAATTAGAAAGAACAGTGAATATAAATTTGACGGACGGGACGGAGAGAGAGTATATATTAATAAAATAATATATATATTTTTTCTATTTAGTAAGTGTGAATTATATGATATTATTAAAATATTTCATCCCTTCGTCACATAATAGTCTTTCCTGATTGTTGTTTGACAGAATGAAAAATCAGACTACTTTTTATTTCATTATATCAAAATATTTATTAACATTTTAATAAATATCAATGTTCAGGTTGATATATTTTGAATCTAGTTTGCTATTTGGTTGAATTTTTACGGGCTCTCACCGTTCGATCCGCAAGTCGGGGTTTTCGACTTCGCATTTTGGTGTATTTTTTTTTTTAATTTATTTGAATAGATTTATATATTTTTTTTAATTTATTTGAATAAATTTATATATGAAATTTATAATCTGTATCCTTGCTATTTTGAATAAATTTGTTCTACATTATTTATGTTATTCCATCGTTAATCTTAATCTGTAATGCTCAAAATTAATTTTATTATAATAAAAAATAATAACAATATCAAAATTCCTATCCAATTAATTACTATTATTATTATTATTATTATTATTATTATTATTATTATTTCTTCTTTAAAATTAAAATAGAGACAGAGCTGCCCCAATCCGAGCCTACAAATCTAAATGCGTACAACCCGACAAAACCTAGAATACGTCCAATTTTAGTATCCACAAGCAAATTAAACCACCGCGGCGGAAGCGCGTGAACGGCGGCGCGTGGAATCGGCGGCCATCCATACATAGATCACACGGCGTTGCCGAGTCAACTCAGAAATGTAAAGCCGCCCGTGTCCCCATTGGCCTTCTTCTCCAACCACAAAACTAAATGCAGAAACTTTCTTCCAACACTGCAATCAAAACCTAATTATGATTCCAAAATCCACCGGAAAATCCCAAATCCAATCCCAAATCCAAATTAACCACCTTCGATCCCACCCCATCGCCGCCGCGCCGGAATGGGCTCCGCCGCCGCCGTCGCCGCCAGGTCAACTTCCCTATTCTTCTTCTTCTGCTTCTTCCTCTTCCCCTTCTCCGCCGTCGCCGGCCCGATTTACAAATCCCTCACGCCCCCCTTCACGGCGTCCTATCAGCGGTACATAGACAACTCCGGCGCCGGCGCGTTCTTGTCCTCTCCCAACAATACTTTTCAGGCGAGAATAGCAAACTCCGACCACGGATCGTCGTCCTATTACTTCGTCGTCGTTCATGTCTACTCCGACGAGATTGTCTGGTCGGCCAATCGGAATCGCCCCGTCTCCCAATCGTCCCCCCTCCGGTTCACCGGAAATGGTCTCACTCTCTACGACGATTCCGACCACCCAATTTGGTCGGCGCCGGGAAATTCCTCTTCTTCTTCTTCTTCCTCGTTGCTGCTGCTCCTCGAATCTGGAAACCTAATTTTGCTCGACTCGGACAACAATACCCTCTGGGAAAGCTTCGATTCTCCGACCGATGTTCTTCTGGAAGGTCAGAAACTTCCGGTGGGGAGAAATTTGGTATCTTCGATTTCAGATAGAAATCCTTCAGAAGGAGATTATCGATTCGTGCTTACAGAAAACGACGCGATGCTGCAATGGAACGGTGTCGATTACTGGCAGTTATCGATGACCAGCACCGCTTTCAGGGAGAAGAACATCCCCGTCGAGTATCTGGTGATGAACTTCTCCGGCGTGTATTTGATCGGCGGCAACGCCGATCAGGTCGTCATCAAAGCCGTCTTCCGCGACTCCGTCGACGTTTCCGGCAACTCTTCGATTTTCCAAATGGCGAAGCTCGAAAGCAACGGTCTTTTCACCATTACACGCGCCGGTCGATCGGAAAATCAAATCTTCGCCGGCCCCGACGACAACTGCCGCCTTCCGGAGAGCTGCGGCCGGCTCGGCCTCTGCACCAGTAGAGGTTCTTGCTCGTGTGTGCCGGCGTTTCATTCCGATCTTAAGGGGGAGTGTGTGCCGGCCGACGGCAGTTTCGCTCTGCCGGAAAGCTGTAACCCATCGTCGTCTCCGGCTGACGGCGCCGGCGCCGATGGCATTAAATACGTGAATCTGAGGAACGATCTCGACTACTTCTCCACTGCTTTCTCCGATCCGATAGCCCACAACGTCAATGTATCGTCCTGTCAGAATCTCTGTTCAAAAAATTGCTCCTGCCGGGGATTCTACCATAGCCATAGCTCTGGTTTTTGTTACCTAATTTGGAACAGCATAGGCTCATTCACGATAAAGACGACGCAGTCGGACCTCGTCGGATACGTTAAAACGGTCGCTGTAAAAACTTCCGACGACGCCGACAAGAAATCGGACTTTCCGGTATTGCCGGTGGTTTTACTACCGACGTCGGGGGTTATAGCGATCGTCCTCGTCGCAACTCTATTCTGGTTTCGTCGTCGTCGCAAGACAAAGAAACAAAAGAGCTCGAAATCCGGCATTGGCAAATACCTCTCGTCGGCGGAAGAAGAAATCGACATAATTTCGATCCCGGGATTGCCGATAAGGTTCACATATCAAGAGCTCGTCGCGGCGACCGGAGATTTCGGGACCCAGATAGGGTCCGGCGGGTTCGGGACGGTGTACAAAGGCTCGCTCGCCGACGGAACCGAAGTCGCGGTGAAGAAGATCACGTGCTTGGGGAGCCGGGGGCGGCGGGAGTTCCTAACTGAGATTGCCGTCATCGGGAAGATCCATCACGTCAATTTGGTTCGACTGAGGGGCTTCTGCGCACACGCCGGACAACGGTACCTCGTCTATGAGTACATGAACCGGGGGTCGTTGGATCGAGCGTTATTCCACGGCGATCCCGTCATGGAATGGCGGGAACGGTACGAGATTGCCCTGGGTACGGCGAGGGGATTAGCGTACTTACATTCGAGCTGCGAGAACACGATAATCCACTGCGACGTCAAGCCGGAGAACATCCTCCTCCATGACAAGTCGCCGGTGAAGATCTCCGATTTCGGGCTGTCGAAGCTGCTAAGCACCGAGGAATCAGGTCTGTTCACGACGATGAGGGGGACGAGGGGTTACCTCGCGCCGGAATGGTTAACGAGCTCCGCGATTTCGGATAAAACCGACGTGTACAGTTACGGGATGGTACTGCTCGAAATTATACGAGGGAAGAAGAACTCGTCGCCGCAAACCCACAGCAACAGCTCGGCGTCGGATAACAACAACCGGGGGCGTGCTAACGGGCACGCGACGTCGTCCGCGTCATCGAGGGAGTCGGGAACCCGGTTGATCTACTTCCCGTTGTTTGCGTTGGAAATGCACGAGGAGGGACGGTATTCGGAGGTCGTCGACCCGAGGTTGGCGGGGAGGGTTCCGAGCGACGAGGTGAAGAAACTTTTACGCGTCGCGCTTTGTTGCGTGCACGAAGAGCCGAATTTGAGGCCGTCGATGTCGAATGTAGTGGGGATGTTGGAGGGCGGGGTGCCGGTTGGGGAGCCGAGGATTCGATCGTTGAATTTCTTGAGGTTTTACGGGAGGCGATTCACGGAGGCATCGGTGTTGGCCGAGAATGGCAATGAGCCGGGCGAGTCAATGGCGATGTACCAGCAGCACGGGGCGAGTGGGAATACGTCGAGCTCTTACGACTCGTTGTCGTACATTTCGTCGCAACAAGTATCTGGTCCTCGGTAGCGTTGGCGGCGTTTTTACGATAAGAGCGAGTGTGTTTACTTTGAATGATTATACGGAGGATTATTTAATCGTCGTATTAATTAATATTACGAGGATTAAATATTCTTCCATGAATGTGTGTTTGATCTTTGGATTGGCATGTAATGTGTAATTATCAATTAGGGATGAAGGAAAGGGGAATTGATAATGAGGATTGGAATATTTTTATTTTTTAATTTTTTAAGATTTGAGAGTTTAATGGTTTGTGAAAGGAGAAATGTATTTTTATTGGATGTACAACTAAATAATACTTCCGTTTCACATTGAATATTGGGTCACTTATATACGAAAGATTTAGGATAAATATAATTAGTAAATAATTAAAAATATATTAATAAAAATAATATAAATAATTATATATTAAAATTCAAATAACTAATTAATTTAATTAAAATTAAAAAAATTAGTGTATAATTATATTTAAAAAAAAAAAAGATGAATGAAACTGACAGAAAAACAAGATAGATGAGACAAAGGAAGTAAGAAAGACCAACTTAACAAATGCTTAATATTTTGTTGAAAATTTTTTATATAAGAAAATATTTATATATTGCATAGTTGGAACTGAGTCTATTTTCACATTTAATTATTACTTTTTAAAAAAGTTTAAATAGAAAATAATAAGCACATCATTTTAGAATCTCCATTATTGTTGCCTCTTGTGAAAATTTTCATTGTCAGTTCCTTTAACCTACGTCAACACACATGGTTTTGAAAATTTGGGAAAACAGTAAAAATAAATAAATAAAATGAGTATTTAATGATAGTATTTTTTATAGAATAAAATAAATATTTAACAAAATATATATTTTTCAAATAATACTGCATGCAGTCCTGATATTTGGATTTGAATTTATATAATAAAACTTTAAAATTAAAATAGATTTTCTTTTTCCTCCTAAATCCTAAAATAGTTTTTGATAAACTGATATTTTGAATGAAAATATAATTATTTATTTTATATAAATAAATATTTAATTTAATAATTTTGGTGAAAATAATGATAGAACACAATGCTAGACTAAAATAAAAACCTAAGGAACACGATACCATTATTTGAAGTCAAATCTTCATCTCCCACCTACTAGCTACTGCGTCATACCTTTGACTTTGGCAAGTAAACTCTCCTTGTTTCTGCAAGAATTGCCATAGTCAACTCATTGAAAATAGAGATAGAGAGAGAGCCATAAACAAGACTACCAACAATCTGCCTTTTCTTACCTTCATGCATCCTCATGGACTCTAAACACAAAAAATCAGCTGCCGGAAAAGCCTCCGGCCGCCGCCAATTCCGCATCGCCTCGTTGCCTTGCTCGTCGTCAAATCGTCTACTATCAGGCATCATCGCCGCCTTCTACCTCATTGGCACGGTCCTACATTCTCCGGTCACAGCCGGGGCACCTTTCATCACCATTATCCGCCCGAACTTCACAGCTTCTTATCACGAGTTCATCGACACCTCCGGCGCATTCTTGGCGTCGGAGGACGGTTCTTTCGAGGCCCGGATAACAAACCCGAATGACACGGAAACCTTCTACTTGGTCGTAGCTCACGTCTCCTCGAACACGATTGTTTGGACTGCCAACCGAAATTCTGCCATCTCGGGAGCTTCCGAGCTTCGTCTCACGACGGATGGCTTCTCTTTACACGACACCGCAGGGTATACTGTCTGGTCTGCGTCGAACCTTTCGTCTGTAGTTTCCGCTCTCCGTCTCCTCACGACTGGAAACTTGGTGTTGCTCGACGCAGCCAAAAACTCCCTGTGGGAGAGTTTCGATTATCCGACTGATGTGCTCCTTGCCGGGCAGAATCTGCGACGAGGGAGATTTTTGGTGTCTTCTGTAAGCAGCGAAGATCTTTCGGAAGGCATCTACAGATTAACAGTCGGAGATGACGATGCAACGCTGACATGGAAAGGGTTGAATTACTGGGTGTTGTCGACGGATACAAATGCTTTCAGGCTGACAAACTTTCGAGTCGAGTACCTGGCGATGAACTCATCCGGGGTTTACTTGATGGGAAGCACCGTCGAACAGACGGTGATAGAACTTCACTTCAATGTTCCAGCCACTTTTTCCGGCATCCAGATAGTCAAATTGGAAGCTACAGGGGCTCTCACCATTGTAAGCAGAAATAGCACGGCGACGGCGCAACTGTTCTCCGCCCCGACAGATCCATGCCGGCTTCCAATGATATGCGGGAGAGCCGGTATTTGTACCAGTGACACCAAGGGAGGTTCCTGTGTTTGTGATACAGAATTCACCCCTGATCAGGAGACGGCGAGCGGCGCAGGCTGTGTGCCGAAGGATGCTTCTTTGGCTCTGCCGAGTCCCTGCAATGGTTCATCAGGCGATGCAAACGTTGAGTATCTGAACATGACAAATGTGCAGTATTTTTCGAATGATTTTTACAGCCCTGTTGCTCTAGGTTTCACTCAATGGCAATGTCAGGACCTCTGTTCGAGAGATTGTTCTTGTCTTGGCGTATTCTACAGAGAGAATCATGGCCATTGCTTCACCATAAGAGACAACTTGGGCTCCATATACCGTTCTGCTTCAGGCAATGCAGAATTCACTGTAGGCTACATTAAAACAGTGAAGGTAATAAAAATGGAGTTAGGGAAGGACAAACCAGGTTCCCGTGTTTTGGCAGTGGCGCTGCCATTATCAATCGGGGTTGGTGTAGCGATCCTGGCTGGGGCTGTACTGCGGGCAAGGATGAAAAGGAGGCGCTGGGGTAAGCAAGTGAGAGATTTCGAATGGGGCCGACATAATTCTTCTTCTGCAGGAATGCACGATTTCAGCTTTTTTCCTGGCTTACCTGAAAAATTAGAGTATAAGGATATCATGGCTGCGACACAAGGTTTTAGCATGAAAATAGGATCCGGTGGATATGGAACAGTATATAAAGGTACCCTTGTCGATAGGACGGATGTAGCAGTGAAAAGGTTGGACTGCTCGGGTGCTGAGGCGAAGAGGGAATTCCTAACTGAGATTGCCGCCATTTCAAGAATTCACCATGTCAACCTCGTTGGACTAAAGGGATTCTGCATACATAGAGGACAGAGGTTTTTAGTCTACGAGTATATGAACCAGGGGTCGCTGGACAGGACTCTTTTCCACGGCGAACCTGTTATGGAATGGAAGGAAAGATTTAAAATTGCACTAGGAACAGCAAGAGGATTGGAGTACCTGCACACCTGCTGCGAGCACAAGATCATACATTGTGACGTCAAGCCAGAGAACATCCTCCTCCACGACAACTTGCAGGTGAAAGTCTCTGACTTCGGTCTCTCGAAGCTGCTTACCCGGGAGCAGTCGGGCTTCTTCACACTTATGAGGGGAACACGGGGCTACATTGCGCCCGAGTGGCTGACAAACACTGCAATTTCAGAGAAGACAGATGTGTACAGTTATGGAATGGTGCTACTAGAAATAGTAAGTGGCAAGAAAAATTTCTTTCTCCAACCAGACTGCGACTACGATGGGAACTCTCCGTTTTCAGAGTATGAGCACAGGCAAGTTAACTTCCCTTTGTGCGCATTAGAAATGCACTTGGAAAGACGGTATCTAGAGCTGGTTGATCCCAGGATAATGGGTCGAGTCACCTGTGAGGAAGTGGAGAAGCTTGTGCGGGTGGCGCTGTGCTGTGTGCACCAAGACCCAAACTTGAGGCCATCAATGTCTGATGTGGTGAGAATGCTGGAAGGTTTGCAAGCTTTGGCGGAGCCGAGGACCGAATCACTCAATTTCTTGAAGTTTTATGACCCTGCAGCATTAGTTGAGAACAATGTGGAGAGAGAGGTTGTCTTACAAAGGCAAGAAACAAGTTATCCGAAAGTTCCAAAGAATTCTTTCTCTCATATGTCTTCCCAGCAAGTTTCAGGTCCTAGATGACCTTTGATTCAACAAATACATTTTCCTGCAAGTAAATTCAGAAAGAACCACACCCATTTTCCTGAAGATCATTTCTTCAAAAATAGATAGATACGCATTGTGCTCTTTACGCTTGCAGCGTAGATCATGAGTTTGCCAATCCAATAAAAGAATAACTAAAGCTGGCACATTGTCTCAAAGCTATAATGAATTCATTTTATATACAATGTACACTTCCGTAGTCTGATAGCAACTTAGGGTTCAATAGACAGACATCAGCAACCTGCATCCTATGGTCGACATGTAACAACTAAATCACCTTTTACCAATTAATGAATCAAGAAGAGCAGCCTCTTCTTCCTGCAGATATTAATTGAAAGAGATGTGAGTAAATTATGTTAACCTATCAGGTTGGATTTGATAAAGTTGTTGAACATACCACCAACGCATTGAACTCAGTCTCCTCATCGATGGCGCTGATTACAGCAGGATCCTCCAAGAGTTCCTGTTCAATAGAGTAAGAAATCTTTTTAACTTAATGTTTACAAAAGTGGATAAGCCAATATTACATAAGGGAACAACAGCTTTCCACCCTTGCAAAAGCATCATGTGAAGAATTGGGCACTTGGCCTTCGGCTTCGAATTGGGATTTTTTGTCCGAGAATCCAATAATTATCATTATTGAATCTTTGCTTACTGAGCATAATCTATAAGAATTTTTTGTTCTACTTATTTTCTTGAAAAGAAAGGGGTTTCAAAATAGTGGGAAACCATGCTGCAGACTAGACTTTCATAAGAAAAATAGTCAACAAACGAACAATTAATGGATGCAACTATCCAATAAATTTACTCACATCATCAGCTATTTGTAATGCACCATTCTTGTCCTGCAAAAGAGTGCAGATTATTTATAACCTAGAAAGAATCATAGATATATGAAACAAATTTCTTGTGGAAAAGAAGTTTGAATGGAAAAAGTTGGCTTTACAGTATACCTTGATGGCGATAAAAAGAAGAGGGTCAGAAGGAGTATAAATCATGTAGTGAGAACCATCCTGCATGTATAAAATGTGGGAGTTCAGAAGAAAGTCCAATTGTTAAATACATGCAGAAGCATCTCATAATGTCTTCCTCAGTCCTTTTATACCAGAACTTTTTTTTTTTTTGAAAAAAAAAATAAAAAGCAGAGTTAGCTTCTTCAACAATTTTGACCTTTGATTAAATTCTCTTCTCGTTTACATAAATAATGAAGGAGATAATATTTCCATTCCCTGTGTTAAATAAGAATCTACATGAAAAACTAATGTGTGGAGCTTTACAACAGCTTTTTGCTAGCATCAGTTGCTGAAGTGCAACAAGATTTCTCATTCATAGAAATCTTTTCCACATACATATGCAGAAACATATGAGATATCTCGTCCATAAGCCAGAATTAACATCGTACCAAATGGAAGCATACAATTTCAACTCCTTCTGATGGTAAACCATCAACATCTTCGCCATTATCTGCAGAAACAACAAAATTTCACATTTACCACTTTTCTTTTGAAGATTTTGTATTGGCAGATGAAGGAACACTACAAAATAGAAGACCATTTGGGATCATGGAAAGTGCACAAGAGCTAATTTTATATAGATCTGAATTCTGAAAGAAAACTACAAAAATTTATTATTAGAGGAAACTAATGAACTTTGCAATATGTACGATGTTAGATTGTTTATAAAGTGGCCCGGCCATGGTGCATGCTACCGATTACAGCTTAATGTTTCAATGATGGATGATAAGTAGCTGCAATCATCACATCTGGAATCATATAAAATAACGGGCTCAACTTTTCCAACAATGCCCCTCAGAAAGTGCAATCAGGAGATTTCAGTAAATGATAAAAGGATCGTGTCAGTCATAGAAACGTCAGAAGAACCAAAATAATTATATAACTACCTTAGGTGGCAGACTAATGAAGCAAATTTCACAAGGAATGTTATCAAAACTGAACATAATTTAAGTCACACCAGTTTATTTATCGCTAAAACATAGTTTGAATCATGCAAAAAGCATTTGAACAAATGATATATAACCACAAAATTCCCACAAAATGGCTTTAAGTGATGGCGAAATCGAAAAATAAAAACAGTCCCCAGGTGAAAGTAATATAAGGAGAAACTTTGGACAAAGGTGGAAGCAATAAATCTTTACAGCAAGAACTGAAAAGTCAACGGAGTTCAAGAGAATACTTTTACCTATGTGAAATTCAAATATGTCTTCCTCTGTGTAACAAAAGCCGCCACGTGCCGTATAACAAAATCTGATGGGAGAAAAGGAAAGTTTCAAAGCACAGGGCACATTATTAACTGGGTGTAACATAGGTCTTACACATAAATCATATATGAAACTTCAAAACTCATTATAGTAAAATATTTACTTATATTGTCTTACCCACTGTACACAAGATGTATGTGAATTTTTGCAAGGGCATAAGCTGCAGCAGGTAGGAGGGACTCAACTTCTTCATCACTAACCTATAAAGTAGAGGAATTCAATGCATTTGCTTAGTGATACGTGGAAATTAAAATAAAGGTAACAAATACGATGAGGAAGACAATTTATTCACAGCACTGAACCACAAATGAATGTACTTATTCATATAACAAACAACAAAGTGTATGCGACCAATACTCAGATTCTACTATATAATATCATCACTGACTCTTGGCCCAGGTGGAATGAAAGCCAATAAAGACCACAAAAGACAAGGATAACAAAAAAGCAGCATTTTATCTTTGCAAAGATAACAACCATCCCAAAGCAGCAAAATAATTCAAAGATATTCACCCCTCCCCCAAGAACTCATCATACTCACATCTTATGGTTGAAGATCACTTAAGCTTACTTATGTCCTCATGCTTGAAATGTTTAGTCCAGAAGTAACCTTTGCCTTATGCCACAAAGTATCGATAAAAGATTGTAGTTGTTCAAGCAAGTATATAGCAATCACCTCCACATGCGTGTCATTAGTTAAGATGTGTGAACTGAAATTTCAAGTTTCAAATCACCAACATTTTCTAGAACAACACATTTTTCAACTTAAGTACAAGATCACAAATTCCCCAACCTAAGTTTCAATAAAGATGAGAAAATGGAGTTATTTACTCACATTAAAACCACAGATGTGCCAAATGAGATTTGCAAAAAAAAACCCCTAAAGGACAACAAACATATATATGCCTCTATATTGTAAGATGAAACTATAATTCTCAGGGAGATCCGACAAAGAACTACTTACAGCAGACCATCCTTCAACATTGACACTCTTCAAAATCTGAACAGGCCTGCAAAATTTTGAATTAATTGACTTCTGTTTTCCAAGGAAAATAATGTGCATAACATAACAACGATCCTTCGATATTACTTACATGTCAACAGGGTACAGTAGCATACATTCGTCTCCCCGTGAATTTCTAAACACTCTCCTAATAATGCACTCCAGTGGAAAGCCATTGATAGGATCAACCTATTGAGTGATTCCACAAAGAACACGTTGATTAAGATATAGAAACAGTAGAAATTAACATCAGGCACGAAATTTATGTGAGTTCCCTTAGAACTTAATTGCTTTACCTTAAAATCGAACACTTTTCCAAACCACATTGCAGAAGAACATGTAACTTTTTATAAATTAACCTATTTAAAACTAGAAAATTCCTTATTATTTTGGATTTTCTTCTTTCGGCTAAAAAAATGCTGGCTGCAGTTAACATATTGGAAATCTTTTGAATTTCTAAAGCAGCATCCAATCAATAGTCCACTCCTTACTTCAATAACATGAAATCCTCAATATAGAATTACAAGAATTAAAAGTCGAACATAAAACCAAAGCAAGTAATACTCACAATAGTGGCAATCCGTTTGTCAGAAGCCATAAGAACTCTCCCTTGTTCATCCAACACAAAACCAGCCGGCGGCTTCGGCAGAGGCAGCGCTGCGTACGGTGACTGAGTCTCCGACTCCGACGGCGACTCTAGCACCTCTACCCCGCCACCTCTCTCAATCTCAAAATCAGCCCCAACTAAACTCTTGCTGTTGTTCTTATTACCACTAGGTCTTTTCTTCTTCTTCGTAGCTGGTGGCGAACCGCTTTTCTGCTGTTTCGCCGCTGCATAGCAGCGTAACAGACTGCTTCTATAGCCAAAGCCTGCCCCACTTCTACTGAATTGCTGAAAATTTAGAAAGGGCTGCAGATTACCGCCGGAAAACTTTGAAATATTCGGGGAAAGTGCAGCGGAGATGGAAAATCGGGGTACAGGGTAAGCCATTTGGCTGGGTGGGCAGCGGCTAGTGGCGGATATTCTTGTCGATGATTTTTTGATAGTTCGAATGCAACGTTCTTGGCCACAACGAAGCCGACTACAAATGACTGACCAATTTTGCAATCAACCTCTCGATGGGGCGTGAGACGATAATTTACAATTCAGTCCCTCTATAATAGAGTTATCGAGCCAATATCATTTATTGTCCCATTATATATCATATTTATCAATTTTGATCATTTGATCTTATTTAAATTAAAATTTATCAATTTTAATCTAATCATAATTGACAGCAACTTGAACTGGGCTGTGTATTGAAACGTGACTGACAACCTAGACAACCAATATGACCGTCTCATTACTTTGTGCTTAATATATTCTTTTTCACGATCATGTTCATATCTATGTTCTTAGCATAGTTATATTCCTACAATTTCATCGATTTTACAACTATGTTCAATATATAATAATTTAAATTATTTTGAATATAAATAAGAATATAATTGTATTAAGAATACTAACATAAACACTTATAACAATATCGTGTTTAAAACATGACTGTAAACCATGAACTGAGGCATAAACATAATATGTTTAGTAAAGAAATACGGCCATGTTGACGGTAAGAATTGTACGGATATTTTTTTGAATCATTAGGTATTCAATCCGAATCAGGTACTGTAAAACTAAAATTGAGAAAAAAAAAAAAAAAAACCACCAAAATTCACAGTGGGTGTTTCGACGTTGCTCCGCATTTTGTGCACTAATTATCAGTTAGCTACTTGGTGTTTCGTTATTTACGGTGCTTCAATATGATCACACACAGTGAGTGCATTCATTATTAGAATTGCGCTGCTGCAAGAAATTCATAACCACTGGCAGCTCTGTTTTGTGGGGAAGAATTCATTTTTCGCATTTGGGATTTAGGATTGAAACACAGAGAGAACCGCAGATCCAATTGCCGAAAATCGGGCGAGGCGACGACCAAGACCTCATTTTTAATTTCTAAATTGAGGTTTTAACAGTGAAGTGTGGCTGGGGTTTTAATCATCCGCCCCAGCGTCGCACTCTGACTTCCACGTTCAAGTCGCGCTGAAATTGGAATCGTCTCTTGTTCATCCAATTTCACATGATTTTTCCCGATTCCACCATTGGTAGCTATGAGGAAGCCTCTGGGCGCTGTAATCTTCCTTCTCATCTTCACAAACTGCGCCTTTTCATGGAAGAAAGAAGAGTTCAGGACCTGCAACCAAACCCCATTCTGCAAACGCGCCCGCTCCCGGAAACCAGGCGCTTCGTCCCTGATCGCCGCCGACGTCTCCGTCTCCGACGGCGACCTTGTAGCAAAGCTCGTCGCCAAGGAGAATACCGAAGAAAATTCCGAAAATGAAGGGAAACCCACAAACCCTTTGGTTCTCACAATATCGGCATATCAAGACGGCGTGATGAGGCTCAAAATTGACGAAGATCAAACCTCGAACCCATTCAAGAAGAGATTTGAGGTACCTGATGTGATTTTACCCGAATTTCTGAGCAAGAAGCTCTGGCTACAGAGGCTGAAACAAGAAAAAAGTGATGAGGGTTTGGGTGTATTTTCTGTTGTATATCTTTCAGATGGATTCGAGGGTGTAATTAGGCATGATCCATTTGAGGTTTTCGTTAGGGAGATTGGGAAAAATGGGAAAAAACTTGTGTCCTTGAATTCCAATGGTTTGTTTGATTTTGAACAGCTGAGGGATAAGAAAGAGGAAAATGAGGATTGGGAGGAGAGGTTTAGAAGCCATACTGATACAAGGCCATATGGTTCTCAAAGTATCAGTTTCGACGTGTCGTTTTTCGATGCTGAATTTGTGTATGGCATTCCAGAGCATGCCACAAGTTTAGCACTAAAGCCAACTAGAGGGCCGGGAGTCGAGCATTCCGAGCCCTACAGGCTATTCAATCTTGATGTGTTTGAGTACCTCCACGATTCGCCTTTCGGGCTGTATGGTTCGATTCCATTCATGATATCTCACGGTAGGCTGCGAGGAAGTTCCGGATTCTTTTGGCTGAATGCTGCCGAAATGCAGATTGATGTTTTAGGGGATGGATGGAATGATGAATTTTCGTCTGATCAGAAGAGAGTCGATACCCTGTGGATGAGTGAGGCCGGTGTTGTGGATGTGTTCTTTTTCGTCGGTCCTGATCCAAAAGATGTCGTTAGGCAGTATACTAGTGTGACAGGGACAGCGGCATTGCCTCAGCTGTTTGCGACCGCCTACCATCAATGCAGGTGGAATTACAGAGACGAGGAGGATGTTGATAATGTCGACTCTGAATTCGATGTGCACGACATTCCTTATGATGTTTTGTGGCTTGATATCGAACACACAGACGGGAAAAGATATTTTACCTGGGACAGGGCGCTGTTTCCGAATCCTGAGGAGATGCAGAAGAAGTTAGCCTCGAAAGGTAGGCGGATGGTGACGATCGTGGATCCTCACATCAAAAGGGATGAATCGTATTTCATACACGAGGAAGCTTCTGAGAAGGGATACTATGTGAAGGATGCTTCGGGGAAGGATTTCGATGGTTGGTGCTGGTCTGGCTCATCGTCCTACCCAGATTTTCTGAATCCGGAAGTTAGGAACTGGTGGGCTGAAAAATTCTTGTATGAGAATTATGCCGGTTCGACTCCATCGTTGTACATTTGGAATGATATGAATGAGCCTTCGGTTTTCAATGGTCCCGAGGTACGGTTTTGGCTGTGTTTTAGATTATCGTTCTTGTTTATATTTTGTGGGCTTGTTTTATTAGCTAAATTTATTCGGAACATTGTTAATTAAGTGATCTATGTTTGTATATCGGCTATATTAATTGTAAGGGGTTAGGATGAATAGAATCACACCCTTGTTCTAGACTTAGAGTTTTAGGGTTTGGAAAATTTTGATATGATGTTTTTGAAAACGTTTCTGTTGATGAATAGTGTCAAATTACATGTTCGTTGGGCTCAGTACACTTCCGGGAAATCACGGGATCAATAATTCAATCCCACTAGGTTCGATAAATTTATCATCCAAAATTGTTGTTTGGAGTTTCGATTTGAAGAAAACATGATTAACCTTTTTTGCTTTGTTAGATTATATAACACTCTTTTGTGTTTTAGTAAAAATGTATAAAACACCATGTGTTTTATTTATTGCGTAAAACTCCTTTGAGTTAACGTAAAGTTTGTATGGAACGCCTAAGTTTGCACGAAACACCTTTTTCGTCAAAAGCTGACTTTACATTAACACATTGTTTCACGCAATAAATAGAAAAAATGATGTTTTATGCATTTTTATTAAAATATAAAGGGATGTTATATAATTTATCCTTTTTGTTTTCCCATGGATAAGATTGTTTGCCTAGTTAATGACTTCTTTCACAAAATGATCATAGTTCAAACATGACGAAGGCTATTTTTCCGAAATCAGGTTTCAATGCCAAGAGATGCTCTACACCACGGAGATGTCGAGCATAGAGAGTTACACAATGCTTATGGCTACTATGTGCACATGGCTACATCCGATGGACTAATTAAGCGAAGTGATGGAAAAGATCGACCTTTTGTTTTGTCGAGAGCATTTTTCCCCGGAAGTCAAAGAATCGGAGCAGTTTGGACAGGAGACAACTCAGCTGATTGGGATCACTTCCGGGTTTCGGTTCCCATGATCTTGACACTCGGCCTTACCGGGATTTCATTCTCCGGTTAGTACATTTTCAAGATTACATTTTTTCAGACTTATATACTTCAAATTTAATTTTTCTTGCACTTTGCAGGCGCTGATGTTGGTGGATTTTTTGGTAATCCTGACACTGAGTTGTTGGTTCGTTGGTATCAGCTCGGTGCCTACTATCCCTTCTTTAGAGCACACGCCCATCATGACACCACAAGGCGCGAACCTTGGCTGTTTGGGTATGATACGATATTCATCTTAGGTCTAATTGATTTATTTCAATATGATGTTCATTCGATTTTAGTTCTCTTCCTCCGAAAGAAAGTGTTAAGGTTGTGTTCTTTTGTGGGTTTTATCACAAATTTTTACTATTCGGATTATTTTTTCTCTTAAAAAATATTAAATCAAACAATTATTTTTTTTTTCTATATTATATTATAAAATTATTTTACATTCAACATATATATCGCATCAATCAACTATTCAAAGTCAATTTTTTACTATTAAAAAATCCAAACCCAAAAACTAAAACCCAAGTGGGTTTGGATTTTTAAATAGTAAAAAGTTGAATTTGAATAGTGGTTTGATCTAATATAATAGAGGTTGATGCGGTATTTTGAATGTAAAATAAATTTGTAGTATAATATGAAAAAAGAAAAATAATTGTTTGATGTAATATATTTGGAGGGAAAAAAATAAATTGAATAATAAAAACTTATAGTAAAACCCACAAAATGATACAACCTTAGAATCTAGATAAGGTGCTCCCATATAATGTTCATGGATCTGATAAAAATGTGTCGATTACAGCGAACAGACGACAGAAATCATTCGGGAAGCTATACGTGTGCGCTACATGTTGCTACCGTATTTTTACACATTGTTCAGAGAGGCGAATGCGACCGGCATCCCTGTCGCTCGCCCTCTGTGGATGGAATTTCCTAAGGACGAAAAGACATTCAGCAACGACGAAGCATTTATGGTCGGAAACAGTCTTTTGGTTCAAGGAATATACACAGAGGTACCGTAGGATAGAGATTTATCATCCCTCTTATTACATTATCGAATCGCCACTAATTATACATCACAATCCTCAACAGCATGCAAAACATGTGTCGGTATATCTTCCCGGGAATCAGCTATGGTATGACATGAAAACCGGTGCTTCTTACAAGGGAGGCGCAGCTCATAAAATGGAAGTGTCGAAAGATCACATTCCATCTTTCCAGCGCGCCGGCACCATCATTCCTAGAAAGGATAGATTTCGAAGAAGCTCGACACAAATGGAAGACGATCCTTACACTCTGGTAGTGTCTACAAATTCAATTCATACATATATATATATGGTTGAAATGCATTTTATTCATTCTGGCGCGTCGCAGGTTATTGCACTCAACAGCTCCAAAGCTGCCGAAGGCGAGCTGTACGAAGATGATGGGAAGAGCTTTGAATTTCTACACGGCGCGTACATTCACCGGGGCTTCACATTTTCAGACAGGAAGCTAACTTCTTCCAACATGGCTCCTCACGACAAATTTTCCTCGGATTGCACCATTGAAAGAATTATACTCCTAGGTATGTCTCCTGTACCCAAAACTGCTCTAATTGAGCCAGGAAATAAGAAGGTCGCCATTGAATTGGGACCACTGACACTTCGACGAGGAGCTGCTCCATCTGTCCCGACTATCAGGAAACCTAATGTTCGAATTTCTGATGACTGGACAATTAAAATCTTGTAAACACTGTATTCAATGTATGATCATATCTGTATGCAGAATTGAATTATTGATCAGATGTCACTCGATAGCTTAAGAACTCTTAAAGCTACTGTTCTTGGAGCGTTCTATCAATCTGAAAATTTCTGTGGTTCTTGTTCTTTGAAATTGAACTTGAATTAGTATAGAAATGGCCAAAGGTGTTCTTAAAAAGTGTCTGAAAAATCGATTCTTTGAACCACTGAAGAGTTATTTGGAGATTAAAGGGGTATGGTATCAGGTTCTTGGGGGAGATCTAAACTGGGAGTTATTGGAATGATAGCTTATAGCTTATCACCATCATTATAAATTAAACATAGCAACATTCTTTCTGCTTCACTGTCTCCCAAAATTGAGTGATGGGAATGGATTGATTGGATGCACACCTCAGTCTGTTTTAGTATAGTTTGCAATGTTATTAAGTTCGACTGAGAGTTTATCGACACTTTGGAAAAAGAAAATAAATAAATAAATAGAAAAAAGGAAAATGACAAAAACAGTAAATTAGAGTGTGCTAGTTATAGGTAGGTTTAATGGCAGCAACCAAGTTATTATCAACCATTGTAAGTGGGATTCTTTTTTGGTTTTGACTGTATGCCTTATTCAGTGGTGGTGGTTGGAATAACACATATACTTACATATCTTTATATGTCTACTTTCTGACTACTTTGTATTATCATCATAGTTTTAATAGTTTGTAAATTATATTCAAGGAGATAAGTCACATGCCAATGATGTATGGTAGACAAAATCTGAAATCGTTGAAAGTTTAAACTACGATTACGAGTCCATCTCACACCACCAAATCATCCTTTACAAAACCGTTTCAATGATATATTATTATTATTATTATTATTATTATTATTATTATTATTATTATGACGTAGGAACTCACAGCCGCTACTCAAAAGTGCGTACTGGATAAACCCTCGATTAAATCTAATACCCTGCAAACTAGGTTCAATGATAATTTAATTTTTTTTTAGATGACGTGGGAACCCGCGGCCGCTACTCGAAAACGCGCACTGGGTAAACCCCCGGCCGAACCTAATACTCTGCAAACCAGGCCCGACGGGAAAGTCACAGCGAAAGAGAAAGAGAAAGGGGGAGTGGTCAACGACAGTTCAATAGATAGCATGTGAGCCTCCAATCCATTAACTTATCAAAAATTTGTTAGGTCATGCAATATAAAACCCTAATCCCCTCTCAAGAACACAGTCAAATTATTAGACCTACTTATTCCAAATTGTGAATATATATTATTGATGATTACATGAGATTTTTATGCTGCCATGTATGTGTGTGTAGTGCTCTTTAATTTGTCAAACACCCCTAATTATTCTTAACAAATAATCACCACTCAAAGTCTTGCTTTGGTATCCATAAAGCATATATATATATATATAATCTTCTTATTTATCATGACTAGATGCCTCCAGAAAGTGCTTACATACAATACTGGTAATTATTTCTTCCACTTATTATTGACTGAATCTTTCAATTCAAAAAATGCCCCAAGATTCCATCATTCCCTACCAACAAATTCAAGAATTCACTCATTAGTTAAATCCCACAAAGAGCCCTCAAATTTGAGAAAAAAATAAATTAATATATGAAGCAAACAGCATTTGTTCCAATTAATTCTAAACCAATGGAAAGGAAAATTCCACATTAAAAGATTGCACAAAAGCAACACTTGTCCCTTTGATCTTATTATAAGATTTTATACCTTTTTGATCATCTTCTTGCTATAGTAAATCTGCATTTTTCTAACCATTTTGTCTTCTCTATATAAACTCCATAGCCAAAGCTTCAGAAAGAGTGTGCAGCAGTTGCTTTCTCATCCCCCCATTGTGTCAAATAATCCCCTCTTTCTGTACATATTATTGTTCCTCCATTAGAGGGACCTAAGAGGGCTTGCTAGATCATATTATCAACATTATTCCAAGGTATCGAAAAAAATTCGTGTATATATATATATATATCCACTTTTCGTCGAATATGAGCTGTAACTGATCCACCTAATGCATTCTACACGCCACATTTTTGCATTTGAATGTTCGATATCTCGATTTGTATGTGCTTTTGTATCAATGGCTGTCTTAGTCCTCGCCTATTTCGATTAGATTGTTGATTTGAAGCTGAGAAAGATCAGATTTTTAATTTTTTTTTGTAGCTATAGTTGGACTAAGAATTGGTTATAAATCCCCCTTGACCCTTCCCTTTACTTGTGATCATACATTCCTTGCTTCTCTTCTTTTTCTTCCTATTTGCATTTGATCTGCTCTGTAACTGATATACATACACATTATATATATAGATATAGATATACATTATACTTTAACTTTCTTTTTGATTCTCAGGATGGGTGAGAGCACTGCCACCAACAACCACCACCACCAAAATGGTCGAGCTTTGGAATTTCCGGTGAACATGCCGTCACATTATGGCTCAAAAGTTGTCGATGATGATGGCCGGCCCCAGAGAACTGGTAAAAACCTTGAGGCTAACTAACCCCTTTCATGATCTGTAATAAATTCACTGCAAGAAAATAGTATTTTTGTAACAGAAGTTTTCTCGTCTCCAAATGCACTTTTGTCATTACTAATGACATTAGACACAGAATTATGGACGAAATTCCAGTACAAATATATTATTTTTTTGTTCTGAAATGCCAGCCGGCGAACTTCTTGTTGTTATGTAATGAATTTTATTTTTATTGTTTTTTTGGCGGTGTTAGGGACCGTGTGGACTGCTAGCGCACATATAATAACTGCAGTGATTGGGTCGGGAGTTCTTTCCTTAGCATGGGCCATTGGTCAGCTGGGATGGATTGCCGGCCCTGCTGTAATGTTCCTCTTCTCCTTCGTCATTTACTACACCTCGACGCTTCTGTCTGACTGTTACCGATCAGGGGATCCTCTGTTCGGAAAAAGAAACTATACTTACATGGATGCTGTTAGAAGCAGTCTTGGTAAGAAGTTCATGCTCTCAAGAACGGTTAAAACTTGTTACTTTCATTGAAGTTTATTTGAATTTTTTGTGCTGTTAAACAGGTGAGTTTCAGGTGAAGCTTTGTGGGCTGATTCAGTATCTGAATATATTCGGAGTCGCCATCGGGTACACCATTGCAGCAGCCATAAGTATGATGTGAGTTTAGCTTATAGTTCAGTTTGTTTTTTTTGTTTAGTTTTTTTGCTCGGTTGGATGATTCGGGAGGTGATGAATGATGAAACAGGGCGATCAAAAGATCGAATTGCTTCCACAAGAGCGGAGGAAAAGATCCGTGTGCCATTTCGAGCAATCCTTACATGATCGCCTTCGGCGTTACACAAATCCTGTTTTCTCAAATCCCGGATTTCGATCAGATATGGTGGCTCTCTATAGTTGCTGCAATCATGTCCTTCACTTACTCGTCCATCGGTTTAGGCCTTGGCGTCGCTCAAGTAGCAGGTGTTTGTTTCGATGTTTTTTTTTTTTTTTTTCCTTTTGTTCGATGATCGAATGTGTTTCTCGCTGAAGTATTGCTAAGCATTATGATCATCTTCATCAGCTAATGGAAGCATCAAGGGGAGCCTCACTGGAATAAGCGTAGGAACCGTGACCGAAACTCAGAAAATATGGAGGAGTTTCCAAGCTCTTGGCGACATAGCTTTCGCATACTCGTTTTCGATCATTCTCATCGAAATTCAGGTATTTGAGGTTTCGATTCTTCTTGAGAAAACATGACAAAAAAAGCTTTCACATTGTTGGAAGACTATATAATATGTAATTAATAATATATTTTTCCATCGTTTTTAGGTAAAATAGTTATTTAATATTAAGATCAAAGCTAGAGCTGGACTTTCCCTATCAGCTTAAACTTTTAGATAAAATGATCATTTAACATGATATCGAGTTGTTCTATCAGCTTAAACTTTGAAATGAAATGGTCATTTAACATGATATTAGAACTAGAGCTGGAGTTTCTCGATCAACTTACACTTTTAGGTAAAAAGATCATATAACATGATATTAATCAAACCAGAGAGTTTCCTATCAGCTTAAACTTTTAGATAAAATGGTCATGATATCAGAGCTAGAGTTAGAGTTTCTCTATCAGCTTAATTATCAGCTAAAACTTTTAAATAGCAATAGTCATTATATCATAGCTAGAGCTGGAGTTTCCCTGTCAGCTTAATTTTTTAGATGAAATAGTCATATACTATGATATTAGATCAAAATGAAGTTTTTTTATCAGCTTAAACTTTTAGGTGAGACAGTCATTTTACACACATAACTCAACGTAATCTAATCGATCGATAGGATACGGTGAAATCCCCGCCATCCGAGGCGAAAACAATGAAGAAAGCCACTCTCATAAGCACGATTGTCACAACGATTTTCTACATGCTCTGCGGTTGCATGGGGTACGCAGCATTCGGCGACCTCGCCCCGGGGAACCTCCTGACCGGCTTCGGATTCTACAACCCTTTCTGGCTCCTCGACATCGCCAATGCAGCCATCGTCATCCACTTAGTCGGAGCCTACCAAGTTTACTGTCAGCCCCTCTTCGCATTCGTCGAAAAATGGGCAGCGGCGAGATGGCCTGACAGCAGTTTCATTTCGAAAGAAATCCAAATCCCGGTGCCGTTTATGCAGCAGCCTTACGGACTCAACCTTTTTCGACTAACTTGGAGGAGCGGATTCGCCGTCGTCACGACCGTAATATCGATGCTGATGCCTTTCTTCAACGACGTAGTCGGGATCCTCGGGGCATTCGGGTTTTGGCCTCTGACCGTGTACTATCCCGTCGAAATGTATATCGTTCAGAAGAAGATACCGCGGTGGAGCACGAAATGGATCAGCCTGCAGATGCTGAGCTTGGCTTGCTTGGCGATATCGATCGCCGCCGCCGCCGGATCCGTCGCCGGAGTGGTCCTGGACCTCAAGGTTTACAGGCCATTCAAGACTAGCTACTGAATGAATGGATGAAGGAAAGAATGGATTTTTATGGAGGGAGGAATTTGTAAAGAGATTGAAAGATGGTTTGGTGGTTGTTGTTAATTAAGGACTTTTTTAAGTCAGTTTGTACGTGTGTCTTGTGTGTTTTTTATTTTGGTTCTAAGTTTGTTGTGTCTATGGTAAGAAATTAAGTCTATGTCCCTTGTTCCAATTCATAGTTCTTGAAATTTTTAAATTTAAGTTTTAGTCTTTGTCATTTTTTATTTTTTATTTTTTTTTAAAAAAATTCTCCTATTGAATCTTTACTATTGGTTATAGAAACATACTAGTATTATTATTCTTATAGTAAAATATCACATAACGAATGTTTAGAATACAAATATAAATGAAATTTCTCTTGAAATAATGTGTCTTTTTTGTAATTTTTTTAAATTTACTGTTGAAGTAGGTAAAAAATTAAAATAAAAAGAATAATGAAATTTTCCTTGTGTATGGGGTCTGATCTATTTATTGTTTTTCATCTGTTCACATTATGTTGTTTCTCTTTCTTGATGCAAATTTGATTTTAAAATCTTTCTAACTCATTTTTTCTATCTTTTAAAGTGTATACTGAGTAAATCTCCGATCATACCTAATATTCTATAAACTAGATCCGACATGCAAGACATACTATGCGAACTATGTATGACAAGTGACCTGAGATGTCGGGGTTTAAACCTATGACCCCACTGTCACATGCATGTCCAACTCTTACATCAGACCATTCCTTACGAACTTACTTTGATGATTTTCTTATGCAAGTGGATGGTGGATGTGTTTTGCTATTTCTCGATATGATTGAGCAGCTGCTAAAAAGAAAAATTATAAAAAAAGAAAAAAAGATAGAGCTGTTAAACAAGTTGGATGAGCTCGAGTATTAGTTATTCGAGCTCGACTCGAACTTGTTAATGGTACAAATTCGCCTTGGTTCAGCTTAATTCGTTAAGAATTTGAGTCAAAATAATAGTTCGAGTTCGAGTCTTTTCCTACAAAAAATTATACAATGTTAATTACAATGACACAAAAGGTAAACGTAACCGAGACAAGCTGACGGAATAAATATATATTTAAAATTTAATTTTTATTAAAGGATTGTAACTTTTCATTCTATTTTTATCAATTATTAATATTTTTCTAAAAAAAAAAAAAGTTAAATTGCTATTTTCATATTATATATATAAAAAATTGAATATATTTAAAATATTAATATTTAAATAAAATAACTAATCAAATTCACAACAACATCAATTCCAACGACGAACCCTAGATCCCAAATTCCCAACATAAGCTAAAATAATTTAAATTCAAAACAATTATTGTACTAGTAAACAGAGCGAATGGTACAAAGTTGAAATTTCATGTTGCTAATAATTCGTGACAAACAACATTACTTAATTAATTTAAAATAATTTTAAAAAAATTAAATTAATTAAGGGATCATGGATCAATAAAAAGACTCGACTCAATTCAATTCAATTCAAGTCCCAAAATTAAGACGAAGCAAAGCAAGTGTCAGACGTCAAAGCTCAAACGTGCCGTGCCCCTACCGTACGCAACCTTCACCAAATTCTGCTGTCTCCGGTGAGGATCGGTGTCTCCTAAATCGCTCATTTACTTATTTCTCGCTGTTTCTTTACAGATTGTGCGGATTCAATTTTTTATTGTTTTATGTAATCCAAGGAGAAATATCGATTAAACATCAGGATTAGGTTTTGATTGATTGTGCGGGGCGTTATGTTCTGTTTCTTTTTTTAGTAGTTATGATTTGTTTTTTTCTTGTCTAGATTGTGGAGCTTGATGGTTTTTGATTCTGCTGCTCATGTCGGCACCGTTATTGAATCACCTTTCTTAATGATCTGTGGATGAAGAAAATTGTGGAGAAAAATAGTGATCCGGACGTAACTTGCAGCAGAAAAAACTCAAGCTTTAATTGTAAATCGAAGAGAAGTACGGGTTCTGTCTCATCCGAGACAGAACCAAGTGTCAGCAGTAGCAAGAATCAAAAGCCTGTATTTTGGTGGGGAATTAGGCCGTTGGGTTTATCCATATTTAAGAATTTGTCTAATAGTTCTGGCAAAAGCGAGTCCAATAATTGCAGTAGTAATAATACTAATAGGAAAAAGTCCACAAGTGGAAAGAATCATTATGAAGGGTGGAGATCAACAGTGAGGAGGGTAGTGATGTTGAACAGTGGATCGATGAGGAGGATATTAGGATTTAATAGGACCGGGGTTTCTGCTTCCAAGAGTGATATTTGGCTCTTGGGTATTTGCTATCGGATTTCCCAAGAAGGCGAGAATGCTTTAGATCCCACGCACAGTGAGGGATTTGCTGCATTTGTTGAGGATTTCTCGTCACTGATTTGGATCACGTACAGAAAAGGTAATGCTTGTCTGTAGTGAAGTTGTGTATCATAAATGTGAATGATGTCAATGTCATTTACAAGTTTTGTCAGTTTTGCAGGATTTGCGCCTATCGGTGATACAAAGTACAGTAGTGATGTTTATTGGGGTTGCATGCTTCGAAGCAGCCAGATGCTTGTAGCTCAGGTATTATGCATACTTTTGTTTTGTTTCATCTTTTGTTTATATACTGGCGTTTTTGAATGACGAGTACTTATTTGTGTACAGGCATATCTATTTCATAAATTTGGGAGATCTTGGAGGAAATCTCCTCATATGGTATTGTTTGAAACTTGTATTCAAAACCTTATCTTCGTGCATAGTGATTTTGATTGATTTCTTAGCCATTTATCTGGTTTGGTGTTGGTTTCTTTCAAATTATGCAGCCACTTGATCAGAGTTATGTAGAAATTTTGCATCTTTTTGGTGATGCTGAAGATTCTCCTTTCTCCATTCACAATCTTCTCCAAGCTGGAAAGTCATATGGCCTTGATCCTGGTTCGTGGGTAGGACCATATGCCATGTGCCGCACCTGGGAAAGTTTGGTGCGAAATAAGAAGGAAGAGACTAATAATGGACTCCTGACCTCACTGATGGCAATTTACGTGGTTTCTGGTGATGAAGATGGGGAAAGAGGTGGAGCTCCTGTTCTCTGTATTGAGGATATTTCGAAACACTGTTTTGACTTTAGTGGAGGTCAGGATGACTGGGTTCCTATTCTATTGTTGGTTCCTCTAGTTCTAGGACTGGAGAAAGTCAATCCAAGGTACGGTACCCTTGTTAAGTTTATACATCATATGAAAGTTCAATATATTCAAATTATATTGGAGACAGTTAAGTGGCTAATTTTTTCTTGTATGGTCTATTGAAGATGAGCTATTTTGCCTAGTTATGGATGTTCATACTGCAAACGGGATGATAGGCCATACTTGAAAAAGGACTAGTAAAATATGATGAGTCAATTTCTAATTATGTAAAAGCGGCCGAAAATCATCAATGTAGAATGTATAAAGTTAACTTGACTGGAAATAGATTTTTTTTTTCATCTCAACTTGGGGTTATTTCTCTTCAACTAAAATGGAATATCAAAGCGTGGAGTATCCTTCGGCTATTTGCAGGATCTGTGCATCACAGGGTTATGCACTGTTATAGATACACCTCTTGGCAATGGTCTTGATATGAAACTTTCACATATTTGTATTATATCTTTTGTGATGCCTAAGAGGAATTGCCCACCACGAGTCACTTTTTTCATATTATATTGAGACTTTGTAGCCTGTAGGTGGTTGTTAAATTGTTTTGAATATTAATATTGTTTGATGCATCTGCTCGTAATGACTCATGCCAGATTAGAGATCCTAAATGAGTGACGAGTTTGTATTCCGACATATTAAGTTTGCTTTTGATACTTATATAATAGAGCATGGCTGATTATTAATATATGTTTCACTGTGCCAACAGTTGAAGCAATTAGAAGTTACAAAATTATTGTCTTCTTATAATATCTGTCCCTTCTTCCTATATATGCCTATGGAAGATCATGTTACTTGATCATATGTTCCCATAACACTTTTTCGAAGAATGGTCCTTAGTTAATGTGGTCATTTTAGAATTGTGTGTTAATCTGCCGCATCCATACCTCAACCTTTCATTAATCATAAACCATAAATATGCTTTCTTTTGTTTGTTTCTCTCTTTTTCCTGTGTGTGTGCGCACAAAAAGTCTTTTCTAAGATGTTGTCAAGTCTCTCTTTCCATTAAATGTATCATACATTGTTTTATTGTGATTTGGCAGTGACTGCTAAAACCTCAATTGATCCATGTCTGTTAGAAGAACTGGATCTGTACTTAGGAATTGGTTGAATGAATGCATTCCGATGAAAGAAAAAAGAATGCCATAGAAAATCTAATCCCTTGGTTTTCACATTTGATATCGTATATGCCCATATTTACAAAGAGAAGGGAGAGAGAAATAAACTATTGTTTGTTCTAATCTCTTTACAAAAGCGAGGGAAGACAGATAATAAGTGGATTAGGCATCTTTAATGTAGCAAAAGGAAAAGCATGCAAGGAGTGCTGGTGGTAGTTGAGGGAAATGAGGTAGTGAGATCATCGCCTTTTCACTATATTGCTGGCAAGGCAACTTAAAAGTAGATGCAGGGTTGAAATAAGGATCTATTATGCGTATTATGAGATTCAGAGGTAGATGATGCAACTGCAGTGTGATTTGGTCAAGGAAATGCAACTATCACTATTACTTACAAAATTTATTTATAATGTATTTCTGTATTACCTTAGCTTTATTTAAATCTGTTCTATATCTATGAATTCCTACAAAGCAAAATACAAGATCATTCTGTGCTATCTTGACTATGTATTCTCTATACATGACAGGTATCTTCCACTTCTTAGCGCTACATTCACCTTTCCACAAAGCCTTGGTGTTTTGGGTGGTAAACCGGGTGCGTCAACATATATGGTCGGAGTGCAAGATGAAAAGGCATTCTATTTGGATCCTCATGAAGTTCAGCAGGTTTGTATAAGTCCTATTTTAGAAAACTCTCAATATGATATTATGCGACATAATTGGTAACATTTTTTTTCTTACACAAAATTTTTGTTCTCCGTACCTAAATGCTATGTTAGCAAGTGTGTATGTGTGTGTTTTATGGAACCATAGTTGGCAATTGCGCCCTAATAACGGTGTAGCGGAACGGAGTGACAGTCTGCCGCTACCACTGCTCTATGGTGCTGCTTTAACACAATAGTGGCGTAGTGGCTTTTAGCGGAGCAGAACGTAACTTCTTTTAAATTGAATATAATATTATAAGTAGGTTTAAATTTTAAAATATAATATTATATATATTATATAAATAATGTAAATTATATACTATTATATTATATTATAGCTATTTCTAACTCTAATAAGGGAAAAAAATATTGTGCAATGTGAGGAACATACAATTATAGAAATTGATGAAAATAAAGAGGAACAAGAGCTCATACAAGAGTCGGAATGAGGATGGTGAAAATGATAAAGAAAGTTATTTATCAAATTTTGAATATCAAAGTGTTTGTGATCTTTCTCTTATGTAAGTATTTTAGAAGTTGTCTGTTGCGTAACACTATCCAAGATCGACAGCTACACATGGAATGTTTTCAAATTTCTTGGCCTTGTTGATCTTGCACTCATTATACAGTTCATCACTATTGTGATCTCATCTCTTCTTTGCTAATAAGGTGTGATAGTGAAATTGGTTGTTCGAATAGTAATTTTAGCCTGGCAAGTTAGGGTACCATGAATGCTGGCATCTAGCTTTTATTCAGTTGTTTGTTGGTTCTAAAGTTCCTGGTACCATGCCCAAGAAACCTCCTTTCTGACATGAGAATCACTGTTATGTAGTAATTGTATTGATTAGGTGAATTTTATAATGCATCGGTTGATATTTTGTGGATTATTGTTATTATTATTATTATTATTATTATTATTATTACCTACAGAAAACCATAGTCGGTGCCCCCGTTGTTTGACTGCTTTTGTGTGTTCTAAATGCTTTCAACCTGGATTAATTTGATGCAAAACTACCATTCATTAATTCATATTAATTGTTAAAATGATCAATGAATGCACTAGAAGGAAGGTTTGGATAGCCAATGACAAAACCACTCGTAAGATGATTTTTGTTAGTGAGTATTGGAGAATCCTAGATACCCCATGTTTATGGTTGTCGTAACAAACACCCTATTTCAATCTATATCTTATAATTCATTGTTTATCCGATCAACAGGTGGTTCAGATTAAAAGGGATAGTGTAGATATTGATACCTCCTCGTACCACTGCAAGTGAGTAAACCTTTCAATCTAATTTGCATTGTCCGCGTGCTAGCATTTTTAATTACTATTATAACTTTCTGGGGTTTGCAGCGTCGTGAGGCATATTCCTCTAGACTCGATTGATTCATCCTTGGCAATAGGATTTTACTGCAGGGATAAGAGTAAGCTTGCAATGCCATTTTTGTTTTCTTGTGGCACCTTCATCACAAACACGGGATCTCATGCACAGAATTATTGCAGGTGACTTTGACGATTTCTGTTTGCGTGCATCTGAGCTTATAAACCAATCGAATGGCGCTCCCCTCTTTACAATCACGGAAACCCACAGCTCCCAAACCCCTGCAAATTACCGTGCAAACTCCCCCAGGTCTGAAGGCTTTGATTCCATAGACAATGTTCAGAACGAAGAAGTGGAAAATTCTGTGCAGGACGATGAGTGGCAACTGCTTTGAGGTGAACTCAAAACCTTGTACATTTTTAATCTCTCTCCCCGCTGCTATTTGTTTTATTTACACGGTGTGTGTTTGCCCCTTCGTGACTAGATTCATGCGTGCTTTACTTTATCTTGGCTTTTATACATTGGTTTAATTTAAAATTAACCGGAAAACTTCACATTATTCTTTAATTTGTATTCGAAAGCTTCGATCTTCAACCGGATTTGGGGATCCATTTCTCTTTCAATACCCTGTTTTTGGTTCTGTTAAGCAAATGTGGTGTCGATAAATGATTCCTACAGCAAGTACATAAGAGGTTTGGAGCTGTCGATTTCTCGACGCTGGAGAATTTATGAAATTGAATTTGGTTGGTGTGTAAGTAGTGAAAGCTAAGGTTTGTCTGAAATTGAGTTTGGTGTGCTGATAAAAGTCATCGACATTGATAACTTTGCAGGCATACTGTTGAATTCATTCATGGCTATGCCTATGCCTATTGAGTTTTCAGATTCAGTTAGTGAAGCCCATGTGCTCTCCTGTTTGTTTCTTGAATCAATTACCTATGCCTTTTGAGGTTTTTTTTTTTTTCTGTTTTTTTTTTCCTTCGGATTTTGGTACTATTTATGTGTTGAATTGAATCCTTTTTTTGTCTGTTTGATGGGTTGGTTGAAAGATGTTTTCTTGTTTATATAATGGGCATGGTTGTAATGCACATTAGGAGTAATAAGCATGTTGCGGTAATCAGTACATGAAAAATAGATAGACATTGTGGGAATAGACTTGTGATTGTGAAGTCATTAGTTCAAACTAAAAAAAATTAGATACACTGAATCATTCGGTATACTAAAATGGGTCGAACTTAATATCCTGCAAACCAGGCTCGATGAAAAGTCACACTAGGCGAACCATGTGTGTCAGGTGACCTGAGGCGTTATTAATTTATTTATACTTCATGTCACTTTACTTTTGGCTTCACTAAATTCGATGATATTTTAGATATTTTTTTTCTTGCACAATTACTTACCAATATAATGCTTCCTTTTTTCTTTTTTTCTTTTTTTATTAATCTATATAATTTTTATTTTTATTGATTTTTTTGAGAGAAGTAATCAGCTAAAAGAGATACTATAATTTGTGGCCTTTTAGAAGCTGCAGTGGGCTTGTCTTTATTACTCCCACCGTCATAGGTAATTTGGGGCGTCATAATGTAAACACTGAAATTTGGGTAAAAGTATTATTAGTAAGTAATTAAAAAATATATTAGTAAAAATAATTATTGTATAATAAAAATAATTATAAATTAAGATTAAGATAATTAAATATTTTAATTTAGATTTAAATAATTATAAAATATAAAGTTTAAAATGTAATTAAAATGTATAATTATATTTTAGAAAAATAAAAATACAAGTTATATGGGACGGATGAAAATAAAAAATATGGACAAATTATATGGGACGAGCGATACAAAGATAATGATTTATGTATTTACTTCTTTTATTAGAGAAAATGACATTGAATAAGTAGGAAAATTGATTCTAAAATACAATTAAACAAGTTTTAGATTTAATGATATGCTTTAAATAAGTGCATTTTTGGGCAAATAAACACATCCTATATTGTGTTTTATGAATTTTATTTTTTATTTTTTAGGATATACGAAATTTGTACATGCATGTGCCCCAAATAAGGATGATGAGATTCGAACTTCAGATATAGAGTAGGCTCTAATACTATGTCGGATATAAATTATTTATTTTGTCTTTGGATATATAAAAAATGACCATATATATCGAATTGATAGTAGTAAAGTTTTTATAGAAAATTCTATTAATTTGTATAATAAAAAAATTGAAACAAAAATTCAAATTTAATAAAATTTCTTTGCCTGTCAAATTACTGCAAAAATTAATTATAGTAAGTCGACACTATGGTCCCTACCTGCCCAACAGGGGCATTAATGTTCCCATCTTGCCTAGGGTCTGTTTGTTTGTTGGTCTATATATATTTGTATTATGAGGTTTCTTTTTTTTTTTTTTTTATTTCAAACAAAAATTATGGAGTATTATTCACACCATTATTTCCAATAAAATATTATTATTTTTATTTTTAACTGAAAAATCACATAAAAATAAGTATTTAAATTACAAAAGCACAAACTCAAACTAAAATGAAATAAGTTTACTAATGTTACCTTATTGCCAATTTTGAAAAAAGTCAACAAATTTAACATATAATTATTATTTTTAATTCAATATTTATTTATAACAAATATCATTATATTTATTATATTTTTTTTATTTATTTTAATTTTAATTAAATTTCAAATAATACCCTCAGCTATATTTTTACTTTTATTACTTTTTCAAAAAAATATATAATTTTCATATCGGATCCAAACGAGCTACTTTTGTATTAGAAAAATCATATCATCCACAATATATATTGAATAAATAAACTCTATATAAAAATAACACATTTTTAAAATATAAACATAACATATTATAAAGATCCAACACATTTCATTCAAATCATATATTGGTAGCCTATATTTTCGTTGCAGTCATAGTCTTGATCCAATCAAATCGGCATAGTGTTGATTTTTCATTAAAATTTGATCGGATCAAAGTATATAAAAGTAACACATAAAAATAATTAGTATATATTATATACTATCATACTCCCTCCGTCCCAGATACCATGTCTATGTTGCCGTTTCTGTTCGTCCCATTTACCATATCACTTTCATTTTTTTGGAAAATGATTACACATTTTAATCTCATTTTAATTTTTTTAATTTTTTTTTAATTTTAATTAAACTAATTAGTTATCTTAATCTTAATTTATAATTATTTATATTATAGGATAATTATTTTCACTAATACATTTTTAATTATCTACTAATTACACATCTTCTAAAATACCGTGTCTACAGTGTAACAGACACGGTATCTGGGACGGAGGGAGTAATATATTTATGATACTATTACATGTTATGTTATAATTCATGGTATTATATTTTATAACGCAATATATATATTGTGTTATACAAAAATATACGTTGTAATAGATTGACTTGATGAAATGAGCACCATGGTAATTTGATTGGTCAGCACCCAATCCGCACCCTCATGTTTTATATTTTTATCACCGCAATATTCATTAATTTAAATCAACACCTATAATCATTTTTCATAATTTCGTAATTAAATGGGTGCAATTAATTTCTACCCACGACAATTAGAACAATGTTATTTATTGTATAAAGTGCTTTTGAAAATTAAAATAAATACTCTCTCAGTTCCAATACTATAGTTTTGTTTACTATTTTTGTTTATTCTAAAACAATAGTCTCGTTTTCATAAATAACAATATCACTATAAAATTATTCATATCTTTTTACTATTATTACACAATTGCCACTATTTTTTTCACTAATATACTCACAAGAGCAAAAAAAAATCATTTATCCTTATTTTTTTTACCAATTATCAATATAATATCAATATTCCTAAAATTTTGTATCAAACACAGTAAGACTATATTTTTGGAACAAAATTAGTAAGAGTATATAAAAATTAAATGACAAAAACCTGTATATGTATAATATTAATTCCTCTGTATATTTACTACTCTCACATTTCGTGATATTTTAAATAAGAGTACTATGATTAATATATAATTAAAAATATATTAGTAATAATATTTATAATTCAATACAAATAATTATAAATTAAAATTAAAATGATTAATTAATTTAAGTAAAATAAAAATTATATATTAAAAAAAATAAAATACAATTAAAATATGTAACTATTTTTTATAAAAAAAAATAATGTAAAATGTGAGTTGTACAATTGTTAAGTGTCTATTTTTTTAATTTAAATAATGTAAAATATTAGTTTTTGTAAAACACAAACAAGTAGTGTTTTTTCAATATAATAATTTAAGACACTTAAATTAAAATACAATTAAAATATGTAACTAGTTTTTTAGGTTGTTAAATAATGTAAAATATTAGTTTGAGACACTTAACATGTTTTTTCAATATGTTAAGTATCTCAAACTAAGTCCGTAACTTGAATGAGTTTTTTCAATGACAAACAAGTATGTGGACAATTCTGCGAGAAAATGTCCATCCAAATAAGAGTTTCAATGATAAATGTAAGCAAATAAATTACATTATGAAACCAAGTCCGAAACCTGCTACGTAATTCCTGAAAGTTTTTAGTAATATGTAGTCAACAATTATCAACTTTGTACTAATGTGTTATTATGACCATCTTGTTCTTCTTCTTCTTTTTTTTTTTTTTTATTTTTTATTTTTTATTTTTTTTTATTTATAATGTAAGACTCTGCAGCCACTATCCATCGGGTGTGCTCTGTGTAAAGTCACACTAGACGAACTCTATGCATAACATACATCTAGATCGGCCTAGAAATAGAGCCAACGATTCTAAGCCCGGATATAAAACTCTTTAACCATACACCATATGAGTTCGCCTCGAAATATGAAACAAACTCAACCTCCATAGTAATAATAGCAATGATAGACTGATTCACCATTCTCCAATAGATAGCTCCACCAGCCAGCATAAATACACAATCTGATCTGAATTTTCGAGTGTCAATACAACCAGCGTACTCCGAATCAGAATAGTCATTTACTTCTAGAACACTAGCTTATTTATACATGAGCATAAAATTCTTTGTACTTTGAAAGTATCTTATCACTTTCGCCGTAGTTTTCTAGTTATCAAAATGGGGATTACTTTGATCTCCCTAATACTTTAACATCATATGCTATGTGAGGTTTGGCGTAAACCTGAGTATACATAAGATTTTCGATTGCCGAAATATAAGCGATATTTTCCAATATGTTTTATTTCGAAGTTATTTTTTAAGCATTGACTCAAATCTGAGTTTATCACCCTTCAAAATACGAGCTAAACTTAGTGAATGGTCTTTCATGTTAAATATTTTTAGAACTTTGTTGATATAGGCTTTCTTGAGATAAATTCAAATTTCTATCAATATGGATCTTAATGTCAATTACATAACATCTCTCTCGTATATTTATTTTTTGAAAGAAATTGTTTCACTTCATATTATAACTATTTACCATTAGTTGCTAAAGGCTACCATCCACATACGACACAAGAAATAAGACTTTAATTAGCCTTGTGTTTTTTATGAAAATGCATAAAATATTTCGAATTTTATTTATTGTGTGAAATCTCTTTATATTAAAGTAAAGTATACATAAAATGTCATATTCGTATAAATATGATGTTGATTATAAACACAAACCTAATTATATAAAATTTATACAAATATAATTATAAAAAAATATTTAATTTTTTAAATGATAAAAAAATTATCATCCATGTTTTTTTAGTGACAAACTGTTTTTTTTTTAAAAAATGATTATAAATAAAAAAAATTGATTGATTTTTTTATTTTTTTTAAATAAGACCATTTAAGATATTTGATATCTTTTATTTATTAGTATAATTAAATACGTATTTACAACTAAATATCAATTTTGAATTAATAAAATATATTTTGCATATTTTAATTTAATGCAAAAGAATTTCATATAATAAATAAAAATAAATGATATTTTGTATATTTTTGTAAAATATAAGGAATATTACACCATTTACCCTTTTTACATATCTAAAAAATATCAAATTCAATTTATTTATTTTTTCTTGTAGTCTATTATCTTATTTTTTCCGTCAAATGGTAATTTTTTCATTTGACTTTTGGATCCAGATTAAGGAAAATTAGTATTTTATAAATAGATATATGTTAAAAGTAATGTAATATCTATTTTAGAGTAATGTGAAAATTAAAAAGTAGGGATATTTTAATATTTAGTTAAAAATTATTTTTTTTAAAAATAAATAAATAAATAAAAAGTTTTGATTTAAACATACTAAAATAAAAAATAAAAAGTTTAGTAGTGAACAAAGAGTGCCCTTCACCTTTATATCAGAAGGGATTGGGGCATCCAACCTAAAATTGGTAATAGATGGAATGACCTTTCACTATATTTGGAAAGTTCTCACACATTTAGAAACGGGGGATAATATTCAACAATATATTTATATTGATTAATAAAATACTGTTATTTACTAATTTATTACGGGTGTGTTTGTTTGGGGGCATTGAATTGGATTTATACTATTCATCCAATTTTTTTTCTAAAAAATATAAAATCAATCAAACACCTATTTTTCATTTTTTATATTATACTAAAAATCAATTTTACATTCAAAACATTGCATTAACATCTATTTATATCACATCATATAACTATTCAAATTCAAAATTTTTATTATTCAAATCCCAACTCAAAATCCCTAAACCCTAAACCCTAAATCCTCAAACGAACACACCCTGCAAAAATCCATAAAATACGATGGAGGAAGTATAATACAGCCATTGGACTACTAGCTAAAAACAAATAACGGTGAAGAGCGAAAAGCACATACATTGGGATTGGGGCCATCCCATTCCCATCCTTTTCACACTATAAATACGCCCAACCCCAACCCCTTCTTCCTTCTCACTCTATCCTTCTTAATTCTCTACCGTCTTCCCCCTCTGCAAGATACTTTTAAATTTCTCTCTCTCTCTCCTCTGATAAAACGACGATTTATACACGCATACGTACATGGCGGAGGAGGCCAAAGTAAAGCAGAGCGGCGCCAGTAGCACCAGCCAAGAGGTTTCCGGTCCGATTCGCAGAGTGCTGCTCATATCCGCCGGCGCTAGCCACTCCGTTGCTCTTCTCTGTACGTACTAAGACTAAGACTAAGACTGCTTTTATTTCCTAATTTAGTTTCCTGCCTCTCCTCGATGTATGCGTTTTCTAGCTTACGCGTTGCTGCTGCGGTTTAATAATTTATTTACTAGATGCAAATGCGTTTCAATTTGTTTACATTTTCGATTTGGGGATTTTTTTATGCATATATGTTGGATTCATTTTTCTTCGGGGTAGTTAACTAGCCTATGGTTCACTTTGGATTAATTATAACTGGAGAGATGAAGATGAGACTGAGGTGTGGACTTTAATTGCTCACTGCATGGATTGCGTGGACAGGAGTTCCCCACGTTGCTCATTTTTCTTGTAATTAGGAATATAATCAGGGGCAAAACGGTAGTTTCACTCGGAAATTATTGCGCCGTACCGTAGTTAAGAAGATACTCCATGTTTCATGTCAGCTTAATTCTTGTAGAAGGAATGCTATTTAAACTGTTGATTTTGGTCAACAGTTTTTAAACATTTTGAAAGTTCCAATGTTTCGATCCTCTTTTATTCTTGTTATATTTAGGATGTGATTTATTATGGTCTCCTACACTTTTGAAAAGTAGATTTAGCTGCTGGAAACGTTTAGAGTGGATGAAAATGCACTGATTATAGGTGGAAGTAATTTCATTGCAATTATAATTTATAGCGATTGAAACTATAATACCAGACGAAATGGTTATGATGGATACTGAGTACAATTTGTTGTACTCGTACCAGTTATAATGGTTGGGATTTCAACTGCATTAATAAAAATTCTCGAAACTACCAGCAAGAAATATAATTACTTTTTAAAGAGAACATTATATTGAACAAGTAGATCGTTCATCATGAAAATGGCAAAGGGGAACTCTAGAAAGATATTAGAACGTTGAATGTTGCTTGTCATGTATTGCACATCCTAGATTCATATATTTTTTCATCTATCTGGGCTACGTAGTTTTACGTTTCTTCTAAAAAAGTTGTAATTTTTTAGATGGATCTAAGATGCCTGACCTGATTCAACTAGATCTCTACTAAACTTTAGATTAAGTCTCCCTCAATCTCAGCTGCCTTAGTGTTCTTAGGACACTCAACAATACACTGAGGGGAGTATCAGATACCTCGAATACCTAGTAAATCCTAATATTGGAACTTGACAATGAGAAGAGTCTTCATCATCATATCCATCAGATTGTTGGTTATGTGGAACTTGTTCACGCAAGAAGTGACCCCGTCAGTGAATAGTGCTTTGTTAATCACATAAAATCATTAGCATCCCTTGAGAAAAAACCATCTCTTTCATCAAACCCTGTATCTGAGTAGCCTCCTTTACACAGTTAGAATCAACAAATCGAACAACGCCACCTCTGTTGAATCTCAAAAACCAATCCAAACTTTGAGTTTCCTTTAAAGTGACAAAGAATCCATCTTGCCGTTCTCAATAATGCTTCTCTAGCCTGATGGTGTAGGGTTGGATGCTTCTATGTATAAAATGCACAATCAAATCCAGAAACAGCTGTTAGGATACGCCCCTCACGGGTAAGGGGATAAACGCCACCAAACTAAACTTGTCCTTGGACAGTAACAAATGAAAGACGGTGGGACTCGAACTCGAGATCTAAGAGATACCATGTTAAATGAAATAAATGACATTGTTTAATTATTTATCTACAAATTGGAGTAAACCAACATCCCAGAATTGCCATTACAAATAATCTTCATGTTAGCACCCAGCGCCTTTGTGCAACATCTCCTTCAACTTGGCAATAAGACTATTGCCTACAGATGTAGTTCTTATATAAAAGTAAGTAGACGAAGGAATCACCAAACCTCTTGAAATAAACCCAATTATAGTACTGATTACAAAAATAGCTATGTCCACTACGAGGAGTCTGCTTTAAGCCATAAAAGCAACTTTTGAAGCATTATTACCAAATTTTCCTTCCTGGAAACCACAAAACCCTTATGCTGCATAATATGTATAGCTCCGGAAGCTCGCCACGCAAGAATGCCATCATTACTGCCTGAGAGATAAACGTGAAGAAGTCATACTTGTTGGGAGTTGAACTGTAGAAACACGATTCCCAAAATACAGTAGCATAGAACAAAATTGAAAGAAGCAAGCAAAAGAAATGAAGACAACTTAGATCAATTTATTGGATCAGTAGATAGTTGATAAATGACAATATCAATTCGCTCAAAGGATATAAAAAAATAAATCAATAAATAAATAAAAATTAAGACCTCACTACAGACAAATTCCAACAGTAATGTCTGTGACCTTGTTGAATAGCATATTACTATGCAATCCTTGATAATAAAGGTTCGAAGGATTATCTAACTTGCTAGAACATTGGCACAAAATGATGATGGTATATGTGGATCACATCATGCAGCTGGTGATGTTGTTTGCTCATGGGGAAGGGGAGAGGATGGACAGTTAGGCCATGGAGATGCTGAGGATCGGTTTTCACCTACTCAGGTGAGTGCGCTGGATGGCCGAGATATTGTATCTGTTACTTGTGGAGCTGACCACACAACTGCATATTCTGAGACACAGATGCTAGTTTACAGCTGGGGATGGTAGGCTCCTTTTAAATCCATTCACTGTTTGGGTATATTCCTATTCAAAAGAGTTGTTTTCAAGTACTGTATTGCTCTTTGCTAATTGTACGAATGCATAACCTTTCATAGGGGTGATTTTGGGAGATTAGGCCATGGAAACTCCAGTGACTTGTTTTCTCCTCAGCCGATAAAAGCTTTACAAGGCCTACGTATAAGGCAAATTGCTTGTGGTGACAGCCATTGCTTGGCAGTGACCATGGAAGGCGAGGTTCAAAGGTTGCTTACCTGATGACTTCTAATTACTATGGGTTTAGTAAATATTGTCCACAAACTGACATTTATCATGGAATAGGTTGTTTTGTATGGTCCATAAAACGTGTGCTATGTGAAAGTAATTGGCCTAAAACTTAAGACTATCTATTTTCTTATTCCCGAAAGATTTTGCATGGCATCTTCACTCTTTTTTACTTATTTCAAATGAAGTTGGGGAAGAAATCAAAATGGTCAGCTAGGGCTTGGGACTACTGATGATTCTCTATTGCCTCAGAAGATCAAAGCTTTCCAGGTATTGTCAACAAGTTGGCTAGCAGCAAGTTAACAGAAATCCTTCAAATACTTGATAATATTAAAATATGAAGATCTACATCTGTATATGCTCTTCGCCCTTCAGTATACCTTGTTCTTTCTTATATCTAACCTCATGTAAACTAGCTTATTTTTCTCTCTCTTTTATTTATATAATAAATTTCTGTATTTCCAAAGCAAGTGTTTTGTGTATATCAAGCATCATTGTTAGATTAAAAGTTTGCTGTAAGCTGACAAAGGACAAAGGTAAATCTTTTTTCACCAACTGCAGGGAATACTAGTGAAAATGGTTGCTGCTGGTGCGGAACACACAGCTGCTGTAACTGAAGATGGTGAGCTCTATGGATGGGGATGGGGTAGATATGGCAATTTGGGATTAGGTGACAGGGAAGACCGATTACTTCCGGGGAAGGTCACAACTGTTGAGGTATACTATATGTAAGCCCATTATTAGTGTGTCACTTTAATTAGTTCGGACTACGTCCTGTACGAAATAATCCAAATCCTGTATCTCATCCTCATTATTTAATGTTGGTAAAATTGTGACAACTATAAGCTATCTTCTCATGCTATATGCTTTTATGGACACGATTGACCTATACTTTTGTTAATTAAAATGCTTACGGATTTACTTTATGCTGCATAAGCTTTATATTAAGAGGAACGTGCTATAAGGAAAAAGATAGGCACAAGAAGTTATTACACTTACGTTTGGTTTCATAGACGTGATACTTACTGTAATGCTGCAGGGCGAAAAGATGGTCCAGGTAGCATGTGGGTGGAGACATACAATTTCTGTCTCCTCTTCTGGTAGCCTGTATACTTATGGGTGGAGCAAATATGGTCAACTAGGACATGGGGACTTTGAAGACCACCTCACCCCTCATAAGCTGGAAGCATTGTCTGACAATCATATATCTCAAGTAATTTTCTTGACGAACATTGGCGCAAGAGATGTCCTAATTCTTATAAGTGGTCCTAATCCTTCTTGTTATGCCTGTCAGATTTCAGGTGGTTGGAGACACACTATGGCATTAACAAATGATGGGAAACTTTATGGATGGGGCTGGAATAAGGTTCGTAAAAAATTGTTCCTCAACAACCGTATCATGATCCTCAAGGAATCGGATAATTGACTGATATTTAACATAAACATTGAATTGAGCTGTGTTTTTTAGTTCAAGGGAGTTGATTTACTTCTGATGTAACTTTTCTTGAATGTGAACTTTTGTGTATCTAAAGTTTGGCCAAGTCGGTGTCGGCGACAATGTAGATCATTGCTCCCCCATGCCGGTGAAGTTTCCTCAAGATCAGGTACAGAAATTTTATCTGCTATCCTATGCAACTTATTTCATTTCAATTATCCATTTGTATTTGTGCTTGGCAGAATGTAGTTGAGATATCCTGTGGCTGGAGGCATACGCTCGCACTCACCGACAGGCAAAATGTCTTCTCGTGGGGACGGGGCACGAATGGCCAGCTCGGACATGGTGACACTGTTGATCGGTAATATCTTAACAGCCTGAGTATATTATCCCATGTTGTCTTATCTTGTATTGAGGTGACATACAACCGATGCATATGTTTGATTCAACATCTGTTCCAGAAATGTTCCGAAGATTATAGAGGCATTGAGCAAAGATGGATCAAGTGGGCAGCACATAGAGGCATCAAAAGTGGATGTATCATCAGGTTTCTATTCAGCACACAATTTTTATCATGATTTCTCAAAACTGTAAGCTAACTATCAATGGCTTTCATCTCCAGATAAAACTTGGGTGTCCCCAACCGAGCGATACGCAGTCGTCCCCAATGAGAATGTGAGTTTTTAACTATGTGCTGAAATCCATCAGTGAGATCGTTGACTCTGCTACGTAATGATGCAGGTTCACGGACAATCGGCAGCCTCCTTCGGTGGCGGCGGCAATGGAGCCGACGCCAATGTGCCTGAAAATGACGTGAAAAGAATGAGGATTGGAGGTACCATTTAAGATTTTGTTGCAAGTTTGCTTAACTGCTAATATATATTATGATGAGGAAACTGCAGAAATATATATGTTATGGTTCTTTAGCTGTTTTATGTACTGCTACTGCTGCTGTCTCTCTGCTTTGGTATTCCATAATTGAGTACTTTGTGGCCTGTGTTTGGCACATCACAAAGCACCAACCCACTTTGAATATCCCATTACACATTGATAAATTGTGAATTATTATTAGCAAATTTAGGGGGTGGGTGTGGGGGTGGTGATGACGATCCCCACCCCACCCCACCCCACACGGAAATATATGTGTAGAGTGGACTGTAGGATGAGCCGAGTCAAGTCAAGTTGGATTTTTAGGAATCAAATTCAGACCGCATACAATTCTGATCCATAATAATTATTATTTCAATATTGGATAGATTATTTCATAGCCATTGCCCATTGATTCAGTCGTTCATTGAGATAGGTCATCAGACAAAACAGTCAACGTCTATCTTACAGAATTCAATGAGTGGAACCCACCACTCAACTGTACGGTCGATCTTTGGGTGTATCGAAACGTACTGAAAAAAACAATATATATATATATATATATATAGTTAGCAGAAAAGCAAAACGAAGGGTAGAAGTAGACAGATGGATGATGATATACACGATTGTAGAAAAATCTGCTTAAAAACGATTCGTACTTGTTTGGCTGTGTTTTGGAATGGTAAATATATATTGAATTTTAATAATTATTTGATATGATATTTTAAATAAAAATAAAATTTTATATTTTATACATCTTCTGTCCAATTTAAAGGATTTTCTTTTTTTTCTTTTTTGTATTTTAGTGTTAGCATATTATATTCAAACATTTAGATAGTTTGAATACACTAACTAATGAATGCATATAAATGAAAATAGTGGAGGCTATGGCTATCATTGCCTATATATCTTCTCTCAGATCTATCCCATAATTGAAAGTATGAGGAGACAAATATGAGCCAAAAACAATTAACTTAATTATATCAATTTGAAGTTTATTTATTTAATGAGAAATAATAATAATAATAATAATAATATGAGAAAGTGGGCTGGTTCACCCAATAATATATACTTCCTTCTTTCAAGCAAAAAAAATATATATTTACTGTAGATACGAAAATTCAGGTAAAGTGTGATTAGTAAGTAATTAAGAAGTGTATTAATAAAAATAATTATACCGTATAATTGTAAATTAAGATAACTAAATAGTTTAATTAAGATTAAAAAAATTATAAAATTTAAAATTTAAAATGAGATTAAAGTGTATAATTATATTAAAAAAAAAGGAATGGACAAATTATGTGGGACGGACGAAAATAGAAAATAGGGACAACTTATTTGGGAGGAATGGAGTAATAGTATTTTAATTATATTGAGTAAGTAAAAGTAGTGTAATTATATTTTTGTCTTATTTTTTTTAATATAAAAGTAATGTTGTGATGTAAAATAAACATATTTATGAAAAAAAATTAGATATTTAATGAAATTATTACGGAGTAGTATATTTTATCTTACAAAAATAACAATTTAATATAAATTATTTATTTTTATATTATCGACATAAATTTTTCATATATAATGCATAAACTTCTTTAAATTATTAATAATAATGATGGATGGACATGGGGAGAGGGAAAAAGTATAAATTTTGTAATTTAGGTTAACACTTAACTAACATGATATTAAAGTAGGTATATCCACTGCAGAGTACCTTAAAAATACTCTCTTCGTTCCAAAAAAAACAAATATGAGGCTATTACCGTAGATACGAAAATTTAGATAAAATATAATTAGTATATAATTAAAAAATGTATTAGTAAAAATAATTATTATTTAGTAAAAATAATTATAGATTAAAATTAAGATAAGTAAATAGTTTAATTAAAATTAAGAAAATTATAAAATTTAAAATGCAATTAAAGTGCATAATTATATTTCCAAAAATAGAAATGATAAGTTACGTGGGACGAAAAAAAATAAAAAATAGGAACAAATTATGTGGGACGGAAGGAGTAATACTTTTATTTGTCTAGCAATTATATTTTCATTTTAGACCGTTATTTAAGCATTTTTTAATGGAATCAACTACGATGTAGAATTTAAAAATATTGATGTTTTCTAAATTTAAACCAAATAGATAATCGAAAATCTTACAGTTATTTACAAATATAATCAACTATCATAGTGTATTAATTAAGTTAAACTTTTATAGATCAAGTGGTGAGAATGTAATATATGACAAAGAAAAAAACACAAAAAAAAAAATAAAAATGGATGGCTTTTATATGTGTTGTTATCAAGAACTAATTTAATGTGAATAAAAATCAAGAATTTGTTTGTCCTAAATTGTTGAATACATGGACTTGTTAGACACAACTAATAACACAAAGCATGATGCAATTATGAAAAGACATAAATCTAAATTTTTCTAAACCATATTGTGTTATGTGGATTGTTATTATGTATTGTTAATTTATACTCCCTCTGTCTAAGCAAAAAGTATACATTTATTTTTAGCGTGGAGTTTAAAAAATAATAATATTTTAATTATAGTGGGTAGGTAAAAGTAATGTAATGATATTTTTTGCCTTTACTTCTTTTGGTATAAAAGTAATAATGTGATGTAAAGTAGGGATATTTGTGAAAAAAAAAAATGGAGTATTTAATGAAATGATTACTTTGTAATTGAACATCTCAAAATAGAAACATGTATATTTTCTAGACGATGGAAGGGAGTATTATGCATTTTTATAATGTACTGTCAATTTATATATTATACACACTACTTAAAAGTTAATCACCACCCTAACCCCATTATATATGTATATGTATATATACATTGCCCATTCAACATGAAAATTTGTAATTGACTTTCTTCACTTCCTAAATCTGCCACTCATATTATATACCTCCACCACTACTACTGCTACTACCTGATGATGATGATTTATGAGAATTGGAATAAATAAAAATCTGAATTTAAATAAAGTACAAATGCAGCATTTGTTTATACTTACTATTCATAATTTTATTTATTTTTTTACATATCAAATTATATTTTTATTTTTATTTTTATTTTTACATTACATGAAAAATAAAATTTACTTCCAAAATACTAAATCAATATCTTATATCACATCAAACAAATATTCTAATTTAAAATTTTCATTTTCAAAAACCTACCACTAAACAATTAATTAAATTCCAAACCTGAATGCTATATGTAATTTTCATCCAATTAAGGATGTCAACCATTAAAAAAACTCGTTGAATTGTGAGTTGTAAGATATTCATAACAAAACAAATCTAATTTCTTGCAAATTCAGGCCACAAAATTAAATCCTTATGTTTTTATATTATACTAATAACTAATTTTATATTTAAAATATTAAATCAATATCTATTTATATCAAAGCAAATATTATTTTAATAAAAAAATTAGTGAAAATAATTATTCTATAATATAAATAATTATAAATTAAGATTAAGATAACTAATTAGTTTAATTAAAATTAAAAAAAAATAAAATTTAAAAATTTAAAATTAGATTAAAGTGTGTAATTATTTTAAAAAAAATAAAAGTGACATGGTATGTGGGACGGAGGCAACGTGAACATGGTATCTGGGACTGAGCGAGTATTATTTAAAATTCAAATTCACTGCCAAACAAACATACCTATAAAAAGAAAATTTTGATATAATATTCTTAAATACAAAAAATATATATATATTTTTTTAAAAAAAGGAAAATAGTATGACTGAGTATTCAAATGTGAATTTAAAAACATACACCAAAGACATCATCGTCATCATTTTATTATTATTATTATTATTATTTATTTAATATTAGCCTTTTTATTTCTAAAAGTAATATACAGAATTTATATATTACTCCTTATATCTATAATATATGTATCATTATATATATATATATATTCCACTGGAAAGGAAAAAGGTAAGTTGAGGAAGATGAGAGGTTCAATGGAGCACGAAGCTTCCGGGTAAGTTAAATCTGAAATTCTGAAAGTTCAACACAGCACAGCACAGCACAATCACTTCAGTCTTCAATTTGACTTGAAACTTCTACGAATCCGTTCAATTCGTTATTTTAATTTCTACAATCGTATCAATCATTTACTTACTTACCTCAATCAATAATCAATTATCAATTCCATGGCCGCTGCTGCAGATTCGAGTCGAGTGAGATGCTGGCCGCCTATCTGGCCTCCACTCCTCTCCTGGAAGAGTCATGGCGGATGTGCTTCAAAGCCAACACCGCCGCGCAGCAGAGCTTCGCCGTGAATCGCGTGGGGACGGTCACCTACGTGGCCTTCTCCGGCGTGCAGACGGTCGATTGCTCGGAAGAGAGTTGCCGGAGCCTCGTGGATATGGAGACCGGAGCCGACGGAATCTTCGGCGCCTTCTGTTGTGGCCGACGGGAGGAAGAAGAAGAAGATCAACGGCCTATAATGATCCACGGTGGCATTCTGCAGTTGTTTCTCTTCTTTTACCGTTCTAGTACCTTCCAGCGCCAGGTAATTACTACTTTACCCTTTTCTCTATTTGTTCTATCAAATTAAAATTTTATTCAATTTTCATGAGTAACAGAAAAAAAATTTTGGAATTGTTTTAAAAAATTTGAAAAATAAAATTTCGAAAATAAATATAAGGTTGAGATTGAGAATGAATCGAAAATGTTAAAAACAAGAAGTTCCCAAAACAAATTTGAAAACATAATTGGTGTGTTTCTTTCGGTAGAGATTGAGAAAAAATTGATTTGAGTTTGGTATTAAAATAAAATTCGATAAAAATTTGTCTGAATTTAGTATTGAAACAATATTTGATGAGGTGTTTTGTGTAAAGTATAATTTTTTCGAAAAATACAGAGTTTAAATAATAAAATTTGAGAAAATTTGATTAAAAACCAGACCCGTACTTCCGCATAATTTTACACATGTAGTCACCATTACTTGTACATTTGTAAGAATAGAAAAGAATAGAAACTATTATAAGCAATTGTCAGAAGGAAGGAGATAATTTGTTTTCATTTGTAATCATTTAAAGTACCTTAATTTTTGTGTTTGTTAGAGGGTTTTGGATTTTGAATTGGGATTTAAATAGTAAAAATTTTGAATTTGAATAGTTGTATAATGTGATATAAGTAGCTGTTGATGTGATATTTTTAATTTAATGTTTTGAATGTAAAATTGATTTTTAGTATAATATAAAAATAAAAAATAAATTTTTGATTTAATGTTTAATTTAAAATCCAATTACATATTTGAGTCCTAGGACCACTGTTACTTTTAGACATTTATAAAAATAAATAAATATTAGGGTCCTAGGAGAATTATTATTATAATATATTTTTGAAGGAAAAACAGGGTTAGCAATAATTCAGTGATACTCTCTCCGTCCCATATACCATATCTATATCGTCGTTTTTGTCTGTCTCACATACGATGTAATTTTTCTTTTTTGAAATATGATTACAAATTTTAATCTCATTTTAATTCTTTTAATTTTATTTTTTTTAATTTTAATTAAACTAATTAGTTATTTTAATTTTAATTTATAATTATTTATATTATAGAATAATTATTTTCACTAATACACTTTTAATTATCTACTAATTACAGCCCCTCTTAAAATATTGTGCCTACAGTAAAGACGGAGGGAGTATTTGATTAATCTGTTGAAAAATGGGAAACACAAATAGATTAGTTATTTTTACATGTATTTGTCAATTGAGCATGAAAAAAATGCTTCTGGAAGTTTTTATTATGAAGGACGAAAAAAATTCTAAGAAAATCAGAGTTTTCATACTATGAGTCAATGAACGTGTTTAATCAATGGGTCCATTAATAAAGAACGTGTCGGTTTCTAATAAGGTGTCCCATTTAATTAATCCAAGTGGTTGGGATAATTTTAACCTTTTCATTTAATTTTTAAAGAAGATCATCAAAATTATTTATATATAAAATTAGTTTGGAATGACCTGAAAGGGATATAGACACGTCTTTGATTTTTATTTTTCAACCATGATTATGACTAATAATTTGGTGATTATATGACATTTGTTAATGCACTAACTATAATTAATTAGTATTGTACAAGATAGTACGCCACAACGAACATATACTACAATTGATTTTAGTACATATATAAAATAAAACAGACATTTCATGCTAATAGTCTATATAATATGTATTGTATAAACCAGTGTGTTCAAACTATATTTCATGTGCTGGTGTTAGATTAGTCCTAATTAGGGCTCTAATGTTGAATATATCTCGCATTGAAAGAAATACCAGAATCTCCTTGTCCGTTTTAAGGGATGGCCTGGTGGTGTAGGGGTTGGACTTATGACCGTGAGGTCATGGGTTCAAACCCTTGACGCCTCAGATCACCTGCCACACATGGTTCGCTGGATCTACCCGGATAACTTATATATATATATATATATGAAAAAGGACAGGATTTGTTTATGATTGCCTTTTTGGTGGGTTGGATTTTGCTGGTCAAAATTGGCATCTTTGTGTAAGAATCTGCCAAAACTATTCGAAATCCTTTATAATCAAGGAATATGTTGGGTTCAATGTTTCTAGGTGTATTGATGACAATTAGTACTAGTGAAAAAACAGCATCTTGATTTCATTATTTTCAATTGTCTGCCATCTTGATTTCTACTGTAGAACTCATATGTACTATATGAAAACATTTGATCATTGATCATCAAGATCATGAGAATGGTTAGCCACTCACTGGGACTAACTGGCCCCAACACACAAACTTAATTCTATTGCGTACAATCATATGCTGCCCGTCGATACTCGGATTGTCGCGTCGGATTCGAGTTGAAAGCCTCAATTCTAATTCGATCCGTTTATTATCATGTTGAGTTCGTGTCAACCCGTATATATAATCAGATTAAAATCCTCGACCCAAACCCAATTACTCCCTCCCTTTCATATCTATGTATCTGTTTGCTTTTTGCACAGAATTTTAGAGATACTAGTATTACATTAAAATATAGTATGAATAAAATAGAAATAACTAAAATAACTTTATTACTAATATTGTGTGATACAAAGATAATGACATTTGTGTAATATATTATAAGTTGTAAGAGTATTTGTAATATTAAATAGACACTACGATTACTAAAAGAAAAAAATGAATACTTTGTTACGAGGCGGACCAAAATAAAAATAAATAGATTGTTAAGGAACAGAGAGAGTATTTGATTTCAAATTGTCGTACGACCCTCGTATCATAAAATCAACTAATAAAAACCTCCAATGAATGCAGATGCACCAAATAATGAACGAAAGCAAGTCAGTTGTGGTCGCCGGCCATTCCCTGGGAGGATCAATGGCTACCATGACAGCCCTTTGGCTCTTGTCCCTGATCCAAAGCACCTGTGCTACACTCAAAGTCCTCTGCATCACCTACGGCTCGCCGATGCTCGGAAACGAGGCGTTCTCCCAAGCGCTCCGCCGCGAGCGATGGGACGGGAACTTCTGCCACATCGTCGCGCCGTACGATGTTGTCCCGAGAATGCTGTTCGCTCCGGCGACCCCGCTCATGGGCGAGTTTCTTGCACTCTTCCAGTTCTGGCAGACCTCCATGGCGGATCCATCTTTCGCGCAATTCGCTTCCCAGATACACTACGAGATCAAAGGCCGGGTATTCGATACTATCCTGTCTTACACTAAAGAGAGGGCGCGAGGAGACGAGGTTCGAACAACTTCATTTTGCCCGTCGGGGAGTTACATGTTCTGCACCGACAAGGGCGTGATTTGCTTGGACAACAGAGCAGCTATCGTCACGCTGCTTTACTTGACATTCGCAAATGGGTCTGCCGATTCTTTCGTCATGGATCATCTCAATTACGGAGATTACATCGGGAAAGTTTGCTGGCAGTACTTACAGAAGAAGAGTTTGACGGACGCGGGGAGTTCTAAGTCGAGCAGCGAAGCTGGGATCGCATTGGCCTTACAAGCATCCGGGATATATTCTCAGGTAACCTTAATCTCCTCGACTACTTCCATATCTATGACACATTACAAAGAAATCGCTACAGATTTGACGAGCTTGCACTTGCGCTTTCCTACAGGAACCGATGTACGGGACGGCGAAAGACTGTCTTGCTATTGCAAGACATTCGGGATGTAAGCGCAGCCTCAACAACGCTAAAATGGCTGTTTCCTTAGCCAAATTCACTCCTCTGAGGGCTCAAATAGAATGGTACAAAACATATTGCGACGAATCTGACGATCAGATGGGATACTACGATGCGTTCAAGCGAAGAACGGCTTCAAAGAGAGGTTCCAAGGTCAACATTAATCGTCTCAGGCTCGGGCAGTTTTGGGACGACTTGATCAACATGCTTGAAACCAATCAATTGACACACGATTTCCATAACACACCAAAGTACGTCAACGCTTCCCAGTTCTACAAACTCCTAGTCGAGCCCCTGGAAATCGCCGAATACTATAGAACACTTATGCACAAGAAGAAAGGCCACTATATCGAGCATGGAAGGCCGAAAAGATTCAAGGTTTTCGACAAGTGGTGGAGATCAAGAAAAGTCGGAGACGAAGAAAGCAACCCGAGAAGCAGGTTTGCAAGCTTAACGCAAGATTCGTGCTTCTGGGCTCAGGTGGAGGAAGCAAGGGATAGCATATACCTCATTGCTGGACACATGGATCCGGGGAAGCATTCGGTTTTGCTGGAAAAAGTCGAAAAGTTTGAACAATACACAAGGGGAATGATCGAAAGGAAAGAGGTTTCTGTAGATGTACTGGCGAAAAACTCAAGCTACAGTCTATTCCTAGAGGAATGGAGAGAGCTAAAGTCCCAGCTACAGCTACTCCCGCCTCGATTCCCAGCTTCACAAGACAATATGGTTCAGGACATCATTTTAGAAGGCGACGACACTTACTTGTAGGCTTTCCAAGCCGTGAACCTTGTGTTGTGCGCCTTGCGATGTCTCTTTTATATATATATATATATATAAGCTGAATTTATCTTTAGTAAAGACAGCTATACCTCGTACGAGAACAGGTTTGTATATATATATATATATATAATGCAGGAAGATGTCGAAAATTTAAATCTATGCTTCTAGTAGATCTTAGCAAAGAGCTTATGCTATAAGCAATAAAAGGACTCTACAACCACACTCTATAAATTCTGGTCATGTCGCATTCTAATGGACGATTACGTCAATTTATTCAGCACTAAATTCCTTGGATTAACATTCAAAAGAGTGTATATGAATCCTTCTGAATGTGGCAAGGAATGCTTAGCAGAACAGCACCCGTTGGATAAATAAAACCTTTTACTGGGAATTGCAACAAACATGATCCAAAACCTCTAGCTATATTAGAATGAATGAATGATTAAAGTACATACATATACCTGGAATTAAGTTACTTATACGCGAAGCCAATACACGAATGCCCGTTGAAAGAATATTTAGTATTTACGGTTTAATCTGTCCAGTCCATCATTCGTCTGGATAAAGCAGTGAGACCTGGAACAAGATCATTTCGTAAGTGGACTGTATAGAGGATCCGAATTTTATTTCAGTAAGAAATGTTTCAACAGCTCAACTGAAGAAGACTAATTAAAATAAGCCAAATTCTTCACAGTAACACATTCTGCTTTTAATCTTTGCACTGACCATTTTGAATGTTTACAGATTCGCTGATCAATTAGGCAAAAGCGAAGCATAGCAATTCAAAGTGGCATATTGATTATTACTCTTCAACAAAATTAACATATTGCACCAGCAGCACTATTGATATGTTCCCTCAGCTTCACAATCAACAAACCATCTAAGTAGTGGCACAAATACTTCCTACGACGGTATTGATAATTTCAAACGGCAAAAGGCTAAAATTACCTTAGGAGAGCAGCTTCAATTTACCTCAATTGCTTTGCTCGAGGATGCAATACAAGAAGTTGATCCATCATGATTAAAAAACTACCATTTGTTTCCTCTTCAGGTTGAAGAAATGGCATCAAATGAATGCAGAACTTGTTCCAGCATCATTCTCCTTTCCACATCCAGCGAGTTTTCTAATCCATCAGACTGTGTAATATTCAAAAGGTAGAGCTTCTTAGATGCCACAAAAGCAGCAGAAAAGATCCTTTTCAGCCCTCCTCTGGTGCTATCGACCTTATATTCAAACTCATATACTTTAGTGCCAGCCTGGCCCGATCTCTCCGAGAAAGAAATGACCTCAGCTTCCTTTGTGCTTTCCTAATATTTCGAAGTTCTATTTTTTAGGAAATTTACCAGTCAAAGAGAATAGGATTACAAGGTATAGCTAAAAATGAAGATTAACCATGGAATAATAATTCCAAATTCAGGGAAGTTAATTAAAGAATACATACGTGTGTTTCGAGGAGTTTCTGATTGAAGTTTGAAACATCTTACAAGGGATAAAGAACAATGTGTCACATAAAGACATATTTTCTGAAAGTGGAGACTTTATCACTAGATTTCATGAACACTCGGCAAATACACATTATTGTATCAAGATATTGTTGGGATAATCTTTGGGTCACAATACATATTCAGAGGCAAACACCACCAAAACTAAACATGCTCTGCATTTGAATACAATTTCTAATCCTTAAACACAACTACACAAGTTTCGTCATTGTTTACATCCCACAGTTTCGGAAGTTTTGGGCGTAACTTTTTCAAAAAAATATATCGAAACAAATGCCTATTTCATCTCTCAAAACATAGCACAACTACACTGTTTTTTACTATTTTCAAAATTCTCTCTAAACAAAACCTATATTTTTCTTAACATTGCAGTCGACGCGATGGAATCTGCATACAGTACATTAAAGTGTATTCAAAATTATGAGCTCAGACAAAAAATGGAGCAGACCTTGCGCCTTTCAGCCTGAATAAGCTTATCCGCTACGAATTCAGGAGTCCCAAATTCACTGAGACTTGAAATGCGAGTCGGATTCACCACTACACCTACATTGTTTGCCTTCTTGTTAGGATCCTCAAAAAGAACTGTTGCCCCTGCCTTGTCTACCTGATTACATATATACATGTATATATGTATATACATTAGTCCCCAAAACGATAAGCCCAAATTGGAGAGTTTCGATGAATGATCAACGCTCGGCCAGCACATTTCCTAAGTGAGAAACTGAAACGGGGTTCGAACCTTAATCCAGGAAGAAGGCACGAGGAGAGTGAAGCCTTCTTGGGAATCAGTGTAACTAACAAGCTCCGGCTCCGGCGCCGGCGAGGCAAGGGCCATGGGCAAGCACAAGGGAAGCTCCAGTGATGCTACAAATCCGACAATTGAGAGGCTGAGAATTCTTCTTCCCAGAGAAACTGCCAGTGGAGGGGATAACGTGGGGGACGAAAACGAGGCTTTTGGCTTTCTGTGTGGAGGAGTTGCAGCGAGATTGTGAAGAAGGTGGGAATGGTGTGAAGAAGAAGGATTAGAGAGTCCACACAAGGCCATTGCTGAGTGGTTCAAGTGCTCAACGACGATCGAAAGTGATTGGATTAGCATTTAGCTGTGATTCTGCGCGGAATCTGGAATGGATTTTGGATCATCGCGCTCTCACTGCATCTGCGGATTCGTCGAGAAAACTGTCGCGACGTACATTTCCTAATTGGGTATGGGCTTTTCTGTAATTGGGCTTTTAAATATTGGGCTTACTCTGAAATGGGCCAAACTTGAAAATTAAAAGTTTGTTTAGTTTTATTTTAAATCTTAAATAATATTTTGGATATATGATATTTTATTAAAAAATAATATATATATTTTTTTAAATAATATAAAAGTTGAATAGTCCACACCCGTGAATTTTTCATATTAATTAATTAGTATGTGAGTTAGTGATATATAGGCTGTTTTTTCTATATTGATTAATTAATGGGTAAGTTAATAAATATTTCCTTCACCTAATTACTTAACATTAAAAATTTCATAATATCTATATAAATGTTTACACAAAGATTATTATAATATTAATATATTTGTATTATAAGACACTATTTTATATACACTCTTTTAATGTCTAACCTCTTCAAAAAAAATTTACACAAAAATTGAGGATTTCTTTTTAACGACGGTTAAAGCCCTTCGGCCGGAGGCGGAGAGTGCGTAGCAAGGAACATAAAAAAAAATAGGAAGATTGAGTGGACAATTAAAATGGAAAATTTTTGAGTGGACTGAGAAAATATTATTTTATTAGTCAGTAGAATTATGTAAAATAATTTTGACATATTTTCTCTTTAAGTATAAAAAAATATATTTTGTAAAAAACAAGATACTTTGCTATTTGTATATTGATTACATAATAAAAAATAGATACTATTAATGAAAATAATATATTAAGTTGAGACGGATAAATATATATTATGTTGGAATAAAAAATTATTAAGTACGTATTCAAATAATAACAACTACAATTCTGACGTTATTGAAACTATTTATGTATGTACATATACATGTATATATATTTTGAAAAAAAAATTATTTTTTGTCTAAATATAACCAAAATTCATTAATTTTGGTCCAAATATAAAATTTTTATCAATTTTTGGTCCCAATATAACTAAAACTCATCATTTTTTGTCTCAATATAACCAAAACTCATCATTTTTGTCCCAATATAAATTTTTTATCAATTTTAGTTTCAATATAATCAAAACTCATCATTTTTTGTCCCAATATAATTAAACCTTATCTTTTTTGGTCCCGCCGTCAACAAACCGACGGAAAATGCTAACGTGGACTTGCAAGATTGTGCAATTTCTTCAAATATAAATATGAGGTTTGACTTCTTTTCACGTCAGTATTTTTCGTCGGTTTCTTGACGGTTGGACCAAGAAAGATAAGGTTTGATTATATTAGGACAAAAAACGATGAGTTTTTGTTATATTGAGACTAAAATTGATAAAAAATTTATATTTGGACAAAAATGATAAGTTTTGGTTATATTGAAACCAAAATTAATAAAATTTTTATATTGAGACCAAAATTAATAAATTTTGATTATATTAGTACTAAAAATAATTTTTTCTGGTATATTTTTAAAATTTAATAGTATATAAAAGGAAGAGAATATTCAAGAGGGACGCGGAGAGTATACATTGAATTTGAATTATTAATGAGGTGCATGCCACTTTGGACCGTTGTTTTATTCCTTCAATTTTTATTTAATTAATTTTTTATTTAAACTTAGTCTTTAGTCAAAACCTCCATGACGACTCTAACATTGTTTACGAACACATATATATATATATATATATGAAATTTATTGTCATATTTATCGATAGTAATTTTTAAAATATATATTAAATGTTTTTCTATAAAATATTCAATTATGTATTATTTTAACAAAAGTTTCAAGAACAAGTCACTTTCATACTTTAATTTAGTTTGATTTGAAATTTTTGATTTAAATTTATATAGTAAAATAATACCCTCTCCGTCCCAGATATCATGTTCACGTTGTCGTTTCTGTCCGTCCCACGTACCATATCACTTTCATTTTTTTGGAAAATTATTACACACTTTAATCTCATTTTAAATTTTTTAATTTTATTTTTTTAAATTTTAATTAAACTAATTAGTTATCTTAATCTTAATTTATAATTATTTATATTATAGGATAATTATTTTCACTAATACATTTTTAATTATTTACTAATTATACCCCTCCTAAACTACCGTGTCTACAGTGTAGCAGGCACGGTATCAGGGACGGAGGGAGTATTTGATAAGATATTTTATTTGAAAAAATATATCTTTTTAACTATATATATATATATAATTCAAATAATAAAATTTATAAATTTTGTATTGAAATAACACTTCACATCCGTATGGAGGAAAGTTAAAATAGAAAAGAATGGGAAGAATGATAGTCATGCACACAGACGGACCTACTTGAGGCTAAGGAGGCGGCTGAGCCTGACCCCCAAAACTATTATTTTATTTATTAAATAATAATAATTATTATCTATCCTTTTTATCAATTTACCCTCGTTTTTTTATTTCATAGTTAAAAAATTAATTAAAATTTTGTAGTTTTGTTGATTTGCATTTTTAATCTTTAATTTTTTAAAAAATTTAATAAAAATATTAAATTTTATGTAGGTTTATTGAATTTTCTTTAAACATTTAAAATTTGTTTGAACGATTTCTCATAGATATCATAAAATAAAATATACACACAAAAAATTAATAATTTAATATAAAATATTATTTATATATTACCAACACAATTCATCATACCTAACATAAATATATATATTCATTTAAAGACACAAAGTGAACAAACTTTTAATTTTTTTCCTAATTTTTTTTCTTTTTTTATTTATCCAGATACACCGAGAGAAATATAAAAAATCAAACAAATAAACAAACATTGAATCAATACAAATAAACCAATATTTTGCCCCGGAATTTTACAGTCGATTCCATCACTAGTCATGCATGATGTATAATACTCCATCCGTCCCAAACACCCTACAACATTTTTTTTTGTCCCAAACTCACTGCAAATTTTCAAATTTAGAAATAATTAATAATATTTTTATACATATATTAATATACACTTCACTTTATCCCATCACATCACTCAAATAAAAAAAAAATAATCATTTCACTCTCCAATCACATCACTTAATATCCACGTTATCTCAAATTATCATACTTAATACTCTCCACAAAAAATTCTCGTCCCAAACACAAATGTTGCACGATGTTTGAGACGGAGGGTTTACAATATGTTGAATATTATTATCTAATATTAACAAATTGTGAAAATTTCTCTTTAGATACAACGATGGAAGAATATTTCTTATAAAGATCAATTGATTTTAAATGGAAATTTTAAATATCTTCTTAACACAATATAATAAAATAAATAATAGATCCATCATAATCATCATCCTATTGCCTATTGCCTATTCCTACATTTGACCGACCCCTATCAAAAACTAACCACATCCAAAGTACTAGCGGATTTTCAAAAGGGAATAAAATCCACAAAGAATCAATAAAATTAGAGTCTATTTATTTTGTAAAATAGTTTGAAGAGATATTTTTTTAGATGAGGTATAGAAAATTTTAGATAATATAAAAATAATAAATATGTGTATAAAAATAATAATGGATCTGCTTCTTTTGTGAAATTTTTTAATATATTCTTTTAAAAAAATTAATATATTACACACACTTAAATCTTCAAACTAAAACACAGAACAATTACATCCTTAATTTTTGCTGGGAAAATTTTCTCTGAAAGAACACATTTTTTGCATGAGTAATATGAATAAACAATATATTTGTTTACTTTATCTGTCATTCAATTTTATTCCCATTTTTTTTTTGTTATTAAAGAGTATTTTATTTTATTTTCTAGAAGAAAAATTTGTTTGTACTCTTTTACTATAAAACGTAACAAAAGTATATATTCACATTAAAATACATGTTGAATAGTACGTGAATATTTTTGGAGGACAAACGAAATATTATTTAAAGTAAATTATGTACCAAAAATAAAGATAAAAGTTAGTAGTATAATTTTTACTAACAAAATAATAAGAATAATGTTTATTATTACAGTTCAAAAAAAAATATAAATCTAGATGACATTAAGAATAATAAATAAGGTTAAGGTTTTTTTTTTTTTTTTTTGATAGCTTAGATATTTCTATTATTTCAAAATAATAAAAATTCAAAAGAAAATTTTATAATTGATATATTATTTATGGAGTAAAATTGAAATATTGTATGATAATTAAAAAACAAAGACACTCGCACTCTATTCGCTTATATATTTTAAGCTTGTGATTGTTTTATTCACAAACAGATTTTTAAAAATAAAAAATAATAATAATAATATGCAATATCTATTTCTGTTTAAAAAATTATATTTTTATATTCAAAACATTACATCATTTGTGTCACATTGGATATTTTTATTTTCTATTTAATTATATTCATATTTTTTAAAACAGCTTAAAACTTTAAAACCCTTTCAAAATATGGTTAATTATAACATAATTAGATGCAACTGCAAGCATATGTATTTGTATTGTGAAATGTTTTAGGGTGTTATTCTTTGGTACAATTCCTCCCGAACCTCATATTCATTTACTGTCGAATACTATTTTGGCGCGAGATGGACCTAGGAGAACAAGTCTGCAACGTAGCTTCATAGGCGTTGACTACACGTATATCTCCCCTCTCTACCATTTCATCTTATGTTTGTTACTCTGTTTTTTCTCTCTCCTCCATTATTTCTCATTTTCCATTCGTGCTCTTTATTTTTCTCCCAAATTTTCTTAACCCCCTTCGTCGCAAAACAAAAATCGTGGGACTTTAGCGATTTTGTCGGCGAGTGAAGCAAAGGATTGCCGCGAAGGATTTCAGGAGACGCACGTTGACGGGGAGATAGGGTTTCCGGCGGTTGAGCGTAAAGAGGTAAGGAAAGTCGAACTACATTTCAATTTGGGATTAATTGGTTAGTCCATTTCGTAAATTTGTGCAATTTTCGATAAATATGTGATAGGATCATCGTACACACCAATCTAGCGTTGCCTTCATTCTTTGCTAAGGGTTTCATTTGGGAGTCAAAAGAATATGGATAGTTGTACACGACTGTGAACTTAGGTCTATTTTTCTGTTTCAATTTCTACGGGAAGCAACCACTTATACGAAATGCGCACGGCCGTGCTTGATTGATTCTATTATGCTGCTTTTAGTGTTACGTGAAGCACACAACAAACAACAATCGACCACCGCTGTGCAAATATGGCTGCATTTCCCTGTCCGATGCATTTAGTGTTGTTTCTGAACAACCACGGACTCATGCGTAGCCGTGTACACGCTTGTTCTTCCGCATGTAGCTGTAAGCAAGAATTAGAAGTAGATCCGAAATTCTGTTTTTCTTTTTAGTTACGGATGAAAAAATAATAATAAAAGAGAAAAAAAAAATCACTCTTTATATATATTCAATTACTTTTATATTTAATATAAATTATTTTTAATTAAATTAAAAATCTCATCACTCCAATCATCATCTATTAAATCACTATTCAATAAAATTCCTCGTACCACAATAAAACCTACTACACTAAAGAAGCACAGATTCTCAAAGCTTTTAAAAAATTCAAATTCAAACCAAATCCAAACTCAATCTTTCCAAATCCAACATAAAGAAACACACCGTTAGTTAATTTATTTTTTGAGTTATATATATAAAAAAAAATAAAAAATTACAAGTTCGAATATAAAAAGTTTTTCTAGAAATTTATAATAAAAAACAGAAACAGATTCCGTTTAAAGTCCACACTTAAAATAAAACTACATATAGAGATACTTTTCAATTGTAAATATAGAATTAAATGTATGTAGTCCATAATAATAATAATAATAATAATAATAATCAAATGATTTTTAAAAAGTCCAGATTCAAAGAGAGACAGTAGATATTTCAGGAATTTATTAGAAGTTGGCAGGCAGCTTCGTGCGTGTTTAGATGACGTCATGGAACACGTCATTAAATACTAAAAAAAATAATGATAAATAAATAAAGATTGTGTGTTGACTGCTGGGTTTCAGTTAATTTTGTCGTAAAGTGAAAAAGACGTCTATTCCTGGCGGGGAACATCTGGGCCCCACTTTTTTTCTTGACTGGTCAACATCTCTATTGTTGTGGATCAACTTCGATCTGTAAATGTTTTTTTTTATTATTTAATTAATAAATAATTAAAAAAATTAATTAGTAAAATAAATAATGTATAGTAAAAATAATTGTAAATTAAGATTAAGATAATTAAATAGTTTAATTAAGATTTAAAGAATTATAAAATTTAAAATAAAATTAAAATGTATAATTATATTTTTTAAAAAAAGAATTATATTTGACAGACGAAAATAAAAAAATATAGATTAATTTATGGATCGAGGGAGTAGCATTTTAATTAGTAATTTTTTGTTTTTTTTTTAATTTAGAGATAAAAAGATGCATTACTAGTATAAAAAAAAATATTTTGTATTAAATTATCAATTTTATTAATTAATATATTGTTTCTGTATATATATATATATATATTATAACTTTTTATAATATTAAGAAAAAAAAAAAAGGTTACATATACAGTTTTAGTTTGATAAACACCTATCTATCCGTCAAAACTAATCTCTACATCCGGATATAATAACACGAGTACACGGTAAATACGAAAATTTAGAATGGATGCCATTAGTAATAATTAAAAATATATTAATAAAGTTAATTTCAAAATAATATAAATAATTATATACTAAGATACTTAAAACACAATTAAAGTGTAATTCTTTTTTTTTTTTAATGACATAAGACGTGACATGAATAAAAAAAAAATGATATTACCTAATTTTCAAATTATCTTAAATTACCATACTTAATATTATTTACTTAAATTTTCGTGCCGAACTCAAATATTGCATGGGGTTTTAAATGAATGTAATAGTATTGTTTGTTCATAATTACAATATATACTATATAAAAGTACGTTATGTGTTAAAAGTAACTGTTGCATATGATATATGAAATTATATCTTATGTCATTTTAAAATTTAATACCGTAAATGCCGTCGTTTCAAATACTTACGATGAGATGAAAAAAGAGAGAGAAAAAACTTTTAAAATTGAAATCATCAATTCTTCCTAATAATTATAATAACAATAATCTAAGGAAAAAAAAAAAAAGATATGATCTTAAAATTATTATAAACTAATTATCGATTAAAGCAATTTTATGCATTTTGATTTGAGGACTTTTAAAATATTATACATTTTATTATTATTATTATTATTATTATTATTATTATTTTGAACAATGCAGTACAAATTTTAATTTTTTTAGTTTATATATTATATTAAAATTTAAGAATATAATTAAGATACTAAATTTAAGAAATTGTACGTTTTAATTACAATGGATAATTACATTTCTTTATATAATTTTAAAATAAATTATAGAGGCTTATAGGAATTAGTGCAATAGAATACTTCATCTCCATCTGTTATTCAAATCTATGATCACTTTCATTTTTGGGTTGTCATCGAAAAATATTCTCATTTTTTTTAATGTAAAAAATCATTCAACTTTTGTACTGTTTTTAACTATTAAAGAGAAAATTAATAATTATTACTCAATTTTATTAAAATTCGTGCACAAAGGGAGTATTATTTTGATAATTTTGTCAGTTTAAAAATAATTTTAATTATATATATTTGCTATTTTTTTTTTTATATATAAAAAATCACTAAAATACGAAATCAAATTACTTCTACTTAAATGGATTTATTTTTTCTAAAGTCAATATATAGTTATACAATACCCTTACGTTGAATTCAATGATTAATAATAAATGTAATGATGTAGTTAAAAAGTGTCGGGGGCGAAAGTTATCTTAAATTAAAAATCGGCGACGAAATTTTATGAAAATGAATGCTACAAATAAAGTGATTAAAACGTGTTGAGGGTTGATGACGTCATGTGTATAGGTATCACAAGAAAGCTGACGTGTTCTGCCTATCTCATAACTAATGTTGTTTGAACTCCATGTGTTTCTTTTTATTTGATTTTGAAAATTTTGGTTTGCGTTTATTATTAAAATAATATTTTATCCGTTTAGTTACAAAGTAAATATTTATTTATAGCGCAAGTAGTTATAAGTAGTGTAATGACATTTTTGTCCTTATTTTTTTTTTTTGTGTAAAAGTAACGATGTTATGTAAAATAATGGTATTTGTGAAAAAAATAATGTATTTAATGAAATATTTACCTTATAATTGAACGTTCCAAAATATAAATACGTATGTTTTGTAACTGGATTAAAAACAACAATTTTTTAGGTGAAAAGGTAAACAATAAGAATATTCCTATGCGATCATATCTATAAACTTTTATTGTATTAGGAAAAACTCTTCCATTTTAATAACCTTAATTTTTATAATTAAAGAAATTTAAAAAAATCATTATTCTAATTTTTATTATCGTACCAAATATTTTTTTTATTCTATATAATTTGTCCATTTTTCAATCTATCTCATATAATTTATAACTTTTTTAATTAAATTATTTAATTATTTAAATTTAAATTTATAATAATTTTTATTAATATATATTTTAAATTATTTATTAATTATATAATATCTAAAATTTTGTGTCCACCTATGGATAAATTAATTGGAACGAAAGGTTAGTAAATAAATAGATTTTAGGGGTAGACGGGTGGGGGTCAGGGGCGGGGGCGGTTTTATTTACCGTTTCTAGAAAGGTATTGGCTGTTGACCACTTTGGAGGAAATTGTGACGGAAGCAGTGAGGTAAGCACAAGACACGTGGCATCCCATAACTTGACGCTCAAGGTCGATGCATATTGCACTTCCTTTTTATGTGGCGGCGCTACTGATCTTATTCTTATCACCCAGCAGGCACGTTTATTTGAAATATTTTAATATTTATATATTATTTTTATTTTTATTTTTATTTTAAATTTTCACACACACACCCGCACCCACACGTGTGGTGACTGGTTGGGATGAGTCACAGCGCGCAAGTCAGAGTGCGTGCGTGTATATATACAGCCCACGCCTTCCATTTTCTTCGATTCACGGAATCTGAAGTCTAACCATTCACACGGCGGCCGGCGGGAGACCACAGAGGATATCTATCTGCTACTGCTAGAGAGGGAAGGAGGGAGGGAAGAGAAAGTCTGCTTGCGGGTCCAAGGGGGACGACAATTTGTGTTGAGAGCTCGTATTGAATGAAGATTGGTCAACAGCAATTGAATTTGCCGGCGGGATTTAGGTTCCATCCGACGGATGAGGAGCTAGTGGTGCATTACCTTTGCCGAAAGTGCGCCGGCCACCAGATTGGAGTGCCTATTATTGCTGAGATTGATCTCTACAAGTTTGATCCATGGCAACTTCCAGGTTAGGCTCTGCCTAGGGTTAATTGCCCCTTTCTTCCGTGATTTTGTTTTTCATCCCTATTTTGGTGGAACTTTTTTCGTTCAAACTTCAATTTGGATATTCATTTGTTTATATCTTCGTTATTTGATTTTTATCGTGGTAACGATTCGTGTATAGCTATTTCGCCCAAATTATACTTTTCGAATGCTCCACTTTCTCGAATTTCTGTGTTTTTAGATTCACTTTACATGAACATTATAGGTCGAATCATATCTGATATGTTCAAAAGTTTTCACTCACTGTTAGCTTCTGTATATACGCCTTTCCGATTGTGGATGAAGTTCGAGTGGTTCCTGATGTTGTGTGGTTGTATCATTGATTACAGAAATGGCTGTGTACGGTGAAAAAGAGTGGTATTTCTTTTCTCCAAGGGACCGGAAATATCCCAACGGTTCACGGCCGAATCGGGCGGCAGGGACAGGTTACTGGAAGGCCACCGGCGCCGATAAGCCTGTGGGGAAACCGAAGACTCTGGCAATCAAAAAGGCTCTCGTCTTCTATGCCGGAAAAGCTCCAAGAGGTGTCAAAACCAATTGGATCATGCACGAATACCGCCTCGCCAATGTGGACCGATCTGCCGGAAACCGAAAGAATTCGAGGGTACTTAACTTCATCTTGCTTCATGTGCTCTGTTAATCAATGGCTGGTTACAGAGGATTGATCACTGGATTCTGGAATTCGGATAGAAACTCATTTTTCTTGAATTGTGTATGATTTGTAATTACAGCTTGACGATTGGGTATTGTGTCGACTATACAACAAGAAAGGAGCTATCGAAAAGCATTTGAATGTGGATCAGAAGGAAGTGCAGTTCTCGGACAGCGAAGAACAGAAGCCGAATGTGGATGAACTAATGCCATGCAGCGGAACGTTAGCACCACCGGAGAAGACAACATTGTCATCAACCCAAATGATGAACGACCACATGCATTTCGACACATCCGAATCAGGGCCAAAGCTGCAAACCGACTCGAGCAGCTCAGGCCATGAGCTGTCGCCTGAGTTCATATACGACAACAGGGAGGTCCAGAGCGAGGCCAAATTGAGCATGAGCGATTTCCAGAGTAGCCTCGATGTTCAGCTGAATGACTTCGACGGGTTCCAAGATGACCTGTTCTTCGGGTCGCAAATGAACTACAACGATCAGATCTCTCTGTTTCAAGATGTCTTTGCTTACATGCAGAAGCCCTTCTAAGTTTTTCGAGGCTTGAATAGCCGCAGCCATGTGTATACACCAGGTACATACATACGTAGTGATTGCTTTCGAGAGCCTTGAGACGTTGGAGAGAGTTGTCGATTGTTGTCTGAAATCGGAAGCCCAGAGCAGCGCGGCGATTGTTGATTCGAGTGAAAAGATTGCCATGAGAAGTGAATGCAGGAGGGGATGAAGTGGAGGGTGTTGGTCTAATTCGGTTCGATTTGATTTAGGAAGTATAGCAACAGAAAACAGGGCATTCTTGCCATGGTTAAAAACCTCCATAGTTTGTGTGAGTGTCTATGTTGTTGTTAGCTCTATTCTTTCCATTTGTATTATGGATAGAATATGTAGTGTAGCATTCTTGTTCTTGTTCTTATTCTTATTCTCATTCCCATTCTTGCAGTAAACACAGGCAATAAAATTTTGGATTTAATTTATTATAGAGTTTAATTGCTATCAATAATGATTGATGGGATGTTTTATAGATTAAAAAAGAAAAAAATTCAATTTTACCGGCTATAAAAGACAATCTCACTCGGATTACGGGACCTACACATATTAGTACAGTTACTTCTTTTTACAAAAACAAACAACTAGAAAATTGTGTCAAAAAATACACAAGAGTGTTTGTGTGTAACTGAAGTTCAAAACTTATTTTTTAATTATTCACGTTCTAAATTCTTTACTATTATTTTGAATTGAATATTTATCTTTTTTATTTTATTTTATTTATTTTTATTTTTTGATCTTTATAAAAAAAAAATTGATTTATTTATTATTATTTTTTGACAATCGTATTTAAAAAACAATATTGAAATAACAAAATGATATATTTAATTAAAAAAAAAATACAATACACTAATTAAATATGATCATGTTTAAACATACCATTTTGGATCTAACATGACTATATAAAATTGAGTCAATTTTTAGACTTATAATATCATATATATTCAAGTTAATATGACACCAAAATTAATTAATTTTAATAATCAAAGTTAATAACAATATATCCTCTGGTACTTACTCCAATAATAATTCTAATTGTGTCATGAGTTTAAACCATATTTTTAAAAAAATGTCCAGATGTGTGAGTATTGAACTTGTGATCATAAGATTACGGGTTCAAACCCTGACGTCTCGTGTAACCTGCACTACATGTTTAGCTTAACTAGACTTGCCTTTATTCAAAATAAAAATAAATTAGTTCGTAAAGGATGACTTACCTTTATTCAAAATAAAAATAAATTAGTTTCGTAAAGAATGACCGGTGGGGTAGAAGTTGAACTTGTGATCGTAAAGTCACGAATTTAAACTCAAGTACCGTCAAAACTAGTTTGCAAGGATATTAGGTTCGATCGTGGGTTACCCAAACCATCAAAATAAAAAATAAATTATGTTTGATGATGGGACGGACAAAACGAAGGAAGTAGTACCCTAAGAACACAATTCATCTAAACACGTATTTTCTAAAACTAAACGGAACCGCCTACCCGCTTTGTCGAAATTATTTATGTCGGTCACCGAGAGGAGAAGTGGAAGTTGAAGATTGGGCAGGGCGGAGTTGGAAGCAGGAGGCGCGCGAGGCCATTGAGCGGTGGAGACTCTGCGACGTGGAGCATCCACCCATTGTGTTTCAGCTCACCTCTCCAATTCCAAGCAATCCAACTGCCCGATTAATTTGCTTTCTGCGGTTATACCACATCCTCACATTCCTCCTCCGGTCAATATACAAAATTCTTATTCAGGACCCGAAAATCAAGATTCATGATCGCTCCGCGCTCCCTGCACCGCCCCTTCATTTCCGTAAGTTCTTAAATGTCAACAGTTTTGCCTCAACTGATGTTCGTTTTGGTAAAGTTTTCATCTTGGTTGGAACGAGAATGCCTTCTCTAAGCCTGAAGGTAGAAGATGCTAGAGTATTTGCATCTGCCCAGGATTTAGTTGTTTTGGAAAATTTATGAATCACACTCTTCGATTTTTATCTTTTGGATGGAATCTGGAGCTGGAAATTGAATATTCGAAGAATGAGAAGAGATAGTTGCTCTCGTTTGACTATCCGGACATTGATTCACGCGTATCCATCAACAACGTTTGACTGTTTCTTAGGAGGGTGATAGATGATCGTCCAGGATTATTCCTAATTGTTGAGTCATACGAGTAATCCGAAAGTGAAATTCCCTCAGAAAATGAAAAGTAGAATTGCTAATAAAACGGAAAAAAGCGAAGACATGTTTTTTTGTTCTTCGCTCTTTGGCTTATCATGTTACGTTTGGATACCCATGGCGGCAAGTTGAACATGTTCCTTCCATTTACCCAAAACCCATTGTCAATATTAGCTGTTTTTGAAATACAATTTTATAAATGTTCGGAAATGGGTGAGATGCTACCACAGCTTTAGGAACTGAATTCATCTCACCAAGTGTTTTTGTTTATATTGCTTCTCTTTTCTCTCTTAGCCCTTAAATGGATTGCTAGCTTTCGTGATATATCTTGGTATTATTCAACCACGACCTACATTTTGTTAGAAGTTTTGTTTTCCCAAGTACTCACATTTATCTGCATATAAGCCTTTGCAGTTAAAAATTCCTGTGTAATAATGTGATATATGGATTCTTTATCTTCCCAAGCACTCACTTTATCTGCATAAAAGTTTTGTTATAAGTTTTTTGGGGTTCAAGTAGTTGTAATAATCATGCCTTCCTAGTTTTGCAGAATTTCGGGGCTGGGAGAAAGTTTCTCAGGACATTGTTGAATGGCAAGTCTTCCCTACTAAGTCTGTATAAACTCTTCTCTTTGTTTGTGTTCTGTTCCTTACTGATGGTTCGCTAACATGTTCTCTTTGAGCAGATTCTGTTCATATAACTAGTAGGAATGGAAAAGCTTTATGGAGGCCTAGATTTTTGTGTTCTCAACCTTCTCCAAAGTATGTGCAGAGAACCTACCAGATCTCACCTTCTGGAGCTTCAATGGAAAATAAAGAAATTCCTAAAAACTTTTTAAGAGACAAATTGATGGTTCCTAATTCAGATCCTCCGAAAGACGATGATGTTGGTCTTCTGTATCAGTTCTTTGACAAAAGGTATGGTGGTAGTGGATGGTCCATAGATTTTATATGTTAGTCCCAATATAATTTTAAAGGGGGTTTGTGCCCTATAGATGTGCAGTCCTTGATTTTATTGAACACTCTAAATTTGTGGCATGAAATTCATTTTATGAGCTCAACTCAGCCCAAAGCAGCACAATGAAGAAGGATTAGATCTTACTTTTCATCACTAGACTGAAATTTCTGTAGGCACAAGAGGATTGCCTGGCATAGATAGTTGTGACCGTGTGTTCGTAGTTACTCATTTATAATCTGGTTTCATTGATCTACTTATGCGAAATTTCCATCAGAAAGATCCTTTCCTCTTCCTAATGATGCTGGATGGAATGAAGATAACACTGTACTGTTTTGTACCTTAACTCTTGCTTGCTGGAATGGTTTGTTAGATTATGTTTATGTAATATTTCTGTTCTATAACTTCTTGAAAGGTACTTCGTGTTTATCGTTGCCTTTTAACCAGCAGATTGGATTGTCCTGTTTAACATTTGATAATGTGACTTGCTTGGTACATATCACATAAGTGTGCACTGGATACTGGAGTAATGATCTCAGGCTAAGGATAGCATCACTAAAAATGTTACTAGTTATTTCATAGGTTTCTTTCTTTTTTTCTTATGTCTTCTTTGTTTACAATGGCTTTTACAAAAATAAAGCCTTTTCAAATTGCAATTTTAGAGGGTGTTCTTAGTTGTGGGTATGTTTGTTGCAGCTCAAAGCTTGTTGTCTTGACTGGAGCTGGAATAAGTACAGAGAGTGGAATTCCTGATTACAGAAGGTGGTGTTTGGGCTTTTATTCGAGTAGTGATCCTAACCATTTCCATGTTCTATGCCATGTATTTAAGAATTTCCAGTTCCAATATAGCTTTAATTTTGTAGAAAGTAAATAATTTCATTTGTCAAGATAGTTTGGAATACTAAAACTTAGGAAGTGGTAGAACGAGCATCTGTGCTGGAGCTAGACCAAGTAAAACTAAAAATAAACTTGAAATTTCTAGAAGAATGAAATTCTAAATGTTGTCATCTAGTCGATAAGAATCACACAACATTATAATAGCGCATTAGACTGGTACTCTGATGATCTGTTATGGTGCAATAATGCTTTCTTGTTTTACAGAATCATGGAATAATAAAATTCTGTGCACTTTTTTGTTTTCCCTTTTGTTGGATATCTGTTGTGAGTCCACCAATATATATGGGAATTTGCTTTGATATCTAATTTGTCCATCCCTCTTTATATGAAATTTCCTTTCCATGCTCCTGATTGAAGCCATTGTATGCAATTTTTATCAATGAAATTTGTCGCATATTTAATCAATAGTATATGGTTCTTGCCTCTTACATTCACTCTTAGACTCTTTTTCATCATAATGGATTACTAGCATTTCTTGTTTTCATAATGTTCATTTATATGGATGTGCCTAGTGCATAAGAATTAATAAGCACATGTTTCTTGTCACATTTTCTTCTTCTGGATAAACCGTATCATTTCTTGCTTGTATTGTGGATGTGGCTTCTCTTCATATAAATAACGAACACTTGTTCTCTAGTAGTGTACCATAAATTTGAAATCTGAACATAGACTGTATATTAACTTTGGGGGTTTATTGGCTATAAATGATGTGATCGTGTGCATGATTTCCCTGTACATTTTAGTCACTTTGTTCTTATGGAACACTGACATGCATCTCGAGTCTGTGTGCACAAAATCCTACTTGACTTTAATGTTGCATACTGTCTATACTATTGATACCATATTGTTGGTTGAACACTTGTTTTCATCATATGAGATTTTGACTAGTCTAATTACCTTTTTCATGTACTTCGGCAGCCCAAATGGAGCCTACAGTACTGGTTTCCGGCCAATTACCCATCAGGTGATCTGAAGGCATGTGATGCAGTTTACTGTTGTCTTTACTATATTGATTCTCACTCTACTTGGGTAAAAATGTTAATTAAGTTCCATTACAGTAATATGATAATACATCTGCTATCTTTTGTTGATATTATATTGTTGGCTTGTCCATCCATTTCATCTGCCTCATTATTTGTTTATGGTTGCACTTGTTCATGGTATTGGACAATAAGTGTGAGCATGCACATAAAATGAGGGGAGCTGAAATCATAATATTAACATGGATGTGCGGTTGCATTAAACCCGATAGAGTGAATAGTGATTGCATTAGAATAGAATGGAAGGGAAGAAAATTAGAAACACATGTTACATGTAATATGGTTTGGTAATGTGTATAGGAGATGCATGGATTTCCATGTATGGGATTTAGAAACAAAGACTCCTCAATTAGGAGGGAGGGGTACATCAGTACATTAGATATAATTGAAAATAAACTATTAGAAGGTACATTTGCATCTAAATTTAGAGGAGTGAAGGTGTCGTAGCATTGCCTCAACTTTTCTGCTCAATGACCGTTGTAAGAAGTCTTCTCTAATGGTCCTTGAAGCAGTGCTTTGTTATGTTATGCAGTGTGTTGGTTCTTATTCCTGTGGTTGCAGAAATCTCCACCTTTGAACAAATATGATAATATACATTTGTGTCTCCCATAAACCTACATCGTTTAAATTTGATGACCCTTTGGTCTGTCTTTGTCTTTGTCATTTTCATTTTTCTTTGATTGATCTTAATTTTTAAAGCAACACTTTGTATCTTTATTTGGTGTGCTTGCATTTTTTATATTTGGTTATGGATGATTCAAATGTTTAAAGTTCTAGATATGCACTATTGATCAGGAATTTCTTCGTTCCAATCATGCCCGAAGGCGTTATTGGGCTAGGAGCTATGCAGGATGGAGAAGATTTACTGCAGCACAGCCAGGACCAGCACATGTTGCCTTAGCTTCTCTAGAGAAAACTGGGCTTATAAGTTATATGATGACACAGAATGTAGACCGGTAATGAGTCTTTACCTAATGTGTGCACAGCTTTGAAGTGTTATTGAGACTGTAACAATTTACAATATGCTCAAGTTGAGATTATCAACTTGAAACGTGTATTTTTGAATGATCATCTGGTCATAATGCTTTGTACAGGGCAAGGGCTACTGCAGGCACAAGCCTTTCCGTTGAATTTGTACATAGATGGATATAACATGACAGCCATTTAACTGAGTCATACTTAAAAAATCATACTGAATGAATTGTTCTTTAGCACCATTAGTATATGTCTACTAAAAATTATTTAATGCTCTCAAATGAAGATGATTTATTTTTCTGTTTGCTGGAACATGCTTACTCTTCCTCATATGTCAAGTTGTCTTTTTTTGCTTTAGCATCTATTTGAGACACAGATGTTAAGTTCTTACGATGTACTCGATTGCTCTTTATGAACTTCAATTATGACTTGAGTGATACGCTTATAATCAAATTCCTACTAGCCCCGTGTCCAATAAACTAAGTTGTTCAATGAGAATTTGCTCACACTTTTATGTCTTCCTAATCCGGTTTCATTTTGCCCCACAGGCTGCATCATCGAGCTGGCAGCAACCCTCTTGAGTTGCATGGGACTGTTTATGTAGTTGTTTGTACAGATTGTGGGTTTTCTCTTTCTCGAACATTATTTCAGGATCAAGTGAAAACTCTTAATCCTAAGGTTCGTTCTTACATGCCTGTTGCATGCGAGTTGTCATCCTATTTTTAAAAATGTTTTAAGATAGTTATTTGAGTGCATCATGATTTCAGTGAACAAGTCATTTATTTCCAGGCTGCTTCTTAAACATACTTTTGCTCATTTTAGTAATTATGTAGCTTATAGTTATGGTGGAGTAAGTGACGCCCAGCAGAAAGATTAGAGATTTAACATTTCCTTAATATGTTGATACTAATCCAAATCAAAGTGTGTCTATTTGTCAAAAATACCCAACACATTTCAAAGACATTAATATGTTCCACGCATTCATTATATTTATATTACGTACACAATTTTCTATACCTCACATAGAAAATTTTCACTAAACAAACAAACCCAATTATCAAAGTGACCTAGTATAGCATCTAGTGAATTGATAAGAAACTAAGGTCTAGCCTAGGATCAATATAAGGGGGGCTTGTTTTTGTATATTTTATGGAAGAATTTGATCTTTACTCCTAGGGGAGAATAAATTGTACAAATTAGTTTTTTCAATTGCAATCTAATATATTTTATAAGCTTTTGTGTATATGTTTATTTAAAAAATTTACATTGAATCAAGTCATTGATCTTATAGAATTAAACTTCCAAAGATGTTTTTTCATTTGGATAATCATAACATTTTTGGTGGATGGTTAACTAATTTTAAGCAACTTTTGTGTTTCTTATTTTGTCTGTTATTTCTTCAACATTTGATAAACAGCTCGTTTGCCACAATATGACTAAAATTTGAAGGCCACCTAGCTGCTGCTAATTAATATACATGGTGCAACAAAGAAAACAGGGGTTTGGTTTTTCAGTTCCAAATATGATGGCATCCACAGTTTGGATGATTCAAACCACAAACCAAAACTTCTGGAATTTTCTTTGCATTTTTATTTAAGCAGGCATGCTCTTGCTGTGATATAAATCTAAAATTCATGCAAGTACCTTTTATGTTATTGTAGTGGGCAGAAGCTATTGAAAGTCTGGATTATGACAGCCGTTCCGACAAGAGCTTTGGAATGAAGCAAAGGCCAGATGGGGATATTGAGATTGATGAGAAGTTCTGGGAGGAGGAATTCCATATCCCTAATTGTCAGAAATGCAATGGAATACTAAAACCTGATGTAAGCAACTTTCCTGTCATGTTGATATGGTTTCTATGATTAAGTACCTTTCATATTTTCCTTCAGCAAACATCTTACTTGATGAAACACTATTTATCTAAAAGTCAATATACATTTGAGAGATTTGTGCTTCAAAGCAATAACAAGACCCTATTACATCCTATGACAAGACACTTCCAAATAGTCTTTGTGAATAAAGTAAAGCTACCCTTTTGTGGAGTTTTGTCAATCTATCTTGATTTTTGAATGATAGTTTACACCTTGCTGACTTGGCTTGGGTTATCTTTAAAATATGTTATTAATATTATAATGAAATCATTCTCTAATTCTAAAAGTATGTTGAACTGACGGTCGAATAGCACTTATTCCTGTTAAAGTAGATGCTGATTGTTTAGGAATGCTAATCAACAGTGCATCAATAAGTTCACAGACAATTTTTTTATACTTGCAATAACTATGCTTCATATACATCCTCTTTATTTTGTCTCAAAATTCCAGACTAACCATTCATGTTTTATCCTGTGTCTGCATCGGTGGCTGGTTTTTTCTTCTAGTTGGTTTTACAATGTCTAATACAGTTAATATATTGCCAGGTTGTGTTTTTTGGGGATAATGTTCCAAAGGGTAGGGCAGATAGAGCAATGGAAGCCTCAAAACAATGTGATGCTTTCCTTGTACTAGGTTCATCGCTGATGACCATGTCTGCTTTCCGTCTTGTCAAGTAAACTTCATACCATCTTTATTCTATAGTTGTGTTATTCTTCTATCCTTGTAAAGTCCTGGTTAATAAATTCCCATTATCTCCTCATAACGTTGGCTGAACATCAACCTCAAGTTAACAACTGAATATGATAACGCAATAGAAGTTATCATTAATATGGTTTTTGACTGAGTTGTATAAGCTTTTTATAAGATCCTAATACATATGAGAACTTGTGAGATTTATAAAAGAATTTGAAATGTGCTTGCACATGATAACATATAAGATATAAAACCTTGTTATAAAATAATAAGCATTTTCCTATATTGAAAAATTCAACAAGGATTTTGTTCAAATTAGTTACAAAATAGTTGTATTGCATCTTATAGGTTTGTTCAATCCCTTTTGAAACTTAGAAGTAAAATAATAGTTAGCATCACATAAGCTTCAGCAAACATATCTATAAGATGTATGCAGTATAAGTTTAGCTACACAGGCTTTGGCCTGTTGCAGTTTCCCACAGTTCTTAGTTTGACGCTGTTTTAGAACTGCTTCTCTACCTAAATGTGGATAATCATAATTTGTTAGCCTAAAACTAAATTAGGCAAAATGAAATATATTTACTGCAGTAAAAACAACTCTTTGAATAATACAACTGTTTCTGGCACAGTTTATTTTGGTTGCTTCGAATGTTATCATCAGTGTTTATTGAGCAGTTCCTCTTTGCTGCATTATCCTTCTTAATTATGTACTTTATGAGCAGCATGGCCATCATACTGTTGCTATTATGGCTTCATACTTTCGGCATCCACTAATATCAGAGGCTTGCATGGATTTTAATTTTAATCAGGGCTGCTCATGAGGCTGGTGCTTCTACTGCAATTGTAAATGTTGGTGTCACCAGGGCTGATGATTTTGTTCCCTTGAAAATTAATGCTCGACTAGGCGAAGTATGCTTCTGTAAATATCTTCTCTTTTCGGTACCAGCCTATTATGTGGAATCATGATTATTGAACTTCCTGGTCATGCAGATATTACCGAGATTACTTTCAGTTGGATCCCTTGGCATCCCCCCTACCATGTAGCACATTCACGAAATCTAGTTTGCAAATTTCAAACTAAAGCCGATGTTTGCCATAGAGAATGTCATGAATATGGAGACAAACCATAGGGAGATGGGGCACATGAGGGAAGATCAATAAATCTGCTAGTCGTGCACACGAGGAGTATTGTTATTATTATTATTGTTACTTTTTTTTTTTGTCAATGTCCATATATGTTGTCTTAAATTACAATTAGGAGACTCATGTTCTGCCCCAGCAAAATCAATGAGGCAAAATCCTTCTGCTCAATAAATATATATAGACTGGCAATATGCAGAACTGGGAGCCACAAATGTACCATAATATGGAATAACTTGATATTGTAATATGCAGAATTGTTCTCATTTATTATGACACAGTCGAGACATAATCTGTATGTGTGTGTTTTGAGCTTATACATATCGTCTGATTTAGAAACCTTGTATTTGTGTTACTTCTGCTTGGTATTATATCAGTATAGACTTAACAATCCAACAACCTTGAAGACTGAGTAAAGTAACATGATGAGCCTTGAATTGGATGCTGATTACAGGTTGCATTTTCAGGTTCACAGACTCCTTACCACATGGGAAATTGTCCGTGCCTGGTGGTAAATCGAGCTCCCTTTACCCGAATTAGTGTCTGTACTCGAAACTGGAAGTCTCTCTATGTTCAGCTGTAAGTACTGAAACTCAATTCTCTGTTCACATACACAGAAACAATGCATTAGATTATGGTCATCTTACAACATTCTCATGGCATGTCTCTGTTACAAATAGTGTGAATAATGGGAGTTGGATGATTGTTGACAATCAATAGATAATTCTGGTTGAATTTTCTTTCAAAGGGATCAGCATCACAAAGTGGAATCGTTGTTTGTCCGTTTCTGACAAGGTACACGAATCTTGCTGTCAGTACACATTTGTTCAAAGAATATACATATTGTCATTGTTGATTTGTCGTGACAATCACACTGGAAGAGATCAATTGTTTTATCCTGTGACATGATATTTGTGGACCCCAAAAACTAATCACTATTCTATACATACTATACACATATATTTGGTAGATTTGGTATGAATTGTGCAATAATATAATAGAGCCTGGTGTTCCAGCACCTTCTAATGATGGATCATCTTTATTCTGTGTTTGGATTGTATAAATCTTGAAAGGGTTTCAAACCATTGGAATCATATAGTAGGATTATGTTTCAAATCCTCAAATGTTCATCCTTATATGGGTTATATTTCGGGTATGTTTCTTTTGAGGTTTGAATTTTAAGTTTTAAATAAATAAGTGCATCTCTTTCCCTTTCCCTTTCGAGCCTCTTTGATCGGAATCAAAATGCATAGTTAATTTACTAATTTAAATCAGTTATCCGGTCAGTACGATGGTACAAGTTCTAACTACGAAATGGTTTGGATAGATCCAAAACCTGTAGTGTTGTGAACATATGAACACTTGCACAAGTATTCATTAAAAAAGCATCCTGACAAATATATATATGTCTGTGAAAGAGACAAATACCTGAACTTGTCAAGTAACTCTTTCGATATTTTATTTATGCAGTGATGCAAGCAAGGGAGCAGAACCCATACGGCATGCCTCCTCCCCCCTCTCATAAGAAGTAAGAAATTGTATATTTCATTTAATTATGTTTGGGAGTTGTCATCATCGATAAAACTAATCAAATTTCCAGTGTGAGGACAATACATTTCTTGTACTTAAGGCTCTATTTTCTTGTCCGTTAAGAGCAATGGGATTGGTGCAGGCCTGCTCATCCATGGCATATTCCTTGGTAACTTATTAATTAATACATACATATATACGGTATTCGATTACTCGGTTGTAAGTGAGATGGGAATGAAAGCCAGTAAGTTGAGCAAGCGGCTGAAAGGGCCACCGTTGATGACACCGAAGGGGTATGTCCCGGTAGCAGTTGGTGTGGGTCAAGAGACACGACGGTTTATGGTTCGCACCACAGCGTTGTCCAGCGCCGAGTTCTTGCAGCTGCTTTGCCGATCCGCGGAGGAATATGGATTCTGCAATGAAGGTATTTTGAGAATCCCTTGTGATGCTAAAGCCTTTGAGGAGTGGATGACAGAAAGGTTCTTGGGATCTTCAGTGACACCACCGCCGCCGCCGCCGCCTCCGCCGCAGCATACGGGAATTCATGGTTCTTGATTTCTTCAATGGTGGGTGTCTGTTTAGTTAAACAGGTTAGGTGGTTTGCTGTTCACTTTGATGGGGGAGATACATGACATTTCATGTCAGGGTGGAACTTCTTTCAAATTTGATCTTAGAAAGATATTACATTAGGGCCATAGAGACCTGTGGGGTTGATTTTTTACTTGTGTGTTTTCGATACTGTACATATCATGATATACATAGATTCATCACAAGTAATATGTTGAGTAGGAGGAGAGAGAGAGAGATGAAATTGAAGGAAATCAAGACGCCACATTGAAAAAGGATACATAAACAAGCTGAAAACTTCAAGTATAAGAACCAAACTTAAAAAGGATATATATGTAAAGGAGTATAACGAAAGTGTCATTTGGTAGAACCACAAGCACCTAAAAGTAGAAAATATAGGAAATAGGGATGTTACTGCAAGCATTCAAGAGATCAGGGACTAGGCTGCACAAAAATTTACAATGTTTTATTTCCAAAGATATAAAATTTACATGGATCCAGTTGCCTAATTGTCCAAGGATAAAACCCCTATTTTTTATTTTTTATATTATATTAAAAATTAATTTTACATTCAAAATATCCTATTTATATCACATCATACAACTATTCATTGGGATGGGGACACTAAAGATATTATTACCGTTGAGCTAAGTCTCGCCTTATATAACACATGCACCCACATCTAAGGAAATGATCGCCTTATATAACACATGCACCCACATCTAAGGAAATGATTGATTATGAAAATTTGGTACTTAAAACACACGTTCCCGCATCTAAGAGAGTAAAGATTCTGAAAAATTGTATCTAATAAGTTTTCAATCCAAAAATTGTATTTAAAAGTGGAAAATATACATCCTACATATATTCAAATTTAAATTTAAAATTTGAATTAAACTATTATGATTTTTTTGATTCTAAGTAAATGAGCATCTCCTATATCTTTGTATAGGAATAGGAGTTGGCTTCTTGTATGAGGTTGAGAAATACAATTCATGCAAAAATTTTATAATTACACGCATTTTGCTTTCTCTAATTTTGATATAGCTTATTACTATTCGAAAAACTATCCAATCGTTATTATTATTAGATAATACACTCTCTCCAACATATATAAAGAAAAAAAAAAAAGAAAAACATGAAACCATAGTTATAGAATGAATATATGGATGTAACATACACATAAAAAAATGAATAGAAGTGACAATTTCAGGCCGGCCTAGTCCATTTTTATTCCGTTCCCGTTGGTAAAAGAAAAGAACTAACCATTAGATGTACCGAAATTTTGGGATTGGCCCAACCTGAAATTTTCGGGCTTATGTTTTTAGACCCAAGCACTATTTTTTTGCACCAAGTTTAAATCGAAATTTCGGACTGCGCCTATTTTTGCTAGGCTCTAAAAATGAGGAATTATACTGGAAAGAACAGAATCAAAAGGATTCAACTGCAAAAAAGCAAAGATGTAGGCATCAAATTAGTCAATTTGAAAAGCAAAACTAGTGGGACCAAATTGAAAAAATTAAAAGAATGAATACAGCTTTATACAATTTGAATATATATGTCTCTTAACCTTTGTTCTTTTTATTTTTGCACTTAGATCCCTATACGTCCGTTTTCTTAACACTGGTCCCTATATTTTAGTGTTTCCAGTTTGACCCCTGTTTCTTAAAAATCTTTGCGCAACTATGTAATTCTACTTAGAGCAAGTATGCAATAGAGAAAAATGAAGGGACCAAATTGGAAATTTCATAAAGATGGGAAAAAACATAAGGATTCAGAGGGCCTCAAAGAAGTCAGTAGCCGGTAGCTGCTATCGAACCATAACCAAAACCAAACCTAAAACTAAAACTAAAACCGAAAAGATAATAGCTTTGAACAACTGCTTCATCAGTCACCCAATTTTTGAATTTCATTTCATTTAATTTTCCAGAGGGTACATGCAAAGCGGTGCTGAGATGAATCTCACAAACCACAAATATTAAAAAAAAAAAAACAAACAAACAAACAAGACATGAAAAATGTGAGAATTGATTACCTACCTACAAGCAAAACCCGACACCACACTTGGTTTTCTTGTGTTCTTTTCCTTCTCTCAGCAGTCTACGCCTTCTTAATCATCACCAAGCTCCTTGTCAATTTCATCTGCATGTTCTCGCAGAGTTTTCCACTGCATAATAATTTTAGATAAAGGTGAGGAATATCTTGAATTTTTCTTCTTAAGTAAATTCGAGGCAAAGCATACCTGATCCAAGCTCAATGAAATACCTGCAATCAAGATAAAGTCCAAGTGGAATGAACAGAGTCAGATCCCACAAATGAATGCATGCATACATACACTCAAAAAGTGTCACTTATTTTTGGGTTCAGCTTCGAAAAGGCAAAATAGAATTTTAAAGATAAACACTTTCAATAATATTTAGTTGATTTTCATATAGTAATCATGCTTTCATAATAGTCAGTAATTAATTTAAAATCTCTTTATCTTTCTCACCAGTAATTTCAATAACTTGGCCAATTTATACGATACACAAATACTTTTTGCATATTTTTGTGAACAATGAACATTGCAAAAATCTTACGATATCAGAAGATATGTCATTGTAGCAATATTATAAATCACACAATGTGAGATCATACCTATAATCTGCTTTAAATACTTTTCTAGCCTATAATAATTTCAAAAACTTAGCTCCGTTATTTTCACTATAACTTAATACAAAAACCAAGAACATAAAGTGATGAAAACATACCGAAATATAAAAAATTGAGCAGAAGAGAAACTTTAAACTGTAAAGAAAGAAGATTAATAGTGGCGGGCTAATTAATATACATATTACAAAACATCAGAGATTACAAAAAGCAAAAAAACCTGACACGTGATATGCCAAGTTTCTTGTGAGGTGCTGTTAATATATATTCTTGTAATCGAGCTGCATTGTGTGGTGCAATTCCCACATTGCAAAACTGTTGCTGCTGTGACAATTTCAGCAGCAACAGCTGCCAAAGCATTTAATATGCTGTGGAAATCTGTGGGGAATTTCGCCACCACATCGTGTGGCAAGTCCCACCAAACCCATCTATCTGGTGCGACTCGCTGGATGGTGTGGCAAGTTTTTCTAAATCTGACCAATTACATGAAATAAATTAAATGAAACAACAATATATTTTCCACTGTAATTTTATTCATTAATTTTTAATAATATTAAATTTCCTTGGTCATAGCTAGCATAATAAAACAATAAATTATTTTAACCTTAATTTAAAATTTTCCACAATAATGATATACCAGAGGAAATTAAATGATCCAAAAAGAATCAAGGGTGGAAGTCAATAACCCACACATTTTGTTGTGGTACAAACAACAGACAAAACTCAATCAAAGCCTCCACAAACCATTCTCGGTTGCAAGCTAATGAACTGAAGTTATGTATAAGTGTCCATATTTAAAACTAACAATTGTTTTTGTTTGAGTGATTTGTTTTGATTTCCACTTTTCACATATCCCCCTCAAACATGAAATCAAATATCTATCCACATCAAATAACTATTCAAATTCAAAATTTTTCTATTCAAATCAAAACCCCCAAACAGACACAAAAACTCTCCAACTAATCCACTTCCAAACACACCAATGCAAGGCTTTAAAACTACTGATTATTTCCCAAATTTAAACGAGCAAGTAGGACAGCTACTCAGAACAGCACTACTTCATTGGGAATACCAACAGTCATATCTAATTATATTCAAGAAAGTGAAGAAAGGCCAAGATTTGAACAGTAAAAAAAGATGTCGTGATAAACAACATGAATTGGCTACTAGTAAGAATCAATTTCGTCGAACGAAAAAATGGATACCTTTCTTGCTAGGCAATTCCTTGCCGTCTTTAATATAAAACTCCCTGATATCCACCACAACCTTTCCCATCCAAATCCTTACAGACACTTTGCGATTCTTCGAAAGCTTCAGTCCGAAAACCAAAAAAAATGCCTAAGTTAGGGAAAACACGCCATGAAAACTAAAGAAGGGTTTTACTCACGGAAAACACGCAGCCCAACAAAGTAAGCACACCTCACAGATGAAAATGTTATCAGACTCATCATCATCATTTTCAGACTTCAGAGACTTCTTCTGGGGCTCGTCGCCGTCGGAAAGTCCATCCTCCTCTCTCGCCTTCTTCCCTGGCCTCGACATTTCTCCCTTGACGGTTGCAAGTGATGGATTTGGGGGAGAATGTTCCGAGTTTTATAGCCGTTTTAAGATTGAATTTTGTAGAACTTTGGGCTGGACTAATTAAACAGTCCCGTTTATCCTGGATAGGCCCATTTCCCTGTACCAATACCTACAAAATCAACACAAAGAATTAATTTTCTGTTTCGGTAAAATAGAGACACTTGAAAAATATAAAATAATGCAGCTATCTAAATGATTAAAGAGTGAAAATTATGAAAAAATATTTTTAATAATTTTTTTAAAAAAAAATTATAAATTATATAACATGTTTTGTAAAATTATATTCAAAAAAAGGTAAAAATATTTTAAAAATAAAATTGAACATCCATTTCTCTCTATTGATATGAGAAATTAAATTAAAAAAATAGAAATAAAAACCTTACTTGGCACCAACGATTGGCTCGCCTGAGAATCGTGTCCACTAGGTTAGGTTAGGACACCGGAGGATAAGTGTCCACCGGGATACCGAACCTGTGAATTTTCTTTAATTTTTTTTTTAAAAAAAATATTAAATTATTTCAAAAAAAAATTGAAAATTATAAATTTTCAAAAAATAAAAATTCATGTTTCCACAAAGGGTCCTACACAGACCAAAATAATACTACGGAGACCTAATGTTTTTTTAGGGTAAAAATTTAGTTTGTTTACAGAAAAATGTTCAATATATGGTGTGGAAAAAATTCTCTCTTTTTCTTTTTCTCAACATTAGCATTATACATTGCTGGAGAAGCGATTTAATATACGCTCTTATAGGAACATGAGGATCCATGAATCAAGTGCACAAGTATCTCATGATTGATTATACACTCACAATCACAATCACACAAATGGGACAGAAAAAAAAAAAAAAAATAGGACTCTATAATTGACAAAGAGCTAAAGCCATATGACACAAGAAAATAATTGAGGGAAAGGATCATGTTGTGTGAGCTCCATGAGTTCGGGATGCCCATATTCCAAACACAAGAAACCAGAATACAAACAAGATAGCCCAGTACCGAGCAGGACCATACTTGATTCTTGTCAGCACAAACTGCACATAGATTGAGAACAACAGTCGATGATCTTTATAGTGCAAACAGTCTCATGCAAGAAATGTGATAAAAGGTTTAGAGTTCGATAATAAAAAGACTGCAGGATCAGTGTACTCAACAAAGGAAAAAAATGCAAACCATAAGCCTAGAGACTACACCCTATTTAGTTAATATATATGCAGTATCCGTCCGTAAACAAACCTATTTTACTCAATTCATAAAGACATCAAAAGCAATGCAAACCATGTAGGCTTAACATGGAGGATAATTTCTGTGTTTCTAGATAAAGTTAAAAAAAAAGGCATTTTCTTTGGCGTGTCACATCTAAACCTACATAGATCATCTTGAGAATGATTTGAAAAGATTTGTGAAATTTATATTGCTTTCTTTTCCTTCATGGTTATTTTTTCATTGCTGATTTGGAAAAAAGGTAGACCTCCCTTCTCTACAAGCCGCATTACTGATATCAAATGTTTGGTCACGAGTAACTCAGATATATATCTTCACCATGCACAGAGTATCCATAGGTAATTATCGAATCCCAGATATTTAAAGAACTCATTTCATAATATTATCAACAAGAAAGCAGAAATCAAACTTACAAAGCGGAAGAAAACTACAACAGTGAGTGCGCAGACACCGCCAAGAAGAATATGCAGGCCATTTCTGGCAGTTTTCTGCAAAGGAAGATGAATACTCACAGTTAGTGTTGACAAGGTAAAAAATAGCAAGGTAAATACACCTAGTAAAGAACTAAATTGGAAGTCACTAACATAATCAATCTACTATCCAAGATATCACAAGAATAATAACTTCTTCCTGTCTAAACTTTTCTGGGAACAAAGTGGGGAAGGCTTAATAAGCTGTGACAGAAAATGATCATGTTTAATGTATGGCTTTAATACATTGGTATTGTATGATCTGTGATTGTTATGTTATGATGATCTGATTTTTCATTCTTGAAATCAAGAATGAGAGGAAAGATAAGAAAATAACAATACAAGACACATTAGGTGCAAGAGCAATTGGGAGTGGAGCCTTGTACAAAGGCTAAATGAAATAGGTGGCTCCGTCAGGGAAAAAACAATAATAAAAAAGCAATTTCTAGGCAATCACAATCCAAATACTGCGCAATTAATACAACACCAAAAATCAAAACTTGCTTCTGTGTCAGAACTGGAACACAACCACCATATTAGTAAAACTGAAACATCATTAAGGATCATAACTTGTACATTTGATATTGAATCAATTAAATCAATATAGCCTTTTACAATGCAAGCAATTTGAATAACCAAGAGCATCCATAGAATGGGATGGAGTGAAACAGAGAAAACAGGAAAGAAACCATGTGAAACGAAGGAAGATTTATAGAAATTCCAAGTACCTTTCCAACATGAGGTGCAAGAAGCCATGCAAGCGTAACAGTCAGTAGGCCTGTCGCAAGCAGGATACCAGTACCCTCCACAGCCCATTTAGTAGCAGTATTTTCTTCAGAGCCAGGCTCTTCCACAACCGTATTAACTGACGGTTGTTCGCTCACCACCTGGGACACAGTGACAGAGCTGTTGTTATGTGGATTAAACCACAAGGAAATTTCACTCAATCTTTGCCTTCGAATTGCAGCAACAGCATCAGGATCTACACCAAAATGTGTTTGACATGGTGCAGGATTGGGCTCACCATTAACAATTCTTTCTCTTAATGCTTCATACTCTTTCAAAGAAGCCAATATCTTTTTTACGTCTGCAGATCTTATGTTTGTGGCCACAGAACCACAAATTTCACAGACAGTTGACCCATGATTGATAAACCACTTAAGAGCACAAGCATAATGTGCTATAGCAAGGTCATTCTTACAAGCACATCCAAGGTCAAATAGCCTGTCATGGTTTTCATCAAAGCCTAACTCTACATCAGTAGTACAAACAAAAACCTCTCCTGTCGGACTAATAAACTCAACCAAGTCAGAGCCTTTTAAATCACTTTTCCGGTAGGAAATGTTGTCACTATTGAATGAGGCAGCTTTCGATTCAGAATTCAATTCTTCATTGCCATTAATCAGGCTGCAGGGTGGTGGAGAAATACCTAAGAATCCTAGTGCAACATTTCCTCTTCTATCTGGTTCACTACATTGACAAACACGACAAGTCACCATACCAGCCTCCTTGTCTATGCCATGACATGAGTCTTCATTCCTTGATTTGGCATCATTCTCTGTAGGCATGCTTAAGCAAATTTCTTCACTAACTGCACCAGTTTCCTGGGACTTCTCTTTCTCCATCATGTAAACAAATTTGACACTAAAGAACAGGTACTATACAGCTTTCAGGACTAGCACTATTTTTAAACCAAAAACATCAACTGTGCCAAGTTTTCCATTGCATGTATCTATGAGACAGCAGGCGTAACAATCCCATCCCAAAGCATTTTCATCGCAATTTAACAGAAAGCAAACAAAACTATCTTATATTTTCTCGGAAATTTGAGCTTCTTTGGAGTCATTTTGAAGAGTACCACCTGTTTACAAACAATCGAAATTGAATTCAGTTCTTAAGAATCACATCGTTCTTGTAATTCTAAGATTAGAAAGTACAAATAAGTCTTAATATAGAAGATCATATGTAATCCATTGTAAATCACTTTTTCCTTGAAATTATTTGCTTTACCATGGGCTGCACCCTGTAAATGTGAACACACAATACTTGAATGTAATATATTATTTATCATACATATGAAACCTTCAATATTTAGTAATCATATCTGTTCACAAGAAAATCGTTATGTGCAAACAAATACTTCTATTTATATACATATTATATTAAAATATTTTAAAAACCCTAAACCTTAAAGCATTATCCCCAATACAATTATACCATCCATCCAATGAACTCTAACAAAAAGAGTACTCGTACTGGAATGGATGCCCTATTTCAACAAAGTAAATGTAACCAAAGAACACTTCAAGTAAAGGACAATGAAACAAAGAAGGCGTACATGGTCAGTACAAGAACCACCTAATAACAGCCAAATCGATCTAAGCTAGAACACATTTTTCATTGCTGCATGCCATTGCTTTACTATAAATAATTTAAGTGCTCTCTAATACATACATAAGAGAATCGGAAGTTTTTACAGCTCAAATAAAAATGCACTACGGCCGTAATTTGGAGTCATTTGGAAGCGTAAAACTACTAAACTACCCTACGAACCCCAACCACATTCAATTGTTAACAGTATCTTCACTGATCACATCTTTTCCCCTCATGATAAATCCTTCCCGTGCAACCAAAGTATGGAGTTCTAAAAAACAACAGACTCTATCAACAAACGCAATTTCAAGTAACCATACAAAATAATGAACATGCCCATCGGAGAGCATTTTGCTGAGACGAACTTTCAACAGCGCACAACCACATAATTGAATCACAATAGGTAGAAAATCCTTGTATTGGAAAGAAATCGGTGTGTTCCAGATATTAAAAAGGCACTAAATCCTAGTTGAAGCAACGAAACAAACACTATCGATCAAGAAGCCGATGAACGCCAGTTGGAGCAAACAAATGATGCTTTCCAACAAATCAAAGTGGCCAAATCTAACAAATCGAAGATTGAACATAAAATGAAGCAGAAAGGAAGCAACCTCAGATAAGCAGCGTAGTAAATCGAGCGAAGATGTGGCAGTGGGTGGCCAAAACCTCGCTCTCCCTGTCCGTGTCTCACTCCAGTATGCAGTGATGCGACAGTAGCATTTATCCAGGAGTAAATAAAACTGTATTTTATATGTTCCTTCAGAGAGCCGCTTAACATTAGATGCTATAGTTGCAACCACATCCTTCAACTTCATTGCATTTTCATTTTGACCCACAACTGTTTTCGAGTTATGCTTACGGCTGTTTAAGCCATGAATTTTATTTCTTTATTTTTATATAAAATATTTAAATTCAAATCAAAATTAAATAAACTTTAAATATTTACATAAATTTTATATTTTTATGTATTTGATAAAATAATTAATATAATAAAAACTTCATATACTTTTATAGAAAATTATGATAGTATATAATAATTTTTTAAAAAATCACAATAAACATAATCATCGTGTGTGTATATATATATATATTCTATTTTTATACTAAATTACATTTTTCAAAATATACTTATATTAAACACATATTTTTATTTAAAATGAGGATTATTATACCAATACAGGGGTTTGCACTTCGAAAACACGTGGTATTGTTCTGTGGTTATAACTCTTGTGTGTGATACATGGCTGGCCAAAATCAAATATAAAACAAATAGAGCACACAAGATTTGTTAACCTAATTCGATGTAACTACCTACAGAGATTCAAATCCATAAGACGTCCACTAAACCTATCAACCATGTATACATGAAACTCAATGACTCAACAAACACAAACTCAAAGCTATCATCTCATACAATCGTCTTTACATCACAATATACAAGAAACTAGGAATTAAACTGTAGTTCTAATCCTAGCAGACTACCAGTCTAACTGAGAGTAAACGGGTACAGGTTGATCTTCTTCTCTCTTAAAATGAGCTTCAAATCCCTATGAGAAATCAGATTCTTCTTCAAATCAAGGAGTAGTTAAAATGGGAGAGAATACAAGGAAACACACTACCTCAATGCAGTGTTTGACTAACCAACGTTCGGAGTATTAAATACGTTACCACAAACCTGCAGCCTCATGTTTGACAATCCATATCTAGACAAAACCTATGCAAAAGAGGCACAAACAAACCATACAAGAGGTCTTCAGTAGCAGTCTTCTGCATTCCATATTTGGGTCGTCATCGAGCTCCGATAGCCGAAAAAGTTTGTAACAATAAAGATGTTGATTGCTTGACAAAAATATCCTATGAAATTTTTATTGTTTCATGTATAACGGGTAGGACTAAATTTTTATTATCCTACAAGGATTAAAATAATTTTTTTCAAATACTTTTCCATTGGCCTAGTAAGCCGTAGATTTGTTACTACAATTTCGCTATATTCAAATGTGCCGAATGAAACATAATGTTGTATTAATATAAATTATGTAGGACAATGAATACTTTATAAGTGTACTATATGAACATAACAATATTATATATTTTGTTAATTGTCATGTGTTGCTAATTTTTTTGGTAGATTTTTATTATATTAATATAAAATATATACTGCTAATTTATAATTTATATGTTACCAACGCTAAGAACATCCGTTACAGTCATCTCATTTGTTGTCTTTGTGATTATTTTTTCGATTTTTATTATAACAATACTTGTTACCTTTAATAAGAAATACAGTTATTCTAAATTTATTATATTTTTCAAGAATCGGTTACCTTCAACAAAAATAATAAAAATTAATCAAGTATTATCTTTTTTTTTTTTTTTTTTGAAATTTTAAAATTTAAATTCAATAAAAATTATCTATATATTTATTTAAAACTCATTAACTAATTATAATGTTTTATCTATCATATTTTAATTATTTTTTTTTATCTCTAATTTTTCCAATTCAAATTTTAAAATAGTAACTTATATGCTTGAAATTATTAAAATTTACTTAGATTAATATTTAAAAATTAAAATATAACATTATATAAAAATATTATTAGATAATAAAAATATATAGAAATAAATAAATTATTATAGGTATTATATGAAGGTAATTCACTACAACGGGTGATAAATAAAGTAATTTGAATGTTGAAATAAATATGTAGATGAAAGAGATAAAAAAAAAAAACAAAAAAAAAATAGATTAAAGGTAATTACAACGAATGCTCTAAGAGTGTGTTCTTTTAGTGAAAAAATTCCTACATATTTTATATAAAAAATTAATATATTATACATATTTAATATTCTTGTATTTATATACATAATTTTTTATAATTCACGTAAGAAAATAGATCTTGTCAAATAATTTCACATAACAAACACTTGCATATGTACAAATTTTCCATAAATATTAATTCAATTATTTTTAAAAACAATTCTTTCCAAAGATTATAGCCTAATATAAAGTTTAATATCGCTCTCATTTCATTCAATAAAAAATAAGTAAATAAATACATGGTTCGCCCAGTGTAACTTTTCCGTCGGGTCTGGTTTGTTTACAGGATATTAGGTTCGATCGGGTTCGGGTAACGACTGCGAGTTCCTACGTCATAAAAAAAATAAAAATAAAAATAAGTAAATAAATAGATGTGTATGTGTGGAAGTGTTTTGAGTATAATTCAATTAAAATATACTCATATACATATATATATATATATATATCTTTTTTCAGATAATAGAATAAAACAAGGAGTTTGTGCGATCGTCTTGTATAAACATTAATATAAAAATATTTATCTACTTATGATTAGTATTTATAAATTAAAATTATTAAATTAAATATTTAATATAAAATATTATTTTTATCAATATAATTTTTAAAATTTAAATACGTGCTACACTGTAGACACGGTATTTTAAGAGGGGTATAATTAGTAGATAATTAATAATGTATCAGTGAAAATAATTATCTTATAATATAAATAATTATAAATTAAAATTAAAATAACTAATTAGTTTAACTAAAATTAAAAAACTTAAAATGAATAGTATGTAGAACGGACAGAAACAGCAAGCGAATATAATATTGGGTCGAAGGGAGTATTATTATTACCAGTCACCATTGACCCAAATTCACGCCCCCCGATTACTTCAGATTCCATGTATGTAAATAAAATATCATGGCTCGTTCATCCGGCGTACGAAATAATTTTCTTTTTTTTTATACTTATGATACGACAAATTGTTTTAGAAATATAAAATACTTTTTTTCATCAAATTTATTTATTTATTATTTTATTTTGTTTGTCCGTTAAATTTATTTTATTTGAAAAAATAAAAAAATTTTATATTTAATTATTATTTTTAATTCAATACTTATTAATTTTATTACATATTCTCTTTGTTCTTTCTAATTACTAAATATTGATTTTTTTTAAATTTTCGCATCGAATCCAAATAAGCTAAATATGAATGATGGAGAGAGCATATTATTTTAAAGAATATTTGACTTTTGATTTTTTTAGCAAGTATTCAATACTTCTTTTTGACTTTTTTAATTTTGTATAGAATTTTGTATATTTTTAATTATTATTTTTAAGAATCGAAATAAAAAAATGTTACTGAAAAAACATAGCATATATATACTTAGTTAGCGATGACAACAAGACGAATTCTGGAGGTAAAAAAAAGTTAGGTTTTACCTGCTAAGTTTGGAATCAATTCAAAAAATTTGCTTTGTTTTATAATATATATATTTAAGTTATTTGACATATAATAAAAAATTAAATATTAAATATTTAAAAAATTTTAATTATAATATCAATAATATATTTTCAATTGAGGTGATATCGGTGTAGCATGCGATAAAAAAATAATAAGTTAGAAAAATAAATATAATAAAAACTATAAAAAAACTAATAAAACAAAAAATATATAAAATTATGAATTTAAGTAATATAAAAAATTATAAAAGTATATTATACTATTCATTTATGAAATTACTAATTTAACTAAGTTTTGACGAATTATTGAACAAATAAAAATAGGGTTAAAATTCTTAAAATCCGTAACTCATGCCAGGTTTGGGCCCTGTAATGAAGCATTTTGTTTGAATGCAAAAATTTAGGTAGAATATATGAAAATTTAAAGATAAATAAAAATATTTGTTACCGAAAAAGCTATGTAAAATAAAAAAAAATTTGAGTGAGTTCTACGTATAAAAATTTCAAAATTTAATTAAATTAATTTATATTTTTAAATGAGTTGAAGATTGATAAATTTTAAAAATAGATAGTCATGGATAGAGTTATTTTTTAATCTTATAAAATATCATATCAAAATAATATTTAAATAACATTCTATTTTAAATCAATTTCAAATTACAATCAAACAAAAATTTGTAAAATGTCTTGCAAATATAATTAGTATTTCTTTAATTTAGTTATTTACATTTATTTATTTTCCGTATCATATCTTTCAATGATTTAACTTACCACTTTTAATTTAAATCCGCCATTTCTTATTACCAATTTCCTTTTCTTCAATGCATTAAGCACACAAAATAAAAAATAAAAAATAAAAACAAAATAATTTAAATTAGCAGGTATTAATTGCACAGATGTACATGCTCATTAAGACATATCCGATTTATTTCACATGCAATTCTTACTGATTTTAAAAGTTATTACTCTCTCTTTTTGTCCCAAATAATTTGTCTCTATTTTTTATTTTCGTTTTTCTCACGTAATTTGTCATTTCTATTTTTAAAAATATAATTATGCATTTTAATTGTATTTTAAATTTTATAATTTTTTAAATTTTATTTAAATTATTTACTTATTTTAATCTTAATTTATAATTATTTTTACTACATAATAATTATTTTTACTAATACACTTTTAATTACTTACTAATTATACTCTATATAAATTTCAGTGTTTACAGTAATACACTCATATTACATTGGATATGAGACGGAACACTCATATTACATTGGATATGAGACGGAGGGACTATTATTTATAAAATATTATGTGTCAATATTTTAGCAATTTGCCTTTTTAAAATTCCAAAAATCTCACTCTTCTCTACGCCGACGTCTCTCTATCCAATCTACGGTCGCCACGTCATCTGATCTGCCTACGTGGCGTTCAGTCCCCGGCTCTATATAGTCGACGCGGCTCTCGCCTATAGTCTTATTCTATACCTCCTGTCTTCTTCACGTCTTCACACTTCACTTTGTTGAATCTCGAGAAATTGGGGGAGAGGCGGAATCGTAGAGAGATCGGAAGAGAGGTTAGAGCAATGGCGGCTAGGATTTGGCTGGTAGTTTTGGTGGCGCTCGTCGCGGTGCTGAATTTTTCGCCGGTGACGGCGACGGAGGTGGAAAAGGTGCTGACTTTGGACCACACGAATTTTACGGAGGTCGTGTCCAAACACGACTTCATCGTCGTTGAGTTTTACGCCCCTTGGTATGTATAGATGAATCTGGCTTGATTGATCTGGTTTCTGTTTCTTATATGTGTGATTTTTTGCTTGAGATTATTTGATTTAGGTTCTGTTGGATTTTTGTGTTCATGGATAGCACATGCGCGCCTACTGTTGTAGTTGATTTGATGTTTTGAGATTTTATCAAATTGTTTGCGGTATCTGAATGTGAATTCCAGATCTCTTAATGCATTGCTGCTGTGGATCTCGCATGGATAGGTGTACTCTTTTGTTGTTTGATTAATCAATTTGAGCTTTATGAGTATCTGTTTGGCATGTGGTTGGATTGTTGGTGGAAAGTTTTGGGTGTTTTTTAGCGTCCGTGAAGAAGATTGGAAGACTGTTCTTTTACTTCTGAAGTATTCAATCCGATGTTTTTGGCTGTTTTTATTTTATGATGAAAAGAAATGTTGGCGAAAATAAAATATTTTGGATGTTTGATTTGAATAAAATGAGAGAAATTTAAACTAAAAATATAGATCATAACGGTAACTCAAGGAAAATCTGATAATTTGGGGAGGAAATGACGGAAATTGTCTTCAGTTTCTTTTATAATAGTCGCCTAATATTCCCTTTCATTCTAAATAATTAAATATATATATATTTATATGTTAATATATATATATATGTTAATATATTATACACTCGCACAATTAAAATTGAATGGCCCCATCTCATAGTGACATTATTCAATATTATTTGAAAACAACAAAGCTAATGTTTATAATAGTCGATTTTCTTTCTTTGGCTTTAACATGGCTGTTTTCTTCATAAAATTTTGCTGCTGAAGGCAGCACAGTAGCTATGTTGAAACAACAATTAGTAATATTGAAAAGTCCTGGCATATGCTTTTGTCTGTGTATGTAGTCTTTTTATTTCTGTTTATTTAAATGATAAGTTCTTTTTGATTACTGGAATTTAGAATGCAGCGGGATCCACGCTATTTACTTATTTAGTTATTATGATATTTTCTGTATATTTGAGAGATTTCAATCATCATTCTTCAGCAATTCCCTTAATTTTTTTGATAACAGCAATTCCCTTATTTTTGTTCTTGTAACAGGTGTGGACACTGCAAGGCCCTTGCTCCAGAGGTAATATTTTTTGCTCTTGTGAATTCTGAAGAAACAACTTTTCTATTTTTTTTTTTTTTGGGAGCTAAATAATTGGTTTCTTCCCAAAATTTCAGTATGAGAAGGCTGCCAATGCTCTAAGCAGCAACGATCCCCCAGTTGTTTTGGCAAAAATTGATGCAAGTGAAGAAGTAAATAGGGAACTGGCCACTCAATTTGAGATTCAAGGCTTTCCTACTATCAAAATCCTAAGAAACGGGGGAAAAAGCACTCAAGAATATAATGGGGGTCGTGATGCTGATGGTATTGTTACATACTTGAAGAGGCAACTTGGCCCTGCATCTACTGAAATCAAATCAGCAGAAGAAGCTGCAAGTCTTATTGATGCAAAAAGCATTTACGTTGTAAGATCCCATAAAAAAGTTGTCTCTTCGTATTTATGACGTATGCAGTTGCTGAAGTTTTATGGTTATCTACTAGGTTGGAGTGTTTAGTGCTTTCTCGGGGGAGGAGTTTGAGAATTACAAAGCCATATCTGAGAAGCTGCGATCTGACTTTGATTTTGGTCACACTCTTGATGGTAAATTTCTACCTCGTGGTGGAGCCGTTAGCAAGCCAACCCTTCGCGTGCTTAAGCCTTTTGATGAACCGTTTGTGGATTCAGAGGTATTTACTTATATATATATATATATATGTTGGTTGTGTATGTCTATGTATATATTCTCGATTGAGCTTTTAAATAAAGATGCTGCTCTTCCCTTATTTTATTTCAGGATTTCAATGTCGATGCGTTGGAGAAATTTATTCAAGAAAACTCTATTCCACTTGTGACTGTCTGGGATAAGGATCCCGCGAACCACCCTTATCTTAATAAATTCTTCGAGAGCTCCAATGATAAGGTACTCGTTAGATCTATGATTTAGGAATTTCGGTCGCGAGTCCTTTGAATTGCCTGTAGCAGTATATTTCTTTTGCAAGAACTTAATGATGTGATTTGACATGTGTAGGCCATGCTGTTAGTGAACTTCAGCAAAGAGCTCGACTCTTTCCAGCAGAAATATAAGGATGTTGCAGCTCTTTACAAAGGGAAGGGCATCAGTTTTCTGTTGGGTGATGTCGAATCCACTCAAAATGTTTTCCAGGTGGTTACCCTCTACACTTATTTATATTTCCTCTTGGCTTGAAACTGGAACTCCATATGACATTACTGCATTTGTGGTTGGCAGTACTTTGGTCTGAAGGAGGAAAATGCACCTCTACTGGTCATACAGAAATCCGGCGGAGAGAAATACCTCAACGAGAAAATCAAACCCGACCAGATTGCACCGTGGATCAAAGATTTTGTGGTGAGTACCTCTTGTCTCCATCTATCATCTTTGGAAGTTTAGTATCGACTAAATCTTACATTTTTGTGCTCCTTGAAATGGTGTGACAGAGTGGACTAGTGAAGCCATTTGTAAAATCGGAGCCTATTCCTGAAGTGAACGATGAACCTGTCAAGGTGGTTGTCCGAGACAGCCTTGATGACTTTGTTATCAAGTCTGGAAAGAATGGTCTGTAACACCATACTCTTCCCTTCCCTCTGGAATCTCCTCATTGCATTTATAATCTCTAGAAATACAAACTTAGATCCCGGAAATGAAACTGCATTTTCACTAGATTTACATCTTTAGATTGAATACTCTGTTAACCTGAAAATTTTCATTTGCGCAGTTTTGCTAGAATTCTATGCACCTTGGTGTGGACATTGCAAGAATCTGGCACCAATCTTGGAAGAAGTGGCCATCTCCTTCAAGGATGATCCGGATGTCGTAATTGCGAAATTTGTAAGTCTTTCTACTCAAATCTCACATTCTCCTCGACAGGCTCGAGTTTTGATAGTTCATATGATCTCTTCTCAGGATGCTACTGCAAACGACGTCCCCGGCGACTCCTTCGACGTCCAAGGCTTCCCTACCATCTACTTCAGATCTGCAAGTGGCAAAGTGGTGACATACGACGGCAACAGAACAAAGGAAGACATCATCAGTTTCATCGAAAAGAACAGGGACAAGCCGGAGCAGTCAACTTCTGCTGAACCGGAGTCTGTAGTTCCCGAAAAGGTCGATGTAGACTCCGGCAAGGACGAGCTGTAGGAGGTAGTATTTGATTTAATGGCGTTGTTTTGAGTAGATTCAACAGAGTTATGAACATCATCGTCTTGAGCTAATTTAGTGTTCTCTCTTAATCATGCAAGGTTGAGGATGATGATCTTGTAGAATGCAGCAGCGAGATTTTGATTTACAGTAGCTGAATTAGCTGTACCGTTGAACGTTTTGTCCAATAAATTGGGTAAATTGCTTTACCCAGTATTAGAGATGATCATGTTCATGAATTACCGGAACAGCCAATAAAATATAATATGATATAAAATTTCCATGGTTATACTACTGCTAATAATAATACTTGTGACCTAATAACTATATAATACTAATAATACTTGGAATGGAATGGAATGAGATGAGTGGTGGTTTGTGTTTATGAGTGGTCTCCGTCGCCATTGCCACCGCCGCTGCCATCAAATGGCGGTGGCGGTGGCGGTGGCGGTGGTGGATGATTAATGTCATTATTATTGTTATTATTATTGCGTCTGGTGTCTCTCCTCTTCCCCCATTCATGAACCCTAAGATGAAGCTCCGCGGCTGAGATGAGGAAATGGACGCTCTGTATCGGGGTGAGCACCTGGATGACATTTGTTAGGGTTTTGAGCCGCAACTCGTCGGCCTTCTTCAGCACCTCGACGAGCCCCTCCTCCTTGGTCGCCAGCGCCGCCTCCAACTGCGTCTCGTCCATGGGGATCGGCTGCTGCTCGTCGTCGTCGGTGGCGGCGTGCGCGAGCTGGACCATGGCAGGATCGGCGAGTCTCTCCTGGTGCTTGGCTAATTTCTCGGTGATTGCCTTCTCCTCCTTAACGGTGGCGGTCTGGAGCTTGTCGATCTGCTCGAGCTGGCGGAGGGAGAGGTCGGCGAGGTCGCGGGTGTGGATGAGGAGGTCCTGGACCTGGAGGAGGTGGGTGAGGTTGGCCTGGAGCTGGAGGCCGGACTTGGAGTAGAGGAGGTGGAAGGCCATGGTGGGGCGCCAACCGCCGATCCAGAGGAAGGCGTCCTCGAAGCTGCTCCGCCAGCTAGGGTTGAACATGGCGAGGATGTCGTCCTTGGCCAAGGTGGATTTTGAGCGGTAGTAGTGGCGGTAGTGGTTGAGGACTCGTTGGATCAGGGGGCGGAGGAGGTCCTGGTCTTCGGGGTGGTTTTTGGAAGCGTGGAGGAGCTCCTGAAGGTACTGGTTCTGCTCGACGATCCAGGACTCGAAGAAGTCGTGGAAAGTCTGGCGCCGGCACCCACTCGCACTCGCAGTCGCCGCTGCGCCGCCGCTGATCTGTGGCTGCGTCATTATCATGGCAGTGGCAGGCCAGACCAGAAAGGGATCGATTGTATGTATGGAAGCATGGGGTTGGATTTATATACTGGATTTGTTGCATGTTGACTGGAGTCTGAAAACCAGTGGGCGGGTGCAAACAAGTTGAGCAACAAAACCAGGTGGTTTGGTGGGAAGAAGAGAAATGGATGGGATTGGTGGAGGAGGGGAGATTGCGGCGGCGCAAAAAGACAAATAGCGGCGGCGGAGTGAGAGAGAGGACGACGGGGATTGGCTTGGAGAATCCATGGCTGCAAGTGCAAGTGCAAGTGCAAGTGTCATCCATGGCTGGGTACGAATATGTTTTTGATTTTTTTATTATTGAAGACACCTGCACACAGACAAAAACACGAAATTAGTGTAGGGGGAGAGGGACATCGAATTCAGTGTGTGCAGAGAGAGAGAGAGAGAGAGAGTGCTTCTAGGCTAAGAAATGTGGGGTAGCCTAGCAAGTTGGTACCCTACCCCTACCCCTACACATATGGTACAAATAATTTCTCGACCTTTCTATTTTAGGATGAAGCATTTCCTATTATGGATTACTATAACTATGAACTATCTCTCTATCTATGTCAATCCAAATATATCATCCATCTGGGATGGTCCGGTGTATGGGTATTGGACGTGTGACCTGACTTGCCTGTTGGGTTTACCCGGTGCCGATTTCCATATTATAAATATATATCATTCATTCCTTCTTTACACAAACTTATAACCCAATGTATGGTTTGATGTTGTTAGAGATGAATTTCTATTTTTTTTTTTTTTTAAATCTATTTACATTATTTTCAGTAATAGACTCAAGTTATTTCTTGTTCTCTTTTTACAAAAAGTTAAAGAAAATAAAAAAATACAAGGAATCAATACGACTTCTCATGTGATTAAATGAGAAATTTTCACTTACCTATAGCAATAGTATATTCTTACTATGGTCACTTATTCTATAAGTTTTCCATATAGTTACTCAGAAAGAATCCCATAGAGATTATATGTAATAAAATTGAAGTTTGTAGTGCTTTTGTAAATTGTGATTAAATTTATGTAAAGGTAAAAATCCAATTTTGAAATACAGAAACACACAATCTAATCTAACGATGCCTTGCCTTCAACTGATAGAGTTCAACAATAGACATGATTTCCGTACCACCTGTTCAATCTATGAATAACTTTTTTTCTTTCGCTTTCATGTCAGTATGATAAGTATGTCTTTTATTGTTTTCTTTAATGCGTCAATCAATAAATAAAAATATTATAAATAATATTTAAAAAATATAATAAACAACGCATATAATATAAAGTATTAATATCCAATATCAATTCTATTTATTTTGTGTTATATATATATATTTTTGATAATATGAAAATTAGCATTCAACTCTCTGGTGCGCTCAAACAGTCAAACTATGTATAGCAGACAAATATTTTGGCAAGTAATGCAACATAGAAATAGTAAGAAAGGGGAAAAATGAGGAGAAGAAGAAGAATAGAAGTAGGCATAGAAGTTGAAGAAAAAAGTAGAAAGGGTGGAGAAGAAGAAAGGAAGGAAATGAAAAAATTGAAAAAAGAAGGATGGAGAAGAAGAACAAAAGGAAGAAGATGGAAGAATAGAAAAAAAAAAAAAAAAGAAAGAAGGATGGAGAAGAAGAACAAAAAGAAGAAGACGGAAGAATAGAAAAGAAGAACAGAAGGAAATGAAAAAACTGAAGAAAGAAGATGGAAGAATGGAGAAGAAGAACAGAAGAAAGAAAAAAAGTTCAAGAAAGAATGATGGAAGAATAGAGAAGAAGAACAGAATGAAGTAAAAATGTTGAAGAAAGAAGATGGAAGGATAGAAAAGAACATAATGAAGCAAAAAAGTTAAGAAAGAAGATGGAACGATAGTAAAGAAGCACAAAAGAAAGCGAATAAGTTGAAGAAGAAAGAAGATGGAAGGATAGTAAAGAAGCACAGAAGAAAGCGAATAAGTTGAAGAAGAAAAAAGATGGAAAGATGGAGAAGAATAAGAATGAAGCAGAAAAGTTGAAAAAAAATGAAATGATAGAGAAGAAGAACAGAAAGAAACGAACAAGTTGAAGAAAAAAGATGGAAAGATGGAGAAGAACAAGAATAAAACAAAAAAGTTGAAGAAAAAAGATGGAATGATAGAGAAAAAAAAACAGAATGAAGCGAATAAGTTTGAAGAAAAAAGATGGAAAGATGAAGTAGAACAAGAATAAAGCAGAAAAGTTGAAAAAAAAAGATGGAATGATGGAGAAGAAGAACAGAAGGAAGTGAACAAGTTGAAGAAAAAAGATGGAAAGATGAAGAATAACAAGAATAAAACAGAAAAGTTGAAGAAAAAAGATGGAATGATAGAGAAGAAGAACAGAAGGAAACGAACAAGTTGAAGAAAAAAGATGAAAAGATGGAGAAGAACAAGAATAAAGCAAAAAAATTGAAGAAAAAAGATGGAATGACAGAGAAGAAGAACAGAAGGAAGCGAACAAGTTGAAGAAAAAAGATGGAATGATAGAGAAGAAGAACATAATGAAGCAAACAAATTGAAGAAAAAAGATGGAAAGATGGAGAAGAACAAGAATAAAGCAAAAAAAGTTTGAAGAAAAAAGATGGAATGATAGAGAAGAAGAACAAAAGTAAGCGAACAAGTTTGAAGAAAAAAGATGGAAAGCAAAAAAGTTGAAGAAAAAAGATGAAAAAAATGGATAAGAACAAGAATAAAACAGAAAAGTTGAAGAAAAAAGATAGAATGATAAAGAAGAAGAACAAAAGTAAGCAAAAAAAGTTGTAGAAAGAAAATGGAAAAACAAAGAAGAACAGAAAGAAACGGAAAAGTTGAAGAAAAAAAAATAGAAGGATGGAGAAGAAGAACAAAAGTAAGCGAAAAAGTTGTAGAAAGAAAATGGAAAAACAAAGAAGAACAGAAAGAAGCGGAAAAGTTAAAAAAAGAAAAATGGAAGGATGGAGAAGAAGAACAAAAGTAAGCGAAAAAGTTAAAAAAAGAAAAATGAAGGATATAAGAGAAGAAGAAAGATCAAAATAGGGAAGAAGTTGAAGAAAGAATAGAAGTAAAGGAAAATAGAAGATAAAAGAATTAGGGTTTTTTTTGTTGCTGCGGTTTGTATTTATGGAGTGGGTTAGGATTTTTTTATAATTTTGCTTTTGTTTTTTCTTTTAAAAAATTAATTATTTATATTGATAATATAATTATTTAATTAAAATATTATCGGTATGTTTAATACCAATATACAAAAAAATTTTAGGCCAAAAATTTATGATATCCCAAATTTTTTGATATTTTCGGTATAATACGATATAATAAATTGATATTTCAATATTTTCGATTAATTATCCATCCCTAAACAAGAAGAAGAAGATGATGGAAATATGGAGAAGAAGAAGAATAAAACAGAAAAGTTGAAGAAAAAAGATGGAATGATACAGAAGAAGAACAAAAATAAGCGAAAAAATTGTAGAAAGAAAATGGAAAGATAAAGAAGAACAGAAAGAAGCGAAAAACTTGAAGAAAAAAATGGAAGGATGGAGAAGAGCGAAAAAATTAGAAAAAGAAGAATGAAGGATATAAGAGAAGAAGAAAGATCAAAATAGCGAAGAAATTGAAGAAAAGAAAAATAGAAGGTTTTTTTTACTACGGCAGTTTGTATTTGTAGAGTGAGTTAGGATTTTTTTTATAATTTTGCTTTTGTTTTTTTTTTCTTTTAAAAAATTAATTATTTATATTGATAATTAAATTATTTAATTAAAATATTATGTTTAATACCAAAACGCAGAATTTTTTTAGGCCAAAATTTACTGTATATCAATTTTTTTTGATATTTTTAATATAATACAGTACGATAAGTTGATATTTCAATATTTTCGATTAATTATTCATCCCTAAACAAGACAAAAGCGTGGAAATTTGAACGGTCGAATCCATCCGACCGTATTTGCGGCGTTATCTCTATTTTCAATGGACCATGCGGAGAGAGAATGAGTGATGATACTGCCATATTATTTTTCTACAGAAACAATTAATATATCGCAATATATTATTAACTTCATAATATATATATATATATGACTCCACAGATAGACTACACCAATAACAAGTGGTGAGATTTTGTATAATTGAGAATTGATTTACATCGTTTTTTTCTAAGCAGTGGTTTAATGCACAAACGAAACTTCTCATGCTAACAATTTTTAGTAGTCATTTCACAGCTTTTCTTTCATGTTTTATTGATTTTTTTATTTTAGTTTTCCATAAAAGTAAACAAAGGAAAGAAATAGGAGCAATAGCAATAGGGAATAGAAATAATATTGATATTATATTATATTGATATCAAATAAAATATAAGAATAAAATTATTTTTTTCTCCTGCGAGTATATTAATATAAAAATAAAATTATTGTTTTGAAACTGAAAAAAAATAGGAATCAAGACTATTCAAATACTGCATCAAATCCCAACAGCCGTTACTTTGATATTCTTCGGCTTTTCCCCATCAGTTAAGGAAAGGAATCCTTCCTTGCCATTGCCATGGCCATTGGTAGCCAAACACTATCAAACTAAGGCCTGTACTTAGACAAAATGCCTGCCAATGCCATACACAACATGTTCTACATTTTTTGCCAACATTATTATCAACACATCTTCCACATAGATATAAAGTACCAACAGTACATATGTTTGGATGAGATGCGCCCGAAGGTAGCTTAAATATCAAGACCAATACAGACAGCATACATTAACAATATATTCAAGTATGCGCCGAGGCACTAGCAATGTAGCTTCCATAAAGGCAGTAGACTCTTCTGATATAAGAGGGCTTTAATTTTAGAGAGCAAATAAAGTCTATATAATATATATCACCTTAGAAACGCCTAGACTTCTGTGGTGGCGGGTACCCAGGCATCCCCATTCCAGGGTCTTTCCGTCTCATCTGTTATAAATGAAGGAAGGCACTGAGTATTTACTAAGGAAATCAAAATAATATAGAGACAATTGACGGTATAATCATCATCTGAATACACAAACCTGCTGCTGTTGCTGCTGTTGATGAGCCTGCGCGGCAACTCCCCGTTGCATTGCCATGCCACTGGGATTTACCCCACCCATACCTGCCTGAGAAGCAAGACCATAGGCCGGGATTCCAGGAGGTGGCATACGCTGCATGCTAGCCATGGACATTGGTCGGGACATGGATCTATTTTGCATCACATGAGCACCCTGCATGTTCCCAGACATAGAATTTCCAGATGATACCTAATTAAGCGAATTTAACAAAAGCATGAGCTCATATTATATGACTGATATCGATTTAAAGATTAACAAAATCAACAGTTACATAGAATGGGCTCCTAATAGAAAGCCGTTGAAAGAAAAAAAAAAGGTTGTTGTATCTAAGTTGCTATTCAGTATTTGAGATTTATTAACAATTACAATTTAGTGAGTTACCACTTCTGTGCATATACAATTCTATATTACCATAAACTATATATAAAGTGTTCATAAAACTACTAAACCAAAGTTGTCCTAATTGAAGCACCCTCTTTCATGATGTAAATTCTAATTGAAGCAAAACCTTACAAGTTAAGAATCATGAATGAATCTCTAGGGTAACAACATATTGATTCAACTAATCATTTGAATGTCTAATCAAAATGCTCAAGAAATAGGCTACGGAATGGAAAATCATCACGGAGCATATATATGACCTACCATCTGTTTGTGGCACAACATATTAAATGTCTAGGAAAGGTCATTCAGGTCATAAGCAGATACAATATACCAATCTAACTTCTTAGATATTTAAGACTAACAGACCACAGCTGTAACCAAAAAAAAGTGCAGTGCCACACGAATGCTATATAATTTAACAGCATATTATAAAATCAATAAAACTTATATATACTGTAGAATAATTTTATTTTTATTGGAGAGCAGAATAAATTTTTTTAATGGAAAGAGATAGGCAAATAGGTAAGAAGCTGGAGGAGAAAACATGACTTCCAACTAGAAGAGAAATCTATTTCCTTTAGAACCACACTTCACAAAATCCGCAACCTCATTTGTACTATGAGGAATATGCTGAAAAAATGATGTAGAATCTAATGATAGAGACACGGCAGGAGAAGTCCTAAATACCAAAAAATAATCTTGAATTTAATTTTTTATTTTTAAATAGAGCTTGATGCAAAACTAAGAAAAATAAAAATATCATAATTCAAGCAAGAACAGGATAATCATGCCTGGTGGAAAAAGAACAAGAATGAACATATTGAATCTAGATGCAATGCGAAAGTGGAAGAAGTAAAAGGGCAGGGCTAGTGGCAGCCAATGGCCAGAAATCAAATTGTCGAAGCCTATTCCAACACAGAAGCCCTTTATCGAAGAGATCTAGGTTTTATCTATTCAAGGCAATAAAAGGAAGCTAAAATATTTCTCCTTTAATAAAATGTATTATATTATTCATTTCATCGAGAACAAAAAAAAAAAACAGGAATTCACCCACCCCAAATAGTAAATAGCAAGGCCACACCTTCACATGACACGTGTCAATTGGCACTATTTACAACTGTGGGAATACAAGGGATTGTTTTGGTATATTCATTAATAATGGTTTCACATGCTAAACATGAAGTATCATCACAATGATGTGTTTCTTATTTACCTTTTAGAAACTCTAGAAAGATGAAGTGCGTTGCGTGGACTATCTTTCACTGGCTTACACGATCAATTTGGCCATTCATAAGTGATTAGCATTCTAAATCATCATAGAATTAATTTATTCATAGCTTTCCAATACAAGACCAAGTTAGCCTTCACACAATACCATGTATTTCTTTTTCCTCTATCTACGGCTCTACCTAGTGTACATAGGTAAAATTTCACAATCACTTAACCAAGTGTAGCCTAAACCGTTGTTGTGGAACCACTTATTACAATTCTAAAATTGCTAGTTTTGTGTTCCTCTCAAAGTTCAAAGTGAATCACAGGATGTTGGTCTTAATAAGGATCTAAAATTTTCAATTTGATTCTAATTTTTGTTCTTAGAAAATTTCCTGTTTTGATCCCAAAATTTAATTAAATGTGCTAGCTGTTAAATTTGATTTGTATTTGGTAAGTTGAAATAAATAAATAAACAAACACACACACACAAACAAACAGTAAAATAACATAATTTACACTTAGAATGTTGAAAAAAAAAAAATCATATAATAATTTCAAAGCACAAATGATGCAATGTATCTATATCATGTAGAATATGTAAAAATAAAAAGTCTACACAATATTAGCATATATATGATACAATGTGTGAATCAAAATTCTCTCTACACCATAAAATTTAAAATTTGGATCAAAATTGATGCAAGCAAATTAGCAAAATATATATGTACTTTTCATAATAAATTATTTAGTTTATTCATCACCCCACTAATACTATTTTACCAAATATTATCTTCTCAGAAATGATATAAAATTTAACTATATTATATGTTCAAATTAAATTGTGGGGCAGTGAGGTAAAAATATAATAATAGCAATTATTATATCAAAGGTTTGAAATCTTACACATTTATAAGGTCGGGGAGTTAATTTGTATGGAAAATTTCTCATGAAAAAACTGTTTAGTAATGCAAATATTATATAACATATTAGTTATTTATATATAGTACTATTTAGTTTATAATCGTTCTTCTGACATTGGGTGGTTTTGAACTGAAATTGACCAACCTGGTTTCAAAGTTTATAGACCTAGGGACTAATGTTACACTTCTAGTCAGGTTTGTTACAAATAGAAGAGTTTCCATCCAAATCAAATGTGTGAAAAAGTTAGTGAAAAGGAGGTAATCAATCTTAAAGGAAAGCAGCATATGATTTAACCAAAATCAGTAAGTAGAGTGCTAAAATCAAATTTCTAGTTTAAAATGAAAAGAGAGAGAATAATTCAATGACAAGCACAAGAGCATGCACATCAACATATTATAAAGTTAAATATACTCTCATTTGTAACTCAACACATAATTGCAATATAAAACAAGAATCAACGTTAAGTAAGAATGCGAAACATCCATAGCTAAATACCAGGAGAGCAATAAATTATCACTATATTTATTTACAAAAATCTGTCACGGGTGTTCAAAACTCAATTTTGGATTACAGATTTTTTTATCTCCAATTATTACTGCTTCCAAGTATTGTTCAAACCAACGAGCCATCATTGCCTAAATTGTGATCGTAAAATTTTCCCAATGAGAAATAAAAAAAACTCCCTCCTCCCGGACTTCTTATGTCACTTTGTCTAGGTGTGGACACTAAAAATAAATAGTATTTTAATATAAAAATAGGATAGGTAAAAAGTAAAGTGAGGTATTATAGAAAGTTATTAAAGGTCATTAAAAAAGAATTAATGGGGTAAGTTGAAAAAGTAATAACAAATTGGTTATTATTTGTTTAAATAAGAATAATAAAATTATGAGTGGATAAAGTTATTTAATATAGCTAGACTATCCAAATAAGTTTGGCAGGCATCCAAATAAGGAAAATTGATATAAATATCCCAGATGGAGGAAGTATTTAATTTTACTAGTAATAATGCAAAGAGCAGTTTTAGCCAATAAAACATATAGCTTTGCTTAGAGCATGCACATGCCCTTAAGTTGACAACACAAAGGGTTTTCAAGGCATTCTAAGCTTGTGTTCAGCTCAGGTATTATGACATGTCAATAGCAAAAGTAACAGCAGAGACTTAAAGCTGCTGCAGAAATCCTTCAGATGAGGACAAGTCTCTGCAACATAGCTACGACAGTTGCAGTTTCTGTTTGCTTTTTTGTCTCAGAGGACTTCATGTTTTTGTAAAGTTACTTATTACCAAAACACAGTTCTCAATCTATATGCTTCAACTAAATCAAACAGAAAGTTCATGCTCACTAACCCATACCGCTTGAGAAGGCTGCAGGCTAATTGTTCCTTCAATATCAGTACTTGTATCCACGGGTCGAGTTGGGTATCCCACAAGTTTCTCTCCAGGTTGAGGTGAGACCAGTGAACTGTTCCAATTTTAACGTTAAATCAGACCTCACTTATTGTATGAGAATTTGCAACTGGGTAAGAATAAATTTAAGTATTCAGAAAATGCAACAGTTAAGGAAGATTATGACATACTTGCGTCCTGGCAAAGGTTCCATCCGAAAATACCTGTATTTATTAAAGGAAAGAACATAAGATTAATATCTCGTTCAATTTTTTGGTATGATGTATCAAATAATAAAAATTTCCCGTATATCGTATGGCTATAGTATTGCTTATATGTATGCTGTGTGACTCAAGTAATATAATAGACGCCAGTAAAATAAATGGCTGCTTGGGGTCCATTACCCCATTTTAAACACCAAGATTGCATCAAACTTTCATTAACTTTGGCAGCCAAATAATATGACAGAATGCAATTAAAGCTCAGACAAGTAAGTAGTAGCAAATTGGACCACAAGATTCCAAGCACTAATAATCACATGAGATAATGAACTTTATCGCAGCATTAGTTTGAAGAACAGAGCCCATGTACTCATCACGAGGCCCAAAACGTTATATAAACCAAAAGAACTATACTGTCAATTGGGCAAGAATAGAGAAAACAAACGCTTGATGTAGGACAGGGGTAACCTTTTCAACTACAGGTACCACAGGAATTATAAAAATGCACAAGCAATCACGTGTAGGAGCATTATTAGAGACAGGGATCAATAAACTGGCAGGAGAGCAGGTTAAATACATACTCATGTTCAAGAGCTTGTGCAGCAGTTATTCTTTTTTTAGGATCATACCTGCAAATAACATCAGCCAAGATTGCATGTCAGTTATTTCATTCAAGATTGTTGTAGGGTAAAAAAAACTGCCAAACTCCAAAAGAACACACCCTTATGTTTTGAAAAAAAAAAATAAAAATTAATTACTGTTCATAAAAAAAAAAAAAAAAAAAAATCTCTTAGAAATATCAAATCAAAAATATAATTTTCATTTATAATAGTACTCCCTCTGTCACTTTCCTTTTTTGCCTGTCCCCTGAAAGTGCTCTTATTTCCTTTTTTGTCTATACCCTGAAAGTGATCTTATTTCCTTTTATAATAAAAAAAATTATACTACTTTTTGTATTTTCTTACTATAAAAGGTAAAAAATAACCAAAAGTACACTCCACATTAAAACTGGTGCCCAAAAGTTTGAGCACATTAGGGAGTACATCAAAGCATATCATCTATTCAAAACATCACATTCAACACTTTTTATTTCACATCAAACAATTATTTTCCAAAACATGTATTAAGTTATATTGAATCTATGTAGGTACAATTTGCACACACTAATAAAATCTCCCTACTTTCCAAATTAAATGCAATAATTTAGATGGGACAGAATCACAGTTTGACTCTTTATAAGCATGTCAAGTACACATTAACCCAAAGCATAACAGTAAAAAATGTCAACATATGTTTGCATATGTTGAGCTACAACCACTTACTCAAGCATCTTGGAGAGAAGGTCAAATGCTGGATTTTTGGTAGATAAGTGAACTACATTGTGAAGTCCAACATTGTCACTGCAAAAATAGACATAAATCAAATCTGTCAATAGCACAAAATCATAGTGACAGCATGCAACAGGCAACAGGAGACATATTGATATGCATAATAGAAGAAAAATGAATGCAACTAACTATTTAAGCCCTTGGATATGTTGAACGTCAGCCTGCCAGTGAGGAAGATTCACAAGTGTAGGCCACTTTTCTGGAGTGGGATGACCTATAGTCACAAGCAACAATTTATCAACTGCATAAATAAAAACTATAACAAAAATGACTCATCAAAAGAGCATTCTCACCTAGGACCCTAAAAATTTTGTCAAGTTGATCGAGCTGCATCATCAAAATAAATTTCAGAAAAAGACAGATAGTGCCTTAGAAATATGCTGTATTCAACAATAAATTGAGTACAACAGATTGTCGGTAACAAAGGTAGGAAAAAGAAAAATATTCACCTGAAAAGGATTAGGAGTCCCTTTAACTTCTTGCCCTTGAAATAGTGGCTTTAAGGTTAGAAGCTCAGCAAAAATGCACCCCACAGCCCATGTGTCTTTTCCAACAACCAAATTACTATCAGTTAGATAGTGACTTAAAACATCAAAAATGTCTAATTATTGTACCAGCTATGAGTACAAACGTGAGTAATCCTTGTTATTTAAAAGGTTTGAATATTGAGTTGACGATGATCAAGATGTCTTACCAACAGCACTTGTATAATGTTTTGCTCCAAGGAGTAACTCAGGCGCTCGATACCATATTGTAACAACAACCTATAGTCAACAAATAATAAATAGATAACAGAAACAGAAATTTAAGAACATACATAACAATAGGTAAAAAGTTTGCCAGGGATGCAGAGTGGATGCTTAGAAAGCAAATATTCTTTGAAATATTGGCACATCAATGTTGGTTGCTAAAATTTTTTATAGTATCACATATTCTTAAACACCATTGAAGAAAACAGGAGCATAAAGAACAAATCGAGAAACAAATCCCTCATGTTATGTCATTTACAACACACTTGAAATATCCAAATACAAGACACGTATTCAAATACAAATGATGTAGCCAAAAACAGAAACAAAATGAAAGACAACCATGCTCCAACTCCTGAATGTAGTTAAACCTAATAATAGATGCAGCATTCAAGATCAAGGAAATGGGTCTTTTTATCTTTCTTAGAGCTTGGCCAAACTAAATACTATGAAATTTCCCATTTGTAGGTTTTTTATTTTTTTTTTTCAGAAGCAAATAACAAGATCTAATTGAAGGCACCAAGAGGGTGCAAAGTAAGTCACAAAATTGGTGTTATCTAAAAAAGCACTTCATGAGCCTAACCAAGAATCCATTGCTTCTAGTAATGAAATAACATCTCAAGAAATAGTTTTACATATACCAAAGAGGCACATCCCTAACCAAACTCTCTCTACATTCATCACAAACTTGAGTATTTTGTGCATACATACCATTCAAGAAATAGAATGTCACACACTTTCAATCGTTTTCTTTCCACATCTATCACTCTGGACCCTAATACGTGCCATAAAAATCCCTAACCCTCGTTTCCCCAACAACCCAACTCCAATAATAGCATGGGCCAGCACCCATAATCTCAGCACCAATTTGTATAGCTTTCAAACATGCTAAACAATGCTCATCAAATACTTAATTAAAGGAAACACAAAAGAATACAAATACTGGAAGACACAATTCAAAAGCCAACTACTGAAAGACACAACAGCATGAAGTGGAATAACTAACTACAGAACAGGGAAAGAGAAAAGAAAAGGTTTTAGAACTTGAGGCTGAGGAAAAATGAGAAAAGCTACAGAAAATAATTTTGTTTGACTTACTCCATTTTCAAATAGCGGCTTTAGGGGGGCTTGATATATTCTAGCGAGCCCAAAGTCAGCTATCTTTACAACTCCTTGTTCTTCACCATCACCCATTACCTGGTAATTAAAAGATTCAGATGAATGATATAGAGATAAAGTCGAGTTAAGAATCATGTAATGACAATGGTACTAGAAATTGTTAGATCAATTATCACATTAAATTGAGATAATTGAGAGGCAAAACAGAAACAGAAAATAAATGAAATGAAAGAATTTTACCAAAATATTTGATGGTTTCAGATCTCTATGCACAATCCAGTTACTGCAAAAATTGCAACCATGTGAGAGTTGACCGTGACCCATTTATTGACTAAAACTGCAGGCAAAGAATGAGTAAAAGTTGAAGCTACTCTTTCTGCCATCAGAAGTCACTGTAACTTTCATGTTAAAATAAATAGGAAGAGTTTAAATATGTTATACAAATAAAATATGGGCATTCTATAGAACTTTCTTTTACCCTTTGCCAATAGAAGGTCATTGTTCTCTGAACAACCTTTCTTCTGTTGGTGGGGTTAAGTCGGAACCCAAGTGCTTATATCCAAAGTTAAGGTAAGATAAATTATTAACTAATTCTGGGTTTTTAGTTCACCCAGTATGCCAATGCCATGCATACAAGAAAAGGGAAAAATAAATAAATAAGACACAGAGAGAGATCTAAATCATGTAATATACTAGGACAAAAAATTATATATTTGCAACCACTATTAAAAATAATCATTAATCTTTTTATACATTCTCTGGATAATTTGAATTTTACAAACTAATAGTGTAAGCAAAGAAGATAAATCAATATGAACTGATATCTCAATAGCAACTGGAAGGTTTGTATAATTGAAAGTCAACGAAGCCATATATGTTAAAGATGCAAAAGACTAAATGATCCAGATTCAGAGATTGGTCTAAAGTATGTACTTTCAGCATCAACTCTTTCAACTTGATGAGTTTGTAAACATTCATTATTTTGAATATACAAAATAAGCACTCTACAAGAGTATGTTACTTCATACAAGTAGAAGATAGATTTTAAAATACTTACCACAGTCGAACCAAATCTACCAAGTCATCACACAAAGAAACAAGTGTCACATCAGCAGTGAAGGTGCAAAGATAAATGATCGATACAAAAGAAATGTCACAAGATGCTCAAAATTCCGAAATCAGGGTGCAAAGATAAATGTTTGATGTACTTAAATTTGACAAAGCATATGACACTCAGGTAAAAGGTGGACACTGTGTTTCAATAGAGCAATTATTTAAAATGGGCCACAGTATTTGACTAGTACCTACTTTTTAAGAGTTAACTTAAGTAGGATAATCTAAAAATAATATTATTTGTGTTAGATTTCTTCAAAAGAACTATAGAACCTGTGAAGATAGTTTAGCCCATTGAGAAGCTGCCACAAGATAGACTTAATTGTGAATGGATTGATTGGTTGGTTGACCTTGTCACGGTGATGCCTGATGATTTCCTGTCAAGATTCAGAGAAGTCCAATAATTTCTAAAATTGGAATATAAAGCACATAAATAATTGTTTATTTTCATTTTCTTGAACTTTTTGGAAGGAGAAGGGGTGTAGGTTACAAGGATAGCATTTAGACAAAGAGCCAGTAAAATTTATCATTATCAGCAGTGAGTATGGTCCACAGCAAATCATGAAAATGTAAACAGACAAAGCATTGAGTTTACTCACATAAAGATCATGCTCTGCATAGTCAAAAGCCAGATAAAGCGACATGTCCACATGATTGATGTGAACATTTGCAAGCTTTACAACATTCTCATGGGAAATCTCTCGAAGCAGCTGCAAAATAAAACACTTACAATTAAAATCAAGAAGAGGGATTCAAAGGTTTTACAAGGAAAAAACACAGATGTAGGAAATGAATTAGACGACACAAAACTACTACAACAAAAGGGTGAAACATAGTTATAAAGCATGTTTTACCCTTCAGCATGAATAAAACAGAGGAAGGGAGAGATTTTTTATGTTGAAGAAAATCCTTTTTCTGCCAACACCGCAGGATCACAAAAAGTCGGATGCATAACAATTCTACCACCGTAACTCATAGTGAAAAAAAAAAAAAAAAAAGCACTTTGAAATTAAAAGTAGCAGAGCTATAAATTCTTTCCAGGATCAACATTACAGACATAACAGAAGAAATTGAATAAAATCTCACATTAAATAAACTAACAAGATTCAACATACTTGATCCATGTTCTCTTTTTTGGCAAGAAATATCATTTATCTCTAAAGAGGCATATCTAAGTTTCAGACTCAGTTCAAAACACAACTCCAAATCCAGTTCAAAACACAACTCCAACTCCAACTCCAACTCCACTTCAATAGATAAAACAAAATCCAACCTATTTATTGCATTTCCTCACCCCACGTGTAAACTCATTAATCTATCTAAAACCAGTCACGCCCATTGCATCAAAACTCACTTCCAGTATTGTAGCATTCTGGAATCACACAAAATCCATCAAATAAAAAAGATACCAAAGAAATTTAATAATAATAATAATAATAATAATAATAATAATAATAATAATAAATGTTCTACGTGATCTTAATCTAAAAGAAAACAAAGCCCCTAAGAACAGCGAAAAACCAATAGCACGCACCCATGGCGAGCACGCAAGATTAACTACACAAAGGCGCAAACACAATCAAAATCAACAAAAACATGCGTGCAACCAAGTGAGATGACGCAAGATTACCATGATCTCACGGATGGCGGTCGGAGAAACGCCGTCGCCATCTTTCGACTGCTTGAACTTCTTGATGGCTATGGATTTGGAGCGATTCGACTTAATCTTGGCTAAGAACACCAACCCATACGTTCCTTCCCCGATTTTCCCAATCACATCGTATTGCTCCAGCCACTCCGGCTTGTTGCTGCCCGAATTGCCGCCCCTTCCATCCCCCATTTGTTCTTCGACTACTTAAATAAATTATTCTGCAACAAACGCTTAAATCTGAATCCAATCGGCGATACCAGACGCTAGACGACGCTTATGGTTCAGCAGAGGAAATCCCCGTACAATACCAGGTATCACCTTGCGATTTCCACGAGGAATCTTTCCCGTTTATGCGCGACCGCTGTCAGCAAAAGCAGACCCGCCTCGTTAAAATCGACAAATCGTGACCTGAATAGCGATTTTAATTTCTTTTTAGCAAATCGTGTTTACATGAATAGCGATTTTTATTAAGTGGCGGTTTCTCTCATAAGTCGCAACTGTGGTTAGATTTTAAACTTTCAATGCTTTTTATAGAATGTAATAAATCTTTATACATATTAAAACATTTCTTATAGTTATTATTTTTTTATTTCTTATCCAAATCATATATATTTCAATATTCAATTGCTTCAATTATAATAATTATATTTTTCATTAAAGGTAATAGTATTATTACAATAAAAAAAAAGCATTAATAACAGTAATAAAAAAAAAAAAAAAAGTGATTATAACAAATGTCCAATAAATTTATGAAAGAATTTTTAAAATTTTATTTTAATTATTTATATGTATATATAAAATAAATCTATTAAATCAGATTTTAAGGTTTTGTTTTTTTTACTTAAAATTTCTTAATATATTTTTTTAAAAAATAATATATTACATATATTTATTATTTTTATATTACTTATGTTATTTTCTATATTTTATATAAAAAATATTTTTTTAAACCAGAATACAAAATAAAACACACTTTTCGATATTGGAAGATATGTGGAAGAAATTAGTATTACATTTATCTTTTATATAATCGATTTTATTTAGAGAAGTATTTTAATTAATTACTTTAATAGGTCAGATTTTAACACTCTATTTTAGTATTCTAAATTATATGGAAGTCAAAGTAATTCTTATACCATATATAAAATATTGCACATTTAGTTTATGGTAATCAATTTATAAAGGTAGAAAGTATTTTCATTGTTTTCTTTTATTCTCTATTTCATATAAAATGTGAACATTTTTTATTTCAAATTTTGTATGTAATTTGTTTTTTTTTTTAATATGATTATATAATTTAATTACATTTTAAGTTTTATAGTTTGTAATTTTTTTAATCATAATTAAATTATTTAATTATTTTAATTTTATTTTATAATTATTTTATTAATATACTTTTTAATTACTTATTAATTATATTTTACCTAAATTTAAATTTTTATATCTACAGTAATATAAACAATCTAGGCAAGACTAAGAAAGTATATTTTATTAATAGATAACTTTTTTCATCTAATTAAAATAAAACATGTAATTTCATTTACTTGAATATTTAAGTAGTTAATCATCTTTAATATATTGATCGGTTATATTTTAATGCCAAAAATTGAAATGGTGTGTTTCTTTTGTCAAATTTCTTCAAAGTTTATTATTTCAACTATGTGTTTTAAATAAATATATATATATTTTCTTTCAAAGGTTATATTTTCTTTTGAAAAAAATCCGAGATTTTTACTATTTAGACTCTGCGTTTTTCGAAAAAATACTTCATCCGTTTCATAAAGAAATATCAATTTGCTTTTTGCACGTAGTTTTAGAAATATTAGTATTATATTAGGATATAAGTAGAAATAAATTAGAAATAACTAAAATAACCTTATTAGTATGTATGATATAAAAGTAATGATATTTGTGTAATATATTGTACGTTGTAAGGGTATTTCTAATGTTAGGTAGATATTACAATTACTAAAAAAAGAAATTGATACTTTGTTATGGGACGGACTAAAATGGAAAAATAGATATTTTGTTATGGGACGAAGGGAGTACATTTTTTTCTCTCACAAAACATACCATCTTACATTATTTTAATACCAAACTCAAACAAAAAAATTTTCAAACCCATCAAAAGAAACACTTCCTTTAAAATTAGATCATTGTGTCATTTTTATTTTTTATTTTTTTTTTGGTCTTTAAAAAAAAAAAACAAAAACAAAAAACAAAAGAAAGAAATAGAAGAAAGAAGAAGAAGAAGGTGGAGGAGGAGGACATCATTTCGTAAACCACTGTGTTTGTTCTAGTCTCATGAATAATATATATGTGAAATAATAAGGATAGAACAAATTGAAAGTAGAATGAAGAGGTTGAACTTTGACAAATATAATTTGTAGAACTATAACATATTGAAGTTGGATTGTCTATGATTTGTAATAAGTGGTAAATGTATTTTTATTTAGCTAAATTCATACCATATTGGCATCTGTGGCGCCCAGCAGGGGTCCTTTTGTGATAGACGGTGCAAGGTGGGTAGAGAAAGTTCACTGGTCAATTCAACACTAGTATGATATTGTCCGTTTTTGGGTTGAGTCCGTACGGATTTATTTTTGAATATTCTCTAAAAAAACCTCGTACTAGTGGAGTTCACTTGAAAATTATAAGATATGAAATTTTCTTCACAACTTCCAATGTGGAACTTGGGTTTATACTCCAATACTTTATAATGCCAGTGTTGAATTAGTATTCTTATGGGCTCTTTCGTATTTTGAGAGTATGTCAAAAACGAAGCTTCAATATATAAATGTGCATATATATATATATATATATTTGGTTCGATTCAATAAAAATAATTTTAACTTGAATCTTGTTTGTTCATTTTTATATTTATTTATTTATTTTTGCTAAAAACACATCAAAATGAAATGAAAAATAGATGAAATCAAAACAGTACAAAAGATAAATAGCTAAACGGTAAAAAAGATAGAAATCAAAATATTTTGTGCTGTATGTTTGTTCTTTTGTATGTCCTTTAAATATATATGTTTATATAAATATTTTTGTAAATTTTATTATTATTTATTAAGAATATTTAAAAATATATATATATATTATATCGAATACTTTTTCTATAAAATATCAAATCAATTTTAAAAAATTTAAAACTTTTATTTACACATAAGTAATATTGATTTTTAATACCAATGTCTTGATCTTGGAGTTGAATAAATAAATAATATAGATATCAATAATGTGGACCACTCACTCATTAATGGTCGCCCCCGCCGAAATGCATGGCCCCGATTTCAGTTTAGAATGTTAATTAATATTTATTTGTAATTAATGTTAAGGTAAACTGTTTTTTTTAATCCGTAATTGGACCCCTGGTATTCTAGTATAGTAAGTGAAGTCTATCGCAAATTAGGTGGAAAATTTTCGTTGTTTTAGTCCTCCGGCGCCGAAGATATCCGTGTGGCTCGCCGGAGGTGACGTGTCCGCCAGGTCTTGCTGACCTGGCGGACGGACACGTGAATTTTTTATTTTTTTAATTTTTTTTTTTAAATTGGACTAAATTAAAAAATGGCAAATAAAATTAAAAATAAATTAAAAATAAGTTTTCTAAAAAATTTAAAAAAATGAAAAAAATAAAATAAAAAAATCCACGTGTCCGCCAAGCTAGCGCTTGGCGGACGTGCGCTTGGCGGACACGTCACCTCCGGCGAGCCACGCGGGCGTCTCCGGCGCCGGAGGACTAAAACAACGAAAAAATTTCACTAATGGGACTAGTTTGCGACATGCTCCACTTCCGGAACTAAAATGATAAAGGGGTCAGTTACATACTTAAAAAAACAGTTTCTACGTTTAATATTAGCAAATTGAGTTTTAAAATTATAACTTTAATCAATTACTACATTAGTGTAGGCTTGTGTATCCCCACCTTAGATTAATTAATAAGTTTCCATTGCGTGTGGCCACCATCCGTACTACAAACTCTTAAGATATGTTTGGTTATAGGTTAAGTATTAAGTTGAAAATTAATTTATGGTATGTCATTTATCATGTTAACATAAATTATATGATTAAATCAATTTTAAATTTTGTATTTAAATATATACAATATAAATTTTATTTTGTAATAAAAAATAAAATTTGATATAATACATAAATAATAAATATAAATATTTATTTCTTTATAATTACCTAAATTAATTTTATATAAAAAAGTGTAAATTTATATAAATATTTATTTATTAAAAATATCAAAAGTGAACCCATGTAATTTAAATATTTTTTTAAAAAAATATAGTACTCCCTCCCTCCGTCCATAAACTAATGTCCTATTTTTTTATTTGGGACGTTCAACTATTGTCCTATTTCTTTTTTTTTAAACACAAATTTTATATTTATACCCTTAATTCATTTATTACTTTTAATCCCTACCATACAATTAATGGCAAATTTGTCAATTCATAACAAAAAGACGATCACTTAGAAAAATAGTACAAATATACTTTAGAACAATAGAAATTGGCTGGAGAGAGAATTGAATAGAATACAATCATTAAACACACTCTTAAATTTATTTTTTTTCACATATATAAATTGATGGGTATATTTACTTATTAATACTTTTTTCAAAATGTTTTTCTTTTAAAAAAAAATTATAATAATTTCAAAAGTTATTTTTTATACAAAGATATGTCATATTTAATTATTATTGCATTTCAGAAATTGTGAAAAAAGAAAAGAAAAAAAAGGGTTGTGTTTAAAATTAATTTCAAAGTATTTTGTAATGATAAGTTAATTTAAATAGAAAATATTTTAAATAAATAGTGATATGATCCTTTAAACAGAAAATAAAATCTTAATATAAAAAATAAATTTTAAATTTGATAATATAAATTTTTTTATAAAAAGTAAAAATAAATATATAAATGTGTCTCGATGTTGACTAATTGCTCTTTCTTTAAACAATCAATCAAACAAAACTCAAATAAAATTTAAATAGTAAAAATTTTAATAAAAATAATGGTATAATAAGATATAATTAAATATTAAATTAAATGTAAAATTTATTTTTAGTATTTTATTTTAAAAAATATATATTTAATTTAATGTTTTTGAAAAAAAAAATAAAATTAAAGAATAATAGAAATCCTACTGCACACTCTAATTATAAATACACACACGAGACAAAAAAATCATCATATGCAAATTCATTGGCATATTGTAAGGTTTTTGAGCTACCCTTCCCTCATCATCCTTAAGATCTTGTCTTCTTCGTTTCCATGGCTAAAGGAGCAGTTTACAGGCCAGTCGACGAGGTCGATCTCGGCCCCGACAGCGACGAGCCTTATGTCCACGCAAAAGCCGAACAATGTAGGTTCCATCCACCAAAAGAATTTCCATATTTCACTACCAAACAGACGAATTTGATATAAATTTATTCGACTTGTTGTCATCTTAGCTCTCTTATGATCTAATCTTGGCGAACAAATGAATATATGCATCAATGCAGTTTCTCGAATGGCCGGTCGAAAGATGATGATGATGACTTGGCTGTTGGAGGCCCCTTTCATCGGAGCCATATTACTCTTCTTTCTCAAGAAGATCAATCGAATACCCGAGGCGCGAATAGAATCAAATATTTTTCATTTTTAATTAGATCATCAAATTGCTCCAATTGTATTTTATTCATTACTTTCATTTTTTGCAGATGATTTCATTGGCAGAGCTTCAAGAAGATCCTGTCTTTGTGCCCCTGCATCCATATCGAGGTTCATGTTAATAATCATCTAATCTAAAAACTTAAATTTGAATTTAAAAAGATATACCTTTTCCAGGAAGTCGAAAGCTTTTTTACAGTTGAATCATTTGCAGGGATTCCTGATAGGGACGCGAAATGTCTAGAACCGGACATGTCGCCACCGGACAAAGTTCAAGAGGCCGTCGACTGTCTTAAATCACCTGAAGTACTCGTCTCCGAGAGGTCGCAGCTCGATTTCCGGCGCTGGACGATATTGGACTATGCAAGAGCTTATACCTCAGGAAGAATAACTCCTGAAATGGTGCATAACTCAAATCCATATATGACTATGTCTTTGTCTGTGGGTTTGGATTTTTGAATAGTAAAAAGTTAAATTTGATTGTTGTTTGATGTGATATAAATAGATATTGATGCGATGTTTTGAATGTAAAATAAATTTACAGTATAATATAAAAAAAGAGAAGCTGAATAGTAAAAATTTGCAGTAAAATCTACAAAAGAATACAATCTCAGTATTTTTGTACCGCTGCAGGTAGCGCGTCGATTTTTAGCATTCCTCGGCGAGTCATCATCGGAGAGTCTCCGGATGTCGTTTTTCATCAGCATTGACGAGGAAGACATTCGAAAGCAAGCAATGGAATCATCTGCTCGATATCAGAAAGGTGCTCGTATATATCCGTAAGTCTAAGTGTTTGTGCCGCGCCCTGTTTGATATCGTTTCGAATCGTGTTTTTCTTCAGGACAACCATTATCAGTTCTTGATGGTGTTCCCATAGCCATTAAAGATGAAATAGACTGTTTACCATATCCAACAACAGGCATATTCGATCTTCCTACAAGCTCGAACAAATACGACGTTTTATTTATCATTTTTGCGAGTTCTAAAAGATGTCGAATCCAGGAGGAACGACGTGGATGCACAAAGTAAGACACTGTAAGAATGACGCGTGCTGCGTTAGTCGCCTCCGGTCGTGTGGCGCTGTAATAGTCGGCAAAACAAATATGCACGAGCCCGGCGCAGGAATCAGCGGGATAAATCCTCACTACGGGTATTCGAAATTTCTTTAGGTTCGGATTATGTTACATTTTTACAGATTTGTTATCCTTTCGATTCGGCTTTAAAGGGCTGTTCGAAATCCCTACGATATAAGCAAAGTTACGGGAGGTTCTTCGAGCGGATCTGCTGCTGTCGTAGCTGCTGGATTGTGTCCCGTCGCACTTGGCGTAGATGGCGCCGGTATTAGCTCTATTGCATGTTTTCGAGAGTAAAACATTGTACGTATCGAATCGATGTTGTGTTTTCATGTCCTGTTTTAGGCTCTGTAAGAGTGCCTGCAGCTCTTTGCGGCGTCATTGGCTTGAAGCCGACTTTTGCGCGCATTCCAACCAAAGGGTGCGCGACTCGACTCATCTGTTATAAATATATACATGTTCTTACCATGAATATGGTAAAATAGAAAATTTCAATTTTATATTTTGATCTTCAGAGTTCTTCCTCTAAGCTATACGGTTGCGATGGTTGGAATTCTTGCGGCGACAGTCGAGGATGCACTCATCGTGTTTGTTATCTCGACAACCTCGTTGCTTATATAGTTGTAACGTTTCACATTTTGAGTTCCGAGCAGTTTTGAAAGTTTTAACAGCGGTCACTGATTTTCAGTTATGCAGCTATAAGCGGCGAGGCTTCGCCTGATTGCGTCGGCGCCACCGTGGTATTACTTGCCTTTGCATTCGGATTTGTTGCTTACATTGGAACTAATGATAATTAAACCTAAGTCCAAGATCTGTTGTTTTGAAATTATCGAGATAAAAAAAAATAAAGCAAATAAATCTGATCTGATTTCATTAGGGTATTTCATTAGTGTAATAGGATTTGAATCTACAAATTAATGAAGGATTTTGTGTTTTTCAAATCGCTCTTGAAAAAATCGTTTGGATTTCTACCGTTATATGAAAAATAATGGATGTTGTGCTAGACCGGGATCACAACCTTAATATATATCATTTATTATTAATTGACTTCATCATTCAATTAATAAATCCGTAGTTACTAAATACATTTAAACTCAATAAATTAATAGATCACCGGCTTAACATAATTGATAGCTAAAATAATTACATTTAATACTTAGTTGTTTATTGGAGCGCATTCGAATTTTGAACAAAATTGCAGCCGAAAATAGGATTGCCGCTGCTGAAATCTGCGAACCACAAGTCTTTCGACATCAAAATGGCGAAGTACACGAAGGTTTGGAATCAACAAAACACTACCTATTCGATTATTATTTTCTTCTTGTAGTAACGAACTTTGCGCTTGTTTTTTTTTGCCGCGACGACTAGTGGTTTGATGACTGCAGCGACGACATTAGACTGTGCTGCTCCAATGCCGTCGAAAAACTAGCGCGCACATACGGCTGGAAGGTAATCTATTGCAGATGTGGTTATTTCAAGCTTCTCTGCAACATCCGCGCGATGTCCTAATCAAGAAAACATTCGGTTTTTTCCAAGGTTGTAGAGGCGACTATACCGGATATAGAGGCGATGCGGTTGTCCCATATTATAACAATCGGATCCGAGTGTTACAATTATTTGGCTGCCCACCTCCCCGAGTGAGTAAAAAAAAAAACATTCACTCGTGGCGACTTACATGATTGATCCTAGGGCATGAATTAGCGGATGATCCAAGTTAATTTGACCGTATTAGCATATGTTATAGGTATAGCTGTTAAACGAATCGAGTAACTCGCGAGCCAAGCTCGACTCGGCTCGTTAATAGCTCGATTCGGCTCGTTTTATAGAGATAAACGAGCCGAACTCGAGCTCGAAAACTATCTTTTCTACAAACGAGCCGAGCTCGGCTTGACTCGCGAGTAGCTCACTTGAGCTCGTTAGTGACAATATATTTATATTATTTATATATTAATATAATATATATACTTTTTTATATCAAAATTTATATTTATTATTAAAATTTAAATATTTTATTGTAAAAAATTATGAATAAAATTAAATATATTTAATTTATATATTAAAAAATATACGTAATATGTATACAATTCAAATCGAGCTCGAGTTTGAGCCTTACAAGCCGAGCTCGAGCTTGAATTTGAGCCTAACGAGCCGAGCTCGAGGCACTATTTTGGCTCGAATTCTTAACGAGTCGAGCCGAGCCTGTATCGTTAACAAGTTCGAGTCGAGCTCGAACAACCGATACTCGAGCTCGCTCGACTCGTTTAACAACTTTAGTTATAGGGGTGACTAACATATATTATACATATCTCAACATATAATACAACATATAACTTAACATATGCTATTTTATAATATAATATATATTGAAATATGTATAAACATATACTGGTCACCCTTATAGCATATGTTGATCCGGTTAAATTAGCACCATACTGACTTGTCGAATTAGTACAAGATTTGCAGCCTCGATCATAACACAAACATGATCGGTTGTGGAATAGGTACAAGGCCGAGATGGGATGGGACAGCCGGATGGCTCTCGCGATATACGGTTCTTACAGCAATCATGAGTACATAAATGCACAGAGAATAAGGTAACATGTGTTGTATGGACTATTGTTATGTGCTGAGTTCAATTGTAATATGTGTTGTATGGACTATTGTTATATACTGTTAATTATTTTCTTTTCCGACTTGTATAAGGAATCGCCAGCTGGAATTCCACAAGAAGATATTGTCCGAAGTAGACATCATCGTTGCTCCAACTGTCGGGTAAATTTGTGACCTCAGTTTCTCGATTGGGGAGGGTTACATTGCTGAATATTTCAAATCAGCACACATGAAATACATAAACAACACATGCTTTTATTACATACAACATGTGTTGTTTGTTCATAATCACACTGTATGAGAGTATGTTCCGTGCTAAAATCAACAATTGTAATGTGTTGTGTGAGACTATATCATGTGCTGTTAGATCATGTGTTGTATTTTTATTATATTAGCGTATACTGTGTTGTCTGTGGTAAACCGTGCGCTGTCCGTTAGCACAGCACAGTGCTGAATGTGCTGTAGCTGTCACTTCTCAGTTACTTCTTAGTACTTTACCAATCCACCTGTTTTTCCTCGACAGGGCGACTGCATACACAATACAGGACGATGCTGTCGAAACAGGAGAACTGGACAACCAAAATGGAGGTAAGTTAAACATGTAAGATAAATATGAACAACTAATAAATCCTACAAAGTTTCGAGGTATGAAATCGATCAACGGCTCTAAAATCGCAGTCGCATTTGTTCGTTACCAAGCAGCCGGAAACTTCTTGGGATTGCCTGCAGTCACTGTGCCTGTAAGCTCCCAAACATCCTCTGCTAATTGTGTCAAATTTCAGACATGGATGAGGATAAGTTCTGTCTGATCTGATCAATTTGTAAAAAACAATCACAGGTTGGATACGACCGATCGGGTCTGCCTATCGGCCTCCAGTTCGTTGGTAAGCCGTGGTCGGAATCGCTGTTGATTCACGTTGCATCGGCTCTTGCAGTAAGTTTACAGAGAACAACAAAAACACACATATATATGTACATTTGCAGCCATTTTTTTACATCCTGTGATGTTGTAAGCAGGAGATATGCATGTCGGGATACAAGAAGCCAGAGGTGTTCTACGACATGCTTGGAAAATAGTATGAGTGAAGAAATTGGGAACCTCAAAAATCAGTTCATCTGCAACTGTAATTTTAACTGGTTCTTAAATTGAATAAAAAATGGCGAAAAAGAAAGGTCCTACCGGGAGTCGAACCCAGGTCGCTGGATTCAAAGTCCAGAGTGCTAACCACTACACCATAGAACCGTTGTTGGGGTTTGTTACCATAAAGTTATATTTATTAATTTAATATTAAATGTATTGACTGATTGAAATATTATATGCATTCATTAATTTATGTCACGGCACGGACGACGACACGTCCCGTTATAATAAATTGAATGAAATTTATTACACAGACGATGACATGTACAGTAATTTTAAAAAAATAATAAAAAAATAACATATTGAATAGTATAATATATTATTATTATTATTTTTAAATGTTCAGTGTTAAAATTTTAAACATATAAACAAAACCTAACGTGATAATTTTGTAATTTATAGGAAAGCCCTCAATTAGTTGTTATATCAATTTGAGGCGCAAAATATTACCCAAACGAATTGGCTGCGCTGCACCGAGAGCCAAGCTCCACAATAAATAATAAAATAATAATAATAATGGAAAAAAAAATGGAAGAAGAGAAAAATTCGAAAAGGATGGTTCCTATTCCAAGCTACATAAATTTTTATTTTTGTTTTAATAAATTGTTTTATTTATGAGGAGAAGATACGTTTGAAAATCGCCGAATATAGGCAGAGACCTTAGCCAGTTTCATCATCTTCCCGTCGGAGAATCAATCAATAATCACAAGAAGAGAGGAAAGGGTTAGGGCTGGGCTGGGCGAGCGATCCTCTGTTCTAGCCCTGACCTCATAGCCTCTCTCAATATATTTTCTCCGCTGCTTGAATTATTTGTCTCGCCTGATAATTTCATCGTCGCCTGTTTTGCGTTGTTGTGTCTCTCTTTACCTGGCGTTGAAATTGCATTTCTTGCTTGATCATATTGCAGATTTACGTTATATATTTATATCGATTTATTTAAGGGAATAAAATGAGCAGCCAGGTTGTTCCTCCGCCTCCGAGGCGCAGCAGTATGGCCCAGAAGCGCAGCACCTCCGCCGTGAAGAAGTCTGCGGCGCCTCCTTCTGAGAACGGCTCCATGGGTAATGGAACCAACAACGCCAAACCGTCCTCGCCTCCCAGCTCGTAAGCCTCCTCACATCCGAAGAATATATTGTCCTTATTAATATGCTGGGGAAAAAAATTGTAATTTGAGGGCGGGATTTAGAATTTCTGAATGCGATACAGTTTTGTTGATTGTCATAATCTTAGGGAATGGATTCAATGCTGCCTTTTTGTTAGATAAGAACGTTTGGTGGTAGCTATGTGGATAAAAGGCTGGGCTGTGTTTGAAGCACTGCAGCTAATGCAAAATCAAGATTATTTAAAAATGGTTTGTGCTATTATAAATGTTTGAAATGAAATGTAAAGTTAGCCAAGAAAAGGAAAGTGGACTACTGGTTGCTCTAAATTTTCTAATTACTCGTCTGGATTTTTCATTGACTTTCATTCTATGAACCTAAAACACTCTTAACTGCTTGATTGAATGATATGACTAGCTGATCTTGATTGAATTACCAAGGCACGCATGGCTTGGCTTTTCCTGCGGTATTTTGATTTTCATTAAACAAAAAGGCGGTCTTTTGTGGGTTGGAAGTGGAACATCTCTATAATTTTCTCTCAACTATAATTGTATATCCTTGTTCGCCCATGTGTGTTGTCATATGTATTTCTTTTGTTTTTTGCCTGCGTGTTGGGTATTTGCTGCAAGTGTGAACTGCTTTCGTCTGTATGCAGTCATGTGTTTCCATTGTATTTTAATTATATTTTGTTTGTATTTGTCTGCATGTATGGAAATTTTGAAGTCATTTAATTGTATTCTCTTTTTTCTTTGCGGCCACCGGCAGTTTTTATTGGATGCGCTTATCAGTCAAATCCATGAATGTATGGTGCTTTTGTTTTGGCGTTTTCTCATCTATTATTGACCAGATTTAGGGCACCAGTATTCAATTTTGTGCTTTAGAGCTACATTTGATTACTTACTCTGATGACATGGTGTTTACTATTTTTGAGTTGGGATTTAGTGCAACAAGTATGTATTTTTCTGCTTTAGAGCTGCACGGGGCCATTTTCTAGAATTATATTGGTACTGTATGACACTAACTATTTTTGGATGTGGAATGCAAATTCAGGTCTGCTGCTGTTGAGCGCACTGTCAAGAAACTTAGGTTATCCAAGGCTCTTACAATTCCTGAGGGAACTACTGTGTCAGATGCCTGTAGGAGAATGTCTGCTAGACGTGTTGATGCCGTTCTTCTGACTGATGCTAATGCTTTACTTTCGGGGATTGTAACTGATAAGGTATTCATTCAATAATATTGTAGTTTAGTGTTCTTAAATGGAAGCAGGGAGAAGGATTCCAAGGCTGCTGTGTTGCCTATGCTAAGTAGAATGTCTTTTAATTGATTGACATGGAATTGATTCTTCTGGAAAAATTAACTAAGTTAAGAAGAATATTCCACAATCTCTGATGCCTTTAATTAGTGATTGTTTCTTTGGTTGCAGGATATAGCTACCAGAGTGATAGCTGAGGAGTTGAGGCCTGACCAGACAGTAATTTCAAAAGTGATGACCAGAAATCCTATTTTTGTGAACTCAGATACTTTGGCTATTGATGCTTTGCAGAAGATGGTCCAAGGTTGTCTATTTTATTACTTGTTTCCTTGAGAATGGTTTGTTCTTAGCGTGCGAGATCCTTACAATGTTAATATGAATTAAATTTTGGTTTCTGGATGGAGGTACTTAATCATTTATCACTATAATATACATATTATGGTAAAAACTGACTAGTTTTAGCAAGTTAATTATGTTGACCATCCCCTTGGTTATCTTAAATATGGATCTTGAGCTCTTAGAATTGTTTTTGAGGCGTTGCTTTGAGAAGCAGTATCAATACCATCTTTGAGAGTTTGAAACTTAATAATTTGAATTTAGTTATTAATATTTGCTACCTATTTTGATAATATACATTTTTAAATAATAGGGAAATTTCGGCACCTCCCTGTTGTTGAGAATGGTGAAGTTATAGCAATGTTAGATATCACAAAATGCCTCTATGATGCCATAACAAGAATGGAGAAGGCTGCAGAGCAGGGTAGTGCTATTGCAGCAGCAGTTGAAGGTGTTGAACGGCAATTTGGAAGCAATTTCTCTGGTTAGTCGATAGATGCTCTCCTAAAATTTTGTTTTATATGCTCAATATCTATATTGTGTGTCTGAAATTGGAAAGAGGCACTTGTTATAATGGTCTTGAGAAGTAATTTTTGACTTCTATGTGATTTATCTCCTGAAAGTCCTTTCTTTAGAAACATGGCAAATTTATTTACTAATTTTTTTGCCTTTGTCTCTCTATATTTTAGCACCATCTGCCTTTATAGAAACACTGAGGGAACGGATGTTCAAGCCTTCTCTATCTACTATTATTTCAGAGAATTCTAGGTAAATATTCTTTCTGCAGCCATTTCTCTGCCTGAAATGCACATTTTCTTGGTATTGGATTTGCTACTAAGTGTCTATGTTGTCAATTCTTCAGGGTTGCAGTTGTATCACCCTCCGATCCTGTTTACGTTGCTGCTAAAAGAATGCGTGAATTAAGAGTCAATTCAGTATTAATTACGACAGGAAACAGCATTCAGGGGATACTCACGTATAGTATTCTGACCTGAACACTGTGTATCTTTGTTATTTGTACATTAGCACAATCAAATTAGACATGATGTGCTGAATATTGTTTAGCTCATGTTCCACTTTATGGGATTTCTATTTCAGCTCGAAGGATATACTCATGCGAGTTGTGGCCCAAAATCTCTCGCCTGAGTTGACTTTAGTTGAGAAGGTTTGATAACTGCATTTATGGTTTCTTTATATTACTCAATTAACTTCATATGCTTAATGGGGTGTGAAACCTTCACAAAGAAAAAAACATCTTGGACTTCCTTATCCATGTGGCTGACATATATATCTAGACAATTGTCATTAGGCAGATATTGCATCCTATCTAATATTGTTATTCCAACTTTGGATAGATACCTTTATGCTTGCTAGTTTGGTTTACTTAAGCTGCATGCGTAGCTGATTATTTGAATCCTACTATGGGTTCTCAGTAAAGTTTTTTATGTCACAATCCTGTTCTTATATAGGTCTTACTAAATGTTCTTATGGTTATCTAACAATCATAGTTTTTCTTTAAGATAATTCTGTTGACTTATCATGGAGGTTTCGTTTTGTCAAGGTAATGACGCCAAATCCTGAATGTGCAACAGTAGAGACTAGTATTCTTGAAGCTTTGCATGTAATGCGTGATGGGAAGTTTTTACATCTTCCTGTTGTGGACAAAGGTGAGTACACACTCTCTCTTTCTCCCGCACACACACACCACACACAAGTCTGATATCATTTTCTTTGCAGATGGGTGTGTTGCTTCCTGTCTGGATGTTCTGCAGATAACTCATGCAGCAATTTCATTGGTAACATTTTCTTTACTGGGGATTTCCTTGGATAAATGCCATGACATTTGTGTGTTGGTGTTTGCTTGTTTGGATGATGCAAACTCTCATCTGTCTACTTAAAAGTAGAACATGACATAATCAAACTTTAGGTCACTGATAGAAGCTTTTAAGCATCAACTACAGTAGTAACATTACATGACCAAAATTATCATCCTTAATATATATGGGTTATTGGTTCGATGTTCTCATTTGTGAAACTGTGGTCCTAATAACCTGAACAAACTCCCTGAGGAGAGAAACTGGTTATCTTTATCTTTCGAGTTTCTATCAGAGCACTATTTACTAGCATTTAGAAAGAATTGATATGTATATATAAATAAATATATTGAACGGCCATGTTATTGTTTGTTAATGTAAAGACGCTTGTAATGCCTGCATTTCCTAGCGTAGAAGTTCTTTGAGATGTCCTTGTATTTATAATCCTGCTAATAGGATCTGACTAGAAAATGAAAATAATATGTTGATGTGGATTATCGAAATTCTTATTTTTCTCTGGCAGGTTGAAAGTACATCTGGCTCTGCTAATGATGTTGCGAATACCGTGATGCAAAATTTCTGGGATTCAGCACTTAATTTGGAGACCCCTGATGATTATGAGACAATGAGGTGTTTCTTCGGCACTTCTATAAATCAAAATGATGATTTGGATATCTCCGATTGATGTTGCTTGCTTGTTGACACAGTGAAATGTCTATGTCGCAATACAACCCATCAGAGGCCGCAGAACATGCAAAATCTGCATACCCTTCTCTTGGTCTTGGGAATTCATTTTCATTCAAATTCACAGACCTTAAGGGCCGGTGGCACCGGTTTACTTTTGGTTAGTTTGTAAAGTTTCATCATGCAATTTCTTCTTCTATCTCAGTTTACTGCTTTTCAGACAGATTTAATTGGTGCAATCTAGTAATATCTTGTACAGGAAAAAAAAGAAAAAAAAGCATGATGCCTACCTGGAAGACAACAATTCTAAGAATAGCAGCATGTGCCTTGTTAATTGAAAGTTTTTCATCTCATAATTAAGTTTTTTCTTTTCATTTCCTTGAATATTGACCTTGTTTGAAACTGCACGGGTTGATGAGTTTTTGTTGTCTTACATTAGAAAGTCGTCCATTTTTTTAGAGTTCTTGTTAATGTTGCACCAGACTACCTTTATATTCTTATGTATATTCTTCTGTTTCTGTCTATTCAATCAGGCGCGGATAATTTAGGTGAGCTTGTTTCTGCTGTTGTGCAACGGCTTGGTGCATCCAATCATGACACTCACCCTCAACTTTTGGTGAGTCAGTAAAAGCTTAAATCCTCTCTATTAAAAATTTCATGAGAAGCTTGTTTAATACTCTTCTCCATATGATCTTCCAGTACGAAGACGATGAAGGCGACAAAGTTCTGCTCACAGCTGATGCAGATCTTGTCAGTGCTGTAACCCATGCTAGATCAGTTGGACAAAAGGTGCGTAATTGTTTGTGTCCTAAAATCACGGTAAATCTTTTAAAAATCAAGGCTTTGATTGAACTCAAACCACCACCATTGCCGCAGTTGTTGCTAACAATATAGTTGCACTGAGCAGTTACTAATAGACAATAGTTATACAGTTGCTGTCATTATTGATCTGAGGTATTTTATATATACATATATACAATAATACAAATATGTAAAAAGAACTTCAAACCATCAGCTCTAGCCTTTATGCTACACCATTTTTCATTTTTGTTTTTTTGGAGTATTTGTGTTGTTTCTCTGGTCTCTTAGTGCTTTAAGTATTTCGTGGTGGCGGGTGTACGATGGAAGTAGAATCGAAAATATATTTCAGGAGTTCCTTCACGAATTCATGATTTATTTCATTTCTGGTCTATATGTAAACCAGGTTTTGAGGTTGCACCTGGACTACACTGACTCGCCTCAAGAGACGATGAAGCAATTGCCGGAGAAATCTGAGGTTATGACCATCGAGAAAACTAGATCATCATCCTCACTCCGATACGGGATATTTGCAGGCGCAGCAGTCGTTGCAAGCATCGGCGTAGTTGCCTACTTGAAGCGCGCAAACATATGATATTGGAGCAGTGAACTGGTGATGTACCACTGCTCTTTGGTATTTATGTGTTAGTGAAATTCAGATTTTAGCTCTCAACAGACGCAGTCTTGTCTGTAAACTTACTGCCTTTTGTTAATTCTGAAAGCAGATTACAAATTTTGTAAAATTCTGAATGCCACAGTTACATAAGAGGTAAGAACTCAGAAGGGTAAGTAATTTTCTGTCATAAAACAACACAAGCCCATAATTCTGGCAAACAAACAATCAATCAATTATTCCATTTTTGTATCATCAAGTTGTTTCTGATTGTTACAAGTAGCTAGCTGTTAAGTGAGTCAAATAATTCCTATATACAGTTACAGACAATGACCTTATTTTTAATATTTATTCAACATATCCATTCATTCATGTAGATTGCAGTCGATATAGCTGTTTCTTGTTGAATTTTGCCATGTTATATTTTATATTATCGTACTGCACCATTGTACTTCATAGACTTATCAAACAAAGATTAGATTAGATCAGGGAGTACTTATTAGCACACATTATTAATATTCTTTTCCATTAATCTATTTGCCACTTGTTCATAGTTCTCAATCTTTTCATAGGCATCATTTGACTATACGGCATATATCTACTTAAAGTCACTATAAATATAAACATCTCGGATTCCTTTTTATTGGAATGGAAAATTTTATTTTTTCATATTACTATCAGAGTTAAATTCTTTTTCGAGTATATTCTTTATTGATTTATCTCTCGTCATCTTCATCACACACCATTTCTATGTCGGATTGATCGTGTATTTCATGATTTTTTTGGACCGGTTACAAGTCCACCCTCTGTACCACCGGACCATTCTTTACACGCCACGTAGGTGTACGGATCTAGAGAATTGCTGCAATTGTGCTCTTGATAAATCTCTTTGACTTCTGACCTCAAGTTTTATTTATTTTGAGTTGTGAATTTTGACTTGGAACACATCTAAATCATAAGGCCGCGGATTCGCTGTCATGCAAAATCCCTCAAAAAAGTCAAAGTCAACACTGTTTTGATTTCTTGCCGTTCTTTAACCTTCCCTATCATCTTCACCATCAATCCAAAATGTCTATATATTCAACAATTCACAAAACCAGGCTTATCAATCTGCATTGCAGCTCCAAAAATGGCCACTCCTTCATTACTAATCCCCCTTTTCTCACTATTCCTTCTTATATATCCATTTTCTTTTGCCCAGCAGCCTCCTAACCCGAAAGCTTTCGTCTTTCCTGTCCGGAAAGATGACGGTGCGACGAACCAGTACTACACGACCGTTACAATCGGGTCGAACGCCACCACATTCAGCGCCGTAATCGACCTCGGCGGCAAAATGATGTACTTCAACTCCCTCGACTATTTCAACGCGGCCTCGACGTACCGTCCCATACTCTGCGGCACTCGCCAATGCCGCATCGCCAACGGCGTCGGCTGCATTTTCTGCTTCTTGTCGCCGCCTGTCCCCGGCTGCACCAACAACACGTGCTCCGACTACGCCCTCAACCCCTTCACCGGCACTCAGGGCTACGCCGGCCTCGGACAGGACACGCTGCATGTGTACTCGACGCGCGGCGATCGATACCGCGTCGACGGCTTCCCATTCCAATTTTCCGACCCCGTCCTCCGGGAAGGCCTGGCGGCTCCGACCGCCGGCCTGATCGGGCTCGGCCGGACGAAAATCGCGCTGCAGGCCCAGCTCGCCTCGGCTTTTAAAATCCGCGAGAAGATCGCGCTCTGCATGCCGTCGTCGGGCAGCGTCGGGAGCATGATCATCGGCGAGACCGACTACGCCATGCCGTTTCGGGCGATTGCGAGTTCGCTCTACACCACTCCTTTAGTGAAGAACCCGGTTAGCACCGATATGAACGAGGTGATCGGGAATCTGACGGTCGAGTATTTTATCGGTGTCAAATCGATCAAAGTCGGAAACAGGGCGCTCAATCTGAACAAGACTCTGCTTTCGATAAACAGGGAGACGGGCGCCGGCGGGACGGGAATCCGGACGGTGAGGGCTTATACGAGGCTGCATCGATCGATTTACGACGCTCTGATCAGAGAGTTTGTGAATTCTGCGACGGCGAAGAATATCAGAAGAGTGGCGTCGGTTGCGCCATTCGGAGCTTGCTTTGACTCTAGCTCGATCGGAAGCTCTGCGACAGGACTCAATGTGCCGGAAATCGATTTTGTTCTGCAGAATGACGTCTACTGGAGGTTTTATGGGGCAAACTCTATGGTTAGAGTGAGTGATGGTGTAATGTGCCTGGCTTTCGTCGACGGAACACCGAATCTGACGGGTCCGACGACGTCGATCGTTGTCGGAGGCTATCAGATGGAGAATCATCTGTTGGAGTTTGACGTCGCATCTTCGAAGCTCCGGTTTAGCTCGTCACTGCTACTCCGCGGCACGAGCTGTTCTCAGTTCAGAGCCGCCTGAACTGAACTGAGGATATAATATATGATATGATATGATACGATACAATTAAGTTTGTTTGTTGTAACATTGGATGTGCAAGAATAAAGGGACTAGTGTTTTGTTGTGCTAATAAAAGGATTGAACTAATGTATTCAAGAGTTTCATTTCGACCACGCTTTTGACAAATCACTTACATCCACGATTGGAGATTTTTTTTTTTTTTTTTTTTTTTTTGTATTCTTACGATTATCATTTTCATCTGTGTACATGACAAACCTTGGTATCACAACAAGACGGCCGCTACAGTGCTCAACAACAAGTCGTGTGCTATTAGATAGTACATAATATTACTATTAACATCACACAGTATTATCACATGAACTAACAGTACTATATTCTCATACAACACACTTGTTATTATTAAAAAATAATACATACATTTATTATACACAACATGTATTGTGTGTAATATTAATGTGTGTTGTCTGTGTATATAATGCATGTAAATGTGAAAAATCAACAAAAAAACACCGTAACCATCCCCTTGACAACAAATATGTAAGTAGAGTTAACAATAGTAAATCATACATGGCAGCGTATGCACCATCCTTCTCAACTATTTTGTTTGTGTCTACTTATCCAAAAACTTCGAAACATTGAATATAAAAAGCTGACATAAATTCTGATTTAACCAATGAAATTGGAAAATATTGGCCAACAACTCACTTCTATAAAATATTCAATCAACGAAATTAGATTTTTAAAAAATTTGTTAGATGAGGTAAATGATCGACTCAGCCAACAAGTCCCTCACCTACGACAAATGAGGGACAATGGGATTCAAACTCGAAACAGCTCTGATACCATGTCAGATGATGTAAATGAGCTTAAGGTTTTAAGATACAATATCATTTAATTATTTATCTACAAATCAGATCAGTCAACCTACAAAATTCAAAAGAAGAAAAAGAGGAAGAAGAAGAAAAAGAAGAAGAGAGAGCCATATTGAGAGAAAGAGAGAAGGTGAGCGAGGCGGCCGGAATCGGTCCAATCGATTCTTAATAGAAATTTTAGTCTCGAAAATTAGACCATTGCGTGACAATTTTCTCGACGGTAGAGAAAGAAAGTGAGTGACCAATTATAATAGAGACATCAATGAAATATATATTTAAGGTGAAGTTCGAATACAATAATTGTTTATAATTTAAATTAATTTTATATTATATTTGTATTATATTAATATAAATAATATATATATATTTTTAATAATATTATGATCATATGTTAGTATACCATGTGCTGTCAAAACGATGCTAAATTGATCAAAATAATTTGAGATATTTAGAAATTAACAATACTATCTTAAACAAACCAACCAAAAATGATATTGATACTTGTAAAATTAGGAGAGAGAGACAACTGTGACTTCTTCTTCATCTCTCTCTCTCTCTCTCTCTCTCTCTCTCTCTCTCTCTCTCTCTCTCTCTCTCTCTCTCTCTCTCTCTCTCTCTCTGTGTGCAATAGCTGATATGAAACATTGTTAGGGTTTCCTCTAATCTCTCTATGGACCATTAATTAAATATTCTTCTAATTTCATAGTATATATATATATATATATATTATTTCCATTTGTCTTTTAGTTGATGGAAATGAAGAAAATGGAATTTGCATTTAGCTGTTGAAGCAACAGTGACTATCCTTGGAAAAGAAATCTCTCTCTCTCTCTATATATATATATATATCATCTTTCTCTCTCATGTATAGTAATATCATATCTATGTATGTATGAATATTATGTATGTTTGTATTTGGCAAAATAAAATGATTCAGGATCCAAGTTTCCCACGAAATTTGTTTCTATTCTTGTTAACAGTTGAAATCCTTCTAGGGTTTTGTACAATGTATCTATATATCTCATCTATCAAACTTCAATTCTGCCCTCTGCCTCTGCCTGCCTTCATCTTCTGCATCCACAAATATACATACACACATCTCTCTCTCTCTCTCTCTCTCTCTCTATATATATATATATATATATGTATGAGGTCAATTTGAGGAGGAGAGAAACAAGTTATAAAAAATGAATTGAAACCCCATTGTCATTATATATATATATATTTGGGATTAATGAAACCTGAAGAAATGTCACTGTTCTTGCACCAAAGTGGTAGGTAGCTTCTGCTACCATTCAGAGCTTAGCTTGCACCTTCAACATCGATTGAATCATCATGATGTAAGGATTAATCTCTTATCTCTTCTTTCTTCTTCTTCTTCACACCTTACTGAGATGAAAACATATATATATATATTTATGTAATTATATAGAGAAATAAATTAATTAAATACAAAACAGAAAGATCAGCTAACATGGCTGCTGTATATGTGAATAATAATAATAATAATAATAATACTCCAGTAAGACATGAAGTAAGGAACTAACCATCGTCATCGTCTCAGCTTCGACAGACAGAAACACAGATGATGATGATGATGATGATGATGAAGAAGAAGATTAATTGATGAGTAATATTTTAATTTTAAAGTAATATTTGTTGAGGGGAATGAAGCCTGGTCCGAAGCATTTCAGAGATTCATTACATACATATATACATCCTAAATTCACTTCCTAAACATAACATTACTCCGAAACAGCCTCGAGCCAGCCAACATTCCCCTCAACTTCTCTCTACTCACTAACCCTACCTCTCATCTCCTCTCATCACCCCTTTATATATATACACAGACACTGTGTGTCTGCAAGACTGGGCTTCTATTTATATATTTATTTATTTATTTTGAGGGGTGGGGTGGGGTGGGTCGTCGTCTCGTCTCTGCTCTGTATCTAGCTAGCTAGCTTCCTGCCATAATGTAGCTTTCTTACACACATACCAATACATACATATACATATACATATACACATATGGATTCACTGACTCAAATCCAATTCGGGTGTGTCCGTTCGGGATTGAATTTTAAATACATTATTCATTTCATTTTTTTTTAAAAAAAATATAAAATCAAATACTTATTTTTTATTTTTTATATTATACAAAAAATCAATTTTACATTCAAAACATCACATCAACACCTATTTATATCACATCATATAAATATTTAAATTTAAAATTTTACTATTTAAATCCCAACTTAAAATCCAAACTCCCAAACAAACACACCCGAAACCTTCGTCGTATTTCAGATATATATACTCTCTCCGTCTCATATAAACAGTAACATTTATTTTTTGCACGTAGATTTTTTAATATTAGTAGTATTATATTGGATTATAGTAAAAAAAGACAAAAATATCCTTATTAGTATTGTGTAATATAAAAGTGGCGATATTTGTGTAATATATTATAAATTGGAATTATATTTATTATATTAGTACGTAGTACACTTGTTAAATTAGAAAATTGTGCCCTTTTAAAACAGACAAAAATAAAAAATTAAACATTTCTTAAGAATGAGAGAGGATATATATTTGTATGTATGTCATCACATCAACCCCACCCCACCCGACCTAGCTGCATCCAATACACATGATTATATACTATAGTACTATCACTTATTAATTAACCATTATTTACCTAAATCCCATGTTATAAAAATGATTTAATTAAGAAAATAATTTCCTTCGATTATATTTCCTAGGCTATTATATATATATATATATGACTTCCATGGCTCAATCACTCGCTCATTATTCATTAACATGACAGCTAGCTAGCTAACTACACTCTCTCTTTGTTTCCAGTCAACTGGGCAAACCTGTTGACTGTTGCCCCCCTACCCCCCAATAATCTCCTTTCTCCCTTTAATTCTTTTTTAAAAAAAATTATTATTCGCACAGTCAAACACACACAACAAGACAAAAAGTAGATAGATTTTAAAAATGCACTTTACACGAGAAAAAGAAAAGAAGAGTAGAGAAAGACGTACGTACAACTGATTCGGACAGAACCCACCCCACCCCACCCCACCCCACCCCACCCTACCCTCCATTCTCATAAATGCGATTCTTTCTTTCATGTTCACACAGTCTCTGTGTTTGTTTTTTCATCATTACCTTATTATTTTTAGCTTCCCATCTACGCCTACTTTTCATTTCACCTCTGCCAAACCCTAATTCCCTTTCCCATATTATTAATTAATCAATCTTGAAATCATGAATAATCCAACATCATATTATTCTTGTGTTTTAATCCCCTCTTTTTGCATTTCAATATTGCATTATATATATATATACTGTTTTAAAATATATTTGTACAGTTTTTTAAATAATTATTTTTTTGTTATGAATTAATAAATTTGTCCTTAATTATATGGTAGAAATTAAAAGTAATAAATGAATTAAGGGTAAAAATGTAAAATTTGTGTTTAAAAATAAAATAGGACAATAATTGTTGGACGTACCAAATAGAAAAGTAGGACGTAAGTTTGTGGATCCAAGAAAATATATAGTATATTGTAATGATTGTTTGTTCTCTCTCCCCACTGCCATTGTTGCTGATCATCTCAACTGTAACAAAACTTATCTTGTGTGTATAGTTATATCAACTGATGTTTATATTGATTTGATCATATATCTCAATATTTATACATAAGGACAGCCAAGAAAATGGGTATTGTTTGAAAAAAAAAATTAATTTAAATTTGATATTAAAATAATATATGATGAAATATTTTGTGAGATGAAAAAAATATTTTATTTTTCTTTCAGAAAAATGCAGGGACTTTCGTACGTGAAATTCCCCGCACCCTTAATAAATAATATAATTAATTCCTCTATACATCAATATTCAATATACATATATTACTATTTATTTATTATTGCATGTTAATTATTTCCATAATTTTTAATTACTCGAACGGTTATTTTCAGACAGCTGTGAGAGGAACAGTCGCCTTCCGCGAAACACGTTTGGCTGAAGGCTGGCGATCCTGGAAGTACGATTCTCGACCGTCCGTTCAGTTGATCTGACGGCTGACGAAGGGCGCTGGGAGAGGATCGGGAAACGAGGAGAGTGCCCGCCCGACGAGGAGAGGAAGAACTAACGTATTTATTGTAGCTACACAGTACTACTGTCCTTATGTAAGTATAATTTTTATTTTATTTTTATTTTTAATTTAATTTTACTTTTTCCTCACTCTCTATTTTTTTTT